TATGATGCCCTCAACGCCATTCACAACCATTGGAATTGGTGCAAAATGGAGTCAGCAAGTAAGTCAACACGCACTCATTACACTCCGGTGCTGATGTCCCTGCACAGAAAGTTACCTGGCCCGCAAGCTCAAAGAGGCCTTCAAGCTACAAGAGAGCAAGACGGCTACCTTCACCGCGCTAAGCGAGATCGCGGGCGAACGAGTTCGCGAATGGGAGAAGGTAGAATCCGAGTGTGCCTCTGCGGCCGCCAACGACGCAGGGCGCGATTCGACGCTAGGCAAGCGTAAGAGGGGTGCCCAGAAACGAAAAGGCAAGGGGAAGCAGGGTTCGAAAGGGACGAAGGGGAAGGTGGAGAGTGTGTACTTGCTTGACGAGAGCATAGGTGCGTCTACACCATGGCTGCCATCGCGCGTGGCATTGACGGTCTCGCTGCTTGTTAGTTCCGCGAGCCGGGAAAGTCTACGAAGAGCTCGCGAAACAAGAGATCCAGCCCGCGGGGAACTTCACGGCCGCTGCAGCGGACAGTATCCCGCGAGGCACTGCAAACTACTTCAAGAAGGGGATCGAGCTCGAGAAACGCCAGTGCGTCACCCCACCTCCACGTTGCGACTGACCACTCAACGACATAACCTGTCACAGGTTCGACCTGCGCGCCAAGGTCAGGAAGAATACCCGCGATACCAGCGAGGATGAAGGAGACGACGACTCGATCGTCGGAACCAAGGCTGCGCGGCGCACACTCCGCCGTGAACTCGACAAGTGGCGCGAGCTTCAAGTGTCTGTTATGCCCGACATCGACTTTCCCGACGCCGATGCTGAGGATCCCACCGTCGATGACGACGATGACGACGATGACGACGAAACCGGCACCCCGGAAGATGAGCCCCTCGCCCTCCCTTCCGACTTCACTGCCGTCGAGCGCGACGACCTCGGACTGCAGGCACTGGCCACCGTCGAACGCCGTATCCGCGTGGGGCATGCTCACGACCTGCTGGACGGCATAAAGCAATCGCTGAACCATCAAGGTGCTTTCCTGCTCGACAAGCGCAAGCACGCGAGGGGCCAGAAGGACAACACGCGCTCACAATCACAAGTTAATGCCGCAGTCGCGCGGACGCGTAACATCGCTGGGATGTACAACTACAACCGCGACCGCTTGATCGCGCTGAGCCGCGAGGAGTCGGACGTTCTTCCATGGATCAATCTTGACACCGATCTCAAGGGCAAAAATTGGAACAAAGCACGTCAGCTTGGAGATAGTCGGGAGGAGCAGAGTTGGATATGGACGGTGGTTCCTCCGTGGAGGTCAGGGGTGCAAGTTGAGGCTTGGCAACTCGAAGGTAAGTGAACGTGGTTTCCTGGCGACGTCGTAGCATGCTGACAGCTATGTTTGCAGTTGATCGCGTGCAATGGTTCCGAGCCAAGGCGGAGATGACCCGAGCGAACGAAGAAGTGAACAAACTTCATGCCGAGTTCAAGCGGACGATCCTCGGCTTCAAGAACATGTCAAATGCATGGGAGGCGGTCTCGACGCAGCAGATGTTGTCGCGCGGGGCGCAAGCGTATGCGAGGAAGAAGGCAGATATCTTCAGCAAGATGAGTCTACAGTGTGCGAACGCCTTCGCGAGCACACGAAGAGACCACGAAGAGAAATGGGATTATGCTAAGGTGAATCAAGCATTATGCAATAACAAACGACTGATCCTGTCCTGCTCAGGTCGTGACCGAACAACCGCACCAGGAGGGTGAAGGGAAGTCTTCCACACGCGAAGATCATAGCTCATTGCAGTGAGAGTGAGCCGGCGACAGTGCAGTCCGGCGTGTGGGCCTACGATGCATGCGTTGCGCGCTGCGCGGCTGAGCGCATCGAGGTTGTACAAAGGTGTTGTCCGATGGTTACTGGCACTGATGAAACAAACATTCCATCGCTTCAATATAAGCCGACCGCCCATCTGGGCCTATTCAAACTAGCGGGCCAACCAGTCTCCCCATCCACCCGCCCCCGAACTCTCTCATACCCAACGTCTTCCTCTGATCAATGTTACTAGCTCCGTCGGTCCGCGCGCGTTCACCCTCCGCAATATCACCCAGACCGTGCACGGGATGTTAAGGAATGCGGACGCAACACTCAATACGCGCTTCACGCGCTATGCTTCTACTCTGGTCGCCAACAATTCCGTACGTACCGACGCGAAAGCGGCGCCTCCTGGATGGCGTGGCCTTCCCGCTTTCACGGGTCTACACCTGTGTCCGAACCATCTACTTCCGTGCAGCGATTGTCCGAACCATCTACTTCCGCGCAGCGACTGTCCGAACCATCTACCTCCGCGCACTAACTATCTACCTCCGCGCAGCGCCTAGTCGCGCCGCTGCTCTCCATCTCGCGCCGAGTCGCTTTCAGCAGACCGCGCCTCTTCCTCCCGCCCAGTCGCTTTCAGCAGACCGCGCCTCTTGCTCTCGCCCAGCTTCCTCTCTTACAACCTACCATGTCCTTCTATCTCTGCGCCGCCCCTTTCCTCGTCCTCTACTCACCGCAAAGCCGACGGTTCGCGCGTCACTCGGGTGAATACCACGTATCGAAGAAACTACGGCCCTGTCTAGTCACCGCCGTCGACGGTGACTGGATCTGCCTCGCTCCTTGCTTATCGGCTCGCCCGGAGAGCCAGGTAGACTCTCTGTATTGTCGTCTTCTCGTCGTCTAACGTCTCCAACCTCAAGATGAAGCGCTCCTCCTGGAGCATCGTCGATTACGGCAAACACGGCCCCACTCTCCCCGACCACCCTCTGCACAACGCGCCGGTCTTTTCTATTCCTCTGCGCTCCCGTCGGCAGCGTGGCTGGAAAGCGACGTCGTGCTTCGTTTGGACGCGCGATGAAGGCGAATGGATCAGCATCGCCGACTGGGAGTCGACTCTAGGGGCGCGCGTCCTGGACTCCGACTTCGACCTGAGCCCAGGGCAAATGGCGATCTTGCGGGGAAAGCATTGGGCGATTTGTACGTCTCTCCTTCTGCCTTGTCTGATCGCGCTGACTTTGGGACAGGGGGAGGGAACCAGGGCTAATGGTGGCCAGTCGACGCAAACGTGTTACCTACTCGCAAGTGTGATCATTGTAAAGTCTCGTTGAAGTTACTCCCATCCCTCTCCTCGTCGATACGACCAGACATGCAGTCTCGGCCGCTGTTTCTGACGCAGCCTGTACCTTCGATGCAATCTCGAGCTGTCGTGCATGCTGTACTTACGGCACCTCGCGCGCCGCGTTCAACCATCTCGTATGCTACCCTGGAGATCCTCGAGCTCGCATCTTTCCCGCTGGCTCCGTCGCTCCGCCAGCCTCCTGCGTGCCCAATGTATGACCCTCTATTGGGTACGACTACGCCGGCACGCGCTACCTCGGCTCGACAACCACAACTTATGGACACTATCCATGTGCCGGCAGGCCACCTCGAAACTCAGCGACAGTCTCACTAGCTGCGGACCATGTCGAGGGGCAGCCTATGCCACGGGCTGACCACCGGACGAGCCATCGGCGCGACGCTGCTACATACCCCTGCTTCTCCGCCTGCCATGTGGCTTATCCGTGGTGCACTGGAAGACACAAGACGTACATGACACGCGCCACCCGCTTTCGTTATCCTAGACTGGTGTGCCCTCTTCCTGTGTCGATCCATCCCTCAGCTCCGCCCACGATTTATCAAGCTGCAATAAGACTGGAGAAGCGGGGAAGATGAGGAGGACACCGCTGGCAGGGTAACGAGGCAAGGTGAGCATCTTCTCGTCTGCAGAGTGTGACCAATATCGACGAACCAGCAGCACGACCGCGCAATGCTCCGCTTCCAGCGACAATCAAAGCCGCGCGACTCAACCCGCACGCGATACACGCACGAGCGCGCCGTCTACAGGGTCAGCCCCCAGCGCGACCTGCTCGCGGCGGACTCACTTAAAGGCGGAAACGGTAGCTTGAGGGCGCGTACGACGCACCACACTCGGCCAGAGCAGTACGACCTCCTAGCTCTGGTCCGTGCATCACAACCACGGACGCCTGCACTGCGAAGAGTGCTCCTCGGCCTTTGCCTGTTCGAGCCCGTCGTTGAGAGGAGTCGGCACGCAAGAGCGTGCCGACGACCAGGCGAACCGCCGGCGTGACGCTTCGTGAGGCAGGGAGGAGAGGACTAGCTGGCAGGCTTACCAACCTAGGTGAGTGGTAGCTACTTCATCGCCTCCTCCACGTCATGACGTGCTCGTTCCGATGAGCCAGCGGCGGCTGTATGTGCTCGGGAGCAGTTCCTCGAGCTCAACACGTCTCCCGATGCACCCGAACTGGACGCGGCGGCGCCTGAGACGCACATCCTTCACCCTATATCCACTCAGTCCAGCCCTTCCAACGTCGTTCCGCGCGACATCGGCGCACAACGGCGCGTCGACTGCGAGTACAATTCGACATGTTCGCGCCGACCATGTACCCTTGTCAGCTGAGGTGCATGCCGCCAACCTCGACACAACTATGGGTGTCCCGATCGGATACCGACCTCACGGGATGCTGCGATTGCGACCCGAACGTAATCCCGTCACACCTGCGACCAGTGAGTGTTCCCCCGACCAACCTTCCTATCCGCTACATGCTCATCTGCGATGCTATGTGCTAGTAACCTGTTATCCCAGCTGAGTCCGCGCTAGCCAGCCCCGGCACCGCATAGACCGGCCTTGTCGTCCAGCCCGCCATCGCGAGTAAGAGGTACGGTCCACATCATCAAGCCGCTGCCACCGCTAGCAACAGTGCTCACTGCACCGAGCAACGTCAGGGTCTCCTCCCCAAGTGTACAAGCAACGTCGCTCATCGTACCGCCCCGACCGTGCGACTCGCCGCCCGACGGGATGGCATCACGATGAGAGGTCACTGTCCTACCTCCACTGCGCGACACCCATGGCGTCTCCATTGCAGCGATACCCACCTCCTGTATGCTCTCTTGCCTTCCTGGCCTTCCGCTACCACAGCTTACGCTCTCGCTACCAGTCCTCGTCGCCACCACCCTATGCACGCGCACTAGGGGGTCTCCCCGGCATGGATTCATATGGACTCATTCAGTGATCGTCACTGTAGCCCTGTACACTGCACAGGACCGACTACTGTACGTCGTCGTGCTGGTAGGGTACGTCGCGGATGATACTATGCGAGGGTTAGGCTGTGAGTTAATGTAGTTACGATTCGGAGGTGGCTTTGTTACTGGATTAGTAGAGTGGCTATGTAGTGGCTTTGCTACGGATTAGTCGTTGATCTTCGGTGATTTACGTAGTTTCAGGAGGCGGTTTCGTAGTGGATTTGTAGTGGATTTGTTAAGGATTAGTAGTTGTTCTTCGGTGATTCGCGTAGGTTTAGGAGGTGGTTTCGTAGTGGACTGGGGTGGGTACTCGGTGGATTTGGAGTGACTTTGGAGGGGATCATTGATTGGCTTTGGTGTATCAGATATTGCTCTAGGCTGATGGCTTAAGACTTGATCCAGTGTTAATTGAGTTCATGCTTAGACTTGATGCAGTGTGAATGTGGTATACCAAGGCAGTAAGCCTGTGTATTTGGGATGCACATGTACATCAACACCGACTTAGATAGTAGAGACAGTGGATTACAAGTGGATCTATAGTGTATTAGGTAGTGGCTGTGTATTATGCTGACTGAGACAGTAGATTACAAGTGTATCACACTGGCTCAGATAGTGGATCACAAGTGTATCAGTAATGTATCAGGTAGAAGCTGTGGATTGTACTGACTTAACCAGTGTGTTGAGAGTGTATCAGTAGTGTATTAGTGGTGCATTAAGTACTATGAGGATTAAGACTAGAGATTCAACATGAATCAACAGTGTATTAGTGGTGTATAAGTGATGTATTAAGGGACCTCCTTAATGCATTTGTAATGCACTCAGATTTAGGACATGACTTAGCAGTGGATCAAGACTGTATTGGATTAGGATTAGATTAACAGGGGTACAAAAGTGTGTAAATCAGATCCAGGGTTTAATTCATTAATGAATGAAAGTAGATGCACTTAAACTGACATCACTGGCTGTTCGTTCTGCTCGCGTTTGGCCCAGTACGTCTGGTCTTCAAACTCGAGCTCGCCTGTCTTCCAGTCGATGATGGGGTTCTCCTTCTGGAGCCATTCATGGCCTAGAATGAGATCCTGTCTTCCGATCTCGGCAACATACGCCTTAACAAGCTTGGTTGTTCCCTTCCATCGGTAGCGAAGGGCGACGGCGTGCGATATGGTTCCCTTCTTGTTGGGAGTATCGTCTACGTTGAAGACCGGGATGGGTCGGACAAGGGGTACCGAGGGTAGGCGTAGTTTGATGACAAGACGAGGGTGGATGTACGTGGCCATTGCACCGCTGTCGATGAGAGCTTCCGTTTCGATGTCTTGATGCACTCCGATCACCATGAGAGGAAAGTAAAGGGCTTTGAATTGCGTGATTCCTGTTACTACATGGGATATGTGGAGTGCATAGGTGGGGTCTGGGCGCATCGATGACTCAGACCCACTCAAAAATCCTTCGACATTTGCTCAAAGAGCGGAGCGCGTTCTTCGAGCGGGAGTTCCTGGAAGACTTCTCGTACATAGGCGGGAGTAACTTCTCGCACGTGGGTAGAGGAGGCGGGCACACGGCGTGGGGAAGTTCGGTTGCGCTGGGTGAACTTCGGGTTCTGTCTCTTCTCGGGACAGTTCCTGAGGAGATGTCCGGGTTTGTGGCATCCGAAGCAAAGGCCCAGTTCCTGGTGACGTTGCCGTTCCCTCTGATCCATAGCGTCGATCTCCATAGGCTCGTCCAATCGTCCGCTGCCTCGTCCAGAGGGGTAGGAGGAGCGATGGTTGTTACCTCCGCTGTTCCCTCCCTCGTAGTAATTGGTATTGTAGATCTGGCGGGAGTCGAGTCGGAGGACAAGGTCAAACCACCCTTGCAGGGTCGTGGGTGGTTCCATATTCATTGCCTTGTCAAGGAGATCACGGCGGATTGCCCTCTTGAAGAACCCGGAGAGGGTCTTATCGGAGAGGTCGGTTCTGGATGCAATGGATCGGAATTTGGGGATGAAGGCAGGGGTGGGAGTCTTCCCTTGCTTTAGGGTCGTGAGCATTATCGAGTCTCTGTCTCCTTCGGCATAAACGGGGAACGCCTTCAAGAAGGCCTCCTTGAAGTCTTTCCAAGACTCAAACGCATGCTTGCCCTCTTCTTGGGCATCGGCTTCTCCGTCCATGTGCAACTTCTTCCAGTAGAAAGCATCGCTGTTGTCGTCGATGAGGAGGAGAGCGTAAGCGATCTTCCGTTGATCGTTGGCATCGGCGTTGCCTGTTGCGCTGTAGTACATCTCGAGACGTCGGATAAACGGTTTCGCATCGGTAGCCTGTCCCTTGAACTTGTCAGGTGCGGGGACCTCAAGCTTGGTAGCCGTGCTCGTGCGGGTGGTAGACATTGCGTCGTCTGATTCGGGTTCGTATTCGGGTTCGGATTCGGGTTCGGGTTCGTTCGACTGCGTCTCGAGTTCCGGTTCGAGAGGCTTCTTCTCGACACCTGTAGCGAGGTTCGAGGAGTACTGGGTAAGGCTGGATGTGCCTACTTCGGGTACAACGTGTACCAGGGGGCTAGTTCCTACTGCAGGGGAAGTAGCTTCGTGCTTCGAGAGTTCTCGTCGGATAGCCGCTGGAGTCGCCGGCTTCGGTCGTTCGTTTTGGATCTTCCTGATCCGTTCGGCAGCCTTTCCTTTGGTGTCTAGGTAGGCGCGGGTCTGTTTCTGTTGCTCTTCGAGGGGAACAGATCCGGGGAAGAAGGCCCAAATGCGCTTCTCTCCTTCCTGTTCTGGTTCTTGCACAAACACAGGTCTGTGCTCACCGCTGTCCTTCTGATACTCGAAGAGGCGAAGGTCGTCGTTCCACCAGAGGTTCGGTAGGGTTGGGAGCCCGTAGGTGACGGGTTCGATCTCAACTCGGTAGTCCGTGGTGGATGGGGAGTCCCCTAGACGGAGGGGCACTCCGGAAGCGTGTGTGAAGATGTGTGGGCTCTGCGCCTGAGCAGGCGGAGCGTAAAGATCAGTTCGACCTTATGTTACGCGAAGCGTGACACCTAGAGCACTAGCTCTCAACCTAACCCTAAACGTAGGGACCTTAGGTTCTAATCGTCCTTGGATGGGGAGGATGGTCTGAGACGCTGCTAAGTCCGTCTAGCAGGTCGAGCGGGGAGTTTCTGATATCCAAGGAGCTGGTGAGGCTTCAATAGATAACCAGGTCGAACTGAGGTTCGACCGCTGCTGTACACAGGTCTTATATACATGGGGAGTTCAGGGCAGGTCCTGAACGAGTCACAACTACCTAGCCAATAGGAGCGCGGGGGAGTGAGTCATGACGAGTCAGGGATCGAGTCATAAATGATGAGTCAGGTATGAGTAAGGGACGAGTCATACTGAGTCAGAGATCACGTGAACTGCTCCGGGTTGGACCGGAGCAAACAGCGAAGGAGTCCGAAGACTGGAACCGTAGCGTCATGGGGTTGGGCCCATGCTAGGATAGTACAATGCTCAAGTGCAAATAAGGGAAAACAAACGTTGACGTAACACACCACTGGTGTACGTGGATGTTCAGATATTCAAACGTGGCACAGCCCTTCACGCATCAAGTGTCGCGATGACCTCTACGGTACGTGTCACACAGTTCGATACGAGGCTCACTGTGGTGCTGTGCAAAGTGGCATTTGATGTAACACAGTAGATGAACACTTTGGGACGAACGCGTACATCCGAATCCGAGTCGGCGACTCAGTTCAAGATGATGCCTGGCAGTCCATATCAACCACTACAACTTGTCTTACCCACTCTCAACGCCATTGCTCAACCCTACAAAGCTTCCTCGGGGTTCCCCTCACCACCTCCAGGTCCTTTCGTGGGAGTCTTGACAGGACCGCGGGCGGCGACGTGCGTCGGGCCATGCTTGTGGTCATCGTCGCGCTTACCTACCGGACCCTTGGTAGGGGTCTTGACGGGGCCACGAGCCTCGACGGGCGGGAGCGACTTGTGCTTCAAGAGCTCGTCGTCGACGTCCTCGCGCTTGGGCTCGCCGCCGGGACCCTTGGTTGGGGCCTTGACAGGACCGCGAGCCTCGACGTGCGTCGGGTCGTGCTTGTGATCGTCCTCGCGCTTGGGGTTCGGGCCACCGCCAGTACCCTTGGTTGGGGTCTTGACAGGCCCGGGGTCGCGAGCACCGATGTGAGTCGGAGCGTGCTTGTGGTCGTCCTCGCGTTTTCCCCCCGGACCCTTGGTGGGGGTCTTGACGGGACCGCGAGCAGCGACATGCGTCGGGTCATCATGCTCGTGGTCGGCGTTCTCGCGCTTCGTGTGGTCATGCCCGCCGTTACCCGGGCCCTTGACAGGGGTGTCGGCGTCGGCAACCACGGGCATGGGCTCGCGGGCATAGAGGCTCGCATCTCGCACGGAGAGGCCTGCACTGTGAGTGGCACGGTTGTCAGTAGGTGGACTCTGTATTCTTGAGAACGGCAGAACATACACGTCGACCGGGAGGGTCAAGGAGGGCACAGCGGAGATCGCAGCGAAGACAAAGGCCAGGAGAACGTTGGCACGCATTTTGACTCGATGAGGATGTAACTGTAGCTCGAGAGCTGGGGAATATCCGTCGCACCTGCCTGCTTTTATATCCTGTTGTACCGCCCTGTTCAGCGGACATTGCCTTCGCTTCCTTACCCTCTTGCGGTGGGCTAAACAGCGAGCCTCGAGCGCAGCGTGCGGACTGATGGTTCATACAGACACTGAACATCAAGCGAATTTCAGCAGCTGATCCCGTACTCGCTTTCGCGAAATCCTTGAGTCGAACTTTGCCACATACCTCTATGGCAGGCCATGAGAATGCCTACTGGGTTTCTTTTCGCGGGAGCCTCATACACGCCATACGGATGTCCCTTTGGCCGCACCTGCGTCTGCAACGCTGCTATTGTATATTGGGTCTACGGACGTGCATTCCTTTTCTTACGTCTAGCGAACCAAGAGATTGACAGCGCCTTCCCTGCGGTGAATTCAAAGGAGCGCCGTCAGTGCGGTACTAATGACTGAAAGTATTTATGAAGCGTACGTACACAGAAAGTATACTAGACTGGCCCGCTCCACCAATGGACGTGCCAGAGGTGCGCAGCTGCTGTGTCATACTGACAATGGGGTGACAGCATTCGGGCATAGGCCCCCACCCTAGATGAGACTTTGCCGTACGGGGAGCCTAATGAATACTATGAAGCGGTAATGAGCCGTCCGAAGCCTGAGGGCAGCGAATACACTACACCGCACCAACGAATAAGCCCTCCTTCTGTGCAAAAATAAACGACTGCGTAGGCTGCGCATGCGGCAAGTTCACGTCTAGTTTCCAGGCTCTTGGCGTTTCATGCGAGGAATGGCGGTTCCCAGAAACGACAGAAACGGCGTGCACATAGATGGCTAGAGGTGTACATTCGTCGTAGGAGGCGGCCGCTGACCATAGTCACTGATAGTGGGGCAACTTAGCGAGTGTAGTGACCTGCGCGCTGCTACGTGACGGAGCGCGTATGTCACGCGTCTGTCACGCCTGAATCACTCGAGATCGATCGCCTCCGATGGCCGCTTGCGTTCGATGTATCGGCTTTCGCCCGGGAGTACTACCCACTCCAGTTACTGTCGTTCTTCCTTGCGGTTTGTTGAATCCCGGGCCACTATTGTCGTCAATGACTCCGCCCTTCAGTTAGGCGCAAAGATCAGTGTGCAGTGATGAAAGATTGGTGTGTGGTATAGGCTACCTCTGCCAGTGTTTGGGTTCACTGAATAGAACACTGCATTGACCTGCAATCTCGCGAGTAGGCCGGCCGCGCCAGGCAGATGCCGCGAATGCAAACAAGAGGTGCGGTCGCTCGATTACCACTATAGATCGGCACATCAGGAGTCCTGCCGGGTCGCGAGTCCCGACGGCACAATACATGAAGTCTTTCGCGACGAGACCGGCGTGGGCGGCTTCCGATGTCCGTTCTGCAACAAACCGCATCAGGCCCCGCGGCAGCTGCAGGTAAGGGTGCGAGCCACATACCCACTCCCATCTCACGTCGTGCAGGATCATGTACGCAAGGATGGGTGTCGGCCCACCACAGCCCGACCTGTGCCCACGGGCTCCCCAGGGCGCATTCGTATCAAGATGCACAACCCGGCGCTGAAGATCAAGATACCGCCAGCTTCGCTCAATCGAACGGAGACGACTCGGAGTGCGTCGGAGGCACGAAAGTCCGACACCGTCGAGCGTCGATCGCCCCCCGAATTTACGCCCTTGCCCAGAAGGAAACGCCCAAGGCTCAACAGTGCCAGCAGTGACACGCCTTCTCCCCGCCCAGATGCACCGTCTGCCGAGCAGGTCACTGAGCCTCCAAACGGGGAGCCTCCAGTGTCCGGCGGGGAACTGCTGTGTTTGCCTCCGAGTCCGCCTCCTGAGATCAACGAGCAGACGCCCGCTGCAGAACGGTCACACTCTCCGTCTCTGTACACGGGCGAGACGGACGTCGACGTCGACGTGATACAACTCGAGAAACTCGAACTGCAGTATCCCGACGACGAGGACGACAACAGCGTTATGCTGGATGCCCAGGACCTCGGCATCCAAATTGTGTACGTTCCTGACGATGACCATGTGCCTAGAGACGGTGCCCCTGCCGCCGTCGACCTCGAGGTGTTCAAAGATCACGAGCCTGAGGGGCGACTAGCGGGTGCGAATACGCCCCCTGGGCTCAGGCTGATCAGTCCACCTCCAAGTCCCACCACAGATGACGGGCCACTGGCAGCTCCCTCACACGTTGGCACTCCAGCCGGCGATGGTTTGCCAGGCCCCTCAGGTGCGTCGCAACGTACATCCCCTACGGAGGTCGGGGCGGGTCTGTGCCACCACTCAGAACTTGAAGGGACCGACTCGGACTCAGGGGTATCGTCCTCTGAGTCCGCCTCTCCTGAGCCTCCCTCAGGCTCCGAGTCGAACAACAGCCCGCCCCGCGAGCCTCTGCCGCCCGACCACCCCGTCGTGCGCTTCCTCGAGGGCATCTGGGCGGGACGGTCGCCCCCGGCGCACTTCGCCCATACGTTTGTCGATCTGGGCTACGACACAGACGAGCAGCTCGACTTCCTCGCCCGTGCGCAGCCCGAGCTGGGCGACTGGGACGGCCTGAAGGAGGATTTGCGTACTGAGAAGAAATATGATGTGTGGTGGTTGCACGTGAAGGTCGGCTTGCGCGAGCGAGCGAGGAGGTGCGGAAACAATGTCTGATTCACCGCGTTTGGGACTTGTTGCTTTTTTGCTGTGTTGTCCTGTTCTGTGTTAATTAACCAGGTCCCAGTCGCTGTGCTGCTTTGTCGTTGTCCCTCATGTCGGAAATACCTGTGTACTGTATGATACGCTCCGCGCTCTCCTGTTGTTGTTACTAGCATTGTCCTCCTATGTGTACCAGCAGTCGATTGTAGAACAGACCATTGCCACGGTACTCGGGCTGAGGGCGACTGAGAGCACGCGAGATCTGGAGGCGATCTGAGATGAGGGGAGCCCCAGATCGGGTGATTGCTGAGCAGAGTGGGTGGTGCGTCGCTGAGATTTGCCAGAGGCCGGCTCTTCCGCCCTCGCCACTGCTACGCTCTGTCCCCCTACTAGTATGCACTCGTAATGTCCAACTTCACCACCCTCGACCCCTCCCCTCACACGCTCTCCGTCGGCCCCCCCGAGCAGGACGTCAAGCCGCAGATTGACGCTCTCGCCAGTGCCGAGGCGCAGCCGGAGAACGACAGCCCCAGCGCTGGCAAGGACGCCTCGTGAGATCACATCTCTTCCGCCCATGCGCGCTCCGCCTTGCTAACATCCTTGTGTGTTTGCGCAGACCGAATGCCATTCACCGCTGCCGGAGGTGTGGCGAAAATGTAAAGTCCGTCCAGTTCCACCAGAGGACGGTTCACCAGAAGCGATGCGTGGTTGTCTTCCCGGATGGTACCAAGGAGACCCTCGTGAGGCCCGCGGACGGCGAGCGGTTCACTTGCACTAAATGTTCGTATGGGCACAGGGACCCTCAGTATCTCCAGGTGTGTAGTCTTTAGCCTAGGTTCTGCATTGAGCTGACGACTTTGCGTCAGATTCATGCCAGGCAAAAATGCAGCGCGCAGCCTCCTGAGGGTGGTCTCAAACCTGAAACCCCTCGCCGCAAGCGCAGAAAGACCCTGCACGTCTCTGGGAGTACAGATACAGGCGACGAGTCGAGGAACACCGATGAGCTGACGTCGACGAAAGAAGGTGAGTCTCTCCGAGATCTACCATGCAATGACCTCTAATCAATATCACTTGCAGAAGGTCAGTCGCGAGCGGTGTCTCAGGCTGCAGTGGAGGGTCCGAGCCGCCCTCAGTTGGAGATGCCAAGCATTGAGACGATCGACCGCCCTCGTTCCCCGTCTGCGTCGCCGTCCCTATCCGAGCTGCAGCTCGAGTGGGCCGAAGATTTCGAGCCCTCGACCTCGGCCCACAGTGCATCCGCCGCGTCCACCGCCGCAAAGCCACACCGCGACGCAGACGAGTCTATGGACCTCGACTGGCCTTCACCGCCCCCGCAGTCGCACAAAGCACCTTCTGCCTCTGCATCCCCGGCAGCCCAGACCCAACCGCCTTCTCCTGCTCCAGCGGGCATCGTCCCGCCACACAGCGCACAAACCACTACCCTAGTTAGGAGCACGACATCCCACGCGTCGCCGTCAGACACCGACCAAACATCTAGCTCAAGCTCGCCCGCATGCCTGACAGTCGAAACCGCGAACCACCACTCGCACCGCGTGGCCCAGCAGCCCACGCCGACGTCAAGCATCCCCCCAAGCCCTCTCCTGCCCCAGAGCACGGAGGACATCACGGGGCGTTTCGCCCTCGTGCCCGCCTTCCCCTCGCACTCCCAGTGCACCGTCGCCGCGGCTCCCCAGCACCCAGCCCCCGCCCAGCCGCGCGCTGCCGAAGACGCATGCACGCTCTCCGCCTCAGGCTCGAATCCGCGGCCTCTATCTCTGTCTCAGCGCCCGCCGCCCGCCGTCGACGCCTTCCTCCGGAGTGTTTCCCGCACCGCGCAGCCCCCGGCGCATGTCGCGCAGGCGTTCCTCGCGCTCGGGTACGACACGGACGAGCTGCTCGACATGCTCGCCCGCGGGCGCCCCGGCGAAGGCGACTGGGACCTCCTCGAGAAGGAGATTGTGACGGAGAAGCAGTGGCATGCGTGGTGGATGCTGGTGAAGGACGGGTTGCGCGCGCGGGGGGCGAGGTTGAGTCACTGAGGCCGTTCGCTGAGTCGTAATATGTATGGTCTAACCGAGTCGTTGGGTATCATACAGCCGTAAATAGCGAAAGTATACTTGTATACGGTACTTTAAATCCTAATGCGTGTGCCATAGCCTCGAATGTAATATTCTTGCCTGAAGTTGGAGAACGTGAATGGATGAGCATAAGTACTTCAAACCTGCGCGTACGCGTAACTTCGCACAGAGATCTGTGCACATCCGGCGAGCAAAAGGCACGCACAAGGTGTCAATGACCGCAAATAAGTCGATTGGTATGGTATAGTACTACGTAAGGACCGATGGATACACACTATGTTATGGGTTATGACTGGGATTATACAGAAAGACAAAGATGCCAAGGACCGCGAATTAATGGATTGATATGGTATCAAACTAGGCAGGGAACCACATTACAGGGATATATGATTTGGATTATTTGGAGGCCTTTAGAACAGCGGGGTGGGAGGGGGGTAGGGGGCAGTCGATGACATGAACAGCGGCGGGGTCGTGTCGTTGTCGATGTCAATCTCCTCAGGCGCAGCCGTCGGCGTGGTCCCAGCAGACGAAGACGCAGAAGAAGCGGAGCCGTTGAACGGGCCCACCGGGATTGGAAGCGCGACCGGCGTGTTGGGAGGGTTCACAGGCAGCGACGGCGAGAGAGGGTTTGCACCGACGGGGATCAAGCCGGTCGGAGGAGACACAGGGAGACCGCTCGGGGCAGCGAAGGCAGCAGGGCCATCCAGAGGCACGTTGGAGGGCGCCGAGAAGGCCGCGAAGGTAGAGACAGGTGACCAGGTCGAAGACACACCAGAGGGGCTCCCAGTGGAAGAGCAGTCCGAAGCCATGTTCCCGCCAGAGTAGTCGCAATCGTCGCGCTTGCCCACGGGCACGTTCGCAGTGATGTTGGTGACAACGCCTGTAGGAAGCGGGGGCACTGGAAGCGAGGCGGTAATGCCCGTGACGTTGGCAGGCCCAGCGCTGAGGATCGCCTGAGCGACGGCTTGCTGGACTTGGCCGACCTGGCCCGGGGTGAGCGCCAGGAGAGCGCTGGGACCGCCGTTGGCGGCGGCGCCGAGACCGAGCGCGGCGAAGATGGGCTCCAGAGCAGGCAGGAGCGGAGCGAGGGCAGGCCCCAGGATGGGGACTCCCGAGAGGACAGCCCCAAGATCGAGGCGCTTCTGGTAGACCCTGTGCCTCTCGCGGTCCGGCCGAGGTTGGTCCTGGTCTGGAACGAAGTAAAAAATCAGTCCTGACTTTGCTCATTCAGATAGGTGGGACGGGACATACCTAGGTTCATGTTGATGCCGCCGTCCGACACGTGCATGTTCATTGAGTCCCGCCTGGAAGACGAGTGGATCCCATGCATACTCGAAGAGGATGACAGTTCATTGACGTCGCTGTCCGTGGGAGCCGCCAGACTAGACGACGAGGACGAGAGTGCGAGGGTAGCGATGAGGAGGGACGAGCTCGGGGTGAGTCTCATGGTGGGATAGGTTGTGGGGGTAGGATGTACGAAAGCAAGTGGATAGCGGACCAGTGACAGAGCGAGCTCGGAGGGAGTTCGTGACGGTCAGAGGGAGAGAGCTGGGGAGGCTGAGCGAGGCTGAAACCAGGTTTATATAGAGGGCGCGGCACCGAATTGGGATGGCGGCTGGCAGCGGCTTGGAATGGAAGCCTGTCAGCCTCCAGTTCGAATCCAAACCTCGGTCAGCCACTAGGAGACCGTACCACAGAGTAGCCGGCGTAGACATGCAGGGCCATATTGGGACGGCTGAACGCAGAGTTCGTTAGATTTGCAGAATAGCCAGGCGAGGAGAATGAAGCTCCGTCGTGTACTGCAGTCATGGCAAGCAATTGAGCGCGGCCGCGCCGGAGGCTCTTTGCGTGACGTGACGCGACGCGTCTGTGACCGTGACCGGCGCGTTCTATCGGGCCTCCACGAATCCGTTCAATTCTGTTTCCGTGGGCAACACTAATACGACTCAATAATTCACAGACCCATCACCGAGCAGGCACTGTCGTCTCCGCGCTGGACTGACTGCGTCTGCGCTTGGGCACCTACCAACTCACGAAGTGCCAAGCGGATTTGTTGGAAACCGTGGAAGTCGGTGCAAACCGATGCCACGAAAGAACAAATGTGTTCACGAATAGACCATGGTGAGTTGCACATTTGACAAGCAGAGCGTTGCCGCTTCAGTCAGGAACACAACTCGAAGAGCTGTAATCGTTTCCCGAGCTTAGGGATGACATGGACACTTCGAGGCCGGCCGTATGCAAATGGCCATGATCCGTGAAGGATGTCGACCGCCTAGACTGCGCAACGGTACCGTCATGAGACGGAGCACTGTGCCCACCGCTGACGTCCTCTTTGCATCCTTCGCGAGGTGATTGATGCATTTGCCACATCCGCAGCCTACGCAGCTGGGATATTTTTGCAGAGTCAGGAGGCGAGCCCATTCGCTGGTGCGGCAGCTCGTTCACTGCCTTCAGGCCTCCGTTGACTCAAGCCCCGTTTCATTGAATGTCCTGTGCTTCCTTTGTTCAGATGTCTGGCCAGTAGAGGGAGCTTCTGTGGTAGCCGTCTTGCTGACTGACGCTCCCGCAACTTGAACGCAAAGGATTACCTAGGGCTGGTGCCCATGGCCGAATGCTTCAATCTCATCGTCGGCATGTCATCCCAGCTGCGCCTTTGTGGTGGTGCATCAGATTAACGGGACTTGCGCAAGGACCCTTTGCGTATGTGCGCTCAATGTATGCTTGCATTCGTCACCGACTGAAGGCGCTCAGTTACTCACCCCGCAGTCGCCGTAGGCGCCCGTAGATCACCGCTTCGCTGGACGTAAGGGAAGGAAGGTGCATTGGTAGGCGGAATTTACCACAATCCCGTTCCAGGGTAACAATATCCCAAGTGACATTTGCATAGCATGCAAGGCAAAATTGCACCGCGACAGGAAATTGGAGGGACGCTGCCATTTCACGTCCTAGAGGTATGTCGCAGTGAACAAGTGTACTCCACGAAGGCTATTCAGGCTGTAGTATTGACTCGCTCCAGGGCCTTTGAAATTCCCGTTTTCGGGGTCGGTATGAGCCATCAGTTCGAGCGCTGCGCTCGCTCGTCGTTTGGCTCGCCGCGAAAGGCTAGGGAAGCGATGGTAATATACGTTGCGGCGGCTAATCAGGGTCAACCAGGAGGACTTAAAAGCAGGCAGGTGCAACGGATACTCCCTAGCTCTCGAGCTACCCACTTCGTTCACTTGCATCTTCACCGAGTCGCATCTTCGCCGAGTCGCATCTTCACCGAGTCGTAATGCGTGCCAACGTCCTCCTCGCCTTCGTTCTCTCCGCGGTCTCCGCTGCACCTGTTTTGGCCCTCCCGGTCGACGTGTAAGTGAACCACTCATCAAATTGTATGTCTACATCATTCATGCGCCTTCGCGTGCCATTATAGTTCGGACCTCTCTGTGCGAGACGCCGGCCTCTACGTCCGCGAGCCGATGCCCATCGTTGCTGACCGCGATATGGTGAAGCCGCCGCCTGTCAAGGGCCCCGGTAACGGCGAACCTGACCATCACAAGCGAGAGGACGACCACGATCATCACCCGACGCACGTCGTTCCTCGTGGACCCGTCAAGACTCCTGCGAAGGGTCCCAACGGCGGGCCCAACCAGAACCCCAAACGCGAGGACGATCACGACCATCATCCGACGCATGTGGCGGCTCGCGGTCCCGTCAAGACCCCCGCGCAGGGTCCGGGTGGTGAGCCCAACCATAGCCCAGGCAACCCCAAGCGCGAGGACGATCACGGCCACCACCCAACGCACGTCACTGCTCGCGATGCAGTCAAGACACCCACGAAGGGCCCGGGAAACGGCGAGCCTGATCACCCCAAGCGCGAGGAGGATCATGACCACCACCCGACGCACGTCGCGGCTCGCGGCCCTGTCAAGACGCCTACGAAGGGCCCGGGGAATGATGTCCCTAACCACCACAAGCGGGAGGACGAGCATCACCCGACTCACGTCGTTGCTCGTGGCCCTGTCAAGACCCCCATCCGGGGTCCTGGGGGTGCTGAGCCCAACCCGAATCCCAAGCGCGAGGACGACCACGACCATCACCCGACTCACGTCGCTGCTCGTGGTCCCGTCAAGACGCCTGTGAAGGGCCCGGGAAACGGCGAGACTGACCACCCCAAACGTGATGACGATCACAAGCACAAGGACGAGCCGACTCATGTCGCTGCGCGTGCTCCTGTCAAGGCTCCCACCAAAGTTCCTGGCGGTGGGCCCGAGCACAGCGACGAGCCGGAGGGCGCTCAGCTTAATTGAGAAGGCGGCTGAGAGCTCATAGATGACATGGACTCGGACTAATGGATACGGACTACAAAGTTTGACTCAGGCTAATGTGTTCGCGGAGTCGCTCTTTACTACTCGAACGGACATGGTCATTCCTTACATCAGTCAATCTAATCCTGCCTTTCGAGTCTTTGCCTATGGTATGGTGTGTCAATCGTTACATAGAGCGGGCCACGGTCATGGTTTTGTATCTCGACTCTGAGCTCTTCGAACGCAAGCTGTTGTTTCGTGGCTTCGATCTTGAGCAGCGCGGCGACGAGGAAGGGATCAACATGTTTGAGGAGCGGAGCTGGGAGTGGTTTGACGATCTGGAGTGAGCTTGCGGGCAGTCGAGTTTCGGCCCGTAGCCTGTCATGTTGTGTGGGATTTGTAGTGTATGCGAGTCCCTGTCGCTGTCACTATCCTGAGATTGTGTATTCAATGGACCAGTCCAAGTCATTCGTTCCTATACACGTCCAGTCGTATGTGCTTCAGCGGCGTGTGTTGAGTCAATTTGAAGCTGGAGTTAATATCGCGGATGTCGCTGCCATGGAGCCACAGTCAATGAACAAACCACTACACTTTCCATAAGCGGTCAGTGAGGTCGGTGATGCGGCGACTCGAAGCGGCAGCTTCAGTGTTATCTGGCTTGAACTTTCGCGTTGTTGAACATTCTGACAATCCTGTATCCCCTATATATCTCCCATAATGAACAGGTATGGGCACCCGGTTCGAGTGCGGCATGATGATGGCCATAACAAAGGTGCCGTGAGACTCCGAGTCCTGGCACAATCCTGGCACGCGCTTCCTGTCTCGACCCTACAGCACAATACCGGACAATTGCAAGTCGTAGACCGTTATTCTACCGAAGAAATCTGAACTCTCTTCGAAAACCAGCTTGAGCCCCACGAGGCCTGTCGACTCTACTTCCGACGAGTCAAGTCCAAAGGTCTGCTTCCGGTTCACGTCCTCGGGAAAGACGTGGGCGAACAGCTGCCACTCGCCCTTATGAGGTGCTCTCTGAGTTAGCACCTCAAGCCTGCACTTGGTGCCCACGAAACCCCCTTGGAACGTCATGGAAAGATGGCTTGGTACTACCGGTGCAGGAAATTGTAGCTGGATGTATTGCGGTATACCCTGGTGAGCGGTTAGCATGACGACTTCCATGTGCAGTACATTATTTTGCGCACTTGCTGAGATGTCCAGCATGTACCCGGGTCACCGTCGGTGAGATGCTTCTTGCCGACTGACTTGTCGAGGGTCGTGCTCACTCTAGCGGGGCCTGGTCAAGTTCTGCAAGAATCCCTCGTTCTGGTCGCTCACTTGATCTTGGTCTCTGCATCTATCAACGACCGTTCGACCTCCGTCATGGCTTGAGTTCCAGGCTACGCATACGCTCAGGCTTCCTCCAACCAAGTGAGCGGTGCTGTATGAGACGAAGGCAGTGGAATCGATGTGGGTGTGCTGGATTTGTGCGGCCATCACGTGGCGATGTGCTCATAACATCGCGCTGCGTCTCGATCCCTTCAGACTGGCTTTCGTTCCTTCCCTCCCGCCCTCTCCCTCCCCCCTCTGTTCTCAGGCATGGTTTCGACACCCTCGTCTGCTCCCGAATGGCTCAGGCACCCACTCTCGTCCCCCCACCTCGTATCAGTCGTCCGTGCGCTATCAGAGCGCGAGCGCGCCCGTACCATCGCTCGGAACACATCCCGCCAACGATCCAACTCCAAGTCGCAGCGGAACCCATATACGCCCACACACATCCTCGCCTCTCTCCTTAACAAACCCGATCACGCCGAGCACTACTCCGTGTCCGTGGGCTCGAACCGCGACCTCCAGGAGTGCAACCGCTATCTCGACATCACGCCGTACGATCGCACGCGCGTCGTGCTCTCGGGTCGCGGCGTCGAGCGCGGCAGCGCGCCGGACGGGCGGTATCTGAACGCGAACTGGGTGCGCGAGCTCGCGGGCGGAAAGTGGTGGATCGCGAGCCAGGCGCCGCTCCCAAACACCGCGCACGCGTTCCTCAGTGTCATGCTCAGCCCGATCGTGCACCCGAACGCGTCGCGCACGTCGAAGACGAGCCGCGTGCGCACGGTGGTGCAGCTCACGCAGAACGTCGAGAGCGGCATGCGCAAGGCGCACGTCTACTTCCCCGACGCGGTGGGCAAGGAGTGGGTCGTCCCCCCGGAAGAAGGGCTCTCGACACCGCCATTGAAAGTCACCCTTCGCCAGTCGTCGTACGTCGAGGACGCAAAGTGCGTGCTGAGCCGTGTGTCCGTCGAGCCTTCCGGCGGGCAGGCCACCATCTTCCAGCATTTATTATATGCGTCCTGGCCGGACCATGGCGTGCCCACTGACGAGGATCGCGCGAGCCTGCTCCGCTTCACCCGTTTCGTGGACGAGGTAAATCGCGATCTGTCGTCGCAGTCCCTGCTACAGTCGCCTCCACCTCAAGATGAGCTTGATCCCGACCCCCCGATCATCGTCAATTGCTCTGCAGGCATCGGCCGGACAGGCTCGTTCATCGCGCTCTCATCTCTGTTGCGGAAGTTCGGCTTCCTCCCACCCCCTGCATCGCCATTATCTCTCGAAGATGGCGGATGGAAGTTGACGCCATCGCCACTAGGGCCACTGCCCGAGGAACTCCGCGAGGACCTCGTCGCGCAGGAGATTGACATGCTCAGAGAGCAGCGCCCGGGGATGGTGCAGAGAGACAGCCAAGTAGCGTTCATCTACGAGATGTTGATCGCTGCGTTCGCGGAGCAACATGCTACCTAGTCGGTTGGCCGGTCTCTCGTTTTCCTGACGGGCTTGAGTCATTGGACAGTACTTGCTAGATCTAGCTAATTATCGTGTGACGGACTGTAGTGATGTGAGCCAGGTGTACGAGTCTAATTCATGCAGTGAATGAGGTATACGTTCGTCGAGACCAAATATGACTAGCGCATACATGGGCAGCCACAGGAAGTCGTTGGGGGCGCGCACATCTTCTAGAATCAACGAACGCAAAAGCGATGAAGGCTCCATAGCAAAGCAACATGATACATAGTACACAGATTAATATTAATCAGTCCCAAACCAAACCTCCGTAACATGATAATCCAGTACATCCAGACAGATAGATCAGATCGATATCTATGTAGCAAACGACAAATCACTAAACGATGCCTTTGTGAAATGGCAACTCGAACCCCTTCCACCGCGTAGTTTGTGGTCCGAGCGGGACCCAGCGCATCCTAGCGTGGTCGACCTCGCCAGTCGGGTGTTCTTTGGCGTCGTCGAAGCCGAACGCGCGTTCCCAGCCTAAGCCAATGACAGCCAGTTCGCAAGCATTCAAACTGGGGCATACCAGACACCGTCAGCGAAACAGTACCCAGAACTCGAGAGAGACGTACCCCGCAGCACAAACCGTCGCCCCAGGGACGACATACCCATCCTCCGGCCACAGCCCGCTCATCAGCGCCAGGTCCACGATCAGGCCCCTCGTGAGCCGGACGCGCTCGGCCGTAGGCACCTCCGCGAAGAAGACGGGGTCGTACGCGTGCTCGGGCGCGAGCGCGCGCAGCTCCGCGTCCGTGCTCAGGTCGAGCGCGAACTTCGCGGTCGACGCCGGGAACGCGGCGACGTAGTGCCGCAGCGTCTCGGGCGCGTCCGTCGCGAGGTACGCTATTGGCGGGGCGGGGAAGTGTGCGGTGGTGTCGGAGTCGAGGGGGATGGGGTGGTTGGGGTAGAGGCGTGTCCAGATGTCATGCATGGCTTGGACATATGCCTTGAGGGAGGGCGTGGAGGTGTTGTGCGATATTGAGTGCTCGTGCACGAGCTGTACGCCTATGTATGGCGCATACTTGCTGTGGCTGTCGTGTGGTAGGGACAGGATGGAGGCTATTTCTGAGCGTGCTGTGCGGATGAGTGCAGAGTTGTGCGCGTCTGGCCTGATGATTTCTGCCAGTGATCGGGCTGCGTGGTCGTAGATAGGTCGTCTCCGGTTTATACCCTGAGCGGAACTGTGCGAAAGTCAATTGCTAGCTACACGTTCAGAGTGCAGGGTGCCGACCTATCTTCGTATCTCTCACTGAATTGAGAATTGAGGTGGTATTTCGCTGTATGTGAGTTGACGACCTAGACATGAAAATTGTGAAGTGAATCTGGTGGTACGCAGTCTGTACCCACTGACCCAATGCCTAGACCAGCGGTCATGATTCTATGTGTGGCGCGAAGATACGAAGAACTCACCTTGCACTGCGAGGACACGCGACAAGCTCTGCACGCAACCTGAGCGATAGTTGTCAAGAAAGGTTTGGTGATGTGTACATACCTTCTGGTGGAGGTCTCCGACAACCCGGCTCAGGACCAGGGTAGACGTTGATTGGATCCTCAAAGTAGTCTACCCACCTGATGCCCGCATCAGCGTCAGTCGTAAGAGATATAGGCGACCTTGGCATACCGTCCACGGGTCCAGTACGTATCGTCAATGAAGAACGTACTATTTCGCTGGGTGAATGTCAACTACCTCCGGTCAGCTTGCAGGTGGCCGCAAGACTCACCTCGCGTGCTAATGCAGCGACTTGTGCCATAAGCGCAAGATCCGTCGCAAGCCCCGCATGTCCATCAAGCTGGTATGTCACCGTGCTCGAGCAAATCGGTGAATGGCCATGCATCTTCAGACGTCTATCGTGGTGGACAACGTCCGTAGGTCCACTCAGAGGAGGGTCCCAGTAGTTCAAGCCCTCCTTGAACCAGGATATCCTCTCACATTCGTGTGCGTATTGAGCACCTGTAAGAGGGAATACGTAGTAGTGGCGGTAGTTGATGGCAAGGCCGAACCCGTTGTCCTCCAGGTCCCGCTGGAAGGCCATATAGAAGAGGGCGAAAATCCCGAAGACGAAGAATGCCCCAGACAGGTAGACGAGCCGCTCTGCCAGCATCAGCCCGGAGGGACACATTCGAACCTTCGGACCGAGGATTTCGCGGTCATCGCCTCGACTTCTGTACCCTGGAGGGAACGCGGTGCTGGCGGGGCCGGGCGACACGGATGATGGTGTCCGCCCCGGCGACAAGAACGCGTCTTCCTCCTCCTCCTCGTCGTACTCCGGGAGGTCGTCGAGTTCGACCTCCGTGAATCCCTCCTCGGCGCGGCCATTGCGGGAATGCGGTGTCCTCGGAGTGAGGACCTGGACCGGGGTGTTCAGGCGGTCCGACCTGGAAGAGACGAATATGTTGGCGAGAGGGCGGTTAGGATGTGGCATCCTGTCAATCTTTCTCCATGTACGGTGCGGTGCGAGGGTCCTAGTGGAGAGCAGTAGAGAACATAGGTCGTAACAAGGTAGGCTAGTAGAGGCTCTAAGGTCTATACTTGGTAGTTGTGATGGTTGTACCGTTTGTTACGTCACCATCCACTGATTGTGGGAATAAAGTAAAATTAGACGCCTGAAGCTCGCCGGCTGCATCGACTTGGGCACTTTCCTTCGACGACCGCTCACAGCCTATTTCGCTATTTCCTGAAAGTTGTCTATATCTTTCTCTCGTGATTGTGTCTTTAAACTTGCGGGAGGTTCTACGTGGCATCCGTGATTGGCAGTCGAACCCGCCTGACTCGGTAGCGCACCCGGTATAGCGTGCATGCGAACCCAAGTAACCCTCATTGAGGGGTGAGGCTCAAATAACGCATCTTCGTGCTGCTGAGCGTTGACGAAGGCCTGCGTCTTCGCAGGATCTACGGCAGTGCCTCACGCGTGTTCGCCTCGCTGGTGCCTCCGCCCGAACATCGCGAACCGTTCTCTACGAGATCTTTTCCTATTGCCATCATCAGCCCGTCGGTACCATTCCTCCTTCTTGCATACCTCTCCAGAAGAGCCGACACGCACCTCACTCGCTTGCTGCTGTTGCCAGTCGCCGTGACGAGTGCGCTGTACTTCACCCTTCATTACAAGATCGAGGATGCCCGGTACGGGATCTTCGAGTTCATTCGCTGTAAGTGTCACGGCACTTTATGACTGAATGTATGTGCTGAGGACTCGAAGTCTTGGTTGGCTATTACATCTTAGGAAAGTCTCTCAACTTCGCATTCGTACGAGAGGGCAGGTTCAAGACGGGAGAGAGGAGGCTGCAACGCGTCAACGAGGTGTCCGCTTCTTCTGGGATCCTTCCTCCAAGTTTGAACGACGCCCTGGAACTCGCCTTCGCAGTGCGAGGCATAGGCTGGGACTTCGGCCGTGACGTCTACGTACCACCGCGAACGAAGTCCACGCAGCGTGGACGTTTTCTCAGAGACGCAACCGTCGCCTGTATCAAGAACTTCCTCATCGTTGACCTGTGCGATTCGCTCATCAAACTCGCTCCAGGGGTGGACTCCCTAGAAGACGGCTCGATGTTCCTACAAGATTTACCTCTACACTGGCGTTACTCCCTCTCGACGGCCGTCTATGTCCTCGGCGGAATGCTGATCATCTTCGGACTCGAGGCCGGGAGTGACTTTGTCTCGCTGCTAGCTGTTGGCCTCCTCCGCAGCTCTCCCGATGCATGGTTCCCACTCTACGACAGTCCTTGGAGGTCTACATCACTACACCACTTCTGGGGCAAAGGCTGGCACCAGCTTCTTCGACACGTGTTCCTCTCCTGTGGTGGCTACGCCGGTGGTTGGCTCGCTGGCCAAGCGGGACTGGTTCTCGGAACATTCCTCGCATCCGGACTGTACCATGAACTCGGGATGCAGTTGTTGGATCATCGCATCATGCTCTTTTTCGTGCTACAAGGCATCGGCATTTTGCTGGAGAACGTGTACAAGCGGTATACTGGGAAGAGGGTCGGGGGTGTCATGGGCTGGTGCTGGACGGCATTCTGGGTGATTATACTGGGGCAAATGTGCAGTACGTCGCCCGTGTCGTCGAGCTGGGAACATGTGTGACTGAAGCCCATTTGCAGCTGCGCGGGCTATAGGTCGTTTACCTGGTGCAATCCTGATCCCAAGAAAGCTCAGCATTGTCAGGGGCCTTGTCTTTCCTGGAATACGCTATCTCATAGAATCCATCGTTTCCCGCTGATGATACCGTGCCCAAGTAAGTGAGCGGAACCGATTTCATACGAATGCACGCCAGCAGGCTTCGTGACGCCCGATTCGACATCGTTAGCTGAGCATGATGGCCACGTACTATGCGCCTACAGCCACGCTGCACAGCGTGAGGCTGGCATACGTATATACTCGTATATACTATACGGGCCTAGCGGGGTCTCGCAGCGTACAGCTGCCGGCCAGTCATGGATGATATCATGTCGGAGCGTGGCTCGGTCTCGGACCGGCCATGTGTCTGGGCTGCATTTGTCTTTTCGCCGCGACGCTTGTGCATCTTCTGGAGCGCGTGCTGGCTGCGGCCCCGAGCGGTGCGATCTTATAACTGAGGCACCCTCCGATGCCTTGCCTGTTCTACTCTCCACTCAACGCAGAGTGTCAACGCAGCCCCACTCTTCCGACTGTCCAAACGCTGTATACCCTGATACATGTTCGACAGGTGAGTCTGGTTTGCTCCGTCGCGTGCCTCTATCGCTCATCCAGCAATGCAGTGACATTCTGCACTATGGCTCATCGTGGAATCCATACTATTTCATCCCACTACCTGAGGAGCGGACTCCCATAACATGGACCACAATTCCCCAAGTCCTCGTGTACTGGGCACCATTCTATCTTATGGCCTATCTGGCGCGGAAGGCGGATACATATCTGCTGCGTCTGCTCCTGCTGCCTATCGTGATCTCGACCGCAGCGTATTGTACGTACTGGTTCAGGGTGGAGGATCCAACCATCGCCACCGTTCAGTGGGGTCGAAGTGAGTCTTGGATCTTGTCTCGTGGACTTCAATGTGACTGACTGGTTGTACCTCAGGCTTCGTGACACTTGTCGTCGTGGCAAAGGCCATAGACTATGCCTTCGTAAAGAACGGGCGATTCAAGGTCGGGGAGAAGGAGTTGCCTCCAATCGGCGGCACGGCCAAGTCGCAGACGACCAGTGTGCAAGGCAATGGGCATGCCCATCCGCCAACACAACGGGACAGCGTCTTCCCGCAATGGTTCAGAGACGCCTCAGAACTTATCTTCACCATGCGGGGCATCGGTTGGGACTTCGGCAAAGGTCTCTACGTCCCGAAGGAGTCGCGTTCACTGGAGCGCGGGCCATTCCTGAGGACCACAGTGTTCTCGCTTCTCTGGAACTACATCATCATCGACATACTCAACTCGCTCTTCAAGCTCGTACCCCGCGTCGGGACATACCGCGGTGGCTCCATATTCCTCCAGGAGCTGTCTCCAGTGCCTCGCTACGCTTTGTCGAGCGCGATACACCTTGCCAGCGGCTTCATCATCCAGTACGGCATGGATATCTGCAACGACATCGCTACCCTATTCTCCGTCGGAGTCCTTGGCCAGTCCCCCGAGCAGTGGCCGCCCGTCCAAGACAGGCCGTGGAAAGCCACTTCGTTGCACGAGTACTGGGGCAAGCGCTGGCACCAGAGTCTCAGGCAGGTATTCTACGTGTATGGCGGGTGCGTCGGCGGGTGGCTGGCAGGGTCGATAGGCATGGTGCTCGGCTCGTTCTTCGCGTCGGGGATGTACCACGAAGTCGGGATGCACATGTCGGACCACCGCGTGACGCTCTTCTTTCTGCTTCAGGGCGTTGGGATCATCCTTGAGGGGCTTTGGAAGAAGGCGACAGGAAAACCTGTGGGTGGCGTGGCGGGCTGGATCTGGACGGCGTTCTTCGTCTTGGTCATTGGCCAGATCAGCAGTATGTGGCCTTTCTCTCGACGCTTTCATCTACTGACTGACATTCTGAACAGCGGATGCTTGGGCTATTCATGGCCTCATCGGTGGACTGATTGTCCCCGACCCGCTCAGCGTGACAAGACGCGTCCTGTCCCCCGCTGCTCAGTCCCTACTCAATCTTTGGCACTCATGAACATTTATGATATACAACTACGATACATCTCTGCACTACTATATATCCAGCGTAGTATATATGGATACCGCATCTATCATGCCGAGCACATAGTCACACATCTAGCTTAAGTAGTTTGGGGGGTTTGGGGAGGTTATTCAGTGAGCGCCCGTGAGCGAGGCTCATTATGGGCGTCTAATATGCCCTCCACGTCGCGACCTTAACGCGTCTGCGGAAGTGTACTTTCGACTTCCTCATCTACTCTCTCCTGGCGAATTGTCGAGGCTGCCTCGACTCAGTGCACATATAACAGAGGTTAAGCTGAGTGCTGAGTATCGTCAAAATGGTACGGGTTACACTGCATGAGTTTCCCGAGACTGCTCAATAGTGTCCCGCTCAGGTCGTCCTCGCAGCATCAATATGCACGAAGGGCGGGAAAGGTATGCTTTATCCTAGGCACTTGTCTCTGGATACTGAGAGGTGCCTGCATCAGCTGTCGTTTCTCGTCAATTCCGTGACATGACAAAAGCCCGGATCGAGTCTCTCCTCGCGTCCTTCCCCAAGCTCATCCCGACCGGCACACAACACACGTCCGTCGAGACCACCGACGTGCGCTACGTCTACCAGCCCCTGGAAGACCTCTACATCCTCCTCATCACCAACAAGGCGTCGAACATCCTCCAGGACATCGAGACACTGCACCTCTTCGCCCGCGTCGTCTCGGACCTCTGCAGGAGCGCGGAGCAGCGCGAGATCACGAAGCATGCGTTCGAGTTGCTGGGGGCGTTCGACGAGATCGTCAGCTTGGGGTACCGGGAGCAGGTCAACCTCGCGCAGATCAGGAACGTAATGGAGATGGAGAGTCACGAGGAAAAGATCCAGGAGATCATTGCGAGGGTGCGTCGCATGCACACCATACCCCCGCTAAGCCTGACAGACGCACACGTCCCCAGAACAAAGAGGCGGAGGCGAAGGAGGAGCTCAAGCGGCGCGCGAAGCAGCTCGAGATGCAGCGCCGGGAGCAACAACGGCGCACAGCTGCTGGCGGGCCTTCAGGGGGCAGCTACCTCGGCGGCGGTGTCTCCGGGTATGCGCCTGTACCCCAACGCTACGATACTCCGGTGGCCCCCATCGCCCGCACCGCGTCGCCCGCAGCCTCGAGTGTACGCGCACCCGCCTTCAAGAGCGGCGGCATGAAGCTCGGCGGCAAGAAGACGAGGCAGGCGGAGCTGCTCGATGCGCTCGGTGGGGACGCGTTGCTGTCTGAGGACATGTCGACGCCGGGTACGCCTGCGGCGTCGAACACCCCCGAGCCCGTCGCACCGCCAGCGCCGAAGAACGACCGCGGCAGCCTGCCCCCCGTTCATGCTGAGAGGTATGCCTGCATCGTCCATGCGCTATTCCCGAACCTCATCTAGTGTCCTCAGCGTGCATGTCGTCATTCGTGAGACGATCAACGCGGAGATGGTTCGCGACGGCGGCCTCAACAACCTCGAGCTCAAGGGTGACATGAACCTCCATATCTCCGACCCCGACCTTGCGAAGATCAGGATCGCGCTCTCGCCCGCTGCTGTGAACTTCGGCCCCGAGCTCCAGTTCAAGCAACACCCGAAGGTGGACAAGTTCGTCGCGAACAGGGACCGTGTTGTCGCGTTGAAGGACCCCAGCAAGGGCTTCCCTGTGGGCCAACCGCTTGCAGTGCTCAAGTGGAGATATGCTGGGAAGGATGAGACATACGTGCCACTTTCCAGTACGTTCACTGTGCAGCAGTCAGCTGTTGCGCGCATTGACCCTCACTCTCCACAGTCAACTGCTGGCCGACACCCTCAAACGACGGCACATGTGAAGTGAACATCGAGTACGAGCTCGAGAATGAGGGCGTCACCCTGCACGATGTTGTTATCTCCATTCCGCTGCCGTATGTCCATTTCATATGTTCGCAACTTCACCTTGTTGACATGTTCTGCCTCGCAGTGACGGCTCCTACCCGACCGTTTCTTCACACACCGGAGAATGGGCCCTCAATCCCTCCGTCCACGCACTCGACTGGAACATCCCCGTTATCAACGCAGACGACCGCTCCGGGTCCATGGAGTTCTCCGTCGGCGGCGACGATCCCGGCGCATTCTTCCCCGTGAAGGTGTCCTTCATCGGCGAGGGTAGCATTGCGGGCGTGCACCTCGCGTCCATATCGAAGGTTGACTCTGGCGAGGACGTCGTGTACTCCGAGGACGCGACGGTGCAGATCGAGAACTATACTGTTGTTTAGGGTAGATTTGGACAAGTATTTATGACACGATACGAAGCATTGCATGGATAGCGGCGACTCTATGAATGTGATGTCTAAGGAATATGGAGGTATTCGGAATCCAAGCAGTAGCTGAATGCAGCTCTTCTAGGGCTCAAAGCTCAGGGGAAGCCAATCCGGGCCACTCCAGTCGTCAACGCTGTTATCGGCTCTAGATCTGGCATGGTGCTCCTCCGCCTCGCATTGAACGAATTACCAGGCAGTCGACGAACCGGAGATGGTGCCCTGTCGAAGGACCCGCTCAGCTCCCGCGGCCGCGCCGACAGGCCCCCCGACCCGCTCGCACTCCTCATCCCTGTCGCTGACCCTCCGGGCGAAGGCGTGAGAGAGATCGAGGGCACGCCAGGGCTCTTGCTGCCCGCGCGAGGGATCCCCACTTGCAGGCCTGACATCGGCATATTCATGACCGGGCGGTACTTCGGCATCTTGGTGCCTTCGGGTTCGAGAAGGAGCTGGAGAGCGAGCAGGCACACCATGGCGTCGTTCCCTGCGTTGTGCATCGACCACGGGATGTCGACGCCGAGAGACCGGATCAGGTTCGTGAGGGAGAGAGTGGAGTGCGGCGCGCGAGGCTTGCCGGAGGGGTCTGTCATAGCATTGCGCTGGCCGGAGGCGAACAGCTGCCTCTCGTAGGAGGCGGTGTCAAGCATAAGGACGTTGTGTGGGATCTCTGGATAGAGCGGTCGGTCATCTCTGGGCGCGCGAGGGACAAGCAAAGTACAGGACACACTTATTTCCATCTCCTGCAAGCGACGGAGATCTTCATGTAGGCCATGGCCGACAAGCACGAGGCTGTTGGGAGTCGTCTCTGAATCTGGGCTTGCTAGGCTGCTGATGATGGCTTGGATCACTCGAGGTAACTGAGCCTTCGGAATGACTTGACTGTCGCCGAACTGATATCATTAGATGTCGTTGGGGTTGTCTAACAGATGATATTCGCACCGCATACTGCGAGATATTCGTCAGCAGAAGGTGAAGGTATTTAGTAGAAGAACTTACAGCCCAAGGAAACGTAGGTTGGTGTCTGTTGATAATGCGGTCTACATGTTCTCCGACGACGTAGTGACCCCGTCTAGAATGTCATTATCTGAGCTTCTGCGTTTCGGCAAAATGAACAACAATGCTACCTGTAGTTATTCTCCGGTTGAGGTGGCCATATATTCGCCCTTGTGTCGGAAGTGCGTCATTTAGCTAGAGAGCACATCCTATCGGTGTTGACTATACTCACGCATGAAGTGCACTGCAGCGCATTGCCGCATATCCCCACTCCAAGACTGTGGACGAGTTACGTTCCGACCATTCAAAGTCCATGGCGAGGAAAGTCTGGTCCTTGGTATCCCAGAGCTGCCGGATCGTCTTCGGTTCTCCGCTTCTCGCGCGGACTTTCTGCGCTGCAAGCCGGGCGGCGGGCAATGTTGCATGGACCTTCTTGTAAGTTGCAGCATCTGAGATCTTGCGTAGGTGCCGCTGGTTCGTCTCGAACGGCGTCACGAAGTGTATGTTGTGGACCTTGGGAAGCGTCTCGCCGTGCCTGTCGGGCACTTAGGCACACATGAGTAGGATAATAGAGAAAGTGAGTACCTCGTCTTGATCATCTTGAGAAACCCGTCCACAGACGACATCCGCGTCACAATATGCGGGCGGCCGGTCTTCATGTCTGTCACAGTGATGACCGGCCACTCGAAGGTGAGGAAGTCTTCGAATGTCTCAAAGAACACCCCCCAGGACCGTTCGTACCTTGGGGCGCGTCAGCACCCTACCAAGCATTTGGCGGATGCACGTACCAAGGGGTGCCATGCTCCTGGAAGTGCCCCACATAGGCGCAGTATATCTGTACGCGGCGCGTTAGACCTGGTCGCCATTCCTACACTGCTTATCGCAACGCACCGAATGAAGGTCGCAATCCCAGCCCTGGGGCTCGACGAGGTGGAAGTCAGACATGCTGTTCGGCTCCCGCCGTCAACGGGCTGCTCGCTCGGAGGATCCGAGTGTTATATCCCGCACATAGCCGGCGAAGTGGGTGAAGCAGGGCGGCCAATTCAGGGGTAGAGAGGCTGACATGATAGCCGTCGCGCGCACAACGACGATCTTGGCGACGAACCGCTGAGAAAATTGAAACATATCTCGCCGACCGCGGAAGAGAGGGAGCATGAGGGATGGGGAGACGCCCTTGATACTGCAGCCTCATGCAAGCGGCGGCTTCTCACACGCAGCGACGCAGATGACTCCCAGAAGAACTTCGTCGCATGATAGTGCGCGGAATAGGATATGCATTCAAGATATGCATTCAAGATGTATGTACTATCGACTGAGTTACAGACACAAAGTCGATCACAGGAGCCTTCACCAGGTGCCGCTATAACGATCTTCACAAGAGACTGGTCCAATCGCTGTACCGGGGCGTGGACTTTGTATGACAGAAGCCCTGTGGACAGTGGTCAGGATCGGACATAGGAAACACAGGGCAACAAGGTTCAGAGACTTGAATGGTTCCAAAGGAATCGCACCCACCGCGCCGAAGCGCATCGAGCAGTTTTGCAGAATGTTGTCATCCCTTTGTACATATGGACGGGGATTCTCACCTAGATGGAACCCGGTCTTCACGCTGGCCATGACCCTAGGGCTTCAATATTCGATCTGAGAGTAGGCCGTGAGTACACTGAAATGACATTGATGAATGTAATGAGATCAGCAAAAAGTTCGCATTCTTCTCATGACCCGAAGGCATCGAAGTGAGCTGAGTTACGAATGTTTATCATCACGAAGAAACGCGTCGCATGCGACGGGGTATAAACCATGCATATCACTTGGCTTACCTGATTGTCTCACAACCATAGCGAGGCCCGAGAAGAGCTAACAGCATGACCTGTGAGATGTTCTGGCCAGTCAAAGTTTGTATCTAGACCAAATGGCACGAGACGTATCCAGGGATGTCATCGTGAAGCTAGCTAGCAGGGTGCACCGTGTCGCAAACAAGACTCGCACAATGCACAGAGTTTAGACGGAGGTGCAAGCGCCATAGATCCCCGAGTTAGTCGCCCTCCGGAGCTGCAGACCATGAACGTGTCCACCAGATCGCGTTTCAAAGGTACCCGGACACAACGTGTTGCCCTGAAGGTTCCATCCAGGTAACAAGATGTACGGAGAAGAAGGACGCGGGGGCGAATACAGGGAGGGGGCAGTCGAGTTTGCCAGCAGAGGCCGCAATTTATAGCGCCGGCCAGCCACTTCGGGACATCATCACACGTGATGCAACCCAAGCCTAGGATCAGCCACCAAGCCCGTGACTATATAGTTGGTTCCCAGGCTCTCCCAGGTCGTCAGTGAACGTCTCCTCAAGCACAGTATCGACCAGGCTCAGGCTAGCTACGATGCAGATTTTCGTCAAGACCCTCACGGGGAAGACGATCACCCTTGAGGTGGAGTCTTCCGACACCATCGACAATGTGAAGGCAAAAATTCAGGACAAGGAGGGGTGAGTTATGCACGGACATTGGTCGGCGGAGCGTGAAGGGCTGACAAGCGTATTTGCAGTATCCCGCCCGACCAGCAGCGCCTGATCTTTGCTGGCAAGCAGCTCGAGGATGGCCGCACGCTGAGCGACTACAACATCCAGAAGGAGTCGACTCTCCATTTAGTCCTCCGGTGCGTGGATGTCATGCTCGGACCGCGTTTCACGTACTCACATTCGACCCTGCAGTCTCCGTGGCGGTATCATTGAGCCCTCGCTGAAGGTGCTCGCATCCAAGTACAACTGCGACAAGCAAATTTGCCGCAAGTGCTACGCTCGTCTCCCGCCTCGTGCGACCAACTGCCGCAAGCGGGGATGCGGTCACTCGTCGCAGCTTCGCCCGTGAGTATCGCCTGGCATAGTTGCATTGTATCAGCCCTATTAACTGCTTCCTCGTGCTCTCCAGTAAGAAGAAGCTGAAGTAGTGGTTTTCGCCCCTTCGCGTCGGGTTTTGCTGTGTCGATGGTCCCCACTTACTACTCGCATTCTGGGGATTCTCCCTCACTCATGTATTCTCCATATGATCCGCCATCCATGACATGAGCTTTTTCCTCAGGAGTGCTCGACCCCAGCTTGGAAATCCATGGCAAGCTTGCGCATTGCCCTTGCGTAGCGCCGATGAGTTCACTGTTCGGCTTCCCATGTCATCACATATCAGCGCGCCGCATCGCAGCGTAGGGACCCGCGGGATAGCACAGTGCATGCCTTGAATATACCTGAGTGTACAGTAAGTACCGTCCAGAGAGTGACCGCGTCAGGACTGGACTTGAATTGATCGCTCCTACTTCACGGCGCTTGCCATTCATCTTCCTCGGTCACATGAGACGATCGACCTCGAGCACCAAAATTCAGACACGAGCACCCCGCAAGCTACTTTCCACCGCTCTCTGGCCCTTTCACTTTAAACACCCTCACCCTCCCCTCTGAATCCCCGCCCGATGGCACGAGCACAGAAACTACAAAAATTTGCGAAGAAGCCCCACGCGCCGTCGCAGAGGACCTCGAACGCACTCGGGTACGCGAAACGCCAGGCGCAGAAGGGGAAGAGGCCGTCAAGGGCGGATGTCGAGGATGTGTATGAGTACCAGCAGGAGAAGGTGCGGCGAGCGAAGGTGACGCTCCAGTATGAGCGGGACGAGCTACTCGGTGCGCGCGGGGAGGGCAGCGATGAGGAGGATGAGGAGGGCGGCGCGGGTCATGCAGGGAAGGGGATGAGGCCCAGACTTATTGGAGAGGGAGATGATGATGAGCGGATAGGCGAGGACGAGGACGAAGACGTTGATAGCGACGAAGCATTCGATGAGAGCGATGAGGAGAGGTTCGCGGGCTTTGGCCTTTCACAAAAGGTGCGCTATCATATGACTGTGACTACCCTACATACTAAGCCGAGGTTACAGAAGAAGCCTAAGGCGCAGCACAAGAAGCGCAATGCACCTAAGCCGTCTCGTGCCGTAAGGTTCGCAGAAGTCGACCTAAACGAAGACGAGGACGAAGCAGGCCCCTCCCATGCTGCGCATGAAGCAAGTGTAGCGTCAGATGACGATGAGGACGACGACGAGCAAAGCGAAGAGGGGGAGGAGGAAGGTGATCCTGATGAGTTCATCGACGTTCTGGATGTCCTCGACGGAAGGGGCGAACCACACAGTGAAGATGAAGCGGCCCACCTCCAAGGAGACCTACGGAAGCCTGTAGCTGCTACCACTCATGAAGGCACCGAGGAATTAGCGCAGGATGAAGATGAAGAGATGCGGGATGGAGACGACGAAGACGGCGAGGACGAAGAAGAGGGAGAAGAGGGGGACGAGGACGAAGAGATCTCCACCTCAGAAGAAGAGGGCGAAGGGGGCGATGAGTCTGCGCTCGACAACCTGGAGAGATTTGTCACAAACCTCGATGCTGGACATAAGCGAAAATCGCCCGATGCCGAGGACGGCGAGCCTACACAACGAGCGAAGAAGAGGCGATTGCTTCCCGAACGCACTGAAGCAGGGGAGGAGAATGAGTTCGCTGCGCATGTCGGTACGAACCCATAGTCTTTCACGTCAGTCTCAGCATTGCTAACCAAATACATAGGCTCAGGGAAGCTGCAGATCGATGACCTGCTCGCACCTCTCGCCGGACAATCCTCGAACTTGCAGAGTCTCAAGAAGTCAGCCAAGATCCTCACCTCTCAGTCTGGCCCAGGAAAGACGCTGGCCGCTCCTCTCCCACAGCGAACAGCCGAACGATTGGACCGGGAGGCTGCATATGAGCAGACGAAAGAGGAGGTGGACAAATGGACAGCGACTATGCAACGGATCAAGGAGGTGGGTACGGGCGTCGTGTGCTGTAATTGCTGCTGACCTTCGTGCTTGTAGGCGGAACATTTGAGCTTTCCGCTTCAGGCCCAGCCCTCAGGGAAGACTTCCAACCTTGAGCTTGCGGCCAAGTTCAAGGTATGTTGGCGGTACATAGACACTGCCCAGTCGTAACTAATTCCTGCTCGTCAGCCAACTACGGAACTCGAGAGTGCCGTAGACAAGCTTCTGAAGTCAGCCAAAATGCGTGACGAAGACATCGCCCAGACCGAGTCCCTGAAGATGAATCACCTCTCCGTCGAGGAAGTCAAAGCGCGCCGCGCCGAACTCTCCAAGATGCGCGAGCTGATGTTCCGTGCGGAGGCGAAGGCGAAGCGCGTCGCGAAGATTAAGAGCAAGACCTACCGCCGCCTCAAGAAGAAAGAGAAGGCGAAGCTCGCTGCAAAGCTCGGCGAGGGCGCGTCGGATGTGGACGAGGACGACGAGGAAGTACGGTTGAAGCGCGAGGTTGAGCGTGCGCGGGAGCGGGCGACGCTCAGGCATAAGAACACGGGCAAGTGGGCGAAGGCGATGAAGGTGCGCGGTGAGCTGGACGTCGACCAGCGGAGAGAGATCGCGGACATGCTGGACCGAGGGGAGAAGCTCCGGAGGAAGATCCAGGGCGGGAGCGATAGCGACGAGGAGAGCGACGAGGATAGTGAGGACGATGGAGACGAGGAGATCGCGGCGCAGCGGGTCAGGGTCAGTGCGTTTGAAGAGCTTGCCGGCTTGGAGGACGCTCCTGCGGATGCGTCCGATGAGGGAGGGAAGAAGGGCAAAAGCATCTTCGAGATGAAGTTCATGAAGGATGCGATGGCTAGGGAGCAGCGCAAGGTCAACGAGGAGATCGATGACTTCGTCAAGGAGATGGGTGGGCAGCTGCCTGATCCTGACGCGGATGGAGACGACGCTGTAGAGGGCGAGCAAACTTACTCCGCGTCTGTGCAACGCGTCGGTGGTCGTGTCGCCTATCGACCCGGTCCACCTGGTGTAAGTACCTCGTTCCGTGTTGTCTCCAGAAGTCTGACGTGAATAATTCTAGGCTGACTCCCTTCGCCCGGCTGGTTCGCTTGCCTCAGACACCTCAAGTGTCACCCTGAAGTCCACCGATCTTCTCGGACCCTCTGAACCAACCTCGCCTGCAACCACATCCCCTGTTACACAGCGCCCCGCTCCTCTGCCCCTCGCCGAGGAAGTCAACCCCTGGCTTGCGCATCCCGAAGATGCCGACCGTCCTGCCCAAAAGCGACACGAGGTCATCGTTGGCAAAAACAGCGCGTCCGTCGAGAAGTCGAAAAACAAGCTGCGCAAGCGGAAGGAGAAGCGCGAGGAGGCGAAGGAGAAGGCGAAGGAAGATGCAGCGGTCGACGTCTCAATGTCGAACATCATGACCTTAGGCGATACCACCCCGACTGCTGGCCCGTCGAAGCAGAAGACGGCTGCGGCAAGCAAGTCGACGGCGGCTCAGTCGTCGAACGCGCAGCCCACGGAGGACGACGGTGACTCCGACGCTGATAGCGAGGTGGAAGAGCAAGAAAAGCGGCTTGCAGACCCTAAGGGCAAGGGCAAGGGGAAAGCGAACGGCGTGAAAGCCTTCCAGCAGCGAGACCTGGTCGCCCTCGCCTTCGCGGGCGACAACGTCGTTCAAGTGAGCTTTCACATCTGTCGTATCATAGGTAGCCAGCTCATCCATGTCACGCAGGACTTCGCCGAGGCAAAGCGAAGCGAGATGCAAGAAGACGCGCCGAGGGAGGTCGACACGACCCTGCTAGGCTGGGGCTCCTGGGGTGGGAAGGGCGCGAAGAAGGCGCCGCTCAAACCGCACCTCATCAAGAAGGTCGCGGGCGTCGACCCGAGGTCGCGCGCGGACTACGGCAAGGCGCACGTCATCATCTCGGAGAAGCGCGACAAGAAGGCGGCGAAGTACATGGTCAAGGACCTCCCGTTCCCGTACACGAGCAAGGCGCAGTTCGAGCGCAGCCTCGAGGCCCCGCTCGGCACGGAGTGGAACACCCGCCTCGGCTTCCAGAGGGCGACGCTGCCCAGGGTTGTTACGAAGCCTGGTCAGATAATCGCACCGTTGGAGAAGCAGCATTCGTAGTTTGGTGGCTTGTGTGGTGTTGCACGTCTCGTCAACTGTATCTGTCCCATCTAGCATTGCAATCTTACTCGGAACGCATTCGCACGGAAGTTTGAACATCATATAAACGGCATTTGCATTACATTACACTATACATACATGCTGGGGTGTCCATTTCAATGTGATACAAAATCTACTCTAGACGCAGAACTGAGTGACGAGTCTATCCCATACGTATTCTACAACGGCACACAGTGACATACACCGATCCGACTCCACCGCTAGTCCTCGCCCATCGCCAGCGTAACGATCGCATACGCGTTCGCGAGGATGATCAGCACCCAAATGACCCACCCCAGGTACGTCATGAACCTGCCGTTCGAGAAGTCAACGAGTTCGCCCTCGGTCGCCTCGACGTCCAGCACCTCAGCGTCGGCCCTCCCCTCCGAGTCCTGCGGTGTTGCGTCCACCTCCTCCACAGACCTGCTCGAGCCCTGCCCGTCTCCACTCTGGACCGTGCTCTGCACCGCCGCACCCTCGCCCTCGCCCCTGCTCAGTTCGTTCGGCGCAACACGAGGAGTGACGCGGAACAACGGCGGCTTGCGGACGCTCATGACGCGCGCGCTCGACGTGAGGTACAGGAGCGGGAAGACGATGAACGGGAGCACGATCGAGAGCACGACCTGGCTCACGACGAGCAGCGTGCTCACGCCGCCGCGCCCGAGCGCGGCTGCGACGGCCACGGAGGGCACGAGCCCGATGCAGCGTGTGATGAGGCGGCGGAGGACGGGCTGGGCGTCGGTGTGAGGGTGAGTTGGTAAGGGAGGAAGAAGGTGAGGGGGACGTACGGAGACTTTCCAGTGGAGGAACCCTTCGGAGACGGTTTGCCCCGCGAGGGTTGCGATGATGGACGAGGACTGCCCCGCAGCGAGGAGGGCGAGCGCGAAGAGCGTCGCAGCGGCTGGACGCGCCGTCAGCACACAAATCGACAGAGTGATGTAAGGAAGCCGCTCACGTTTACCGAGCGTGGACCGCAGGAGGTCATACGCGTCGAAGAGCGTCGCGGGCGACGTGTTGCCCGTCTGCCCAAATCCGTAGTAGAACACCGCGCTCGCGAGCATCAAGATCCTGTACGCAGGAGATTCGGTCAGCCCTCCCGTCCAGTGGATAACCGCAACGAGACGCACAGAGCGTTGATGACCACCGCGAGGCCCAACAGGCTGATGACCATGTCCACGATGCCGTGGTTCAGATGCATCTTCACGAACGCCAACGAGTGGTTCTCCCACTCCGCATGGCTCTTCACCTCCCTCATCCCCTCCGGCTCCCCGCGCACGATCGTGAACCACGCCTTCACCGCGCGCGCCGCGTACCGGCAAGCACCCCGCAGGGTCCAGCGACGGTACCACGGGCGTGGTGGGTCGGAGAACGGGAGGGACGAGACGGATGAGGCGTCGGAGTCTTTCGTCTCGACCTTGGAAAGCGCGAGGTCGGCTTCGAGCGAGGGTCGCTCGCGCTCTTGGGTTGCGAACGCGGAGCCGAGGAAGAGACTGTGGGGCATGACGGTCGCACCCAGGATGCCGATCGCTGCGAGTTCCGAACGTCAGCGGGTCGAGGTGTGCAAAGGCTATCGCGGCGTACAGTTGTATAGACCCTCGGAGGAGACTATGGCCTTGGATGGAACGAAGCCAAAGAACGCTTCTCCCCAGTTCACGTCCGCCTTGGAGATGATGACGGCCATGCATACCAGCACGATGAACACCTGTGTATGCGCGATTAGCATGCTTCAGAGATCATGTGGGATGACGAGCGCGTACTAAGGCAGCAATCAGGATTTCGAACAGCCTGACGGGCTGGCCGTCGAGCGGATTTCTGACCGCCAGGAGGATGAGCACGTCCGCTGCTGTCAGGAGCACGCCCGCATAGAGCGGGAGGCTAGGGAAGAGCAGGCAGAGGGCGATCGCGGAGCCCAGGAGTTCCGCGAGGTCGGTTGCGACGATTGCGACCTCGGCGAGCGCATAGAGGGGGTAGAGCACGAGCCAGCGCCATAGCAGTGTATACTTTGGTCTCGAGTGTAAGAGGAGTCGACAGTGTGAGGCAAGATCTAGGATGGCGCATGACAGATGAGCGCGCACCCAACACAGAAAGTTTGCATGACACACCGAGGCCTGTTACGCAGCCCAACCTTGTTGCGAGAACCTGCGTATACACTGCGATCAAGCCAGCGAGGAGGACGACAAACAGGAGCTTGTAGCCAAACTCGGATCCTGATTGTAGGTCGACTCCCCAGTTGCCTCTGCGAAATGCATGCGGTGAGGAACGAGGCTCTCGGGTCCTCGGGATACGTACGGGTCAAAGTACGCTACGGCGCAGATCATGCCCACGCCTGTATGTTTCGTCGCATGCCTGAGGACAACCCAGAAAGTCTCCCGCAAGTGGTTGTATACGCGAGTCAGACAGCTCGTCTGTTTCGTACTGAATAGTGGTTTCCTCGTCGGTTGATCCGTGGACGTTGTCTCAGCCATGCTCGGAGGGGCGTGCGGGTTGTCAGAGCCGTGGAGGCGGGGGCGTCGGAAGGGGGAGAGAGCATGGAGGTGGGTGGGTAGGAGACGCGTACTATTTACGTGGACTCCGATGACCCAGGCGTTGGTTTCCTGCCATGCTTCCCCCGCCTCCAGTCCCCCCGGCATCCGTCTGGCCATGACTCCCAAATACGCGCTGTCCTCGCATGCCTTTTCAAGTGACTCTTGTCTATTTTGCAACGTCGTGTGTGCACCGTCCACAACGCGGCCGTCGACGAATGCCCGATTCAGACGCGTCGGTAATATCGTCCACCGTCATACGCCCAATCTGGAATTTCTGAGTCGCAGTACCGCACCGGCCATGAGTCACACACAAGTCACACAAGCATTCTTCGCAGGCGCAGTCATCCCGGATGATTGTCGCCGCGAGAGGAAGACGAGTAGACTATACCTGAGGCTATGAGTCTGAGAAACTCACGCTCTGCCCATTGGGCCTGCACTATTCGACCCGCCCCATTCTGGGAAGATCCTAAGTTAGATGAACAAAACACCGGTGAGCGGATCTGCGCCTCATGGAGCTGCTTACAATGAGTCAGATGTCCGAGCAGGCCTCTTGAGGCGTCAGTGAATACGCAAAACTGTAGTAATATTAGCAGTCTGCCTACCGGAGACTAGTCAGTAGCAGAGGACCGCTCAGAAAGTGTGTGCACTCAGGAGTCATGGGCATCACACGCAGGGACCCCACTGAAGAGAACGTCGATAGCGAAGGGCGATGGGCAGTACAAATACAGCTCGCGAAAGTGTCCGAGGAGCGACTAAAGTGATACACGAGCCTCTAGGGCACAGATAGAAGCGAATGTCCGCCGGAAAACAACGTCCGCGCACAGAACCTCCACGCGCGAAAGCGAACACAGCATTATCTTTTGCGAAAGCACCCCGGGAGCGCCGTCCCGGAGGCTCCGTACTCAGTTCTCGCCCAGCGCGAGAGTGACGATCGCATACCCGTTCGCGAGCACGATCAGCAGCCACATCGACCACCCAAACACCTTCGCGACGATCCCCATCGAGAAGTCCACCTTCTCCTCCGCCGCCTCCACGTCCACGGTCCTCAGCGCGTTTCCACTCCCGCGCGCGTCCTCCTCCGCCGCCTGCGAGTCCACCTCATCGATCGACCGCGTCGGGTTGTTCACGTCGATGTGAGTCCACATCCCCGGCACGCTCGACGCCGTCGACGAGCTCGACTGCGAGGCGTTCTTGAAGTGCTTCGTGCTCGTGATCGTGCGCTTGACGCTCATCACGTCCTTGGAGGAACAGAGCCAGAGCAGGGGGAAGATGATGAACGGGAGCACGATGGAGAGCACAACCTGCGAGATGACGAGGAGTGTGCTGACGCCGGCGCGCCCGAGCGCTGCCGCGACGATGACGGAGGGGATCAGACCCAAGCAACGAGTGAGCAGACGACGGAGTACGGGCTAGAGTGACAACGTGTCAGCAACTGTCGGGTAAGGGAAGGTAAAGGGACGTAAACGCACGGAGACTTTCCACCTGATGAAGCCCTCGGAGATGACCTGACCAGCGAGCGTAGCAACAATAGACGAGCTCTGCCCAGCGGCAAGCAGCGCGAGCGCAAACAAGCCCGCGGCGGCTGCATACGATATTGTCTAATGAACACGCAAACTTCAAGGGACGGCACCGCTAGCACTCACCTTTGCCCAGTCTGCCAACTAGCAGGTCGTAGGCATCAAACAAAGTGGCAGGTCCATTGCTCGGTCCTCCATTGGGGCCATAAAAGAAGACAGCGCTGGCCAGGATGACGATCCTGTAAAAGGCTTTAGTGAGGTCATCCCCGCATTCACCTCAGACTACTCACAGAGCATTAACCACGAGCGCCAACCCCAACAAGCTAACAACCATATCCACAACGCCGTGGGTCAGATGCCTGCGCACAAAGCCAAGCGAGTGGTTCTCGTGCTCGGCGTGGCTCCTAATGGGGTGGTCCTCCTCCTCGACGCGGCCCATGCGGAATGCCTCCTTCGTGCCGCGCACAAGGCTCTCGCGCGAGAACCCCGCCTTGACGTTCGCGACGAACGAGCGGGCCTTATCGGCGACCGTGGAGGCGAGCGTCGAACTGCTCTCCCACTTCTCGTTCAGTTCCTCCTCTTCTGGCTCGCGCTCCTGCGTGGCGAGAGCGGAGCCGAGGAAGAGGCTATGTGGCATCACGGTTGCACCGAGAATGCCGATAGCTGAGGGGTAGGTGGGTAAGCAGGAGGAGCGCAGGGAGGGAGGTGCGACGTACCGGTGTAGAGACCACCCGGGCTAACCAGGGCACTCGACGGGACGAAGCCATCGAATGCATCTCCCCAGTGTACGCTGGCCTTTGAGACAATAACTCCCATACAAATGAGCACGGTGAAGACCTATCGGGCCGTGTCAGAATTCGTACATCAACCCAACTGCGGACAATACGCACCATAATGGCAATGATAATTTCAAAAGGCTTCACCGGCGACCCTGAAAGCGGGTCCTTCATGGCAAGCAAAAAAAGCACGTCTAGCGCGGTGAGAACAACGCCTGCATATAGCGGCAGAGAGGGGTACATAAGATTGAGCGCGATAGCAGAACCCAGGAGCTCGGCGAGGTCGGTAGCGATGATGGCGATTTCCGAAAGAGCGTAGAGCGGATAGAGAACAGCCCACCGCCAAAAACGAGTGTGGTTTGGTCGGCTGTGCAAGAGGAGGCGGCAGTGGGCTGCCAGGTCGAGTCCAGTCACGACTCCGAGGCGCGAAGCCAGACACTGTTCGTGGCATGTTAGATGAACATATACTTGACTTGACGAAAATGATGACGGACCTGCATGAAGACAGCAATCAAGCCCGCCAGTAGAACGACGAACAAGAGCTTGTACCCAAACTCAGACCCAGCCTGCAAATCGACACCCCAGTTTCCTCTGCACGCCCATCCCGCCGACGCATTTGATGAGCACTCCAAACGACAGAGGAGCCCTAACCACACTCACGGGTCAAAATACGCCACAGCGCAAACAATGCCCGTGCCGGTGTGCTTGACAAGATGCTTGACCACTTTCTTGGTCGTGTCGCGCACACGCGCGCCCACATTGCCGGAACGAGTGCCAGAAGGCTGCACGGCAGCAGGGGAGCTGCCAGAGCTCGCTGTGATGGAAGATGCCCCGGCCATCGTCTAGAGCGGGTTCTGGCAGGAAGAAAAGGGAACGAACAAAAAAAGGGAAACGGGAGAATGGGAGGGCTGCCCGGCCTTGTCCTGCCAGTCCCAGAGCCCGCCCATTGCGCTTTATACCAGCGCGCAAACATGCGCTTGACAAACCGCTGCGCTGCGAAGGGAGGCGACCGGCAGCCACACCGCGACGAGAAGACTTCTTGCTCCACAGCTCTCCGTACGCGATCGTCTCGGCGCCTTCGCGGCGGGCGCGCTCCCAACCCCGAGCCTGCGTCGCCGTCGGTGCGGCGCTTGGCGCACGCAAGCGAGGCGGCGTCCGAGCTTGCCGGCGGACTGGGCCCCGCGCCGTAGCAGCGGGTTGTCCCACATACGACTTGCAGAAGTCGACCTCGGCAGTGAGAGACACGATCGAGGACTTGGCCTTCGTCGAACCGATTGTGTATGCCCCCGCCGTCTTGACGACATCGGACTCTCCTCCCTTGTCGCTGTTTGCCGACCCAGAGAAGCACGCCATCAAACATCGAAGGCGCAAGACGGTGACTGCGGCGGCAAGCCATATCGCGAGAAAGGAACACTCACCTGCCAGGCTGCCCGACCTTGCCGTTGCTTCTGCCTCTTCCTGTGTCTCACCGCCGTGCCGGTTGCAGGATGAATAGTACATTCCAAATTCAGACGTACGTTCTACACTGTGGATACCATCAGACAGTGTACTCTGAGAAGTTGATGTCGTGTGTAGAATGTGGGTTTATAAGCTGAGGCTGGCGAGTCCGTGACTGCGTGAAAGGGTCCTTCCGTGACGCTGCGTTGCTCTTCATCAATTCGAGAGGTGCTCCAGGAATCGGGATGTGGTGCGCGTCGCCCTTTCCAAGAGTCGCGTGTCGTCCATCGACTCTTCCGTCATCATCCATAGATACTCTGAGACGCTCGGGACGTCGTACCCGACGCGTAGGTTGAGTTCAGCCAGTGCGTTGAGGAAGTGGACCAAGAGCTGGACGTTGTAAGAGAGGATGTTGACGAGAACCGCCCAGAGCTTCCGAGGGAGGACAGCCAGCACGCGCAAGTCGACAACAGAGAGCATTCGTCGGGCCAGAGGCAGCACCTCTTCGCGATAGATCACGCTCATGGAAGACTCTGCAGTGGCCATAGCAAGTAGAGGCGCCAGCTTCCGGAACCTGCTCCGACTAACGACCTCAGGCGCAGCTCTGATCCCAAGTCCGTAAGAGTTGCCAGAGCCAGTGGGAGCGCGCAGAAAGTCTATCAGAGCTCGGTTTGCTGCAGTGCTTTCTGCTGGCTTGATGTAGGGTTCCGTGAGCCGCTGCCTTCTTCCGCCGTCATTTGCCTGATACCAGACTTTGCAGGCGAGCCATTGTTGATCGCAGGAGTGACACAGGAAGCCGCTATCAGGAGGCGCAAGAACACAGTCTTCGCAGAACTGCATGACAGGTACCGGACGCGATGCTTGAAGAGGCTGGGGTACGAGGTTCGAAGGTTGTGCTGCCGCCGTAATGAACTTGGTAACCGTGATTGGGGACGTCGGTACGAATATGGGCGAGCCAGGAAGCTGAGGTGTCGGCAGCGTGAGCATGAGGGAGGGAACCGGCGGCGCGACCATCCCGACGAGGTGATCCGAGGCGAAGTTCCGACGAAGACGCCCCGGAGAGTCGATCTTGACAGTGACAGCATGTTGATCGTCGAACATCTCGGGGGCGAGTTGTTCCACCTTTAGTGTTCCCTTAGACCCCTGTGGAACATATAGCTCAATCTCGTCGTGAGGACGAACAAGACGTATCGTTACCTGGCAGACTTTATCGAAGAACACGCCAGATTCGGTGTCCAGCACCTGCAAGATCGTTTGTTGATACTCTTCGGAGGGCTCGCTGAAAGCGGATTTGGCTGTGAAGTACATAACGGATCCACTGTTCTCCTGGCTCGAGTCCGTCGAAGCCTTAATCTGATGTTAGAAGAGTATAACAACAATTGAATGCGACGTACTTGGTCGGGAGGCGAGAACTCGTCGTCCAAGTAGTCGTTTCCTTGTGGCGGAAAGCCCTCCAGTACACGGGCGTGACATGGTGTGATCCGAGGCATCCTTCGCAAACTCCGACCAGGAGTAACATTGCTGAAGGACGCAGTGCAAACCCGTCGACGCTGGAAAGGAGAATAGAACCTGTTAGCCGAGATGTGAGATTAGTTCTGCGTACATACCATCTCAAGAGCTACCGTGGAGTCACGAATGGACCGGTGCTGGACGCACTACTAAGTGCCTGCAGCATCGAGGTTCGCGTGGCATAACCATACCTTCATGGCTCTATAGGATCGTAGGCGTCTTCCTGGAGACGATGGTAGCTATTGCACGCAATGTGAGTGGCAGACGATGGAGCATTAACCAAGACGAGTGACCTCGTTCAAATCATCGAATGCATGCTCACGCCCTGTGTATGCGTTTTCTTGACAAGCTATGAGACTGTCTGGGCGGCTGATCTGCGTGCTGAACCGCGCAACGAACGCTTGTGTAGCGAGCGCGACATTCGGGTCTGCCCTCGTTGAACTTGACTCTGGGAGGGGATCGTAGTTCTCCGCCAACGACCTCCGACATACTGCTGTTGCGTAAGTAAATCACCACATATATGACATCTACGTTCTCACATTGTCTGTAGCGACAGGTTGTCTTCAGCCGGGGATAGACTGGTGTCTGGCGTCGGTCCTGAATGTGAGTCTTCCTTGTTCCTACAGCAATTGAGCTTCAATACGTACAGGATGTGGATGGAGCAAGTAATTCACAAGTCGGCGCGTCGTGGCAGAGTTAGGCTTCCGCATGTTGAGTACTATTCCATCAAGACTCGAGGTGAGCGTTGTAGGCAAACCTGCATCTAAGAAAGGCAATCAACGCCAGCCGCAGACTTTGTTGGGCCTTATTTGGTTGTACTGTAGTTGGCCGACCATCGGTCCTCCTCCTCTGCGCCGTGTCGTCCGTTTCCGTCCGTTCACTGATTCATGCGAACTTGTTCCTGGGATTGTCCCACACCGTGTTTATGTTGCACGGAATTCTCTCGAATAACATCGGTGTGGTCTGGTTTCGGGCGCAGTGAGTATACAGATGGGCCCGGGCGGCACGGTGGTCGCTGTACAAATGTCGATATCGAGCTCAGAGGTTAATGACGGACAAGCGGCCCTCGAGCTCTTTGACGAGTGCGGATGTTGTGCGATCATAGGTGTACCTATATAGCTAGTATATATCAGTGTACTGCGTCTCAATTGCAAGTGAAGCATGTACCTGAGAGTCTCACTTATCCCTCATACCGCATGCAAATCGGGGCGTCCGTAACAACTTGATGACAACACAGTCAGAACTATGTGCGATTGGGACACAGTAAGCGGAGTCAGATTCGAAGTGCCTGCGGGCGGCCAGTGCCAGTCGCGCCGTCGGAGCCTCATCCAGAGACCAGCCCGCAACCAGCCTATGATAATGCAACGGCCTCCCGGAGCCTGAGGCTCCGGGCCATGCCAGCTTCGAGGTCCTTTCAATCTACGTGTTCATATCTTGAGTCAATCGCAGACACTGGACATCGCCTTCAAGGACGTTGCATGCAATGATGCATATGCATGCACTAGCACTGGCGGCCACTGGCGTGCGAACCTTTCGTCATGCCTCTAAATGATGCAGTACTCACTGGAGTTACCGGTACCACCATCATCTTAGGTCTAATATCTCAATTGCTGGTTGAATGTCAAGCATCAAGGAGCCTTTTAGCCTCGACCAAGTCTTCAATCCAGTACGTCACAACCTCTTCACATGTTCTCTGAGTCAGAGCCCCGAAAGCAACTCATGTGGTATAATGATAGGCAAGTCTTGAGACGGTTGAGGAGAGTCCCGTCGCATATGTCACGAAGGCATGCTATCGCGCGGACCCAGCTCGGGAAGCCATCGCCATCAAGAGCGCATCCACACAACCGCACTTCTCCAAGAAACCCCATGACATCGCGAAGGAACTGAGGATCTTGCGAAAGCTATCGCACGTCAATGTATGTACGTCTTGCTGGACGATGCGGGAGATGCTCTCATCCATGATGTGACTCTGAGATCATCAATGTACTTGGGCACGGATTCGACGAAACTACAAGCTCGCTCCATTTCTGGATGCCATTTATACCCTACAAGTTGCGAGATCTGCTGGACGCGCCTTCATTCAGTCCGCATCCTCTACCAGGTGCTCACCGCCAAGAACACAACGGACGATCTTTCGCCGTGCTTGCGAGGTCGCTTGCATACCAGATCATTCATGCGGTGAAGTATCTGCACGAGCAGCATATCGCTCATCGTGACATCAAACCAGGCAACGCTCTCATTAACGAGGGTGGGGTCGTCAAGATTATTGACTTCGGCATCGCATTGGCTGATCCTGCAGTACATGGGAACATGGATGATCTTTGGCCAGAACCGCCCAATGAGATGTGCTTCGACGTAGCAACAGGGTGCGACTCGTGCGGTCGGTATACGCACAATGGCTGACGTTCATTGACAAAGGTCATATCGTGCTCCCGAGCTGCTATTTGGAGCGTCGTCTTACGACCCCTACGCAACCGACCTGTGGAGCCTCGGCACTGCTTGCGCAGAATTTTTCACACCGCTGAGACTGCAAAGTCATTACGATGATGAAGAGGACTTCGAGTACGATTCAGACGAGGAGAGGCAGAAACGTTCGTTCGTCATCCCAACGTCACTCGAGCTCAGCGACCCAGATGCAGAGTGGAGGCGAAACCCGCTTTTCGACGTATCGCGAGGCTCCATCGGTCTTGCTTGGAGTATCTTCAAGGCTAGGGGCACTCCGACAGATACAATATGGCCGGTCAGTCTCAATGAAGCGATGCAATGTATTGCCTAGATCCTGAACCTCTTTCCAGGACTTCAATCTCCTTCCAGACGCAAACAAGATATCTTTCCAGGTGGCCCAGAAGCAGGACTTGCGGGTTTTGCTTCCCAACCTGCCTGCCTCGACCAAACGAGACGGGCGGACTACGACGGACTGCGTAGACCTCATCGAGCAGTTCCTGACTTACCAGCCGTCGAGACGGTTGAGCGCAGCTAACGCTCTTCGTCACCCGTGGTTCACCGAAGCCACACCCCTCCTCGTACCCGTAGGCTACGCAGTAGCATCCCGCGACGTTCAGCACACGGAGTCGTGGAACGGAAGGACTTTGGCGGATCTCCTGCTAGCGAGACTCTATTCGTCACACGCACCCAGACACAGCAGAGAAGATCGTATAGAAATGGTACATACTACAACACGATGTACGATAACCAACACAGCAGAACAATAGAGATACAGCAATCATGTCATCAGAGCGTTCACAGGGATAGCGTTTAGAGGCTGGTTGTCGATGGATATACCTACGAGACGTATTAGACATCCGGCGTGTCATCGTTGGAGGAACACTTACTGCGTGTCTGATTCGCTGTCTTGTAGATACCGATAAGTCGATGACTTAGTTCGAACATATCATTTCTACGCCAGCGTTAGCCGTATGCTCGACACCTGCGTGGGCCAATTCACTCCTACCTCAAGGAAATGATGATGAACTGCGCGTTCTTCGTACGGTCCTTGATGTAGTTAGCTACGATGGACACATTTCGGAAGTCGAGTGCGGCGTCAATCTCGTCCATGAAGTAGAGAGGAGTGGGCTGTCATGGTCTGAGTCTAGGCGCTGTGCTTGTGGAAGGGGCAGCCTTACCTTATAGACATGTAGCGCAAAGACGAGTGCGAGAGAGCTCAGCGTCTACATGACAGCCCTGTCAGTCCCAGTTGGTTTATGGCACGTGCAGAGCGATGCAGTACCTTCTCCCCGCCCGACAGATTGGAGATGTTCTTCCAGCTCTTCTTCGGTGGCATGACACTGAAGATGATTCCCTCGGAGAAGGGGTCCATACTGTCGACCAGTTCAAGCTCAGCATTTCCACCGAGTGTGATCATCTGCAGGACGATGAGATGTAGAAGTGGTACGAGTTTCGTCCGCTAACTGACCTGATACATCTCCTTGAGCTTCAGTGAGATGGTGTTGAAGCCCGTCATGAACTCGTCCAGTCGCTGTTTCCGCAGACTATCGTACTCCTGCCTCTTGGCATCGCGAAGTTTGGTCACTTCCTCGAGGTCAGTAGCACGTCTGAGGAACTCTTCCTCGCGCTTCCGGTAGTCCTTGAGGACGCTGAGGTCCGGTTTCGAGTTCTTGAGTTTCTCTGATAGTGATGGAAGGCATCAGCACCATGGGACCTATAGGACTCAGTGATTGACGCACCGTCCAGCAGCTCAGCATCGGCGATGAGCTCTCTCTTCCTGAAAGCGTTCAGCTCCTCTGCGGTGTAAACATGCAGTTCGAACGGCGGTGTCTTCTCTCGCTCTTGACGTCGCGAGGGTCCACCAGGTTCTTGCTTGACGGCGCCCGGTTTGTCTGCTGTCTCCTGCTCCTCATCCTCATCATCGCTGGCGACGTAGTTCAGTGACGCAGACCATACAACTAAATGGGCGACTCACTCGACTTCCTCGAGCGTGAGCTTGTCATGCTCATCCCGCCAGTGAACCAAGGCGCGCCCGTTCTCAGCAGCCTCCTTCTTCGTGTCGGCCAAGGCTTGGGTGAGTTCGATCTGACACAAAACCTTGGTCAACCGAGGAGCAGCATTACTGTCAACCCTCCTGCACTCACCTCTTTCTTACGAAAAGCTTGAATCTCTTCCGTCTTCGTGTCGAGTTCGCCTTTGAGATTCTCGAGGTCGTCCTTTGAGTTCTCGACAGCGGCCTGTGCAGCTTCGACTTTGGACCGAAGCTGTTCGACATACGCGGCGATCTCTTCAATCTGACTATTGAGCTCCTCCAATTCGGCATTAACCTCATCCAGGGAGGCACGGTTAGATTCGATCGTACTCTCAAGCTTCGCTGAGTCCTTCTCCCCCTTCGCTTTCGCCACTTCCGCCTTGGTGATCTCGTCGTTGGCGAGGTTGATGTGAAGCCGGATCCCGTCAACTTTAGACTTCTGCGAGAGCAGGCGGGCGCCACCGATCTCAAGGATCTTCTTCTCCAGAGCCTTGATCTCTTGCTCAATCGACTCGGTCTTCCCTTGCAGCCCCTCCAGCTCCTCTGCGTGAGCGCCTATCTGTTCATCGAGGGCAGAGATGCGCGCAACGTCACTGGCATCCGGCTTGGTCTGCGATCTATGACTGGTCGGTGAATTGCAGACAAGGAGATAGCAAGACAACATACTTGAGATCGCGGACGCGTTTCTCAGCCTCTGCAATGCGCTTCGCGCCTGTACGAAGGTCTAGGTTGACCTTCTCAATCGCCATGTCCAGCTGAGGTCCCGACCTCATGGCGCCTTCCAGGTCACCCTCTGCCTCCTGTAGTTCATGCTGAAGAGTATCAAGCTCCCGAGCAGCTTGTTCACTGTCGCGCTCGTATTGTTTGAGTACTTCAGGTGCGACGGCTTCGGATTGCAATTTTGAGCTCATGCCGCCTCGCATGACGTGGTTGCCACCTCCGGACATCGTCCCCGACGAGTCGATGAGCTGTCCGGCCAGAGTGACTACACGCCACCGACGCGATCCGCCGAAAGCAATGCGGTTGGCCTGATCCAAGTCGTTAGCTACTAGGGTATCGTGGACGCCTTTATAGAAAGCTGCAGCGAAGCGAGGTTCTTTCGGCTTGATGAGGTCAAAGAGCCTAGGGACATTCTCCGGAGTCGAGAACTTCTGCATGTTGGGGTGCTTCAGCTTCTCCAGTACCATAAAGGACGCACGACCAATGCTCTGCTGCCGCAAGTATTCGATGCATGCCTGGCCTTGCTCGACGGTGTCGACGACGAGATTGTTCAAGGCAGTGCAAGCCGTTGACACCGCGACGTCGTACTTCTCCGGGATCGTTCCAAGACTACCTAAACGACCCTGCACCGAGTGGCTTGAGTAGGTCCCTCCATCAATCAACATCATCTACTTACGTGGAAACCCGATATACGGCCTGTGTTGCGCAGGCGGGTCAAGCTATCGAGCACTTGGCCTCGGGATCGGTCAGCAGTCTGGGACGCCTTCGCTTCCTCGGCCTTTTGGCGAGTGGATATAGCCTTGCTGCGCAGTTGTTGTATACGGGCTTGCATATCCTGTATGTACCTGATTCAGGAGATTTCACAGCAGAAAGGACGGAGCCTACGTGAACTTGCTTCTCCTTTGCCCTCAACTCTGACGAATTGTTAGCCTTAGTAGCTTTCAGCTCCTCAAGCTCTGCGACCTATAAATCGGTTGAATCCAGGGCACGAGACGTGACACTGATGCTTCACACCTTCGCCTCGTGGTCAGCTCGCAACTGTTCCAGCTGGTCTTGAGCCTCCTCGCTGGCAGCCTTTGCAGCTTCGGCCTTCCTGGCGAGCATGTCCCGCTCGCTCGTCGCGAGGTCAATCTCAGCTTGCTTCGCATTGATCTTTGTAGTCCAAGGCTGTAGCTCCTTCTGCTTGACCTCGATCTTGTCATGGAAGACCTGAGTCTTATCTATATAAGACGTAAGCGGACACCGGCATTGCAGCGCATGATTTAATGCTTACCTTTCAGACTGTCCCGAATCTCCTCGAGCACGTCTTCCTCATGCGCAAGAGAGGTCTCCAATTCGTCTAACTTCTTCTTCTCCCGCTCTGTCTTCTTAAAGTTGTCCTCAATCGCGCGGAGGGCCTCGTTTCTGTGATGCTCGTCCTAGCGCACTAACGTCAGGTCCATGACCTCTGCATCTGCATCTGATTTATACACACCTCCTGTAATGACTTCTTGAGCTTCTTCGCCTTACTACTGGCATGCTTGCGCCTTTCGTCGAGCCCCACTTGACGTTTCTCGTGAGAAGCGAGGTCCTTGGATGCCTCAGCCGCAGCTGCTTTGACTTCCTGTATCACGATGAAATCTAAGAAGAGGCGAAGGGTCACGAGATCGACACTCACCTCATAAGCTTCGACACGTTCGTTGTAGTGCTTCTCCAACGCTTCAAGATGCAGAACGTCATCATTATTGCGTTCCCGCTCTGCAGCCAACTCCTTCTCGTAGCGAGCCTGGACGACACACGGCGATCAGTACCAGAACAGAGCCACGATAGAGGGCGTCATACGATAGCCTTGTCAAACATCTCTTCGTTGTTCAGGCATTGTAACAAGTACCATTGCCACAAGCGTGACAGAGCGCGGACATGCTCGTTCCGCAAGCGCAAATAGTCCTCCGCCTCCTTCTTCTTGGCCTCCAGCGCGTTTCGGTCCTTCTCCACAATACGCAGCCGATTGAGCTTTTCCTGACGATCCTCAGAGAGGCGCTCAACTGCAGCAAGGGCTTCCTCGATGGGCTCTTTGTACTGCGAAGTGCCGATAATGTCCTCCAGGTATTCGAGTAGACCGTCTTCGTGCTCGGTCGGTGCCTTTGGCTTCATCTGTGCTATGGATTCGACCTCACCCTGCACCATAACAAGTTAATAGATCACCACACAACGTATCTGCAGGCGCAATCACCTGAAGAATGAGGAATCGGTTGTGGTCGAGATCGATCCCACGTCCCTTGAGGAGCGTCTGTACTTCCTTGTAGTTGCTCTGTTTGCCATTGATGGTGTACTTGCTCGAGTTACTCTTATACGCGGTCCGAGCGACTACAAGGTCGGAGCCGGGTACGACCTCGAAGCCATCTGGCCCAGGCTGGAGAAAGACCGGTCAGCACGTCGCATGTATCGGAGGCGGACGACGTACCAAATCTACGATCTCCCGGAAATGGATCTCAACACTGCATTCGTCCAAGTCGGGGTGCCGCGCAGAGTTATGGATCAACTCTGAGAGCTTCCCTTGCCTCATTTTGGAGGCTCGGTAACCGAATACAAACAGGAGCGCATCGATCGTGTTCGATTTACCGGAGCCATTTGGTCCCACGATGGCAGAGAATGACTACATCTCGAAGTGAATACGGGCAACTCGACGTAGTACTAAAGGTGTACCTTGTGGAATGGACCAATTTCTTGACGCCCGGCGTAGCTCTTGAAGTTCACAAGTGCTATCTTATGAATAACTAGCCGCGCTTTCGGTCCTTGCGGTTCCTCAGGGACGGGAGGGATCGTCTGCGGTTGAGACTTCGGCGTCCCAGGAGGATCAAGCAACGATTTTTCCTCCTCCTGCTCCTCAGGCGCATGGTCTGCTGCTACGTCTAGTCCAGCCTCAGCTTCCTCCGCGTCTGAGGTCTCAACGACCTCCTGCACGTCCTCGACAGCGCGTCGGTCAGGGACAAGATCTTCCGTCTCAGCCGCCACCTCTTGGGCTACCTGCGCATTCGACGTAGGCTCGGCCTCCTCCTCCTCCTCATCGTCTGAGATGACCGTCTGACGAGTGGAAGGCTTCTTGGTTGTCGTATGAGAGTTCCTGGTGTTCGCGGAAGCCTTACGTCCAAGAGCAGGCTTCACCTCCTCGATCTCGTCGTCATCGGAGATTACGATTGTCTCAGGGACAGACGTCTTTTTGCCGCGACCGGCGTGCTTGCGCCACGCAATCACCTCCTCTGCTTCCAACTCCTGGATCTCATCTTCTTCATCCGTGTCCTCCTTCTTCACAGCGCGCGACCTTGTGGGTACCTTTGTTGGCCGGGTGGACCCACGACCAACGCGTTTCGGAGGGGCAGTACTGCGACCGTTAGAGGTAGGTTCAGCTGTACTGCTGTTGCCAGTCACGGAAGGAGGTTTGCGGGAAGAGGCTCTCCTTGTGTTTGGCTTCACCTCTACGATCTCATCCGACTCTTCTTCATCAGGGTCGAAGGACGGACGCGACTTCTTGCTGGGATGGGGCACCTCCTCTACACCATCCTCATCGGACTCCGGCACCTGTTGCAGAGAGGTCCTCAGGCGCGTACTTGTGCGCCCTTTGGACGTTGACGCCACATTGGGTGCGGCGGAGGTGGATCTACGCGTCCTCGATGGGGGCTTGATGTTCTCTTGTTCTTGCTCTGGGGCTTCACCGCGTTTCCGTTTGGGCACCGGTGCCTTGACTTCTGCTACAGGTTCCACGGACGCTCTGGTTGAGCGACTTGACCGTCGTGGCGGCATCTTGCTGTGAGTAGGCACAAGGGATTTCGTGGTGGTCGAGGTCAACGACGCGAACGTTGGTTCGACGCGTCGCGCATGATGCACGTGACCGACGTACGACGCGCCTGGTGACCCAGGTGAGCGCTTGAGCCTCGGTGGGCCGTGGCTTTGGCTGTTGGACAATTGACGGGAATAGTGGTTGACAGGAATAGCGGCTAGGCCACTTACTCAGCGGCCTCAAGAGCCCCAAGTTCAAGGAATTACCGACACAGGATCGTGTACGAGGCAAAGAAACATAGCATGACGACTAGAAGATGACAAGAATAGGCGACAAAGGGAAAGTCTACATTAATCTTGGTTCAGAGGTCCGCCCACCCGTTGTCTAACCCATCCACTATCCTCCACCGCTGCTCTCCTAACCAAGCCCTTATTCGCTCCTCGTCGCGCTCCGGAGCCCCAGACTCCAGCACGGTCACATCACCTTTCCCCCACAACGATAGAATTGACCATCCGACGACGATCATTCCAGGTGGCCGTTGCTCACCGCCGCTCTCCAAGGCAGCAGCGATGTCGCGTATTGTCGAGGATATGACACGTTGGTCAGGCATAGATGCCCGTTCCACGATGGCCATAGGTGTACAGGCTGGGAATGCTGCGCCGTGTCGCCGCGTAGAAGGTTCTCCTGACTCCGCGAGGAGTGTCTCGATCATCTCTTGCAACCGTGCCACGCCCATGAGGATGACCAAGGTACGGCTGCGCACGTATCCAGGTAGCTGGACCTGCTTCCCTCCTCTGCCAACTCCGGTGCATACAGTGAAGGACTCGGCCGCGCCCCGTTGTGTGACGGGTATGCCTGCGAAGGTCGGTCCAGCGAGGACCGAACTCACGCCGGGAACGACGATGGGCTCGAATCCACGTTCACGGAAGTATAGGATCTCTTCTCCTGCCCGTCCATACACGGATGGATCGCCTTGCTTGAGCTGTTGTATTTACATGTGAGAAAGCCGTCTCCCTGAACACTCACATGGCGACTTACCCGCACTACCGTGAGACCACGCCTCGCTGCGTCAATCGCGGCTTCCATCAGCTCCGCTTGGCCGTAGTCTGCATTGCCTGGAAACTTGCGCGCGATACGAACCTCAACGTGAGATGGAATGATCGCCAGGACAGCTGCAGGAACAAGCTTGTCCGACAGCACCAGGTTGGCATGCTTCGTGAGGGCATCCCGAGTTGCAACAGTTAGGAGGGACGGGTGGCCTGGTCCAGAGCCGACAAGAAAGATCCGACCTTTGCGCGCAGAAGGCGACAAAGACAAACTATGCAAAGAGGGTAGATCCTGCGAGGTTGGTGCTGGTACTGATGCGTTGCTGAGGAATCCATTTTGACCGTCGAGAATGCCGGCCATGTCTTCTGATGACATCTTCGCGAGGTTCGGGATCGGCCAATATTCGCTGACTTGCGCAACCCACTTCATGCGTCTCCGCGCGCCCTCTCCAGCGGTCTCGTCTGCACGTCGCTGCGCCACGGGTTGGTTTGGGGTAGACGGGCCTGCCTCTTCATTGAATTCTGCACCAACCTCCTCGTTTACCTCGTCAGCCGACGACTTTGCCATCGAGCGCAGCTTAGCAAAGCTGGCGACCGCTCCGCCGACCTCCTTGGGCAGTGTCGCGACAATGTCGCGCCGTAACCTGCTGGCTAAGCGGCAACCTTGGCCGTTCGTTGTCACTCCAAGCTGAAGAGAGCTTGGAGTCCCCGTCTCGTGATCTTGGAAGCGGTGAGTAGACAGGAATGAGAAGTCGCATAGGTCCGGCATATCAGTAACATTCAGGGGAATATTGCAGAGGCGGCATGCGTGGGCTATGAGCTGAGCGGACGTACGACTGCGACGACTCCGAGAATCGCCGCTCAGGAGGGTATCGGTGACGCACACGAATCGGATTTGCTCGAGGCTGCCCAGGTAGTCGTCCAAAGCCTGAGCGTCTCTGTCCACCGCGCCTTCCACAGAGCAAGGAAGGTGATCGAGGTCAACAACGTTGAGTTGTCCATCGTTGGCTCTCCACTGCAACTCGTCGCAGGCGGAGGCCAGGCCGCCATTGGCTACTACCACCACAGTCGAGCCCGCTTCGAGGGCAGCAAACGCCCGGGAGGCGGCAAGCGTGTTTGAGCCAACAATTACTACTGCGTGTTTGTGCAGCTTGAATGAGAGCAGGAGAGAGGCTCCGCCAGTCGGAGTAGGGTACTGAGTCATGGCAGTCAACCTAAGTCTTGCTCGACGAGAGATGAGCGCAGTCCGCTTGCCTTCAAGCATAACAGACGCACCTGGGCTCTGCAAACGACACGGCAAGAGACAACACGCGGAAGTTGACCTCGACGACTCCGCAGCCTGCACGGGGAAAACGATAACGAACTGCATATCGAAAATTTGGGAGCCCCTCAAGAGTGCCCGCTTCGCCCTGGAGCGCACCGGGATGGCGAGAGAATGGTGCGGGGTGTGACGCCCTGTGACGGCCGGGTCACCGCTGTCACATCTAGGCACATCGTGACGACTTCCATATGCAGACTTGAGTTGCGCCTGCCAGCTTCAATGCAGCTGGTAGACAACCAAACCGTACGTATGCTATCTTTTCGTTGATCAACAGTCGCTGAAGTTGTACGGTATAGTTCTTTCAGCGGTTGACTGCATTGTTCGCGTCACCCAAGGAGTCTGGAAGCATATGGCTTACCCACAAACGACGTACGTCCGGCATTGCATTCGTCTTTGCTCGCGTGCTCAGAAAACAATGGACATCATGCAGTCGTCTACGATGGGGAGGACTCAAACATGTCGTCTGAGGACGATGCTACCAAAGAATATCCGTGCTTAGTTCGGGCAACAGATGGCAATGAAACCAAGTTCTCGACCAAGGTGAGGTTACGAGCACCTTGTCCTGGCTGTCCCGATTGAAGAGAATGATTGCCTCACCACATCTCCTTCAAATATTCTATTCTACAGGTCGAGCCTGGTGACCTTGAAGGCTTTCACACGACCTACGGAGCACTGCTAAAGTCCTCCATGACCACTCTCCGAAAGCGCGACAAGAAGCGCGAGAAACAAAGGGCAGAAGAGATCGCCCGTCGTAAGCGTCGACTAGCGGAAGACATCGCTGTTGAGGGGCCAAAAAGAGGTGCTGGTCGCCGAAAGAGACAGCGGAAAATGAAGGGGGCGGCCAAACAGGCGGAGGCACGGAAACGGGTCGAAGAACGAGAGGAGGCGAAGTCCCGGGCAAAAGAGTCATGATCATCTCTGTCCGTCCTGTATTCTGCGGTTAACCGTGTAGCATTTGTAGTCTTTGAGCATGCTCTTAAAGTCCGAGCGATGTTGTCGGGCTTCATTAATTATGGGTGATGTCGTAAGTATATGTATAGCATGCGTGAGAACCTAGACCAACGCCGACTCGCCTCCGTGCAGCCACCTGCGGACGCCAGTCCAGCTGCGACACTCTACCTTGTCTCACTGTCCTTACGATCTGCAGTACGACTGGACCATCTCTTTCGTTTCTTGACGCAGTTTCGAGATGCCGGTGTTGGCAGCTCCCCCAATCACACCCATCGAGCCAGACATCTTCGAAGACGACGATGAAGGATGGCAGGATATGCCGGTCGTCCGGGACGCAGATGAGTTCGCCGGCGGATTGGACGAGGAGGACCAGAAGAAGTACAAATATGTCCCATCCGCTAAGAAAGACTCCGGAGTCGGGAAGCAAATCGGGAATGCGACCGGGAACGTACTGGATGTCGACTTCGAAGGGCAGGAGTGGAGGACTAAGGTCGATCAGAACGAAGGCGAGTACACACGGCTACGTTTAAACGAAGAAGACGAGTCGGACGAGGTGCACATGCGGACGAAGTACCTCTTCGACGGGGACAAGGCCATGACTCCGCTTAGCCAAATGCAAGCTACGAAGGACCTTCTTACGGAGGCGCAGCGCGTAGCCTATGTTGGTCTCTGCGCCCTCACAAGTCGCGAGATGTCCGACAGGCTCAAGGCCCTTAATCGCAAGGAGCTGAAGAAAGCCATTGAGAACATGGAGCTGTGGGCTCTGAAGATCATGGGTCGGTTATATTACCATATGGAACTTACGACTGAAGGTAATCTCTAGTCGGTCCAGTGCGCACAGAGTGATCTCATGCTAAACGAGTGGGCAGAACAAAAGATGATCGACAGTCTCGCTATGCACGGTATCCAAGCCAAGGATCTCGTACCCGCTCTTATGACTACCCACACAGTCGCCAACCCCGAATACGATCCGATCGAAGCTCAGCGACAAGCCGAGGAGCATCTGACTGCTGAAATGGCAAAGCTAGATGCTATGGAGAGCGAGTCCGCGGACGTCTCAGACTCGTTAGCCACCAAGCCCAAGGCGGCGACGAGTCCGGAACTCAAAGACACACCTAAACCGGCGCAGACGACTGCGAAAATCTTGGAGGATACGTCGGAATCCGTTCCCGGTGTCAGCACGCACCTGTCTGCCGCGGACAAGAATGTCACACTAGACATCCGGTGGACCGTGCTTTGCGATCTCTTCCTTGTACTGATTGCCGATAGCGTCTACGATGCTCGCTCTCGTGTGCTGCTAGAAAACGTTGCGCTCAAGCTCGGACTCGGGTGGCTGGACGTCGTGAAGTTCGAGCGACGAGTTACCGAGGCGCTTGAGATCGAAGAGAGCATCGAGACGCTCGAGCAGCAAGATACAATCAAGGGCGTACAGAAGGCGACCCGGAGGCGTCGGTTTATGATGCTCGGCTTGGCTACACTGGGTGCGTGTAGCAGTATAACGCAGTATGAAGGTGGACTCATGGTATACAGGCGGCGGTCTTGTCATCGGGCTGTCGGCGGGTCTCCTTGCGCCCGTCATCGGTGCCGGCCTTGGAGCTGCGTTTACGACGATCGGAATCACAGGCACAACTGGATTCCTGGCGGGGACTGCTGGAGCGGCCGTCATTACCACGGGCGGTGTCCTCACTGGATCGGGGTTGGCTGCCCAAGGAATGGCGAACAGAACCAAATACGTCCGGACATTTGAGATTCTTCCGTTGCACAACAACAAACGAGTGAATTGTATCCTCACAGTCCCTGGGTATGTACGGCGCTAACCTCCGCGCAATGTCGACTCACTGAAGGGGGCTCTCGAGTGCAGCTTCATGAATGGTCGCTACGATGACGTTCGCCTTCCGTTCAGTGTCCTGGATCCTGTTGTGGGTGACGTCTTCAGTGTGCTCTGGGAACCGGAGATGATTCGAGAGACCGGAAGCGCACTCAAGATCCTCACGAGCGAAGTCCTGACGCAATTGGCGCAAACTGCGCTGCAGGCCACCGTAATGACCGCACTGATGAGTGCTCTGCAGTGGCCAATCAGTGAGTCTTGGATGACTCATACCTTCGCCCGATCGCACTGACAGAGGTGCTATGTAGTTCTAACCAAGTTGGGCTACCTCATCGACAATCCATGGTCCAACGCCCTTGACCGAGCGAAGTCCGCGGGACTTGTTTTGGCGGACGTCCTCATCCGCCGCCACCTCGGCGTGCGCCCCATCACCCTGATCGGATTCTCGCTCGGTGCTCGAGTCATCTTCTATGCATTGCTCGAGCTTGCGAAGCAGAAGCACTTCGGTATCGTGCAGGACGTAATCCTCTTGGGCGGAACCGTCACCGCGCCCCAGCGTACATGGCTCGAAGTGCGATCAGTCGTCTCCGGCCGCTTCGTCAACTGCTACGCGCGGAATGACTGGGTGCTGAACTATCTCTTCCGCGCCACCGCTGGTAGCTTGAACACAGTCGCGGGACTACGGCCAGTGGAGAATGTTCCTGGAGTAGAGAATATCGATGTCACGGACAAGATCGCTGGGCACATGAGCTATCGAACGTTCATGCCGCTAATCCTGGATCAGCTTGGTTTCCCTGTCTCTGCGGACTACTTCGATGAGCCGGTGGTGAGTACGGCCCGTGACATTACTGCCGATGAGCTTGGTTGGTCTCATTCGTCATCGTTTGATAGGAGCCCGACTTCGAGGGTGAGCGGATAGTGGTCCGGGAGGGCGAAGAAGAGGAGAAGAAGCGCGGGTGGTTCTCCCGGAAGAAGAGAAACTCGGCAGAGCCAGCGCGCGCCTCGCGTCCACCCTCAGTAGTATCGGCACTCCCCTCCCAGACAGAGAAACGATCGTCTCTGTCCAGTAACGGTGATGACGACCTACCACCGCGGGAGGCAGCGATTGCCTCAGCTCCGTCGGCCCCCAGTGCATCCGCCGTTGACATTCCTCTGCCCCCAACCCCTGCTACCGAGTCCGCCCCCATTGGAGAGGCAGAGGGCGATGTGTCAAGTGCTCTCCCCGCGACTGCGGGGTTCAATCTCGCAGCCATCAAGGAAGTCATAGGCAAGGACACTGACCCATCGGATCTGCAAATCACAGCCCCGAATCGATTCCCCACACCCCGCATTCACGAACCAACACAACGCTCTGAAAGCGTGCCGCTCCCTTCGCCAGTACCGAGTTCACCCGACGCCACACCTACCATGCGCACCTCCCATGATGTGAGGCAGGTGGAGAGCCAGCCGGTAGCAGGCCCGAGTTCCTACGACCGCCGCGAAGTCCATCAACGTTCACGTTCCTTCGAATCGGCTCTTGGGGAAGAAGATGATGACTTATCGTCGCAGTTCTCCGGGCCGTCCTCGCGAGCAGCGGAGGAACCCGCGTATGGCTCAGCGGCTGCAAGCAGCTCATTCTGGCCGTCTGATGCGGCAGAATCCACACCGACGTTCAACGCGTTTGGAGCCTACAGACCGATGTTCGGTCAAGGCGCATCCCTCGACGCTACACCATCTACGACACCGACCCCATTCGATCGCTTGGCTTCATCACCACTCACCCGCAATCCGTTCGCCTCACCTCCAGGAGACTCACTAATGACATTCGGTAGTATCGACGGATCAATCACCCACTCGCCTTCACCCTCGAACGTGAACGTGGAGAGGGATCCGTGGAATTTCACTTCCAGCGCGTACAGCCGCGACGTACGGAAGAAAGGCGCAAGCACGCTGGACCTGAACCCATGGCAGAGTTGATGACGGGTGTGGAAGATTTTCATTGGTCAACTACCCCACAGTGGTGTCGTCTCTGTCTCTCTGGCTATCGCACGTTCTCTGGAAGCATCTTACATCTTCATATCTAGCGCATTGTATTCCATCGATTGAACATCGCAGCGTATTTAGCATCTCGGGCTCGTCCTCCCCGCAATCGCGGGTTGATTGAACGATGAAAGTTGCCATACTGGGCTTCCGGGGGAATTCACCACCCCAAGGCATCGCTCGCGATGCTGTTTAGGTTAAGCGGCACGGCAGGCTTAATCGTGCTAGCTCACCTCACATGGTAGTTTCCACTTGGCCCCAATCGGAGGACCCTCGGAGCATGATTCTCAACCGCTGGGCATCCGATTTCCCATCCCCCCAGTGGATAGAGCGAGCTTAGACTCGAAGCAACGTCCTTGTTCGATCCTTGCAACATCCTGGCATCTACTGACTAGAACCGAGAACGCGTAACCAAGCCTCAACTGTCCTAGACTGAAGGTTGCGATCACCGCCCCCATGCTGTGTACTTACCTATTAGGCAGGATGCCGGTAGCTCTGCGCGGCGTCGACCGAGTCGATTATTGCCTCCCTAGGTGGGTCCGTGATTCTATGTATGTGCATCTCAGATGGAACAACGACACACTGACACTTCTTTAGCGCCTACTACTGCCCTTGGAGTGTTGGAGACAGCGACGGATGTGTCGGTACGGCGGTACCAAGTCGGTACGCTGTGCTAACCGAAGGTAGCATGCGACCGGGTCTCCAATCTTGATGCATGATGGGTGGGGCGTTTAGCTCATCGCCCACACAGCAATTGCCTATAAAGTCCTCTACAGCAACCTCCATCCTCAGCGTTGTGCTAAGCCCTTCGAATTTTGCGCACCGTCCCCCTCATCCGCCACCACAGTACCGCGTCGCTACTCTCGTCATAACGCCATAGCCTCTTGCCTACTATGATGGCCGCCTTGATGACTCCTCGCTCTCGCGCTCGCTCGCCACCACGGCCAATCCTCAAGCGGGACTCGTATCCCGCACCTCTGGCGGAGGAACTTCCTTTCACGACGTGTGACTACATACTCTCCCCTCACGTCCACTTCCCGCCCACCCCCCACATGTCGTCGCTGCGCTTCACTCATTCACCTACGACCTACGATCGCGCACCGATTATCGTCTCTCCGAATGGACACCTCCAATTGCCCAAGCGCGGAGAGCGCAAGCTCCACTCGCCTCCGGCGAACTTCGACAACGAACGGCGGGGCCGTTCTCGCAGTCGGAGCTCCAGTCGTGAGCGCGGCGGCGATTCACCGGAGGACGTAAAGGGGAGCTACTTCCACCCGCGCGCATTCGAAGCCTGCGCCCCGGAGCCGCTCGAGGTTCCCACCACAATGCTTGACATTCCATCTCCGCCCATCCTTGTTCCGGACCTATCGCCTTCGGAGGAGTCCGATGACCTCGTGGAGACGCCGCCAGACCCGAGCGCAATGGTCGCAGCGTCCATTCACGCCTTGAACCCTGCCTTCACGGCGCCTTCATCAGCCGCCAAGGGCGATGTTCGTACCAACGCTGGGAATCGCCCTCAGCCACGTTCGCCGAGGCGGCCAAAGGGGAGGCCGTCCCTGAGAAGGAGCGGTGCTATCGTGACGTTTGCTCCGGAGTTGGATGAAGGATGTTTGGGAGGTTTCTGATTGCTGCATGCTCGAGAAACTCTGTTCACTTTCTCTCCGGGTCTTACGCGTTTGTGTCGCTGGTCGATGCATACGATACCAACTTGACTTCGATACCAGAACTCTCGACTGCAGTAGTCTTCTCTGTAGCGCTAGCAAGCGCGTCACGCGCACAATGACAAGTGTACACTATCTTTGGGCCCTCACAAACAATTCGCGAAACGTGGGCTGCGACATCATTATTGTCGAATTCGTGTACAGAACACCAGATGCTCGATCACTGGACGTGAGTACGTCTCAACGGCACCCCATAGCCTCAAGGGAGCATCAGACATTCATCGAAGTCGTACAGAAATACAGAATACAGGTGCTACAAGTATGTCTACAATCGGCTCATGAAACACGTCTAGTTACAGACAGATGCATGAATGCGTCAATCAGGCTCGACTTCAACAGTGCAACCGCGACAGAAAATTGGAAATCTGGGAGGTCGGGATGACAGACGAGACAGTCTATGCAGTGACCGTCTGTCTCTTGCGGAAGTACACCTTTGCGCTCATATCAGGGAGCACAGCCGCTGCGAACCACTTGTTCGGCGGCCTAGGACCGTCATCTTCGAACTTCATATCGAACTTCAGGACAAGGTGGGCAATGATCGTCTTCAGCTCATTGCCAGCAAAGAAACGACCGGGGCTGTGGAATCAGTCAAATAAGCACAAATTGCAATCATGGACCCAAACGACGTACCAGGCATGCTTGCCATGTCCGAAGGGCACGTACTCGGGCGACGTGCTCACGAACTGGTGTTTGATCCGTTCGCTCTCGTCTGCCCTCATGTCGGAGAACCGGAACGGATTGAATACGCCAGCGTCATCATAGTTATCGTCGTCCCAATGCGTCGCGTCAGCAGCGGCTCCGACCAGCGTGCCTGCCGGTATCACCGTCCCGTCGGCGAGTCTGATGTCAATCATGGCTTTGCGGATGACAGACACTGCGAGACAACCATCGCCATCAACGACACGTCGCAAAATACGGTCGTCGGTCGGTGCGTACCGCCACTCGTGCCGTTGAAGCGTTGTGACTCTCGCATGAAGCTGTCGAGTTTCCACATCTCGCTGATTGCTTGCTTCGTCCATCCGTGCTTCTTGATGGCCGTCTCGATCTCTTCGCGAAGTGGCGCAACAACCTCGGGGGAGGCCGCAATGTGGTAGAGGGCATGTGTCACGCTCTGCCCATTTCATGAGCGGTCGGACCTTTCGATGTGAGATGAGATAAGTTGTACGTACGATGGAAGATGTGTGGATGGCGACAAAGTTGCTTGATAGGAGGGCAGAGACCACGATCTCCGCTCTGACGCCCTTGGCTTTGGCTTCTTCCGTGAGCCAGGTCAGCAGGTTTTTCTTGTGCCAACATGACGAAGGGATTTTCAGTCGCAGAGTATTCTGGTACGCGAATCACTCACCGGTTTGTCGCCCCATTCCTTTCCGTGGTGCTCGAATTGCCGGAACGTTTCGTCGACAATAGGTCTCACAAGGACGGCAAATTTCTTCAGCGCATTCTTCGACCAAGGGAGTAAGCGGCCCACGATGCTACACAGATGGTCAGGTTCCGCGCGAGAGGTGACACAATGAACGACAACGCACGGCTTCAACATGATTGGCGTAATGGTCATGATAAAGCGACCCTTTGCGACATCTTTAGCGTAGTTCAAGACGATCTCCAGGTATTCCGAGTTCCGGCCTGGGGCAGCGTATCAAGACATGGAGTAATAGACTCAGGGTGCTATGCTCACACATCGGGAGACCGATAAACACGCGATTGCTCGCACGACACACGACACGCGTCATTGCGGGGAAGGCGACGACACCGACCCATTCTGAAACCGACGGTGAGTGTACTCCATAACGGCAGCGCGCCGAGACAAACCATCGCCCTCGTCTGGAATGGCCTCTTGCAGGGCTGACGCGACTTCGTCCGCAACGTCTGGCATGAGGACGCCCAAGTTGCGCGTGAAGGGTCCACGGATCACTGCAATATGCATAGGGTTCTCGTGAATCTCTTTCGCGATCGTGTACCTGGCCTGCACAAGCTATACGCGTGACGCTGAGAATGAAGATCTACATGGCCACAGAGTGAAAGTGGAAGACCTACTTCTTCAGCAGCATCCATGAAGGACATCTGTTCATCGGGGAATTTCCGGAGTTCGTCATTCATGGCAGCGCCGCTGAACACCACTACCCAGCGATCCAGTAGAGGCACCCTGAATACAGAACCTCTGTACTACATGGGAAATGATCTCAGATCGAGGCGAATAACACATTCGAAGCTATGATTGGCATACCTTCGAGTAACCTTCCTGAAGCATCTCGCGCGCATTTACGAAGAATTTCAGCGCGCCCCAATAGGACAGGATGGGTGCAGAAGGCCCCACAGCTGGTATGCGGTAGAGCTATGAAGCAGGTGAGTGAAGCGACAAGCGACATACGGGAAACCAACCGGATTCATTCTCCTCCGCACGAGAACGAGCAGCGGAGCTGCGAGAATCAACGCATAGATGATCTCTCGTTCATACATGGCGATGTCGTGGCAAAGTTAGTTAATCACAAAGGACGGATGGGCAAGGACTGCAGCCTTGGCGTCCACACGGAGGGTGCACCCCCAGGCTTTATGTATTGGCGGAGCTCGCAATAGACCGACGTATAACTGAGCTCACACGCGGAGGTAGGAGGGCTTTGCGGCGCGCAGGCTAGATCGTACCTGGGTCGATATTTTGCAACAGCGACAGCCGCAGGAGGCCGCGCGGCACTGTGGAGTTCCTCTACATATAAGCTTCACCGTTGGAACTCTTTCATGACAACGGGGGGATGACATGCTCACTGGCCTGCCGGGCTGCCTAGCATGATGATAAATACCCAATGGGAACAGCGCACACAGACGCATCCCAGCTCCGAACCCTGAGGTATGCCAGAAGCTGCTTCCGAAACGGCCGCTTTATTCGCCTGGCGATTTGTCGCACTGCGCGCGGGGTTTGAGAAGCAGCCCATGTCCGGGCCTCGCTGCCAGATGCGGGCGACGGTGGGAAGGTTGCAAAGATCCCAGTCTAGTGTGACATCATTCATTGCGAATCGCTACGATGGACGAGTGTCACTTAAGCTTAAAAAGTCGAAGGTCAATCGTACCACTCACACAGACGAGCGTTTGCGTGAAAGGGCCCGTATCCGAAGCATTCAGCGCAGATAGCGTGGAATGGGAGAAGCGCTCACTGCAATGTCGTGGAGAGAGGGCTGTAGATCATTTACTCTCGTATCCACAGCACACGAATAATACGGGCGCAGTGCCGGCTTATTTCACGTCTTTGCCGGTAGGAGCGTGCCTGTTAAGTATATCTTTGACGTAAGTACCTCCGTTCCATGCAGGCAGAACGGTCGAACTTTGGGTGGCGCGCACTCACAAAATCCCTTTTGCCAAACGCGCCGCAGTCCTGCAGGCGTCCCTGACGCGCAGCGGCTCCGACCGGCGCTCGTTACTGGCAGAACAACAACACTTGACAGCAACGGAGATGGTCTCTTGGGCCCCAATTTCTCGACACGTACATACCACCGTGACTGTGAACATATATCCTCTTGGTAACCGATGCCACAGGCACCGAACGTGGGTAAGTTGTAACTTTGATGCGGCAGTGTGTATGCGTCCGGGTGGCATGCTGTTTTTACATTGTCGACGATCTCAACGGCGAGTGGTTCGTCGTAGCTTGCCAACTACGCAACCTTCCCGCAAACCCGTGACTCTGATCACGATCGAGTCCTGAGTACTCAACGACAGTGAGCTTCATTGACAGTTTGAAAGAGTACGATTAAGGCAGCGTACCTCACACTACGAGCAAGCGCTCCTCGACGCAGAAGCTGTGCCATGTAAGGCTCCTTTGTTAGCGGGAATCGCACTATCCGCGCTCGGGCAGGGAAGACCTGCCAGAGTGTACATGGCTCACACGAGCCTTATCACAGCCGATACCCGAGAAGCCGTCCCCCGATGTTCCGATAATTGGGATGAAAGCTGATTATACTACTCCAAATTGCCCGTGTAGCGACGCGTCACTACCTGGAGGCCCGAAGCTAGCCTTCACTGTTCTCCACCCACCCTGTTTACCGCGTTCCAGGGGTATCACTGCAAGCTTCAAGCACCGCGTTAGCAGTTTGGACCGGCAATCGCAACAGGGAGTCGGGGTCCTAAAGAGGTGCTTTGGAATCTTGGATAAGCTCGTCTCGACTCTCGACGTTTGTCTGTGTGGAATGAGGCTGCAGCAGGCCCATCCAACCGGACATGCGGCTGTCGAGGGAAGTCGAGAGACCCTAGATAAGTAGGCAGAAGCCAATGCGAAGACATTGGCAATGTACAGAGTCCATGATGAGGTCGAAACATAGCCCAGACCGTGACACCGCGGATAAGTTCGAGTGTGCCGCCAGCGTCTACGGAAGCAATCCGCTGACGATTGGTGCATACGTATTACGTAAGCAGATATCGTACTGACTCGGAGTAAGTTATGTAGTACGAGTGGCCATGGCTGGAGCTGGCTGCCGACCTTCTCATTTCACCATGGCTAGATCACCCGGTCACATCTATCACTGCAATTGAATAGACCAATTAGATAGGAAATTATCAAAATGATTCGTCGCTTCCTTCGATTGCGTGTACTACTGCTCACTGAGGCTCACTGCATGCTCATGTCCACGAGTCGTCGTGATACTAGCTATAGCAACGCGACTTCTAACCTACGCAGACCAGGAGTATACAATCGCAGGGAGGAGTAACACACAATGCCAATAACAACAATCGGAATTGATCAGCCATTGAAACTGACATATACTGGCAGGGTTCTCTACCACCCAAGGACCGCGGCCTGCAGGCTGTTGCTTGAATGCTTCACATCGACGAACCATATGGATGCGAGCAGGCATATGATAATGGACTCTAACTCTACTTGATCAGTACCTGGAACCTCGCGAGGGAGCAAACTCTCGACACGACACCCAATTGGCCGACACCACGGTCGACTGAAGTCAGAGATTCAGCGTGACCACTGACAACAACTGGGGTCAGCCCCATGGTCATCGCGGTCAATCGCTCAACTGCCTTCCTAGAGGCGGAAGCTAGTAGCGTGTTGTACTAGCGTCACTGGAACGCAGGCAAGCCATTTCCCTTGTTAGCACTGAAATAGAGCCGAGGTGGGGCAGACCGGCAGGTAGACTAAGAGGTACACGTAAAGCACATATGGTGAGCAGACTCGGAGTCCGGGCGCGCTCTCACTGAACGACCGCCCTTGCCCCCCTCTCCTCAACAAGGCGATATCCGGAGCATACTTGGGAAAGACTAGTAGCGCAGCAGGTTTGATCCGCATAGTAATTCTAAACATTCCATTGCACAGCGATTACGGCACTTGGTGTACAGGTATCATCGAATATTTGCTACAAGATCGAGGTCACGTACGAACCTCACAAGAACATCAAGAATAAGTAAGTATATAATCGGCATACATCCGGATTCCAGACACGAGCGTCGCGCATGCCGCCCGCTACCGCTTTTCAGTCGACGAAGTTCATCTTCAATCCGTGAGGAATGATCGCGTTCGGCTTGTACGCCGCGCCTTCGAGGAGGCCGTCCCTGCCCGCCCTCAGCCGAATCTCGACGCTGCGGTGCACGTTGAACACGGCGTCGTCTGGCACGGTCCGGCCCCTGCCCCAGTTAGTGCTACACAACGCCGACCAGTCAGCTCCATCTCGTTCAATACGAATCACTGCGAAACAGCAATGCTCACATCCACTTATCGACCCACCCATACATCTTGTCGCGCACGCGGTGCACGAGCGGGATGACCTCGAGGATCCACCACAACCGCGAGATTTTCAGCTCGTCAAAGATCGGACACAGTGCGTCGATTAGGTCCTCCTGCTCCTCGCTCAACCGCGGCCCATGATCCTCGCCATCCACGAGCGTCACGTCCGAGCGGCCGCGCGCGTGGCGCGGGCGGATGAGCGGCGAGCCGGGCTCGGCGAAGAGCGGCGGCGGGCGCGGGGCGTTCTTGGAGAGCGCGTCGGGGTCGAGCCCGACGTTGCGCAGGAGCTCGGAGTGGAAGCGCACGCCAATCCCGGTGAGGAAGCACTCGCGGATCATCCAGCGCAGAGGGATGCGCGCGAGGTTGTGTCTGCTCGTGTTCTCCACGGAGCCGCCGCCGACATCTGATGTTATAGTCATCGATCAATGCTTGTCAAAGCCTGCAAGGACGGGACGACTTACCTGTGTGGCAACCGGCGAACCACACCTCCTTCACATTCGTGACGGCGTTATGTCCGTCAGCAGCGGAGAACTCTTGCTCATGACGCATCTCTTCCTGGCTGCTCGAGCGTCTCTGGCCCGGCTTTCTGCCCTTCGCGTCCTTTGCGCTCTTACCCCAGCCGCTCGCTTGGCGCTGCCCCGCCTTGGGCATTTGGCCCGGCTGCACGCCTTGCTTGAGCTCGAGCTCGGTCGGCCACTGGTAGTGGTTCGCCTTGAATTTAGCGCGGTGTTCGTCGAGCGAGAGCGCGTGCCGGAAGATCTTGATCGCGCTATTGGAGGAGGTAAAGGGAAGTGTGTGCGGGATGAGTCCGACGGAGCGAACGGTGTCCCTGTGGGTCGTCCGTCAGCACCGCATTATGGTGGGCGGGCCCCGCGCGAGAGACTTACCACACGCCGATGAACTCGATGTCGATGTCCATCGAGAACGTTTTCTTGAATTCCGTGGACTGCCTCCAACCCCATTCGTCGTCGCGCGTGAACATGTGGTATGCGAAGGGAACTTGTTGGTGATTTGACCTGGGCAGGAGGCCAACCTAGCATTGGAGGTGTCAATCTACACCTGCATTGTACATCAACGCCCACACGGGTACTCGCCTTGTGGATCATGCCAGCCAGAGCCCTGGCAGTATATGCGCCGCGAGAGAAGCCGAATAGGCAAATTTTATCCCCGGCGCGATCTAGATGAGGCCCGCCATTACTTCTTTGAAAGCATCACGTCAAATGAAAACGGCATACAATTCGACATGAGGAACTCGTAGCCGCCTGGAGACGCCGTTAGCTCTGCTGCATGGTTGCACAACACAGTGAGTGGCTTACCCATGACATGCGCATTCAGGTTCCAAGCGATCATCTCGTCGAGAGTTTTGGAGATACCCGCGTATAGCGGCGTCGCGATTTCTGGGATCGTATAGGTGCCGATGCCAGACTAGGCGACAAACATGGCAGGCCTGTTAGTACAGGAACAACGCATACCACGATGCGCTATGGTACCTGATAATACACCATCTGTTCCTCGGGGTTGTCCTTCATAAGCATGGAGAAGAACAAGATGACATTGGAGTTCTAGCACCGATCGTATATGAGCATCCTTCGTGGTGAGACATTGTCAGACTTACATCGGTGTCGAACTGGTCGCCAGTGCCATCAAAGCAGAGGACGAGCGTGCGCGGCGTCTGTTTCGATGTTGGTGGTATGACATCCCGGTCATTAGGTGTTGAAGGGAAGTCGACGTTGGTCGGGCTCGGCGACACTGAGCATGCGTTGCTCATGGCGGAGGAGGTCAGCTAAGATCTGGGAGGGAACGGAAATTGGGGAGATAGGAAAGGCGGGATAAGGGAGGGCGGGAAGGCGGGGAGGGCTTCTTATACATGGCTGGCCGAGGGGACTGGAAAGCTGGCCGGGAAGTGTGAGTCGCAGGAGGCATGAGGCGGGGAAGCGACCACACGAAGACATATGTCGCCGCGGGGAAGATCACTGAAAGCGTGCGCGGGCAGGAGCGCCGCTGCTATTCCCGGCCACGAGGGCCTGCGAGTGCAGCCATGAGCAGGGAAGGCCAGCCACAGCCGCCGCAACCCCCGCCCTGTTTGGGTATAGCCTGTGCCCCGGAGAGTGTCCGGGTGTCTGCTCAGCGCGCGCTTCCACAGTCGTCAATTTCCCCGCTGCCCATTGCACACCATGCTCGGACGTGAGGCCTTGAAATTCCTATCTGTCGCATCTTCAATGTCCGTGTCAGTGGATCCAATGCAACAGGAAAGGTTGGAGGACACGGGACCATGATGATCATAGCGCTGGACTGCTATCGTCACTGACAGGCAGTGCGGGCGCCGTTTAGCGTCTTATGGAACAAATAATCCGACCACAGGCAATGGAAGGACGAGTTATGGCGGACGAGTTATGGCGGTAGAGCGTCATGTGCAAGAGGCTATTGCACGGATTGGGCAACGAAGCGACCGGAGACGTGGTCCACCGGGGTCGTGGTCGGAAGAAACTCTCGTCCTGGTTAGCATTCCGGAAACGAGATTCTACAGACACGGTCACGTGCTCCATATGACTGGCACAGTACGCGCGTGCCACACAGACATCTCGATCATCTCAGCCTGTGTCGAGCGGCGTCGAGGGAACATGTCATGTCATTAGGCACTCTAATGCTTGTAAAGAAAACACTTATCATGACGTTTCCATCAACAATGTTACGCGGCAGCCTCGGCTTGTAGTAGAGGCACCGCCGGATTGAGTCCCCGGAACCTTCAAGAATAGCAATGATTGAGTTGAGTGGTCGCAGGTGTGTTGGACAAGTGCTGCATGCTGGCCTAGTGTAGATGTCCACCATTCATACTGTTTACAGTGGTCGTTCAATGTACGCGACATCGGTAATTGCACAGGTTATCACGACGCCGGACGAGGGAACAGCGGCTATCTACGCAGTGATACATGAATGCATCGTGGATTGACGTTACTGGAAGTGGAACCATAGCAATGACACTCGAATCTATGAGTCAACCCGCCTCCGGCCTACAGCCCACTGGCACCGACGCATACGAAATCGGAAGACGTGCTTACCAGCACACTTGCTGTTCATGGCCACGCACAAGCGGTGACATCCTCATGATAGTGCTACGCACATTCCCTGCGCACAGATGGGGAGCCAGCGTATGGCTCATAATTAGGACTCATCCTCAAGTCCCCGTTCCACCACCACCTGGCTACTCTTCAAGAGTAAATACTCTTTCTTCGACTCGCGTGTTTGGATCTCTTGTAGGATCTCTTGTATCTGAAGTAGTACCTCGATTTCGCCCTGTCTCTGTCCGATTGAGAGTGCTGTTGAGTCCTCGACTGCCTTCCGCTGACCAAGGGTTCTAATAGTACACGGTCTCAGATGATATGATAGATCTAGTCAGAATCACCGCCACGGCGCCACCTCGATCCTCATTGACATGAGCGCCAATATCAATCAAACCTCGATCCCAGCTGATTCAGCAACAGGTTCATCTAGCCGCCCGCGTCTTGCGCGCGCCAGGACGCTCGGCGCACAACATCACCTCTTGCTGACAACGCCCACCACTGCCAACACAGACCGACACAGCCAGACACTACCCCCAGTCACTCATGGCCCCCGCAGAGAAAGACAAGACCGCCAATGGCGAGCCCAAGCCGCGACGCCGCCCCGGTCGTGTCCCCGTCTCGTGTGCCGAGTGCCGCCGGTAAGTGGCGGCCGTCTGCTGAACGGATCTAGCAACTGACTTGCCGGCGACATTCCAGCTTGAAGCTGAGGTGTGACCGGAAGGTGCGTCGGGGCGGGAGAGTGATGGTTGTGGGCTGATGGGCAGTAGGTTCCGTGCGAGACGTGCGTGAAAAGGGGATGCTCTGCAATATGTCCAGAAGGTACGCATGCCGTGTCCGTCTGCGCCCGCCATGGTGTCTTGACGGGGATATGCAATAGGCTCGTTGACAACAGGAAAGGGCAACCGGTGAGATCCGTTTGTTCCTGTGTCTCGAAGACAGCGGCTGAAGCCACGCAGCCTGGCGCTGGCGGACGCGGAAGAGCTGCACAAGAAAATCGAGCGCCTGCGGGACCGCTGCGGGAAACTGGAGTATGCACTCCGGACACTGCAAGCTGCCGTCTCGGATGAGCCACATCCCCTGCTCCGGGAGGAGTCCAGCATGGACGTCCCCCCGTCGGTGGGATCGAGTGGCTCGTCCCCTGGAGGGCCCCTGCTTACTCAGGAGGACGAAGAGATCCTCGACGCGTTTGGTACGATACATGTCGTCCGCTGCAAGTCAGTCCTTGACCCGTTTCGCAGGAACGCTCACCTTGGGTATACGAGGAGAAGCGAGATTCTTCGGTCAAACATCACGGTCGGAGGTACTTCTCGCGCAGCTGCTCGTCCCGCTGTATCTGACTGTCCTCTTGTACCGCAGTATCTCATTCACGTCAGGATTCCTCACTGGGACCCTACGCATATGAGCTGAACGCGGCGTATTAGGCACCGACACGGACCACCCCACCGGCCGACTCCTTCCCCCGCCTCTCAGCCTTGCTCGTCGCCGAGGCACAACTTGAGCTCGACACGCCATGCCGCAATACCGAGATACGGCACGAGATCTACGCGTTGATGCCCTCGCTCTCACAGGCATGCCGGCTCTGCGAGATTTTCATGGAGTACGGGCAGTACATGTGAGCCATGACCGCGCGCCAGACGCTCTGTGGGCTAAATGGAGGGGCAGATGGTTTCCGATGCCTCGAGCAGAGCTGTTCGATGACATCCTGGGGAGTGTGTACAAGACTCAACCGTGAGTCGCTCAGTTCCTCGGTATGAGGGGGAACGGCTGACAGCGATGGATACAGCGATTCCGCGTGTAACATTGCGTCCACACACGCGTTCTCGGTCCTCTACATGGTCTTCGCCCTTGCTACGCTCTTCGACCCGAACGTCGCGCCCTACTCCGTCGAGGCGCACGAGTACTACGTTCTCTCGCGCATTTGTCTCCGGTGCGCGCCGCCCATTCACGATACAACCCTCCACGCGATCCAGAGCCTGGTACGTATTCGCTTTTGAAGGGTGTGCGCGTGTTGATGATGGGGGCGGTCGTTCGCGAATGGGCATGCGCAGTTATACCAGGCACAGTATCTGGAGATGAGCGACTGCGAGCCGGCGCATACAGGCTCGCACAAGGCGTGGCTGACGATCGGACTTGCTATGAAGCTGGGACACGGTGTGAGCGCGTCTGCTCGTGGATGTTCAGGACGAAAGCTAAAACCCAAGTGGTGCACAGATCGGTTTGCGTGAGTGGATTCGTTGACATTGTAAGCGGGGATCCGAACGTGTGCGCAGACGTCAACAGCACCAGGTGGAAACTCGACTATGATGCTGGCCAGAGAAGAGCACGGGTGTTCTGGCAGCTGTTCTTCCAGGATACTTGGCAAGTACGTCTGGTGCCTCTCTGATTGTGGACGCTGTCCGACGGTGACCTCGCAGAGCTTTGGTTTTGGGCGGCCGCCCAGCATGTGTCTCTCGTTCGTCGACTGTCCCTTTGCTAAAGACCCAGAGGAGCGGATAAACGCGCAAGGCCAGAAGGAGGGCGGATGTACGTCACGGCTTCCTTGATCCCGCGCTGTATCGCACGCTAACCCCCAGCGGACAGACCACGCGTGGACGTGGCAGTATACGAAGCTTCTGAGCAAGATCATCTTCTCCGTGTTTGGCGCGAAGACCCCGCAGTACTCGGCCATCCTCGAGTACGACCGTATGGTCCGCGACTTTCCCGTGCCCGTCAACCTGCGCCCGAATTGTGGCCAGAACTGCGGAGAGCCCATTGACCTCCCTGTACCACAGTTCATGCAGCGCTTCTGGACCTTGACGCAGAAAGAGGCTAGTGAGTGGACGCCTGATACATAGTGGCGGGCAGCTGATCCTCCGAAGCGTTGTTGAGTTTGCACAGACCGTGGTTTGCGCAGGCTCTGCACGAGCAGCCGGGAGACCTCCTTCGACACCGTTATGGTCCCTCGGTTATGGCCATCTACCGGTCTGCATGGCGAATCATCGAAAGTGCCAGGGAGGCGCACAAGCGTGCTGGAGTCGTTGCTTCGAGAATCGGCGCTGTGTGGTCCCAGTGTCTTGCTGCCGGGGTAAGGTTCTTCTATGTTTTCCGCGAACAAAAGGCGGATCACTGAGCGGGAGGCACCAGATCGTGATGTGCCTGTTAGTCACGCGCGCCCCGACATCGGCGCTGGCGGCGTCTTCGCTGCAGGAACTCGATGTCCTCCTCGAAGTATTTGAGCAGGCTGCCGTCACGAGCCAGATCGCTTCCAACAATCTCGTACGTACTCATTTACTCCGCAACATTCTTCTACTACAATATCAGCCCATATGTAGGAGGTCGTCCGGAAGCTCCGCGGGCAGGGATATGAGGTGCTGCACAAGCCCCGTACGCCCGGAGAATCCACTGCGAACGCGATCATCGACAGGGAACTCGATCGCCTCGGCGGCAAGACGCATCTTATCTCGTCCATGCACGAGCCTCCACTGGCGTGTACCCCCGCAAAGCGGAGCAACGAATCCGGCTCCAATTCTTCCTCGTCGCCCGCGAGCGGCAGCTCAGGCGCAGTCTCCTCGGACATGATCCATCCGACGATCATGCAGGACCTGCGCGTCTTCGAGGGCATCGACGTCGCGAGCCTGAGCACCAGCGGCGCATCGTCGGCGCTGGACGTGGGCCAGTATAACTTTGCGGACGTGTTCAATGGCATGCAGCCGCAGCAGGGCCAGGCTATGCCGCTGCACCAGCAGCAGCAGATACACCCGCAACAGATGCAGCAACCACCCGTACCTGGTCCGGATATCTTTGACGAGCTGTTTGGCGCACAGGCGTTCCCGCCGGAGCCAGAGCCTCCTGTGGGCCCGCCTGTGCTGGACGCCACTTGGCAGTCGTTTATCGAGCAGTTGGGCTTTTGAAGCATAGATTCGTGTACATTAGTAGTCGCATGTATTGTAACGGATCCGTACTAATACAGGGTGATACTCTCCTACAATCATGAGTTTCAATGATATGACAAAGCCTAGAGAGTCCGAAGACGTAAGCTTGTTGCCACCAGTGGTGCGACGGCCAGACCCACAAACGAAGCTCTGCCTCGGATGGATATGCACGAGTGACGAGAGGTTGCTGATTGTGTGGACTAATGGTGGTCTGGGATGTGGGCGAGGACATGGCGGTGGCGGATGAATCATGAGAGCATGTAGGCGCGCGGATCCCGACGGATGACGGTGGCAGGCGACTCGTATATTCGCAATCTCAGATCATCAATATCGCTCATACACTCCCGATCTCGTTCTCTTCCCCCAGAGCCGCAAGTACTAGTACTGAGTACTGAGTACCAGTCGCAGGTCAGGCTGACAATGCGTACTCAGTCGTTGATGTTGCTAACAGCATGTCATGTATGTCCCAATGCTACACCATCTAGTAACGGACGCAGGTTCTGACGTTCGTAGGCATACTAGACTAGAACGATCCATCAAGCCACGTCTACTCTCGCTTTCAGCCCCCAGAGGAGGTACAGTACGTCCCATTGGTTGCGAATCTGGCAGTGCGTTCGGTTGACATTGCGAGGTTCTACTTCAGACACGCCAACGTTCATAACCATATATCCCTCGAGTCCAAGCTCAGCACCGGCGTCCTAAAGATAAGTCAGAATTTGGCTGCTACTGAACATCGCACATTCAAAGAGATGGGGAGACGTACTCAATACAATGCACAATCCCACGACTATCAGATCGTGGCATTTTCCACTTCACAAATTGCTCCCAGTTACCGCGTAGTGCCATGGCGTCTTTCATCTCTGCACGCATAGTGTCCGGTACTTTGATTTCGAAGACAACACCCTGCTTCGGTATCCTAGCATACTGCTCTCGGGATAGGACACTGTCGATAAGCCGAAGAGCACGGCCGTATTCCATGCTGTCCAACAGACCTCCCATGAATCCATTGATGTTGTCGACCCTGGGTCTCAAGATGATGTGCACTCTGGCCATGACTGGAGATGTTACCTTCGAAAGAAGCGAGGGTATCCAGCAATAGTCGACCGTGCTCGGAAACAGATGGCCAATGACAATTGTTGACAGCTTGGTCAGGTGGGACAGGTCCAAATGTGAGGGGACTACGATGAACACATCTACATGTGAGTCCAAGACAACCGCGCGGTGGATAAACATGCCTTACGTGTTTGAGCTCCCGGGACGGCACCGTGCCGGGTCGTATCAGGATCCAGCAGGTACTTTAGTTTCTTCAGCGATCCGGCGTACGCGTCGAGGAGCCGTTGACAAGGCCACCCCAACCCACTCGGTGTGACGAAGGTCGGACCCACGAATGTTATCGTCAAGCTCTCCACCGGAGCCACCGTCCCAAGGTAGGCCAAGAAAAAGACAATCGGATGCGCGGTCCATTCCACCGCTACCTCGCGCAAGCTCCTATTCAGCGCTACTTGGGGAAACGGTAGCGGAATCCCCACTTCATTGCAGGACACGGTTTGGCAGCTGACAGCGCGGATGCTCGGTAGGGCCGACAGCAAACGAGCAAGCTGGGAGACCGACTGGAAGCTCATCCTCAACAGCTCGAGGCGCGTTATGCTATGAAACGCGGCCAGGTAGCTGATGCACCTAGGGTGCATCGATCCTACTTGCCACGAGACGTTGCACAGGGTGAGGCATTCGAGCACTGGAAGCTGGCGGGCGAGCATTGCAGCAAAGGTGCCGAGGTAGGGGGCCGGCTCCTCGTCGTCGGCAAACCGTGTTCCGAGAATGGTAACGTGCCTGACGACGTCCCGAGGATTATTCCCCTGACGAAGCCGCCTAGCGAGGATTTTGACCTGCCGGCGGGACCACAGCCAGACGTGCTTGTCGAGGCGGTGCCGGCTGCGGTGATACCAGCCTTTGCACACGAAGGCGCAAGATATGAGGGCTGTGCGCCATTGGTACTTCCTGCGCTTTTGGGGATCCAGGAAGTCGTCCTCGACCATGGGGAAATGCCGGACCTCGAAGTCCTGCAGGTCTGCGATGAGATCGATCACGTCGCAGTGTAGATCGGTAGGCAGTGGGGGGATAGAATCATCGGTGTCGCCAGACACCGACAACGAACCAGGCAGCATAGCGGTGGTTCACAGTGCACGCTGTGATATTCCGCGCTAGCCTATGCCTCTAACTGAGCTCGAATGAGCAAGAGTACGCGTAGACGGAATGACTGACACTCACCAAAAAAGACAGACGTCTTGAGTCTTCGTGTCTGAGGGCAAACGACGCAGTCCCCCCATCGAGTGCTGCCCTACAAATATTCCTGCCCACCTCGCTGCGATGATATTTGTGAGAGTATCTCCGCTCAGCCATCGGATAAATGTTAGGACCAACCAGACATACGGATATTCAGCCGCCCAGTCCCAGTGCAGTCGCTCGAAGTGCTTCCCTTCGATCTGATATCATCCCCGTCGCACCGCCTAGTCATTCAGTAGTATGTACGATCGGTTTCGTGGTGAATGTTTACCGCACACACATGCATTTCAAGGGTAATTCTCACACTCACCATCATTCGCAAGCGGTGATCCAGACTTGGAGGGTGGTCAATTCATCTGGTGGACATTCACGGCTATGAAATCGGAATAATGTGCTCATAACCAAAATGCCCTCGACTTCTAGACCGTCGTTCTGGAGTGCAGCACCTGAGATTATTTATTGTCAGTATTGATCACCACCAGGCACAGAAGCGAGAAGTCCAGACGAGCCTAGTGGAAACACAGAACTGACAGTTATGTAAGTGATACCCGAAAGTCTGCGTGCACTGCGTTTTAAGTGGTGGATTGTAGTACAGCCACGAACGGCCGCATGTGATGTACGGGCCCATTAATCAGTGACACGATTTCTGCAGATCAATTGAGGAAACCACGTACCAGCCCGCTAGTAGCCTCCGTATCGCTCCTACCATCGCATGCCACATCAAACCTGCCCGACATCGTAATGGGCTGTGGTCTATCATGTGAACAGGATTACGCACAACGCAGTTCAGGATCCCCCGTACATCCGGGTCAGACCACAGTGACATCCTCCGCTTCACGACTCACCTCTCCCAATCACCCCGCGAGTCCACAACCGCGCCACGGTCCAGCTCCATGCACATGTGTCGGGGCGATAATCTCGACCGGCGAATACATGCAGCGCGCACACCAGAACTTCCGTCCAAGCTAGATATTACCCAGGCTGTAGTACAGTCGCCGCATGCTCCGCCGCTGACACGCAAGCAGCGGAACGAACGCGAACTTATACGCAAGCAAACTGTAGCAGGTCCTGCTTATACGCGTACGATTCAAGGTCGGTCGGCTGCTGTATTGTCGTACGCGGCCGATGATCGTAGCTGATGGAAATCATGGGTTCTGCAAGCTGGTGTGGTACCTAGGGCATAGTGCCAGACGCATACCACCGCGAAGGGGATAGTCGAATTTGCAAGGGAGGCTTTCCGGAGGCTGTCACTGACAGCAAGCAGGCTGTTCAATCGAAGAATTGTTCGGCGTTGTAGATGAGTGGGAACAACGGACACCCTATAACATAGGTACAAGGTCAGCCTCTATCCACACCGGTGAGTAAACTACATGCCTTGTCTCTCACAGATAGCCAAAATGCGGATATCTGTACGTCCCCGGATATGATAGTAGGCTCTAATCAATGTCATCACTCGAGACAGTATGGCAGATTTTATATGCGATATAGAATTGTATACTTACTGATCTCCTCGCTAGCGAAGGACAGTTCGTAAGTTACTCTGATCTCCGTATCAGTTCATAATGTAGGCTCGTGACGTGGTAGAGCTATCAAAGGATAGATGTGCCAACAGCGGCGTGCAGTCTTCAGCTTCAGGACGCCGCCCGTCTTCTAAATAACACTTGGGCAGTCTGGCAAGGCATAACGTTGATTGAAAGCCACTCGTTCTCGGGCCTCTGACCCTCGTCCTGGAACTTCACATCGTATTTCAGCACGAGGTTCGCCATCATGAGCTTCAACTCGTTGGCAGCGAAAAAGCGTCCTGGGCTGCAGCAACGGCGCAACTAAGCTCTCAGAGAATGCATATGCTCCGGGAAAGTACGCACCAAGCGTGTTTACCATGGCCAAAGCCGATGTCCTTGGCGGAGGTCGAAACGTAGTGGTGCTTCGTTGATTCGTTCTCCCGCTCTCGCAGCCTGGAGTACCGCAAGGGATCAAACACATCAGGATTTTCGTAGTTCCTCTCGTCATGGTGCGTGGACGTCGTCGCAGCAGCCAGGATAGTGCCCTTGGGGATGTATGTGCCATCGGAGAGCGTCACATCCTTCATCGCCCGGCGGAATATGGAAACTTGCCAATTCAACCGTTAGTCCGATGCCTGGAAGCCGATGGGTAGTACTTACTGCCCGCGACACCGTTGGCTCGTTGCGACTCTTTCAGGAAGCTGTCGATCTTGGTCATGCGTCCCAGTGCAGCCTTCGACCAACCGCCCTCCGCCTGCAGGACGCGCTCAGCCTCTTCGCGAAGAGGCTGTATATACACCGGATTTGCTGCCAAATGAAACAGCGCGTGCGTAAAGCTCTGGGTGTCGCCCATTAGCCTTATCCTTCAGAGAATTCTCAGCACGTACAATGGTCGATGTATGAAGCGCAGTGAAGTTGAGAACTAGGATGATTTGTACGAGAAGATCCTCAGGGTGACCAAGTCCTCGAAGCCTGGCCTCCTCCATGGACCACTGCAAACAGTCATTCTACGTAGCAGTGCGATAGTCTCAGCGAACCTGACATTGACACATGATAACGAGTTGTTACTCACAGGTTTGTCTGCCTGGCCCTCGCCTTGCTGATCCAGTTGGTTCCGTCGCTCGTCTAGCATCGGCTTTACGATAGGATACATGCGCCGTTTTGCCCACCGTGGCCAAGGAAGCAGAGGCCCAACGATACTGCGTAGCGCAACATGAGAATGCATGCATCATGCATAACCGGAACCAAACTCACGGCTGTAGAAACGCGGGTACGAAGGCAAGCACCGCCGTGCCTTTGATGACGTCGTTGGAGAAACCAACCGCAATGTCCAAGTATTCCTTGTTACGACCTTCGTCGAGTATAAACAGCCTATTATGACCCATAGTATACGCATATTCTCACATAGGGGTTCACCGACGAAAATGCGGTTGCTTGCTCTTGCTACGATCTTCATCATAGTTTGAAACCCGGTGACTGGTAGCCATTCTATAGGACACAAATGAGTCCGACGTCCACATCAGGGTCCGGAAAGGACACACCTTTCTCAGTCGCCGGAATCAGCTCGTCCATGGCAAGCTGAACTTCATTGACTATAGCGGGGGTCACGACGGCTAGATTGCGCGTGAGTTTCTCCTTGATGGCGGTTACATGCACTGGGTAGCGCGAGATGTCTGGCTGGATCGTCCAGTTGGTGTGAACCATCTGCAGTAATTTGTCAGATCAAACACGGACTACGAAATGAAGGGTTGGACTAGTGTACCTCTTCTACTGCATGCTCGAACGACATCTGGTCATCTGGAAACTTGCGCAGCTCCTCGTTCATCTCTGCGCCGCTGACCACGACGAGCCAGCGGTCGATCATGGGAATCCTGAACACTCTGTACTACCATTCAGGACAGTGATGTCAGAACCGGCTCCATTTACAGCCGTAACAGCACGAATCGGAACATACCTTGTCATATCCCTCCTGCAGGAGATCACGAGCATGATGAATAAACCTGAAAGCTCCGACGTAAGAAAGGATTGGCAAGGAAGTCCCAATGGTAGGGATGTGGCTAAGCTAATAGGTGGCATAAGTGCCCGTTTTGAACGGTACTTGGTGTTATGGGACTCACAGGATGATTCCTCCACCGTAGGAAGAATAAAGCGCAAGCTACGCTAAATAAGCTATAGATCATTGGAACGCTCATGGTGGTAGGATACTCCGGGCCTCTGGGCGACCTGTGAGCAATGCCTGCGAGTTCCCTGAACGAAGTGCAGACACGGAGGTACTGGTGGGATACGTTGCCGTTCAGACTCAAGGAGGTTGCGCCAGGTTGCGCCGCGCTGCGATTGTCTCTATGGGGCCCCGGAGTAATGATTTGGGCGTGTCTCACAGTCACACAGCGGCGACAGCGCATAGCAGTGTCATCAAAACGCTGCATGCAGTCTCGGAAGCTGTAAGCGCCGGCGGACTCGTGTTTGGTCCCCTCTAGTTCACTTCGGTGTCAGATGTGGAAGTTCTGCGATACTGGTCAACAGTCGAGGGATAAGCTTTGCTTTTGAAAAGTCGGTATGGTGATTCCTGTTTTGTTGTATCATACTGTACCGTTACGTTCGCTGTGCCTTCCTGCCACGTTCGGGGTCAGCAAACAAGCAGCTTCGGCATACATCGGGCATGGAGATTTCGAGAGACCGCGAGGATGGATACTGTAAGTGATGTGGTCCCCACGGATGTGAACGCAATTGCAATAGTACGTATTTGCAGATAGTTCTATACCCACACAGGCATTCTGAACTTTTGCCGGCATTCCGTAAGACGATGCTAGAATGTGTGCGCGGGTACTCACCAGTCGCTACTGAGCATTGAGGGCGATGCAGTATGACGTTGAGGTACATGTGCCCTAGCGATGCCTCTGAGGTCACAATGAACTCGCGCTTTGATATGCTTGTTATACATCCGAGAACCTACAAAGCCTATAACAGACACTATCCTGCCGATAGAGGCTGTTGTATCCGGATATCTCACCCCGTCCTCAAGATGAGGTGGACGCCGCTGTCCGTGCTCACGATGTCGCTAATCTGACCTACTTCCAGAGCGTACGTAGCTTCCTGGAACGGCTTTTGCATTTGTCCCTATGTCAGGAGTACTTAGTGCTCTGTTGACTGAGGGAAAGGGCGCATATACTCACGGGCCCGAACCAGCCGAGGTCTCCATTGTTCGCATGCGAAGAGCAGTCTGAGTGTACGCTGGCGAGCTCTTTAAACTTCTCTGTAGAGCCGCTGATCTCTGCGGCGTAGCCTTGCAGGATTTCAATGGCCTCTTCCTTCGACCGCGTAATTTTGGGCTGCCCAGTCGTGGTGAGTATGCTCAGACGAGGCTAGTGACCGGCTGTATGCACCTCCTTCCAGCTGCTGGGCCTCCGACTCCCGCTATGCTTCACGAGCAGATGACTGGCGCGCACCTGCGCAGGCTTGCCTCCCTCGCCGAGTAAATACTGCTTCGCGCCGGGCAGCGCGTGCAGCTGCTCCTGGGTGAGCTCCTCAGGCGGATCCCATACGGACTGCCCGCTCTGGGTGTCGTAGTAGTAGGGCACCTTACGCGAGTTGGACATGCGGATTTCCCATGACGGCTAGAGACATTATCCAGATCTATCACCGAGCCAGGATTGAATGAGCAATGGCAGAGCGTACCATCTTTGCTGTAGCAGCGAGAAGGTGGTTGAGAGCAGGCTGAGACGGGCGGGAGCGCTACGATCCTGATCTCATCTCAACCACTGCTTAGCGCCGGATTAGCGCCCATCGTGCCTTCGCGTCTTGGGCGCCACAACGCTCATCTCCAGCCACCGCCAGCATCCACCGCCCTCAGAATCTCTTTATACACCAACTTTCTTGCCTGGCCTACGGAACCCGTCTTCGATATGCAGTCTGTAGAGGCCAGCTTGAAAACCCTGCTGGCCACATTACCACACCCCGCAGACAAGCCGGCTCTCGACCCTCTTGTCACGGAGGCGCTGTCTCGCGCGAAGGCGAGTTCGTCTGCCGAGATCCGTAGAAATCAATGGGAGTACGCGTTGAAAAGAGAGATATTCGCGCTCGCCGTACGTGCATGTCATGTCCACCAGTGAATTCCAGAGTTCATTATAGCATTGTCACAGGCGACAGAAGGCCAGGCCCTGAAGGATTCCAATACGCGCTATTACGAACAATTGTGCGACAGACTCGATCTCTGCCTCGTCTTCTCTGAACACGGTGCGTGGCGTTAACCGTACTATATGCAGGGACTAACGTCTAGGACTACAGATGTTTGCGACAAAGCCTTTCCTTTCACAGTCCTCTTCGACCTCCTCGAGACCCAAACAATCGACTCATGCTCACACATATTCAGCTGGATTGAGCTGCGCGCAGACCGACTCACCGAGGGCATGGTCCCGCAGAAGGGCAAGGCCCTCGTGCTTCTGCGCACGCTCAATGACCTGCTACGGCGACTCTCCAAGATTGGCAACACGACGATGTTCTGCGGCAGAATACTGACATTCATGAGTCAAGTGTTCCCGCTCGGCGAACGGAGCGGTGTCAATCTACGGGGAGAATATGGCCCAGTCTGGGATGCCCCCGGCGGAAAGAAGGAGGGAAGTGCGGCGAATGCGGAGGAGCAGGTCTCAATGAAGAAGGAGGCAGCGGAGGAGGAGGACAAGATGCAGGTTGATGAATCCAAGGCGGAGTCGAACAAGCAGGAGGGTGTGTATGAATGCGTCATTATTATATCTCAATACCCTAACCTTCTTGCATAGAGTTCTACAACACATTCTGGTCTCTTCAGCTCCCATTCTCCCGACCTCCGCTTTTTGCTGAGCCAGACGCATTCGCTCGGTTCAAGGAGGGTGTGAACAAGGCCCTGCCTGTCATCAAGGAGGCCACCGCGAAGGAGCGTGCTCTGATGGGCAGCAAGACAAGCGCTGGTCAACCTTCGTCGTTGAAGCGCAAACGTGAATCCGAGGGCGTAGAGGATAATGCAGGTGGCGAGTACTTCTTCGCCAAGTATCTTACCAGTCCGGATCTGCTCGAGCTCGAGGTTCGCACGAAGCAACCATATACACTATAAAGTATACTGACAATGGTGTCTAGATCGCAGATACCCATTTCCGGCGACAGTTCCTCTTTCAGCTGCTCATCCTCCTCAATCACCTCCTCACTTTCACGAAGGCCGTCAAAACGACTTGGGCGACACCACGGAATCGTTCCCTCCAAATGGACTTCACCCTTGACGCGACCGACGCGCAATGGGTCCAGGAGACAGTGACCAAAGCGACGGAGGAGCTCCGGCAGACGACGCCGAATGGACGCTCATTCGCCGAGACCGTCCATGTTATCCTGGAGCGCGAGAAGAACTGGGTGCGCTGGAAGAACGAGTTGTGTGCTCCGTTCGACAAGGGGCCGTGGTCGGAGGAGATCGAGGTCGACGGGCAGAAGAGGAAGGTCGGGTTGGAGGAAGCAACACGGGAGGTGCGCATGAAGATGCGTATGGATCCAGAACCATGGCCGCACAAGCTGGGCTCGGCGCCGCTGACGGAGATATGGGAGATGGGTTACCGAGACTTGACGGACCTGCAGCGGCCGTTCTCGTACGTCGCGCTCGTCTCCGAATGCTGCATGACACTAATCTGAGAGTTAGGCCCGGAGGGCCGCGCGACTTCCTGAAGAAGATCATGCAGGAAGATGCGAGGATAGAGATGAGGAGGAAGCAGCTGCAGAAGCAAGCGGACCGGGTCGCGCAGGCGCGAGCAAAGGCAGCAGCAGCGGCTGCTGCTAAAGAACAACCAAAGGAGTCTGCCCCGCCTGCAGAAACAGCACCTCCGCCCGCTCCTGCGCGTCTGCCGTCGTCCACCTCCACGCCCTTGCATCCATCGCTGCCAGCTAAGCCGGGGACAGTGCCGCCGACGTCCGTGTCTGCGGATAACGTGGCGCAAAGCTCGTCGCCGGCGCGTGTTCCGACCCCTGTGCAACCTGCTGCTGCCTCACCTGCCCCTGTACCAACTCCTGCGCCCCCTCCGCCAGAACCGGCGCCGATCAAGGATCAACTCGTATCACAATACGAAGAGGTAAGTGCAAATGATCCTCAGCGGTACATTGTCCTGATTACTTGTATTCCTGTAGAACAAACAACGATGGGCATGGCTCGGCTTCCGTGCAGGACGAGAGCTTCACTCATCGTTCTTTGATGTCGACCCGCTGGTCAAGTTCGAAGAATATGTGAAAGTTATCGAAATACCAGGGGACCACCCTACACGCAGATTCGTAACGGTCTCGACGAACGCAAATGCTAGCATAGGCATCGCCGAGATGCAGGATGGCGCGACGAGCGCTGGGCCCCCGGAGGCCAGGGAGGATAAACCGAATGGCAGTGTGCCGACCCCGCCGCACGACCAAGAGGGCGACACGCATATGGGGGAACGATGACGCTGCCCGCCGAGTCCGTGCCCCTGTATCGATCGGACGTGCCCTGGGATCTCGCGGTCTGCGCTGCCCGGTCGTTCGACCGAGTCCGATCTACGGGGGATCCAGTCTCGGTCCCGTCGGTCCCCAGGCTGCCTCTCCGTGTTTTATGGAGTGGTTCTGGTTGCTGGAGTCTACTGGGCGGAGTGTAGGATGCAGTACCGTAATGCGGAATATCGGACCGTCGGGCCATAGTAGATCCATTTGTTCTCTATCCATGTACATCGTTGCACGCATCATCATTGCATACGCTACGTCCCACTGCCTGGAGCCCCCGAGAGCGAATCGTAGTCGTCCCGACGACTGTGCGACGGGCCGGCTAGGTTTGTGTCGAACCTAGGGCCGGGCCTTGGTCCGAGCCATGTGGCTATCGTCGGTCTACGAATCGATCTCGACGGTGTGCATACGCTCGAGCTGGAATGGGTGTGCGCCCGGATCGGATAAAAGGCCGCAGCCTCGACGGCGAACGAGTCCCTAATCACCCACCCTCTAATCTACCACACGACATTCTCGACATCATGACGGACGAGCCTCTCCGAGTGCGTCCTGCTTCCTTTGCCCGGCATGTCTGACTGCTAATGCCTCGGACAGCGGGTCCTGGTCACCGGTGGTGCGGGCTACATCGGTGCGTACATCCAGCCACAGATCCTGCATACGTCGATTGCTGATTGCGATTTACCCTCTTCTCTGCCACGCCTTTGCCATGCTGCCGGGGACGATATATTGCCGGTGCTGTGTCAATCCGTCTAGCCTCACATGTAGTCTATGCCCTGCAGGAGACTCGCCGATACAAGGTTGTCTCGATCGACAACCACCACAACTCCACCCCCAAGGCTCTCGTCCGCGTCGCTGAGCTTGCGCGCAGCAACCTCCCCGCAGATGCCTCCGAGAAGGACAAGGACAGCGCGGAGATCGAGGCGTACTCTGCGGACCTCACCAAGCCCGAGGAGGTGCGCGCAGTGTTCGAGAAGTACGGCAAGGGCGGGATCTGGGGTGTCGTTCACATCGCGGTACGCCTTGCACATCCTGCTTCTTCAGATGGCGACTGATACAGCTTGATAGGCCTACAAGGCTGTCGGTGAATCGACGCAGATCCCCCTGACATATTATGCCAACAACGTCGGCGCAACCGTCACTCTGCTCCAGATCGCCAACGAGTTCGACTGCACTCGGTTCGTGTACTCCTCCAGTGCTACCGTCTACGGCATTCCCCCGGTCATCCCCATCCCGGAGACGACCCGCCTACAGGCACAAAGCCCATACGGGAAGACCAAGGTCATGAGCGAGACCATCATCGAGGACCTGTGCAGTGCCGAGCCATCTAAGTGGCAAGCACTCTCCCTCCGTTACTTCAAGTGAGTCCAACATCTCAACAGACGCACGCTTCCGAGACTGATCTGGCTGTAGCCCTGCCGGCGCGCACCCATCTGGCCTGATTGGTGAGGACCCAAGAGGTCGCCCGGGCAACCTCCTGCCCCTGCTCGCCCAGATGGCCGTAGGGCGCATCAAGGACAAGCTCCAGGTATTCGGCAACGACTACCCCACGCCCGACGGCACCTGCGTGCGCGACTACCTGCACGTCCTCGACCTCGCCAAGGGTCACCTGCTTGCGCTCGACGCCCTCGCGCCCGGCTCGACGGTGTTCGACAACCGCCCGGCGGAGGCGCGCTACAAGGCTTACAACCTCGGCAAGGGCAAGGGCTTGAGCGTGCTGCAGATCGTGGAGGCAATGAAGAAGGCAACTGGGTTCGAATACGAGTACGACATCGTTGGTCGCAGGTGCGTATCTCAGCCTGTGCTCTGACTCTGTCGGCTCATTTGGTGGCTGTCAATAGGAAGGGCGACGTGCCGGACCTTACGGCGGACCCGACCCTTGCTGAGAAGGAACTTGGGTTCACTGCCCCGCAGACCCTCGAGACCATGTGCCGCGATTTGTGGAACTGGCAGACGAAGAACCCCAACGGCTACGATGGCCAGTAGACCGTGGTCGGCCTTACGAGGAAATGACCCATAGAACGGACAACGAGCAGTACTTAAGACCCGGGTTGTAATATGTACCCACCTGGCACCCGGCGGTTGAGAACGGACAGCCTACGAGGTTCAACTAGCTACTACTAATGATAATCCCGGGCAATTTGTGACTACAATCTCGCGCTGAGGATGGATAGTGACCACCGATCGTGGAAGTAGTGACCTACTACTGTACTTACAGACAGGTCTGCGCCCCGGGATGGGCCCGGAGTCTGGATTTGTCCTCAGTACTAGTGTGGAAGGTGGAGCTCGGTTCGCACGTGGAGAGCGAGATCAGGATCGTACTCAACGTTGCTCGTTCAACGTATGACTTGCTGGCATCGCACTTTTGTCGGTCGACTCAGGGTCCACTTCCCCGTCTTGTAGCTTATGCTGTTCACGGTGCTTCCTACAGGTCTGGGCGATCATACATGCGCCCACAACACGGCCGAGTCGCCAGCCTAACACCCAGGCTGACCCGGACCAAATGAGGGCGACGAGCGTGTTTCAGTACGCTGGATCTTTGTCCTCAGATCGCGCCGACTGTTTCGCCCCTCAACGCCGCTAGATGCTGGGAGGCAGTGTATCGTTGTTGTGTGATGCACCCGGCACGATGATCGGTCCCGCGATGATCCTCGCGATCGTTCTGGAGGCACGTCCCACGACGCCGACATTATGGGAACACCTGCGAGTCTGCTCTGGGTGGATGTGGCATGCGGTACGTTCGTGGTTCGACAGTTATATGACATGCTGTGCCTCCTGGTTGGGTAGATCGTTGCTCGTGCCCTATCCCGCCGCTCGGAATCGCGCCGGTGCACTCGCCGTTCTAAAACCCAGCCGTGATCCCCATCAAGCCAGCTATCTGTCCAGAGTCCCTGACTACCATAACGATCATGATATGAATTTACAGTGGCCTCGAGACGTCCACTGTGACTCTGTGAGTGGCAGAAATCCTCATGCTGAGGATCCGAGTGCTGCCTTGCTCCCTCTGTCAGATAGAGAGCTGCTGGTGATGACAAGGCTACAGTACCTGCGGATGCATATAAGCTCGTACGGCTCCTCGTTGCCCTCCGCTGTGTGCCTAGGTCAAGCCATGATCATGATGCCGCACAGCACCATCAGATCCATACCTCGGTCGATACCCAAGACTTGCCCATGACCCTGCCGCCGCGAGACTCCATCCATCTTCCGTGTGCGGCTGTTCGGCATGCGGGCGTCCTCTCGACGTCCTAAAGTCAGCATTAGCGGGGTGGGTCGCAATCTTTCCGCCTTGTTTATTTATTCTTCTCCCCCCTGCATTTGCGATCTGTTCGCGTGACACCTCCGGTGTAAGAGACTCCCATTCAAGTCGACGTTTGAGCGCGTGGTATTGACGGTCAGTGATTCTATCCATCCTGCTGTTACATGATTCGAACATTCCTACGCATCCAGCATTTCGATGCCATCCATTGAGAAGTACCCTGCTGATACAGTGTGTTTTCCGGCAGTGTCCCTCTCTGGACCTACTCCCACATTCCTCCTCAACGGTTCTGTGCAACTAGTCTTGTTGCCACTGGTTCCCCGCATTTTCGCAGCGAACCAACGCCGTGCACTATGGTAGCGGGGCTAGGCTACACTGGCATACCGTCCCAAACATGCGGGCCTGCAATCTGGGGATGTTTCTCTCTACCCGCACAGGTTCCTAGCCCAGGATCCTGGTATACGGGCCCGCCAAAGCCAGCTATCCCAGCTGCAGCGTCAACTAAAACAACGTCAACTACAGCAACGTCAACTACAACACATTCAACTTCCCAGCAGCCCAGTCCGACTTCTACACCATCAATGTCATCGCCTCAAACATCCTCGCAGCCGTCCCCGACTTCTAGCGACAGCGCGGACCACACTTCCTCCCCTTCTAGTGGAGGTTCTGGTGGTGGAAGTTCTAGCGACAGTACTTCTAGCGACGTCCCTGCATCGACCTCGTCGTCGAGTGATTCCAGTCCGGCCTCCACTACTACTGACCCGGGGAGCACCAATACAGGTTCACAGCCTTCGCCAGTCAGTCAATCGTCAGTCAATCGGTCGACGTAAGTTATTCTTTGCTGTAATTCCCGTGCTGGTCTGGATATTGTAATTACAGCAACAGCAATGACCTGTCGACGTCAACTTCACACTCTCCATCGACGAGGGTGACAACAATTACATCGGAATCGACCACTGTGATACTCTCATCCCAGATTACCGTAGAGACTGGGTCTTCCGGCACATTCACCACCACTCGAGTATTCAGCAGTAACAGCGTAGTAACAGAGACTCACACGTCGACGCTGGTTGGAGTAGGCTCTAGTACAGCCTCAGCAACTCCTGCCAATGCTGCATCGCGGGGGTCGACGAGGTGAGCATTCGATGTGATACTCAATCATCCTAAGGAACTGACATCTGCTACGCTTGTCTCCTGTTCTCGTCTACGTCACCTTGCCGTTGTACGATGATGGTACAGTAAATCGAACACAGGCCTAATCCTGGGCGGCGTCTTCGGAGCACTAGCCGTCCTCCTACTCCTCCTCCTCGCTCTGCTCTGGTACCGCAGGCGCAGGCGCACGCGCCGCACCCAAGCCCTGCATGAGTCCTTCTGGAACAACCCGCACGACTCTGAGACCCCCGCGGTGACCTCCGGGTTGCTGAACCGCACCGCGAGCAGCAGCTCGTCCTTGTTCTTCACCGCCGAGGATGACATCATGGGCGACAACAACCGCGCCGCCCCGACGTACCGCTACGGCGCGACCCCGCGCGCGCTCGAGACCTCCACGCGCCTCGTCGTGTCGCCGCCGCTGCCTAGCGCGGAGATACGCGCGGAGGATCCCGACCCGTTCGCAGACCCCGCGGCGCGCGCGCGTGAGCGGCCGCCGACGGTCGCGTCGATGGAGTCTCCGACGATTCATGTGGTACAGTCGGACTCGTACTCCAACCTTGCGTTGTTCCCCCGCGAGGGACAAGTCGCTGCGTGGGACACGCCGCTGCATAGTGCGCGCAACTCGGTGGCGCTACATGCCAGTGGGCACGGAGACGTTAGGGCCAGCGTACTGTCGGACCGGTCTGGTGATGTTCAGGTCTGTGGCTTGTTCAGATTCAATTCGCGTCCGGGGTCACTAAAACTGATTGCATTGTTCAGACCATCGAAGCCCTGTGATTTTGCACTACTTCCTGAGACGACACCTCGCTGCATATCAAACAGTGACTCGTCCATGGCGAAAGTACTGTATACGCACCCACGGACACGTTCGTTCCCCTCCTGCCACTCCTTGTTCCGACCTCTCCTTGGCCAACCACCTCTATTTAACCTTCTCTTTGTCGGTGACATCTTGGTTGTTATAGCTGTATCAGTAAGGGTAGCCCTGTAATATCATAGTACATAGTGAGCTGTGGTACGAGGAATACCGGCTGTGTGCGGGTTTGGGTGGTTGGGGAATACAGTCTCTTTATGGCTTCCTGGCGCAATGGTAGCGCATCTGGCTTCGATTGTCGATGTGTCTACAGAGGGGATTGAGAACGGCGCGGTATCTCAGCTGCGAAGAGATAAATCTGGGATGCGATCAAGAAGTCGTCGTAGCCCCACAAAGAGGAGGGAGGGTGACGGCGACGACTGGACGCTGATCCATATACGATGCTCACAGACCCGAATGTTGACCCAACCACTGCTGGTTATAGCCTCACCCCCAGTACTCCGAGTTACGTATACGGCCATGCTCATGATGGTGCCTTTCCCCGAGGCATCGCGCTCTAGACACCAAATCCATGGTGCGCCATCGCGCGACTCTCAGCCATGGTTGCAGCCATCGACTGATCAAGAGGTATCCTCTAGGACGTGGCCCTTCGTAGCATTGTCGAGTCCCAGGTCAGACGTTGTCAGATAATGATAGCGCATTGTACTCACGACGTAGAAGTACAGGACATGCTCTTCGCTGAATGGCGCATCCTCGAATGCTCTCCTTGGACGCTCAATTCTGCTTAGCCTGCTCCTGCTCGCCCTGCCCCGTCGCTGCGATCGCGACTATACGCTCCTCTTCCACCATCACCGACTCGTGCTCAACGACCCGTCCTTGTGGCTCCAGGACTCCGAGCATAGTATTGATGTTGCCCATGATGTCGTCCAAGCGGCTCTCCAGCCCTGTAGCGATGCCGTCCGCGGTTTCGAGCCGCCTCAGGATCTCCGCGACGTCAGCCTCGGACTCGTCATTCTGGCCCTGAGCGAGAAGGGACTGGAGGAGTGCTAGGTCGGCGTCGAGCGTATTTCGAGGCTGACTGGCTGGTGCGCCATTCGCCTGCGCGACGTCTGTCTTTGGCTGGGCCATGGGCGACTTGGAAGTGAAGCAGACTGCCGGTGAGCGCGTCTGGGGATCTTGGGCGGGCGTGACGGGGATATTTAATGAAGTGCGTGACAGGCGTGACTATGACGTTGGCGAGGCAGGGGTGCGCCTAGTTGGACACTGCACCGATGTCGGACGAACGCAACTGGTACTGGGATTTCCACAACTCCTATGTTCCTGGACGCTATAACCCACGGCTGGGTGGCGTGTCGCCGTCAGCCTCTAGCATCTCCTATCGCTCTCCCCGGAACTGGCCACCGCCTGGGGCTAAGCTTAGCAGCACCCGCAACCCGGACGCCTTATGCAGATGACCGACAAGGATGCCCCCCTGCGTTTTCGGCAGTTCTTACTGTTCACGGGTGAGGTCATCCTCACAGTCATCCTTGTAGTTGCGAGCTGGATCGTCAACCGTCCTCTCGGGGGTCACCACCTGAAGATCCGCCGCATCTCAATCAGGCGGCTCTCCCTGCACGACGTCCACTACACCGGCGCCCTCTACGACGAGAAGTACACCTACACTTTCACAGCGCCATGTATCTCTGCTCGCCTCCACATCCCGACGCCCTCCTATCCCTGCTGGCTCGCCTTGACCGCACACGAGGTCTTCTACAAGTCCACCACATGCGATGCCTCCACCACCCGGCTGGACGCGACCTGCTGGCTCTTCCCGTACCTCTTCAAACGCACCGCAGGGCCCTGGGTCAGCGCCGATGTGGACGGCCTCCGGATTCGTGTGCACAGCAGCAACACCACTCCGTTCTGGATCGGACGTCTGAGGCAGAACCTCGCGGGTGCGCTGGTGAACGGCGACATATACCGCCTCGACGACGTTAAGGCGACGGTGCGCTTCGCGGGCTTGTCGGAGCCGGTGCGTCCTCGGACGCGGGCTAAGTCGCGCGCGAGGGAGCGGCCTCTGTCTGCGGCATGTCCTGAGAAGGGACAGCTGGACGGACATGCACACTCGGAGCTGGACCATGCCGAAAGCTCTGACGGCGAAGAAGAGCAGTACGACAGTGACTCATGTCACGGCGACTCGAGCGACGAGTACGAAGACTGCGAGGCCGACGGGAGCAGCCCCGTGGACCACGTTGACCCTCCGCCGCCCTTCCTGAACCGGGAGACAGACGAGCTCCGCACGACGGTCTCTGCATGTCAGCTACATCTGCACAACCCGGACGGGCGCATATATTCATTCCGAACCATCGACGCGCAGCTCCGGCGGGACTGGGACACCGACCGAGGGAGCTTCGTACTGATTGCGGAGGACAGTCGCTGGATTCGCGTGCATCGGCCGTACCAGAGAGAGTGGACGCCATGGTGGACGTACGTCTTGCCTATCCCTGTTGCTTCATACCAGGCTGATGCCTCTGCTCTCGCAGACAAATCTTCACGTCAATCGTGCAGTTCCCCTTCGACTTGCTGCGTACCGTCGACTATCCCATGAGTACTGTCGATTTGTACGTGAGCCGCGCGGACGTCGTGTTCGATGAGTTCCGGGTACGTTCCTGACTATATGCGCATCTTAGCGTCGCTTCGACGTGTTGACGGTGTTCCTTCAGATCCGTGACGCAGAACTCGTCAAACAAGGCTTCACTTCCCTCCGCGAAAAGACAGCCCTATTTGGGATCAATTGGGGCGATGCTATCCTCGATGCCTTCGTTAAGACGGTTGTCGCACCATGATCCAACGATAGATATGACAGTTCATGTATTTGCACAGATGACACACGGACACACATACACGAAGGACTATCAGCTCGATACCCATGTAGCATCCCGTACGCAAACCATACACGCATATCCACATATTCCTTTCGTCAACCGATGCTCGCGAAGAGCAAAACAGCAAAAAATTGTACCACACTGACAGCACAAGAGTAGTCTGAATCGAGTTTCGCAGGGAGTCCCGAAGGAGCCCCCACATCTGCGAGCCACGAAGTGAGCTGAAGGACGGGCACCGCGCACCGAAGGGCGCGCTGTCCTGGGATGGCACCGCCCCAAACGGCCGCGTGCATGCCCGCCCGGTCCCCGCGACATCTCCCAAGCTGCCTGCGCCCTCCCTCCTCGTGGTGGTTCTCCGGGTGCTGGACGAGGCGGCGGGTTTCTGATATGTCGCGCCGGCGTTACGGCCGGGGCCCTGCTAGGGCCGATCGAGGGGGACTGGAACGCTCAGACCTTAGCCCGCTCGCGAGGGGGACGCGCACCCGAGCGAGGGGCGGCGTCCTGTGCGGGGCGAGCATCGCGGCTTTGGCACTGTCGGGTGTGGTGAGGAGGACGGTGGACAGGCTGTGGCTGATTTTTCTTCGCGTGGGCGGGGTTTGAATCGTGGGCTGGTGGTTGTTCCGCGCCATCGACGTGTCGCGCGTGTCGCGGTCACGGTCCTCCTGCTACCCATTTATCGCGGATCTGCTGGCTGGTAAGTAATGTCCCTAGCTGATGATGAGACGGCAATTGAGATGTGTTACAAGAGAGTATATACACCCAGATGGCAACCGATGGACCCATTGAACTTGTGTCAAAGCTCGTCACATACAGTCAATTCGACGATATGAAAGAGGGCGACCACCGCGATATTGTCGGTAAGCTCATCCGCGCTGTTGGAGAACTACTCACACTGACTCTCTGCTCTGGAGTCCACATTTCCACAGCCATATTACCACACGTGCCACTGCGCGGAAGTTGTCCACCGCCAGCAGCCCTTGTGTATGCGATCCGAAACATCATGAAGCCGGAGCTGCTGCCGGGGCACATCCCGGAGCTGCTCGAGATCCTGGGGCACCTCAACATACTCCGCAAGCAGTCAGTGAAGGAGGCGAAAGCCATCCTCACGCGGAATCAGTACTATTTGAAGAACCCAGGTCCAACTGTCTCAATCTTGTCTCCCACGCTGGAGGACCAGGTGTGCAATGTGCTCATGCATGCAGCTGAAGAGCAGAAGGTTTATAGGAGCATTGTGAATATGTTCTATGAGTTGGTGTGTAGTTCATTCTAGTGTCTCCCCATCTACTGATGTCATTGCATCATACAATCATAGGATATCCATCAGTCATTCCTCCATGGGTCACCAGAAGTGTTCTGGTTGAAGATGACAACATACTTCCCTGGCCAGTTTTCTGATGTGTCTGAAGACCCGACCATGCGCTCTGTGGATGAGGTGATGCGCATGCATTCATTCCATTATGACCTATCAGCAGAAGAGCAACATGACAGCCAGCACACTGGCATCTGCTGTGCAAAGTTTGCACGAGATGCTGCAAGATACATGGAGGATCCTGCTGCATATTGCACTCAAGTTGGGTGAGTGCTCAGTGCATAAGATGTTATGGGACTCTGAATCAGAAGATTTCCAGTGCTCCCAAGCATACTACAATTGCCACGTTGTTTCCACCTCCTGACATACCCACTCTTGTACACATTACAGACAAGTATCTGGTGCATGTGCTCAAGCTAGCAACACTGCTGGAGAGGCACTTTGGTCCAAATTAGTGAATTGATGATCTAACAAGGGACGGTGTCCATGGGTTCAAGAGGATGCTCAGTGTCTGTGTTTGTCAAACAATCAGATGTCTCCTTTGTCTACTAGGTGGAATGTCACAATGTGTTGTGATACATACAGCTGATTCCATACAGATAGGCCCCTGTGGCTGTAATCACACATAGGCAGGGTCAATCAGAATGCAATCTTGAAACAAATAGTGTGGCGAGCTGACGGGCTCGCCACTCGACACCGCGGGCAAACCAGGTTGTTCCAACTCCGAAAACCCCTACGAACATCAGTCCCGCCTGGGAACCTTTACGGACTCCGAATATTGTCAGAGCATGCTGCGAACATGATGCATTTCAGCCGATTTCAGCATGTTCGGAGGCCGAACATGCGTGTTTTCGGCGAACATGCTACGAACATGAGAAATGCGGGAGCATTTTCGGAGTCAGTCAAGCTCTCCGGAAAGGTTCCCATGGAGGACCGATGTTATTATCGTTTTCGGAGCCCGAAAAACCTGGTTTGCCCGCGGTGCGAGCCGGTCTCTAGGCCCAGCTGGCTCGGTGGCTGAACACAGGCTTGTCATTATGTACCCAACTGGATTTGCAATGTATTAAGGCAAGATGGCCGAGCGGTCTAAGGCGCTGGAATCAGGTAGCCTCGTAGTGGGGTTGTCTAATCCAGTCCGAAAGGGCGCGAGTTCAAATCTCGCTCTTGTCAGATCAATTTGTACACGCACAAAGGATTTCTTTTGCCTCAGCTGCTCTGCTCCACCTACTCTGAACGCTGAGGCACTTGTGATATTTTGTCAATGGCTTGATCATAGGCTGGATCACACCATAATATTGTCATTGCCCCTCGGCCTCCGAGTCATCATCAACAGTACATCCAAAGCAACAAGCGAGATACATATCTACTCAGATATCCCCGAACATAATCTTCAAATTCTCGACGCTTTCCGGATCTCCCTCTCCTTTGCCTCGGAAAGCCTCCTTCACAATGGCGGTCTTGCGCTTTTGTATCTGCAAAATGCGTCCTTCGATGGTATCCGAGACCTGCAGCATGTCTGAGCAACCGTAGGCTTAACAGATTGCACGAGAATGATCAACTTACGATGAAGTGTTTCACGTAGACGGGCCTCTCTTGTCCTATGCGATGAACTCGGTCGATCGCTGGCGTGACATTCTCGTCAGCATTCACGGCATTAGACAGTCTACCAACGAGCTCACCTTGGTTCTCGGTTGCAGCGTTCCACCAGCAATCCATCTGCAGTGAATGGAATAACATCAGGGCATATCGGGCGCCACCATCGTTCAGCAACGCACCATGAATACATGATTGGCATTCGTCAGCTGAGTATGTATGCAATCAATCATCTACCAGAGGCGTAAAATTGCGAGAAACTTACGTTGAGACCAACACCGCCTGCTTTGAGGCTCACAATGAGGACCTTCGGTCCCTGAGAATCAGCCTTGAAGCCAACTACGGAGTCATTTCGCTTCTTGACGTCCATGGTACCATCGAATCGGTACCATGTCAGGCTTTCCCGTTCCAAGGCAACTTGTATGAGATCGAGAAAACTCGTGAACTGAGAGAAGACGACTGCGCGGAAAGAGGGATTTTCGCCTCTCAGTCGTTCTGATGGCATTGTCAGATACCGTATCACTACTTCATGACGGACTTACGGAGGTCTCGGAGCAGCGCCTCGAGCTTAGTAGAAGACCGGAAGTCGTTGCGTCGCAATGTGACAGTTGGACGTGAGGCTTGCGATTCCACACTATCGGTTTCGGCCTTCGTCCGTACAACTTCGATGAGATCACTCTCCTGTGATATGTATTTAGTACGAGATTGACGCGAGGGGTATATATCATGGTCACCTTGATAGGGCCGCGAGAACATGTCGGGCATCGACCGTCTTCACCCTTCTCTCGGCATGTCTCAATGAATGCCACAATGCAATCCTTACAGCTTCGTGGAACGTCAGGCTTGCGTGCACGCAGCTGCTAACCAACGCACCTCTGATGCATGCAAATCGGGACGATGGTAGGCGTGTCCATAACGTCAAAACATATTGGACATTCCTGCTCTTCTTCTCCTTCCAGATTTGCCAGCACGCCCTCAGCAAAAACTTTGTTGTCACCCGGTGTGTCTTTGCCTTCGTCGAACTGTTTGATGAGAGCATTGACGTCCACTGCCCCTGCACTTGACGCCTTGATGCCCTCGTCTGCGCCGGAGAGTACGAGGTTGGGGTGCAGGACGGCACGTCGGAGTCTGTCATCATCACCGTCATCAGTCTTGTCTTCTCTCGATGTCCTTGTACCTCTTACCGCATCAGCATTGCCAGGATGTGCGTGTAGTTTCTGCTGACCAGGCCCCTCTCGTTCAATTTGTCGAAGTTTTTCTTGGCGTCTGTATATAGGGAGTCGTAGATCTTCCGTTCTAACGGCGAGAATTCTAGATTCTCCACGATTACCTAGGGCATCTTGAGGTCAGCTTGAACACTTGTCGATGCACCGGTCTGATCACCTCTTTCGGAGGCAACTCGACGATCTTCTTCCCGTCAGTGTCGAGCATGTTCTTCTCACGGCGCAGCAGTACACTCTCCAGAATTACTTGCACGACCTCGACCGCCTTCGGGTCCCGAGCAAGGAAAGGTAGTGAGACGAATCTGACAAAGTATCAATCGGCGCGCTTGGGACTCGGACACTCAGTGAAGACACGTACGAGCGGAAGAAAGTGTAGTTTGACCACGGTGTAAAGTCCAAGAATTTGCTGAAGGCGTGTCAGCACGGTAAACACGCAGAGAATCAAGACGACAGACAGATGCGAGTAGAGGTCTTCCAATCTGTTGACAATAGGCGTGCCTGTAACGGCCCATCGCCGTCGTGCGCGCAGAGCGTAGACCGCTTTCGCAGTTTTGCTTTGTCGTGACTTGCAATGATGAGCTTCGTCGAGAACAACACCTGTTCGGCGAAGCTCAATTCAAGGTCTTGAGTGCAGAACTTGTGACCTACGTAGCCATTCAACTAGCGATGAGACAATAAGAACTTGTCGCTTTTGAATATAAGATGTATGTGAATGCTCACTCTCGAAGACAGGCGACGTGCTCCGTTCCATTTTGGAGTGCTCCGATACCAATGTCCCATAAGACGTGATCACGACATCGACTGGATTATCTCCGCTCAGCGCAACATCCAAGTCGGTCCTATTCTGGCTATGCCATACAAGAACCTTCATTGTTCCCGGCTTGCTCGATCTCTCCAGTTCAGAGCACCATTGCATCAGCAAGGACGTCGGAGCAACAATCAACGTCGCCGCCGGCCCACGCTTTGGTAGAACATCTGCGTCACGTTTAACAGAGCGGAAGGCGCTGTTGAGCTTGAGCTGCCGCTTTTTGCTAGTATTAGTATCGCCGTTTGGAGCTGGGTCTTCTGGACCACGGGCGGTCTGTATGAGGGCAGAGAGCATGATAGTCTTTCCCATTCCCACTGCCACATAAAGTCAGCAGTGGCACGACCACAGTGAGGCAAGATACGTACTCTCTGAGGGAACCACGATATTGTCCAGTCGATCAGCAAAAAATCTCAAACAACTCACGGGGACACATTACCGTCACTTACAATCTCGTTAGCACCAACCTCATCACGCGATTGAGCAAACGTACGCTAGGATACCACCTCTGCATTTCCTTTCTGCCTTCGGGAATTGCAAGCTCAGCTCACCGGAATATTCGTTGAAGTAGAACGCTCGGTCATCTGCGGTCAAGTCGATGACACCATTGTTGGGCTCAAGCGGGAACAGGTATCTGAACGTTTGAGTCACGGACATATGCCGACATGAATGTGCCACTCACTCTTTCCAAAGCGGATGCATTGACGTTTCCTCGCGAGCAGACACCGCGCCGATCTCGATCGAATGCATCCAGCTGAGACCAGGTTGTCATGAGCAGTCACGTAGATACGATATATCGCACTCACTTCAGAGCCTGCTTCTGATAGCCTCGCAGATCCAGGGTGAAAGTGTCGGCGGGGTCCATCTGTCCGAGCTGTCGATCGTTTTGCTGCGCCCTAATATACGTTCTTCAGTTCACTCACTCAGGAATGATAAACATTGTCGGGCCCGCACCGCTTATAGATGAGATCAAGCTCATTGTCAGACAGCTCCTCGCCCTCTTCGTCGACCTCGACCTCTTCCCCGTCGCCCACGATTTCGGTCTGGCGTTTGGGCTTCGACCCTCCGCTCGCTACTTGCCTCTGCGATAGCATCTCCAGATCCTGCTGATCCAGTTTACCATGCGGCCGTCGCGTGAAGTCGCTTCCTTTCCGAGGCTTGAGTTCGAGTACCTTGAACATCTTGAGCAAAGCTTGTTTGCGCTCGCGAAGGATTTGTTCCTCTCCGGTCTCCTGTCCTTCGTTGAACATCACGCGCTCCTTTTGGTCTTCTGCGGATGTACTAGGAGTACGGAAGGCGGATGCCTTGATGTAGATGGAAAGAGAAATTATGAGATCGGCACCAGAATGTAGCGTGGTTGGGCAATCGACGACGGTGCTCCCTCGGAAGTCGACAATGTCTGCTGAGCGTATCAGTCGTCGAACAGATATTCAATGGTTCTGGAGACGTACCGAGGTCCAACAATTTCGACACCCAAGACGCGACGTCCTGCGGCAACCGACCGAACTCTGGACTCCGATGTAGCCAAAACTTCGTGGAATGGCAGGGTACGTGCTTACCAAATCCTCTCGCGTTAGTCAATCTGACAACAAGATCTTTCTTCTTCTTGGACGGTTTCGCTGGTTGTGGCTTCAACATCGTCGCTATGGATATCTGCTTTTTGCCGCCCTTGCTCTTGCTATCTTTGTTCGCGCCACCTTTGCCCTTCGTCTGCCTGGAGTTTGTAGGGACTTCACCCTCTGGCGAGTCGCGCTCAACGCGGATCTCATCGCCTGATTTGACGTATCCCGATCCTCGCACCGTACTCCAAGCGTTAGGGACGAGAAAAGAACCTAGGTACGACGAATTGAAAGACGACGAAACCTGGTCTGTAGACATTGAAAGCTTTCTCTTCTTCTTCGGCCTGTCTTCGGGCTTCTCCTCGACTGTAGGTGAAGGAGAGCGTGTAGATACTTTTGGTTCGTGCATGCCAGTAGATACGCTGGAGACACTCGATGCTCTAGGAGGCTCGTTCATCCCAGGGATGTCTATGTCGTCGGACGAATCTGCCATCGCTTGGTCAAGCGCAATTTCGGGGAACTGAAGGGGCGCGCATTCGTTCTGCTCTTCGTCGTCGCTGTCAGCGAAGAAGAGCGCGGGTTCCCGCGGAGCACTCTTGTCTGCACCAGGCACTGTCCCGTGGTTATCCCTGTCCCGCGTCTGGGTGCCATCGTCGTCAGAGTCTGCGAAAAACGGCGGCGGCGGGGTAGCCATCGCTTGAGACATGTTCTCGAGAGTGGTGGGATCAGAGACGCGGTCAACGCGCGTGCATCCGGCCGCCACCGACGCGTCGCGTTTTTGAAACTCAGTCGGTGGTGATCGCAGTCAAACACGGTCACGTTAGCCTCCAGCCGGCGGCGGGGTTGCATATATCCTGTCTCTCTCGAATCTCCTTTACTGTAAGGCATGACGTTTATATTTGGATGCTGAGAACCACCCCGAGTGTACGCGTCCTTTTACAAACACTCTAGGGCTGGGGTTACACACGGACGGAAAGTCGGGCCGCAGGATACATGTCGCGAGTGCATCGATAATGTGACTATGCTAGGTAGCTCGAAATGTAGGACCATGCTAGGCGGACGGGGACTGCGATGTGTCAGGCGAAGGGTGCGGGTCTTCGAGTGAAACACGACGTACGCTCTGACGTCGTGAAGAAATAAGAGAGATACAGAATCATGCACCTGGCACGAAGCCTCCCTGCATGAATCTACTATAGTAGGCGCCTGACGCATCGCCGATCGTCAGGCCAGAGCTGATCACACCTTTAACCCAGGCGATATACCTTGCGGCGAGAAACGAAGCACGGCTTCATGACCAGCACTGACCAAGGCTGACGCGGACGAGGCTCCACAGCACTCTCTAGGCGCAAAGTAGTGAGAACCGATCCAATGTCGCTGTCCGTGTAATCATTTACCTGGCAAGGGGTCCATATGTCTGGGCCAACTTGCTTCAAGACAATCTGGGCGGGCGGCTCCGAAATGAGGAGACATAACTGCATAGAACGTGACGGTGAGCATAGCCTGAACATCCCTCCTGACGAGTCGCTATGCAGGCGAAGCACCTAGCGAAGGGGCCCGAACAAGTACCTCGACAACAGTCTTCTCCTTTGGGCGAAGACCTCCCTGATGCCCTGCGCTCTGCGAGTACTTGTGCTGTTCGTAGAACGGTCGACATCGCCCAGCCACCAAGCCTAACAAAGGGAGAGAGATCTCACCTCGATTTCGAAGGGTCCTACCAACCGCGGGGAGGGGAAAGCTCACAGCGGCACCGGTATCGCACGCATGCATGTCGCGATCGTGACCACACAGCGGCATCAATGACATCTCGTAGCCTCAGTCGGAAGCGCTTCTTATGCGTAAGTCACTCACCTTTGAGTATGCATATGATCGACAACGGATCGGAAGACTTGGTTTCACATCATTCTTCGTAAATGCATTGGCACGGTTGCATGGGAAGAAGTCTAAGCAATACACCGGATCCGGATGCGCCCCGTCGGTCTACGTATAAGTACATCCTCGAAGTCTACAGGTCCAGCGACCAGGGTTGATTATACCACCCGGAGCGTACGATCAAGACCGCGAAATGCGACCCCGAGTACGATCAGTACACAAAGCGGAAGTTCAGTCTCTGGTTGCCCTGTAAAAGTGGTCAAGCCTCATTCAACGTGGGTTACAGCGGACCGCAGTACGTACCTTGTCAGCCGTCTTGTCTAGGTAATCTTGTTGTTCCTAGAGCACGTCTGGGTCAGTTCGGCAGTTGTGACCCAGCCAATGCAACCGCACCTCAGGCGTCAACGAGTTCCATTTCTTATCCCTGTTCTTGTTGATTGTGCGATAGAATAACCAAGTCAAGAAATAGAGCGCGATGTTCATGCATGTGATACCGATCAAATCTTTGTTTCCGCGTAGATCTACCCGAGCAGTCTATCAGCCAACGCGAAAGACATGGTGCGTTGCATAGTTGACTCACAGAGCGGCTGGCAAACACGGCAGTCGTTAGCATCAGCGGAGCAAGACGGAAACAAGTACACTCACCGCATCATCGGCGCGATAAATGTAAGACTGAAACACCATGTGAGCATCTAGGAGGCCGGGTAGCTCCAAGAACACTCACTGCCACTATGCCGCCCGCTTGCACGAACATGTTGTATACGGAAGCCGATACCGTTCTTGTCCCCACTCCGTACGAATTCGCGGACGCCCACGCGACTTGTATGGGGTGCACGTAGGGGTACCCGGTGATCAACGTGACGACGACATAGTAGACCCACTGCGACGTTTCCTTGGTGAACGTGGTCAATGCAATCAGCAGCGGGAGCGCCCAGAACTGTAGGATGACAGAGGTGCCGACCCGGCTGTCAACGCTCTCGCTGAGGTAGCAGACAACGAGAAGCCCAACGATACCCAACGCTGTCGAAGGGATGGTGAGAAGGTTCGACTGGGTCGTATTGAAGCCGAGGTTGCGCAGCGAGAGCGTAAGATAGGTCTGCGGGGGATTTATGGGAACTAAAAGGCGGTGAGCACGTCGCTTCGACGGGGAGCTAAGATATCACCCACTCATGTGTGTGAGGCCAAGGATGTAGAGCGGCCACATCCTCCAGTCCTTCAAGATGTTCAATATTTGCAGCACCGAGAGACCTTCCCTGTTGTGCATGTCCGACTTCGCGGGATCGTCTCGCAGGACTCGGTTGACGATGATGGTTTCCTCACTAGAGATTCCTGAAATCAGTCTGCAGCAGTACTCGTGACCACTGGATACGTACCGCTCAGAGAACCAGCCCTTCGGTCTATACCAAGCTCTCGTCTGCGTGGGACTGGGAGGCATCATGTAGAAGGAGGCGATTCCGACGAGAAGCGTCAAGCCACCCTCGATCAGGAACATGTATCGCCACCCTGCGTGACCGCCGACGCCTCTCATCTTCAAAATTCCTGTAGCAAGGAATGCACTAACTAGGGCGGCCACGTAGTTGGACACCCAGAACCACGCAAGCCTGATAGTAACTGCGAGCATACTGTCAATGGGACAGCATGAGATAAACACCAGGTGTCACTCACGCTCTTTCCTGGTATAGAAGTACGACAGATAGAGAATGACGTCTGGGATGAAGCCCCCTTGCATGAATCCGAGCAAGGCACTAATTGACGAGTCAGGCCTCGTGGGTTATATATAGAGATGAGCCCTTACCGTGTCGCGAGGAATGAACTGCGGCCGTTAAGCCAGAACTGCGCCAGAGACACTGCGCTCCACAGGATCATCTAGTCATGCTAAGCAACGGTGCGCGTCGCCGTGCGAAGGTTACACACCTGACTGGGAATCCATTTGTCGGGACCGATCCTCTTCGAGATTAGCTGCGAAGGAAGCTCGGCAATTAAGAAGCAAAGCTGCAGGAGAAAGTCGGTGAATATTTGTGGAAAACGTCCGTGTATAGGTGACGTACCTTGAATAGCATATTTCCCGTGTTAAAGTCGTTCGTGGTCATATGCAGGTCTTTGAGGAAGTTGTCCGTGTTCGCCTGGCTGATGTTCGCGCGGTCCAGGTCCAGGGCGAAGAACATGATCCAAGCCCAGACCATGATGCGCCAGTCGATTTTGCGCACGAGTCGCTATGAAACGGGCATTAAGCAGCGCGGTCGCTTCCGCGGAATGTGCACTTACATTCTCGTCCCGCCATGTCCACCGCGCCAACGGGTCGAAGCGATGGGCACTCTCGTAGACCGGCGGTGGTCTGTAGAGATCAACTGTAGCGGGATCGTCGAAAACGGACGGCTGAGTCGCAATGCTGTCCGGGTCTCGCTTAGATCGGCGCCACAGGAAGAAGCCCTTGTTCTCTTCGACCGGCGCTCCGAGCGAGGGGACTTGCTCGAGACTGACGGCGCTGCTTAGCTTGTCGTCGCTGTCCTTGGAAAGGTCAGAGCTCGGGCCCGCGCTGAACGCACGGAGTACGGTAGTCATATCGGCAGAAGCAGAGCAGCCGTTGAGCGAGGATCGTCCGACAGCCTCATCTTAGCGATAGGTAGTACTTATACTTCCACGCGGGCCCCGCTGGAGCCAGGGTCAGTTATTGACCAGGGTGCTCATGGCGCCCCGCGCATTACGCAGTCAGGCGTTGATAGCACACCAGCGATAATGCGCGTAACCTCTTGCGTGAATTGCGTACTTCTCGTGTTGATGGCGTTATGACCCTCGAGACGCGCACCAGTCGCGGTCACATGATCGCTCAATGAATACTGATGGTCAGAACCACAGTTCCCAGAAGCAATATTGATACAATACTATTCGTGCGACTCTGTTCCTTCACCGACGGGGCATTCCCCGTCCCCGTCCCCTCAGCGCCCGCTGCGCCGTCCCGGGAGGTGCTCTTGGCCCCGTGCTTGGCTGCCAGATGGAGTTCGTCAGCGAACCCGCTCCGGGCTTAAGACAACACACTCACAGCTTCGCTCTGTGGCCCGCGGACCGTCTCGTCAATGCTCAGAATCAGGCACGCCGCCTCGGTGGCGCTGCTAATGGCGTTGACCTTGACCAAACTGGGCTCCCAGACGAAAGCCTCCATGTTGTCCCGCACGCCTTCGAGCCCGTCGACGTCAACACCATACCACTTCTCGCCATTAGCGTGCTTCATGCGCAGTTTGTTCAGGACGTCCGTGGAGTCGAGGCCGGCATTGTCGCAAATCTGCCGAGGGATGATTTCAAGGGCCTTGGCAAAGGCAATCATGACGAGCTGGAGCTTGCCAGGGATCGATAGGGCATGTTTGCGAATATGGGCGGACAGATCCATCTAGTGAAAGGTACACCGTAGCGTTAGTATAGCCGGATCCGGTAACAGCTGCAGCCCGACCCATCCGTACCTCGATGGCGCCTCCGCCGGCAACGACGTCGCCATTCTTGACGGCGCGCTTGACCACCATGATGGCGTCGTGCAGACTGCGCTCGACCTCCTCGATGAATTGCTCGGCACCACCGCGCAAGATCAAGGTACAAGTCTTCGCCTTCGGACATTCTTCGAAAATATTGTACCTCTCGCCTCCTATTTGCCGCTCCTCGAACCGTCCGCATGTGCCGAGATGCTCACGTCTGATATCCGAGCAAGTGGATTGGACGGAGCCGCCGACGGCTTGTACGACCCGCTGTAGGTCGGCTGTGGGAACACGACCCGCGCAGAAGATATCACGGTCCGCAAACCACTGAGTCGCCAGATCGCCGATAGGGAGCTTGCTCAGCACGACCCTGGCACCAGCCTTTTCGATAGCCTCAAGCTTCCTGTAGATGATCTCCCACTCCGCATCCACAATCGCCTGGTAGTCGGAGACAGCCTCGACGCGGACCTCCGCGTTGTCCTTCTCAGCCTTGAGCTCGAGCTCGACATTGAGGCAGACGACGAGAGGGTCGCGGAAGGATTTTGGCTGCTGCTCGGCACCCGCATACGTGAACGTCTTCTTGAAGGCAACGCCGTGGATGAGGAGCGAGTCTTGCATGCCGCCGCCAGGAATCTTCTTCACGCCGATGAGAGACTCGTCCAGGTCCTCCTGATCAAGGCATTGCACCGCCTCAACGACCATGTTCGAGAAGAATGGTTTTTCAGAGTGGATGAGTTTTGAGGACATCGACGTAGATGCACATTTCAGAAGGAGGGAACGGAAGCTTCTGCAACCCATGTCTGAGTCTCGACCACATATTCAGGCATAATGTCAAACTCACTCTGGATCCTTTTTGTCAACGGTAACCTGGATGGCTTTTATCCGGTCCAGCGCCTTGTAACAGATACAAAATTAGGATGCACACACGATGCGACTGAAAAAGTACTCACCAGTTGGCACGCCTGACGGAAGCCCTTCATGATGATCTGGGGACTCACGCCCTCTTCGATGTATCCCCGCACCTCCTTCAGCATCTGCGCCGCGAGTAGCACCACACTCGTCGTCCCATCGCCGACCTCCGCGTCCTGCGCACGCGCGATGTCCACGAGCGACCTCGCAGCGGGGTGCACGATGTCCAGCAGCTTGAGGATCGTCGCACCATCGTTCGTGATTTGTGCGTCGCCCCGCTCGGATACAATGAGCTTGTCCATTCCGCGAGGTCCGAGGGTGCTCGAGAGCGTTTCTGCGATGGCGAGACATGCGGAGATGTTTGAGAGGAGCTGGGGCTTGCCCTGCGAAGTATCCGTGCCCTCCTTAAGGAGGACTACGGTCGGTTGCTGTGAAGTGGTCAATGTCTTTCGCTCCTGTGCAGCGATGATTTCTACGAACCATAGCTCGCTGCATGATGTCGGCACTGTGCAAACACTGACCAGAATGAAGCCTTATGCACGCGCGTATTTTGGGATTGCCCAAGCAGGCCTCGATGTTGTTGCTTGTTTGTCATCAGACGCGTCAGTGGCTGAACTTGCGTTTCTGTAGATGCCTCACGATGCCTCACAAGTCTGCGCCCGACTACATTTCCACTCAAACCATTTCGAAAGCAATATCATTAACACGGGAGAACATAGTGTATCCAGAGCAAGCAACCAGAGGAACGAAACACTAGTGCGCTGCGACAACAGCCTCAGGCGTTGGCTTCGCATCATCCTGCGTCCCATGCGCGCGAGCCCGCCGCTTTGCCTTCAGCTCCGACCGGTGCTTGGCTGCTTTCAGCCTCTCCAAACGCTCATCAACGTCGACATATGCACCCCCAACATCAATGAACTTGATGGCCGGCCGACCAGGCCGTTCAACAACAGCATGCACCTCCTCCTTAGGATGAGGGACCTGAACTTGAGCATCCTTCGCATCGGCGACAGCTCTCGCGCGACTTCGAGCCTGCATACGCGCGCGTTCCAGCTCACGTAGGACGACGGGCTCCTGCAGAAGGTTCAATACTGAGTTACAAGGGACAAGGCTGACATCGACGTACTTGTCCCTCAACCACCGGCTCCCAGAACAACCGTTGATACCGGTCTCGTGCACGAGCCTTTCCGACAGGGTTTGCCGCATCAGCCTGTGTGGCATCCGAACCCAGCTCTTGCGAACCCTGAGCAGCACCTCGAACAGTCTTGATGTTGTCGGTGACGCCAAGTATCTCCTCCATGCCAACTTGAAAGCCAGTTTGCAAGGGCTTGTTCTGTGGACAATTCGTCAGTGAACTTGCCTTCGTTCAAAATGATGGATTGCGTAGATTTCAAATAATGAGGACATTATGAACTACTGCCGGGCGATAGAAGGCACCACGGACGTCTTTCAATTCGCGAATGTTGAGATAGTCTCATCGTACGGCGACGAAACACTGCAGACAAGTACGGTATGCTCACCTCCTAGAACATCAATCAGGCAGAGTTGGAGTGCAGGTTAGCTTTGTTTTCACGTGGAACGTGTCTAAGTACCTGGTAATACATCAGCTCAACGTTCGCCATAAACGTGTTATGAGGAGGATCAGAAAGCTATATGATTTGTTTAACCATGTATGTTTGTCTTCAAGACTAATCGATTTTGACTCGTCATAACACCGCACCCACGTGCGTAAAAACAGCTGGAAACGACGACTAACCTTTTTCCAGCTTTCCTCCAGACCCTTCAACCTCAGGATGGCATCGACACGCTGAATACTGATGCCATGCCGCTCGGAGAGTGCCCGCACATTATACACTTCGGGATTGAGCATATATTCATCGTAGATCTGAGTGCGCAGTCTATCCGACACGGGGGTAGGCGGCTTGAAGGATGGGTTCAGCGGGAAAGGCTAACCAACAACACCGCGTCAGCTAGCATTCCAAAATCACGCAGTGAAGACGAACTCAACTACTTTGCCACCAAGCCAGTTGCGGGGCCTGACTGGATCCCTGTAGAACTTACCCGTCGACGCCAACCATTTGGGGAAGGAAGGATCGGTAGCGTCCCCCTTCTTTCTTGCATTCATGAAAGTGGACTCATCATCGTCCTCCTCCTCTGATGCACGAGATAAGGAAGCCAGGCCGCGACTACGGCTGAGGACAGTCCATGACGCTGGTGTCCTACAAGGCGCGGCGGTGCGCAGATGAGCGAGCATTGAGCAACGCTGGCAGTGGCAGAAAAATGCGGAGGTCTGCTATTTCCTCACGTGCAACTTCAGGGCAAGTAGGATCGCCTCTGCCGCCACCGACGCGTCGTGGCTTGAAGTTGCACCGCGACTCCGAGTCACAGTATGGCCTTCGACCCCTCAGACGTCCGAGAACCCTTCTTCTCTGTGCTCTGCGGATATGTATCCAATGTGCCTCTACGATTGATTCCAGATCTTGCCAGCATATCGTTCGAGGAGGCTCACAATTTCTTCTTGAATCGACTGTTACTTAATCCGCATGTCCAAGCTTACCCGCCCGCGGAACGATACCAGATCCTGTTCTGGAAATGGGCTATCGAAACATTGGAGTCGCTGTTGGATGAGCAGGTGGTTATGCCGTCTTCGCTCCTCCATATTAACCAAGTTTCAGTGCCACAGGATGCTGAGATCGACGATCGCCTGTACAACCACCTAGTCAACTTGATCCGATGCTCCTCATCGTACGTCCAGCTCGCAATGAATATATGCCTGTATTGATTGTAGCAGCGGAACAAATCCACCATCGGCGAGCTATGTCACCTATCTGTGGAAGAGTTCTGAGACACAACGACAGCGCGCGTCCATATGCGCCGGGGTCGCGAATGCGACGTTACTCGAGTCTCGTACGCTCGTCGAAAGGGGAACGACTGGACTCACTACATGGACGGCCAGCATCTCACTCGCCGAGTTTCTGTTCAAACACTCAGGTATGCCTGGTTCCGCGCTCGTGCTACTGCGCATCCCCCAACCTTCCTGTAGAGCTCGTGCAAGGCAAGCGTGTTCTTGAGCTAGGATGTGGCGCGGGTTTTCTTGGGATAGTCGTGGCAACGTTACAGCAGCGATGTGGGATCGCCAGGGCGAAGGAGCACGGCCGACCCTCGCTCTGGTTGACAGATGTCGACTCTAACGTCCTGAGTCGCTGCCAGGATAACATACAGCTTCCCTGCAGTATGTCCACCTCCTCAGCAAAATTGCATTGTTAAATGGTCAAACCGTAGATGCATCGTCTTGCCATCCAGACGTACATTGCGCAAAGTTGAATTGGATGGATGCGAACAATCCTGCCGCGCGGCCATCACTCGAGTCAACCATTTGTACAGTCAATGCAGATGTGATCATTGGGGCAGACATAGTGGGTACACGTTTCGTGCGTCAGCTTGAGCTTTCGCTCAAGTTGACTCAGGTGTTTGACCCCGCCATAATACCAGCCTTGGTTGATACCATGTCGTTGATCATGCACAGTGGCCAGTCCAAATCCGGCAAACATATTATAGCGTACATTGCGCTCACCGTCAGGAACGAGGAAACGCTATCACGCTTTGTACACACATCTGGTATGTCATACATTCTTCGGTTTGTTTGGCTCTGACGGGATGTGGACCTTCAGAGCACTCACTCGAGTTGCTGGACATTTCGACTGAACTAGTCGGACAAGGGATACTGGCAGTGCCACGAAGCGAAGACCAAGAAATAAGACTGTACAGAATACAGCGTCGTAGGTAAAACATGCAAATGTACAATAATCCAATAAAAGGGACAGAAAACATGTACCATGACCAAATTACACGGAAAACCTAACTCTGCGTCTTGATACTTCCGCAAAAGCCACAACTCCAGAAATCATTAGGCGTTCCTCCCTCGCCGCAAACAGTGCACGTCCACCCGTCGGTTCCAGGCTCCCGCTTGACATTGAGACGTGGTGCATCGCATGTTGCACAACGGAAGCGCTCTGCATCGTTCATGAGTGTGCATCGTGGACAAGCCCACTCGTCAGTGGTAGTCGCGGCTGGGGCACTCGGGGTGCTACTGGTTGAGGGAGGACGCCGCGGTCGTGCGAAGTCACACACTGCGCATCGAGATGCCTCTGCCTCGTTCACGAGCGTGCACTGTGTACAAGACCACTTCGTAGACGAGGCATCTACTGCGATACCAGACGCGGGGGTCGCCGACGGTGTGAACACAATGGGCCTGCTGCGTTTCGTGGTCGTCGTTGACGTCCTACCCGATGGCGTCCTCGCTGCGTTTGCTGCCTTGGTCGTGGAGGCAACTACCTTGGAAGGCCCAGCGATGGGTCCATCCACGATCTCAACGTCCGAGTCCGGGTCAGAGTCGGAGGCTGTCAGGTCGATTACCCTGTCCTCGATGCTCTCTTTCGCGGCTTTCTCTACTTCCTTCTGCGCGACTGCACCGGAAGCGCATGCCTTCTCGTCGCGTGCACGCCTCTCTGCGGCCTATCCCAATGTCAGCACGTGAGCTCATAGAACAGGTTCAATGTCAACGCACTTCTGCAGCCAACTGGCGTGGAGACTTGTTGGTAGTGCCCCTTACGCCGCCCAACCTGCCTCCGTCACCGAGAATGGCACTTATCTGGCGCCGCTTCTCTGCAGCTTCGAGAGCCCTCTGGCGAGCTAGATGAGGCGGCAGGTCGTGCGAGACGTTGGTGCCGAGTCGCTGGCCCTTCGAGAAGAAGCCTTCTCCCGCGTACCCCGACCGTTTGAGCGCATAGTACTCTTCTTCTAGGCCCGCAAGAAACTTGTAGAACTTCTCGTCGTGAGGACCGTGTACGTTATGCGTAAGCTACTCCGAAAGGGCATTTTGTAAGTACGCTCGTTTCACGATCGCGAGTGGTTGGTGTTTACGTACCTCGTGCAGCATGGTGTGAACGATGTCTTCCTCGTCGTAGAACGTATCAGGCGCGTGCGCAGGTCGGAGTCTCAAGAAGATCTTCTGTCCTGCATTGATGTCTATACTTCACCGTTTAGTCCTCTGGCGCCGCTGAGTGCGACACGAGTACATACTCAGACCTGGACGCAGCCGTGCCGTCAGTCACCCCGTGTGCAGTATTAGTAGCTTTGAGCATACCTACTAGATTTGGGCTTTCCGGAAAGAATTCCGAGAGAACGGGCAGCATCCAGCTATGCTTGCGCATAATCGGCTTCACCAGTGATGCGATGCGCTGAAGCAAAGGCAGAGCCTGATCTGCCTTTGGTCTATCCTTTAGATGTGTGAAAGACTTGACAAACGTGTTCGTGGTACTTGACATTGCTGCAGGTAGAATGGGGTATGGGGAGGACTCAGAGGATGATAAAAGCACTGCGCAACGAGCCGAGGTACTTAAGTTATGTACGACAGGCCACCACGCCGGTCGGACGGCGACGCGCTTTATGAGGCGCGGTCACGAGCGCGCGACGCGTCAGTTCTTCGCTGACCAATCGCTGACGCGTCCTCATCCCGACTTCCTCGGGCTCGAACATAACAGTAGCTACCAGAGGTTAATTCCCAATAGCGCCTGGTGCGTCTCAGGACATGAATTGGACCTGAATCAAATAATGTGCGTAGAAATACAACAAATGCAAGCTATGGTACACATGGCGTCTATGGATAACTGCGAGAGATCTAGGGAGCGTGCGTGGTGGTCCTTCGTGACCGAAGACAGCGAGATAATGCATACAAACAATGAGCGTGGTAAGCCAGACAAGATCGGCGGAAGCAGAAACACGAACAGAGGAGGCTAAACAAGAGACATCGTAGACGAACCATCGGCGGCCTTGATCGCATGGTAGACGCGAACGACGCGGACTTCTATCGCCCGCTCTGTCTTGGTCTTCAATTTGCGGGGACTGAGGGGGTTCGATGACGAGCGATCTCGGCCTTGGAAAGAGGAGGAGGTTGAGCCGAGCCGCAAAAGAGGAGTCCTAGGCGAACTCTCAACGGGGTCTTCGTCCATCCGCAGGCCAGGATAATCCATGGGCCAGTTGAAGCGCTTTCGTCTGAATCTGTGGATTCGCCGTCAATGGTCAACTAATTGCACCGCAAGAGACAGGGTCCTGCTTACTGATCATAATCGAACAAGTAGTCATTGACTTCGTCTTCCGAGAATAACGGTTCCCCATCCTTATCGGTCTGCTCCTTGATATGTTTTGTCAACGCGTTCTTGCACGACAGTAGCGTATGCATATTCTTGCATGCATGCATCTCCAGCTCCGCAGGGGAGAACGGCAGGAGCTTGTTCAGAGAAGTGGGAAGCAGGATGAGGCCCGGAGGTTGATACGGTTGGGGAGGCTTAGGCGGCCTTGAAGACTCAGCGTCTCCGACAAGCACTCTCAGCGCCTTCGACGTAGCAGTGGAGTCGAAAGACCTGATCCTCGGCGAGCTTGTCGGGATGGGTATATCACCTTCGCTATACCTAGGTCGCCTAGTCGGCCGCTTCGCGCTTTCCCGCGCTTCGCTCCGTTCTACGAATTCGCGTGAAGGGACTCCCAGACGAAACTCGTGAGCCATTTTCGCCTGGCTGAAGTAGTGCTCCAGCGCAAGAATGATGTACTCGTATGTCCGCGTCCCATACTGGTACTTGCGCACGAGCATGCACATGAATGTATCCTCGAGCTGACCCGCCACCCGCGCACTCGCTTCGTAGTCGGCCTCAGATTGAGACCGCTTGTGGCCTTTTCCCGGCGAGTGGGGTCTGTTGGTCGTGTTCGGTGCGCTGGACGGCTGAGTTTCCCATATCTTCCTCACGGCCTGAGCGTCATGACGAGCATTGATTAAATCCTGCCAGAGATTCGGCGAGAGGTCTGGGTCAATCGGACTGGGAATCTGGTAGCCTCGAAGTTCCTCAATGGAAGGAATCCGCGGGAAGAACAACTGGTCGTCAACGAGTTCAAGGCGCCCACCGGGACAGAGGACACGAGTGATTTCTGAAAGGACGAAATCCCAGGTCCAATAGGGTACAACCAGGGCGAGGTTGGCCATCCTCACCAGGTCGAAGCTATTATTGTGGAAGGGCAGGCGATACTTGAGGCTAGTACAGATGATAAGTCAGTTCGATACATGAATGTAAGACTAGGCGTACGCACAAGTTGCTACGCACGAAAGTGACGTTTCTTGGTGGCACCTCTGCCTCACGATCTCGCGAGACACGTCCGTGGTCGTTGTTGTACAAGTCGATGAGGTCGAGACCTGTCACATGTGTACCTGCAGACTTCCACGCTCGCGCGGCAAACAAGACCCAATGGCCCTCGCCGCAGCCAAGGTCGAGCACATTCGTCGGTGGTCTCCGACCATATTCGTGGAAGGTGGGTGAGTTGCTGTTCGTGTTGAGTCGACGCAGCAGTTCGAACGTGTGATAGTCGCTGTATCGCCCTTGTTAGCAGGGAGACAGTTGTTAGCAAGACGACCACTCACCTATCAAGCGCAGTCGGGGAGTATGACTGTATGTAAGGCGCATCCTCTGCGCTGAATGGGTGATGGGGCATGCCATACCGTTCGACCGTCCGGTTCAGGTCCTGGAAGTTCCTACAGTCCTGTTCCGACATCACCGAAGACGTTTCACCGGAACCATTCTCCGCAGACGAGCCGTCGAATAGGCTCTCGACTTCGCCAAAGGACACCACCGTGGCCGTTTCATCCGTCAGCGAGGACTGTCGACTGTGGCGCTTATTTTTCCGTCCGAAGGTGAAGGAGTTGTTCCGTCCCCAAGGCCGCCTCTTGAGCCACGTAGAGCCGCTGCTGCTGCTCGATGTTGCTGTCCACAATGTATCTTCGGAGTTGACACTAGTCGACCGGGTCAAGAGACTGATCGCATGGGAGCGCTCGCTTCTTGGGCGAGGCGGCGACGCCCAGGGAGGCAGCGCGGGGAGAGGTCGATTGTATATATCGGGAGTCGATGCGGTACGCTTGAAGTCCATGTTGAGAGGCATGCCAGAAGAAAAGATTTCAGAGGGTCGCCACAGCAGGTGAGACAATAGTGTGCAGGTTATGCGCGACGGACGTCCGAGCTGGAAGTCCGTCCTGTGGCCAGTGTAGTCCTACGGGGTGATCGAAATTCAGTCCGCTCTCAGCAGCGAACGTAGATATAGGAGTGGCAGAGACCACGCTTTGACGATGTCGATAGAGGCCGTTAATCTTAGCCAAAGCAAAGAGATGGAAGCGAACCGGGGAGCGACGACTTCGGGTATGCTTTGTGTCTCGGACAAAGGGCACGAGGCACCAAAATACTGTGTGGCCACGAGAGACCGCCTTGTATGGGAAAGTCTGAGCACCGTAGACGGCAATGCCAAAACGAGATGGCGCTTTGGCCTTGAAGGCGAGACAAAGCGTCCCCGCTGACGTATTTGCGGCGGCCACCCGGGTGTGGCGATAGCTGTGGCACATACAAGGGTGCTTTGATCGTCCGCGAGATCATTGCTAGAATAGCCATGATGCCGCAGCTGTCAAGAGTACGCGGTCAGAAATTAGGCAGGCAGGCCACAGCGGTCACCGTCAAAGCAAGGATTATATCCGGGGCGAGGCTTCAATTTGGCGCCCAGCGGTAGCGTACAGCCTTGCCTCTTTGGGGTTGGCAAATAGAATCCAACTTGACACCCGCAAGCTGGAACGACAGCCACAAACGCGGTAGGGCTACAACAGTGCTTGTGTGGTACTAACATTGAAACATTTGATTCGTATTCTAGAGTAGGTGAGTGCCAGTACCTGCGCAGCATCGACTCAGACGGGGACTCGCTCTCACAAATGTAGCCATCTGTACGACACCCTTTTAATATCACGACTCTCCAAGCTTGTAGTGTCCATTCAATCATCTTTCGCAGGTGGCGGACCACAAGGCTGCAACATGCGCTACGCAAGCTCGTCACCATGTTTGTGCAGCCATTGAACGCACGCAGAACGCACCTCAGTCATCTCGAACTTCACCCGTCCGACAGCCTCTCCGTCAGCAATGGCAAGGTACGAGGCGAGCGGCGGGTGCCCCACAATGGAGGCGAGGGTGTCACGGTGCTGGTGCGTGAGCCATTCGCTGCGGAGCGGTGAGGATGCACGCTTCAGGTCATTTGACGGACAAAGACGTACTATTTCGTCAGATCAGCGTGTCCTAAGGAGAGTCACAGCGTAAGAATGGATGGCTATACAGGTGCAGAGGGTTACATACCTGTGCCTGTGTAGCGAGCGTGCACTACATGCAGACTACCTGGTTAGTACGCCTGCGGGTTGAGAAAGGGCATGTAACACGTACGATGCTCGAGTTGGGTGTTGGCGGTGTACCTGAGCTCTGAAGACTGCCAGCGTGTAGGTTAGCAAGCAAGATTTTGCGTACAAGACAATTGAAGATGACGGACCATGGCAAGAGCAGACAGTGCTTTGACGCCGTCGGCGAGCGCCCATGCGATCGCGTTCACGGACGCGTCGGGTCGGTGGCACACTGCGCGGTCACAGTGCACGCGCGCACTCCAGACTCGTACCCCGCACCCAATGGCCCCCCTCGCCGCCTCGACGTCCGGCGACTCATCGAAGCAGACCAATGAGACGGACACCTCGCTGGACGTCTCTGTGTTGAAGGAGCAGGCGCGGAAGGGTCTGGTAGATGCATTGAATTCCGTGAATGGCGCAAAGACTCTGGTGCTGGATCCTACACTGGCCGGGCCTCTGAGTTTGGTAACGGAGGTGTCCTTGCTCAAGGTGTGTGGCGACGATATGCCCTCCGGATCACGAAGTGCTCATCCAAGTTGGCCAGCATCATGGCGTTGACAAGATGTTCTGGCTCGAACCGGGGCCTCTGTCTGCAACGACTACGAACATTGTATACCTCTGTCGGCCGCTCGTTAAGTGGGTCAAGCTCATAGCTGGTAAGCTGTCTTCTTGGTTTTCACCTCGAAGTGCGCTAACAGGACTTGGCTCTAGAACAACTCAAACGACATGGCCGAGAAGCCCAGAAACACACATATACCCTGCTCTTGGTACCTCGGACCTCGACGCTCGTCAGCCGGATATTGGAAGAAGAGGGCGTCTTAGGAGATATCACCATCTCCTCGTACAACCTGCAATTCATCCCCCTCGCCGACGATGTCATCTCGTTGGAGAACGACAACGCGTTCAAGGAGTTGTGGGTCGTACGTCTGCTCTACGCTGTCCCTCAACAGTCTCCTGATTCGCCTCTCAGGACGGGGACGAGACTGTCATCTACAACTCGATGCAAGCCCTGCACGGTCTGCAGCGTCTGTATGGGCAGTTCCCTCGGATAGTCGGGAAGGGTGACTACGCCTCGGTACGCCCGCCTCTCTCCCCATGATTGTATCGCTCACGAGTGCATAGCGATTAGCCAACCTTCTCCATGGGAACCCGTCAACCTCGGATAGTCCAAGCACTAGTCAAGCCGTTCAAAGCCCTATCGACTCCTTAATCATTATCGACAGAGGGGCGGACATGATCACGCCTCTGCTCACACAACTCACCTACGAGGGTCTTATCGACGAATGCTTCGACATCAAGAATTGTACGTAAATGGGCACATCTATGCGGCTGGGTTCCGCCTCTGACAATTCCTCTAGCCCACGTAGAAGTCCCAGCATCCCTCCTAGCCGCACCTCCAGCCCCAGGACAACCAAACGCCGCTTCATCCAGTACCCCGCCCAACCCGGCACCCACACTAGCGAAGGAGAAACAGAAGAAGAAACACCATCTAACCGCAGCCACCGACCCCCTCCTCACCGAGCTGCGCGACCTGAACTTCGCTCACGTAGGCCGGAAGCTGAACCAGGTCGCACGGCGGCTGGACGAGGACTACAAGGTAAGCAAGGACACCGCGGGGTGTGTGGAGGTTGCTCATGCTCGGACTAGCTCAGGCACCAAGCGAAAACGCCTGCGCAGTTGCGCGACTTCGTGAACAAGCTTGGGGGACTGCAGTCGGAGCACCAGTCTTTGAGGCTCCGTGAGTGTCGCCCAGCCTATGTCCGGGGTCGTTCTGACGAGAGGGTTTCTAGATACTGGGTTGTCTGAGATGTTGGTCCCTGTGACGAGGAGCGACCAGTTCAACAAGTCACTCGAGATCCAGCAGAGTCAGTCGTTCAGTAACGAGTCGCCGTCGAGGATGCATTGCTCATCTTTACGTCCCCGCAGATCTGCTAGCTTCATATGACATCCCCGCCCAGCTGACTGCTATCGAGGAGCTGATAGCACAGGGCGCGGACATGCAGGTCGTCGTACGGTTGTTGTGCCTCGCCAGTATAGTCAGCGGCGGCATCAAGGCCAAGACGCTAGAGAACCTAAAGCGCGAGATTTTGCAGGTATGTGTCCTCGCTCCGACATGTTATCATCATGCTGAAGTCTGTAGGCTTACGGTTACAACCTCTTGCCACTACTCCTCTCACTATCGGCACCCCCATTATCCATCCTTCTCCCGAACCCTCTGCCGCCTTCCGCCCAAACCACCGCCGCAGCGACGAAATACCCCTACGCCGCGCTGCGCAAGTCCCTCCGGCTGCTTATCGAGGACCCCGACAACGTGGACGACCTCGAGAATGACATCAGCTACGTCTACTCCGGATATTCACCCATCAGCGTCCGGCTGGTCCAGTGCGTCGCGCAGAAGGGCGGCGTCCTAAGCAACCCCGCCGCGGACAGGGAGAAGAAAGCGAAGGCCGACGTGGATGGGAGCAGACTGAAGGGCATGCCGTCGCAGAAGGTCCAAGCGCATCCCATCGTGGGCTGGAAGGGCTTTGAGGATGTCGTAGCGAGCATACCGGGTGGGACGGTTGATATCGTCCAGAAGGAGCCTGGAGGCCTGGAGGGCGCAAGTGCGACGGCCGCGACACTGAGTGAGTGAAATCCCGGTCTTTTGTGGGAGTATCGTGCTGAGATACAGTCATGCCGAGAGAAACGCCCACCACTACGCTCGTGTTTTTCCTGGGAGGGTGCACGTACACGGAGATCGCTGCGCTGAGGTGGGTTGGCCGGCAGAACAAGGGTGAGTTGGGATCTCATCTGTTCCCGTTGCGGTGGCTGAAAGAGCACGCAGGGCGCAAGTTCTTGGTTGCCACGACAGGGGTCATCAGCGGTGCAAGCCTGATAGAGGGTATCGCGGGGGTCGACCGCAGTGCTGCGCATTCGAAAGATGCAGCGCTCTAGGGAGCAGAGGGGCCTCAGACACGCGCAGGAGGAGGCGGACCCGGCATAGCGTGGTGTGGAACGCGGTTGCGCAGGACATAGGCCATTATCTATGTGGCAGGGCGCGCTAGGGCCCATATGGAACAGTCGCGGATCGTTTCGCTCTCTCACATGTATTTGGGCTAGCCTTCGTATGATGTCGCGGAGATTCGCCTGGGCTGGGCTGCTGACCTCCCGTGACCCGACGCGTCGTTGAATAGCGGTCTGGCGACCAGGACCCCGGTGATTCTGATCTTGGCTCTCCTCTCCGTCCCCGACCGCGTAGGATGCTGGGTATTAATATTGCCCAGGTGGCTGCTGCTGACAGTCGCGGCCGAGCAGAAGGGCCGCTGATCTCAGCGTGTATGGACACAGAATTAATGCTAGGATAGTGGCTGTCGAGATGCACCCGCCGTGGGCGAAGCATGGGGAGAACATGGGCCCATTCGATCACGGAGGAAGATGACGACATTACGTGGCAGGAGTGGCCGGGGGCGGGCAGCGGGGGAAGCGTGTTGAACAGGACTAACCCTGTCACCGCAATTTCTGGGCTCGTATAAGGCCCCTGCGCTTCGACGCGATGTGTCACCCTCTCTCGTCCCCCGTCCTCCTCAGCCCACCCAAAGGCCTCTTCCCTGTCCGCCCCTGAAATCCGAGATTGTCAGTGGTCCGCGCCGCTGAGCACATTGCAGCTCGAACTGATCCAGACGTCTCTGCAGCCCGATAGCAACCATGGTCGCAAAGGCTGCGCCTGCTGAGGTCGATAAAAAGACCACAGCTGCTCGGAAGAGTACGTCGTGTGTCGCATTCTGCGATGATCACGCAACTGAGCCACTCCATAGAGAAAGGCTCCGCGGGTGGTAGGAAGAAGCTCACCGAGTTCAACAAGTTCATGCAGACCGAGGTTGCTCGGCTGAAGGAGCAAGACCCGAACATGCCCCACAAAGAAAGGTTCGTGGCTATATGCACCCTCGCGTGGCGCGTGCACTGACGTGTGTCTGGTAGGTTCAAGCTGGTAATCGAGAACTGGAACAAGCAGAAGGGCAAATAGGTTACTCGCCGGGCTCTTATCGCGGCGTGCTGCAAAAACACGACGTCGCATTGATGTTGCGTCTTCCGACGGATCGCTCGCTCCGTCTCGATTCCCCCAGGTTAGGACTTCCATGTTGCTTCCATGCTGCCTTTCCTTCCTCGCTTCTTGCTCGCTCTGCTTTCTCGACTCGCGTTTGCTCTCGACAGCTCGCTGTGCCATGGGACCTGGTTATGCGCCAGTATGACTCACGTTACCTTTGCGCACCATAGGTAATATTGTACAGTGACATTGCCAATGTGTACGATTATCCGGAAGTAGTGAATGCTTATGGTCGGTTTGAATGAGTCAATGTGTGTCCGTGAAGTGTGGTGGGGTGAGTTGATCTGTTCTGTGTGGCAGAAAGTGTACATCGCGTGGAGATCGCAACGCACACGACGGCTGTTGCAGAGAGATGAGCCGGAGCGGGCGGACAGTGATGAGATAAGGCGTCGATGGCTCCGCCTGTGATCGCTACGCCGTTCCGAGGCTGTCTCCTCCTTCCGGACGACCATGCACCAGCTGCCTGTCCGCCCTGGTGCAGCACTCCCACCCAGCCCGCCTTTCTAGCTCTCGTCCGTCTTCTCGCTCGATATCCACCCATCTGTATTACCACCTGCACGGCCCGTGCTCGCACACGCACCACGCACTTAGATTCGCAGGCTCTGACCATGAGCCGGGCGCACGACATCGATAACGGCGAGCCTGAACCTCTCTTCAGTTTTGACTCTAATGAATCGCTTAAGGGCCTCTATCACAACGAGGCCCCTGCGAGGGTCCCCCAGTCCTCCTCGCGCATCTCAGACCTCGCGGACATGCTGTCGGCTTTAAAGACAGCAACCAGTACCGTCGATCCCGGACCCCTCTCTCCTGGCGACGCAATGGAGGACGTCTATCCTGCCGACTCCAAGGGCAAGGGTGTGTCCCAACCTTTGCAGATCCAATCGCGGAATGCCTTCGAGGATCTACGGGCTGATGATCAGGAGGAAGACCTGTTCTCGATGTCCTTTGGTACGGCGGCTTCATCCGGTATGCGTGAGCTTGTAGGATCCCCCGCATCTTCATCCACTCCTTCTACTGCTAGCAGTTCTTCCCCTCGCTCTCCGCTGAATGCACAGGAGATCCTTGAGGAGACAGACATGCCCTCAGGAGGCAAAGGCAAGGGCCGAGACGTACCGCCTACCCTGCCCCCGCTTTCCTTTGGCACAACCGAGCTCAACTACGAGAGCTCAGATTGGCCTACTTTTTCTTCATCTATCCCGGGGCCCTCCTCGTTCAGCTCGAGCTATGGATCAGTCGGCGATCAGGAGCCGAGTCTGGGCACCCCTACCTCCGTCGCCGGCCCCTCCAGCCCGCCTGCAGACATACTTGAGGCGGGCACCGTCCTCGTCCGCATCCCCTCGCGCCGCCACTCGCTCTCGAGCCTCTCCACGCATTCGAAGCGCTCGTCCTCCGCACTGTCCGTTACGAAGTCCAAGGTGAAGTCGTCTTCGGGCACGAAGCTCCCGGGCAACTTAGCGCGGAAACTCCTCGGAAAGCAGCGGGACAGCCCGTCAGGCAGCCCAACGTCCCCGACGAGGGATGTCGTCCTCGAGCCTGAGGAGCCTGCGTCGGCCGACCGCCTGAACTGTCTCGCTCCGTGGACGTACAATGTCACACCGCGGATCAGCCCGCTGGCTACCCCGGCCCTTGAGATGGAGCTGGGCTTTGGAGAGTTCGACAAGTCCTTCCCGATTTACTACTCAAATGGCTCGTCGAGTCGCACTGTCTTGCGCACGAAGGGACGCTCCTATTCGTCCCCGCTGCCGTTCCCGGCTACCCCACTTGACCTTGTGCCTGTCGCTGCCGACATCTTCGAGCCCATCCCGCAGCCCACTCTCAATTACTTCGATGAGTCACTTCCGACGGAGTTGAAGTTCCGCATATTCGTCTCGCTTGTTGACATCCATGAGGCTGAACACCGGAAGCTTGTCGATGACGGTTCCTGGACGCTTCGCAAGGCAACTTCGGCGAAGAACAAATGGGTCGGTCGAGATCGCGGCATCCGGGAACTGTTCAAGCTGAGCAGGGTAGGTATACCACCACACGCATATATGCGGGGTCAATGATATACCCATCATTACAGGTATCGAAGGCGTGGCAAAGCCTCGTACTCGACGGGCAATTCTGGGTGAAGCTGGATCTTCACTCCTTCCCGAACATCCCGCCGCCGGCTCTCGAGCGGCTTGCGAAGGTCGCAGGCGCGTTTGTCAGGCACTTGGACCTCCGAGGGCATTTAGATTTAGAGTCGTTGACGCTGCAGGAGATCACAAGTCACCTCTGCACGGAGTTTCAGCCGGGAGGAAGCATCCCGCACACGCATCTAACGACGATCAACCTGCAAGGCTGCTCGCTGCTCCAGACGCAGGGTCTCCACCATCTCCTCGTCCGCTCACCAGCGCTGCGCGAACTGGGCGTCCGGGGCCTCAATGCAGTGACAGACACGACATGCAGTATCATATCATCGTACTGTCGCAAGATCACGTCGCTCGACATGTCCCGCTGCCCCAATGTGACTGGCGGCGGGATTTACACCCTGGCAAGCGCGGCGCTAGCCCGCGACGAGCACCTCTCGCTCAAGGAGCTGCACCTTTCTGGGCTGAAGTACGTTTCCGACGGACTCATGGAGGCCCTCGGCAAGGCCGCCCCGGAACTGGAAGTGCTCGACCTCAGCTACTGCCGCACACTCCATAACTCCTCCGTAGAGGCCTTCGTATCGTGCTCCGAGGCGGATAGCGGCGCATTCGAGACGGTGCAGCTGACGTCGCGCCAGGCGGGGCGCGAACCAACGGACTCGACGCGTTACTGGCGGCGCGTCACCCGCCTGCGACACCTGAACCTGACGGCGTGCATCATGCTCACGGATCACGCATGCTCGCACCTCGCGCATGCGGTGCCGAAGCTGGAGCTGCTCGAGATGGCAGGGATCGGCACGGAGCTGCGCGACGACGGGTTGGTCCGCCTTTTAGAGACGACGCCGATGATACGCAAGCTGGATTTAGAGGATGCCTGCCAGATCACGGACGACGTGCTCATGACGATCACGCCGGAACCCGCTACAGACGCGCCCGCACCGCGCTATCCCCCGCCTCCCCAGCCCGGGCACGCCCTGGAGCACCTCATCATCTCCTACGCGACGGAGGTCACGAAGGAGGCCCTGCGCGACCTCGTCGAGAACTGCACGCGCCTGCACGCGCTCGAGGTGGACAATACCCGCGTCTCGGAGGCCGTCATGCGGGACTTCGTGCGGCTGTCGCGCGAGCGCAAGATGGCCGACGCGCAGGTCGTCGCAGTGGACTGCCGTGGGGTCGGCGAGCGCTGCGTGCGCGACCTCGCGCCACAGACACGGCCGCGCATCGGCTGGCGGGCGTACGACGCGCGCAAGCTCGGTTTCCTGGATGCGCGGGACGAGGAGGGGCTAGGGGTGGGCCTGGACGAGCTGGACGAGCGTCGCGTGGCGCTGAAGACGTTCTTCTCGTGGCAGACAGTGGACGCTGTCAGGGCGGCGCGCGAGAAGAAGCGCAAGTCCACGAGACGCGGGCTGAACACTTCTTCGAGCAGCACTGAGGGGCCGTCTGGCGGTCGCGCGCGGTGGTGGTCGCCCAGCGGGCGGCGCTCGGGCGGAACGTCGCCCAACCTATCGGACTTTGGCCAGGAGAGAGACGGATGTACGATTATGTGAGGTGTGTAAATTGTTGTACCATAGCTCGTTGTAGACTTTGCACTCTGTGCCCCGCTTGCTGTCATCGCATGCATAGCTGACTGTTGTACATTTGTGACTGTATACTATGTATTTTTGCCGATGCGACGTAGAGGAACTATACTTATCAGATGTAACTACTCATGAGACGGAACGATGATTTTGTGCATGATGTCCAGAACCATTCATACAGATGTCTGCGAGGCGGCTGGCAGGTGTGGTGAGGACTAAAAGAGTGCCCTCGAAGCTGTGCCGCTGGTCAACCTATAGACTCTTTCCGCTGCGCCTTCTTTCGCGCCTTCTTTTCAGCTCTCTTGGACTTCTTCGCCGCTTCGGAGCTTGAGAGAGGTGTACTGCGACCGCTGTCTGGTGGGGTGCTATCACTCATCTTCACATCCTCTATCGACGGCTTCACCTTCTTGGCCCCCTGCACCCCAGGGGATGGCTGTTCATCTCCGTAACCTGCAAAGACGGTGAGCCGCACAGGTTCTGGGATGAACAAGGAAAGTACGTGCCAGCAAAGGGGTCCATAGCTGGTCGTCTTCGTTTGCGTCCAGACAGCGACGCCTCAGTATCCTCAGTGACAATGGCCTTGCCCTTGCCCTTGGCCTTGCCCTTGCTGGTCGTGTCAGGATCCACATCCATGCTACTTGCTGCTTCATCGTCGTCAATGACTTCCAATCCCTCCTCTTCCTCTTCCTCGCTCTCCGCCTCCGCGAGCTCCTTCTCATATTGCGCCCGTGCAGCCATCTTGGTCGTCACCTTTACAGGCACCTTAGTCGACTCGCCATTCTGGGAGAAGCGAATGTGGGAAGGACCCTCTTCGTCTCCTGGTGGCCGTTGCGTCTTCACTTGCGCAATAGCGTGTTTGATGAAGCGGTTCGCCGCCGCCTTGTCTACAGTGGCCGTTCCTACATTCCGGCTCATGGTCAGAGACCGTCAACAGTGACGGGCAGCACAGGCATACTCTTCTGAGGGTCTTCCGCATTCTTTATCTTGTCAAAATACTGCCTTATGCGGTCCTGGGGCAGACGGGTCAGTTGAACTGATAAAACCAGGACGTGAGCCAGGCGCACCAACTCGGATATAACAGGATGCGTCTTCGGGTCGATGCCCCTTGTCTTGAGATAGACTGCAAGTCCCCATCAAGGACATGCTCTCAGAAACAATCGTAACACTCACTGAAGATGAGATCATACACGAGATACGGTAACGCGACCTGAAGCTTTGCTTGTTGGATCGTCTCCAGCCCGACCAAGGACTCGGGCAGTGTTTGAGCCAGCAATGGTTCTAGCTGAGTCTCTAGGTCATCCATGGAGCCGTTCAGTGCCGCAACCTTTGCACGCAGTCTTTGTGAATCTGCGTCCATGGCTAGAATGTGTGTCGAAGGCTCCGTGAGCCGTTTCAGGTTCAATGTGAGAGTACCAGAGATTTACTCGCCAAGATCGGGAGATCTCCGGGGGGATCTAGATAACAGTCGTACTGTACTCCCGGACTAGTCTCAGCCGCTCTGTTGTAGTGACACTGTTTTACCAGGCGGCACACAGCTAATCATCTCCTCATATTGGGGACAAACATCCATCACCTATGGTCGACATGATCCACACCGGGTTACCGCGGCAAGGAGTCCAATTCGTCTCTCGGTGTTTTCGAATGTTTCATGAATGTGCTCCTCGTTACCGGACTTGATCTTCCTCCGATTGATTGTCTGAGCCGGGTACATGAGGCCTGACATCTTGACTGTCCTGTGACTGTATGTCTGACTCCTGTGTTTATTGTCGTGGTGATCAAATCATCGTGCACAAACCCATACAGTCTCACTGAAGCGTACGCGAAGACTTATGACATTTCACTGGCGGGCCTAAGTGACTGCGGCACTTTTGAGTAGATTCTTCTCGAGCTCGAGTATTTTCTTGTCCCAAAGACTAAATGCCTCCAACTGTACATCCGACTCTTCGGTGTTCACACTGCGAAGAGCAACGTCTGTCTGCACGATAAGGAAAGTATCGTATGAATAAATGCGATGTATACTACAATGCATTGTCTGTTCAGTCCTTAAATTGAATTCCGGCGTGCGCTCTTGCCTCTCTTGCCAGCCATCGATGTCCGTGCTTCGCCAATATACGCAGACGGCAGGCGACCCTCCTCGTTCCACTTCTCCAAGAAGTCCATCGCCGCACGATAGCCCTTCTCCTGTATCTCCTCAAACTTCCCGAACTGAAGTGTTCCGAACTACGGGATGCGTCAGATCAGCGACGACGACCAACACGCAGACCACTCAGCGTACCTCCTGGACAGGCATACCCATGTACAGACACCCGGGTGCAACCTTGGCTTCCTCGAGCGTCTTGACGCTTGAAACGCTGTACGAAGATCAGACCTCGACGAAGCCGAACGGCAGCGTAAACATGCACTCACTATGCTAGCCGCCCCTGCAATTCGGTGATAGCTGGGACACTCCTGGCGCTTGAGAAGGGGTTCCAACGGTTGATCAGAAGCCACCACCCAGACACGGAGTCCCCAAAGTTGCGCGGCGAATTGTCGTCAATCTGGAAAACCAAGTTGAGTTGCTTTCCCAGTCCATCGTCTATGCTCGCTCACCGAACCGACGTCAGATGCAATGACCGCATTTGCGCCCATAGACATCATCGTAGCAACCTGAGGATATTACGTTAGGACCCCAAAGAAGGCAAGAGAGATTACAGCCTTACCGGAAGGTTATCGACTGCATAAGCCATGGGATTAGTACAGGAGCACACATACAGCATGGCGGACTCACTGTAGCCTCCATCGACTAACATGTTACCGTTGTCGCACAATGGAGGTAGCAAGCCAACAAGTGTCATCGAAGCCCCTAAAGCAGTATGTCTTCAGCAGGGGGTCGCCAAAGTGGCGGTTCGGAGCTCACGTATGAATCTCCATGCAAACCCAGTCTCATGGATTTCCATGCGAGAGGTATTGATGTTCGTAGATATACAGAAGTACGGTAGCCACATATCTTCAATATGCAGATCATAGAAGGACTGCAAGCTATCGTGAGCGAACGTATCGACGGTCAAGGTCAAGTGTCCTCACCTTGTATATCGACCGGTTGAACTCGTGGCCCTAGTAGACATATTCAATTCCACATTACGAGATGCCACATAAAGCGCAAGACACACCGTTGTGTACGCAACAATAGGGTACGTGACGTCGGACAGCATCCTCCAGAAGTTACCCATGCGTCCACTGAACTGCTTCGTTCGCCCAGCGCTCGAGATTACGTCGCCCTCACGCGCGTACAGCCCGCCGACGAAAGCACCCATGCTAGTGCCTGTGAAACATCATCAGCCGAAGCTAAAGGAACGACGGAGTGTGTTCTACCTCCGACCATATCAATTGGAATACCATATTCCTCCAGTGCTCGGAGGACACCCTGCATCGCGCATGAACAAACGATAGTAGACACGGAAACACGAACATACCAGATGTGAGATACCTCGCGCTCCACCACCACCAAGCACGATTCCAATCGATTTACCGCATATCCGTCTTGCGAGCCGTGCGAAGTCACTTGAGTGAGGTGGTCGCTGTGGCCGGGGGTCACCCGACCCACCGCGGTACTTCCTGATCTCGCTCTGAACGCGGTCCTTCAGGTTCCTGAAGGCTGCTATTGCAGCGGGATCTTGCTGCGGTATGGCCGTCCGCGGTATTGACCCCACGATTCCCTGTGCACGAGGGTCACTATATGCGGATAAACTGTCTCTAAAAGGAACATACTGGAAGTTCCACGTGAATATGTTGGTGTACCCATGGTCGGCTCTAGATCAAGATATGAGTTCAGACAGTATCAATCGACGGCAACGTACGAACCTTCAGCCACTCTCGTGTAGATCCTGGTGCAACTGAACGATCAGAGTGCAACAGCACGAGCTCCTTTCTCGCAGTAGTCTTCAACGAGAGCAAAAGCCTCTCATACTCTCCTAAGCTCGGATCATCGCCCATCCCAACGACCATGACGCAGTCCGCCTGGCGGATGCAAGTCTGCGTCCACGAGCTGTTCACAGGCGAGTCCGCAACATAGAGAACAATTCGATACTTCTGCTCCTGCTCTGCGAGCCACCCAGCCGCCTTCAACTTGCCCATCCGGGTGAACGCATGGCGCCCGAGGTGGTCGGAGACCGAGGCTTGGTTGAGATACGAAGTGGGCGCGCCGACGCTTTCCAAGGCTGCGTGCAGCTTGCGGGCGAATGCGTCAACGGGGACGTTGCGCGTGACGGGGAGGACGGCGACGGTTTTGAGGTTGCTGTTGCTGCGTAAAAGCTCGATTGCGCCTTTCTTGGACGAGTCGATCTCGGTCCGCACTCGCGAGGCAATCATCTTTAGGATCCTGAGTCAAGGTTGGTGAGTGGGTCGATACGAAGGTATGCAATACTCACTGCGCTGTTGTCCGTGGATTGCTGCAAAGCGTCGTCGGAATGATAAGTCATTGGAATGCAAAAGACGACTCACCGAGAAGATATGGCATTGAACAACGTCCGTGGCATCCTGATCAGCTCAGTATCACGGATAGCATGTACAGTGTTTGTCCGAGGTGAGCCAGTAATGACATCGAGCTCCCCTACCGTATCCCCCTGACCGTATTCAGCCTGGATGCTGATCCCACCGCTCTCCTTGTCCGCAATAGCTCTCAGACGACCATTAATCACGATGTAGAAGCTATCGCTTGCATCCTCCGGTCGCCAGAGGACTTGCCCGGCGTTTACTTGCATCCAGTCCAAGGAACCGTCGATATGAAGTACTAGTGCAGCCGTCAGTCCCATGCAACTCGGGATTACTGATACACAAGCCTACCGATCGGCGACAGCAGGGAAATGAGGCGTTTCGCGAGCGTCAGAAGGACTATGGGTCGTTTCTCCAACAGCCGGTCTAGCGCAGGCGATGGCAGGAATCCTACATACGTATCCGTCTTCGCAACGATGTCGACATACGAGGCAATCTGACAAAGAGAGGCTTCTCGAACGTTATGTCTCTTCAATGCTGGAATCGGTAGTGCAACCTACACAGATACCCCGCGATGCCACCAGGTCTGACAGTGAAGAGAGGCTTGTGTGTGTTCGCCTTCCGGGAACCAGAGAGGTTGAAGCTCGGAGTCCTGCTATGGCTCGACGTACCCCAGGTGCCCAGCCCAGGACGCGTGGGCTGCGTCTCTTCGTCAACGGGTTCTGCCTTGCCTTTGGTCTCGCCGCTCGGTGACTTCTGCGAGGGCAGCAAGATGTCCAAGAAACCATCAATGACGTAGAAGAGACCTAGATGTCCCGTTGAGCACTCGACCGCTCTCAGCGACGCCAGGCAACATACCCGTGTTACGCTCGCCGGCCTTGGCGAGGACAGACCCAGCAGGGAAGAACAGGATCTCGACCTCGTTATCGAGACCGCTCATGTGCCCATCAGTCAGTATGGACGACGCGCCCGTCACATTCGATGCAGTATCATCACCGATCTCCAATAAAGACAAAGACCCGAATGAGGATTTGAACGGCGCAGCACTCGGCGCCTCGCTCGGTGCGAACGCAGGCGATGCCTCGACTGAATCCTCGTTACTGAGAGGCGGCTGGATAAGACCTATCGACTTCGCGATGCAGGACATCACCTCGTCTCGGAGATCGAAGTCTTCCGTCACTATAGGTCTCCCTCGCTGGTGAAGGCCTGGTTGATTGTGCGACGGCGAGGGCTCCCGCCGGCGTCCCTGGCCCGTTGCTTGCGGCCCGAGGACCGTGCTCATGGAGCGTGCCATAGGCCGAGACGACTCCACTGGGTTGCCGACAGTTGTATGGAGGTCGCCAGCTTGTACGGTTTGCCGCGGAGTCCCGCTTTTGAAAGGGGTCGCTGGAGAGTATTTCGTTGGACGCGGACTATCAGTCAACTTCTCGCCCAGGAACGGCGTCTGGGAGGGATTCAGGGATGGAGAATTCATGCTGAAATAGTCATCATCGGAGTCTGCCTCGTTCGTCCTGGCTACGCCGTCAAAGCGTTGTCTGAGTTGCTTGAGTCCGGATTCGTAGAACGCCGGTGGCAGAGGGTGGCAAGCGATGTCGTTGATGGCCTTCTCCGTTCGCAGGACCTCAGTTGTGAGCCCAAGGTAGTTATGTGCCGCGTTGAACGTGACTCGCGAGAACCGCGTCAAGATCACTGCCCGGAAATTAGTATTGGTCCAACAGGGTATATGCAATGGTAGTTACCCTGGACGATGTGTGCTGTTGCCTTGGGGAATTTCTTAGTCAATCTCCTGAATGCCTCCGCAGGGATGACAGCTAGGGTGCTATCTTCCGCAGCGCGAGCGACGGCGCTATAGTGGCTATCAGGTTCGGCAGAAACATGAGACTTTGGACGTCCACCAGATGGAATGCGGGATGACTGAGGAAAGGGCGACTGAGAGCGCCTTGGGGGGGACTGCGGACGAGGCGACGTTACATCTTCCTGGTGCACCGTAGAGCCTGATGATGAAACCGACGGCCTACGGTTGGGTGATCTCAGTGTGCCAAGGTTAAAGTTGGAGACGTCCGAGTCCGACCTCCTTGAACGTGTCCGCGGCGGCGTCTGAGTTGTCGACGGTACGCTGACCGAGTCAAGGTCATCGTCTCGATTGTCGTCTTGCCAACTCAGCTTGACGTTCTCCGTGAAGAGGCTGAGGATAGTGAAAAGACTGGACAACATCCCTCCAGAACCAACTTGATTGAGCAATTGGTAGCCGTTCATGTCTTCTTCATCCCAAGACCCGCTTCCCGTATCTTGGTTGGGGAAGCCTGTGCGAGCATAGACCTGGACGCTACCGTCGATCACGCAATAGAAGCTCTTGTCTTCGTCAAGGGATAAGGTGTCACCAGCGATGAGCCTCCGCGTTTGCAGATGTCTTGCGAGTTCGTGGAATACCTACGAGAATTAGACCAACAGTGTACATATACAGTATGAACGACTTACTGGCTTTTCGAGGAAACCGAAAACCCGGACGGCCTGTAAAAACTCATCCAGGTAGTTATGGAATGTAGGCATCTGCTCCGGAGTGTTCACGTCCGGGTTGAGTTCCTGCGCGTCCGCTTTCAGCAGCGGAGCTTCCTTGAGCTTGGTGTAGGTGTTGAGGTAGCGAAAGCGTATCCAATAATTCAGAGCGATAGCAAAGAGCACAAACATGATAGCGAATGACCAAAAGTTGAGCTGTGAAGGCATACGTTACGGCTGGCCTTCGGAGGGGCGGGGATAGTCGTACCGTCAATGTCATTGAGTAGGACAGTATGGCATAAATCAATGTCGGAACGGTGATGGTCACGAAAGCGACGAGTGCCTTAACCCATGACAGCATCCATACTGCATTTACGTGTCAAAGACGTGCTGATAGTGTGGCCATCGATGTAGACACTCACGAATTACCCAGAAAGCTGCCGATAGCAGCATAAGCACTGGGTGACCCTCATGGCTAGGGCCGTCCGCGGCTGCTTCCATGATGGCGGGTACAGCAAACGTTCGTCGGCTGGAGGAGGACGGGGGGACGAGTTGAAAGAGCGGAACTAAATGTGCATGCCGACGGGCGAGGGCGCAGAGTGGCCCGCTTGAGGCAGCAGAGCGTACGGTACACGATCGGTTGGCGCCCGACCGCGTCAGTAATTCGCGTCGAAACACGTGCGCGCGCACAACATTCACCAGCCGCGGCATTTGCTTGGCACTGCACTCGAGAAACTGCCAGAAATAACGATAAATTACTACCCTTACCCAGGGCACAGTGAGGACAAACATCGGGCAGCACACTACGGGACCAGACAAGGGTATAACACCAATGATGTACAGAGAACTGCCCTACTAACACACATCCGCCATCGTCAAGATTCAACCGGAGAGCGAAGGAGGATCGATCTAGCTAGGATCCTATCACAGTAACAGACAAGTACATTCACATTCAACGAAAAGTTTCTCCACCATTGAGCAGCGATTAGTGACCAAAGACGCGCATGATAAGGTAGATCGCCGAGCAGACAAAACGAATGGCGGAGAGACCAGCACTGCGTGAAGGGGATCAGCACATGAAGCAGCGACTGGAGACGACGAGACACGCACAGGCAGTAGAAGAGGAAGGTGAGGTATGGGTTGAACGTCGAGTCGTCACCACCTTGTGAGACGTGCTCGCTGACCCACGAGGTGAATGCAGACGAAGTGAAGATGAGGATCATGACCCTAGCGGTATGGAACTTAGTCAACACAGTCAACAGCACATGAAAGCACCACCCACATGTTGGTGCCAACCCAGGTAAGGACGACGTTGGTACGGCTGTTGCGGTCATGATCGGCCTGCTTGGTGGCAGCATCACGGTGCTCCTTCTGCTCTGGGGGCTTCACAGACAGTGCGTAGCGCGATGCATTCCAGAGCTGGTCGACGTCATCGCGTGCGGTGGGCACCTCGACCTCGAGCATTTCCTGCCCATCGGAGTTCTTGACCTTCTTAGCGCCGCCCAGATCCTTGGCGGATCCATTGTCACCCTTCGTACCCCAGGTAACATCGTGAAGGTTGCACATCGCGTACATCACTGTAATTTCTGTTAGAATCTGAATGACCGCGAAGGAGCAGCGACGTACTCAGGATGTTCACGTCTAGACAACGATATGTGAGTTCAGTTTTCACGTATTCTTGACAGATGAAGTGACTTACAGCTCGGGAGGAGGAACATGTACTGAATGAAGGATGTGAACATGTGCCACGGCTCGAAGTGCATGAAGGAGCCGATGAAGTAGAGACCGTAAGTGGCAGCCAAGGAAACGACGATATCGCGGAACGCAGCGTTGTTCTGGATAAGCCTGACGAGAAGGGATGGTCTGTCAGTAGATCGCGCAGATAGCTGGCTTTGGACACTCACTTAGGGAAGTCCTCCCAACCAGCGATGGTGTGAGGAACTGCGAGCCAGACTGTGTAACCAGCACACCAGAGGGTGAGGATGTTGCACAGCCCGAATAGCACCATGCAGAACGCGTAGATCCACTTCGATCCTTGAGGACGATTACCGAGCGAACACACCACGATGACGAAGATGAGCGCGATGTAGAGCTGGTTGTCGCAAAGTGAGCGAACTAGTACGGCGAGAGAAAAATGTATGCTACCTTCAGGAAGGCCTCAAAGACCTGAGTACCAGCGCCCTTGCTAAGCCAGTGAAACGCGCCTTCTGAGCCGTTGTCTGCAGTTGCCGAAGAGACCAACTACGTGACCATTGTCAGTTGCAAGAGTGTCAAGATAATCTACTGAGACTCACGAAGTAGAAAGCCAGGTAGAAGTTGGCCAGTGACGTCCATGTGAACATTAGCTGGACCGCGTTGTAGATAAATTCGAGCTGAACGGAGCGGTCAGAGTTGACACACGCATCACATGTTCAGCAGACATACTTGGAGTAGCAACATCCGGATGGGGTTCTGTCCGGACGTCCATATCCTCCAGAAGTGGAAAGTAGAGTGCACAGTGGCGAAAAGGGAACCGTTCAACCAGCGACGGCGTTGCGAGATGAACTCGGGGACAGTTTCAGGCACGTCGGTTGCGGCCTTCGCGCTCTTCACATATTTGAGGCTAAAGGGGCAGACGTCAGAACAACTCCAGGGTCACATCTGACCAGACATACATCCAGCCCTCGCGCTTCTTGGTCACAATCTCGAAACAGAGGATACGGTCCTCAGCAAGGTACATGTTACGCTCTGTGGTACGAAAGATGATTAATATGGTGTTCACCGTATCGTACATAGGGCTGGGCCTTACCGAATAGACCTGCGCTGCTGTTACCGCCGTGCATCGTCTCACCCTTGAAGTAAGACGCGAGCGGCCCCTTGCCGTCGGGGCCGTTGAGGAGGGCCTTGTACCTGTAGGCACTGAAGGCACCAGGCAGCACACTGATGTAGCCGAAGACACTCTGTTGTAGCGAGCGCCATCAGCTTTGTGTACGGCACAGCGTAGGAAGGCGACTTGCCTCCAAAGGCTTATCAAGGATGTTCGACATCTTGTATTCGAAGTTCTGGGAAGCCGCCAGAGGACTCCTCAAGATAGACCAGCAATACCTCCCAGTATCGACGCAGATCCTGGTAAGTCACGGGTAAGCGGCCGGTTTAGGAAAGGGAGGATCAGTGCACTCACTCTCCACATGCACCACCAACGTTCGAGTGCTTGTCGAAGCCTATGTAGACGATCAGACCCATTAAGCAACCAACAGCAACCATACCACTGACATTTCCACAGATCATAGATAGATGTACCGGTGGGCTTGGTTCCAACGTCCAGAAGCACGCAGACTATCAGATGAGATGAACATGAGTACCTATCGCCTCGATGTGCAAAATCTACGAACCGTTGGGCCTAACGAGTGGACCGAAAGCGTTGAAGAACCACCGGTGACTGTTCAGCTTCTTCTTATTCTGCTCCTTCAAACAGAAGATGATCTGAACGGGACAGGCACTCTTGGAGACCTCTCCCTTCTCCGAGACGACGACGTTGGAAGTGAACCTTTAACTTATGAATACTTGAGTCCTCCGAACTAAGGAGGGGACGCTCACTCGAAGATATGGGCAGTCACGTCTTTGCCACCGACGGTGTCCTTTGCAACACCTTCTTGGTAGCAACCCATCTGAGGCAGGATGAACATGATAGGTCGGGAACGGCCAGTGACACGATACGTACGAGGGAGAGGACTTGAAGGGTGCGCTTATTGATCTTGCTTCGACCGTCGGAGACGACGCACACCACGACCTTCTGCCAGCCATTCGGGCCCCACATCTTGGAGCGGTTCCTGCTACACAGATGTGCAATGTTCTTGATGACACTGTAGGCAGCTTCAGTGTGCAAATCCCGGTCCAAGGGACATAGACTCACGCGTTCATGGTACGCGTGAATAGGACCTCGTCCTCGTTATACATAGTCATAACGATAAAGAGTTCAGTGTGACGGTTATAGAGGTACGGCCGCAGGGAGTACTTCTTCCGCATGAAGTCGTCGGGGTCACAAGTCGCGGCTGTGTATCGCAACTTGGTCATTTCCTCGCTGTCCTCCATGCCCTTCGGGACGATGAATGAAGGAGCCGGCATGTCCAGAACGAGGTTGCCCTCCTTCAGCTCGATCTGTTTGACCACACGCTGTTTGAGGAGCTTCTCCCGGGCATCAGACCAGCCCACGCCCGGGCGCATCTGCTGCATGGGCGGGTAGTTGAGCTGTGCGGTCTGGTAGGGGAGCGGCGGAAGCGGAGGGATGGCATCTGCGGGATAGTCGTGCACTAGATGGGCTTGCGAGTTCGAGTAACCACTGTGGTAGGACTTGGCTGACTTGGTCTCCCAGTTCGAGTGCGCATCGTAGTCTTGGTAGTAGCCTTGGTTTGACGGCGCATAGTGCTGCTGGGGCGCGACAGGCGGGTAGTCCGGTGTCAATGCAGCTGTTTGGGCGGGGGGATAGTCAGGGTAGGCGGCGTGGCCAGTATGAGGGCTGTAGGGATCGTGGTGCGGCTGCGCGCGATACGCCATAGCGACGGTGTTCCGCTGCGCAGAACAAGGTGTTTGACAAAAAGAACGAAGGTTGTGAAAAGAATGACTAGCTCGACGCCGATGCCTGAGAGAGCTGGAGAAAGAGGGAGGAGGTCCAGCAGGAGGGAGGTATCAGTGTTGCCAGCGACACTGCGGTCGGTGTTTGAGTTGGATGGAAGAGCTCAGCCTTCCCATACTTGGCCTGCCTGATTTGGCAATTTCTCTCAAGCGACCACTGCCGTCGGCCGCAACAGTCAACTGCATGATCCCGGGCAATGCTCTCCGCCTCTTGGCCATCCCCGAAGTGCGCGATGTTGCATATGCTCACCGCGACGAACACCACGGTGACGGCGATGAACTCTCCGTCCCGTCCACTTACTCGAGAGAGAAGTACATACCGTGACGCGGACGAGCGACAGGTGTGGGATTTGGGTGAGAACAAGAACGGACACCATTTATTATTGACACAACATGCATTCGTCTCGTAAACAAAAGTATGGAGAGGTTGGTCAAGGTTGGCTCTTGAGGATAACAAAGGACGGGTGCAGGCGTAACGTAAGTAAACCGGACCTAGAGCGGCATCCTAGGGCGGCCGAGTATCGCGGCACTGTACGGGCTTCCTTTCCCTCACCACACAACCACGAGCCCACCATGCACGGCGACGCCTTCCTGGCGTAGATCCGAAAGTACGACCGGAAAGGTGACGCGCGGAGTGTGTAGCCATGAATGGATCTTCAATGAATCGGTAGAAGCTCGGCCGTGACAATCATTGCCACAAAGCGGCAGATGAACGAGGGCGGCCGGGCGAGTGCCATTCTTACCACACAGACGCGTCAGCACCTCCCGCAAGCTGTCCGGACCCAGGACCAGATGCACAGCCGCCAGGACGTCAAGTGATACAGGTCGGTTATTGGGGTTTTATGGTGCCAGTCCTCGGGTGTGGAGCTGATGCTGCGTGATGCTTGTATTGAGGTCGTCAAGTGAGGCTGCTAGACAACAGAGCTCGACAGAGGCAGCACGACACAAAAGGGAGGCGTTTCAAAGGCGTCTCATTCAGAGGAACAGGAAGCGGGGGAGACAAGAGGGAGCGCTGTGGAGGACAAGAACAAGAGCGCCGACCATCGATTGAGCGCTCAGCGCCGCACCATTTGCACGCAGCTCGAACAGGCCAATTCTCCCACGGTCCCCAGCCCGCCTCATTGCCACCGTCGACCGCGTCGTTCTTTCTCTCTCCCCATCTCTCTCTCTCGCACTCATCCTTGTCCTTCATCCTCGACTACCTCTCCGTTCCATCGTTCTCATTTCACGTCAACGGTAAGTCTTGATCTCCTCGTCGTTTGGCTCCAGGGCGACAGGGGATCGGATAACGGCTGTTGGCCGCCTCGCGGTGTCCTCGCCTGTGGCGGGCTTCCAACGCGGCACAAACTCGCCCTTCCAGCTGCCTCCAACGTAATATCACGCTCGCTATACTGGCTGCCGAACGAGACAGCAATTCACACCGGATAAGACAGCGTGCGTTGGGCGGCTGTCGTTGCCAGCGTTCCACTCTGTTAACTACCCATCGCGTCATCTCCGTGTTCCCCTTGTTACCCCCCCCTCTTTGAACTCGTATCTAACCACTCGATCTCCTCTAGACTTCTCAGCCTCTATTCTAGTTCACAATGGCCGACTCTTCATCGCACAGACTAGACCTCAGGGTCGGTGGAAAGTACAGGCTGGGGAAGAAGATCGGTTCGGGCTCCTTCGGTGCGTGGCAAGCTATGCTTTGTCCTTTCCGATGCTGAGGATGGTCCTATAGGTGATATCTACCTCGGAATCAACATCATTTCCGGGGAGGAAGTCGCCATCAAGCTCGAGTCGGTCAAGGCCAAGCACCCTCAGCTCGAGTATGAGTCCAAGGTCTACAAGACCCTGGCCGGTGGCGTTGGTGTCCCCTTCGTCCGATGGTTCGGCACGGAGTGTGACTACAACGCGATGGTCATCGACCTCCTCGGTCCTTCTCTCGAGGATCTTTTCAACTTCTGCAACCGCAAGTTCAGCCTGAAGACGGTACTCTTGTTGGCTGATCAACTGGTGAGTCATCCCCGCAACCCCGTGCGCATATCTATTCTAATGTACGGCGGCCCGCCACGTCAGATCTCCCGTATCGAGTACATCCACTCACGCAACTTCATTCACCGTGACATCAAGCCCGACAACTTCCTCATGGGCATTGGCAAGCGTGGCAACCAGGTCAACGTCATCGACTTTGGTCTGGCGAAGAAGTACAGGGACCCGAAGACGCACCTGCACATCCCGTACAGGGAGAACAAGAACCTGACGGGCACGGCCCGCTACACGTCCATTAACACCCACTTGGGTGTCGAGCAGGCCCGCCGTGATGACCTCGAGTCCCTTGCCTACGTCCTCATGTATTTCCTTCGCGGCTCGCTTCCGTGGCAGGGCCTGAAGGCCGCCACCAAGAAGCAGAAGTACGACCGTATCATGGAGAAGAAGATGACGACTCCCACGGACCTGCTGTGCCGTGGCTTCCCCAACGAGTTCGGCATTTTCTTGAACTACACTCGTGCCCTCCGCTTCGACGACAAGCCCGACTACTCGTACCTCCGCAAGCTCTTCCGCGACCTCTTCGTCCGCGAGGGCTACCAGTACGATTACGTCTTCGACTGGTCCGTGCACCGCAGCCAGGACGAGGCCAGCGGCAGCACGAGCGCTAAGGCAGGCGGCAGGCGCAAGGTGGTTCAGGAGGAGGAGGAACCCCGCATGCCGGACCGGATGTAAGTGTTGGGTGTAGTCGCATTGGATGGGGGTGCTCATCGCGCATACAGGCTCCGCTCGCACACTCGTCAGCAGCAGCAGGCTGCGGGTGCTGGCGCAGTCGGCCAGCAGCGCATCAACCGCGGAGACTGGTAAGCTGCCCTGCATCGAAGCAGGGGGTTTGAGTCTTCAGGGCGCGTCCGGAGTACGACCGAGCATAGGGGGCGGAGGGCAGGTGAAGAGGAGTTTGGCTCGGTCTCGGTTTGGGTCGCCTGACGTATGGCGCGTTGTCGGTTAACTATTGGTCCAAGGCGCTCTTGAGGGGAAGCAGGATACACGGAGCACGCCTAGGAGTTCGCAGTGGGAGCAGGTCCGGCGTCGAACTGCTCGCTGCGCGCGTTCGACATCCCCTCCTTCATGTCTGGGACCCCAGTCGTCGTTCGCTCCTTCGCACACTCCGTCATTCTCGTCCGCGGTCGCCAAGTCGCCGCGCCCCCCGTCCTCTATAGAACCGTCACGGGAGCAAGTCCACACATCCGACGCTCACTGGTCGCCATCGCGTATAACCTCGTTTTCCTTCTCGTACGGACGCATTTTCTGTTCAAGCTTTCCCGCAGCCTGTTGCTCACATCAGACGGCAGCTGCGGAGGGCTGCCTCCTTCCGTCTCGCCACGCATGACACTCCCTCGCGCCGTACGCCGTGGTGATAGTCCCATTGTAGTGCTATCCCATCACTCCCCATCCATCCATCCGTTATGATAATCACACATCGTGTACATACCAAGCCTCCTTCCCTTCCCCTGTCATTTCCGGGTTCTTTTCCTTTTACTTCCCTTCCTACTGATGCTCCCATCTCATTAGTCCTCCTTCCCTCCACCTTGCTGGCCTCGATCTTTCCGGTCGTGGTCTGGCAGGGGCGAGCGGGACGGGAGAGGGCGCCGCGTCTGGTTGGGTGGTTGCTGGTTGCGGAGAGGAGGTCGGTCTGGGGTGTATAGGTCGGTGCTCGCCGCGGTATGTCTCGCTACTCGTTTCACTGGCGCTGCGTTGCGTCCTCCAGTCGGTCACCGTCTCAGCAGGCATCTTGTACCAGGCGCGTGTCCCTGCCGTATACCGTATGTGTCGTGATGAGTCGCTAGCTGGCGGTTCGTGTATGATGGATTGTATGCATGTGTGAATGTATGTGTTTGCTGTCAGGCAGCGCTCGTCACCCTTGTGCAGACGTGTGTCAAACCGGGTGTTTCGTTGTGACTGTTGGTGAGTGCTGTATCGGCGACTACTTATTTCACTGACGCAGGCACCCATGTCAGTCGATGTCATGGACTTTGCATGGACCGACGTGAGCGGGCCTTAGTGACAAGAAGTAAGATGCCGATTTTTATTTGATCCTCCAAACGTAGATGGCGGACAGTGTGCGAGTGATCATCATCCCGGTCGAGGCGCAATATCATTCAGGGAGATTTAGGCTACTAATGAGAAAATGACGAGAACTTCTAGTGTTCATTGCACGCGTTTCAAAGGCAATCCAGGGCCCGGGACGAATCAGCTCCAGCTATGCAGCAGGGTGTTTGAAGCTGGTAGCCTTGCGGACGGGATGATGGGATGGCAGAATCTGAGATGGCAGCTCGCAGATCTGGCGGGGTCGGCTGGCACGTGATGGCCGGGGAGCGAAAGGGGGCGTTGTGGTTGCTTGTCGAAGCAGCTACGCCCAAGCTTGGCCACCGACCGTCTCCCACAACGGTTTGTATCCGGCCTCCAGCCGCCCTCCCGCCACGACCCGCAAACCCAAGCCACGCGGCCCCTGGTATATGCCTGGCCGCTCTCGCAGCTCGAGGACGTGCTTTACCCGCTAGGGCACTGGTCGGAATCAAGGTACGTTCTTATTAGCCTTCCCAGGACCCCTATGAAATTCACGCTTTCATCTGTGGTTCAATTAACCTCTGGATGTTCCGCGTAGACGGAGGGCGTTCTTTTAGCATCGCCAAGCGAAGGTGACCCTTGCGCTCCGGGCGACAGACATGCCTGGAACGACTTCAGACCGCTCTTCGACGCACTCGCCGGCTTCCGTGGTGTCCACGCCCGCATGGGCTCCTCCACGCGCTCCGCTCCCTCCTCACCGTCTCGCGAAGCTCGCAAACGCCTTGGGCGTGCCTACGCCCTTACCCGCAGGGCATGCGTACACGGTCTCACTCAGCACACCGCCCTGGCCAAGCTCGTCAACATCCCCTTCATTCTCTGATCACTTCAGAAGATCCCCCACTCCGTCCGCAGCATCTGTACAAACCTATACATCCTCAGCCTCCTCTACCAAGTACCTCCTTCATGTCATCCCACCCACTCATTTGCCCCATGAATCTGACGCTGTGGACGACTCCGATCTTTTGCCCCCTCCTTCTGGTGCGTCCGGTTACCACACGCAGTTTCGCCGCGGCGTGCTCGTCCCCGTCTATTCCACGCTGGCAAGTCAGCTTGCAGCCATAGCGAAGGAGTACGCATTGCCCAGCACCGCAGGTCTCATCCTCTACCTTGTCCTCAGCTCCGACTCTTCGAAACCGGACGTCGAACTGGAGCTGGAGGAGCCTGGTCCTCGAATATCCGAGGACATCTGGAGGCATATATGGCACCGTGTCGTTAAGGCGGACAGAGAAGATTCCTTGTCCCCCGGACCACGACAACTGGGCTTGGGCATGGGTACTACTTCACCCGCATCGCCCTCGCTCATCCAAGAGGTCGCATCGACGTCTCTGCGACCGCTCATGTCGCCACGGAGGATAGAAGTACCGTCACCACAACTGCCCATGACGCCTTCGCCATCCACCGCGTCACAGTCCGTGTTCTCGTCGCAGTCCGAGCTGGAAACGCCGGAGTCAATGTCATCAGTATCTGCAGGTCCTGACGGCCCGCACGACGAGCTTCCTCTCCCCGGTCTCCGTTCGCCTGCGCTGATTCCCATCCTTGCGAAGGTCGAGTTTGACATCGATCGGCGGAAAGCGAGTTGGTATGAGCCTTGGGTGCGGAATCGAAGGGCTAGCCATGCGAAACGCTCAGAGTCGCGGAAGAAGAAAGGGTTGAGAGTGGATGGCGACGATGACAGTACAGATGCAGAGAGCAGGAGGGCACCGTATGACCTTACCATCGTCGAGCGGATGCACGATGGCCGTCCGGCCTTCCTTCGTGAACGGGATGCTCTGGCCGTAGAGGGCTATGCCCAGCTGGACGACACATCGGACATCGAGGACGCAAATACACGGGTCGGCGCACCAGGCGGCGACCCCCTCCTCGATGTCTTCGGGCCAGACGAGGATACCTGGGCAGACATGCAGGCGAAGCGCCAGCGACGCTCGGCCAACCCAAACGTCCTCGACCTCGCTCTAGACGGCTCAGCACTCTCGGCACTCCGGGACGACCTCGAGGACGACCGCGCGGCGTCGGACGACGAGGATGAAGTCACAGAGCTATGGAACTCGCGCTCCCGTCCTGCGCTCGTCGTGTCCATACCGTCACCGCCGTCTACGGGCAAGCGACGCTCGTCGCCTACCACTGCGGGCGCCGGCAAGCGCGCCCCACCCCCTCCTCTGACTCTTGTGCCTGCTAAGAACGATGGGCTTGTGGTGCAGGATAGCCCGAAGGAGGGGAGTAGCCCTGGAAGCGTGCGCCTTGCATACCTGGATGGTGATACGCCTCAGGAGGCAGAGAGCGATGTTCCGCCGCAGGTGGGCAGGAGGGTGCGGAGTCCAGACCAGGAGAAGCGCGATGGAGCGTTCTTTGAGGATCTCGACCTTGGTTTGACCGTTGAGGATGATGAGGTGAGTGCCAGGCGAGTCGTTGGCGTGATACCGATGCTGAGCGTTGAGCGTGCAGTTTGACGAAAATGACCCTAATGACCGGAGACGGAGTCAGTTCCTTATGAAGCAACAGCTTGACGAGCTCGAGAAGGTAGGCGCTATATGACTGAACGTTGAGCATTCATGGATTGACAACCAATGTACAGAACCTTGTCCAGCTGTCACCGAGACGACTGCAAACCGAGTCTTTCGAAGATTCTCCGACCCGAGGGCTGTACTCTGCTACACTCTCCCCGCCAAAATGGAACTCTCCATCACCATCAAGACTGAACCTCAGTACCACAAGGTGAGGAACTACACTGAATACCAAGATGATCAGACCTCCGACACCGTTACAGTGAACCGACAACAGCCCATGAAGGTGCTACATGGCCTGCCGTTCCGTACTCGGCTGCGAACACGACAGGTGTTTTCAATGCAGTTGAGAGCGCGTCTCCCGCGCAGGGAAAGGGACCTTCCCCTTCGCCTCCACGAATAGCATTCAACGGTGTCTCCACCGAACCGCCGAAAGGAACAGTCCTGCCTCGCTCGCGCTCTGGTACCATCTCGAACGAAAGCCTAGCGCGCCAGCGCGAGGAGGATGAGCTGTATCCCCCACTGATGCCCCCTGCGATGCTGACACCTGGTCTCAGCGCTGGTGGCGACTCGCCTGTTATCCCACTGTCGCCGGACCCATTTGGCAGATTCCCCTCCGAAGCTGAGGCCACACGCATCAACGAGGAGCGGGGGAACGATAAGTACCACGATGGTCCATCCAACGGCAGCTCGCGGCCGTCGCTCCCTAGGACGACTTCGTACGACCCGGAGGTCAGGGCATTGTCGCAGACGCCGTCGAGCCGGTTCTCGCTCGACTCCATCGCGTCGGAGGAAGAGAGCGAGAAGGGCACGAAGGGCGCGCCGCTGGTGAGCATGAAGAGCATCAAAAAGCTGTGGCGCAAGACGAACAGCAAGCTCTCGCTCTCGAGCGCCTCCGTACTCGAGTCCGGGCGGTCTTCGCCGAACGAGCAGGTATCCGGCAAGCGCATGTCGCGGACCTCGACGCGCTCGCCGCAGCTGTCCGACCAGATGGGCGACTCGCCGCCGAAGCTGAGGAAGCGCAAGTCGTCGATTCGGAGCATGCAGTTCATGGATGCCTCGCGCCAGCCCTCACCTGCGCTCCCCTTGGGCGCCGTGTCGGGCTCTTCTCCTTACCTTCCCCCGATATCGTCCTCCCCCTCGCCAAACACTTCACCACAACTGTCGGCCGCTGTGCCTGCTGCTATCTCGCCTGCAGACAGGAACGGCAGTGTACGCAAGTCCATCCTCAAGTCGTGGAAGTCGGCAAATGGGAGCCTGTCAGTGCAGAATACGCAGGCCGCGTCCTCGTCTTCGCAGAGCACGCCGCGCTCTAGCCAGGAACTGCTCAACAACGACGCCGGGATGAAGCGTCGTCGGCCGAGCGTTCTCGACGGGTCGATCGTCGCAGGCAGGCGAGGCTCTGTCCTATCCTCCGCCACCCTGGTAGATATCCCGCCGAGTCCTGCGCTGCCCGAGGAGTTTGCGCAGTCGCAGATGAAGAAGCGGATGAGCCAGTCGAACCTGCTCACTGGCGGCAACAACCGGCGCGCGTCGACGCGGCAGCGGCTGAGCCCGAGCATGTCGTCGATGTCGACGATGTCCTCGTCGCCGCCGCGGCAGAACGGGCGGCTCACGCCGGGCGACTCCCCGCCGAAGGGCGGCACGCTCTCGCGGCACTCGGGCGAGTCGATGGAGAGCCGGCCGAGCTTCGACGCGTCCCAGTTCGAGATGGTCTCGCCGAAGATGAACTCGTACAAGACGCTGTCGTACCCGTACCATGGGCTAGACCATGAGTGAGGACTGTGTCACGGTGCTAGGTTTAGACTTTGCTACGCTCTCGAATCCTCGGTGTCGCGCCTGTTGCTTCCTCCTTGCTTCTACTGCTGACTAGTGACGATTGTCGGCCGCGCTGGCTTGCCCTGACATTCGACTGCTCTGCGTCTCTGCTTCACCACGTAACCCCAACCTGACTACATCTTGTATAACCTCGCACCCCTTCGCTCTTCTTCGCATTGCATCTTACCTATCTATTCTCTAATCCATCGACTGGAAGCCTGCGTACTCATAAGCACCGACACAACCCGCCGGGCACCCGCCTTCGACGTCGACGTTTGCACGCAGTCATATTGTTATTCTACATAGATCCACTGTCTCCTCCTTCCCAGTAAGTAGTGTGTAATACATACCCGCCGGGTGCGGGGCGGCTCCGCGCCGCGGCACAGACCAAATCAGCCATGCGTGCCAGTATTTTCACCCTTGAGCAAGTTATCCGCACGAACAACGGGAGGGAAATCAGAAGGTGTGCTCCGTCGAGTCTTTGCCAACAGCAGACGTGCTGGACGACCCGGCGGAAAGCGTCGTGAGGATGCGGTCGATGTAGTTCGCACCGCTCCACTTCTGGTGGGTGAGCACGTCGCAGCCGAGCGCCTTCTCCTTGCGCTGCACGAGCTCGACGTACGCGAGCATCCCGTCCGCCGAGTAGCGCTCCGCAAGCTCGGCCGTCGCGGTGGCGTTGAGGTGCAGGCCCGCGAGGGAGATGAGTTGGAGGACGAAGCTGGGTGCGAGGTGGGTGAGTGCGTTGATTGAGGGGGATGGAGGACGGGTGGACTTACCCTTCCTTGCCGAGGTCCCAGACGAAGTTCTTGAGGGCTTCGTCTGAGAAGCCCTGTGCGGACCAGTTGAAGCTCGGGCTCAGGTTATACACGAACCATCTACGTGGTCGACGTCAGCGCCCCTTGCTCGCATAGCATGCGCTAGGTAGGTTAACACGCACTTGCCAGGGAACTGCTCGCGGATCCGGCGCGCAAACCCGCGCGCCTGCTCGAGGTCGGGCTGCTTCGTCTCGAGCCACATCATGTCCGCGTAGGGCGCGAACGCGAGCTCGCGCTTGATCGCCGCCTCGATGCCGCCCGTGAAGTGGTAGTAGCCTTCGCGCGTCTTGGGCACTGGGAATGCATGTCAAGTCAGGAAGAGACATGGACGTGGGAGGGGTGCACGCACGGTCCCAGTCGAAGAAGACGGGCTCGCCGAGGATGTCCTTAGCGATGTCGCGCGCGTCCGCGTTCGACTTGCCATCCACCGCGGCCCTGTATCCTCGGAGGGCGCCCTCTTTGTCCTGGATGCTGCTCCGCTGAACAGCCTGCTCGACAGCTAGACGAGCCTCTCAGTTGGCTACACTCGAACAAGCCGCGAGACACCGCACCCTCGTCGAACGTGACCAGCTTGTTCCGCTCCAACCACTCGCTCTCGATCCTGCCCACTTCCGCTGCGCCCGCCCCTCGCGCCTCCGCCTCCTCGACGGCCTCCGCGAGCGCGCGGCGCTCGCCCCTGCTCTCCGCGGCGACGCCGAGGATGTGCGGGTGGTCGCGCACGTCGACGGTGCTCGAGATGAGCCGGGCGGACTCCGCGTCTGTGCGCGCGATGAGGAGCATCGGGTGCTGGAGGAGGTCGAGCTGGAAGCGCGCCGCGACGAGCCGCGAGATGTGTGTGGACGTCGGGACGAGCACTTTGCCCCCGAGGTGCCCGCACTTCTTGCCCCCGACGAGTTGGTCTTCGAAGTGGATCGCGGAGGCGCCCTACGGGGGACGGGTGGTTAGGAGGCAAGGGTAGGAGGAATGAGGAGACGAGACGCACCGCTTCGGCGAAGAGCTTCGTGAGCTTCAGGACGGTTGACTGGCCCCCGTGCCTATGGGATATAGTGTCAATATCATTTTTCGAAGCACACCGTACTGCAGACGTCAATACAACCCGGATGTTAAAGTCGTTTGCAAAGCGGTTGCCGTTTCGCATCTCTCAGCATACGGGTGGGCCTGCCATGGAGGGTCAAACAAGATGCTCGTCGCGTGCATGCGACAACCATTTTGCAAACGACTAACAAGGCACAAGCCTGGCGCCGCCCGCTGTGCGGACGGCAGGTCGCAAGTCACAGCCGTCCCCTCCGCCGGCGCCGATGCTGTCGTTGGGCGCTGAGGGCGGCGGGGACAACGACGGGCGGTGGGTCATAGGGAAACCCACCCCCGCCACTGTGCCTGGTCATGTAGTTCTGTCACACCATACCCCCATCCGGGTTGTAGTGCCGTCTACAGTACAGAGGATATTATGTCGTACCCCATGTCTGCATCTGCGATAATAGGTCGAAGGTAGTCAACGTAAGGTGTCTTCGCCCGTGCCTCCGCACCAATTTGTATGCGCTCATCGTAGTGCTTGCGGTCATGGTGCAGCTGAGCACGGAATATCCGCTCGACCTGGTTAGGCACTGTCGTATACGGGTAGTCCCTACAGACAGCTGGCATTCAGCACAGTGACCCTGTACACACAGCCCAGCGACGCACCCCAAATCCGGGCCAACTTCGTTGCTGCCAGTGGTCAGCAAGCTGCTGCACGCCCACCCGCTCACATACACGACCTCCTGCCACCTCGCCATCTGGGTCATCTGCACGGGGTCCACCGCGCCCATCGTATGCACCGGCCTCCCCTCCTTGCTCCTCTCCCCGAACAGCCGCCACAGCTTGTCCGCAGTGAGCGCAGACGGGAGCGGGAGCGGCGGGAGCGAGCCCTGCTTGGAGGCGACGTCCGCGGCGGAGTACGGCCGCTTGAGGCCTGCGAAGCGGGGGAGCGCGAAGAACGCCTCGACGGCGGCGACGCGCGCTGCGAAGGCGCCGCCCTCGCTGTGTGGCGAGGGGGCGGACAGCGGGAGGGCCGGGAGGTCGCTGTAGCCGAAGCTGCTCATCGCGCGGGCGGGCAGCGAGCGCGGGAGGTGCAGGGCCGCACGCGCTCCGTGTAGTACGCCCGACATTGCCGAGAGGTGTTTGGGCGGCGGGCGGGCGGCGGGGGTGGTTATATGCGCGGTGCTTGGACTTGGTCGGTGCGAGGATCGACGGCCGAGCGCAGGTGGCTGAGGGCCCGGTAGTGGGCCTGTTCCGGTTGTCCCGGGCCGGCTATGCACACTCTCGATCGGGCGGGGCCCCGCATTGTAGTGTGGCCCGCTCCTGACAACAGCCATCGTCCACTCAGCCCATTGTATTGCAGTGTGTATGACATGGAAACGCACCATAGCACGCATGAGACTGCGTCGGAGCAGACGGACGACGCTCTCTTTGAGACGGACAGGTGATTACTGAGCATCGCAGTCAGGTCCAGTTGCCGAGCAACAGCTTGAAGCCCGAGGTTCCGGTCCGTTGGTTGCTTCTCACAAGTAGATTGGCTGAGTTACTAGGGCTGCTCAATCAGAGATCTTGCCGCCCGTTTGTTCGTTCGCCAGGCACCTGTGCCGTACACGTATGACAGTCGTCTCAGATCCGAACAGATTCACGACTGATCCAGCCACTGCCTACCGAAAGTTACCTAAGTTAGCGTGCTAGTAGGGTTCTCTGAATGGCGCAGATGGGTTTATTCAGTGACCTGGCGGTGGTGGTACGGACCCAGGCGACGCAATGTGAAGAACACGCTCCTTGTCGACTGCACGACGCGCGCGAGCGGTGGATGAATGAATACCTGACTGCACTGACAAGATCGCAGTGCCACCCAGGTCCCAGACCCGGTCCTGGCATGCGTTCTGAGGAGCCCTGGACTAAACAGACATTTTGCTGCGCTACATACAATACAGTTTCACAACTCATCACTACTACAATACACAAACAGTTACTTTGCCTCACACAACATGCCGCTTCCCCGCTCAACTCTCGAGCTTACCCAACAACCAGCTGCTCCCCAGGATCATGCCCAGGAACAACGGCGCGTGCACCCAGCGCGCCTCCTGCGTCGGCGCCGCCATGAAGCAGAACTGCGCCTGCTGCGCGGCGAAGAACAGCGCGATCCACGTCAGCCGGCCCTTGTTCGTCAGCCAGCCCGTCTGCGTGACCTTCGGCGCGAAGCGCGTGTAGAACCAGAGGCTCGCGAGGAAGAGCGCGTTCTCCGCGAGGAAGTCGACGACTGGGGAGTCGAACCAGCCCGCGCCCGCCGCGACGTCGTCGTGCGGGGTGATCTTGACGTCTGTTGAAAAGAAGCGTCAGAAATTGGTTAGTAGCGCAAGAGGGACACGCGTACCTTTCCGGTGCACGGGCAGCTCCAACAAGAAATGGCTCAGCCCCGTCGCAGTGATCACCGCAAAGTCCGTCAGCGACACCCGCGCACCCGGGCTGAGCAGCTTGTACCCGAACGCGACGGCCGCGCCTGCGACGCCCATGCCGACGAGCGAGTGGCTGTACGGGTAGTCGTTCGTGTACGGGAAGCAGCCCGAGCGCGCGACGATCGCGGGGTCAAGGTTGAACGACTCGAGGCCCGCGAAGTTGAGCAGGAAGAAGAGGGCGTCTGCGGCGCTGCTCGCGAGCGCGAGCACGGAGAGGGGGATGCCTGGGGCGAAGGGCTTCGCGATGAATGCTGCGAGGAGGGGGCGTTAGCGGTTGTGAGGGATTGCGAGGCGGTGGGTGGCGGACGTACCGGAGGCGTAATGTCCAACCCACATGCTGAGTTTCTGCTACTTTCAGGAGGTCGTCAAAGGTCGGCTCGTTATGTCGTCGCGCAGTCAAACAATGGCAGACCCAAATGGGCACGAGCGAGCGTATATACCCTGCCGCGCACGCCGTGGAGAGCCCGAGCCGACCTCCATGACACTGACACGGTGGATGACGCCATGACGCCATCCACGACGCGCCACGAGAGGGCTGCTGGACGGCCTGGAGGCCAGTCTCCGGCGCATGGTCAGTCAGCAGGCGGATCCGGAGGGGTGGATGGAGCGGTGTTCGCCAGTGGCCGTCGGCTGATATCATCCCCTCAGCCTAAGGAGGAGTGCCTAAAGGAAGACATCCAGCGAAGGCGAAGTTGTTGCAGCACTCCGTTCGAACCACACCCATGTACACGCCAAGCTGAACATCGAGGAGAGTGCTGTAAGCAAGCAGGCGATCAACTGGCGGGCGTATGTACTTAATGCGACATCGGCCGATCCGTTTCCGATCGCCTCAGATCCAATCGCGCGCACCCCTGCGCACCCGTCCCCGACACAACAATCTCAGTCATCGCATCTGAAAATCTACCAGGCCTCACTGGCACTCGGCCGAGAAAACGATTACATTGATTGCTTCACCCAGACCGACTCTTTTACTCTGTGTGAACAACGGCATCGCCGATAGATAAAGAATAACGGGACTAGTGTAGGGTTAAGTAGGGCGATACGAGAGACATGACAAGAACAAACGGAATGAGGCGGAAACACAGGGACGCGGGGCTTGCTACAGAACATCGGGAGACGACTTACTATGCTACGTAGAATGCAGTTAAGGATGCAAGAATATTACTAGTATGGACAGGTGCGCAGATTACGATGCAGAACGTCCTGGGCATACAGTAATACTACAGTGACTGATAATAACTTTCTGGCAGAGGACAACACCATCAGCACCCACCAACGCGCGACGTAACAGGAGCGACTCACAATGTACTTCCGCTCAGTGCACGACATGGTGATGGAAGCTCAACAGCAACAGCGCGTCCTCCACCTTCACGCCCGTCTCCACCTTCACCTGCGCGCGCTTCAGCTCGCCCGCCTTCTGCACGCGCACGCGCACGCCAACCTCGAGCGGCGGCGGCGGCGGCGAGCTCTCCGGGCTCGGCGTCAACGCCTCCTGCATGTCCTCCTCGCTGCCCATGTGCGAGTCCCCGTCCGCGTACGTGTCCGGGTCCGAGCTCGAGCTGTGCTCGTTCGCCGACGCGGGCCGCCGCCGCATCGCCCGCGCGTACGTATACAGCTGGCGCAGGTTCTCCTCGCTCGGCGGCTGCACGGGCGACGGCGGCGTGTAGCGCGCCTCGTACCGCGGCGCGGCGAACTCCTCGCGGACGTCTTCGAGCGAGTACGGCGGCGGGGGCTGGCTGGGGTGGAGCGCGTGCATGAGGGGCGACGACACTGAGGAGGACACACCGGTCGAGTGCATCGGCGTTGCCGAGCGGGACTGGTACGTCGCGAGGCTGACATCGTCCGCGTCGACGTCCATCAGCTCGTCTTGCTCGTCCTGGTCAATCTCGCCCTCCTCGAGCAGCCCGTCTTGCTGCAGGCCCGCCGCGCGTTTCCGCGCGGTCTGGCGGAGGTTGCGGAACCAGTTCGTCACCTTCCCGACATCCATGCCGATCGCGAGCGCGAGCGCACTCCGCTCCTCAATGCTCGGCGTGGAGGTTCGCCGGAAGACCTTCTTGAGAGCCTCGAGTTGGTGCGGCTCCGGCCGCGTGCGCCGGGGGCGCTGAGATTTCTCCTGCAATCCACTCTGACCGTGGAGACGGTCAGATGGCATGCGATACGGCGAAACACGCGGGGAAGACGGGCGAGAGTATGATCGACTCGAGCCATGGCTCAGATCATGACCGCGGCTCAATGGCGCTGCACTGGATGACCGGCGAGCACGAGGGGGCGGGGCAGAGATCGAGTGTTGCGGGGGCAGCGGGAGAGCGAGCGAGGGGTGTCCGGTCGCAGGCGGGACTGATAATGACAACGATGGGTGCGCCGCGCTCGCTGCAGGAGGGAACGGCGAGAACATACGCGGTTTCGACGACGAGGCGGCATGCGCGGCGACCGCCGCTGCATGTGCGTCTTCCTCGTCTTTGCGCTTCTTCGCGATGCTGCGTTGGTTCTGGAACCAGTTCGTGACTGATTGATAACGCCTAGGAAGGAAATCACATCAGGACCTTGTTTTGGATCGGGGCCTGATCGCGAACAAAGGGATAGACGCCCATAATGCATCATGCCCAGAGGGCATCGCGAAGGCAATGCTTGATAGACACATTTGTACGGACCAGGTGTCATAGCAAACGAAATAGACGTTATCGAAACTCACATGCCGATTTTGTGACCGAGCTCTTCTCGCTCCTCTTTGGCAGGGTGCGGGTTGACATCGTAGACCTTGCGTAGCTCCTCTGTTTGCACCGCAGAGGGACGCGAGCGAGCTTTGGGGCGTGAGCTCTGCTCGGGGGCATCAAGGTGGTCATGATGAGGATTGCCCGCGTAGAAGAGTTGCTGTTGAGTGGGCGGTAATCGGTGCATGTACTCGTCGTCGTCGTAGTCACTGTACTCGGATTGCCGGGGAGGCGGTGGGCCGAGGCCGAGGCCTGGTCGAGTAGATACGGATGCAATGAGAGCTGAGATCGGCGGGAGCTCCACCGAGTTGCTATTGCTGCTCTTCTTGGCTGACGCCCCGGTGGTTGCACTCGAGCCAGCGCCTGCGGTTGGGCCTGAGGTCGTCGCCGGGGCGCCTTTATGACGCTTCTTGCACGAAGCACGTTTGTTTTGGAACCAGGAGTTGACGGTCTTTGTCTCCCTGAGTGGTCGTGAGCATGGGGAGGGAAGGAGCGGCGGCGTATGCAGGGGCGACGACAACAACAAAGACAACGGAAAGAACGCTCACATTCCAAGACGCTCTGCGAGCGATGTGCGCTCCTCCAACGATGGGTGCTCGTTTTTGTCGTAGAGCTCGTTGAGTGCAGCGAGTTGGAAGGCAGAATGCCGGTGTCGGGGTTTCTTAGGCTGGTCCATGGTATCTTGCGCGGCGGGGTTTTGCTTTCTCGACTTTGGCTCTGCCGGTCGTTGTTGGCGGTGTTGTTCTGGAGTGGTGGGGGACGGGAGGTCGTCCCTGGCCCATGCAGGGGGTGGAGGGAGCATGGAGGACGGCGGGAGGAGGTAGCGGAGATGGGGACAGTGACAAAGCGTGCGCTATAGGGGGGCAGTTCGGCTCTTTAAGCAGGAAAATTAAGCAGGTGGACACTTATGCAGCTGTCCGAGAAGAGCCAAGTGTCCCACGGTGCATTCAAATTATGGCATCACTCCCTCTCCGGCCACGGCCGCACTCAGTCTCTCTTCCGCCCGGCTCGTCTTCCGCATACCCGGCCACCCCGCCCTCCCCGCCGCCGCCGTCGCCGACCCAGCGCACGCACGGCGTCGGGCGTTGAGGGCGAGGAAGGCGATGGCAGGCGATGGCTGCTACAGCTGTGAAGCGGTGCCTGTGTGTTCATCCATGACCAGGATGCCTCGCAACCCGCCACGTGCGCGTGATTGGCTTGACCGTATGGGCGCCTGTGACGGTGGTTGGTGCTGTCATCTGCAACTGCTGCGACAGAACGCTGCCCGTATCATGCCACTCTATATCCTATCCCACCCTTCCTCTGCGCCGTGTCGTCCACCCGCCGCGCTGCCCACCTGCCATGCTCTCTGCGTTCTGGCTGATCTGTGCCCGAGTACATCCTCAACGCTGTGCCGCCTCCACGGCCTAGAAAGCCGCCGAACGTGAACAATATCTGATCTGATAGATGATCTTATTCATTCTCGATGACGTCCGCCATTTGGGCTTCTTCTACAGTGCACTTCAAACCATCTCCAGTCAACCAGACTGATCCAACGTTAACGCACTGACCGATGTGTGGTACCTGCTGAGAAGCAGTGCGATCATTCTGTTCGAAGCGCCCGCATATGCTTTTGTCGTCCGAGACCCAGGTCTCACAGCTCCAGTGCGTTTAAACATACCCAGGCTAGCTCCTTGCGTACCGGCCATCCGCTCTAGCCGCCCACGTCCACCACCAATTGTCCGATGCCGTAACGCACACTGCTGCGCCTCGTCTCGTCTGCATTCATAATCCTTGTCGGACCACCAGGACGAGACAAAGCTGCGCGGGTCACACATGTGTCAGGCAGAGACAGGTCCGGATAGTCGCAGAATGTAAGGTACGTCTACTGTACAGAGGCTTCATTGTCCCACAGATAAATTTGACTCCCAGATACCATGTAACTCTCCGTGGCATGAGAACCTCCGAGGCCGAGGACGATCACATCGAGACGTCCTCTTGCTCTTCCCCGATATTCTTGATCCACGCCCCTATCGCACCGCTGTGTATACGTACAGACACACTCAGCAATGCATCCGGGGCTCATATCAAGCAGCAACACTCACAGGAAGCCCTCATGCCGAAGAAACATTGCGCGCTTAGTGCCTTTGCTCCAGAACCTGATAGCGTACGACAATGTGCTGATAGTCGCCGCATGGCCTGTACCCGCGGACCATCAGCCAGTCAGATGGTCAGCGCGATCGTCAGAGGTGGGGCAATGAAGCGTACCCCGGATGTAGAAGCCCCCAAAGTATATGCGGTCGAGGTTGTACTTCTCCGCGTTCATGTAGCTGTGTGTCACAGGATGCGGATTTCAGCAATGGGAGATAGTAGATATGAACGGCCAGCTGACGCACGCTATCTGCCCGATGTTGTTCGATACCGCGTACAGCAGGCTCTTCGAGATGTCCTCGGGTGTAAAGGTGCCCTTCTGCCCGCGGTTCTTGAACACCTTACCAAACGAGCTCGCAATCATCGTCGACTTCAGCCCGAGCTTGCTATAGTCCGACCCGTAGATATCCCCGACCAGCATGTCCACCTTGGAGTTGTCGCCTTTTTCGGAGAGCTCGAGGATCTCTGCGGAAGGGAAACAATGAGGACGATCACGCGGGAACGCAGATCCTGACGTGCACACGCACCGTCGAACGTCGTCGCCGGCGTCAACAGGCTCAAAAGCCCCCACAGCGTGCCGCCCCCCAGACTCGTCCCGCTCACCCGCTCGTACTTGCCGTCCTCGTCCACCTTGATGATCGACACGCCCGAGCCGATATTCACCAGCAGGCACGGCAGCTGCGGCGTCGGGTCCTGCACGAACGTCACCGCGTACTTGGGCGGGTTCGGGCTCGGCCGCTCGAGGTTTCCGCCAGGGTGGGACACCGCCTCGATGAGCTCGTCCGAGAAGTAGTACACCTCGTCCGGGATGAGCGTGATGAACTTGAGCCCCTCGATCAGACACTCCATCTCGTCCTCCCGCCGCACCTCGACGCACAACTCCTGCCCGAACAGCTCGTAGAACCTGTGCGCCCCGCCGCCTGTCGCCATGATCTTCACGGACCGGCGCATGTCGTCGATCGGCACGCCGTTGAGCGCGGCGCTGTGCTCGATGAGCCCCTGAATGAACTCGACACATACGTCGATGTGTTCCGTCTCGAACCGCTCAAAATTCAGCTGCCCGCCCGGGAAATGCTGCACAGATGCTCGCCGGAGGAGCGAGCCCTGCAGGAAGCGGTGGTCGAGGTAGGAGTATTCCGGCGTGGCCGAGCTTGCACTTGCATGGCCGTTCTCGAGCACCGCCGGTGTGAGCGCGCCGTTGAGTTTCGCGCTGTGCTTCGCATTCGAGGTGGGCGAACCGGAGACGGGGGTATCTCGTGGTGGTGAGGATGAGATAGGGGAGGAGAGGTCGCTCGCGGCGCTCGAGCTCGAGCCCCACGTAGCCGCTACTGATGGCGACCTTGGTGGTTCTGGGGAGCGGGTGAAATAGACTACTTTCGCGAGCGAGCCGCCAATCTAAAGCGGTAGCAGTCAGCACGAGAGTGAATGAGCCGAAGAGCCATATAAGGACGCACGTCGACCGCTATGTGCGACACGGGCTCGATGTAATTTGGAAGGTAGATGCCGCGACTGTCTCGGGTCTAGCACCCAATCAGCATGACGAAATGCGGACGACGAATGAGCAGCGCACATCGGGTGATTCCTCGTCCAGGATGACCGCCCCGCGGGTGTCGACCTGGATCGCCTTCGCGCCTGGCAACGCTGGCCCGGACATCCTCCTCGCACCGGTGTACTGCAGCAACAATTCGGAGACTCCTGACTGGCCAGGGCGGAACGCGAGTCAACGGTCGGCGATTGCGCCGTTCTGATCAGACCCGTCGCCGCTATAAGGGGCGTATGCGGGGCGGCGGTTGGGGTAAATCCGAAAAGTGCGACAGATGTGCGCCTGCCCGGTCGTACGACTGCACGGTGTCCAGGAGTCAAGCAGCACGGCGCTGGCGCAGTGTCTGCGGGGCTTCCAGCAGCTTCCCGGTAGCGAGAGCAGTGAAAGACACGGGCCATCGTGTGCTTTTGTGAAGGAACGGTGGAACGACAGGCGACGGCAGAGCCACGGGCCCGACAACGCCAAAATCAACAGCTTTCTCACTCGCCCCGCATCGAGACTCAAAAGACCGCCCTCCTGTGGGACACGGCTGTCGTTTACCTCCTCCACCTCTCATGCACAAATAGATACTGGGAATTTACGACAAACGTCCGATACAAATCCAACAACGCAAAAAGGCCTCGTCTACACCACCCGGCGACTCAACCACCGATAGCCGTGAGCACCAGTCCGCAAGCCTGCTGCTGCTCTGCGCGGACGGCCAGCTCTAGCGTGACACCCTGCGTCTTCGAGTAGGTCATCCGGCACCGCACGAGCACCTTTCCGCCTCCGCCTGGGATCAAGCCGGACAATTGCAGCGTATGCACAGTCGGGTTTTGAGGCTCCTCCGTGCCGCCCAGCGGCTGCACGTTGAGAATCTCGATGATAGAGTCGCATGCAGCTGCCACAGACGTGAGATACGCGTACACCCCACACTGAGAACCGACGTACCTTTCATGGACTCCATCGCAGATAGCGCGAAGGTTTCTGTCGCGGTCTCCCCATCGCGCATACGGTCCCACTCCGACGAGAAAGTCGCGTAGCTGGGAATGATGTAGTCGCCCGCAGCAAGCTCGGTCTCCTCCAGCTGGTACTCGTCTTCGTAGCCTTCCTCCTCGGGCTCGCCCGTCGACGGGTCCACCTCCTTGCTGACGAACTTGAGCACGCATTGGAATGAGGCGAGCGTGTATTCTTCTGGGCTGTCGCGCGTGAATGAGACGTAGACAGTCCCGGGAGATGTGGCTTGCGATAATGTCGGCAAAGGAATGATGAAGTCTTCTGTGAGTCCCGAGTCTGTCTGCGGTTGCATCACGACGGAAGCCTGCTCCAGAACCGTGTCTGGGATCGTATTCGACACATTGAACTAGCCGGGATACACTCAGCCGAAGCTATACGCCGGGGAAAGAAGTATATGCGAACCTGGAATACGATATGTTCCTTGAATATGTGCTTGACACATGATACCTGATACTCGGTCTCTGCCTCCGTAAGCTGGGAAGGCTTCGAGCTGCTGTTGAGCACAGGACCATAGTCTGCGAACTCCGGAACATCGGCGAGCTGCTGTGCGTATGCAGACTGCGTCTCCGCAGCCGTCTGAGGCGGGGGAGTTGCGGCCTTCGATGTCGAGGGGACGCCAATGGTCTCCAGACTACTGGGACCTTAATGAAGTGTGTCAACACAGACCACCCAGCGTGACTGCTGTACACATGACTCACGAGCTACCTCCTTCGAAGCCTGCTCCTTGCTGATTTTGGGTACTGAAGATGCATCGAAGGGCTTGTCCAGAGATTCGGAATCACTGATGTATGATACCAGCTTGGACTCGAGAGCGGCCAAGGAGAAGATCGACTCTACATCGTCCTGTGAGCCCTCAGCCACCGAGCGGAGATAACGAGGCATTACCTTCTTTTACGTATGTAGTGACCAACGGTGGATCCTCATATACCTTCAAGTAAAGTGCGGCACGATCTCGGACCTCGTCGTCCACATCATCCAGACACCTGCAGTAACAAATGAGGGTCGGAATGGATGCAGGGGTGCTTTCCACTTACCGGTTGAGAAGGACTCTGACACTGCTAGCCAGCTTCTCATCCAAACCGTTGAGACCGAACTTGGCCAGGCTCGACACTGCTGCAGCGCGTACGGTAGCATTCTCGAGCACCACACGGTTGTAGATAAACCGGATATACTTCGTCGGCTGCGGCGCCTGCGGGCCCTCTGCACCAAGCAGGTGCAGGATCCGCACGGAAAGCTTCGTGAACTCACAGTCCTCGATGAATTCACAGAGATGCGCGAGCGCTTGCTCCTTGCAGTCCCCGATGAACTTGATCATGTCGAACATGGCCTCGACGACGGCGCGCTTGAAGTCGTAGCCTCCCTCGTCACGGAGCACACCAGACAGGAAGGCGAGCATAGACGCGTGCTTGGATGGGAATTTGAGGCAGAGCGAGCGGATGGCGTCGACGATGATGACCTTGAACTCATCGCTGATTTCACTCATGAAGCCTGTAATCTGCTTCATGAGGCGATCTACCGAAGCCTCGTTGCCGGTCTGCGCGACGGTTCAGCATGTAGATGGTCCTCGCTAGTAGACAATGTCGCACCTTCAGCAGCGTCGTGATGGCGTAGGTCGCAACACTGCGGTTTTGGTCTGAAATGAGGTTCTCCAAGTCCATGTTGCAAGCAGCCACGCTCTGGGGATGGTTCACAGCCAGCGCCGCCAACGTCCGAGTCGCAGCAAACTTCAGTGTAGACTTGGGCGACGAGAGGAAGAGCTGTAGTACTGCAAGATACTGGTGAGCGATATCCCTATGAAGGCGACGTTCGAAGCACACCTGCGATAGACCTTGTAAGCTGCTGAGCGGTGACGCCCTTCATCTCACAGATGGCACGAGCAGCTTCGAGGTTGACCATGTCGCTCTTGTGCCGCAACCAGCCCTCCAGCAGGTCAAACATTTGCCTCTGCATGCTACACAAGACGTGCTCAGTATGCCAGGAGCTAACTTCCTGACAGCACTCACTTGGGATCCTCTTCCATGATCTTAGCCGCATAACGGATGAGCATGCACAGAGCCATAGGATTCTTGAGTGTAGTACCCGCGCCTGACTTGCCTCCACCAAGTTGCTGGATCATCTTCGTGACTGCCATACGATCCTGCTGGCGGATCAAGTAGAGTAGCCCTAGCGCGTGGTACTGCGTGATGTTGCTGGTCGAAGGCACAGGCGAATAACCGTTCGTAGGTTGCGAGGACGAGCCTCCCCAGCCAAGGTAGCCACCACCAGAGTTTCCTGCAAAGAACGAACTGGAAGACTTGCCGCTGACCGCCTCCTGCGCCTCGTTGACCCACCGCTTGACGACGTCCTTCGCGTTAGGGAACAGGTGGTATGCGGAGACGAGCGCGGCAGATGAGATGGAGGGATTCTTGTCGACTATCGCTGCCTTGAAGAACCGTTCCACACCTTGCGCCATAGATGGCTGGGTTTACAGTCAGTCGTCCGGCCGATGTATGCAAACCGGGAACGTTGGGACGCACATCGATAATACGGCATAGTGCACGAATCGCGTTTGGTCTGTAGATGACCTCCGAGTTGGGCTGCATATCCTTCATAATACTGCTCGTCACCATGATCACGTCCTCCGCCGTGCCGGCGAGCTCCTTGATCGCGAGGTACACCATCTGCCGCAGTGCACTCTGCGCAGACATAGCGTGTTTAGTTCAAAGACTACCTTGCCATCGGCGCCACTCACGTCCTTGTGTTGGAAGAGCTTCGTCGTCCCAAAGAACAGCGTCGTCGCCTCCTGCGTCCCAAAAGTCTCCCCGACATATAGCAAGAATACGATGCGGGTAAGGAGTGCCCTACATCTTCGCGGGCTTATGGGGGAGTCGTTGAAGACGCGTGCTTCCTGGATAACAGTGGTCTTGTTGTTGTAGTAGGTGCTCAGACCACTTTCCTCGTCCTTCTTGGAGACCAGAGACATGACGGCAGCGAGAGCAGGATATTGTACGCACTCCGGACACGCGACGTGGTCACCAAGATGCAGCGAGCGAGGTTAAGTTATTACATGATTATAATGTCTGCTTAAATTTACCTAACATCAGGCCGACTAGCTCAGTTGGTTAGAGCGTGGTGCTAATAATAATTGATAATTATGTTACGCCAAGGTCGTCGGTTCGACCCCGGCGTTGGCCATGAGTTTTGTTCCATAATATTTTACACGTTCTCCTTCCCCTTGAGTCCCTCCCGGCCATTCAGTCAGTCCTGCTGAGCTGCAGTACCTTTGGATGATTCTGTTTTGCACACAGAACACCCCTCGAACCACGCTTCAGGCTTGCAGAATGCACACCTCACATGGGGCCCAAGCCCCATCACATCGACCGAATAATTGGTTTTCCGACAGTCGACATTAAAAGGGCTCTCAATGTACTGGCAAACGAGCGGCAAGACAGAATCGTAGATTCAATCCAGTATGAAAACAGTGATGCAAGTCGTAAATGTGCAAGTCCAAAATGCGGGAGAAGTCCGTACAGTCCGTGCTCGTCCATTACTAACCATGGTATACCGAGTACTAAAAGCAACCCACTCTGTCCATGGAACCAAAGAAGACGTCGTACTACCGTTACACCATCTCTTTAGAGGACGAAAGCGCCAGCAATGGCAGCAATACCGGCAACGGCGAGGGAGCCGAGGCTAGCATCGAAGCGGGCTGCACCGTTGAAGGTGCCGCTGCCCGAGGTCTGGGCGGCGCCGGCTGCAGAGGTCGAGGAGCTCGACCCGATAGAGCTGGATCCAGTAGACGAAGCAGGGGACGTAGAGGATGCCGCCGAGGAGGCACCGGACGAGCTGGCTGACGCAGAGCTAAAGCACACGGAGTCAGACGACGTTATGCAAGGCGGAATGAGAACGCTACTAACGAGGCAGAGGTGCTACCTGAGGCAGACGATGATGCCGGCGGAGCAGCAATCGAGAACTCGCCACTCTGCGCGTAGACCTGGTTGATGTTCCTGCACATACAGTCAGCCTCATGCCCAGCCCATACATGGAGCAGGACCAAGTACTCACGAAATGTTGACAAATTGCACGTAATAACCGCCCCCGACATCGACGGAGGGCATCCCAAAGGCGAAGAAGTCGCTGCTGGAAGGAATGTTGTTGCCGACGGCGTACGAGTTGTGGAAAATGTCCGGGTTTCTCAGCTCGACCGAGAACGTCTCAGGGTCACCAGCAGAGTTGACCCAGCTGATGTTGGCGGGCGCGCTGCTCTGCCAGTCCGTCGGGGTCTCCACGACAAGCGCCGATGCGAAGGGCACGAGGACGACGAGGGCGCTGTTGGCCGATCGGTCAGACCGAACCTCGCGGGGGTGATGGAGACAATACGGACCTGATTGCGGCGAACATACTGGACGAGAGTCGTAGGAGTACTTTTGGAGAGACGGCGGGGGCGAGGGGCGAATAAGGGGAACGCAGCGAACGTTGCACGGGGCAGCGGGTTGCCTGCCCACGGTTTTATGGCCGGCGTCACGCGGCGCCTCCCGCCTGGTCGAACCTTCGAGCTCGCGTCAGCCGCCGAGCAAATCAGGAATCCTGCCCATCAGGCCAGCCGAACTGCCTCGAAGCCATGCGCTATTTCGGACGTGCCTTCTCGGCGCGGGGAACCTCCCCCGCCAGCCGCGCCCAGGGCTGCCTCGATTACCCGCGCCGTGCTCTACTCTACGTACATTCGACACTCGTCCGTGCTACGGCCAGAGACATCCAGCAGGAGGGCGGGCATACTGTGCTGCTGATCGCACGCGCACGCTCAGAAATAACCCCGGCAACATTTATCGCCTGGCGGCGTCCGCTTCTCAGCTCAGCTGCCATCCCATGCCACGCCAGAAGACACACCGCACAGGGCCTCGCGGTCCGTCGCAAATAAATCGTATCAGCCTCCCTTGTCTAGTAGATCTTCCTCGCAAGAAGCGTCAGATCTATCCCGGGGCTGCACTTGGGAAACAGACGCACCTCGTCGAATGGCCGTGTGTCAGCAAAGCAGCTCTCCCATACCTCGTTGACTGCTCGCTCCGCTGTCGCCTCATCCGGACATGCAGGGTTCGCACGCACAGAGAGGATGGCACGGCGACGCACACACGCCTATCGGGGACCGGGTCACTCTGTGTCCTCTGCAACGAGCGTCCGTGAAGTCAAGCTCACCTGATGCTGCTTCGAGAACGCGACGAACCCGCGCCGGAGCTCACGGCTGAACCTGCAATCACCTCCAAGACTGCTCGCGCGAATCTGCGCCGTCGCCCCGGTGAGCAGGCGTGCGGAAGCAGCGTGGGGGGAGACGTATTGCAGTACATACCTCGCTACAGGCGTGATGTCTCAAGTTTCTCCAGTCGACATTGAACTTCGCATGATCGTACATGTGAACGAGTTCGTGCACCAAGGTGTCCTCCATGTGTTTCTTGTTGAAGAACCTGCCCTGGCACATTATTACGGCGCCCGCGTCTGGGTGGAAGCCGCCTGCGCGCGTGTAGTCGCAGGGTACGCAGAGGACGTCTTTCTCTGACACAGCAGCCCCGGAGAGTCTGAGGTGCTTCAGCATGAAGACGACTGCTGGGCCTAGGGTTCGCACATCGGTAGAATAAGATACATGCATATGCGAGTTAGGAGAGCCAACTGACTGTAGTTCATGAGGTACCTCTTCCACCTCTCACACGTCCGCCATTGGTGTCGCTCAAGCTCTGCTGTGCGCTCCTCAGCTGTGACACCCATGCCAGTGATCACACCAAATGTGAGTCGCCATTGCTCAAAGGTAGACTGGTCGTCGCTGGAAGGGCCCGCCTGAGGCGTAGTGTTGTCGGCGGAGTCGGGCATACGGAGTGCTGGTCGCTGGTGGCAGGCACGAAAACGGAATGCGCGCCCACGTGAGGCGCGTCTCGGCTTCCGCCCCGATCGCATCTGTCGTGCCCTGACGCGACCATGTCCGCCTTGGCGCCGTCACCCGTCCATCCCAGAACATGCCCGGCGCCTTGCAACACGCACAGCTTTAAGTCTGCTCAAACACCTCGTTCACGCGCTAGACATGTCTGTTTCACATACACGTCGGCGGTGAACTGGATATGAAAGACAGCGTGCACACCGCTGTCAGGACGATGGCGGTAGTACTCAAAATACATGCAAGATAACACGCAAACTTCGTAGATCCCTTGTTACGGTACAACCAACCTCGGAGCGTCATAGCTTGGCTGGACTGGTCCAGGCAGGCTTCCTCCTCTATCGACAGCCGTCATAAGCCTACATAAAGGGGCGCAGAAAATTACACGAAATTCGTACCTCGGAAAAGGCCCTGAGTCCCTCCTATGTGAAAGAAGGTTTCAGAGTCCCACCTCAGTCCAACGTCGACGCAACGCGCACCTTGATATTATCACCCGCAAAGTGCCGCTTGCTCTCCTTCGATCGCACATGAGCAGTGACTACGTCTTCGACATGCGCATGCTGGTTCGTGAGCAACAATGCACGCTTCGTGCTCTGCACCGAGTCAGGCGAGTTCGTCACAATCTCCGCTGCCCAAGCCAGCGCAGACGGGAGCAGCTCGGACTTGGGCACGACCTTGTTGACGCTGCATACAAGTGAGCCGCGCCTCCAACCCGTCGGTACAGGGATCCGCTTACAATCCGAAACGACCCGCAGCCTCAGATGCCTTGATGGGTTTTCCAAGCAACAGCATCTCACTTGCAAGCTATCCAGTCATATCACATCAGTCCCTCTATAACCAAGAGTTTCGTCTCGAGCGCACCTGATGACCGGCGATCCTGGCCAACCGAGGCATGCCTGCACCATGCGGAAAGACATCACAGTCAAGACCAACATCGACTAGAACATTGCTCAGACGAACCGCCTGCAATTGCTACCACACCGCGCTTGACCTCCGGAAGGGCGAAGACAGCGTCGTCACTCGCGACGACCAGGTCGCAGTTCAACACAAGCTCTGTGCCGCCGCCGTAGGCACCACCATGGACGGCTGCGATGATGGGCTTTCCGGAGGTCGACCGGCGAGAGATACCTGCGAAACCGTGTTTGTCGGCGATGACTTCGGTGCCGTCGTCTGCATCTTGGCTGCCCTGACGCTTGTTCCACCTAGAAGAAGTATAGTTTAATGTCTGAACGAGTCTAAGGGGTCTATGAGACTCACGCGATGAGGTCGGCTCCTGCACAGAAAATCCGCCCTTCGCCGTTGATGATGACCACCCTGCCACCGTTTCAGCCTGGCATAGTACCGACTATACTGAAATACTGACCACAGGCTAGTCTCGTTATCAAACCAGTCCAGGACCCTCTCGATAGCTTCCTTCATGGTGGGCGAGACAGCATTGAGTGCTTTCGGGCGGTTGAGAGTCAGTAGCATGACATGATCCTGTGGGAAGGAGACCTTGATCTCGTCGGAATGCTCGGGTGGTTGGAGGGCACCCATCGTGGTTACGGATCCTCTCTCAGTTGAGCGACGCGTCGAGACGAGGGGACGAGGGAAGGCGGGGAAGGGCCCGATGCACGGGAACACGGAGGAGGCGATCTCGATCTCGATGCGGGGTAATCACAAGGTTGGGCTCGCCGGAGCCTGCCTTGCCAGGCTTCACATGCCACGTTCGCGCGATGTTGGAGGATGTTGGCCCTCGAGAGCTGAGTCTCTGCAATGAACAATATTAATTGTCCTGGGCCTTAGAGTTCGCTACTATGGAAGCCATGTGTTCGTGACAAAAGAAAATCATGATATGCATGCGTTCATACTCCAAAGCTAGTCGGCGTAAATGAGTCAAACGTGGTGGGTCGTGCGAGGACAATGTACGCTTGTACATACACTATTCAGCCAAGCAAAACTGCCATGTACGGTCCTCACCTCCCTCACCCGTCTTTCCCTCACCATGTGCTCGCTCGCCCTTCGTCATACGGTGTTCATAACCTTTCCAGAGTGCCCTGTGGAACACGAATGACCGTAACTGCACAAAGCGCGGAACTGGTTGGGTCGAAGATGAGGCAGGCGGCGGTGGTTTCTTAGCCAATCTCGGGACGTCCCTAGACTCCCGTGTCAGGCATGGTCGGTGACATCGGCAGGAGGATGGCCTTACCACTGTGTATATGGAGGGACGTTGCGAAGTGTAATAAGGATGCTACCCCGCGGACTGACCGCAAGGTCGCTCGCGTCTCCTTCTTCTGCATTTTCAGGAGCATCATCCTCTTCCTCATCGGGGTCTGCCTTCCGCTTCCGAGGCTGCATGATGGTCGGGACTGGGCCCGTCGCGAGGAAAGGTGCAGCGGATCGGAGGAAGCACACGATCAGGATTTGGTTTGACCGAATGTTGCGGTCCTGGTCTGTGATACCTCTACCTAAACAAGTTCACTGTCAGCAATTAGACCGGTGTCCTATACACCACAGATACAGTACGCACCCGCATGGGGAAAGTTCCATACGATTTTGTCCCACTTCGTCCCCTTCAAGGCCGTGTGTTTCTCCAGCCTCGTCGCATCGACGTTGAAGATGACCTGTACTCCCTTCTTTCTCAAGGTGGCTACGACCTCCGGGGCATCCGGATACTTCGAGTAGCAATCGTCTTCGCTATCGTATGCAGTGGCCGTCACGTTGCCCGGCGGTAGGAACTCAAGGGCGCTAGGGGCATCGAAGACGAGAGCGCGAGCAAATGAGAAGTTCCCCTCGCCGATCAGCAGGATACGATCCGTAGGCTCGAACGGGATGGTCGGTCGCGGCGGCAGAGCCTTTGCCTTGCCCTTCGCCCGTGCACTTTGTTTCGCCTTGTCGATCTGCTCTGCATGGGCAGCCTCCTGCTTTTTCTTCAGCCTGGATTGCTGGGAGGAGAGTGAAGCCTTGAGCGACGTTTTCTTGCCCTTGCCCTTGGCCATGTCGTTCTGAGAAGCCGTGTGGCGTGCCAGGAAGAGGTTGTTTGAAACGGAAGCCGTTGGTACACAAGCCAAGACACGGCCAAACAGCCAACACGATCGTGGCGGAACGTGGCACTCACTGGCACGCGCTTACTGAACGTTCACCACGCCTGCTCGCCTCCATTCGCCATTGTCTAGTCGTTCTTTACCAATTTCACCATCATGGTGTGTTGTTGTTATGCATGGTCTGTTTCCTGTGATGCTGAGGGCACCGGACAGCCGACCGAATTTGAGATGCGTCGCCGGAACGCACAGTTCGCGGAAAAGGCTCGCGCGGGGAAGAACCCGTCTAAGCCATCACGACAGGAGGTGCTCGCGAAGCGTAGCCCTGTGGGCATGTGGGCACTGGGCATAATCTGTTTTGTTGTAATCGGCGGAAGTACGTAGCTTGCTGTTTTATCATTGTTCGAGGCGAAGCTCACCTATGCAACTCAGTTGTGCTGGAGCTCGTCCGACTGATCTTTGTGTGACACGCTGGTTGCTATTATGACGAGATTACTCTACTGGACGTGCACTGTGTGTTTCCAGTCGTTGCCGCGGCTAGCGTGCCGCTCCTGCACCACTCACATTTGGGCGACAGGCATCTTTCATTTTCATGGCTACACTATATCCCTGTCGACCACGTCTGATATATACGTGCGGCCGCATCATGTCCACAAGAAACGCCAGCGTATTCACAGATATACGTCCCTTCACTGTGCTAACCTTGGTTCTCCTCCTTTGTACTTCCGGACGCGGAAGGCTCGCCTCCGGCATCTCCAGTACTCTCAATGCCTTCCATCGGTTCTTCGAGGTCCCTCTCGTCAATCTTAACCATGTTCGCAGCCCATATGTGCGCCGTTGGCTGCCAGACCATAAGTATATTGTCTTCTGAGGTGCTGCTTGCCGTCCACGCCTCAGCCTCGCCAGGCGCCCAGCAGAAGTCCGTTGGTCGGGCAGTATGTCCTGGGCTGAAGTTTCAGTGGCGCTGGCCGTGCGCGACAGCGAATTTGCTTACCTCCGTGAATGAAGACAAGTTCTGGTGGCCCATCTTCTTGTTCGTCCGGAGTCTGTTCCTCACCGACTTGCGACAGGTCCCAGATGTTGATTCGTCGGTCACTTGAAGCCGAGGCAAAGACTGTGGCGTTGTGTGGTGACCAGGCGACATGCAGCACTTCGTCTGTATGTGACTCGAAGACATGCAGCTTCTTCGTTGGTGCACGCAGGTCGTGCAGAATGATCGTCTGCGTGGACCCATATGTAGCTGGGCATTGTACAGTGAAGTGAGCACTTACCGAATCGGCGCTGCCAGTCAACACCAAGTTCTCGGCCGCGGGGCTGAAGGCTACGGCAAGGATTTCTCGATCGTGTGCTTGTATCTTTGTCGTGGGTTCAGAGGAAGCACGGGTGTCCCAACTTCGAGGGTGTCAGTACTCTGTGGGTAGGCAGGGAGAAAGTGACTTACACCATAAGCATCTTGTCGTCCCCGACACTGGCTAAGATGTTCTCATGCTTCGTATGCCAGTCCACATCCTGGTTGGTCACGCGGTCAACAACGCTCTTGAGGATGCTGTGCAGTTCATGCATACCCCGACTACGGACGAGTGTCCTCTAAATACAGTTGTCGGCTCGATACTCGTCTTCGCCTTCGTGTAGGACGTAATATCCCTATGGCACTCTATTTAGGTCACTATGACTCTCATATTGTGCGTGTACTTACCAGTGACAGACGGTGGTATCTTCAGAGGCGCCGAGGATGTGGCCCATCTTCAGTGGGTTCCATGCCAACCCGAAGCTGAAAAGTGCAAAGTTATGGATAGTGCAGGATGCATTACGACATTAGGGACCCACCCTTCCTTGTTTTGTCCGACTAACCGGATATCCGGCCTACACACGCCTCCCCGTTCTGGGTCGCTGGGGTGCTTGGTCCGGTCGAATACGAACACTTCTCCGGTAACGGCCTTGGTTGCGATGAGGTCGGGGTTCTGGGGCATGTACCGCGCGCGGTTGACCTCGCCTGCATGGTTGATCTTCTGGGTAATCTGGACGCGAGGCTGGGCTGGGATGCTGTGGCCACCAAGCTCACCGCGCTCATCATCGTAGTCAGCGCGGTCGAGCCTGTCCGCCGAAGGGCTTTCATCCCGTTTCGGCAACTGCACGGTGGCTATTTGAAGGTAGTCCTGCGCTTGACCGGATGTGTGCGTACCCAGAAGGAGCCGGTGCGTCGTGTATGGCTTGTTAGCAGGTCTGAGTGGCGCGTCCTCAGCGTATCCGGTATTATGAGGTCTGGTCTACGCACGACTCCTTGTCTGGGAACCATTGGCACGTCAAGCTGGGCCAATCTAGTGCGTGGGTAATGACTACGTCGTATAGATATGGTGCATTCTTCTTCCTGGATTGCGCACCAACGGTCAACGCGCGAATGCGGAATTCATCGCCCGCGACAGCTCTTACCAGGTCTTGTACTCCTGCGCGATACGAAGGGCCCCGTAAATGATGGCGAATCATACAACAGCAGCAGGATGCTCACTTCGTTGATTAGCTTATTCTCCTCCTCAGCTGCGAGGTCATCCTCTACCTCCTCCTGCACGGACGGCTTCATAGCTCGAAAGACGATTTAGCAGCGAAGGAAACAGTGCTTGCGACCGAAGGGCACGGGGAAGGTCACACAGCAGCGGTGAGCGTAGACGAGAGACCGAACGAAGCCACAGTTCTCGTCTCTGACCGGCATGGACGGGCGCGACGCGTCTGTGACAGGTCGCGCTTTCGTCACACGGTCACGCGCGTGTGATTAGGAGGACCGGGGCAAGGTGTCCGGCCGACGGGGGGTACAGCGACGAAGGCCCCCGAGGGACATTGTTCATCTATTAGGATAACTACACATGTACTTTGGTGATATGCGCAGGGGTCAACGCCGACTTCAGAGAAGGGACAGGCGGTGCTGTATGCGTGTCGCGCGCAAAGAAGGCCTATGGCGGCTAGCAAGCATTAAATGCATCTACATCGGGCTCGGCAGTCATGACTCGCTCTCCCACTTCGCTATGAGCTTTTCCAGGTCGAAGTTAGGATCCTCGGGGTCGGTGATCACTGTAACCGGCAAAGGTTCAGCAAATTTGACGGAGCCAGAGAAAGCATCCGCGAGAGACACGGAGTGTCCGCTTGCAAGACGATATAAGGATGGTAGAACTCACCGCCGCCTTTGCTACCCTCCTGTTTCTTCTTCCATGCATCCTTCGCCTGCGCTATCAGGTGTTCCCGCTCGTGGACGGCGTGGTGCTTAACCTCCTCGTCGTGTGCCTTCTGCAGTGTCCGGCGGTGCGCAATGCCGTAGAAAACACCAGTAAGGAGCGCCGTGTACCGGACAACCTAACCCACACAAGCTCAATATCATACAAGGGGACAGTTCGCGAATCCAACAACTCACGTTAACTGTGGAGGAAGCCATAGGTATGCCTGACCACCGGGATTGTAGTCAATGCAACTGCGGGATGACCCTGTCTGTGTAGAAGCGGCACATATTAGCTACCTATTCCTTCCATCCACTAGGAGAGGTTACATACCTACAGTGGATCGAGAAATAGACCGACCGACTGTGTAACCTATGTAGCGGTCGCGCTGGAACACTTGCGGGAACTTCAGGAAAGTGATTATATAATAACGTACACGTGACTACCAACACCGAACGGCGAAATGGCAGTAACGTTGTAAAGCGAATGGGTAATATGGTAGAGTACTTTCGTTCCATATGCCAGTGTAGAAGTAGTGCTCAGAACCATTGTTGAAGTGACGGAGAGACATGCTAGTTCACGCATGTACCACTGGCAGCCTCACAGTAAGCATAATTGTTGACGACAATTATGATACATTGCCGGTGATGTCAACTTTTGACAGGAATGTGAAGCACAGTACTTTTGCTTTGTTGTTGCTGAACCATCCAAGTCCATGGCTATTCTGCACTGGGTCGCATGGAGGCAGTCACTAGTTCAGTACGCTTATGGAATGTCAATGGCCTTGGGCGGAGTTGGCAGATGGCGGCACGTTCATGAGGGCTATTTAGCACTGGCAGTGTCCACCACAACAGTCGAAACCGAGTCGGCGCACTCCGTACTCTATTCCCAAAATGTCTGAAGCGCAGGATATGTTTCGCGTCTCACCTTGGATAACGTATGACCCATCACCCGACGCCCGCACCGAAACCCTCGCTCGCAGTAACGTTCACTTCTCATCCATGGGCGGCGACGTCGACATGGACGCCCCACAAATCTCTACCCTTCGTGAAGACAACACTCCCGAGCCTACGCCGGCGCGCACGTCCAAGTTCAGGGTGAAGCTGCTGGTCAACGAGGGCAAGCGGGCTGGCTCACACCAAAGTGCTGCTCCTCGTGCTCACGCGAAGCGCGGGAGCGATGAAGACGAGGACGAGGACGAGGAAGAAGAGGACCAGCTCATTGACGATGACGACGACGAGCTCAGCAAACCTCCTCCGCCAGCGCCCCCCGTCATTCAGCCTGCACCTGTTCCTATTCCTTCAACCAGCGGCCGAGGACAAGCCACGAAGCGAGGACAGGGCAGGGGTCGCGGGAGGGGAAGGGGCAGAGGAAGAGGAGCACACATTGCTCTAGGTGAATGGTCTTCCTCCGTCGGTGGTCGCATATACTCATGCTCAGCATGTAGACCCGAGTCACCTCGCTCATAACGAGTTCTTCGATCCAAACATTCCTGGCAGTAGTGCATTCTCTCTCGTACTGCCTCCGCCGATAGCAGCACCAGCGCAGACAAAGAAGAAGGCTGCTGCAGCCAAAGGCACCACTGCTCAGCGTGCCATCAAGAAGAGGCCTTCGAAGTATGTCTCTTTGTAGTTGAAGCTGTTTCATGCTCACGTCGTCTGTAGGGCCGCCAAAGGCGCGGCAGCAGCTGTCATCGCTCCGATACCCATACCTATGCACAGGGATGATGCAGAAAGCATCATTAGCGAAGGTGAGCTTTTCCTCCGGTGAGCTTAGCGTTCGGCTGATAATTATGCCAGGCTATCCGGTAACAGCAGCTTCATCGCCAGTGCCTCATGACGAGCGGACGCCAGAGCCTGAGATGATGATGGCAACATCTATCTCAGGATTGGGAGTCGAGGATGGCATCACTTTTGAGAACGTTGCTTTCCCGCAGTACCCCTTGCCGTCGAAGCCATTCCCGGTACAGCCTGCGCCCAAGATCGGCACAGGCTTTGCGCCTCCTTTAGTGCTGGACAAGACCAAGAAGCCAGTGCGACGGTGGAGGCAGGTCAACCGCGAAGTGCGCGGCATCGCAGGTGGCCGCTGGTTTACTCGCTCCTGGGTCGGTGAAAAGGAATCCGAGTTCGCCTCTCAGCAGAACGCTGCCTCTCAGGCTGTCGCACTCGCCGCACACTCTGCCACTGAACGTGCGGACCGCGAGGCTGCATCAGCCGCGGCGATGATCGCAGCTGGCATCACGCTTCCCCCTAAACTGGCGGGTACATCTGCTTCGGCTCCTCCTGCAAGGGCGACGAAACCCAAGGCTACCAAGGGAAGTGACACGCCGCTGTCGACAGTGCCTCCGACTCCTAGTCGCCAAGATTCAGCGGTCCCAGAGATTATATCCGCTCAAGTCCCAAGGAACCCAGACATGGGTCAAGGAGCTCCATCTGAAGTCGCGGCCGCTGTAGCTCCCCCTGCCTGAAGTGTCTTCCCTGAGCGGACATCATTGTACTGAGGAGATTCTAGACGGGGTTGGTTGACTAGGATGTACTATACTGGCGACGCATGTATGTTTAGTCCGTGCTCTCGACGTTAGTTATCATGATATGCTAGGGCGCATGTAATATGTATTGGACCCTCGTATCGATTGGTGTGCTGTAGAGCGTCCTGAGTGTTGGTTGAGGCGAGAGTAACTTATCCATAGTCGGGAGGCGGGGGAGACCACGTGGCCTGTGCTGCACCGTGTATTGCGATCAGGGTGTCCGCGCGCGCGAAAGCGCGCTGCGCCGTTCGTATGCAGCGCAAGCCTGCGCACTTGACTACCACTACTCGACCTACGTCGCCGTCTAGCTGAGTCGGCTGCACGCAGCGCACTGCGTTCGCTGCGAAGCACCCTTCATGTCGGGAAGCTCTACACCGAAGCTCGTTGCACCCGAGCCACTCAAGAAAGGGTCGTCCATCTCGTCATTGCGCTCCGGCGCGCACGAGCGGGGTGAGTATTTCGGTGTTCGCATGCAGCCGAAAGGAAACTCATTCCATGCTTCGTAGTGTCTACGCCACCGGCGTACGCGTCCGATCCCAAGTATAAGAAGTACACACAGCAGGTGGAGAGATGCCTAAACTCTTTCGATAGTGTACACGAGTGGGCGGACTTCATTTCGTTTCTCAAGCAGTTGCTGAAGGTCAGTCGTGATGTCTTCTATATGCCTGACTTGCTCACTGATGTCATTAAGACCTTCGAGGCGTATCAGCAATTCAAAGAGATCCCGCGCAAGCTTGTGGTGGCTAAACGACTGTCGCAATGCCTGAACCCCGCCTTACCAACAGGAGTCCATCAACGAGCATTGGATGTCTACTCGCACATATTTGCTGTCCTCGGGGTGTGTCTTTTTGTCCTTGTATTACGCGGAAACCAGCTCACTGCATCGCTTGAATTAGACGGAGGGTCTGCATCGTGATCTTGCACTATGGTCCTCCGGTCTATTCCCCTTCTTTGAGTATGCGGCAACCTCTGTCAAGGTACGTCTGTGCAGTTGTTTGTAACATGACCACATCGGAACTCCCCTATAGCCCACGCTCCTCAACCTCTTCGATACATACTACTTGCCGCTCCAAGATGGTCTACGCCCTATCATGAAATCCTTCATCCTGGCCCTTCTTCCCGGCCTCGAGGAAGAAACTGGGGAATACTTCGACAAAGTGCTGAGCCTGCTGGACCGTCTCTCTGGCAGCGTATCTCCGTCGTTCTTCTTTCAGAACATATGGATTGTCATGTTGACAACTCCTTCTGCTCGTGGGACATCGCTGAACTTCCTCTCTCGTCGACTGCCAAAGCTAAAAGCTGAGGAAGGTAAGACGGTACTCACGAGTCATCCTCGCAGTATTTTGACTCATGCAGGAGGCAACAGACATAACGGATATTGTTGGTCGCGATGTCGGCCTCATGATTCGTGCCTTTTCGTCTGCTCTCGAAGATGACGACCTCCTTGTACGACGTGGCGCGTTGGACCTTCTTTTGCAGTCCTTGCGGATCGACGGCGTTGCGCTCAAACGCGCCCAAGCCGACGATCGTATGATACTGATGCGCGCTGCAAGCAGTGTAGTACTTCGCCGGGATCTGTCTTTGAATCGCCGACTCTATTCGTGGCTCCTGGGCCCGAGCGAGGAGGGCCAGCAACAAATGGAATACCTCAGAACGTACTCACTCCAGTTGCTTAGCCACACTCTCAGGGTATGTATGCTATGTGTCACTTGAACTGTTGCATTAAGTGCTCATGATTATTCTAGGAAGAGATGTTCCACCCATCCTTGGACTACTCACAAGCTCGGCCGTTCAAGATCTTTATCTCACTTCTCGATAAATGGGAGATCGGTTCGCCGCTTACTGAGGTACTTATTTACGATGCATTCAAGGCGATCAGGAGAGCCCTCGAGAGTGGCTCCGAGTCCGGTGATGATGTGCGTACCTTGTTGACTGAATTGCGGAAGTTTCATTGAACATAAAGTAACCTTGATAGATCAGCATGACAGCTAGCACGTTATATGAGGCCGTGGAACCTCATCTGTTGTGGAAACAGCTGTATTCCATCGTCTACTCGGAGATCACGTCCCAGAGCACCAAATGTGAGGTATGACCGATCCCAGATAGATACCCTAGTTCCTTATTGACGACAATTATAGGGATGTGACATGGTTGCATACATCATCTCCACGTTTCATGGTCAAGACGAGGAGATCGAGACTGTCCATCTACCTGTTATTTTCGCCGGTATTGCAGAACTGCTTGCGGTAACCTTGCCCTATTTATCACACGAAAATAGTATTAAACGATCGCACAGATTTGTATACAGGAACAACCCCCTCGACTATCGACAGCCGCGCTCTCCAAGGTTCTGGCATTACAGCAGGAAATATTGCAGCATATGTCTCCTGCAAGCCCGCTGAAGTCAAGGCCGCCCGTTTCCAAAGACTTAGAGTCTACCGCGGCTGTGTCTAGTCCGGCATCCTTCGCCTGTATCTTCTACGGCATCCCTGGTGCATTGTCCACGCCTTCCCGAGCTTCTCCAGCCTTGCCATTCGCAACTGCGTTCGAGGATCTAATCTCCCTTAGTGCATATGCGTCACGAACACTTCTGACCGAGGGCGAGCAGTCGGAAGGAATGCGCGAAGTATTGGTAGATGCTCTGGCGCTCGTGGCGGATGTCGTTTCTCAGCACGGTTCAACACACGCTCGATCCGTCACGCTGGCTTGGGAGCCTAGTTCGTGGCTTGCGTGCGTGCTGCAGTGTGTGGAACCTAAGGTCAGTGTGTGTTTAGATATTCAGCCTCGGATGCTCATAACATGTCTCAGGTGACGTCCTTCTTGGTGGTGGAGAGTGTAGTGAGCACTGTTACCGCTCTTCACGATGCGCAAACACTGCAGCCATGTCTATCGATTGACGAACGCTCCGTCATTTCCGCTATGGTCAACGCTGTGAGTCGAAAGCTTGCGCATGTGAAATGGGCTAACATCCATTCTCATTGGCTAGCTCCTGCGATATTTGCGATTGCAATGGGCTGCATATCATGCACGGGCTGTTGGCCTGATCTGGTCGCTGGAGGGCCTCAGCCGTAAACGGCACGTGGAAGCAGTCATTGCCCGCAGAATGACGTCGGAAGACCCCGCCGAAATCGAGGAAGCCTGCGAGACGTTTGGTGTCTTATGGAGACTCACAGGTAAGCTTTCCGACAATTCGAGGTAGAACATGCTCACCGTCGAGAAATAGACGACGATCTCGTACCCGGGTCTAGGTTGAAGGTGCCGATGATGATCGCTCTTGACACACTGAAGAGCAGTGACCCCGCTTTGCGTCGGATTGGAGAAACCTGGATGCGCTGCAGCCTCAAATCCTACTTACGGTATGACTACGGTCTCCTTCAAATGTTACATCATCGTGATGCAAATGACAGCGTGCTTGATCCCATTCTATTCGACTTGCTTGACCCCTCCATTCGACGCTCACCATCGACATTGGAGCTCAACGGGAAAGAACTGCATGGGTTCGCTTATGATCTTCCGTTTGACCAACGCTATATAATCCACATGCTCGAGACACTGCTCTCTGTGATCAAATTTGGGGGCCAAGGTTTTAGCAAGACGGCTCGCACTACGCCAGTCGGTCGATCCCCTCATGCGGAGCTGCTCAAGCGGTTACAAGAAGGTATAAGAGATGTTCGTAAACCTCATGGTGCCCTTCTAATACGACTCGTCCCTAGCTAGTGCGTCGTCTCAAGATACAAGTTACATGGATGTCCTCTTGTACTTGCTCCTCCGGTGAGCCTCCAGGTATAAGGTCTCGATGATATCTCACCAATATGCGTAGGTTCCTAGAGTCCGAGCCGAAACCTGCTCTCGCCTCAAGGATGGCCAACTTCAATGTTGCCCTTCATAATATCTCGATCGACATATTGCAAGCATTGGTCGCTCGCGGAGAGGTTGATTTCCCCGCGTTACAGACGATGGAATCGGCCGTGATCAAGAAGCTCTACATTGGTGTCCACCTCGGCCGCCTGGATCTCCAGAACAAGCTGCTGCACCTGCTTCATTCTATCATCTCTGCATCAATCCCTAGTGGGGGCACATACCATGGGAAAGGCAAATTTTCAGCAAGTCAATTCACGGACATGGCTGAATCGTCAGAGAGGACACCAAGGCCAAGTACAGACTCATACGGCATCCATCCGCTCCTGGCCCAGACGCTGCTGGACGGAGTATTGGTTGTCACCAACCGGTCGATCCTGCAGCATTGGCTCGACTTCATCCTCATGACCGTGCCGCAATTCCAAGATCCCCTACAAACATGCATCGTGCCACTGAGTCATGGTATTTGTCGTCAATTGCAATCCGCACTAGGTGACATGCGTCGAGCGTCTGCTGAAGAACATACATTCGATGACTTCGAGGCGATCACAAGCGATGCGGACTTTGTTGCCCTGCTAACTTCTTTGGAACGCCTGGTGCTACTCAGCCTCTCCCGAATATCGGACACAAGTCCGACGGAGGAGGAACCCACGGCGAGTGAGAAACCAGTACAAGAGTCATCGGGTCTACTCGGATACGTATCGAACGTATTTAGCTCGGAAACTTCAAACGCTCTGGATGAAGCCGCACCGGTAAGTGTGATTTTTACTTGTGGTTGACTCCGGCATAATTAATCTCGTTGCAGACGCGTTCATCTGACTATGACAGTCTGCACGAAGCAGTCAGTGTTTTGTATGCAACGTGGGACATCCTCAGCGATCCGGACCGCCAACTGTGGTCTGATGTGTATCCAAAGGCAAAGACAAGATGTCGGAAGGTCTTTGAGCATCTATTCCGAGCACATCCTCCCGAGGTGCTGGAATTCATTGTCGATTGCTGGCGTCGCGACTCCACGGTAAGTTCTCTGGTATTTGTTCGGTCATTAGGCTCACATCGCTGCAAGGCTGCAACAACTGCCTTTGACGTGGTCGACGTTCTTGCGTCTAGTGCGCAAACCGTCGTGCGAATGACCTGCGAAAGCATCGCAGTTCGCACACCTGGTATGCCCGATCGGTCAAGGAAACCAGCAGTAGCCACTAGTCTGTGAGTGCAACTCGGATACGCACATGAAACCACGCTCACTGTCACTGCTTACAGGACGGATCTTATGCTCTACGACTTCCTTGAGCAATACCTGCGACGCCTTGAAGGACCTCTCGTAGTGCAAGTTTGGCCTCGCTTCGTTCAACTCTCTAAAGATCTTCTAGCATCGTTGCGGGAGTTCAAGATGCAAGCATTCCCTGCATTCAGGTTCGTTACACTGATGCACACTATCTTGTACCGAGCACTGATACCGTTATCAGATGTTGCACCGTCCTCGCTGACAAGTTGTCCCAGACAACAGCATTGGAGGACCGACGGTTACGCAAGGAGCTGCAGGTATGCCATTCGATGGACGTTGAGGATATGTTCAGCTGAAATTTGTCCTAGGATTCATATACTAAATTGCTCGATATATGCGTGCTATCTAGCAAGCCGTATGATCAAGGGTCCTGGATCCGTCGAACAACTCCGAAAGAGAATCTCACTGTCAATGGCAGAGATTCGCCGCTGCCTCGAGGTATGCACGGAACACTGTATTGCTTATCCGAGAAACTGAATGCATGCGGGCCAAGTTGCGTCAGACACGAAGTTGGATGAGAAGATGAACGCCAGCAACACGTCACTCCCAGATGCGGTGAAACCTGGCTACGGAACGGACGTTGTCGAACAGGCAAGTAATCCAGCATACCCCACCCGAGAGATACTGACTGCGTAGCAGATCAACGACTACATCGCATCAAGTGTGCTACCTGACTTGCGAAGACTCCTCGTTGATAGCGACAGGGTATTGGCAGCGTGCAACAGCATCGCCTACAACATTATAAACCCGTCGCTCAAGGGAAAGACTCGGTATGCCCATATGAACTCGGCTCGTGAACTTCACCTCACAGTCACCGTTGTAGGCCCTTGGACATCGACGACAAGGTTCTTTCAATCTTACAAGAGATGACCAGGATCGGGGCAGCATACAAGGCGTGGAGAGGCGCGGTCACAGACGTGCTGAACGACAACAGATGCTTCAACTCGTCCCCTCAGGCTGGTGGAAAGTGGAGGATCATGGTGAAGGCTCTGTATGACGTGGACAAAGCGGCCTTGTCGGATCTCCTGGGTACGTGCACCGATGTCGGAGGGTTGATGATACTCACCTCCTTCCAGCGAAGATCACCACCGCTCCATCCGCGAACATCTTCACGAACAGGGAGTACGAGATGCTTCTGCGATCATTGAACCTGCGGCGACTCTCCTACGTCCTGCTCTCCGGAGAGAAGAATCACTTCCTCACCCAGCTGCCGAGCATCCAAGAGAAGCTGGTAGATACGCTTCGCAACGTCTCTGCGCCGGTGGTCCAGTGCGAGGTGTACCTATGCGTGCGAGTCCTTCTATGCCGCCTGTCACCGCACAACTTATCAAGCTTCTGGCCCGTCATTTTGACTGAGCTGGTACGTCGCGTTGATATGACCGCCGACTTGCCGGCGTGACTAACATGGCATTGCGTAGTACGGCCTCTTTGAGAGGGTCATCACCAGTCTCCCATCCGATGGCTCCGAGGAGCTGACGCTGGTGCTCGCTGCCTGCAAACTGCTTGACCTTCTTCTCGTACTGCAGACAGAAGAGTTTCAAATGTACGCACTCGTGATGTACTGCGCGTACTGCCGCTGACGCGATTATTCGTAGACACCAGTGGATCTTCATCACGGACACGGTGGACGCGATCTACCGACCGGAGGGCTGGTTCCCGGAAGCGATCCTGGACCGATTAGCAGAGGTCACTGGCGACTTGCCCGTCACGGAGGTGAGCTCAGCCACAGCGTCTCCTTTCGTCACCGGACGATCGCTCATCGTCCACAAGAACGCCGCACCGTCATTGCACGGCGCAACGACGACACCGACAGTCGAGAGCAGACCGATGCGGCGCCCCATGCTGCGCTCGCTCCGGCAAATCGATAGCATCCGCGAGCTGGTGCCGTTCTTCTCGCACGCCAGCATCGCTTCGTATGAGAGTGTGTACAGTAGCGGGGGCAACGTAGATTGGGAGGCGGTAGAGGAGGGCTTGCTGGAGGACATGTTCGATGGGCGGTAATAGTAGTGTTCACTCGATACCATGTAGCTTATTACTGTTTCACTGCTTCCGGTAAATACCTAATTGCCTGCTCGACGCAACGTGTGCGGGGAGAATAAGTTGACTACCACAACATTATGTGGGCTTGTGTAATCGGCCCGTCTTACAGCTTCTACGTCCGATGTGACCAAGGTCAGATTCGTCAAATACACACAGATCACACTTCGCCGTAGCTTCTCCCGGTTAATAGGCTCGCGTGTTTCACACGCACGTTTCAAGTGTTCGAGCAGCATAGTCAAATTGAATCTGGACCACCGATATCATGATAAATATCCAAATACAGCCACGAAGCCCACAAAGCACAGAGCACGGGCGGATCAGAAGTCGCCCCAATTGCGGCGGAACTTGTACTTCATACGATCCTGTATGTCAGCGTTCATGCCGGCACGTCGAATCCGATACTAGGTACGTTACCTTGTACGGCGTGTTCTTCCTGCTCGCGGGGACCCCGCAAAGGTCAGTGTCCGGATGGTACAGAGACGGGGAACCGCTACGCACTTGAGTCGTTCTGAAGGTGCCTTAGGAGCCGCGTACCCAGAGCCGCCCTCACCCCACTGGCCGCTCGCCTTCGCGTTCTGGTAGCGCACCGCGGGGTCCTCGTCCTCCTGCTTGCCTCTTGTGAATTTCGGGATGACGGGCCCGGGCTTGGCGGGCTGAAGCGCGGGGTCGTCGGCGGGGTCCTCCGGTGTTGAGTTGCCGCCGGTGTTCGAGGCGACCTGGACGGGCTGCTGGGCCTTGTCTTCGGGGTGTGGTTCGTGCTGCTTGAGGGCCTCATCAACGGAGATACCTTGGAAACGTGCCTCACGCTCGGCCTCTTCATGCTCGATATGCTCGTGCTGCGCAAAGTGCTCGAGGTCTTCGGGGTGTGTGTAGGACTCGTCTGTTTGTGTATCGGGCGTGGAATGGAACTCCTCTGTATGTGTGCGGGGACGATCAGGCGGATCGGCGGACGCGGAGATGAAGAGGCGCACCTTCGTGGTGGAGGAAGAACTCTGCGCAGGTAAACGTGTCAGGCGCGATGCAGACGCACAGAAGGTGCTACACACCGCTCTCCACATCGTAATGATGGCCCTCCGCCCCGAGGTTGTCAAAGTTGGGGAGGCCGTCTAGGCCAACGGCCAGGAACTCCTCCAATGTTATCTTTCCATCCTTGTCCTTGTCAATTTTGTCTAAGACTGTGTTGACAATGAGGTCGGCCTTCTTCTGGTGCTCGATGTCGTCCTGCGTCAGCATCCAAACACGTCAGCCGGAGATAGGGATATTAGTCAGGAAGGCCGGGGCAGACCTTTGATTTCCTCTGCGAGTAGACGTGATGCACGCCATAGATTGCCTCAATCTCTTCGCGGTCCCAGATTTTGTCTCTGGTATCATAGGTTTGTCAGGTCGCCGAGTTTACATGAGCATGTCGGGCTGCGTACCCGTTCAGATCGTGCAACTGGAAGAAGGCCGGTGGGTCGAACGAGTCGCTACATGGTGCGTTCAGTCTTGTGATGATTCCGGGGACAAAGCGACCCACATATGATGCTCCCTGGCCATCTAACATGGCCCCGACGCGTGAGTAGGCACATGTGCAGGCCGGCGAAGGACGTACGTGTCTTTCAGCATATTGCTGGATTGTCTCGCCTGCTGCGGGACCGTCGTGTCCGTGGTCGCCATGCGCTGCAGCGAGGTGAGCAAAGACGAAGACCGCGAGACTGGGCAGGAGGAGCATGACGGGCAGATGCTCGCAGACACGGACGGTGGCGGCGCTGTCGAGGCGTCGCACGAGCAGGGAGCAGTCCCCGGGGTCCCCGTCTGGGGCCGAATGGGGTTGTCACGTGCCAAGATCCGCTGTCACGGACAGTCACGATGAGTGATCGGGGCGAGTGGCGCCACTGATACATTTTGTACCGATCGTGACTTGATCGTGACTGGTCCGGATGCGAGAACGCCATCGAGGCGCAGCCGGAATGGCAACTGCTGTGAATCGTCGGGAACGTGGACAAATTGGCTGCCGCCCGGCACCACTGCTGCTCCCTCCTCGCACCTTCCATTGATGGCTCATCCAGTGTAAACGGGCAGCTTGGTCGCGTTATAGGTTCGGATACAGATTCTTGCGTGCTCGCTGGCTGAGTCAGCGCGCGCCCATGTCGTCAGGCTGCCTTTCTCCGAGTCCGAGGTACCGGGACTGAGTCGGCGGGCTCGGTGTCCGCATCGTCCCACGTCGCAAGTCCCACGCCTGCGGACCTGGGGTGGCTGCTGCTCGCAGGCCAAGAGGCGAGTGCCGACGGCGGCGACGGCGGGTTGCTGGCAGCTGGGGCAAAATGCATAAGAGACAGCGCCGCTGGGTTGCCGCAAACGACTCGCGCAGGACGCACTTTTTGATCGGGCGTCTGGCCAATCGGACGGCCGCGTGAGGGCGGCTGGCGCAAACTACGTTATGGATCTGATGTGAGGCGAGTAAGTACATGAGTAATCGAGATCGAGGTTCTTTTGAATTCCTCACGGAAGACTCCCTATATATGCACACACCAGGCCATGGCTTCCCCCCGTCTACCGCCTCCGGACTCGCTCCCTGCCCTCTGTGCGCCTTGCCTGCTCCGCGGACGCCATGACCGACACTCCGGGGGACGACCGCACTCTCTATGGCTCGCTCAGGACGGGGCACCATGTCGACATCGTCCAGGCAGAGGCCGAGTTCAACGAGCTCGCCAGGGCCTTGTCCAAGCGCTCGGGTTCCAACTCCCAGTCCGACAACGAGAAAGGCGAGAAAGAACACCGAGATGTTGAGAAGGGTGCCGATGTCTCCGGCGAAGAAACCTTTGACCTGCGCGCGTACCTGACCTCGAGCAATGACGCTTCGCAGGCAGCAGGCATTCAGCACAAGCACGTCGGTGTCACCTGGGAGCAACTCCAGGTCGACGTCTTCGGTGGCTTCGGCCATAAGGTACTTAAAATGACTGCCTGAATTCTCTGCACGTATCACTCAACAACTTGATTGTAGATCCAAATACCGACATTTGGCGGTACGTACATTTCTGAGCCGTCTTCGTATCAAGCCTCATGTCTGCGTACAGAGGAGATCGTCAAGTTTTGGCTCACTCCGTATTTTATCCTTAAGCCTCTTGTTGCCAAACTGCTCCCGGCCAGTCACAAGCAGGTGCCAACGACGACGATCATTCACCCGTATGTAGGCCTGTGCCATGACCGGCGGTGATACTGACAGTCCCCGCCAGACAATCCGGTCTGCTCAAGCCTGGTGAAATGTGCCTCGTACTTGGGACCCCGGGTGCTGGCTGCACAACTTTCCTGAAGACAATCGCCAACGAACGACGGGAATACCACGGTGTATACGGCGATGTTCGTTACGCCGGCATTGACGCGCACGAGATGGCCAAGTCCTACAAGGGCGAAGTCGTCTACAACATGGAAGGTCGGTGCTTCAAATATACCCTAGTTTATCGTATCCTGACAAGGCGCAGACGACATCCACATTTCGACGCTGACTGTTTCACAAACCCTCAGCTTTGCTCTATCACTGAAAACGCCCGGTCCCAAGGGCCGTCTGCCCGGCATATCGCGCAAGGAGTTCCAGAATACAGTTCTGAATACTCTCCTGCGCATGCTCAACATTTCACATACGGCAAATACCCTGGTCGGCGATGAGTTCGTGCGCGGAGTTTCGGGTGGAGAGCGGAAGCGTGTGTCGATCGCCGAGATGATGGCAACCCGCGCCCACGTTCTCTGTTTCGACAACTCCACGCGTGGTCTCGACGCCAGTACCGCGCTCGACTTTGTCAAGTCACTCCGTGTCATGACCGACGTCCTCGGCCAGACCGTGTTCGTGACTCTGTATGTAGTCATCCCGCGCGAGCGTGCCGCCCACCCACTGACGCCTCCGACACAGGTACCAGGCAGGCGAGTCGATCTACGAGCTCTTCGACAAGGTGCTCGTCCTCGACAAGGGCCGCCAAGTCTACTTCGGCCCGCCGTCGCAGGCTCGCGCCTACTTCGAGGGGCTCGGGTTCAAGCCGCTCCCGCGCCAGAGCACGCCCGACTACCTCACGGGGTGTACGGACCCGAACGAGCGGCAGTTCGCGCTGGGCCACTCGGAGGCGGACGTGCCCACCTCGCCCGAGCAGCTTGAGCAGGCGTTCCTGCAGTCGCCGTTCGCACAGGGGGTGCAGGACTCGCTCGCGAAGTACAAGCTCGTGATGGAGCAGGACAAGGCGGAGCAGGATGCGTTCCGCGCGGCCGTCGCCGCGGAGAAGAAGCGTGGCGTGTCGAAGAAGAGCCCGTACACCCAGGGCTTTCTCAACCAGGTCCGCGCGCTGTTCTTGCGCCAGTTCCAGATGCGCCTCCAGGATCGCTTCCAGATCTATACTAGCTTCACTTTGCATACGGTACGTCTGCGTTTGCCGCCGCCGCTTTCGGCGATGACGTCTGGGAGATTGACCGCAAAATGTAGGTTTTGGCGTTGGTGATTGGCGGCGCGTACTTCAACCTAGAGCCCGACGCCGCGGGCGCGTTCACGAGAGGCGGTGTTCTCTTCAGTTCGCTGTTGACGGCCGCATTGGACACCTTCGGAGAAGTCAGTTCCTCCGAATTTCTCACCCTCCGGACGACAGCCCTGACCTCTAACAGATGCCGGTGCAAATGCTGGGCCGGCCGATCATCAAGAAACAGACAGGCTACAGCTTGTACCGACCGGCAGCGATCGCCATCGCGAACACTCTGGCGGACATGCCGTTCTCCGCGCTGAGGGTGTTCATCTACAACGTCATCATCTACTTCATGGCGAACCTCAAGCGCTCTGCGGGCGGCTTCTTCACGTTCCACCTATTCGTGAGTTGAACTGTAGGTCCAGTGTGTCAAGCGATATTAAATACAGTGGCCGCGGCGTCTCCAGACGTACTTGACGTTCCTTACGATGCAAGGCTTTTTCAGGACATTCGGCTTCATGTGCACGAACTTCGACTCGGCGTTCCGGCTCGCGACGTTCTTCCTGCCCAACATGATCATGTACGCTGGCTACATGATTCCGGTCTCCCAGATGAAGCGCTGGCTGTTTTGGATAGTACGTCACTTTCTGACATGTGGCATTCGTGTCGATTGTTGATGATCCCCGCAGTACTACATCAACCCAATTTCATATGGTGCGTAGTAGGACCATATGGGGCGCTCAACCGCCCGCTGACTGAACGCTATCACCAGGCTGGGGTGGTAACATGGAGAATGAGTTCATGCGGATCGATGTACGCGTTCTCACCGATAGATCATAGTCGTCCTGCGTTCGACTGACTTAACCCCCCAGCTGGAATGCGATGGGAGCTACATAACACCTCGCAATCCACCAGGCATCAATAAGTATCCGTGCGTATTTTTCTTTCACTTTCACCAATCTATACGTCATGTTTGACTGGTCCTGATTTTTTTCCAGAGATGGTGTCGGCCCAAACCAGATCTGTACGCTCTACGGCTCCAACCCTGGAGAGTCTGTCGTCTCTGGCGCCTCGTACTTGGACGACGGATACATGCTCAATACGGCTGACCTCTGGAGGCGGAACTTCCTGGTGCTAGTCGGATTCTTCTTGTTGTTCCAGCTCACGCAGGTCTTGCTTGTCGAGTTTTATCCTGTGAGTATGGACCGGGGATATTTGTTGAGTATAAGCTGACTTGAGCGATAGGTGTACTTTGGCTCCGCCGGCGTGACGATCTACTCGGAGAGTGCTGAAACGAAGGAACGGAACAAGGCTCTTCAGGAACGCAAGACACAGCGCGAGAAGCGGCGCAAGGAAATTGGGCACGAGAAGCAGGACGCTGAGAACTCGGAGGAAAGGTATATATCCCATGCATGCTCACACACCAGATTGTTGACGTTTCCCGTAGTGATCAGAAGCTCGAGTTCGAGAGCAAGACCTTCACGTGGGAGAACATTAATTACCACGTCCCGGTAGCGGGTGGATCTCGGAGGCTGCTGCACGATGTCTTTGGCTTCTGCAAGCCTGGTACAATGACGGCTCTGATGGGATCTTCTGGTGCTGGTACGTGGATTTACACTCGTCACTTATAACACATCGCTCACAAGATCATAGGCAAGACCACTTGCTTGGATGTGCTAGCACAGCGCAAGAACATCGGTATCGTTTCCGGTGAATTGTTGATGGACGGCCGCCCTCTTGCCAGTGACTTCGCTCGCAAGACAGCTTACGGTAGGTATCAGATTGTCCACCCGTTTATATGTACTGACGTTATCCGTTCAGCCGAGCAAATGGATGTGCATGAAGGTACTGCTACCGTTCGTGAAGCCATGCGGTTCTCCGCCTACCTGCGTCAGCCATACCACATCCCTAAGGAAGAGAAAGACGCCTACGTCGAGGAGATGATTGAGGTGCTTGAGCTCCAGGACCTTGCGGACGCTGTCGTGTTCAGTCTCGGCGTAGAAGCGCGCAAGCGTCTGACCATCGGCGTCGAGCTTGCTAGCAAGCCCTCTCTGCTCTTCCTGGACGAGCCCACCTCGGGTCTCGACGGCCAGAGCGCATGGAACCTCGTTCGTTTCCTCCGGAAACTCGCCGACAGCGGCCAGGCCATCCTGTGCACGATCCACCAGCCGTCCTCGATGCTCATCCAGACCTTTGACAAGCTCCTCCTCCTCGAGCGCGGCGGCGAGACGGTATACTTCGGCGACATCGGCCAGGACTCTGCCATTCTTCGAGGCTACTTTGCCAAGCACGGCGCTGTATGCCCGTCGAACGTCAACCCGGCGGAGTTCATGTTGGACGCGATAGGCGCGGGGTTGGCCCCGAGGATCGGTGACCGTGACTGGAAGGACGTCTGGCAGGACTCGGAGGAGTGTGCGGAGATGAGGCAGGAGATCGGACGCATCAAACAGGAGACTGCTGCGAAGCCTTTGGCTGAGAACGACAAACCTGCTATGTGTAAGTCGAGCCAGGTCAGTTGCGGCGCTATGTTGTACTTACGGATATTGTGCAGATGCGACGCCGTTCTGGTACCAACTGAGGGTCGTCGTGTCGCGCAACAACACAATGCTCTGGCGCTCGCCCGACTACGTCTGGAGTCGCCTCTTCGTCCACGCCTTCATCTCCCTGTTCGTCTCTCTGCCTTTCTTGCAGCTGGGCAATGACGTGCGCGACCTGCAATACCGAGTGTTTGGCATTTTCTGGGTGACTATCCTCCCCGCCGTCGTCATGGGTCAGCTTGAGCCCATGTGGATCATCAATCGACGTATCTTCATCCGCGAGGCGTCCAGTCGCATCTACTCGCCATACGTCTTCGCTATCGGCCAGCTCGTTGGAGAGATGCCGTACTCCGTTCTGTGCGCCGTCGTCTACTGGGTCTTGATGGTCTATCCCATGGGCTTCGGAAACGGTGCGGCGGGCGTTGGAGGTACTTTCTTCCAGCTGCTCCCGGTCCTGTTCACGGAGTTGTTCGGTGTGACCCTTGGCCAGTTCATCGGTGCTATCTCGCCCAGCATGCAGGTATGCCCTTTCCTAAACTAACGTACGAACCCGACTGGAGCTGACACTGTCGTTCTAGATCGCTCCCCTGTTCAACCCGTTCACCGTCGTCGTACTCGGCATCTTCTGTGGTGTTCAGATCCCGTACCCGACGATGGAGAGCTTCTGGCGGACGTGGCTCTACCAGCTCGACCCGTACACTAGGCTACTCAGCTCCATGCTCTCAGTAGAGTTGCACGGGCTCCAGATCGAGTGCGCCGCGGCCGAATTCACGGTCTTCAGCCCACCAGCTGGCCAGACATGTCAGGCTTGGGCGGGTGAATTCGTGGACTACTACGGGGGATACCTGAATAACCCGAATGCGACGAGTGCATGCCAATATTGCGAATACTCGGTGCGTTTCTCATGTTGTGGTACACGGTCACGCAGCTAACGGGTGGTTGAACAGGTCGGTGACCAGTTCTTCACGCCGCTGAACATTCTGTATTCGAACCGGTGGAGAGACGTTTTCATCTTGCTTGCCTACTCTGGTAAGTTTTTCCGCCTTCGTCGCTGAAATCGTTCTAACGAACCCTTATCATATACAGTCTTCAACATTATTGCCACTATCATTGCATCGCGCTTCCTTCGCTATGCAAAGCGGTAGTCGCAATAGACATTATGAAACTCATGGCACTTTACGCCTTTGATGTCTTCGACACTAGACGGCTTCATGCAGTCACATTCGCACTCGCATTTTGCTTTCGGTAACGCATGCCACGCATTCTTGTCTTCACGCACACGCACTAGAGTACAATACGTCCATCATGTAGAAGGAGAATACAGCACGTCATTTACAATGTATACTCATCTTTTGAAGTCGGCGAGGCGTGACATCGCGGTTTTGTTGGTTGGGAGAGCTTACCTTGGTACAAATGCTGTGACGGCTTCGTCGCTCAGGCCATGCGTCTGACGTGCGACAGAGCTACAGCAACAGTGGAGTTGTAGACACTAATGATACAGTGGACGATACGAGCATGGTACTGGGGTATCAATGTATGTGTCGTTATTGCGATGGTGCATTATGGAACTGCGAGAAGTAATCAGCAAGGCTCCCGCATGGATGCAATACAAGGTACACGTACAATATCTCTGAGTTGTGCCTGGGCATCGTTGAACTGCTTCTCCAGGTACTTCCCCTGGAAGCCTACTGTCACGTTACATCTCCAAGCATTGCTACCAGCACTCACCTTTTTCTGCAAGTTGTTGATGTCATCCGTCAACTCCTTCTCTTCTCCCTTCAGCTCCTTCTCCATTTGCGGACGAGGTGTCATCAAGAACCTGTGTCCCGGATACATCGCGCTCAGCGAAAGCGCACAAGATCAGTTATGGCTGCTACTCACATCTTCCCTACACCCTTGTAAAGGTTTACATCGCCTCCCAGGGACGTGACTTCCTCAATGGTAAGCTGGAGGATACGTCTTTCCCGCTCCTTGGCTGCGAGCTGCTGCCGCGAAATATTCAAGGCTCGCTGGGACTGTACAGCAGTCTGCTGTATCTGTACTAGAATCTGTTCGAGTGTAAGTAAAGCTCATTTATGATGGGTAGCTAGCGCTGCTCACCTTGCGGAGGGTGTCGTCGGAGAGGCTCGCCATGGCAGAGTGAGAGGAACGAGATGGCCGGACGCGCTTGCACGCGATCGACGACGCGTCCAGTGGCTGAGGATTTCGCATAAGCGCGCGCTGACTGCTTTCTCTCCTCAACTTCAGCGTCCCTGTCTCTCCTCGCGTCTCCTCTGCGGCTGTCTGTGTTGCTCTGTGTAAGAGAACGGCTCGCTAACTAACGCTTTATCATTGCTCTCCGGAACTGTGCTTGCGTCGGCTCTGTAACTCCTAGTCTGTGCTCTAGCCATGGCGTCTTTCGAAGATTATGATGAGTTCGGGAACTACATCGGCGCAGACCTCGATTCGGACAACGAGGAGGAGGTCCCGCAGAATGAATTCAATCAACAGCAGCAACGACAGCCGCTCGAAGGCTTTGACGAGGATGAGCCCATGCAAGCCCCGGAGGAACCTGGGACAGCTTTAATGGAAGTTGACGGTGAGCACATTGTTGCTGTCCGTCCTTGTCCGTCCTAATGAGATCGTGCTTTGCTATTCAGCGGTTGTGCATAACGCGGTCGTCCTACATGAGGACAAACAGTATTATCCAACAGCGCAGGAAGTGTACGGCCAAGACGTAGAGACACTCGTCCAGGAGGAAGATGCGCAACCGCTGACCGAGCCTATCATCGCTCCTGTCAAAGTGCGCAAATGGACCGTGGAGGAGAAGGGGATGCCCGAGACTCGTTTTGATAAGGCGTGAGTTAGCGAACCTCGCAGTGTTTGCTTATGTCTCATAGGATGGGACTATAGCTTCATGCTGAACATGACTGCATTCCCCGAGTTCATTCGCAACATCGCGGTCGTCGGTCACCTGCATCATGGAAAGACCGCTCTCATGGACATGCTCGCCTTTGAGACACACAAGATGGTTTGGGACTCCGACCACCAGGTAATGTGAGATCGGTTTATACGCATGCTGCATGACTTACCGGTGGCCAGACTCGCTACACGGATACGCACATCCTTTCACGAGAACGCGGAATCTCCATCAAGTCCTCGCCTATGTCCCTCATCCTGCAGAATAGCTATGGGAAGTCGCACCTCATACACCTCATCGACACACCGGGGCACGTCAACTTCGTTGACGAGGTAGCTTCCGCGGTGCGCCTTGTGGATGGTGTCATCTTGGTCGTAGACGTCGTCGAAGGGGTGAGTGATAGTAATACTGATGCTGTCTAGTGGCTAAGTATGGTTATGATTCAGGTCATGGTCAACACCGAGCACATCATCCGCCATTGCCTGCAGGAAGGCGTCAAAATGACCTTGGTCGTCAATAAAATCGACAGGCTCATTCTCGAGCTACGTATCAAGCCTGCAGATGCATTCTACAAGATCAAGCATACCATTGAGGAGGTCAATTTGTTCATCAGGTTCGCCACAAGTGCATCTATCATAATCTTAGTTGACTGAACGTACCTCGGATAGTGGTATCAACCCGGACCCGGAATTGCGTCTAAGCCCTGAGAATGGCAATGTCGCCTTCGCTAGCACAGACATGCACTGGTGCTTCACTCTTCACTCCTTCGCCCAGATGTACGCTGACACCTATGGTAAGTCCCTCCTCTTCATCGTTCAGCTGATGATTGAAATGTCTGCCCAGGTCCTATGGACGTGTCCGCGTTTGCCGATCGCCTCTGGGGCAACATCTACTTCAATGCCGAGACGCGCAAGTTCTCGCGCAAGCCCGCCGACCCCGAGGCAAACCGCACCTTCGTGCACTTCATCCTTGAGCCACTCTACAAGCTCTACACGCAGGTGCTCAGCGAGGAGACGGACGGCCTGAAGGAGACGCTGGACGGCCTGCGCATCCAGCTCGCGCCGGTGATGTACAAGATGGATGTGCGCCCGCTGTTGAAGGCGGTCCTGGACCAGTTCTTTGGGCCGTCGGTGGGCTTGATCGACATGATTACGGAGCACATACCGAGTCCTGTAGAGGCTACTGCTGCCAAGGTACGCATCGCAATGGACTTTACAAGACATGATCTGTTGCTAACAGCAATTAGGTGGAGAGTACCTACACAGGCCCAATGTCGGACGAATTGGTGGCCCGGATGAAGGCTTGCGATCCCGAAGCACCCGTCATGGTCCAGATCACAAAACTGTACCATACCACAGACGCACAATCCTTCCGCGCGTTTGGTCGTGTCATCAGCGGGACGCTTCGCAAAGGCATGGACATCAAGGTGCTCGGTGAGGGCTACTCACCGGAGGACGAGGAAGACATGGTCAAGGCTGTCGTCGATGACATCTGGATCAGCGAAGCGCGGTCAGTGCTCCTCTCATAGCCTCATTACAATGACATTGACAGTGCCTAGGTACTTCGTCCCTGCGGAGGAAGTCCCCGCTGGCAACCTGGTCCTGCTCGGCGGCGTCGACGCGTCGATCACCAAGACCGCCACGCTCGCCTCCGTCGACATCGAGGAGGAGCTGTACATCTTCCGGCCGATCAAGCACATGACGCAGTCCGTGCTCCGGATCGCCATCGAGCCCATAGCGCCCTCGGAGCTGCCGAAGATGCTGTCGGGCCTGCGGAGCATCAACAAGTCGTACCCGCTCGTGTCGACGAAGGTCGAGGAGAGCGGGGAGCATGTGCTGATCGGCACGGGCGAGCTCTACCTCGACTGCGTGATGCACGATCTGCGGAGGCTGTTCTCGGAGATCGAGATCAAGGTGTCGGACCCGGTGACGAAGTTCTGCGAGACGGTCCTCGAGACGAGCGCGTTGAAGTGCTATGCGGACACGCCGAACAAGAAGTGGGCTCCAGCACGGTTGTATATCAGTATATGCGTTGACCTTGCTTCATAGGAACCGTATCACGATGATCGCGGAACCGCTTGAGCGGGGCATCGCAGAGGACGTCGAGACGGGGCGCGTGAATATGCGGATGACGGCGAAGGAGCGCGGCAAGTTCTTTGAGGAGAAGTACCAGTGGGACTTGCTCGCCTCTCGGTCAATATGGGCGTTCGGTCCTGATGACAGCGGGCCGAACATTCTGCTGGACGATACGCTGCCGTCGCAGGTGGACAAGAAGCTGCTGGGCACGGTCAAGGAGCACATCAAGCAGGGCTTCCAGTGGGGTGCTCGGGAGGGCCCGCTTTGTGATGAGCGTGAGTGCGATTCTCAAGATAGGTGGTGGAGGAGGCTGATGAGGGTGCTGCAGCGATGCGGAATGTCAAGTTCCGGATTTTGGACGCGAGTCTTGCGCAGGAGCCAATATTCCGCGGCGGAGGACAGATTGTCCCAACAGCGCGCCGAGTTTGCTACTCTTCGTTCTTGATGGTGAGACTGAGTATTAGCACAATACGAGCAGTACTAATCGAGCACCGACGCAGGCAACGCCGCGTCTTATGGAGCCTGTGTACTTCGTCGAGGTGCAGGCACCAGCAGACTGCATCTCTGCTGTATACACAGTCCTCGCACGGAGACGAGGGCACGTCACACAGGACATCCCGAAGGCCGGGTCGCCGCTGTACACCGTCAAGGCCCTTATCCCTGTCATCGATGCAAACGGCTTCGAGGCAGACCTGAGGACAGCGACGCAAGGCCAGGCGTTCTGTCTGCAAGTGTTCGACCACTGGTCAATCGTTCCTGGTAAGCGATCTGTGCTCCCGCGCTCCCACGAGAAGTGGACATTGAACGCATGATCCGACAGGTGATCCCACCGACACGAGCATCAAGCTGCGGCCACTGGAACCCGCGTCGGGGCAAGCACTCGCGAGGGACCTGGTGCTGAAGACGCGGCGGCGAAAAGGTCTAGGCGACCAGATCGCGGTCTCAAAATATCTCGATGATGAGTTTATTGTGGGTGCTCATTTCCTTGAGTGGCATGGACATGGACTGACGCTCTGCACAGCTTGCGTTGTCGGCGTCGGGGCATGCAGACCTGTTGAGTTAGTTAGTGCGGCTGTGTGTACTGTAGAATGCTATACATTGCTTGTCTTGCGAGCGGGGGCGCCGGGCGGTGCTGAGGCGGGCCACGTGTGCGCGTGGAACGCAGTCGAATGTCGACGTGGCACCTGCGTGGCAGTATGTGCGGGCCATTTAGAGCAGACGCGCATCGTCGCACACCCAAGCTGTCCTCATACTTAACCCTCGCTCCTTACCTCCAGCACATATTGTTTCCCTCGTCTTCGGTCCTTCGTATACAATGCGAAGAGTAGCGCTTTCTACCCTCCTCGCCATCGCCGCGACCGGTGTCGCCGCGCAGGACGACGCTCCCAAGCCCGTCTTCACGGTACGCGCTGGCGGCCATAACGCGTGTACAGGGCCTCGTACTCACATTCTCTCCCACCCAGCCCACCGCGATCAAGGCACCCTTCCTCGAGCAATTCACAGACGACTGGGCGTCCCGGTGGACGCCATCGGAGGCGACCAAGAAGACCCCCGTCGGCGGCGAGACCTTCAGCTACGTCGGCAAGTGGGAGGTTGAGGAGCCCATCGTCTCCGTCATTGAGGGCGACAAGGGCCTCGTCGCGAAGACGAAGGCCGCCCACCACGCCATCTCCGCCCCCTTCACCGACGCTATCGGCTTCGCCGACAAGCCGCTTGTCGTCCAATACGAGGTCAAGTACCAGAAGGGCGGCAACTGCGGTGGTGGCTACATCAAGCTCCTCGAGGATGGTTTCCAGACAGAAGGGAAAGAGTTTTCTGACAAGACACCATGGACAATTATGTTCGGCCCCGACTTGACATGTCCGGGTACGAAGGTGGGGAAGCTTCGTATGGTACCTTACGGGTAGAGCTGAACTCGCCTGCGTCTAGCTTCACTTCATCTTCCGTCACAAGAATCCCATTACCGGCGAGTACGAGGAGAAGCACCTTGCGGCTCCTCCCAAGCCTACTATTGAGAAGTTGACCAACCTGTACACGCTCATTGTCAAGTACGTATACCGCTTTCTCTGTCACTCCTAGTGTCTAACGTCATGCACAGCCCCGATAACACGTTCGACGTTCTGTTCAACGGTGAGAGCAAGGCGAACGGCAGCCTCCTCGAGGACTTCCAGCCCGCGGTCAACCCTCTCAAGGAGATTGACGACCCTGAGGACAAGAAGCCTGAGGATTGGGTTGACGCCAAGCGTATCGCTGACCCGGATGCTGTCAAGCCCGACGACTGGGATGAGGACGCACCGTACGAGATCACCGACGAGGAGGCTGTGAAGCCCGAGGGCTGGCTCGACGACGAACCCGAGACGATCCCGGACCCCGACTCTGAGAAGCCCGAGGAGTGGGACGACGAGGAGGACGGCGAGTGGATCGCGCCCGTGGTCCGCAACCCCAAGTGTGACGAGGCTCCTGGTTGCGGCGAGTGGAAGCGGTAGGTTGTTGTGGCTGTCGTTTCGCACCCGTACTGAGCGTCCTGCTTTGTAGCCCCATGAAGGCCAACCCCGCTTACAGGGGCAAGTGGTACGCGCCCATGATTGACAACCCTGCATACATTGGCGAGTGGGCTCCCCGTAAGATCCCCAACCCCGACTACTTCGAGGACCTTGAGCCTGTCAAGAGCCTCAACAAGATCGTGAGCAGGGTGGCGTTCAGGGACCCTGTATGCATGTCTGACAAAACGTTTTTAGGGTGGTATTGGTATCGAGCTCTGGACCATGACGGAAGACATCCTCTTCAACAACATCTACATCGGCCACTCCATCGACGACGCGAACGCGTTGAAGGCCCAGACCTTCGATGTCAAGAAGCCTCTCGAGGTCGAGCAGTCCAAGCCCAAGACGAACACCAAGGTCGTCGACGACGAGGAGGAAGTCTCCTTCGCTGAGGATCCGGTCGAGTTCATCCGCAGCAAGGCCTTCAAGTTCATCGACCTCGCGAAGCTCGACCCCGTCCTGGCGTTCAAGACCCAGCCCGAGGTTGGTGCTGTCATGGCTCTCTCGGTCATCACGTTCTTCGGTATGCTCGGTGCTATGTTCGGCCTCGTTGGCGCTGGCCAGCAGCCCGTCACGAAGGTATGTCCATGCTGCTTGCTATCTCAGCCTTTGACTCACGCTTCCTTGCAGTCGTCAAAGAAGACCGACGCGCCCTCACCCGATGACAAGAAGAAGGAGTCCGCACCTGTCGCGCCTGCCGGCGGCGACAAGAAGGAGGAGTCCACAGTGAAGAAGCGGAAGTAAAAAGGAACGCACATGCCATCGTCATAGCAGTACACCATGTTCCGCCTGTGTCGTGTTTTGCTTTCTTGCTTGGACCGCTGAGACTAGTAATATATTGGGCTTGCGAGGGAAATGATATGAAGTATGCTAGAATGTACAGGCGCGTATATACGGGCTACATGTGAGGTGAGGAATCCGTGACGGCAAGGTGCAACGCTACATGGACTGAGATGTCTGTGTTGGGTGAGTAGACTAGAAATACAGGCTTGCGGCGAATACAACTGAGACGATGCATCAGTCGTATCATGAGTGGGCGTAGTTAAGGAGAGGTGCTCACTGTCTCGTTTGATCTTGATCTGCGACTCCTCCATCTTTTTGAACAGGTCCGCGTCGCCGATGACGCGGGCAGCGTCCCTCACTTCACGGCATGTCTCGTCGAGACGAGTAATGACACGAACGATCGTTCCCTCCGGTACGTCCGTCAACTCTGTAATCTGCTCGAAGGGCTAACGACGAGGAAATGAGGATGACCGTGCAGTCCAACTCCAATGCAAGAGCAGCACTCACCATGCCCTTCGCCCACTCATACACGACCTCCATCAGCCCGAACTTGAGCTGCCGGAACTCCTCGCCGGGGACCTTGTGGCGGTCCTGGATCGCGCCGACGCGTTCCGCGATGGCGATGATGGCATCGCGGCCCTGCTCGAGCTTTGGTGGGATGACCGGCTCAACATCCGTCTTCTCCTGGAAGACGAAGCATGAGAGCATGGCAACGACCTCCTCGGGCTCGAACGGCGCAAGTGTGTTCTCGAGGATGAGCTCGGTGAGCACGAGTTCGTTTGCGGAGTTGATCTGTGTTTCGTAGCGCATTGTGAGGAGGCGAGTGGGCGATGTTGGAATGTGGTACGTACCTCGCATGCGACTCTACCCTTGAGCAGGACTGTAGAATTCTCGTCGATAAATTTGAGCTCTTTGAGAACTTCGATGCGTTGTTCGTAGTCCGGGATCAGCTCCAAGTTCTGGTCGGACAACGCGCGGCGCAGGTCGGCGATGTTGGCACGTAGCACCTTCTCGGCGTGAATTTGCAGGTACTAACGTGAATGACGGGCGAGTTATCAACTGACAGACGGCTGTCGCATACACGAGCGCGCTCACATGGTCATCAAAGTCGGGGCATGACGTGCATTGTGCAGCGACCAAACGTTTCGCGCGCTCGTTCCTTGCGCGCAGTGTCTCCTGGAACTCGAGAGACCGCATGCGACTCCAGTCCACCTCGGGAATGGAGTCTGACTGCAGCCACTGTTCTAGGACACCGGACAACGCTCGAATGGCCTCTTGCATATACGCTATCCGTCCCAACATGATGTAGTCTAGCTCAACCTGTAATGCTGGGTGAGTACACGATGACGCTGAGACTTACAAACTCACCTTGATCGTGTTTCCGGTGACCATCGCAATGCTGGTCACAGGCACCTCTCGGAATTCATAGGTGGCGTCGTCGACCAGGAGCTGCGCCGCTCCGGGCGGCCATTGTGGCACAAGACTCTGTTCGTCCGCATCTACGGTTTCGAGAAGCGTGGTCAGCAAGCGCGAGACTGCCACTGATAATCCCGCTTACCACGAGTGCGTCTCTTCGTATCTAGGTCCACCATTGCCAGCACAAAGAACATCCTGACGTTGTCTACGGTTCTACCGCCCTTCAGGATGACCGCCACCTTCCATTGGAAGTGCTGCCGGGATATTAGTTAGGGTAGAGAACATTCAGCGGGAGATAACGTACCCCGTCTCGCAGAACCACTAATCTTCCTGTTGTAAACAGCTTTGATCCTTGTACGTTTTGGACCGCCATAGATACGAGGTCACGGTTGAGTTCTACGATGTCGAACGAGGCATCATAGTACCGCTCAATATCCGGCGAACATACGTCGCAAGACAGTTTATGGAGCGTTGACAGAGCTTTCTCGTGCTGCCGCCGACAGTTGTGTGAGCCTCGAGTGGGTCGATGAACGTGCGAGCCAGCTCACCTCTATGACCTTATTTTGTTGATCGGGGAGAAGCTTCTGAGTGCGGTTCTCGGAGAAACTACGCTTGATCATCTCCTCTACACGCAGAGCCTCTACGCGCAACAGGTTGAGAATCATATTGTAGGTCAGTCGGAATTGCGACTGCAGTTTGGTCGGTGTTCCCAAAATCATAGTGTTCAGTACCCCTTGCTGTACATTCAGATAGTATTTTGAGCGTTGACATCAGGGAGTAAACAACTGGTCGCAATTACCTCCGGAAGTTCGTCGCCGACGACGATAATTACCGTGCCAGTGGGATCCAGACCACGACGGCCAGCCCGGCCTGCCATCTGGGTATATTCACCCGGGAGGATCTCTCTGAAGCTACGGCCGTCGTGTTTCCGGATGCCAGAGAAGACCACGCATTTAGCCGGCATGTTCACTCCCTAGAACGATGTGTATGAATGGGTTTAGGTAATAGGGTGAATGTCGCTTACCATGGCAAAAGTCTCCGTAGCGAAGAGAATTTTGACTAAGCCCCTCGCGAAGAGGATCTCCACGACCTAAAAGAGCTGCTCCAGACTGCGAAGAGAGTAACAAAGGACGCCGCACGTACTTCCTTGACTATAGGTAGTAATCCACCGTGGTGCACACCAATACCGCGAGAGAGCAACTCGCGCATCCTACGAATTTGTGGGAGTTTTTTGTCACTGCCTACACGAGGAAGTGAGCTATGTTCAGCAACACAACGCAAGAACAATCGCCACCTTTCAGTCGTGAGAACGCCTTCTCAAGTGCAACATGGATCTCGCTCTTCTCCACCGCCGTGCACAGGTCCGCGTTCGTGAGCGTGCTCGCGTTCTCTTCGCACCGCTTTTTCGACAGCGTGAAGACGACGACGGGCAACAGCGATTTCTTGCGCAGATGGCCGAGAAGGTGGACGTAGAGGTTCTTGTCCGGTTGATGGAACGTCCGGGACGAACCTCCGCGGGAAACCGGAGCAGCAGCTCGCCCAGTACCGCCTCGCTGCCCCCCGCGCCCGCCTGCAGCACCGCGCTGGCCCCGTTGTGGGGCCGCTGCACGGGCGCCGAGTCTCTGGACGGGTGGCAGACCAGCCGCTTCGCGTTCTTTGTCCTGTTTGCGCCGCAAAGCTTCGCCTGCATCCTTGTATCTGTACCATACATTCACCCATCAAGTTCAATCGGTTAATTTGTTACAGATGTGATACGTACCCCTGGGACTGGAACCGACGCTCAGCGTCCACGATTTTGTACATGTCGCGTCCGGCATACAGATAATGTTCGAGGGGTACGGGCCGTTTGGCGGTCGAAATCACGTAGATGTCTTTCTTCTTAGTTCGCCTGACACGGAGGGAAGTTAGTTTTTCTGACGTCAAAGGAGAGAGCTGACTTACCCAACCCAGTCTGCGAATTCCCTCGCGTTCGGAACGGTCGCCGACAACAAGATGATGTTAACGTGATCCGGAAGCATGATGATGACTTCTTCCCAGACAACGCCCCTCTGGCCACACACATCTTCAGCATCCCCTCCATTTCAAGACACACGGAAGCGGAAGAACCCACCTCTGCGTCGTTCACGTAGTGCACCTCGTCGAATATCACAAACTCGACGTCACGGATCAGGTCTGCGCCCTTGTACAGCATGCTCCGCAGAATCTCCGTCGTCATGATGAGACAGTTCGCCTCCGGGTTAATCTGCACGTCGCCCGTGAGGATGCCCACGGATGATGACGAGAACGTCTGCTTGAAATCGCGGTATTTTTGGTTCGAGAGCGCCTTAATGGGCGACGTGTAGATAGCTCTGGCTCACCTCGCGTCAATGGGACTCGGAATGGAAGAAACGACACAGGAGCAGGCGCACCGGGTCATATGTTTTGCGGCGAGCGCGATGGCGTACTCGGCCACGACCGTCTTTCCCGCCGATGTATGCGCGGCGACAAAGACGGAGTCGCCCATTTCGAGGTGGTATACAGCCTCCTTCTGGAACGTATCGAGCTCGAACGGATACTGAGACAGCCGGCGTCATCTGTAGGCCTCATGTCCTCTGAGAACAATGCCACCAACCTTGTGTGCCATCTCAGGGACCAGCTCGTGGAAATTTGTCATGGGCTTGTTGATGTCGATTTCGTGAGCCCATTCCCGTTTCTGAATATTGGTCCGACGGGCTGGTTTCCGCACAGGCTTAATGGCGTTGAGGTGAGATCGCTGTACAGCAGGTTCAAGTCCAAATCCAGCAGAGGCCTGTGCAGACACCTACTGTTGTTGGCAGTAGATCATCTATGTCGGATGGTGCGCCTGATACTCCACCGTTTACTTGGGCATCCCCATTGGCATGAGGTACCGCGTCTCCGTTCTGTAAGCAACCACGCTGTCAGCGGAGGGAAGCATGACCGTCCGCAGGGGCCTACTTCTTGATCGAGGGCTCTCCGAGCTCCGTCCTGAGTAAACTCCAAGTCCTCCAACGCATCCTCGTCGGCTTCGTCGCCCGGCAACCGCAAGCCCCGACTTAATCCGGGGGCCACCTTCCTAAGGCCCTTCGCCCCTTCGTGTAGGTCGTCAATCGCAGCTGTATCGGTCTTGATGTCGTCGAGGCCCCCCGGCCAGAAGGGAACGAAGCCCGTCTTTCCCCGCACGAAGCTGCTGCTGGGACCGGGCGCGCGGTCGAGAGAGGTCGAGGTGAGCCCGGTGCTCACGCGTGGGTTGGCAACCTAAGCAACGAAGTGAGACGCGAGATACTCGGTACTGTTTAGGCGAACACTCACCTCTGTGTACCCGGTCACCCGTCCGTGCAAGCCTGTGCGGACAAACGCGAGGGTAGTTGGTGGTGGCGATGGCTCCATGGACAGCAACGAAGGGATTGACAGTTCATGTTCCCAATGTCTGCAATATTACACTGTCTGATATGTATTATGTGACGCGGTATAAGTGCTAAGCCTTACATCTGATATGTTGGGAGCCAGTGCTCTGGTAGCTTGTCCTTGGGCAGAAGGAGCTTCTCCTCGATTTCCCTGTGCACCTGTTCTGAGTCGGGGATGCCCGCGAGACCCAGCTCGCCCAGAATTTCCTCAGCATTGGCTGGATCTGGGTGCAATATGTGTTGCAGGACGTGCTGCTGCTCCTCTGCGTCCATGATCGTACAAGTAGAGCAGGCTCTCAGATCCAGATCGTTAGACGCCCGCACTAGTGGAGGCTACGGGCACGTGGTTACCGTACTAAATGTTTGCGTTGGAGTGCTCATCGGACCTGGCTAAGTTATGTGGATTAAATCGGAAGCATGCTGCATTTGCATATGACTGGAAGAGATCGTAGCGACGGTACTGAGATAGCTATGACGAGGATGGATGTTGTACACTACGCTAGAACGACGTAAACTAATGTCCGAAGCGAGGACGTGATAATGATAAACGGAACACAACGTACAACTGCTTGCAATTACGATCGCGAGTAAAATACCGTCCAAAATGCAGCGAGCCTTGAGCTTGATTAATCGCGCCTCCGAAGAGCGTAGACGTTCTCGACACGAATGTACGTCTGAGTCCGTGCCTCCAAGAGCTCAACGCGAGCGTTCTCCTCGACTTCGTCGACGACTTCCTCTGAAAGCCCACTGCCGAGGAGGAGTGGCCTGCCAGATCGTAGAAATGCCTGTCGCACGTCATGAGCACGCGAACAAATTGCTTGTCACACCGACTAACCAATATATCGTCCCTGAACACATGTGAGATGCGATTCTGGCGGATGGTTGCGGCATCGGTGCCAGCTCTCCAAGGGGATGTCTGGAACCAGAACTCCCGGTATACAACCTCCTCGAACACGGGGCTTTGCGATACCCATCGACGGAGATGGTTCGCAGCGTCTGGTTCCCCGCCGTTGCGGTGAACGGCGTCGTGGCACAAGTTCATCCACTGTGCGAGCCACGAAACCCCCTCCGTGAGGATCGGGTTTTTGTCGACTCCGTAGACACGGAAATCAAACTCGGTAAGGTCGAGGAGACCACCCAAGCGCAGGCACTGGCTCATCTGATCGACCAGCCCCTCGTAGTCCCGGATCTGAGATCGAAACAAGGGTCAGCCACGAAAGGTAATCAATTAGATCGGGACGGAGATTGCGGGGTAGATCGGGGGAAACGATCTGCGCGGCTCGGGCCCGAAGGAAGACCGCTTACCCCAGATGAAACAAGGCGGGCGTGGACGACGTTGAAATCGCCGAAAAAGTGTTGGAGGCCCAGGTTGATGTCGTCGACCTCGCTCCTGTGGGCCGGCGAAGGAGCGTGAGCAGATCAAGTTCTGATTAGTCAGAGAAGTGGATGGGAGTCGCTAACCTCATGTTCGGCGGCATGTTGCTAAATAAGGCAAGATGTGGTCAATCCTCCGCGGACCAGCGGGCGTACGGACGGATTGGGAAGGACTCACAGTGCCTGCATGGGAACGAGGTCGACTGCGACCGTGCTGCAGTGCGGGAAGTCCCGCGACACATCAAGTATCCTGGCGACGCGTCAAACGAGTGCATGGCCACCGACACGGCATCACTTACCAGCTTCCACTTCCACAGCCCAGATCCACGCATGTCTTGGGCTCACCGGGCGTGTCGTCGGCGAGGATTTGCGCCAGTGGCGGCGGATACTTGCCCATCACTTCCATAAAGATGATGTGTTGTTGGTCTACAGACAGCGAGTGAGCAGGGTCCGAATGCGAACGACGCGCTGTATAGGGGCCAGACGCGTCCCAACCTACCAAGGCGCTCAAACTCCTCGTCGTCCGCAGGTAAGCGGTATACCTCCGAGTAGTTGTTGATGCCCCTTCCATACTCACGACGATATGATGCGGCGCGGAGAGAGCTCGTCATGGAATACACCGAAGGCGCTGGGGACGCGGACCGCATCTCCAAGTCGTGAGAGGTGGCGGAGGTGGCTGCACTGGGGAAGCGGGTCGAAGTGGACATCACGGAGGACGCGTCGCTCTCGTCCTCGAACGGGGGGAACGCGTTGGGCATGGCGGGGGGTGCGTGTACGGCGTGCATGTGGCGGGCGAGGGCAGAGAGGCAGAGGGGCTGGGCGGGGACGGCGAGGAGGCGATTATTATATAGTTCCTACTCATCCTGCGAACGGCGGAGCATGGAGCTGCGACCGAGCTACCAGACACCCGCAGAAATCGGAAGGCACGTGGCACGAGCGCCCGCCCAACAGGCCTCTGATTGGCTGCAGCTCATCTCCGGTCACCGACCAGCAGCATGTTGATGGGCCGTGGCCCTATTGCCGACTCTACCCTTCCCAGTTCGACTCTCCTCTGTCGCAGAATACATATCTTTTTAAAGTTGCCTCTGACACATCTTTCCTCGATCCCCGCGCGTACTCCGCTACGCCCACGCTCCGTCCTCTCGCCAGCCTGAGCCCTTCTCTCTCAGGGCTCTGCCTGCGTTTCTGACCTACTGTCGCGCTCGCCGTGGGTCGTCCTGCTCGGATACGGCAACCCGTACATCCGTTCTGTGGCTCACCTTCGCCCGCCATCCGCAATGTATGACGCGCGAGGCAAGTGGCCCTGATCAGAGCACTGACCGAGGTCGGGCAGCATGTCAGTGGCTGGCCGCATCCGCAGAATCCCGCTGCACTGGCGGGTATGGATGGGCAGGCCGTGCACCGTCTACTGCCTCAGATGATGATGCACGCATGGCAGCCTCATCGCCGGCGGATGCGGAATTACCGTCCTTCTCTCCCGCACCACCACCAGCTCTAGCGTTTCCAGTCAAGTTGGCTCCGCTTCTATCTACGAGATTAGCTGCACACGCTGGCAGATCCCTCGTTTCTATCTCGACTTTCTCGCGTTCTACCTCAACGACCCTCGTTCATTTGCTGGTGTCTTCGCCGCACCACTCGGGCCACTCCGCCGACGGGCGTATCACCGCGATTGAGCCGACGGTCATTTCACAACTCGTCCCCCTCACAGCATACGAACTCACCAGCAAACGGAGAGATCGAAGCAGCGATGCGGCTTGCCCATTAGGTTCAGCCGCCTCGTTAACAGCGCCATGCCGTGCTGATTATGTGATCTCTGTCTCGTGTGTATGGCTGTAGTAACTGTCGGTGACTTGGACAGACGGGCATCTGCAGCCCTCGCGAGCATGTTCAGAGCTAGTATTGCGCCGATGCTGCGTCGTCCCTGCCGAGCTCGTTCGGGACGGTTTGAATTTCCACACGGATCGCGCCGACAAGGCCGAGTCCTCCGTTCATCCAGTTTCAAAAATCAATATAGGCAGCGAACATCTTGCTCCAATTTGCTACACCTCTAGGCATGGAGCATCGGCCCCCGGCGGTATCAAGTACTGAGTAAGGTGAGTGTCGTTCAGTATCAAGTCTGTCAACTTTTCTGACCGTCTCGAAGCTCGAGAGATCCAGACTGCCTATTGTCTCCTTCCCGCTTCGGAAGCGACGTGGAAGTAGCAAGTCCAATACAAGTCCGAATGGTATTAATGAAATGCGTCGCCGGGTTTTCCCCCCGGTACGTCTGTACACTATCTTGGCTTACAAATTTTGATGTTGCTTACTACCAAGAGCTCGACCCTACGGCGGATCGTATGCAGTACCGGCGAAGCCCCCACCGTGCGTACTCAGCCACAACTTGAACTCCGAGAAACCGGCATGCCATCCGCGCTCAAGTCACTAAACCTCGCGATTCCCAATCTCGCAGATTCCTTCAATCGACGCCTTCCAGAAGCTCCCCACACTTCAACACGGTCCTAATAGGCGGCGGCGGACCCAGGTGCCCTCCGTTTGGGTTCGCGCTCAGCTCCTAGCGCTCCGTTCTCGGCGAAGAACCGTTGGCAGCACGAGCCCTGCTCGCGGCGGCGTGTGTGGCCCTCCACCGGGATCTCACATGCACAGCTCATCTATCTGTCGAATCTGGCAGAAGGGTATAGCCCGGGCCGGCCTGGGGGTCCTCCACAGCAGGTATGTATACAGTACAGACTTAGGGTGCGCGCGATTCCGAGTCTCTCTCACCTTGTGCACGTTGAGTGGAGGGTACGTGGCGTTGTTCTTGAAACTACACCCGCGTCACCGTGCCGCCTTGCCTCAAGTCGGCGATGCGGAGCCCTCATCGGCGGGGCTCTCCTGACTTAGTTGGTGCACGATGGTCCACCATGGTCACAGGTCGAGACACTAGGTGAGTGAGTCACCCCGGCTTCGACATCAGGATCGTGCTGTAGACTACTAATCGGGCAAGCTTCGCCACAGTGAGCCAATTTCAGTGCGCGTTTACTCTTGCGTCGTGCTGCAGTTTGAGATGCGCGGATTTCATGCTCCTCTCCGTGGACAAAGTAGGTCAAGATTAGACTTGAACCAGATTCACTTCAGATTTCCGGAAATGTCGGACCACAGCCGGAACAAGACCGACACACAATGGAGCTCATGGGCCACGGGTCCGACGCAGCCGTTACTAGACAAGACAACGTCGCCGGAGAATCCTTCGCGCATCCCTGCTGAGCGTCCACCTTCTCTCGTGCCGCGGCGCCTCATGGCATTGCTACGGCATGCGGACGATGCCATCGGCTCGTCCTCCGCCGGTACGTCTGCTCTCCTTCAGAGACAGGTCTTGACAAGCAGACTCACAATGACGGGACTCACATGAGGCCTGTAGGGTCAGCAGCTCGTGTCAGGGCCGTGCGAGTCGTAGCCACTTGACCAAGTACCGTGGGGCATGGCCCTCGCCTACTCACTATGCGACATCCACTACGTATACATCCGGAGAACGAGGCTGTCGAACGTCGCGCCGCCGCATCTGATTTCTTGCTTGGAGCCTGCAGGCACCGCAGGATACCCGACAAGATCTCGATCATAAGCCCTTGCGTAAGACCGGCCCGTACAGTGGTCGACGAAGCTGGCTGCCGGTGCCTGCGTGCGGTGCACCACTGCGAGCATGCACCGTCTCAAACTCCGTGCCATTCGGAGACGCTCCCGGCGGTACCGCCGAGCCGAGCCGTCCATAACAGGCTCGCTTGCCATGCAAACGCACCGGGACAGGGGATCCAGCTCTCAGCCGACGGTAGTACGCGTCAACGTCAACGAGGCAACGCGCTAGCAATTCTCCCGGCCCCGCTTGCGCTCGCGAGGCGATTCGGTGCGCAGTGCGCATGCGTGTCCGAAAATAAGAGGAACAGACCGCTCTGGGTCAGCATGAGACCGGCGGACCCACTGCAACCCGTACTTGCGGGGGGTGCGGCCTGCTACGCTACGACGTCTTTGAAGCGGGAGCGGTGATCCCACGGCTGGCGCTGATCCCCCAGGGCCAGGACGGCGTGACCGTCTCGAGGGATTCCTTTGCGGCCGGAGATTATCGGGCGGACCCGCCGCCTTCTGAACCGGGCATGCGGAGATGCATCTTTGATGGAGGGCATACTGAACGCCGACGGGCTGTGGAGCCGTGCCATAGCCTAGGCTATGAAGCGTGGTGCGGGTTCGTGCCGATATGACCATTGACCTTCGTTTCTGAACCATAAGCTTGCTTTATGGATCCGCGATGCGGGCTTCTCTCCCGAGACTCCTTGTTTCAGAGCGTGGCGGTCGAGGCGTAGCTACGACCTGCGGAAGTTGCATTTCCGATACCTCATTGCACCACTATAATTTCATACACTCGACAGATAGCAATACAATATAGTGTCCGAGAGCCAAGCAACTGGGTCAACTCTCAGTGCCTCACCGCGTGCCCTACGAAGGCCCCAACAAGATACTCACAGTAGCAAGAAGGCCCAAGGTCCCGTACATCGGTGGTACAGGCGGCCTACGCCGTATGCATCACCGCTTCTTGAGGGCCTCAAACCGCTTCGCCAACGCCTCGAACTCGTCCACAGGCGCCGGGGCCTTGGGCTCGTCGTCGTCCTCCGTTGGGGGGAGCTCGGGGAGCTTGGGCGTCCGCACGCCCGCGCTCCTTGCCTCCGCCGAGATCTTCTCTGCGCTCATGGGTGATTGTGCCGCCGGGGTCTTCTCCATGCTCGATTCCTGCGTGCACGGCCGCGAGTTAATAACGAACTGGCTGTTTGAATAGACGCGATCTGGACGGGGGGACTGACCTTCACTCCGCCTTCGCCGCCGGTATCGTCGCTGTCGCTTGTCGATGACGGTGCCGTCCACTTGACGCCATACCCCTTCGCGATCTCCGCGAGATACGCGTCGACCAGCTCGGGCGCGGGCGTGAACACGACGAGCTTCTTGGCGACCTGAAAGGAGGACGCATCTCGTTCAGACTGATCGTAAGCCCTGCGTGTCCATTGGCCCGGAGCTCACCCGTTCGTTCACGCAGCCGTCCCGGTTCTCCATGACGCCGACGGAGAATTCCCGCCCGTACTTGTGCATGAGCATTTCGCGCAGGACGTGCAGTTCTACATAAGCGTCGTGGTGTTGACTCGTTAGGGGAGCCAGGACAATAACATCCGCAGCTGACCTTTGAGCTCGGTGCGAGGGGCGGCGTAGACGACGCTGCAGACCCCCTCGCTTACTCCTGGGTCAGGCTCCTTTGTACTAGTCCAGGTGATCGATGGTCAGCGTCGGTAAGATCACTGGGACCTGCGAGACGCGAGATGCGGGTCGGCGGACTTACTTCTGATCGAGGAGGGAGAATCGCGCGTGCAGGAGCTCACAATAGAGCTCCAGGAGCTCGAGAAGCTCGACATAAATGTCTTCATGAATGACTTTTGGGCTCTGTCAACCGCCGATCTCGTGGAAGGGGAGCCTTGCCACGCACTGTTCTCAACCTTGATCCTCGCGGTCTCGATCTTGCCCTTCTCGAGGAGCAGCGCGATATCGCGGCGCGCGGTCTTCGCCTGCGCGGACTTCTTCTCTTGGAGGGTGCGCAGTCTTTGAATGGCCAACCTGGCAGGCCGATCGCTCGCGTTGAGGTACACACGGACGGCTGTGGAGGGAGGGTGCGCACCGGAGTTGGACCTATCCCAGGATCGCGGTCAAGAGGGACGCTCGCGGGCAGAAGGGGGCATCCCTTGCCTTTGCTTTCGCCGACACCCAGGGCGCCATCTGGTCAGGAGTGGGCGGCGGAGGAGTGCTGGTTGTGGAGGATGATAATATGTACGTACGCAGATGCTGCCTGTGGAAGCTTGTGCGTCGCGACCGAGGCGGAGACGCCCAAGATTGCGTCCATCAGATGGGCCCGGCGGGGGACGGCTATGGCCGGTGGCCCGCGCACAGCCGGTGCCTGGCTTTGTCCCTTCGTGGCCCCGGGGAGCACTCTCAGCTCATCCTGCTCTGTCTTGTCCGTCTTGTCCGGCTCCCACAGTGGCGCATCCTCATCTTCGTGAACGGTTTCAGGCCATCTTGGTGATATCATGGTCAGCCGACGACCTCGTCACACTGCACTGTCGATACATCGCGACGGTGGCTTCGCGCACGGTCTGCCGTCTACCGTCTACGTCTGCCCCATGCAAGCCTGGCTCGCGGAGATTCCATCCTGTTCAAGTACTACTAGTGTGTATCGAAGTACATACATCAGTGGCAATGCACAGCGTCCGTCGAGCTGGATACGGGTGTCTCGCAGCGTGATCGCGGGCGTGATAAGGATGGTCCGGTGGGAGAGCCAAGGTGTGATATCCCCAGCCGCGTCTTTGCTTGCGACCACTTAGACGACAAATCGACTTTGCTCCTTGTTCTCGCAGTGGCTCGAGCTCATCGCAACATACCTTATGCCGTACAAGAACAGTCAGGCGGGCATGGTCATGATGGTCTGTGTAGTGTGGATGGCATGCAGTAAGTACGTCGGCGCGTCGCAGTGTTGTGCGGCGTCCGATGGGAGCGTCGGTTTGTGTCCGGGGATGTCAATATGCCCTCTGGTGTTGCATCGTCCGTGGGGGGATGCGGCAAAGTGTCGCCGCTTGGCGTCATGTCCATCGCGCAAGTTGGATGAGAAGGGTCCGGACGGCTTAACCCCAAGTGTTTGTGATATGATGATGGACTCATTGATCACTCGTCTATTTGTCTTGGCAGAGTGAAGGGTGTCCTGGGACTTGAGCATGCACTTGTGTGCCACAGCTGAGTTCATACACTGACGAGGAGCGTGTCTGCGAGCGATGGTACCGCCACAGCTGTCGAGTGGCCGGCTGGGTGTCCGATCAGGGAGTACCTGGATCTGGCGTGGATCTGGGCTGATGATGGTCGCGGTATGGTCGTTCAGCCTATCTGCTACCGCCGGTCTCGCCCCTCCTATAGGCCACGGCCGACAATGGTCGCCCTGCCGCACACGGCACCGAGTCCGTTGCGAGAAATCACTCGTCCGCCTTGATCTCTCACCGCCGTCTCGCTCTTGGTCGACCCAGGCGGACACGGGCACCTGCAGGTTCAGCTTCAGACTCATCCTCGCCCGACGCCCCCGCTGCAGTGCTGGTCTCTGAGCTGACTTACTGTACATACCCCCACGCGCCATGTCAACTGTCTCTCGCACGCAGTCAGTCAGGCGTGGGGGTGCGCTCCCCCGCCTCTGGATTGACTCGTCGCCCTCTAGCTATCAAAACCAACTCTACACGCCTGCTTCCGCATTACCCTCCGCAAATGTGGTTCTGAGTGGTGATACCTCGACCACCTTGACGGATTCGGCGTCCACATCCAGCGCGGAGGCATTCCAAGTTCTGGCCCTCTATGACTACGAGGCCGCAGATACCGATCAACTGTCGTTCAGGAAGAACGAGGTTCTGGAGATCATTAAGCGCGAGGATTCGGTGAGTACATGGAATGTTACGCGTGTTGTAGGGTGCCTTGCTCAGACTGTACGCGATCCGTAGGGCTGGTGGGCTGCTCTACGCCCGGGCGACAACCGCGTCGGATGGATACCTCAGGCCTTTGTCGAACCCATCTCGGAGAGGATCGTGCACCAACTCCGCGTCAAGGACGATGCGCGGATCATCTCCCCCGCATCGGACCTATCATCGAGGAGTGGGACGCTCCTCAGCACGCCCGACAGCGAAGCTACAGGGCTGCAATGGATGCCATTGACGGAGGGCGACCAGGTGCGTCCCTCTCTATTACATCGTCTCGCGATCGCTCAGCCTCGTCCCAGGCACCAGTGCGACTCTTCGCCGGATCCGACACCAAAGGCGCCCCCTCGCTCTTCAGCCCGCTCGTCCCTCCTCACGAAGGCGTCGACGACGCGCACTCCGAGTCCGACGTCGACGTCTCCCCCTCGCCGGCGGGCGAGCCAGCATCCCCGCTGCCCGCCACCGACGCGCCCGACGAGCCGCCCCCGGTGCCCTCTAAAGACGACCGGACCCCGCTCAAGCTGAATCTCAAGCCGACGCAGCCGCTGCAGATCCAGCGGCACTCCTCGCCGCTGCGCGCGTCCCCCGCGCTCATCGAGTCCTTCGACCACGCGCGGAGCCACTCTGACCCCGTCAGCCCCGTCGTGACGCGCCAGCTCCGGCGGCGGCCCGTGCTCATCGACGACCGCTCGTCGCTCAACCGGCTCACGACGCTCTTCGAGTTGGAGAACGCAGCGGACCTCGACGTCCTGGTGGGCAGCCCCCTCGCGGGCAGCCCGCTAATGGGCATCCCCATCGTGGCGAGCCCTGCGTCGGTGGACTCGTTTGAGACGCTGGTCCCCGGGAATCGCTCGACGACGCCGAAGCTGAGCTTGCCGAGGAACCCGTTGCATCCGAGGGCGCCCCCCGTGAGGCAGGACACGAAGGAGTCGAGGGCGCGCCTGAGTCCGTCGCGGTTACGGCCGGCGGAGGAGCAGGATGAGCTGCTGCTTGCGGAGGATGGGAGCGTGGTTGCGGGCACCCTGCCCGCCCTCATCGAGCGCCTCACACTCGACACGCATGGTAAGAGACCTCCGGATGCATCTGCGGTATATGGTTGTTCACCCCTCACCGTCGCACGCAGATCCAGTGCAGATGCGCAACTTCCAACGCGCGTTCTTCATGACGTACAAGTCGTTCGCGAACGCGGACGAGGTATTCACGCTGCTTGAGGACCTCTTCCACACGGAACGCCCCCCAGGCGGGAGCCAGGAGGACATCGACCTCGACCAGTGGCGCGAGCAGCGGCTCGAGCCCATGCAGCGGCGCGTCCTCTTCATACTCAAGATGTGGTTCGAGGAGTACGGCATGCTCCGCGACGAGCCGCACATCGTTGGCCGGCTTGTGGAGTTCTTGTCGTCGCTCACCTCGCCGTTTATCACAATGGCGAGGAGCATGCAGGACTCGCTGCAGCGGCATGTGAGTTTCCCCGTTCTAGTTATCATCGGGATATCCTGAATATGTGTTCAGCTGGGCACGAAAACGCCTCCCACCCCTGTGACAGGCAGGCGCAAGCTCAAGCGCAAAGCCTCTAAGAACGACTTCGGGCGTCTAGAACCGATGGCTGTCGCGAAACAGCTTTGTGTCCACGAGCACCGGCTGTACGCGAAGCTGGAGGCTCGGGAATGCTTGCACTGGATGAACCCGAGCGAGGCAGACGGTATCCCCAATCTGACTGCGTTCTGCATGGCGCGTGCCAGATTGACTGGTTGGGTGAGAGCGAGCTTGCTCGGCGTGGACGGGCTCAGTCGAAGAGCGGAGATGCTCGAGTTCTGGATACGCGTTGCGGAGGTGAGATGCCCCGTCGTGCGCAGTCGAATTGATACTCAGGCGTGTTCATCAGCGCTGCAAGGAGCTCTGCAACTTCTCATCACTGAGCGCAATCACAACGGGCCTTTCGGATCCCGCGATTGCGCGGTCCCAGTTCCTGTGGGCCCACTTACCACGCGGGGTGCAGCAAGAGGCGACGGCGCTGCTCACCGAGCCCGCCGGTGACCAATTACCCTACTGCGCACAGCAAGAATCCGTCCACGGGCCGTGCATCCCGTACATCGAACCGTACCTCGCGCTGGTCGCGCATGTCAGCGAGCACTTCGCGGACACGGTGCCCTCGCCGGAGACGGAGCAGCAGCTGATCCACTTCGCGAAGCGGGAGAAGTGGTACGGCGCGGTGCAGGAGATGCTCCGGCACCAGGCGCACGCGTACGACTTCCCCGAGGACGCGCAGACTGCGGAGTTCGTGGAGGCGAACGTGACGAGCATCGCGCAGGACCAGCACTTCGGCGCGCTGCCCCACCAGAGCGAGGCCGACATCGCGCATCTGAAGAGAGTGCTCGAGTCGCTGCCCTAATGTGGCCCCCGAGCGAGCGCAGGGGAGTGTGGTTTAACTTATTCTGTTAACATGGCGAATATGCTACTGCTTGGAAGGATCACTCGATACACTCTTTCTCTCTCCATGGACTCGTCAAGGACATGATCGTCTTATCCCCGGATAGTCTGCATACTCCTGAGGCTCTTGCTTCATCTTGGTAGCCATTCACCCACACTATTTTTCTCCATTATCGTCGAATGCAACCCAGTCTCTTGCCCAAATGCGACATGAAACGCTACTGCAGCGGAGGAACATCCATATAATACTGAGAATACGTCGGTGTGAACCTATAGTACAGAAAGTAGTAGAACAGTGTGAACGTGTGGTCTAGCAAAGCGACGGCGTGGGTAAGCAGAACGGAGGACGACCGACCGGCGCGCGCAGGCACCAGGGGCAGCTAAGAAACGCTTAGCAGTTGCATGGCTCGTCCTGACCGGGAGCGCCGGCGGCTTGCTTGTTCAGATCGACGCCAGTTCTCCCCGACGGGCCTGCCCGGCCACCTGCTCTTGCGGACGCCGGCGTGTTCTGCGGCAGCTTCTTGGCTGAAGATTCGGTGAGTGGTGGCTGATCGTACGACACACACGGTGATACCTACCAATAGCGGCGAAGATCTCCTGCACACCCTCGCCAGACTTCGCACTGGTCTCGCCCCACATGAGACCCTCCTCGTCGGCATACTTCTTTGCCTCCTCCTGCGAGACCTGGCGTCGGGCAGACAAGTCGGCCTTGTTGCCGCAGAGTGCGATAATGATGGAGGGGTCCGCTTGACGTTGGAGCTCGCGGATCCATGAGCGGGCCTTCTCGAGAGATGCGGACTGAGTGATGTCGTAGACGACTACTGCGCAGTTTGCGTTGCGGTAGTACATAGGAGCCTGGTTGGTGATTCAGTATCTTGCGCTATTGGTCGGCGCAGACGAGATGACATACGAGAGACTGTGAAGGGCATGAGTAACAACGACATTGTTGAACTTGGTGAGGCACGCACCTTATACCGCTCTTGACCAGCGGTATCCCTGCGTCCATCATTAGGGAGGTAACAATGATACGTTCAGTGGCCGCACAAACCAGATCTCAAACTTGACTGTTGTCTGGTCCTCCAGCGTAACGGTCTGCGTCAGAAAGGCGGCTGGATTGCGCTGAGTTGAGCCGCGACCACGTTGTCAAAACCCCCAGAGCACATACCGCCGATGGTGCTTTCCCGGTAGTCATCGAACTGGTCCTTCACGAAACGCAATACCAGACTGCACAACGAAGGCGTTGAGGCCGGTGGCATAGCGTATAGACGGCACAACTCACCTGGACTTGCCGACAGCGGACTCCCCTGCACACACGACCACAGGTTAGTGAGTGCCGTGATACCCAGCACGAGCTCACGCACCAAGAAGAACAAGCTTGAACTGCAGCTGCTTAGACATGGCGGGGAGATGGATATATGAGTCTGCAGAACGTCTGGTGCGATATGGCCGCGGGGCGCAGCGTCAGCGCGCGGTGCACCCTGGTGCACCTCGAGGAGCCAGCTGAAAAAGGCAATTGTCCCACGGTGCTACGTCGGTATGCGCCGACCAGTTTTCGCTTGTTTTCGCTATCGCCCAACTATCGCCCCCTGTATTCCGACCGTCACTGTCTCGCGGACGTGGCCATCTGCTGTCTTGCTCCATCTCCTGCTCTGTACCTGTTGTGAACAACGCCTGCTCCGTATCGACCCAGTCGAGCAACTCGGAAAGCGTGCTGGTCACTGAGCTTGAAATCAGCCCTGAAGTACATCGCTGAGATCGCACCCCGTCCTTTCGTTTCAACGCCAACATCAAAGCAGCCGTGTCAATGAATCGCTACAATCCTTATCAAAACCCGTACGAAAGCCCGCAGCCACGAAGAGGCGGCCCCCCCAACGGGTTTGGGCCTGACAGATCACACCGTGTCGACTCGGGTGGCCCTCCTCGTGGTAGAGGGTTCGGTCGTGGCCGCGGCCGAGGTGGAGGCGGTCATCATGGAAGTCAATACGGTGGCAGTCATGACGGGAGTTATGCCTCATACGATCAAGGTCCTCCGCAAGGGGACATGGGGGGCTATAACAACAGCTTCGACTCCGCCCCAGGACAAGATTCCTTCTATCAGAATGGCAACTTCGATGCGAGCGGACCTGGACAGTATGGTCAGGGCTACAATAATTATGAAGGTGCGCTCAGTTAAGTCATGTTGAACACCGTTTTAGTCACGGCTTCGAGGCCGGTTGGAGCACCTCAGGGACCAGCTTGAGTCGGCCTGCCTTCATGCCTCGTAGCTTACATGCTACGGAGATGTTAGCCATGGCGTGAGCTCTCCTTACGGGCAACAGTCTGTTAGTCCAGTTCCGTCCAAAGCTCCCAGTCCTGCCCCGTGTCCTTTTCTACGACTGCTAGGACATCGGTTGCAACGCAGCACGATCGCGGTTCTAAGCTGAGGTCCTGTGGCGTTCCCGTAACCTGCCTCTGGCTCCGAACTAGTCAGCATCCGCCCAAACCCCTTCTTCACATTCGTACTTTGCTCGGCATTTCCAGCCATGGTATGCATGACAGTGTTCTCACCTATTGAATTTCTTCGATAGACGATTCAGGTGGTTATGATCAGGGTGGCTTTGGAGGGCGTCCTAAACGAACCCAGCGTCCAAGAGAGGAGAAGGTGGTAAATGACTCAATAATTGAGGATCGCATACAGCGAGAGCGCCCTTGTCGTACTCTCTTCATTCGCAACATTAAGGCAAGTTATGTTCGGGGTCTCGACCGAGTTCTGGCCGCCTTTGCCTGAGTTGAGCTGATCAAATGACCGGTCAATACACAGTACGAGACGAGCAGTGACTTTGTCCGCGGCTTGTTTGAGGAGCATGGCGAGATCAAGACGTTCTTTGATCTGATCGCGAACAGGGGGATGGTGTTCGTCACTTACGTGAGTCGCCCATTGTGGCTTTCCTTGTGAGTATGCGTCAATAACTTCTTGGATCTCTAGTATGATCTGCGCGCCGCAGAACGAGCAAGAGAAAGACTGCAGGGCTCGGAGATAAGTGGTCGTCCGGTAAGTTTAGTGTCAGCCATGAGGTTGGCCTCATTGCTGAGGATTCGAATGCAGATCGACGTGCATTACTCGTTGCCCCGTGATGACGGTGGCAGAGGAGCTGAGAAGGACAAACAGCAAGTAAGCCTGACAGTAGCCTGCTCGGAGAGCCGAAATCTCAATTGCTGTCCATACAGCAGCTGCAGGGCACACTGATAGTCACCTTGAAGAACTCGGCTTCAGGACAGCCGATCGATGACAACGAAGTCCGTCGCAAGTTCCAGCAATTCGGTGATGTCAAGTCTGTGAGGCCTGCGCCGGGCATTGAGTACGTAAAACAACGCAGTGGGGCGAATATCGCTGATCCTCGTGTTAGTTGCCGCTTCGTTGAATTCTACGATACGAGGGTGCGTCTTGTCCGCTTGACAGTGAGAAGATCCTGAGCGTGTATCGACAGGCATCCGATGAGGCCCATGATCGGCTACGCCACCAAGGGCTGCAAGATGGCGTAATGGAGATAGTCTTCGCAGCTGCTCCAGAGGATGACCAACGGGGTGCTTCGCCTAGGTGAGCATGGGTCGTACGTCTAGGGACCCTTCTGACGAGCTTCCCTGGCAGGCGTGAAGAACGAGGCGGATACGATCGCGGACGCGACTGGGAAACACCTCCGCAACGCGGTCGCCGGGGTGGCCGGGGTGGCGGTCGTGGCAGGGGCCGCGGTAGCTACGGAGGGGATGACTGGGATCGTCGAGGAGATTGGGGCAGAGATCGCGACAGAGAGCGAGCTCCTTATGAAGAGGATTACTCTGGTGGTCGTGGTGGCGGTAGAGGACGTGGTGGCGGTTATGGTGGCAGGTTTGACAGCCGAGGACCCGGTGGATATGGTGGACCCGGGCCGTCCAGTCCTCCTGGGCCACCGCCTCCGAGCTACGGCGGTGCTCCGCCTCCATCCTTCACCCAGGCACCCCCACCAGCTCAGGTCAGTTATCAACCTTTTCGGCAATGCTGGTGTTGCTTACTACTTTGGCGCAGCCCGTCGATGAACGTCTTGAACGTCTTGAGCAAGCTAAGAAGGTTCAGCAGGTAAGCTCACGTTCATCAGCTGTCGGCATCATGATGCTCATACCGCCCGCGTAGTTGCTTGCAGCATTGAAACAACCTGGGGCAACGCCCGGTGCCCCGGGCAATGGAGGAGCGCCTCCTCCACCGGGCATGCCACCGATGCCCCCACAGGCACCGCCCGGGGGCAACCACTACTATGCAGCACCCCCATCTATGCCTCCCTTCCCCCCTAATGCGCCTCCGCCCGCTTCAGCGCCCAATGGCTATCCAGGGATGAATCAACAAGCTTCTACGCCACAGCCTCCGCCTGCTGGTCTAGCCGGCTTGGCCCCGAACCTACTTGCTCTGCTGCAACAAAATAGCCAAGGCCAGCAGCGTTTGCAGCAACAACAGCAGCAGCCACCACCGATGCCGTATGGTATGCCGCAGCAGCAAATGATGCAGCCGACCCCGCCGCCCGGTATGCCTCAGATGCCTCCCAATACTCAGCCGAACTATCAGCAGCTCATGGCGTACCTGGTAAGTGTATACCAGATTCAAGAGAGTACCAGCGCTGACTACCGTGGCAGCAGGGACAAAAGCACGGGCAGTGACCAGACACGTCGAAGCTGGTTGGTGGTCCGCCTGCGCGCAAACTTTCAACTTATCTTATTCTTAGTTCTCATTACTGTCCATAGCTTTCTTCGTCGCCTCTGGGTGCTGGCTTTTCTACTCGGCCGAACTGTCTGAGGTTTCTGAAGTTCGCGGACGTATGAAGTATGCAGTAACTTAGTTGTTGCCGATGTTCTTTTGTCTCAGTAGTAGCTAGCTGTGACATGCGTACGTGGTGTAGGCTGCAGGAGTTGACCCATGTTCCTCCCACTGCGTCGCGGCGCGGACTTGTAGGGGTGGCTGGGGGCCTCGACGCGTCCGCTACGGGACGCGCCTGTGGCGCACCAGTCTAAGTACCACCACCTCTCCCGCATCGTCGCAATGCTCAACTTGTCCAACCTCCGCAACCTTCTGTCGCAGGTGCTTGCTCTACCCGAGTTGCACACGGTTGCCCTCTTTACCCCGGAGGGCCAACTGGTCTCGTTCGCTGCGGATCCGCACAGGCCGAAGGACAACGTACGCGTCATCGTCGGGTTGGGTGGGGAGGTGTGGAAGGAGACGAAACAGCAGGGCGTGGGGATGATCGACAGCGAAGTACGTCGTTGCCTGTTGGCTCTAGTAGATAGCTTATATGGGCTGCCTATCAGCTAGGACGCGTTGTCGTGCTGCCAATTGACGAAGAATACGATGACGCCACGGAGAATGGCACAAGTGACAAAGATCCCGTCATGCTTTTGGCTTTGAATGCTACCACATCTGTATCTTGGGATGAATTGGAATTCAAGGTGAGACCATTTGACTGCTCCAATGGCATCCACCAACGGTCTTTACGAAGGCACGAGAATTGGTGAAACACTTGCAGAAGCCAGTTTCTGAACTGCGCGGACGTCTCGCTGCTGCGCCTGTCCTGCACATCAACCCACGATCTGAACGCACAGCTCGGTGATACACGACATGTAGGCCTCACACTCTTGGGGGTGCGCAATCGTTCGCCTGTGGCTACAGCAATGATGTATGCGATGACGGCACGACAGAACATCAGGCCAACCCTCTGACAGGAGCGATGCATCTCGGCCAATGCGAGACATTGCTTTACTACCACGCCCGCTTCACTATGGAATTTGCGACCTTTTACAGCGATACTATGCAAGGAGTGGATTCGATCTTCGAGGAGAGCTCACGTCTAGCTCACATCCGTCTCGTTGCCTACCGAGTGTATCCGAACGAATATTTCTGTGTCCGTAAAGGCCATATGGATGCCACGCAGTACTGTAGCAATACAACGAGTTATTTGGACAGTTGCGGGTAACAGTGCCTGGATAGTGCACCGTTTCGGATAAACGGCCAATTTCCCGGTTACAATTTCAGGAGGGATCTGCGTCACAGCGCCCGACGCCTTCGGGACGCTTAGCTCAAGCTTGTTCGTTCGCCTCCGAACCCATCCCTCTCTGTCCCGGTCCCCGACGCGCTGCCATAGCGTCCTGCTGGTCATGCGACGCTGGTCTGCACCAAAAGTACGCGTATCTGGCCCAAGTCCTAGTCGAACATGCGCGGTCACGCGGGCATGCCGAAAATACAGCGTACAAGCTCAGCAGCAAAGATTGCTTCCAACGCAACATGGCGAGCCCACAAATCCCGTACCGCCACCCCCTAATGCGCAGCCCAACCCCAATCGTCCAGACCCTTACAAGTTGCTAGCACCGCAACTGGAACATCTCCGCCAGACACTACTCAACCTCTTGGGTTCCGCACATCCCGGGCTCTCCGAAATCGCGAAGTACTACTTCCTACATCCTTCAAAACAGCTTAGGCCTCTGCTTGTGCTGTTGTTTTCGCAGGCGACCAATGGGCTCGGTGGTGGTTGGCACCTCAAGCAGTGGGCGGCGGAGTGCGAGGGTGCGGGAGGGCGAACAGAGGAACTGGACAGACCACTCACGCGAGCGGACGTGTTGAACGACTTCAATCCCAACATGTCCGACCACACTGCGTCTTTCGAGACGTCCTTTACCGTCAGAACGCCGCGGCCACCGCGCCAGCCGCCTCTACCGCCTCCCGAGGCAACGAGCACCCATGCACCGGCACTCACGTCTCCTCTCTGCCTGCTCCCAACCCAGGTTCGCCTCGCACAGATCGTGGAGATGATTCATGTCGCTTCCCTTCTACACGACGATGTGATCGACAAGTCGCCGTTGCGCCGTGGTGTAGCTTCTGCTCCGGCGGCGTTCGGGAACAAGCTCTCCGTGCTGGCGGGTGACTTCCTCTTGGGTCGCACCAGCGCGGCGTTGTCGCGTCTCGGAGACAACGAGGTCGTTGAGCTCATTGCCAGTGTCATCGCGAATCTTGTGGAGGGCGAGATCTTGCAGCTCAAGTCCGTTCATGGCGAGGAGCTGGGTCTGAAGGGCGCACCGAGCGCGACCGAGGACTACTTCAACATCTATCTCCAGAAGACGTACATGAAGACGGCGAGCTTGATGGCGAAGGGCGTACGAGCAGCTGTAGTGCTTGGTGGGTGCAGGGAGGGCGAGGTTTGGAAGGAGGTCGCGTATGCGTATGGCCGCAACCTTGGTATTGCGTTCCAGGTATGTCTCTCTTGCCCGCACAATCTGCTAGAGACTTACCGCCAACATACATAGCTCGTCGATGACATTCTCGACTACGAGTCCGGAGAAGCAGCCTTGGGCAAGCCCGGAGGAGCCGATTTGAAGTTAGGCCTCGCGACAGGGCCCGCGCTGTTCGCTTGGGAGGAACACCCAGACATGGGACATCTCATCAAGCGAAAGTTCTCCCAAGACGGTGACGTCGAACTTGTGAGTCCACTCTGGTCTTGTGTGCTCGAATCCGAACTTGATAACTGATCATGACAATCATCTAGGCTCGGGACCTCGTGCGACGGTCTTCGGGCGTCGAGCGCACTCGCGACCTCGCGCTCAGACACGCAGATAAAGCGCGAGAGGTGCTAGCCATGCTCCCGGACAGCGACGCGAAGGGTGCGTTGGAGGTCTTGACGGAGCGCGTGGTGAAACGGACGTGGTAGTGAGAGACTATCCACGGAGCGCCAGCCACCGATACTATACACGGACGTTATATTCTCTACACCGCCCGGTAACCTACTCCCACCTCGCTCTATAGCCCGGTTTGTCTTTCTAGACGGGAATGGTCAGCTCGGGTGACTTGCCACTGAGAATTGCATGCGCCAGTGATGTTGCGGCTTGTGCTTGTCGGGGTGTCAGAGGGTACGGTTCGCATGGGCACCGTCACGGCTCAGCCTGGCTCAGTTCGTCTTTTTTTCGTGGTCTCCCAACTTCGTCCAGGCCACGACGAGCATCGCTGTCTTTGGCAAGCGTGAAGGTCAATCTCCCCTTGGATACGATCTTGAAGCAACCGGCAAGCACTGTTCAAGCTCGGAAGACAGCTCAACATGGCTAGGACGACAGCTCACAACGCACCATCCGCCCCTCGCAAGCGGGCTCAAGCCTCCAAAGTTGCCTCCGAAGCTCCAGCGGAAGAGAAGAAGATAGGTCGGCCGTCCTCATCCGGCACGCGCAAGCGAGTCAACATCGATAGCCTGGCTGCGCGCCTGGGCCCCGAAGTGGTCAAGGAGTTGGAGGCTCTGATCATCCCCGGCAGCAAGGAGATGCCGTCCTTCACAGCGCGGCAGGCCGTCCAAAAGCAGTTCAACGTGAATCGGCGACACATCTACGACTGGTACCATACGAAGGGACTCAGAGTGGCCAGAGAGGAGACCCGCGCTGAGGAGTTCACGCCGGCGCGCCCTCAGGTAATGGTCTTCTCCTCTCGTCTTCAGGACCTGGCATGACTGACATAAAGCAGAGGGAGTCACGACGCCGCGCTGGGGAGACTTCCACGCCAGACATGACCTTCGACGCCAGCGAAGATGGCGACAGTAGCTTCTCGAGCCCGAATCTCCTCTTGACGCCTGCGCAACACGGAGCCGGTCCTGCTGGTGCATACGGAGACTATGCGCCCTTCGCAAGTGCTGGCGAAGGCACTCTGAACACTTGGTACTACTACTACGGCCCTCCTGCCTCTGGCCGGCCGGAGTTCCAAACCAAGCAGCCATACGTGACGTCCACAAGCACCACGCCTATCATACCTGCTACTGTGAAGACTCCGTCGCAAGGTGGTTTGGGAAGCTCTGGTTCTGGTCAGACACTGGAGGCCGCAGAAAGCATCCAGTACGCGGGGCGCTCTGCAGCTCATGAAGAAGACGAGAACGTCGAACCGGGCCTACCTCCGGATCTCTCTGGTTTACTGTCTGGCTCCGAACGGCAAGCTCTCTATGACAGTCTCTCTGGCATTCTGGGACCTCCGAACGGGTTCGAAGAATCTGTCGGCACATACAAAGCATATATGCAGCGCCAAAGCCAAATTTACTATGAGAGTCTCTTGCCTAGTCCTGCGCCGTCTTCGCTCGTTGGCAATTACGCTTCTGCAACCGCAAACCCTTCCATTCTGCGCGCTTCGCAGACTGGACTAGGCATTGGCTCGCTCGCTCAGCAGAACGTTCCTGGCTCTATTGTCCCCGCACCGTACACCATGCAACCACTCGTCCTGCCCCTGGCTGCGCATGGGACTTCTCAGTATCAGCAAGACGAGACTTGGAAGCCGAGCGGCGGATCTACGCCCGCTAACTCGAGCACTGGTCCCCCTTCCCTTGGCTATCCTGAGACGCCGTCTTCCGCGAGTGTGACTCAGTCCAGCTTCGGCACTCCCCATGGCTTCGCGCACGCTGGCACCGCCCTCGAGCTCGGCGATATCCTCGAGAGTCCGCTCCTCAGGTCCCGCAACCCGAGCTCGGTCGGGCATGCGCTGTATGCGGTCAACCCTGTCCAGGCCCATCCGTGGTACCCCGCTCATGCGTACGTGGAGATGGTTGGACATCAGGCTGCGAACCCTGTCTATCACCCTGCTATGCCGGCTCGTGTCCCGACTTGGCAGCCTGCGTATATGCCACCGGTTCCGACCGTCTCTGCGGCCTCTACGTCGGGTGGTCAATGGGAGCGCGGGCACTTCATGGCGATGTTACAAGATGCTATACCTGCGCCTGCGGAGTCTCCGGCGATGAATCAAGAGATGAACAAGAACAAGAAACAAGACTCAGCTGGGCAACACACCAGCCGGACGAGGACTGAGTCTCGCGGGATGTGAGGCGCAGACGTCAAGTGCCCATCCCCAAACATCGTATCTCGTCAACCCCTTCCGACTGTCTCATGGTCTGTTATCCTCGGATGTTATTACGCGGTATCCTTCGCTTGCCTTTCGTCGAATTAGGGTATGTCTTCATAAAACTCGTCGTATGGTTTCTTTGGCCCTCATGGTTACAGGAGTAACCTTGGCCGTTATACGATTTTTCTCTCGAGCTGTTCTTTCTCCTCTTGCACTGTACTAGCGGACATGTCCTTCATTGGGCGTGTGTTCCTCGTAGTGTCTATTGTAATGTCGTCCAACGATAATGTCAACATAGGATTCGTTTGTACGGCGCTGGTACCGGCCGTTTGGGCACTGTTGCCGACGATATGTGAGTGTGATTCCGCTCCTATTCATATGGTGCACTCAACTTGAAGGTGCACCGTGTCGATGTTCCTCACGCATGCGTTCATGCTTCTACGCTGCATAGGTCGCGATGCGGCAAGGCTGCGGAAGATCCACCTTCACATTTCGTTTCGCTGTTCGCGAGCGTCGGGTGCGTTCTTGTCGTCATGATGCACATGATACATTGCCCACTCAGGCAGGCGACATATCGTATGCGTCAAGTACTTCGCTTCTCAACTGTCCATGTTATATGACTATGGAGCATCATCAGTTCGGTGACCGGCTCGCGCTTCTGGTACGGATGTCGATGCGTATAAAAAGCTGATGATCATCGTCGTAGGACTCTCCTCTCTCCTCTCTATGACACTCGACTGCTCGCCCCCTTCGCAACTCGTATCCGGATAGTTGCCATATCCGCCAAGTACTGTAGTGGCAGCATGTGCGTCTGGGCTCCGACAACTTGTCCTTGGCTCGGCTGCGGCGTGACAAACATGGTGACCGGTCCCCCGGATGATGTCTAGATCGGTCTTCGTTGCCTGTTGGGTCCCCTGGATTGGTTGCTCCGTGCTGCCTATGCCTCCGGAGTCCGAGCCCGATGAGCATAGCATAGCAACCTTGGTACGTTGCTATTCTGCATTCTTACTGCAGCCACACTCCAAAAATCCTTTCCACAGTTTCCACAACAGAGACGGTCCTCATGCGCCCCATCACTGTCAGACTCTAGGGCCAATTACCTTTCGCAGCGACGCGTCCCGCATGTGATCGTCGTGCTACCACGCGTTTAGGCTTCAGAGCGGCGGAGCGCTCGGATGACCAGCCCCGTCTCTCGTCTCTTCCGCCATATGGTCCCCTCGTTCTGCCCTGGCTAATCACCAGTAACGTCTCTTGGCTGGGAACATGAGAGGCACCTCGCAGGCAACCCTATGACCCAGAATGCCGGTGGTGATCGATATTCCTATTGACAGCATCGTGATGCTAGTGGCGATGCGCTCTATAGGACTTGACTGCAGTGTGTGCGCAGGCCCATGACGAGGGCGCTGCAGCGTGGACAGTTGCGGGTGCACAGCTTATAAGGACGCGTCGGCCTGGATAGTGCCCCTCCAACCCTGCTGTCTGCCAGTGCTCGACATCCGCTCCTTCTTTTCCCCACTTCATTCGTCCTTTACCAACCATGCTCTCCGGGGCCCTGTTCACGGCTTGCCTTCTCGGCACATTCGTCGCCTCCGCGCCTGGCGCACTGTCTCTAGTGCTCAACAGGAGGGCGGTAGCCGGCCCTACCATTGACCAGGACTTCCCCGATCCGGGCCTGTTGCGCAACTCGGATGGTGTATGGTACGCCTACTCGACCAGCTCTGGGGGCAAGAACATTCCTGTGGCTAGGTCCACGGACTTCAACACTTGGACCATCGTCGGTGAGGCGTCATTCTCCTTCGCGTACTTGCTGTCTGTGTTGAATGGCCGTTCGGCGCGTCCTAGGCGATGCCCTCCCGGACGCTGGTGGCTGGGTTGACTCCAGCGACTCCGGCCTCTGGGCCCCTGACGTCAGGGAAATTTCCACTGGGAACTACGTGATGTACTACAGTGTTAAGCCGACTTCTGTAAGTCACTTGTAGTATGCGCACCTTTGACGCTCAAGCGCTCACCACTGACGCTTCCGTGCTGCCAGGCGGCTCACCGTTGCGTTGCAGCCGCTACAGCCACCTCGCCGACTGGCCCTTTCACGGCGCAGAGCGGCCCCCTCATCTGTGATGACAGTGAAGGTGGTGTTATCGACATCTCCGGCTTCGAGGCGCCCGGCGGGGGCCTCTACGTCGTCTGGAAAGTCGACGGAAACTCTATCGGCAGCAGCAACACCCCGATCAGGTTGCAACACGTCGGCGCGAATGGCTATACCCTTAACGGCGACGTGTACACTCTGATTGACCGTGACGCCGCCGACGGCCCGCTGGTTGAGGCACCTTCTCTTGTTTACTGGGACGGGTGCGTAAATGATGTAGGTTCAGTGGTGTGGGATGCTCATGACAGTTTGTGTAGATGGTACTACCTCTTCTTCTCGTCGAACATCTACTCTTCGACAGCCTACGACATCTCGTATGCCGTCGCGCAGAGCGTCACGGGCCCGTATACCAAGGCCCAGTCGCCAAACGCGCCCTTCCTCGTCACCGGCGATGACGGACTAACCGCGCCCGGTGGCGCAACTGCCATTAACGTCCTCGGTCAGTCCGACCTACCACTCCAACTGTTACGTCCGCTCATATCTCCGTGTGTCCGCTTTGCCTTATTATGCAGACCAATACGTCAATATGGTCTTCCACGCTGATCTAAACGGCCAGAACATCGATGGCGGCCGCGGCATGTACACCGCTGCCAGCATCTGCCTGAGCGGGGGTGTGGCTAAGGTTTCTTGCTGAACGATGTCGACTCGCGGGGGCCCTTTCAATTAATGTTGAGCGGCCTCCGGATGTATAATAGGAGACTCGCGACGTAAATCTTGGGTAAAGGTAATATGGAAGTTTCACGGAACGAGGGATGCGCACAGGTCATTCTTCGCTTCGTCAATTATGCATATTCTTTTGGAAGGGCGACGCTCGACGGAGAGGCGGCGAAGTGTCGGTGGGAGAGGGAAGATGCGTGCTTACTCAGAGGCATGTGTGTCGCAGACAGTCCCACAATCATCATGACAATTACAATGGCTGGGATGATGCCTTGTAAATACGGGCCGGGGAAGCATACGCTGAGGGAAGATCATGGTCCTTCCGATGAATACAGACCATATGCTCAGGGGCACCAAGTACATGTTATTCCAGTACGTCACGGAGCCGATTGGTGCTCGTCAGTCTAAACGTTCCTTCGAACCGGGCTTATGCTGTGCAGTGCTACTATAATCACCCGTGTTTTCTTCAGGCAGACTGTATGTGAGCAACGAAGGTCAGATGGTTGGCCGACGCGCCAATGACATTGCTATATGCACGTTATTTGAACCATATTGTACTTCGTCCAGAGACCGTATTTTTGAACCTCGAGATAAACACTGCTTCCACCGAGGTCCACCGGTGCCATTATGTTCGATCGTCGGGTTGTTCCACTCCCTAGGCATGGAACCGTCGATGCATGGACCCAGATAACCACGGTCATTCCATTCGTTGACATCCAGCGGAGGTCGGTGTGGACGACATTGACACCGTGTACCACTATAACTCCAGTCTGACGAACAGAACTTTCCATTTTCACACATCTCTGCCATACTGCCCTACACGTTCAAAGCATGGCGGATGCCGTCACGTCCTCTGCCAACCGCTGACGTTGGGCGCGAAGCGTGCCCATCGCGCGTGGTCGTGCCTCTTCGTGCCTTGAGGTTCGGGCTTCGCTTCATGACTTGATCACATATGTGTCCGCTAGTAACTTGTCGTGCGGTCTCTGCATGCGTAACACTGACTCCAGCTCGACCTTCAGTGTTACATTGACTCGGAGGGCGCCCGCAGCTCGCGGTGTGACGCCTGTCTATTCCGAGAACTGGCCGGATCTAATCAACGAGCGTCGAATCCGAGGACGCACAAATTTGAACTCGCACCTGGAAACACTCGGGGTTGTGAGCGGGAAGAAGCACGCTTCGGTGCAATATCCCATTCATAGTCGGGCGGTTCGCTTGGAACGGCGTCGACCATCGAAAGTTGACCATTGAATAGCCACCTGAGACGCGGGTGTCATGCGCTCTCTGATCCAGGCCCAAGGGGATGTCTGCAGACACGACACGCTGCAACATCGCTCGAGGAAAAGAGGGGTCTGACCAGGGCCGGCGACAAGCACACCATAGCCTGAAGGTTACGATGACAGAGCCGATTGAAAGTTCGACGCTACCGCGGCAGTATAGAGGGCTGCTTCTCGCTGGAGGATCGAGCACTTCATGATCCGCGGCGTCTACCGTGGATCGCGTTGCAGAGTGAATGGGTAGGCCAGGCCACTGCGGAACACAATCGTGGTACTGGTATCGAGATATCGATGTCAGTCGGAGGGTCTCGAGGACGCATCGAGGCAAGCAGAACGCAAGAATCCAGCATAGGAAGAGTCGACCGAAGCGCTCTGCATGGGTTGCCAGAAGCTCGAGGCGACCGCACACGAAGGCGAGAAGCTGGTTTTGAATGGCTCAGAGACAGGGAAGCGGCAGAATCGATATCTTGGTGAATGCGGCGCGATCGTCCATTCAACACTAGCTAGCGCGGGAGGGCGATGGATCGTAGGTCGTTCCATAGTCGATGTACACGTTCGATGAGAGTTGACTTCCCTTGGGGAGTGGGTGATCACCTGCCAAGCAGCAGGTTGAGTCCTATTGAAAGAGCAGGTCGGCAGCCAGGGGAGAACGAGAGAAGCATAAATGCTCAATCAGCCTGGTGGTTCAAGACACATTCGTCAACGGAAGTGGAGACGCAAGTATGCATAGTTGCAGAACGCACAAACCTTCTACAGCCACCGACGACAACGCGCCGTCCCGGTAACGACTGGCTGTGCCCGTTCGTAGTGGAGACCACATCTAGCCGCCGAGTATGATCCCAGCCTAGAGCGGCTCGTTTCAAGGATGAGATAACGGAGATGAAAGGCTTCTCCATCCTTATCTTCATAGCATGGTTCAAGTATTGGTCGTGTGTTTGAAAACGATGACGAAGAGCTGAAACAGCTGACTTGGTCAGCCATTTCCAACAGGTACATGCCGACCTACCTGGCCCCCAGGGTTTCGTATCCTCGTGCGTATCAAGGTTCGAGCGTCCAGGAAACCGTAACTTCTCTGAAGGCTTTCAGGGATTGTCGGTGTACGTTGGCGGGTTCGTGTGGTCGTGGGATTCCTGCGGTACAGTCCTGCCAAAGTGAATTCCAAACAGGGTTCAGACGTCATCATTATGAGCTGCGAAAGTCGCGATATCGACGCGAAGTTTGACCGGTATTTTTCACCTGTAGCAGCTACATCTTCAAATATCAAGGGATCCCTGGGGAGCCCGTCGTATGGGCTGACCCTATACCGATAAGGGCGGCGTGCCAGTGACAGCGGCTGGTGTTGCAATACAGCCAGAAGGGAGAACATCGCGCGCGGCTCGGACGCTGGAAGGTCAGGAAGACCAACACACGTTAGCCTGGACCTGTCTCCACCTCGCTGTCCGTTAACCTCAAGATGTCTTGGCTTCCGCTCTGGCTACGGACGGCCGGACGCAGATGGCTGCGGGCGGATATGACTGGAACAGACAATCTGAAGTCAACATCGCTCCAACATACAGGCTGTTGCATGCGGTGCGTGTCGGAGGGAGGTTTCATCCCGAACCGTGCCCGAGAGTTCAACACCGCGCAGAGCAACGGACGCCCCGGTGGCAGTCAGACTACTGTATACTGATGAACTCACCGATGATGCACCAGAACATCCGAGCGTTGCCTGGAACGCCGACGACACGCGTGTCAGCGTCGCGAGTATCGATGACGAGGGGAACACGCTTTCGATGACGCGTGGACTGTCGGGCTTCAGCTGGAGGGCTTTCGTTCAGCCTCGACAACCACCGAACCACGTAGATCACAGACCTACTTTCTTTCAAGCCCTTCGAGGATATCCTGATCAAACCCCGATCCATCGTGCCGTGCTAGTCTTTGCACATGTTGTCCTTCGCAGACCAACCAGCATGGCACGGGCGCGTCGTGCATCAGGATCGAGCTGGATTGTGCCTGGAAATGTGGCCCGCCTCTCTTCGGCGATCGTCTGCATCAATAGCAAAGTCCTAGCTCCGTTGCGGCGCATCAGGACGGAGTATCCTTGATCGGCGGGGTCACAAGCGCAGTAGCTCGGGCGATGACGCACGCCGTGCGGGATCCCGAGATTGAACATCTCATGTCCGTCCGGACATCGCCTTGAAGGAAAGATGATCAGTCCGAGGCAGAGTGCTCCGGAGGCTGCTGTATCACGCACTATTCGATCACTATCAGCGACCCACTGGCAGAGCAGTTGGAGGCGTAGGAGATGAACCTGCCACCCAGTATGTGACGCAACCGTGTTTGTTTTCTTTTACAAACTGCGTTCGAGGCTGTGCATGTTCATCTGCGAAGCTCGCAGATGTATTCCTGTTCGGATAGTGAGGCGCGGCATAGATAAGAGGGCGGCGTTGACTTACCAACTGACATCATGACGACCACAATGTCCGCCTCATAGCAATGCCACTAAGTACTGATACTATATCAGCTATGTGGCAGACCACAGCACACGAGCGGCCGCGTCATGGCGAGCTTCTCTCGATAACAGTCGCAGGTGCATCAACTGAGGCGACTTTGCATCACTTTGTGCCGTTTGCGGCAACACGCGTCCGAGCGAGAGGTCGTGTAGCCTGCCTCGCGGTGTCCGCCTTGCACGCCAGCGCGTCGCAGAGTGCAGCGTGCCGGCCAAGCTCGCTGTACCTGGTGGAATCTCCGCAGGACGGAGCCTCATGTTCGTGGCTCTGGATCAGCGCGAATTCGAGAACAGCGCGTCGCTGGACAAGGCGCACTCACGAATGGGGTTAGAACCTGCTGTTGAATGCAATCACGCGCTGTGGGACAACATAGCGTCGTACAAATCCACCTAACTTGTAGGTTGTGCCGCATACACGCGATACACGTGTGTGGACCAGCCGTAGAGGAGCACAAAGATAGCAGGCACCGTTGTTGAGTCGCTGCTGTTCGCGCAGCCTAGAATCCGGCCACCTTGCCGTTCATGAGCGGGAAGCTCAGGCCAGCGGAGCGGCAACTGCACATCGGTGCTGGACAACGCCGCATATGCTCACTCAGCTCCCGGATCTCACAAAGGGCGCACCCAGGACAGATTAGATACGAGTCACCGAACCGTCGAAAGCCCGGATGCTGTGTATGTCTGAACGTTGAACTCTACTATCGAATGAGACCCCGGCCTTCTGCGAGTCTCGAGTTGTCATCCGAAAGACAGCGAGGCCGAGCAGCTGGAGAGTTTTGCATACCGAAATGCGCCCGACATGACACTCACCGATGAATTTCGACTGGTATTCTTGGATTTTCGGGGTACGGCGAGGGATGCGTCTGACATGATCGCCGGGGACACTCCTGGGATCAGGCAACATGGTACGCGCGTCAGGGAGGCGAACAGCCAGCTCGCGGCGTGCAACGCCAGACATCCCAGTTTGTCAGACAGCCTGGGATACGAAGGCAAAGGGTTCCCGGTGGGATCGAAGCGCGAGACGCTTGTTCCGCGAAAGGTTACGCGGTAACACCGGACTGCGTAATACGAGGTCTTCGGGAGCAGACGCTGTGAACATTGACGGATGGGTCTACCCAGCGAGCAGATACCAGGGAAAGATTACGATACTGGACAGCTCGTCGGACCCGGACCCTGTGCGCCACTGAGAAAACCGACAAATGCGGGCGAGGAGGATCGCGCTGGATGAAGGTTCGCTCGGGCTCTGAGTGGCAAAACAAGCATCAGAGCGGGACAGTTCATCATGAAAGCGGCGCCCTGGTACTCTTGGGTTCGATGGGGTGAGTGCGTTGGCGCGAACGCGTCGACAGACGACGATGATGAGGGATCTCGCCGGGTCTTGTTGCGAGTCTGGATGGCTTAGCGTTGGTGTGACGGACATGAGGCAGCGTCCTGGGGCGATAACTGTGTGGATGATGGTATCATAGCATCATGAATACAAGACGGACAGAGACAGAACTGGATTGAATGAGGATAGCGCACGAGGAGGATACGCGGGTGGGAGGGCTAGGGAGGGAATGGAGGGCTGGGGCGACACGCCGCGGGCGGGTGGTTGGAAGCGACGAGGGAGGACGGTCAGCAGACGGGCACGCTCTGGGCCGCTGGGGGGGAAGGCAGCGAGGGCAGCGACTCGCCGCGAGGGACGACGGCGCAGGGCACCGCTCGGCCACTCCCGAAGCGGGCCACGCTGCCATATTTAGGTAATCGCTACTTATCGGCCAATTGGCGGCGATGCATTAGCCGCCCAGCGAAGTCGCGGAAACGAAGGAAATAAGGAGACAGCCGAGCTCAGAGTGGCGTCGCCCTCCAGCCACATATCCCCTCCCCGTCAACGCGTCTCCCCTCCCCTCCCCTCCGCCGCCCAGCCCCCGACCGATAGCAAGTCCCGTCCGGTCGCACAGCGTCGCCTCGAGGCACCCTACATCATACATGAATGTCGCGTGGGCCGGAGTGCACTGCAGTTCTGCCTCTTTTCTCACACCGGCTCAACCAAAGGTATAAGCTTCTCCCACTCGTCACCCGCCCGACCCGCGCTGACCGTGCATACTTCACAGCTCGCCAGCTCGCCACCCAACGTCCGAACCCCCATGGAGCGACGTGGCCGCTCCCGGGATGTCTCCCCCATCGCGCTCGCCCGCAAAGCGAACGAAGACGCGGTCCGAGCGCGAACAGCAGCGCTGACACAATCACCATCTAATCCTCATTATCTCTCCCCACACGACGCGTCGTTGCCACCCAAGCCACGCAAACGCGCCACACCTCCCGACAACATGGCCACCCCTGCACACCCAGTGGCATCCTCCTCCCGTCTGCCACCCACATCTTCCTCCCGTCCGCCACCCGCACCTTCATCCTCGCTATATCCTCCTCTTGCTGATCCCGCAGACTCGCCGCCTTCCCGAACCAACTCCTCCAGCACCGTCGCGTCGGTCTCGCCCGAACCCACCCCGCTTGGTCCGCTGACCCCTCCGGACTACATTGATCCGTTCTACAAACATTATTACCACTCACCTTCAGCCACAGTGGATTACTTCGACCGCCCGCCCTCTCCACCTCGGTCCTTGAAGGACCAGATGCAAGTCGCATATGCCCTCGACGACATGCACTTGGCCAAGGTCCTCTACCTCAGACTCCAAGGCGTCGAGGTCACTGGCGACGACGACCCTCGCATAGCTGCCGTCAAGGACGAGGACTTCTCCACGTCGTTTGTCCCGTGTGGCAAACTCGAGTTGGACGAGAATGTGGCCCGTCGATGTCGAGAAGAGGAGCGGAGGGAGCGGGAGAGAAGAAAGCGGGCGCAGCGGGAGGCGAGGCTACGCGCATGCGAGCGTATATGGGAGGTCAACGCTGCATGGTTGCGAGAGGAGAGTGCGAAGGTGGCGAGGCGGAAGGAAGAGCAGGCGTCGTGGAGAAAGCGACTGTCGAGGGAGGCTAGGGAACGCGAGCGTGAGCGTGAGAGGGAAGCGAGAGAGCGTGAGCTCGAGACGCTACGCCACACCAGACAGGTGCGGTTCAGCGCCCTGACACAGCGGCCATTACTCGATTACAGCACCCTGTCCCACGAGCGCTCCTCCCAGCGACCCTCACCATCCCGCTCCCTCGAGGAGGACCCCCTGCAATACTCGCTCATGCCATGCAACATCTCCCACCATTCCCCGCCTACCCCCCACAGCGTCTCTCCTCCCGATCACAACTCTCTTACCCTCCAGCGCCTTCAGCACGAGTTTGCGCTGAGTCTCAGCCGCACGGTGCGTTTCGCCGAGGTTGTGGCCAGCATGCACGGTCCGCTGTTCCCGAAGGACGATGCCCCGACCCATCGATCGCAGGCTCGCATGAGCCGATCTCAGCGGGAGCTCTTCGACAGCCTGTTCGACTCGGATGACCGCGAGGACGAGCGCGCGCTCGCCAAGGGGAAGGCACGAGAAGGTCCGAGGGCGAAGCGGGCAAGCATGCAGGCTGAAGCCATTGGGCGGGGATGCGTCGCATGCTCATTGGGCACGCGATCTTCATCGTCCGTCCCTGGAACCGGGTCGGCGATCTCCTCATCTGCATCGACCATCACCCGGTCCAACTCTTGGTTCTCCTTCGGTAGCCGTAGTTCAGTGTCCACCGCTCTAACGACGCCTTCCTCCTCCCTGCTCTCCTTCAAGTCCCCCTCCCAATCGTTATCGCCTATCTTGCCGTCCTCTGTCCTCCACACGGAGCCGGAGTCGATTAGACACTGCTGCCATCGCGCCCTTGAGCGGGTCCCTACGTCCGACGACCCATTGCGCCCGGCTGCCTCTGCCTCTGCGAACCACCAGAGGGAAGCAGGGGATGCCACACCCAGCCGTGGCCGTGCTCGCACACGAGGCTCCGGCCGGCTTGCTTCCATACCGGAGTTGCAGTTGGTAGAAGACGGGCTGGTGAAGCGAGTAGGCCGCTCAGTCTCGACGCTCATGGACATGGCGGCGCAGTTCCAAAGGGCATACGTGAAGGCCACGCTGTTCAGCGTGGGCACCGACTTCTCTCGGTCCCGCTCTGACTCCCGCGGCAGCTCCGGCTCCCGCTCGCCTCCCCGCTCTCCCTGGCGGACCCGGCGAGCCTCTGCACCTCCGCTCATCACCACGCGGCCTGGCAAGCTGCGCCCAGAGGGCTACCGCGCACTCGTCTTCGACGTGACCGTCCTGCTCGGTGCCGCGGCGGACGACGAGCTCTCGGGCGCGCCGCACCCGACGCGCACGCTCATCCCGCTTGCGCTGCGCCTCCCCGGCGCCGAGGGGAGCCCGTGCCACGGCCGCGTCTTCCCCGCGCCCGCGCAGCCCCCGCGCTCGCCGTTCCGCGCGGCGTCGCCGCAGCCCGGGACACCGAGTCACCCGCGGCTGCGCCCCGTCGCGAATCCTGTGCTGCTCCGCCTGCAGGCGCTGCAGAATATCTGCGCGGTGCGCGCGCTCACGTGGGAGGGCCGCCCGCACGAGGGGCGCATGTGCGCGGGCAAGGAGAAGCTCGTCGGCATTGCGTGGGAGGGCATCGGGCGGAGCAGCCTCGGGTGGGAGGTGACCGCGGTGGTGTGTTAATATCGGTGTCGGTGACATACTTTGGGGGTGGACTTTTGGTTCTCTTGCATGAGGCGCGGACTGCGATACTGCGACTCCGCCGCTCTCCCTCCCCCTCCGCCTTTCTACTGGCTGTCGTATAGTTATCACTTAGGTTAATGCTAATCATGTCTGCCCGTATTGACCCCTGCATTGTTGTATCGCCCGCATGCATTGTAGATATCCATGTTTCATAGGAATTTATACCCTCGTGGTCTCATTATGTCTCATCCATGGGTTTGATTCGTGCTGAGGCCTGTCACCAGCAAGGCTCTGCCGCCTGGTTCGTGACGAGGTGAATATATAGGATATCACTATGTGTGGTATGAAGGACAGCAAGAATAAGATACATGCGGTTCACCGGTTCGCTTCAGATGCGTCTCTAATGAACCAAGGTCCCACTCGCTCAATAGGACTAACTGCGTCCCACATCTGCGAGCCACCGCCCCTTCCCCGTTGGCCGAACATCGCTGGTCGCCGGTTAAACGTCCCCCGCATGCCTGGTTGTTGGAACTGCGACACACCCTGCATATTTCCACCCGACAGCATCACGCTCCCGCCACCCGCGCCGCCCAGAGGCGGCATGGGCTCGTAGCTGCCCGGTTGTGGGCGGGAGTTGCCCATCGCGCCTGGGCTCTCCGATCGTTGCAGGAAGGGCGAATGCCGCCTGTCGAGCACGGCGAGCTCGCGCGCCTCGTCCGCCAGCCAGCCGTTCGCCTCTGCCGAGGCGCGGTCGATCCCGAGGAGCTTCCGCAGCTCCTCGTTCTCCTGGCTCAGCCGTGCGATCTCCGCCTCCCGCTCGAGGGCCCAGTCGTCCCGCCCGAGCAGGCTGTCGAGGAGCTCTTCCTCGCTGGGCCCGCCTTCGGATGACGGGCCCTGTTCTTGACTATGGTCGGAGGGCTCTGGGTCTTCGCCGCTCAGACTTCGGAGAAGGGCGCGGAGATTTCGTGCGAGTTGAGAGAGGGACTCGGTGACGGCGGTGTTGCCGGACAGATCCGCTTGTATAAGGGACGTCTCGCGTGCCATGATGAGACTCTCGTAATGTTGTGCGAGTGTGAGCTCGTGTCTTTGCGAGGCCAGCTGGTAGACGTAAGCATCAGACAATGAAAAGTCCGTATACAGGACCGGGCACATACAGCGTGGCTTCGAAATTTGGACATGATGGTCTCCATGGTCTGTTCATACTCTTTTAGGAGCAGGCTGAGCTGCCGGTTCTCATGCAGCAGCGAGTGGTTTTCGATGATAATCTGCGCGTTTGCCCGCTCCAGTTCAGACTCGAAGACCTCTGCAGCCGGGCACAGCGACTGAGCTTACGTCTAGCAGCATACGATACGTGTCACACACCTCTCGAAAGATCGACGTTGAACCGCCTGAGAGACACCCCGCTTGATACATGGGCAGCTTCGTCCTAGATCACTTCGCCTTTATGACAATGCAGCTGCCGCGACGCGGGGGTGCCCACGTACCTTCAGCGTGCTGGCCTGTGTCCGGAGCGCGTTCGAGAGCTTGAGGTTATGCGCGTTCTGCTCGCTCAGCTCGTGGAGGAGCTGCCATGCACGGACCAGGTCCGTGTCGGTGTCGTGGTACATGGTGAAGAGGGTAGCCAGGGTGAAAGACTGGGGGCGACTGCTCAAGCCGAGCAGTACACAGTGGCCGCAGCTTCTGAGAGGCGCTTCGAGACTGGTCACATTGTCTATCAGGCTTCTCTTCTCACTGAGAACACACGCGATACTCACGAATGTCTATGCTGTACTGGCAGTACAGGTACTCGCTAGCGTTGCAATGCTTGAAGTTGTCGCTGGTTGCGCGCTTGGCAGGCTGCGTACCGATTGACGCGGGCAGCCTCAAATTGCTATTTACGGTAGGTTGGATAGTGTCCCGACATTGTCCGTCCAAACAGCCAGTCGACACGGGTCCGTCAGTGCATGCAACGGCGCCGCGCTTGGATAGCCAGCACTGCTCCACGGAATGCGTGCGGTTTCTCGCAATCCACTGAGTAATAAATGAGGCAGACAGGCGACCCGCGCCGCCTTGCAGGCTTTTCTGTGTTGATTATTTATTGCGGAATTGGCGAGATAGTGGCGTGCGAAAGGGTTCTGCGACTGATGCCTGGGTGCAGAGGACGGCTGCTGCTCAGGCTCTTTCGCTCACCGTCTCCTGGCTATCTTCTGCTGTACAACACCATCCCCTCATTCGTTCCTCCTCCAAAGGCTCCCGCCCGCCTAATATTACGACTGCCCCTTAACCCCCGCCGCTGCCCGACCCGTCGTCCTGGTCCGACCCGTCAGTTGTCATCAACTCGCCCCCATCACCCCTCGACTACATCGAGTCGTCCAACTGCGTAGCCATGGCCACTTCCCTCTCCCAGCTTTCGGCGTGTGTCACACGCATCCTCTCCCTTACGGGCTTCCCGAAGGAGCTCAAAACGAAGGACATCCAGGCGGCGTTCGCCGATTGGGAGAACGTGAACGGGGGATTCAAGATTAAGTGGATTAACGACACGAGTCTCTTAATCGTATTCAACGATGCTACAGCCGGTGAGTTATTTCTGGGCCACATGTCTCCCCGAGGAGAGGTTGGTCGATGAGCGTCGGCGTCGAAACTGACCCACTTCACCTGCACAGCCAAACGCGCTTACCTCCATGCATTGGCGTACCCTCCTGCCGCCTTCAACTCCCCTAACTCGACGCAGACGGCGGTAGTGAAGCCATATGACGGCCCTGACGCTCAGGAAGTGATCAAGCATGTCAACACGCGCCAGCACAACGGCAACGGGCGCGGTCACAACGTCCGCAACTCCGTTTCGCACAACCGCGGCGTGTCTGTGAGCCAGCGGGCGGGGAACAACAACGCCAACGCGAACGGCTCTCCGCGCGACCGCGAGCCCTCGCCTACACTCCCGAACCTCCCCTCCCACCCGACTCTGAACGCCCTCATTTCGTCCTCGCTTGGCAGCGATGTTACGTCCGTCGACCCTACCGTAAATGACCCAGCGGTTGTCGTCGCAATGCCCGACCACGGTGCCCCGCGCATCGGCGACCCCGGGAAGAGGATGTTGGGTGCTGCGCTGGGTGTCAGGCACCCCGGCCTCCCCCCTCGTGTCGTAAGCAACGGTATGGCGGAGATGCAGCGGGCGATGGGCGAGCTGATTGTCGCGGAGTAAAGAAGCTACCTCCCGGCAGACAAGAATATACGGGCTCAGGAGGATTCGGATTGGTATGGATGGCAATGGAGCTGCGAAGACTGGCATCGGTCGAAATCGTTTGTCGTATCTTCTGCACACATTCTGCGACAATGTCGTCTTTTCGTGTTACTCTCTCGACTAATCACTGGGCGCGGGGCATCCTGCGGTGTTGTTACGTTCCCTTTTATTCATCCGCTTCCTCACGTTTCTACATTGAATCTGTAGGATAGGCTAGTATTGGTCGGCAGAACCGGCTGCAGCCGTGCGTTGTAGTGCGAATTCTATACGCGGTATTTGCTACGACCCTGGCTCCGCCTATAAGGAAACATGCCAAGGGATGTTTACAGTCCACTTGCATCCAATGTTGTACTAGCTACAACGTGCCTACTGTAACTTTGCAACGCACGAGGCTCGGCGATGCACACGAACAAATCCAAGCATTTTCGTTTAGCATGCCAGCAAGGTGTATGCGTGCGCCTTAGTAGCTGTCGGCATCATCCATAAGTGAGTATGGTACATACTATGCTACCCATGAAACAAATGAAGCTGCCACTGGCACTAGCTTACGGTGAATGAGACTATGAAGGAACAGACCACTCATGTTCTGCACACACATTCCCGCCATGCGGTGTGGACGTAGAATAGGCAATTAATGGCAATCTCATAGGCTTGTTGGACGAGCAGAGCAAGTTGAGTTAGCTCACTCGAGGCGCTCCCCGATCGCCATCTGAGATCTGGTATTCACCGAAGATGTGCTTCCGAGTGATTGCCCACTGAATCCACGCGAAGTTAGACAGGTCGCAGACGGTCTCTGCGAGATTTCTCAACGCAATTGCTTTATGTTCAATGGTGGTACTTTGCGATGCTGCACAGTGCAAGACCAAGTTCGGTGTTGGGGAGAAGGCGGTACCGGTGTGCCTGCCCCATCTCGATCGTCACGCTACGTAAAGACACGTGGCCCGTTGTGGCGATGGCTTGTACGGTACCGGCCATGCTCAAGCCGCACGTCCCCATCTTCACCTCGTCGCGAACTACGCCCGTATGTCCCTCTCCTCAACTCCCAGCTAGCTGCTTGCTCAAGTTCTGCAGCTGCCGGAGCGAGTCCGTAGCAGACGACCACCATGTCGCTCAAGGCGTTGCTCTACGCCTACATTCTCGGGGGAATCACATTTATCCCGCTCCTGGTCCTGGGAGCCATCTGCTACACGGTCTACACGGCGGTCCCAGTAGAAGAAGCTGAGGCCAAGAAAGCCCCAGAGCCAGTCGAAGCGACAGACACTCCTCCGGACCCCCCGTCGACTACCGCGGCGCCGTCTCCATCCGATGTCAATGACGCGCCCAGGGTACGCAAAGGCTGGCTTACCGTCCGAAGGACCTTCGAAGAACAGCCCTCGGACTCGTCCTACGTAGACATGGTGCGTGGCTTCCTCGATGCGCGGTCAAAGGACGCACGTCGGTCGCGCCCCAAGGACATGTGGTACGTCGTCCTCAAGGGAAAGGTCCTCTACCTATACGAGGACGAGAGCATGACCGAGTGCGAGGCTGCGATCGAGCTCACCGGGCACGACGTCGTGATCTACCCCGAGGGCCTGCTCGACGGCGAGCTGTTCTCACGGCGGAACGCGATCTGTTTCAAGCCGAAGGTACCGCCTCAGAGCAAGGAGATGCCCAGCGTGACAAAGGAGATGAAGCTAGGTGAAGAGAACGTCGAGGAGAAGCTCGAGGAGACCAGTGGCAGCTCGAAATCGAAGCAGCGGCAGCGGGAGCAGATCTTGGAGGCTGAAAGGCGGAGGGAGGAAGCGCGGGATCAGGCACTGGACTTGTCGACGCCGTGGTTCCTATTCGTCAAGAACGTCGTGGATATGGAGGACTGGTACCATGCGCTCGTGCATGCGTCGGACAACCCAGCGAACTCGGGTACGCTGGCTCCGCTCGAGGCCGTTTTCCAAGCGGAAGACATGTCGCATCTGGTATCAACGCTGGACGAACAGCCGGACGTCATTCCGATGCGATGGCTGAACGCCATCTTGGGTCGAATATTCTTCAGTTACTATCGTACACAGGTACTGGAGTCGTACATCATCGGGCGTCTCATGAAGAAGATCTCGAAGGTCAAGCGGCCCGGCTTCCTCTCAGACATCAACGTCAGGGAGGTATCTGTCGGGAATAAAGCGCCGACGTTCAGCAAACCTATGCTGAAGGAGCTCACGAAGGAGGGCGACGCTTCATTCGAGTTGCATATGCAGTACAAAGGAGAAGTGCGAATCACGGTGGAGGCCACTGCCACAATCAACCTCGGCGCCCGCTTCAAGACGTACACCGTGAAGCTCGTGCTGGCCCTGGTGGTTCGGGAGGTGGAGGGCAATCTGCTAGTGAAGGTCAAACGACCACCGAGTAGTCGGATCTGGTACGCATTCACGCAGATGCCGAGGATGGTCATGAGCGTCGAGCCCGTCGTGAGTGACCGACAGATCACCTGGGGTATGATCCTGAGCACAATCGAGTCCAAAGTACGCGAAGTGGTATGTATGCGTATCGTTGAGCTCTGCGATATCCGTCGCTGACTGGTCATCAGATTCAGGAGTCGGTGGTGCTCCCCAACATGGATGACATCTCGTTCTTCGAGAGCATCAAGTACGAGCACCGAGGAGGCATCTGGGCGGATGCATCGCGCGCTCACGCAGATCCGCCTTATGAGCCCGGGCAGGAAAATGACGATGACAGCAAATCCACCGTATCCGCGTCCGGTGCAGAGCTGTCGAAGCCAATGGCTACGGACCCCGAGCATCCTCCCGTGCAACGCTCGCACTCCGCTGAAGAGGCAAAAACGGAGGCGAAGATTGTTGATAACTCCCAGGAAATCGTCATGGATTTGCACCGGACGACAACTGCAGTCAGCTTGCCCAGTTCGCCCGCTGCGAATTTGCCGTTGGCAAATCGGCGCCGTACGTGGGTTGGCTCGCCGAACGGAAAGGAGGACGGTGCGGGAGAGCTGAAGGGCGATGATCTCAGCGACTCGGATCGACGGGGGAGGACTCCAGAGTCGGACCACACCCTGACGCGAAGGTCAAGCTCGACACCCATCGCACCGTTTGATGACACCACACCGCAACCGTCGGAGGCGCAGCAACTACAGGAGGACTACCTCGCCCCGAGTGTCGGTCGTCGGTCGTCTTCACAACACTCTCAGTCGTCGTCGCGGGGAACATCTGGTTCTGCAACGGACGACGATTCCACAGGAGCTGCTGGCGATTCGTCCTCCTCTTCACGGCGCTCGAAGAGTCCCGCTCTCAGTAGCACCCCTAGCCGCAACAACACGACGAGCTCGACAGCAGCCTTCTTGCAGACGCTCAAGTCGCGTGCAGGCGACAAACAGGCGTTGAGCAATACCGCGAAGGAGGCGATGCGCAAATGGGGCGTTAACTGGAGCGGACTCCGGAAGGACAGCACTAACAGCACGACCAACGAGGAAGTCGCGGACGGCGCAAGTGCTCCTCATAGCGAAACTCGCCTGCGCGCGAACTCGGCAGCGCACAAATCACGCCCGAGCTATGCAGAGGTGCGGGCGGCCGTGGAGCAACGGAAACAGCACGAGGGCTCGCTAGGTGCAGACCTGCGCTCGGACCCCATCTCCATACCTGAAGGCGGGAAGGGCAAGGAGCGTGCGCGTAGTGTCTCGCCGTCACCAGCAGGCGGGGGCAGCAGCGGCGGCGGGTCGTCCTACCTTGCGCCCCCACCAGGTACCTCGCCCAGACCCGACTCCCGCCCTCCCTCACCGACCATCCCGCTCGAGCGGACAGTCTCGGGGCGCTCCATGCGCGACGGCCTCATGCTCGACGCGTCCGAGGAGCGGCCGCCCGCGCCGATCCACACGCAGCCGCCGCAGGCGAAGACGATGACGATCCCCGGGATCCACGCGAGCCACCGCGGCGAGGTGATGTCCATGGGCTACGCGCCGCCGCCGCCCGCGTCCCCGCCGGAGCAGAAGAAGCCCGCGATCCAGAGCGTGTACCGCCTGTGGAAGGCCCCCAGCGCGTCCGCGGGCCAGACGCCGTCCTCCGAGGTCGCGCAGACGCAGACGGGCTTTGCGGGGCACGACCAGGACGCGGGGGCGGCGGCGCCGGTGTCGACGTCGACGTCGGACGCGCAGGCGCAGCCGGAGGTCGTCTCGCCGAGACCTGTCCCGCCGCCGCTGCCGCCGCGCTCGGTCTCGGGCACGCTGCGGAGGGTCTCGAGTGGCGGGGCTGCTGCGCCGCAGAATGCGAACACGTCGGCGGCGTCTGCCGCGCTGCAGTCTATCGTGTCGAAGGACAGGAGCAAGCGTGCGTCGCTCGAACCTGTCGCGGTCTCAGCACCGCCGTCAGGCTCGGGCTCTGGCGGGGACGCGGCAAGCGCAGGTGTGCCGGCCACGGGGTCGCCTCCGTCCGCGAATTCGACGCCTGCAGGCGCGAGTGGAATACCAGGAAGCTCGCCTGGCACGCCGAAGCCGAGTCCTGTACCACCTGCCCTGCCGCCACGGCGTACACCCGCCGCACCTCCTGCGCCCGCATAGTGCAGACTACTGAGATCGCAAGACTGAGTCGGACTCGGATTGCTACCGATACGTGTTAACACCGCATTCCATCCCACCCTATCGCATCCATCTATTTGTCTTGTCCTGCCGCATTCGCACACTCTGTACTCTAAAACCTGCATCGTACTCGCTCTGGATCTCTATCATACACTCCTCTCACCGTTGGAGGCGTCATAGTGGGAAGCCTCACTGTGTTTGAGATGGGCTTTACGGCATTTGCTGATAGGTATGACGCGCCGAGGACCAGTTGAGTGTTGTCTATCTTTCATCGAAGACAGGATTCCCGCCCCGCACATTTTCGGACACATCCATTGCAAATGTGAACGCATTTCGTTCGGTTCGGGCATCGTGCATCAAACAGCGGATCGCACGCGCGCTCATCTTGCATTTGGCTCTGACATTGGAACGAGCCTGGGCTGCAAGGTGGTATCACGGTGGACTTGCTGGAGTGCGCCGTCGAGCGGCTGAGAAGCCGGCGGCTTGCGAGCTGTGTCCGCGAGGCAGCGAACGTCGACGTCGAGGGGGTTGATCGCAGGCACAAGGGGTTGTGTGCGTCGTACCTAAAAATGACGATAAATGCATGCGATCGCAACCTACCGAGTAGCACTGCTCCTCTGAGAAGAAAGCGTGCGAGGGCGGAGGACTGTTGTGTTATGTGGGCGCTGGTTGCCATGCGAACGGGGAGGATGGCGGGCATCAGCTCGCATCAAACCTTGTTGTGTCTTTGACGGGCTGCGCACGTGGTGCCCCGCCACTGCACTTCTCTGCGGGGTTCGGCTGAATATCAGTACGCGGCCGTCTTCGCCCTTGCCTTCGCCCTCGAGCTCAGCTTGTCCCGCGACGCGCACAGGACGACTTTCCACGCGCGCGACCCACCGATCCATCTAACGAACCTCACGTACACGTCCCACCGACCACGCGATGTCCCAAGCAGGCCTCATCTCACTAGAGCGTCCCGATGAGCGGAGCGACCGCGATCGTCTCTCAGCAGCGACGCACTCGCCCTCGTCCAGCGCCCAATCCCTCGTCATCTCATCCAACCTGCGCGCCGCACTCGAGTACGAAGAACGCATCCGGAACGCAGCATCCCAGGGACCATCGGGCTATGGATCCATCCCCGCAAGCTCGGAATGGGGCGGCGGCCTGCCCCCGCCGCCGCGCCACAAAAGCAGACTGAAGGCGGCGGCACCCTCGTCGCAGACCTCGCCCACAGGCTCGATCTCCCTGCCGCCCTCGCCAGTCGGACCATCGCGTGCAGCAGATGGCAGCAGTGGGCCGAGCGCAAACCCGTATATCAATCCAGTGCCGCGACTATCATACCTCATCCGGGACGAGCCGCCGCTGGTCTTGAATACCAGTGAGCCTGCGGCGGACACGCGGAGCATTGGGCAGGACTCGAGCGACTCGCAGGGGACGAGCTCGTCGCGGACGGTGGACGAGGCGCGGATGTCGCCGACGTCGGGGTCGTCCGGAAAGGGGGACGGGCTGCGGCACCTGCGGGGGCTGTCGTCGCTGCAGAAGGTGGAGAAGATGATCGGGAAGAGCAAGAAGTCGCTGGGGATGATCGCGGAGGGCAATCTGAAGCTGACGTCGGGCCGGCGTGGGAGTGATGCGGACATGCAGGGCAGCGGCGGGCGGGCGGCGCCGGGGCCGGAGCGGCGGAAGGCGGCGAGCGTGCTGTACGCGGCGAGCGCGCCGAACTCGCCGATCAGTGCGCTGACGGTGACGGTGGCGGCGGGGCGGGCGGAGGGGACGGAGCCGGCGGCAGTTGCTGGCGGGGCCGGGGGCTCCCACGGGCGACGGGGGCGTGACCCAGCCGACGCTAGAGGCTCGTCCCGCACACCGCCATCAGTCGCGACGCAGCGGCCCATCAGCATCTCCTCTCTTTCCCCCCGTTCGCCAGCCAGCAGGCCGACTGACATGAACGACGACCGTGTCTCCTTCATTGACCTTGCCTCCCCCACCTTCTCCCCCACCGACGCCCAGAGCCGCTACCCTTTTTCTGCCTTTTCTTCGCCCTACGAGATCCAGCCCCACTCGCGCACCTCCCCCCAGTCCTCCCACGACGACTTCAGCGCACATCCCTACGCGTCCAGGAAGCCCCTCCTCGCGCCCCTCTCCACCGCCGCCAAACCCCCGATACCCACCTCCGCGAAACCCGACTTTGCCTCCAGGCGATCCAAGTCTGCACAGCGGTCTCTGTTGGAACGGCCCAGCCCAGACACGCCCTCGCCCTCCGACTCGTCCCCGGACCATGAGCGCGGCCTGCGCAACCGACCGTCGACGAGCAACCTCCTGCACCCGCACGAGCGCGCCGACCTCGTCCGCAAGACCCGCAAGCTCACGCAGCTGTTTGGCCAGACCCCCGGCGTCGGGCACTTCCCCGTCGAGGTCGACCTGGGACACGGCCACGCGCCGCGCACGAATCTGGTAGGGTCGCCCCCCGCGAGCAGACGGAAGCACAAGCCCGCGGCGTCGATGCTGGACGACCCCATCGTGCCCGTGTACGACGCGCAGAAGCGGGTGCTGTGGCCGCCGGCGGAGGACGCGCAGTACGTGAGCATGGGTGCGCGGCGGCGGTCTGTGCCGTTCTCGCCGCAGGACTTTTCGTCGCTGGGCCAGCTGTCGCGCGCGGACGACTGGCTGGACGCGGCGCACGTGACGGAGGGGAGGAGGGGGAGGGCGTCTGGCTCGCCCGTTTCGTTCATCGACCTGTCAGACGAGGACGCCCCGCCTGCCCCCTTCCCAGACCCCAAAGGCCACCCTGCCCTCAGCCGCCCCGCCGACCCCCTCCTCTCCCCCTCCACCCCGTCCCTCCTCGACGACGAGCAGCAAGCAGAGGAGGACCGCCGCCGCAAGCGCGACAAGCTCGCAAAGCTCCACCGCTTCCTCGGCTCCCGCGTCCCCGCCCACCTCGTCCTCGGCCCCGTCGAAGAGGGCGTACCGCTCCCCTCTCCCGCCTCGCCCAGCCTACAGGACGACATGCCAAACGACGACGCCGACGCCCGCAACTTCCGCCTCCGCCGCCGCCGCAGCAGCTCCGCGGCCGAGTTCGCGGGCACATGGTCCGACGAGATCGACCGCCTCAAGGACGACCTCAACGAGCGAGAAAAGGCGATCAACGTCCGCCGCGCGGTCAAGATGGAGAAGGTGCGTTCGCACGCGCTCCCTGCGCGGGACGGCAACTGACTTCCCATTTCAATTCAGATGTTCGGGGTGGCGCCGCCCCAGATGCTCTATCACACCCGTCAGGCAGCCTCCTCGCCCGGGGGCACCGGCGTCTCGCCCGCTGCTACACGGCCCAAGTACGTTTCACAGTCCATGGCTCCCCCTGCACCAAGCGCAGGTTCGTCGAGCGGGCGGAACCTCAACCAGACGTCGTACAAGGGCAAGTCCAAGAAGGGTGGCCGGCCCGGGACTGCAGAGTCGACCCAGCCGCTGATTGACCACTCCCGCACGGACACCAGCGATAGCTGGGAAGATGGGATGCTCACGGTCATGTCCGACGTCTACCTGCACTACCGCCACTCGCTCAACTCGCTCAACGACATCATTGACCGGGTGAGCTGCTCCACTTGATCGCATCCGTCCATCTGTACTGACGGACAGCGGCGCACGCACAGGACGACAAGCAGTCCCTCGCGGAACTGCACGACTACCTCAGCGGGCGTGGCGAGGACACCGCTGAGCAGACCCCCACGGAGGAGAGCGTCTTCGCGCTCGCGTCCCCGGTGTCGGCCAAGGCGGAGCGCCGGCGGTCGATGCCCACGCGCACGTCCATGGCGTCCGTCTCGTCCGAGTGGTCGCTCCTCCCGTCGCCCTCGCCCGAGGAGAACTCGTTCCAGCAGCGCCGCCGCCGAGCAGCGAAGCTCACCCAGTTCTTTGGTGTCAATTACCGTGACCTCATGAACGAGATCTTGGAGAGCATCGAGAAGGGCTTGGAGGAGGAGCGCGGCCGCGGCACGCTGAAGCCAGACGAAGTCCAGGTACGCTGTGCTTGAATCTAACAGGTGACGGGAATCTGACCATCTGTTTGAACAGGACCTCATGTTAAAGCTGCGCAAGCTGAAAACGAAGCGCAACAACTGGCCGTGATGTAGCAGCAACCGATCTCAGATGAACGAATCTATACGCACCATTGGGACATATTCCTACCTACTTACCTCCTCAGACGTGAGCATGCAGTAATCACTCGATACCATAGAGCACCTAATAGATACCGCTGCGCTGCGCGCAGCTAATCATGACGACCAAACGCATGCTTGTCCTTGGTTCTTGCCAGTTGTTGGTTGACCCGTCTCGTCGTCTCTTGGGCATGTCATGTACATATACCACACATCTTGGCATCATAAATCTGTCCGCACATAGTATTGCATCTGCTCGCTATGTACCGTACATCGTCCTAGAGGATAACCAAGTCGCCCTGGCAACAATGACACCAGAATATGTGCGAATCGTCCATGAACTGCGGCTTGCGCGGGGCGGCGTGGTGCTGGACCGCGGCCGTCGACTGGGGGGCAGCGGACTCCACGACCGTCGGCAGACCAGCGGTCTTGATGGTGGGCGAGCTGAGCTTCGCGGTCGCCGCGACCTCGCTGTCTATGCGGGCTTTAAGCATGCTCAGGCTCACGCGGCGCTTGTGCTGCGCCTCGGGCGAGAGGCCCTCGAACGTCGCCGAGGTGGGCGTCGGCGCGAGGTGCGACGGCTTGTGCGCGTTGAACGACGCGCGGCGGAGGTCGTCCGAAAAGTCGACCGGCCGGCTCGACGTGCGCGGGGGCATTGGCGAGCGCTGCGACGCGCGCGACGGCGGGCGCAGGTGCGCGAGCTGGTCCTCGAGCGCGGTGACGTGCTTCTGCAGCGCGTGCGCGTGCGCCTCCGCCTCGAACACGGACGTCTCGAGCGTGCGCATGTGCGACTGCACCGCGGAGAGCTCGAGCGCGTGTTGCTGCTTGATCGCGCTGAGCATCTCCTCGTCGAGCGCGTTGGGCTGCGCGGATATCGGCGTGGACGCCGCGACGCGGAGTTGCTCGAGCTCCTGGTCTTTCGCGGAGAGCTCGGCGCGGAGGGCCTCCATCTCGTCTTGGGCGTGCTCGAGGAACTCCTGTGCTTCTTGCTGGGCGTCCTGCCGCTCATCGAGCTCGCTCTGCAGGCCGGAGACTTGCTCCATGTGCTCCTGCAGCGCAGACTTGAGTTGGTCCAGCTCACCCAAATGGCGCTCGGTCATTTGGTGGTAGTTGTTGCGCTCGGACTCGAGGTTACGGATGACTGCACGGGCGGCATCTAGCTCCGTTTGCAGAGAGTCGGACTCCTTCTGCAACTCGGAGCTATTCGCGTTTGAAGACGAACGTTCCTTCTCCAGTGCAAGAGCGACCTCCTGGCGTTCTTGAGTGGCCATATCTTTCTCGTTGAGTAACTCGTCCAGATTGGCTTCCAACTGTGCGATAGTAGCATCCCGACTGCGCAGAGCGGACTTCAGGCCTTCGACCTCCTCGCCAAGGTTGAGCTTTGCGTCGGTGAGCTCGACGATCTTAGGACGCATCTCGTCCAGAGAACGCATCAAACCAACGCCTTCCGTCTGGAGCTCGCCCTGAAGTCGCTCTGCCTCCTCAGCACGCTTGTTCGCGCTTTTGAGTTCCGCCTGGACTTGCTGCAGTTGACGAGCGCCATTGCTCAGCTGCGCAGCAAGATCGGCAAGCTTTCGCTCAAGGTCGGCAACTGTGGACTCTTTCTTTTGCACCTTGGACTGCAGATTCGACTTCTCCTGCAGGAGGCTATCGCGCTCGGTGCTCACGGATGAGAGCTGCTCCTTCGTTGCGGCATGTTGTTTCTCGACTTCACCATGACGGTTCCGCCAGTCCTCCTCTGTCTGCGACCGCTGACGTACTTGCGAATCCAGTTCATCTCGCTCAGCCTTGAGCGTGCCATGCGCCTGCGAGTAAGTACGTCAGTGACGTATACCGATCAGCGGACGAAAGTTGTGCTTGCCTGCTGGAGCTTCGAGAGCTGGAACTCCAGTTCATCCGCCCGGTCCTGGGTGTTCTGCAAGGTGGCCTCCAGCCGCTCTGCGCGATCGTCACTTTCGATCTGCTCTTCCAGCTCGCGCACTCTTCTGTCCGCTTTCTCCGCTTGAATACGTAGATCATTAAGGGTACCATGGAGTAGCTGGAGCTCCCGTTCCTACATCACAGATTATCAGCTGTATGGGGAATGGATGAACGGGAACGCAGCATACCTGCTCTCGGCTCTTATCCGCGAGAGTTCTCTCGGATGCGGACAGCTCGGTCACCTTAGATGAAAACTCGTCGTTTTCGTCCTGGAGTTTTGCCACGGTCTCTTGCAGCTTCTGTGCCCGAGTACGTTCCGCCTGCAATGCGCTTTCCGTCTCTCGCAATTCTGCATGACCAGGGTGGTTAGCCCGGCTACGTCATTGACCTCGAGACTTGCTGACACCTACTCGTGTCCGCATCCTCTAGCTGCTCTAGAGACGACGTCAAAGAAGTCTTCTCGGAGACCAATAACGAAATGGTCTGTTGCTGCTCTGCTATACGGCTGTAATGTTCCTGAAGGGTTGTCTCTAGGTCATGTATGCGTCCGTTCAAGCTGTCTGTGCGTGCTTTCTCAGCCTCCAGCGCTTTGTTGACCGCCTGGAGCTCTAGATAATGTCAACGATGTCTCCTTTAATGAATGCGAGCGACTCACTTGGCTCCAGCTCGCTCAGGCGGTGAATTGTACTCTCAAACTCGCCTTTTTGTGCCGATAGTGAGGCGATAGCCGCATCCCGCTCATTGAGTTTGGCTAAGACAGCAGAACTACCGGCCTCCAATTGCTGTATGCGGTCTTGGAGCTGCACATTCGTCTGGCGTTCCTCGTGTAGCGACCGTTCCGTCTGCTGTGCATCTGTTTGACACATTATTCACCGGTGAGATCATTATATGCGGGCACCTACTGGCTTCGACTCGCTGAAGTTTCTCTAATGAAGACAACAACTTGTCCTTGTCAGACTGTAATGTAGCAATGTCACGCTCTTTCTCTCCCAGTACCTTCTGCGTGCGCTGCGCATCTCACTCAGGTCGTCAGATATTAGTCTATACCTTATACTTGACTGACTCACTGGTTTCGGTCTCTTTCAGCCTTTCCACGACGTCTTTGAGGCCATGCTTCTCTGCTTCCAACGCAGAAACGATAGTGTTGAGCTCAGCAATCTTGGCATGCAGTTCGCCCTGCCCGCTAGCGACGGTTGATGTAGCTTCAGGAGTAGCAGCCCCATGGGAGACTACGGGCGCAGGAGAAGACACGGCAGGGGGAGAAGTGGAGGCTGTCGCCAGCGGAAGATGGGCATCGACTCGATTCAACCCTGACAGCCAACTGATGTCGCCGCCGCCATCGCCGAGTTGTCCACCGGAGAATCTATGTGGAACCTCTCAGTAACAGACGGGGCAACGCGCTGACGATCACTTCAAGGCTCCTATGTACCTACAGGTCGCCCACGTTTCGTCCGGCTCTCTGGTCCTCCGGATTTACGAGAGTAATCTCAGATGGTGCTGGTGAGAATGCCCTGGACGGAGGCAGAACAGGTGAGGCGACTGTGGGGCTTGCAATCGAGCCACCGCCTGCTGCCTTTTGTTGCTGCTTCTTCTTCAGCTATGGACACGTCTCAGTTACAGAACGAGGGCAACAGTTAAGTAGAACTTTACAGACCAACGCTCGTGCTCGGGCAGCCTTTGCTGCGCGGTCATCTTCAGACATAACGGCTCGTTGAGGCCACAACTGAGTTCCAGAAAGCAGTGCCAACCGAGTGACAGGGTCACGACAAGACTGAAAGATGGGGTTCGCAAGAAGAGCGGAGTGCTGCAAGTTCAAGCTCAAGTTGACCACACACGATTCACGCGTCGCGCCGGACACGTCTCCGGAAACATCACGTGTTGCAGTGCGCAGCGTACCAAGGTCCCATTCTCACTGTCACACGTCGCCAAACTCATACCACAACCATTGAGAGCATAGCTTCTGTATTCTGTCGTTCGCGATGGGGCTGTAAGGATAGGGAAGCAATGGCTTATGAGACGAGCAGCGAGGCACAGAAGAGCGGCGAGTAAGGATAAAAAGTGAATGTCACAAGAAATATAAACACTCCGGTAAGACTGGTAAACAGCGCGGATGACAGCACGTAAGGACAGACTCGTGGCGATCTCGGTGAGGCGCGAGTGAGACGCAAATTTACCCATATAAAGAATCAATATCGATAAACCTGCGTAGAGACACCGATCCGGAAATGCAAAGAGTCATGGTATCAGCAATAGGAAACGGCGGCATGCATGCTGCATAAAAAAGGTATCATGCCCAGACCTGTGATATTGTTGTCAGAAACATAATGCAAAGGACCAAGAACCGCTTACCCTGAGAGTGCTGTCCCAGCTACCGGTGCAAAGTGCCATGCCGTCTGCACTGACGCCCAAGCAGCTGACTCGGTTCTCGTGTCCGGTCAGAACACCCACACGTTCACCCTTGAGCGTATCCCAAACGTTGCAGGTCCAGTCATCATAGCCGCCGAAGAGGATGCGTCCGGAGATAGAGAAGGCGACGGACGTGATACCACACAGAATGTTATCATGTGTGAACGAGTTGAGCTCGCGATCAGCGCGAATATCGAATAGGCGGCAGGAGGCATCATCTGAGCCAGTGGCAAAGGCATCGCCATTGGGGAAGAAGCTGATACAAACCATGAGTCATAGTGCAAGTGACAAATCCAAGAGACCTACTTCACGGCATTGATGTCCGACTCATGACCAGTGAAAGTCTGGGTAGCCTTGCCGCTGCGGATGTCCCAAAGCTTTGCGGTGGCATCACACGCGCCAGAAACAAAGACGTTCTGGTTAGGACCGAGAGACAGACTGCACAGCAATTTGAGACACGCTGTTCCCACAGGTCATAATAGACATACCTCATAACATCCCCCGTGTGGTCGCTGAACTCCACAACTCGTACACCAGCCTCGATGTCCCACAACATGCAGGTCATATCTCCGGAGCTGGTCACGATCTGGCGATCGTTGAGGAAGCGGCAGCAACTGAGGTATCCGGAGTGTGCGCTTAGTTCGCGAGCGCCCTTGACATTGGTGCCCTCCTTGGAGTGCAGGTTGTAGATCGAGCATATGTTGTCCAGACCACCGCATGCAACGTAGTTGCCAGATGGCGAATAAGCACAAGTCATGACCCAGCTGGACCTGAGTGGGATTGCGTGGACCTTGTTGGTGGTATACGCGTCCCACACAATCAACTTTCCGTCTTGCGAAGCCGAGACAAGGTGCCGACGGTCGGTAGCCCAGTGCATGGCGTAGATTTTGGCCAAGTGACCCCGCAGGGCTCGACGAGGGCGCATGACGATACGGGGCAAGGCGGGCACCTCCGCGGCCATTGCTCGCACTGTAAGCAATGAGCTTTCGTATGGAGGCATCTACACGTAGGACGCACAGCTAGTGTCGGCGGAGGACTCTCTTCTCGCCCTGATCTTCTCCCTCAAGCTTTCGGCCTCGCGGCGAGCTGCCGCGATCCTCTCCTGGATATCGCTCTGAGGTGATTGCGCCATGGTCCCGAAGGTTTAATGAGATATGAAGTGAAGAGCCGCTCTGTAACGATCAAGAGGTCTCGTCAACCTCCCACTGAGTTCGGGTCAGAAGGGACGCACCGCGCAACGAGCAGGGGGAACGAGAGAAGGGGAAGTCGGAAATTGATGGGGAGGCTGCGTGAGAAGGCCGCCGGTCCTGTGGCGCTGAAAGAACAAGTCCGTCAGCAACTCTGGCGCGCAGGCGGTGGGCGAGGCAGCTACAAGTCAAGCGTCGTCCGGAACGTCTTGAGGAGCTTACGCACCACGAGGATGGTGGGGGGAAAGGCGAGATGGCGACCGTCACGCTGGCCTTTGCAGCGCTGATGGGCGCATCTCCTTGGGCCTGGCGGACATTGCCGGATGCAGTCCGCTTTCCCACACTCCCTCGGCCGGCGCACGGCCAGAGCTCTGGGCACCCCTATGGGTGACATTCCTCTTGCAAAGTCCGGCTTGAAGCTGCAGCAAGTCACCTCTTCGAGAATACAGAAGATCTGGGAGCACTGGTGTGTTCATCCTAAGGGGTTTCCACAGGATGGGCGATATACGGCTTCCGAGTTGGGCAATCCCCGAAGCTAAACGCCATAACTTTAAACAGATGTGCAACTGATCGGGCCATCCGGCAGTTCGAACTACATACGGCTTCCTGCTTATGTGGCCATACTCGCTTGGATGCATTAACGATTTCGCAGAGTACCATATGGACTCATGGCATCCCCCATGGGGCGCGGTCATGATAGCACGGTCATGGCAGTAGGGCTCTGGTTAGCCGCGCCCTCCGAGTCACCTATCCCAAAGGTTGTGATCAAGTTTCAAGCTCTGACTGGATTGAATGTCAAAGCACAAACACATGGACATGCAAGTCTCGGACTGGATAGTTCTCAAAGGCGAGTGCCGACGCAGTATACTTCAGACATCCCGAATGCGACTGATCGCCACAGCTCTGGGAACTGAAATAGCCATCAAGGCTAGGGCTGTAATGAACTGGTGCGACGGCTGTCGATACACCCCGTACACGGCCTTGTGAAGCAGCTAGGCCCCTGTTCGTTCACAGCTGACCGGTAACCGAGTCATTGCAAGGCGCTCGCGGTACGTCATCCCATTCTGTGTGCCACTGCCAGTGTGTCTGTCACTTATGATGCGTACATCAGACTCAGTTGTATGTATACGATTACCGTGACATCGCTCCTTTCAGTACGCAAATCCGCGGAGCCCAGAAGCAAACTCAACAAGGCCATGTTGAATGGTGCGTAGCACGCCTAATCAACGCTCTTCCTTCGTTTCTGCCTGCTGGAATAATAACGGATACATAGCTATGCGCTTCTCTTCAGAGTCTCCGAGCGAATGGCAGCTTCGTGGCGTCTTCTCCACGGTGGGAGCAATTCCCACCGTTAATTCCAGTCGCAGCGGTCACCGCACTTTCATTCCACACGGATGAAACGACGCCTTGTAGGAAGTGTTCGGGCATGCAATCAACCGGCTTGGAGTGTCTGTGACCCGCGGCTGATGAGCGACATTGTGGCCGCAGGGGTGACGTCTACGTTCTCTGCACTGCGACAACACAGTAGCGCGCAATGCTTCGATCTCAAAATCGCCATGTCTGCGGTATTGCCTCGAGGAGCCAAGCGCTGGATTTGTCGCCTTCCGTTCCACTTGCATACTGTGGGCGTGACGCCTTTGCGTTGACTCCCTGTTACTTGCGCCGGCCGTCGTGATACCCGATGGTTTCGCCGCCGACACAGGATGGCACGACAGACCGGCCTGGCAATATTTACAAATGACTGGTATATCCCAGAACTGCTTGGACGTCTCCATCGTAATCAGACCGGCGGAAAGCGCCTGTATCTCGGTACACGAGATGAATGACGGGAACAGAAACCGTCTGCTCCGAGTGACTCAGGTTGCTTTGCGACCACAGACGGTGTCAACCTCTGCTCACTCATAGACCCTCCTTAACGGGGTCACGTACACCATATTTGTCTATCCCACTCTTAATCACCGTTATTGCCGGGTCTTCTGCCGCGTATGTGTCTTGTAAGATCATCGATCAAGGCCTTGTCCGCAGCGTCCATGATCATTAAACCTTGTCGACTACGTATACCCTTGGACCCGTGGCATCTGGAGGCCTCCCGTGCGCTCAACGAATGATAAGCTAACATAGACTTCGCAGGACCATATTGCGCATGGTAACGCGCGGACGTTACCACGCAACGGCTACCTTACGCAACATTGCAGCTGCACTTGGGATCGTTCCATCAACCGCCAGGGCGATGGAGGCCCGCACACCGTATACAATATGTCAAGTAACGTGGCAGCCTTCTGGCGCCATCCGGATACAGGGATTGCTATAGTCAATTGCTTTCAAGAAATTGATAGGCAGGTTCCAATCCAAGGCACCGTTGTACGGTTGTGCCAATAATCTCGGACAGACAGCCGGAGGCCATGACATCTGCTCAGAAACCCAAGTCGTCTGACCCAACGGGGTCGACTCGCCGGGCATCCGCGACAAAAACTCTAGGTCTGCGGCCGACACAGCAAAGTTTTCAACCGTTCGTCGGATAATGACAGACGCCGTGCGTGGATGGCCTGCGTATATTCTTCAAAGGTAAGTTCCTGTACACGGGGTCAGAACTGCAATTGACAGGTGCTCAGGAGGGCGGCTGTATACTGCAATTGAACAATCAAAAGCCTTCACTTCCCGCTATCACCCTGGCGTTCGCTTTGACTCGCGTGAGTATCTACGCGTCCCCGTCTGACGAGTGCAATCTTAGAAGCCAGGCTGATTCCGTGACTGACGTGTAAGGACATCAGCACGGGAACACTCCATTGGTATTGTGGTGTGAAGAACAGACAGGGGCATATACGCAGCATCGGCGACATCTCCCTTCTGCTTCTGCTCCGCGGTGTGTGCTGTCCGCGCTTTCTCTTACTGCGACAGTAATCCATTTTTTTTAGGAAACCTCGATGCGTCAACTGAGTATCTCCGTGTCATGATCAACCTGGCCCATGAATGTGCTTTCAGCATGGCCGACCAACGAACCGCGCTTCCTCTGTGCATAGGCAATATCACGGAGGCCGCCAATTTTAGGAGAGACCACCCTTTGCAGCGCAGGACTGTTCCGTGGCCAATGACTCTCACACCCAATGCATAGACTGGCCATCTCATACTCCTCGATAGTTGACCGCGGCACAGTTCTTCCATTGGTCTAACCACAATTACGACACATTCGTATATTCTCCTCGATTTATCTCCGACTTTCAGCCATTGGTGAGTTTCGTTCCAGGTTGGCTCTTGTCTCCGCCACTGTTAATATGTATAGCATTCAAGATTTCAGGACGAGGGTTCCCGGCTCATGCTGCCGCTAAACAGCGGGTTTGTAGCTCCCTGCGGTAAGTGCCCCCCATACGGTAGCAACATACACCAAGACACCGCGCTTACCTCCACATCACTGCTCGAGCCCCACAGCGCGCAGTGAACACGCAGGCCCGAAAGATGGATGACTGTAGGGAATTACGACATACACGCTGTAACCACGCGTACCCGTGGTGTGCCGCTCATGCAATTTTACCGTCGATCACCCTTCCCACTCATTAAATTTTTCAGTCGCCGCAGAACTGCTGGCTTTTGTCGCACAGAAATGGCTTGCCCTTGTCCCCTCATCTCTACGTTTCAAACCGCGACACGAACACAGAAGGCGAGAGCTTATGCCGGGCCGTGTCTATATTCGACAATCGCTGCCATCGTGCATCAGGGGCAGTACGCAAGATCATGGTATGAGTTCTTCAACAAGGCACCGTACCCGCGAGACTCGCCCTTCGAGGAGCTTCCCCACGGCTATTAAGACCGGAAACGATTACCGGGTCGCATCGTGGACTTCGTATGTACCAATGCCCATATTTGCACTCCTGAACTGGGCGCTTGACTACTGGTTCTCCAGGACGGCCAGCGGCAAACTTAGCCAGCGACTCTTCAATCGCGTCCGTGAAGCTCAGATGCACATTGGATCGAGTGCTCCGGAAACCCATACTGTTACCCTTCGACCTGCGCTTGTTATATGAAGCCCTACTTCAGCAAGCACAGTTTCGACTACCTCGAGCGGTGTGGATAGCTCCGAGAGCCATGTCGTGCATGGTGCTGTCGGCACGGGGCTTCAGAGGCAGTGAGAGAATGGTCGACTGCATATATACGTAGAGGTCCTGAACACGTCAAAGCAGAGTTGACGCAGAATGTCGAACGGTGAGCGAGCTTCCGCCCAGAGCTTAGTCTTTCGTCTTACGCAAATCTCAGAGGGGACAGTTGCTCTGAACAACTGTGAGCCAAGCAATACTCCCGGCTTTGTCAAATTCATTGACATAATGACTACAGATTTGCAGGCACAGAACAAAGCCAACTTGCTGAGTTGGGTGGAATCTGTGGCCGGTCCTCGCCATGAACCCACGTGGACGTGCATATGTAAAAGTAGGCATTTGACTTCGTCGCATATCTCGCCCTGTGACTCAAGATAGAGGTAGTTGACGAAGAAGAGTATGGATGTGGAACGGGGCCCCACAAGCAGATTGCCCGTGCTGCTGCCGCGAAGGTTGCTCTGGAGCGGCTCGTTCAAGAATCGAAGTCTGGAAGCGAAGCTGCAGATGAAGACGCAAGCACCCCTGTCGAGTGAAGAGGTTCATTGCTGTCCTACGGACTCCGCTCAAATTTGTTGAACCTTCAAGTCGCGGCTTCCTAGTACCGTCATTCCACGTGTGTTTTATCTTCATTCTCGACCCCGACGTCCCATTCTTTTATTTTATGGTTCTGCTGTTTCGGCAGTGATGCCACCGGAGATCTGTAACCGAGCCTGCAGGACATTCGGACTAGATTATATATATTCGGGACGATTTACAGTTCTCTACCATTGGTTGTCCTATCACATTGCGGCCTCAAGGCTGCCGTGCCTGCCTTCGGATGGTTACGGACCACGGTAATAAACAAAGTATTGTTCCGCGATACGTGAATTCCCGTTTCTGGACTGCGCTGGTGGCACGTGGGTCCCCACAAGAGTTCCTGTTCCACACAGCCTACGGAAGACTCCCGAGTTCGCAATCTGGCGCATCCACGGATCTCTTGGCCGTTCTCCTCTGCGCACTGTATTTTTCACGACTAGCGTACTCGGACTGCAGCTATCTATATCAGCATTGAAGTGCAGTCGCCATTGCTGCCACCGAACCCATCCGCGAAGCGCGGATACGCGTCACGGTGTTTCACGACTGCGCCGAATCCTCGTATGATATAAGCTTGTGTATCATTCCTTACCAGTTTGGCAATCCAACAGCTCGTGACGTGTCGGATATTTGACGTTGTGGGCGTCTTATTTGGCGGACCAACGCCATCAGACCGACCCCTGGGCAAACAGCTTGAAGTCGACTCCGCTCCATGGCTCGGGTTCTCATTCAATATGACAAGAGGCATGACAGTCTGGAATTGGATATTTTACGCCGTAGTGTGCAAATGCTCTGCACCTGCAGCAGCTCGCCGCCGCTGTCGGCGTTCTTGGCTTGTCGCCGTACTCATTTATGCCAAACCGGTGTAAGGAGGCCATCAAGATCAGTCAAGTCCGAGCCGATTCTATCTCCGATGCATCTGCCTCATATCTACGCCCCTATGGACCTGGTGCTCCTTGTGTGACTGGCATTGCCAGCATCCGACGCTGTCACATCTAATTGACGCACTGGCTACAGAGACACAGCCATGATACCGGGGGTGACAATGTACATTCTCTAGTGTATCTCAAGACGAATAGGTATGCTATACCGTGACGATAATTACATGGCAGGCAAGTCCCCCAATGGCTGCAACTGACGTGGTAGCCGTCTAGCTGACGCATTGATCCAGCGCGCGTGCTGCGTACCCGTAACTCCTCCAGGTGCATATACGGCGCGACAATCCGAGTTCCCTTTACCACGCGGAGAGAATGCCTACCCCGCTCAGGTGCTCATCGGAGTGAACTAGGTAGCCGTGCGGTTGCTGCCTTTCAGCTGTAGTAGTAAGTGCCGTTGTTGTGCGTTTATTGCTGACACTGTTGCTAGATTGTCAAAATTGTCCAGATGTCCGCACATCAGAACAGATGTATCAAGCGCGGAGCTGCTTCTGACGCCTCAATGCGCTACTCCGGTTGTAGTGTGTCGACAATGCATGCAAATATTATTTGTCGGCTTGCCTCGCGGCGGTTCGCAGAGCTCTCGTCGTGATACGGTCGCGCTGATGGTCTCTTGAATTATAGCCGCGTGCCGATGACGAAGAGTATAAAGATGCCAGCACCCTGGGATGTAGTCCTCAGGCCGCACAAGAGCTCGACATTCATTGCACACAAACATCCCACCGTTCTGACATCGCACCGACACACTCACGAAATGGCCACCGCTGTCTTGCGTCTCAATAACTGTGAGTTGAATATGAGTTGTCTCACTTCGGGGGGGCTAACCCCTATGTTCTCTCACAGACTTGCAGAATAGAGGTCAACTGCCCAATTTTAGCTGGGAAGAGTCTTCCAATGGCCCGGCGAATGCCCTCAATTGGACGATGAAGTGCAAGCGTAAGCTAGCTATCTGTGGGCGTCGAGTTCAGACAGCTCACATTCACTCTATCTTGTAGTGAACGGGCAAGTCCTTGGAGAGGCCACTTCCGGCAGGAAGGGCGACGCGAAAGAAGCGGCTGCTGCAATTGCACTCAGAAGGCTTGGGCAGTGACGCTTGTCGGTCTAGCTCTGACCGGGCTTCCAATTCTTGACTCTTCACCTATCATACTATTCCAGTAATCTCCCAGCCCAGCGGCTAGAGCTTGTGTCAGACCTATACTACGAATGTGGGGCGTGTAATACTCTGTATCTACATGACAACAATAATTGATCGCTCGGAATACTATGTACTGCCGGTTCACTTCGCGGTGTCCCCATCGGTGTGTAAGTCACCACGGAGAGACTCTGCTACTAGAAGCAATGTATGAAACACAAGAGATCATCGACGCCGCGTCGCGCCGACACCGAAACCAGCACATGTGTTTGACTCGCTCTGATGCGATTCAGATACCGTTTAAATTCAACCACTGTGGCTCTACTCAATACGTACAAGTGACCTGTGGAGGGTCGATGGTGGTCGTTATATTGCGTTTGGATGATACTGGAACCACAGTGATTTCCTAGAGGTGATTACAGACCTATAGTGCGGTGGCGTCCCAATTCTTAATGGTCGGTACAGGAGTCGGCATGACTCTGAAAGCAGAGACTTCAAGTTGACTGTCAGGCTGTGCTTCGACATCGAATTTCCGACTAGAGAAGCACAAAGGATATTGTGAAATCTCGACGCTTCGGTCTTCCCACCGCAGCTGCGAAGCAAAATCGCACAAATCGATTCAGTATGATTCAACTACGACCGTAGCCTGAAAACATAAGCGCTGCCGCCGTGAGGATAGTATCACTGTCAGAAATAAGGCGGGTGGCTTTCTTACGTAACGCAATTCAGATCGCACTCGAGATCTACTAAATAGCTCTCTCGTCCTGTCCTTCGCACAGGTCACGCATGAGTGTTGTAGTCACAAGCGCTGCTTGTTCAAGTTGTCCAACGCCGCTCTCAACATCAAGAACAAATGTCGCGGCGCGCGGTCCCGTTTATCCTGGCAGGTGTGACTGGTAGGACGCACTGCGATGATAGTAAAACGGGCGCACATACTGATGTTTGCGTACCTGCTAGGGATCCTTTCCGGTCTCTACATCTTCAAACCGTTGCTGGAATCGCAACCCTCGCCACCAGAAGAGTCAGTCTCACGCGTTGTCATGGACATGCGAATCATTGACAAACATCCGTCATTCACAGGCCAGCTCAGCGGGGGAAAAGTCCAGTTACAGATCGTAATGCTTCACTGCCTAAGTCAGACAGTGCTACCACAGCTACTAGCTCTCGCGACTCAGCAGGCTGAGAGATGACGAGTTTTGTTGACCATTCCAAGCGTTTAGCATGGAAATATTGCTTCATCTTGGTGATACGGTGATGCTATCTATCTTTGCCTGCCTCGACTTCTTTTGCGCAGTCAACGGAGCGAAACAAAACAACAAGGACGAGACGCTGTCCGATCCAGCGCTGGTGTCAGGATATAAAGTATGCGATCGACGCGTCATCACAGCGCCTCCTTGCTATCCTCTATTGCCTGTCAACGTCCATCTTAGCCCCGGTTTCACCGCGTTCGACATTGGGCGACGAGTGGGCGCCGGATCTTCGCTCCCAGATCTTACGCGGCGGCTCTATCAGACAACCCTTCTCGGAGGTTAATCTACGAACTTACCTGTAGCACTGTCTCGCCGAGGAAGATCATCTCCTTCCGGATTTCTTCAACAATCAGGTCTTGAATCAAGAACCATTTCTCATTGTCGCCGCCTCCAGCACCGGCTCGCAGATGGACTTTCCACACAGTGCTCTCCTTGTCATGAGTTGTGCCAGCAGCCGACTCGTGAGTGACATTTGCTATGAGGTCGTACAGAGTAGATGGATGAGATGGAGGCGCATCCAAGTCTTGACAGCAACGGATCAGACACGAGATTATGACGGATACAAATAAGTGAAGACAACTGACATTCTCGGAAATCGAGTCCGCGGAGAGGGAAGTTCACGATTGTAGGGTTTTTCTCTTCAACGAAGACGTTCTTGGTGAAGCGCTTGAAATGGAGGATGATGTATGGCGGTAGCTCTTGACACTTGAAACGCCGCAGTTGACCTGCGGATTCCTGTTCACAAGTTAGCTTAGCAAGGGGACTCTATCTGTCAGAATGACTAACCTGCGTAGTGCGACCGTCATACTTTGCCAGGACTGAGTGAATGCCGACTTGCGGAATGATGTTCTTCTCGACCGCATCTTGGAATAGTGGCGGTGGCGGTAAATCGACAGCCAAAAACAAAAACGGGGATACAGCCGATTTGATCTCTGAAGCCCGACCGTTAGCAGTGTAGAATGATTGTTGCGGGGTCGAACTACCTCGGTCGATGTCAAATCTGGGCTTCTCATTGTCCCCGAGATCGGGGCGCACCACGACCTGTTGTGTTTCCATACGTACCTGGCCCTGAAACGCGGAAAAGATGATGCCTACACAGAGTTCAACGCAAATCCCCCTGACACTGATAGTTGACGTACTGGATCTCTTCTTCTTCGTCCCACCCATGTCTTTGTGGAGATGGTTCAGCAGCCAACCAAGGAACTCGATTGGATCCCCCTGCTTCTCAAGCCTAAACTTACCCGCACTCGCTCTGCCGACTTCTTGCAAGAACTCGTGCGGGCTGACTTGGCTCTTGAACAAGCGAGGATTCCAGATCTTTTTCGCCAAGCCCGCAAAACGTTTCAGCATTTCTGGCTCTTTACCACGGAAGTTCGAGAGCAGCAAGTAGTCGCGAAGCGGAGATACGTGGAGCAAGGCGTGGATAATAACGTTCATGTAATCGTTACGCTTGATGTTGTTGAGACCAATGTATCCCGGTATGTATGGGTTTGAGGACAGGTCGTAGGATGGCTTCTGGATGTGCGACGGTGATGACAACCGACGCACAGTCGCTGGTGTGAACGAAGGTGCGAGTACAAAGGCGATATCTTCTAGCGACGGGTCGGACACTGGGTATCCGTCTGGTAAGACATAGACCTAACACACTCTCTGAGAAGCGTCATAGGTATTACTAGAACATATATATACCTTGGTTGTTTCAAGGTTGATGAAGACATGGTGGTCGTCATGTATCGCATGTGCGAAAGCATAAGAGTTTCGTCCTCGTCCTTGGAAGTACTTGCCGCACACGAGGCAGCCGTATATGTTGATATTCGAAAGCGACACAGAGCAAACTTTCTCGAAGTCAAAATCCAAGACAGCTCTGTTGATCTAGACGGCATGCATGAGATTGATGTTTCGACATCGACATGAAATGGGAATACAGTACAGTATCGAGGTACATGTCAGACGACTGAGAAGGCATAGCAGCCTTCCGTCTCCTTCTGACCGTTTCCTCTTCCTCTTCGTCGTCGTCTGAGATAGCCCCATACATACTCTCTGCGTCCGGAACGTGTTGGATGGTCGTACCGTTCGGCGTCGAATCGCCCGTATCGACTCGGGCTCGCTTTGCTGGTGGCTCGGATAAGCCAACGTCGCCAGATCTTGCAGAGGCCATTGTGTCTGCAGCGTGACAGGAATGACTATGACTAGAAGGATAGGTATGTAGGTAAAGTCAGTGGCGAGGAGTTGCCAGTGGTCGCGGTCGAAGGCAAGCCCGAAGGTACGACTCTACACCGCAACCACGTGACCGATATACTGAAATTTCGAGCGATCCTCCGCGTCGCGTTTCTCGGAGACCTTCCTCCCACCGTCCTCCTCCCTCGCTCCTGTCCTTGCTGATTCCATCGCATCTACTTCTGTTCGGTTTGATTTCACTTGCACGTCTAGTACCATGCTTCGTTCGCGGTGTTGCAGGTCCTTGGCCGCTGTGTTGCGGCGGCAAGCTGACGTTGCTTTCTTCTCAACGAGTGCGGCCTCCTCGTCTCATCAGCCTAATGCACCGCTGGACTTGGATCCCTCTTTTCACTCTATCATGAAGGATGTGGATATGGCTCTTCTGCGTCAAAAGTCCAGACATCCTACTGCCGCCAACCCGACCGCTCGTGTTCATCGCGAACTGGAGGTTTACCCACAAGATGAAACAGCGGAGGACGACGGCTATGAAGCCGAGCCACAGAGTTCTCACTGGGACGTATTTGATCCTAAGGACGGCAGAAAGTCCCCTGCTGCTGCGTTCGGCAGTCAGAATATCGGAGCAGTTGTCTTGCCTTTGGAGTTGCAGAAAAGCATTGATCACATCATCGCTGGTCGGTGCCTTGACCTACTGCAACCGATATTGTATGCGCTGACACCTCATTCTATGTTCAGACTCGGACAAGCATATGATACACAACGATGCCACACGACTATTCGCAAAGGAAGTCCAGGGTGCGGACGAGCCCGAGTGGAATGCTTCATACAATGTGCGATACAAGTCCGGGAAGAAGGCACGGCTACACGCAGAGCGAGATGGCACTGCCTTTGCTTCAGTTGCATTGCCGTCGCATTATTCCGTGGTGTACGCTGTACTCGATAACGTACAGCAGCGTCTCGGTCCAGGCTGGACCGTCGACCGCGTCATTGACTGGGGTTCGGGTACGGGCACAGGTCTATGGTACGTTATATGCGCGATTAGATCCGGTTTCAATGGATTATAACTGGTGAACCGCAGGGCCTCGTCACACCTCTTCCAAGGGAATGATGTTGCTTCTCGGGACAGGACAACTGCGGAGTTAGCACAGTCGACCGTGAAGGATTACGTAGGAATCGACACTCGGGATGGTCTGGTCAGCATTGGTAAACGACTTGTCCAAGGTCAGTGGCTCCATTCGTCATGCGGTGCACAGCTCATGCTACGGTTCACAGACATGGACTTGGGTGGAATGAAAATATCGTGGCAAAAGGCCTTCCGCGAGGACAATGTGATTGAACGTGCAGAAGGAAGGAACGCACTGGCATTATCTGCATTCCTCCTTTCCACAATACCCACGCCACTTGCAAGGAAGGCCCTCGTCAAGCAGATGTGGGAGAGCGGCGCCGACGTCATGGTAAGCTGTCTCCGGCTCCAAGTGGGCCAGAAGCACTCACCCCCTGTTTGCATCAGGTTCTGATTGACCATAACACGACAGCTGGATTCGAATGCGTCGCGGAAGCCAGGGAGTACCTTCTCAAATTAGGTAGGAAAGAACTGGAAGACCCCGAGTTGGAGGAAGCAAGCATTCGAGGCTCTCATGTCGTTGCTCCGGTGGGATCATCATTTTCTTACCCTGGGGACTTTGACTCACCTCGTTCCATAGTGCCCCCATGACGGTGCATGCCCATTGTACAGACCGGGCACTACCAAGCTGGTGTGCAGTTTTTCACAGAGACTCCAGCGGCCAGCATTTGTGCGTAAAACGAAGCACTCGGGAGTTGGCCACGAAGATAGCGGCTATACCTACGTTGTGATACGCAGAGGCAGCAGGCCATTGCCGGTGAGCACGAAAGTCGGTCGGCTAGGCTATGCCGGGAAGCGTGAAGCAGCGAAAGCGGCCATCGAGGAGCAGCCTATCAAGGAACTTTTGGTGGAACATGAACACACGGATGATATCGCAGCGAATGCTAGCAATACTCTTCCGGCCAAGGCCGAGGAACCTGTATCAAATGATCTTGAACTTGCAGAAGAAGATATGCAGGCCGCCTTGCGATTGGAAGCGTACAACTGGCCTCGTCTCGTCTTCTCCCCTTTGAAGAAAAGCGGCCACGTTATCCTCGACGGCTGCACGGCTGAAGGTATGTCGCTCGCTCGTCGGTGCCTGCTGCCGCTCTCACACTCATCTCTAGGCAAAATCATGCGCATGACGATTCCCAAATCACAAGGCAAACAGCCATTTTACGATGCGCGGAAGTCCAACTGGGGTGACCTCTTCCCCCATGAGCCCAAGAACCGTCCTCAAGAACGGTTCCAGCCGGCCGGCAAGAACGCTCTCGTCAAAGGCGGCGATATCGGGAAGCGCAAGAAGAGTGCTCCGCAGGCAGCAAGCTACGGCAGGATCTCTGCCGAGCTGAAGGAACGCACTCAGAAAGAGAAGGAAAGGAGACGAGCGCGTCTGCTAGCTGAGGAAGTAGATTGATTCAAGTTGCACTAGTTCGCCACACTTCATTCATCATCCGAGCTCACCACTCAGTACCCAGCATATAGCATTACGACGGACTCTAATATGTACCACTATCTATGCATCCGCGATTTCAATGCCTGGACCCTGTCGAGAGCTCAGAACGACCCGTGTGATAGCAGTCGCTGCGAAATCTCAGACATGAGGGCAATGCGCTTGAAGGAATCGCACTCACGAGGCTTCTTATTCGCGCCCTTCTTTGACGTAGCATCGGGATCCACCAGATTGCCAGTTGCCTCCTTGATCACGTTCAAGAAATAGCGGACGTTTTTGACTACGTCGGTAATAGGGAAGTGCATCTGAGGCAAATTCATTCAGCAAAGGGGTTCAGTAGAAGACAGAGGGTGCTCTAACCTTCGCAATTGGTGCCCTGATTGTCCCTGCCTTGTCGCCTCTCCACTCGCTCGTGCCCTTCAGTTTCCGAATGAAGCCGGAGATGTTCGCTGTGACTGTGCCTCTACGCTCAGACGGCATGAGACCTCGAGGACCGAGCACACGCCCAAGCTTCGGTGTTATTGCACGAATCAGGTCCGGAGTGCACAAAAACAGCGTAGCCTGATGCCGACCGCTGATGACCTGCACAACACGACCGTTCGGTCATGTAGAACAAATTGTCGAGTGAGAATGACGTACACCATCGGCGAGCTCCGGACCACCGACAATGTCAGCACCCGCCCTCTTCGCCTCATCTGCCGCCTTGCCTTCCGCAAACACCAGGATGCGATCATGGCCGGTCTGTTTGGTTTCCCTCGGAAGACTGTAACGACCCCTCGGAACAGTCGTGCCCTTGACCATGAGCGTCTTGACTACAAGCTCGTAGGTGGACTCGGGTGCCGCAACCTCCACGGCCTAAAGACCATTGCCCGGTGTCAAAGGATATGATACAGCGAGGAGTGACCTGGCGTAACGCACCCGTAGCACGTTGACGGCGTCTTCCAATGTCATCTTCTCCGAGGCGTAGATGCTCTTCTTGGCTTTGAGAGCCTTTTTCCGCGCTTTAGCGGCCAGCTGCGGCTTCGTCAGAGGAACGACTTTCTTCTTGTCCCGCCGTGCGAGGACGACCTGACTGCCATGGAACTGGCGACAGCTCTGCCATGTCTTGCACCGCGAGCGTTCAGCCTAGCTTCATACGTAGTGCACGTGTGACTCACTCTGCGAATAAGTGATCCCTCGAAGGGATGGCAGCGCGCGCCCAGCTGCGCGAGGAAGGCAGACATAGTCGAGGTGAAGGATTGAGTTCCAGTTTCCCGAGACGGAAAGTAACAGACGCCCGTCACTGACGTGAGCGCCTGTCCTCCGATCTGAACATGCATTGGCAGCAGCTGGTACTTAGGGGCCAGGCGCTGAGCATTCGCGGGATTCCTCCTGCAGCCTGAGTGCGAAATTGCTATGTGTGGTTTGATCAAACAGTACACATTTGTCTCGCTTGCTAAAGTGCATACGGAAGTCATATAGGTCTGCAGCATGCCGCGGCTGCGACCCCCACCATGATTCTGTGGTTGCTAGTTCCTCTGTCAACCTGGATCCGGAGCGTTTCAACTAAGACACTAGCGGCGAGTCCGATGTCATTCATAACTCCGTGACATTATCATCCGACGGGAAGGCAGTACTTGTGAGAGACTGCACTCTTCAAAGAGACCTTTTTAGTGTCTGCCTAGACTCTAGAGGAGACTACATGGCACTGTTGACTCGGATATGAACTAATCCTAGATGACATAGTGGTCATATATATCAACGGAGTTCAAATAACCTCCTAGAACACCGACGCGAAGATACAAATTACTGAGTACCGAACACTTGTCACTTGTGCCGTCTCTCGCGGGAACGTTGAAGCGGACTCTGTCGCCTCAGCTAATCGGTATTCATTCTGGTATCCTGGGTTGTTTGATACGTCGTAGTCAAAAAAAAGTTCCGTAAACGCCTGACGGCGAACACGGAGTGTCGCAGACGTACGCGGTAATATGCTACGAGGACGCCAGCCCATGATGTTCTGTCATGACTTCCGCCGGGCCGCAGCTTGGTGAGCGCGGAGCGATTGTCACAGCTCGCCTTGACGGGCCAGCGGCAAGAGATGAGGGACATGATGGTACGATACAATCAGAGTCGCGGTCCTGCTCGTCAAACAACAGTCACAAAATCTGATCACGGAGTCTAATTAAGGTGGATGTTTTGCGTCATACGCAAGTACTAGTACCTAGGCCCAGAGTATGTCGTACGTAAGCATAGCGCGAACCCCGAGTAAACCGTTGTGCTTAGTGTGCAATTACCGAGCTCCAGCTACCAATTCGCGACATTCACTTGCTGCACTGCCAGCAGGGCTGCCAGCCCGGCGAAGGAAGCGGATAGCATCAACTATCACGTTAAGGACGGCTGCGCGAAACATTCTGCGCTCATAAATCTATTAAAAACACATTCATCCTAGCAGAGCATTCCTAGACCAGTCCTAGATAGTGTGCGAGTGAGTGAGTGAGGGCGTAGAAGGACGATCCAAATTTGTCGTTCAACCACGGCTGCCTATTTGGGATGGCGCCCGATCGGGTCTCGGAGTGCCAAAATTCTGAGGACGATCCTGAGCAGCAGCGTCGTCGACGCGGTGGCACACGCTCACGCAGAGTCGCACCCGCCGCCATGTCCTTCGCTCTCCGCGCCGTGCGAGAGGCCACTCCGCCCCTCCGCGTCGCTCAGTCCTCCGTTCGCTACGCGAGAAAAGATGCGGGTCCCGACCCGCGAGTCGAGCACATCCGCCGCGCACTCTACCCGGGCAACATCCGCAACAAGGAGACACCGATCGGGTCGTGGAGACCGAACGTCGGCGGACGGCTCCAGCGCGCGATACCCTCTGTGCAGGCGCACGAAACGATAGAGCGGGCGTGGTTCCTCCACCAGCGACACGTCCGCAAGAGACGCGAGGCGGAGCTCGAGCGCAAGCACCGGTTCATGGTGCGGGCGATGGAGGTGCTCCACGAGCTCGACCCGAAGTTGTATAAGCAAGCGAACCAGGAGGAGGACCCGAGGGTACGAAGGCCAGAGGAGATTGAATTGGCGAAGACGTTGAAGGCGCCAGAGAAGAGGGCCTTGGAGTCGAGGATACGGGGACTCTTCCCAAGGGAGCTGCGTGTACCGACGGATACACCACCACGGAGTGGGTGGAACTACGACTGGAAACCCCCCTTTCCACGTGTATAGGACGGTGAGCAGAGAAGCTGATTTCCGTTCTACTCTTGCTCATTGCCCACAAGGCATAGATGCAGCTATCTCCGTACAGGAGGCCTAACGCAATTCAGCTATACGTCTAGTCAGACTAGCCAGCCGCTCCTCACCTCCGGGAGGCCTTTGCTTACTTATGGTCAGGTTGTCAATGTTGGCGGAGTAATAGACCACTACGCGGACACGAGGCTTGCCGTCCATGGAGTTGCGCGACAGCATGCATGGTAAATTGAGAGCTACACGATGATGTACAACAAAGAAACGAACAGCATTCGGGATCCACAATCCGCTTAGAACCTTCCTCCCAGTCTCTCCATCTCACGCATTGGACCGCTGAATGGATCACTCCCAACGCCGAACGACGTGTCCGTTCCTCGGTTACCGCTCTGTGCCTTGCCGATGATGGCATTTTGCACAGACTCGAGGGCACCGGTCCATTTGTCGAGGGCGTCGTATCGTCTCTTTTCCAAGCTTTGCCTGAGGGATGGGACATGGTTATGAGGATTGCTAAAACGAAATGCACGCGAACGTACTTGGTTGAAAGCTCTAGGCGCATTGACACTTGGTCGATCTTTCCCTCGACCTTGCCCTCGAGGATCAGTCCGATGAGGAGGTCCTCCACTTCATTGTTGTCGACATTGAGTTGCTGCCGAACGATGTCAGTGCTCTTCCCTGTGTCAAAGCTGCCGGACAGACCTTGGCAAGGAACGAGAGCTCGAGACGCGTGTATGGCTTGATGAGGTCGATGAGATACTGAGTACGGAGGCTACGCAGCAGCTCTCCAATGTATGACTGGATAAACGGGTCGTCCATGGTCGTCCGGTTGTCTAGCGGACCAAGTTATCAGGATCGGCATGCAAAACAGTGACTCGCAGACCGACCTCTCAGGATCTTCTCGGCTGTATGGACCTCACGTCGCTGGTACGCATCGACGAGATCGGTCATGGCCTTAATTTGCGGGTCGTTCTTGTATGGCTTGGTCTCCTGACTGTCGAACGGGTTGACCTCGCTGCCCGTCAGCATGTTCGCGAGCACAAGATACTTCAGCACTTGGATCCGCTGCGGGGAGCCCGCCTCGTCGTAGTTCTTGAATGACTCGAAGAAGTCCTCGCTAGCGCGATTCCATTGCCCTATATCGCCAGTTCAGGCCAGATGCACATGTACGCTCAACTAGTAGGCACGTACGTTCGCCCATCCACATCTTGCCTCCACACTCCTTGATGACACCCAAGATGCGTGGGTGGGGAATCGCTGAGCGCACGGAGTTAGACGCATTGTAAATCTCCTTGAGCTTCTTGAAGTTCTTCGTCTCGTTGTGCATTTGGATCTCGAGTGCGTAGATCTCGAGGAGCTGCGTGCCCTTCTGCGCGACATCCTCGCCATCTGTACCTGCTGTTGCCAGATGAAGGTCTCGTAGAACCTGGGTTCCATCTCAGGATGCGGCTAATAGATGGTGCTTCCTGACGACAGACCTTTCCTAGCCGGGGGTACTGCTTTCTGTCGAGCCAGAGCTTCGCGAGCTTGAGGTTTGTCTTCGCTGACAGCCTCTGAAGGAAGATGAACGGCGGTACCGGGTGCCAAATACATATCACACACCTCATTCTTCGCCTCCTGCAGGGCGGCCTTCGTAGCCTGGTAGAACTTCTCAAGCACATCCACCTCGACCGGGCCACCCTTCCCACCGCCGACGTAGTCCAAAATGCCGTTGATAGTCTTCTCAGAGTAGTTGCGGGTGACGGCAGACTTGGTGTACGTGAGCAGCTCGTTATATGTTTGTAGCGCATCGTTTGGTCTGTGAAGCTGTAGGAACAGTATCTTTGTCGATTGCTTTAGCGCTTTGAACCCCCTGGCATATACAAGGGCGTTAACGAAACGGACAAGTCGCCAGAAAGAAAGACCCACCAGTCTCCCTTCTCTTCCTCCTGATCTACTATCACTCGGAATTCCTTCAATGCCTGCTCTGGGTTGTCTTCCTTCTTCGCTTGGAGGGTGTCGGTACAATAGGCAAGGTACGCGCACGGGACCACTTACACTTCGCCGTATAGTACATGTTCTCCACATCTGCACTGGCGGTCGCATCCTCCTGATCATCATCGGAGTAGTCAAAGCCGTAGTCCTATATACTGGGCAGTGAGGCTAGCGTCGAAGACAGGTGCACGGCGACCGACCTCGTCGTCGCTGCCTTGCATGTAATCGGCATCATCGTCATCCATGGTTTACTCAGTAGCAGTGCCTCAGATCTGAGCTTGTCGGTCAGCCTGCCTCGACTTGACACACAAGTATATCTTACACGAAGGTCTGGATGAATATGCAAGGAGGTCGGCAGCAGGAGGTGAGGCTGCTTGTGGCGGTCCGCGTACGCGTTCGGTGGTTTCTTGACGCCCGGGACGCGCATTATCGCACGCGTCGCGCGATCAGATCTCTACTACACACACCATCTGAGATTGACCCATATAACGGGTACAATGATCCTGCTGCACTCGTTTGAGGGTTCTATTCGGCGTATGCAGACTCAACGTTCAATGCTCGGAGGTATAATCGCAACAAAAGCGCGGAATTGGTCGTTAGCAGAGTGCTGTCTCTGGATGCCAACCGGCGCTGTCCTGCGAGCACGTGACATGTGTACTCGATCTGTGGCGGACAAAGTAAGGCTACTAGACGGACGGACAACTGCAGTCAATGCCAGACCTTAGTCTGTTCCTCTTTCTACACGAATTACTTCCTTGAATTCACCGCAGTGGTCGAAGGCATGCATTCACCTACGCAGAAAGAACAGGAGGATGTCGAGATGCTCATGGGCCTGATGGGCAACGCGGTGTCCGCAGAGGTCGCGTTCAAGGTCTTGCGCAAACACAAAGGCGATATGGACAAGGCCGCCAGTGCCTTGATTGAGGGCGATGTAGGGGAGACATCCTCAGCCATGGACACACCGCTATCCTGGGCAGGGGGCTCAGCTGTTCAAGGGCCGCGTACACCTCCTCGTAAGTGTGTTACTTTAAGGCAGCGCAATGAGGAAACTTAGCGATGTATGAGCCTCCAAGCCTGAGCAAGATGCTGCAGTCATCGACCTGACTGCGGACGACGAAGACAAGGAGCTGTCACGGGCATTGCAGGCATCACTAGAAGACACAGGAACACAGTTTGGTCCCAGCAATCGGGCACCAGACCCCGATTGGGCTGTCGTTCCTTCCAATGTATGGGTGTTACGATGAGCATCCGTCAGTCTGAGAATGAACGTTCACGTACAATCATCTAGGTCGCAACTTCCGGCGTAGACCCTCAGGATGAGTCGCTCAGCCGAGCAATCGCAGCGAGCTTGGAAGATGCTCCTAGTCTGGACTACTATGAGGAGTCCCCACTAGAAGAGAGACTACGAAAGGATAAAAGGTAAGGTCCATCGTATGTATGAACCAATATGTCTTTATCACTGACAATGCATCTGGCAGGCCTGTTGCGCTTCGTCCGACGAGCTCGCCTATGGCCTACGCGGGATTGCTCCTCCAATCCTTGTACTATGTCCCGCATCTACGTCATGCGATTGCGCGCTGGAGCCACATATACGCTCAGAATAATTCCCAATGCGAAGAAGGGGAGAACGCAGCCATGTATGGCCCAGGTTGGCATCTGAGCGTCCGTAGATTCTATCCTAGAAGACTGACTTGAGGTAGATCTGCTAATGTGGTCTATGGGGGAGATATTCACGAACATGGAACTCGCCCTTCTGAGCGAGCTCAACTCGGATCATGTCATACAGGCGTTCTCCCCGGATCCGTGGGGCAGTCCCATCGAACATCCTGGCGACCCGACCTTCGGTGCGTCCCCAGCAGTGACGCCTCTCATATATGTACTCACCAACAGACACACCGATACCAGCATTCTACAGCCGTATCGCGCGTACAGTTGAGCTGTCTGTTCAGGACGAGCCACCAGCAGACTCCGCACCGCAATGGCCGAGGTAATAGCTCTCTTAAAGTGCTAAAATGCAGACGCTGATGCACTGCCGCATTTTCCAGCCGGCTGTTCCACTTCCGCTACGGCGTGAGCACCGAAAACCTTAGCAATGTGCCCTTCGACGATAAGTGCGACCTCTCCGTCGTCAAGGTCGACGTGCGCGGGACCGAGGACGCGAACGACCTCATCACCTGCCTCTCATCCGAGCTGAACCTCAGAGGCGCCGCGACACCCCCGACGAAGCAACGCGTGATCTTCGAGCCCTCGGAGATCGTAGCCTTCCAGCTCGTGCGCGAGAATATGCTGCCGTCGTACGAGACATCCATCGGTGCGAGGACGGAGCGCACGACGTTCAAATATCCGAAACACGTGTATCTGGACCAGTTCCTTGCACAGAACCTGGAACTGGGGAACCGGCTAGGGGAGAAACAGCAGAGACTCATGAAGGAAATCGAGGAGCTAACGGCGAAGAAACTCACCCTGACCCGTCACAAGGTACCAAGTTCACGCTTCAGCGTCAATCCAGTCAGAAGCTCTGAAGTATATTCGTTCTACCAGGACAGGGACACGCTTCTGGACTTGCGTGCATCTTTACACTACTACGAGAATGTTGCTGAAGATGATGGCGACGCGACCCGCAAAGATACCATACAAGAAATGGCCCTCAAGCTTCGCAAGACCCTCACTCGCATCGAGAATGAGCTACAGAGTAAGATCCATTTATTCATCTCTGCAAGCATTGCTCTCATCGACGCCAGGCATCGACGCTTCCATCACGAAGTTGAAAGACAAGGCCGCGAATCTTTTTAATAGACCGGAGCTGCAACAACACAGGGTGTGTGATGCTTCTCACAGACTTTGCAGGTGGCTGATGATATTGGGTAGTACGACCTGAGGGTCGTCCTGGTCCATGACGGTTTGTACGGAAGGAAGCACCTATACTCCTACGTCAAAGAAAAGGGGATGTGGTGGAAGACGCAAGACTACATCGTCACTGAGGTCTGCCACAATCAAAGCTCTTTGTATGATGATCGCTGAACAAGCTTCGACAGGTACCCGAGGAGACGGTCCTGAACGACATTGTAGGCCTGCACCTCGGCGCCGGCCCATACTTCCTTATCTACAGTCGTGCACTGACAGAAGAGGAGGAGAATACGCGGGCGCAATGGCTCGAGGGCGTTAAGGTCGGAATGTCCATACAGATACTCTTTCCTCCAACAACTGACGCCTTCTCTATAGAACAACGTGAAACATAATAACCAAATGTTCCTCTCGCAACTTCCATCACAGCTCGCGTCGCAAGTGCAGGACCCCAACTCACCGCCCACAACCCCATACCGCTCGCAAGCTCCATCGGAATACACGATATCTTCTGGGACGGTTGAGCCGCCTGAGTCCAGAGAAGAGCCCATGGACGTAGATACTTGAGGCTTGTACGTAGCGATACGACGATGAGTGATTCGGAGTCTACATCGAGACGAATATTACCGCAGGCGCATGTGAGTTCGCCTTGAGCAGCCACCGAATTGTCATGTCCCGGTCAACATTGAACGACTTGACTACACTCGTATTGCAACCATCAGAATCCAGAGTTACTTTTGCAAGCGATAAGATACATGACAGCAATGCGACACGATAAGCAGTACAGATGATACACAGCGAATAATGTTTACGACGTCTAACTCAACTTCATCCTCTTGCTCGGCTGCGGTGTGCCCTTGTCACTGCCCTTTCGCTTCATGGCAGTCGATTTGAGACCCGACGCCAGCTCCTTGTACTTGTTCCTCATGACGACGGCGATCCGTCCGACCTCTGATTCGGCTCCGTTGAACGTTATGGCGTTGTTGATCATGAGGTCCATGTCTGCCTCCCAAGCTTCCACGCAATCGTACTTGTCTGCGTCCAACTTCTGACGAATGGTCCGAAGATCGCGGGCATCCTTGCGTGGAATGATATCGAAGTACGTCGGGATACCCAGCAGCTCTGGGTCGACGGGCTCACGAAAGACGAAGGAACTGTGCAACGACGTCAGTGAATGGAACACAATAAACGATGACTAAACGTACATTGGATCAGCGACCAACTTGTTCATGATGGCCTGGAGACTACGCTTCTCGTTCCATGCGAGCTTCTTCTCCATAGCCTTCGCCCATTCCTTCTTGAACACCCGCTCAACTACATCCGCGCAATTGACTGGATAGGTCGTGGGCGGATTGAACGTGCGGCAGTTACGGAAGATGTGCCCGACGTCTCTGGCGAAGTCTTCCATAGTCGTATAAGTACCCTCGCTTAGCTTGGTCGACATCGTGCCGAAGTCCATCGGTTCCTTGATCTCGTCGTAATAGCTACAAGTGGCAGTCAGTCAGACGCGTTGAACGAGACGTCCCGTATGATGGTACTTACGTTGGGCACCCATCCATTATAGGATCGACCGGCTTCAAGAAGATGCGAGCTTCTGGTACTTTCATCAACATCTTCAGAATCTCCCTACACTTCTTCTCGTTTACAGGAGTGGCCTGAACGACAGCCTTCTTTGGCTTAGCTGGTGTCGTTGCTCGTGGCGTGACCACCGGCGTCGCGACTTCCTTCTCCTTGCCTTTAGCAGAAGCGCGCTGAGGGACTTCTGTGGCTGGTTCGGAGGGCGCTACAGTAGTTGCTTTGACAGTCTTTGCCTTGCTTGTCTGCACGGCACTGCCATTGGTGTGGGGAACACCGTTGTGCCTCGCTTTAGGGGCTGGCGTAGATGCAGCAGAAGACTGTCCTGCAACGGGCGTAGGTGGGGCTGGCCGCTCCTTCTTTGACGGTGTCGCAAGGGCAAGTATCTCGTCTTCAGTTTGATCTTCAAATGGCTTCTTGCGTTTGCCGATGACGAGCTTCGGAGCATGCTTCTCCTTCTCCTTCTCCGTAGAGTGGGTGGTTCGCTGCTTGCGTCCCTGGTCTTTCTGCCTCTCGATAGCGATGACCTCTTCCAGCAGGTCGGCCGAGCCATCATCAATCACGGGCGTTGGTGGGCGTGGGGGAGGTGCAGGCTCGCGTGGTTGAGCCTTCTTGCCCTTGGCTTTTGTAGCTGGTTTCGAGGGTGTCTCTGACAGCGTTGCTCCACCCACCTTCAACTTGATGGACGGTCGCGACGCAGCGGGAGTTGCTGACGCAGGCGACTCAGCGGGCCGTGAGTCAGAGGGGGCACGAGTAGCTGGGGCTGCTTTGACAGGGGCCGGCGGAGGATTCGCAGCCCGCGGCTGTGCGGCGCGATCTGCAGCTTCGAGGGTCTTGTTAATGCGCACCCATTCTGAGGAATGAAAGTCAGGAATGTAGCTGACGTTGCAGCAATCGGCACATACGCTTATCGAAGAACGTCTCCAATGCTAGAGCCTCATTGTAGACGTAGGTGCCGGGTGGGTTGTAAAACTTGGCATTACTGATAACCAGCCGGAAGTCGTCCTCGAACGCGAACCGATCCTTGTACTTCCCCGACTCAAGTTTGGCGTTCATAGTGCTTAGATCCATGGGGTTCTTGATGACCTCGAAGTAGCTGGAGACAAGGTCAGACCAAAGACGTCCACTATACCAGAGATTAACGTACCTAGGAGCATGGTCCCGCACAGGATCAACAGGCTGCAGGAAGACAGTGGCACGCTTGTGAGTTTGCAGCTTCTTGAGGGCGTTGCGACAGGCTCGAAGGTCGTTCAGGCTCATGCCAGCCGACTGAGCTTTCGGGACGTGCTGCGGTTTCTTCTTCTCTGGTGCGGGCGCTTTCTTAGGCGGAGGAAGCTTCGGCACAGTAAAAGTATCCCGTCTGTCGAGTACAGGACTTGCCGCAGCGCTGTGTGTCCTTGTAGAGTGATCACCTTGCACGCTACTAGGAGGAAGCTTGAGCTTCGGTGTTCCCGCAAAGGGTAGAGTCGGAGTCCGGGTAGGGGGACCTCCTGTCGTCTTGATAGTAGGACGAGACTTGAGTGGAAGTTTGACGGAGGGGATAGGTGGTGCGGACTCGGTGACAGGAGTAGGCGGAAGGTGAATGGTGACTTTAGGTGGAGCCTCCTCGGCACCGCGAATGAGCAGGTCCGCGACCTTCAGCAAGCACCACCGAACTTCATGGTCCGTCTCGGGTGCTCTGCGGGCAAGATCAGTATTCTGCCAGGAACAAGGAAACCGACGACATACAGGGCAATAGGCATCAAAGACTCTCTAATCACTTCGCTCTTTCCGAGCTCCCTGTCCTTCCTGAACGCCTTGATCATCAAATCCATGTCACTCTTCTTGTTCTCCTTGGCCTTCTCCGCACCATTCCCATCCTCCTCGATGAGCACGGACTCCGTCTCCTTCAGGGTCTTGACCTCGCCCATGGATACAAGGAGTGCGAGACTGAGGCAGGCGTTCTGCGCGACGTGCCGCCGAATAATCCTCGAAGGATCGTTGGCCGTGACCGCGAGGATGTAACGCATGACCTTCGGTGTGTACCATTTCGTGAGGAACAGGTAATCGAAGGCCGCCATTCGAACTTGAGTGTAGTTGCCCTCACTGATGGTATATCAGTATATGTGTGTCCACGGCGCCATATATAGTGACCCACCGTGTCAGGGGGAAGAATGTGCGAGGGTCATGAGGAATAAGGTTGGCGACACTGAACATCAGGTGAAACTGGAAACCGAAGTTGAGTTTGGACCACCACAAGGGGCACGAAAGCGAGGCCTACCTCGATGACAGCAACAGTCACCACGTTATGGTACGTCGGTATCAACCTGTCCATGCTTCGATAGCGGTCTACCTCCGCGAGGGCTTGCTTCAGTAGTTCCGCGTCTTGGGCATCCTGTACAGGCTGGGAATCCGTAGCGGTGAATTCGCCACGCTCCGGCGGCACTGTAGAGATGGTGGCGCACGCCAAGGCAGAGATTACGGTGCAGATGTAGAACGCATCCGAATACTGGAGCAGAGGCTTGATGAATGCACGACGAACAGAAGTCAGTCGTTCGACTTACAGGATTGGAGGTATTGTCGTTATACCGCAGCTGGTCAACGAGGAACTGCCTGATGATAGGCGGCGTCTTCCCGTTCTCGAACCGGACTCTCGAGATGGCCCGTATCAAACTCTGCACGCGAACGCGATGAGAAAACAACAAAGCCAACAAACAATGACGGCACCTTCCGCACGAAGTACTCCGCGTAGTCACTGAAGTCGTTGGGTCTTGGCACGTACGTATGGCTGAAGAGGTCGGGCTTGGGGTTATCCGGTTCGTAACAATAGCGCAGGAAGAGTTTGAACAGATGGAACAGGCCCAGCCATTCCAGCCTCTGTATTGCGCACTGCGAGCAGCGAATGAATAACACACCCAGTGCTACCTATAGCCATACTTACTGATACGAGGGCTTGGGCCGCCTCAGAACGTATCCGGTAGTAGTAGTTCGATACAAGCACTGTCTTGGTGAGCGTGCTCGAGATGATGGGATTTTGCGCCTTCGATAGCTCTTGGATCGCCTAGGGAACGCGCCGATAAGACTAGGTCAAAGAGCACGGACAAAGCCAACCGCACCTCATATTGCGCCACAACATCTCGATCTCGTTGCAGCTGCGACACCCACATGTAGTCCTTCTGGTCGAACGCGATCGCCGCGATCCACTCAAAATCCGCGTCAATCCGGATCCACTCGTAGGTTTGCCCTGCCATGTTCTGCTCGTCTTCCTCAGTCCAGTCGGCCACTTTCCAGTTCTCGCGCTCCTTCTCGTTCTCCCAGATCTCGAGCCCGAAGCCCATGTCGACCATGTCCATCGCCGCGGCGGCCTCGGCGTCACCTTCCGCAGCAGCCTGAGCGGCGGCCTGCCGTGCTAAGTACCGCTTCGTGTTCCGCCGTACTCGCTTATACTTGGTGTTGAACGGAACTTCATAGCGTTTGTATGGACTACGGATGTCGAGAACGTGTTCGTACGGGGTCCCATCGGCCTCGTGGATACGGATGGTCATCTGGCCCTGTGGTCATGGTTCAGCCAACAGCAATCTCCGGTGGAAGTCTACGCACCTCAAAGAACGGCACGGGCTTCATGAGCGCCTTTCCAACCTCGTTGTTCTCGTGTACTTTGAAAGCCGGGGCATCCTGGCGCATCGAGATCTCGACGGCCATCTTCTTTCGGTTGAAGGTCGCCGAGAACCCGAACGTAGGGCACCCACTCCCGTAGATCCACTGTTCCGCGAAGGAACGTGGGTCGATACCGCTCACCTTGCGACATGTCCGCAGAAATGAATGGGTCGAAATGAGGTTGTTTGGCATCTCGCCGCTGATAGCGGACAAGAACACCTTGGGAAGGACTCGAGACAAGCCCAGAGAGGTACCCGACTTGCCAAGACGCCGATCCAGGATGTGAAGGACAAGCGGTGCCTTCAAGTCAATGAACGGCAATGTGACGGAGTCGGGGGGATCCAGCTGCTGTGGTTGGCAGATGGGTGGCATGGAACCGTTGTCCAGTTGAAGCACGCGTTCCATGTCCTTCTTGAGCTTGAACCGGTACTCGTTATTACCGAGCAGCTTGCGAGTGAACAGACCCGCGATGTACAAACCGAGGCCATTAACAAGCCAAGTGTCCGACCATGTCTTCGGCTGGATGTTGATACCCATCCACTGGCAGGCGAGCGCGTGGCTCAGGCAATGTCGGGTCTCGAAAACCTGGTCTATGGCGTCCTCGCCGTATAGCAGGTCTACGGTGACGAGGGAAAGGGTTGCACTATCGAATCGTTGCGTCGGCATTTCATCCACGAAGACGAGCTTGTGAGAACCGAATGGGTAGGAGCCGAACTCTGTTGAGTAATAACTCATGGCAGAGCGCATGAAGGAAATGGAGTTCGCAAGGAGCCCTTCATGACCCGGGAGACAAAATGCGTGCATGAGCGGCTGTGTAGTGCCAGAGGCATCTTCGGCAGCACTGAGATCGGCTGGTATGGGATGAACGTAAAATGGCCCAGCAGCAAAAGCGATGTGTTGCACCGACGTCAAGGTACTCTGCGAGAAGAGAAAGATCGTCTTGTTCGAGTTGTACGGATGAGCGACTTGCTCCACCAGCTCTCCGCTGCAAACGACGACTGTGGGACTCTCGCCTTCCAGTGGCTCTTCGTCGTCCACGGGTGTGTCCTCCCGTTGCTCCAGGAATCTTGGAACGACGAATTCGAATTCCCACGTGCATTTCTCCCATAGATTGTCAATGCAGGGCACCCAGCATCGGGCAGCGTCGGGACATGAGGGCGTGGTGTATACATGGGGCACGCGCTATTCCATTGTCATCAGACAGTGTGGCGATCAGAGAAACGAGTACTTACATAGGGATATGCATCAGTCGGGAGCACAAACTGCAGTCCATCCGCAGGATTGCGTACGCTGTAAGCAATATTCACGGTGATAGGATTGAACTCTGGCACAGGGAGCGTTGGCTGAAACATCGGCCCAGGTGTCTGAGGTTCCGGAGTTGCAGCTAGCACAAACCTTGAGCATGTATGTAGACGACAGACATTCTGATAACAGACCTTCGCTCATGATGCCCGCCGCAATGTGTCCTGACTGCCTGAAGGACACCTCCCTCGGTATCGCGATCGACAGTTCGCCCTCGTCACCTTCGGCCAGGGCAGAATACACCTTGCGCTTGAGTTCTGGGTGGACGTGGACATCCTGGGGGTTGGAGATGTTGAGATTGGCGAGGGGGTCATGATAGACAAAGTCGGCAGGATGGGAAGCGACGGTGACAGAATGTATCGCTGAAGACTCATTCAGCTCCTGAGTACCTCAAATGAGCCGTCGTACGTACTGCACTGCCTCGAATGGAGGTGAAGTGTCTTCAAATCTTTGCTTGCAGGGACTACGGTGAGTTCTGTGTAGCCCTGTAGAGATGTTAGCTAACTCCGTCTCTAGTCAGAATCAGCGGCCGCATACCCATAGACTGCCGGAGAAGTCAATCTCCAGCACAACCTTTTGGTGGCTAGTAGAGACGAGAAACGGTGTCAGCACGCAGTGGACACAAGGGAGGAGGAAAACACGTATATGGTGAACCCTCTGCGAACATGTTCCCGTTGCATCTTCGGACGTGTCGATGGCCACCGGACCTACGCGGAAGGCTGGCAAACGTTTCTGGACGTGATTAAGTAGCAGTAGAGCGAGTATGAGAGGAAGAGAGAAAGCGCGGTCGACGCGGCGACAAGCAGCGTCGTCGAGGCTGAGAGAGACCTCCGCGCCGCTGCGACGACGTTGGAGGTGATTACGTAACTTCGCGTGTGACAGAACAGACGCCCATGGACTGTCCGATTGGCGCCCATTCCTCGTGGATCGGAATCTCATCTCGCTCAGAAATCTGGTCAAAGTACTCCGAGTCTACCAGCCACAGTACATATTCCTTCGACCCGACCCAACATGCCGCCCAAATCTATATTCCGTCAGCCCGGGACACAACACTTCCAACTCGTACATCGCTCGCAGCGCGACCCTCTCATTCACGATCCCGAGGCTAGTCAGCATGTCCTGAAGGCGTTCGAGCGAGGCAATGTAGCAAAGGTGCGCGCACACTCCGCGTATGTCGCCATGGAGTATTGATGATCGCTGGTGCAGGGGAAGTCCAGGGCTGAGCTGGAGAAATCTCTCGCACCGTCAGAGCTTGCTCACGACAAGGACCGAGCGAACATCGGCGAGGCAACACTCTACGGGGTTTACTACGATGACACCGACTATGACTACATGCAACACCTTCGTCCTGTCGGCATGCAGGAAGCTGGGGTCGATAGCATGCTCATCGAAGCTCCTGTCAAGCCCAAGGGCAAGACCAAGTCAAAGGACCCCATAAAATTGCTGGACCTGCCCCCGGACGTTCTTCCATCTACCTCGGAAATATCCAGGAATTACGAGGCTCAACAGAATATCCCTTCTTCGATAGCTGGTTTCCAACCCGACCTCGACCCTCATCTCAGACAGACTCTTGAAGCGTTAGAAGACGATGATTTCGTAGACGATGACCTAGACGATGACTTCTTCGGTGTACTCGTCGGCGAAGGAGAACTTGCACCTGAAGAACACCTCAAGTTCGAGTTCAAGGAGGAGGGTGTTGAGAACGGGGACGTGGGAACTAAGGGCGAGCCGCACGCAGAGGCGGCTGAGGATGAGGAGGAGGCAGGATGGGAGGCTCGCTTTGCAAAATTCAAGAAGGCGCAGAAGGAGGCACCTCCAACCGATGCATCGGACATCGACGATTATTCTGAGGGCGGGGATACCGTTGGGACGCTTCCTCAGTTCTCCGTCATTGGAGGCAAGAAACGGCGAAAGGGTTCCTCAGATGCTTCGGGATACAGCATGAGCAGCTCCTCGATGTTCAGAAACGAGGGCTTGACTATGCTCGATGAGCGATTCGAAGAGGTACGCACTCACTATGGGTCGACACACCCTCCAACTCACCGCATGCGACACAGATCCAGAAGCAATACGACTCAGACGAGGAGGAAGAAGAGGACGGCCCGTCGGATGATTCCGACGAGGCCCCGGAACTCATCACTACCCGCGAGGACTTCGACGCCATGATGAACGAGTTCCTCGACAACTACGAGATCCTCGGCGGAAAGATGCGCCCCATCCTCGCCGGAGACACCGCGACGGAGAAACTCGACACGATCCGTAAAGCGCTCGGGAAGGCGCGGTTGCGCAACGACGATGAAGACAACAATAGCGAGGCCGATGACATCCTGATGCCTTTAGACGTCGACGAGAAGCAGGAGCGATGGGATTGCGAGACTATCCTGAGTGAGTCGAGCACACCGCTGCTCTACGTCTCATTCTGAATTTAGCTCTCTTGTAGCAACGTACAGTAACCTAGAGAACCACCCGCGTCTGATTAAGGCACGACAGGACAAACCTGTCAGGAAAATCCGATTAGACCCAAAGACGGGTCTACCAATCGTCGATGGGAAGCAGCCCCATTCGCGAACAACCACTGATTCGGCATCCGAGTCGGAGTCTGAGGACGACTCACGACGTTCGTACTTGTATCCCACAATCAGACTGTCGTACTAACTTCAGCACACAGCACGAGTCACGATTTCCCGGCCCAAGAATGAGTCCAAGGAAGACAAGCAGGCTCGCAAGCAGGCCGTCAAGGCGGAGCGCCAACAACGCCGAGTCGATAAGAAAGCAACCAAGGAGCAGTTTTCTTCGGAGGCAAAACGGCAGAACCGGACATTAGCCAACAAGGAGAAGACCAAGGCGCGCAAGCTATGATGCATCGAACTACGTGTAGACGTCCTTTTGTACATAGGTGTTCCGGGCAAAAGTACTGTACGAGGATGACATGCAGGGTATCCGATGTGACGGCATTGGATGGGATCATTGTAATGTTACACGGACGTGGATGAGGGATGATCACGAAAGCAAGATGAGGCAATGGCAAACGTCAAGAGTTCGTTGAGAGGTCGTGTTGGATTCAGTTCGTTTACCAGTCTGGCCACAAGTCAAGAAGGGCGTTGCCTTCTTCCTCTGGAAAGTCGTGCTGCTTCATCCACCTATCTGGCACCTGTGAAATAATGCGTCGGGATTCAAGCGTTGTGTCATAACGGTGGTCACTAACCAAGGGGAAATATCGCTCCATCGCACTGAGGAAGCGTTGCCTGTACTGCTTCGGGCCGATGATAGTAGGCTCGCCCTTGGTTCCTCCCCCAAGGAAGGCAGAATCCTTGACCCAGCTTTCCAGCTTCTTATCCCAGGTATACGTGCGGATGTAGTCTATATAGCCATGAGTTAGCCGTTCTCGTACTGCTTGTGACTGAAGTCACATACCGACAATCCCAACGACCAGTTCATTATTGGTGCTATCCACACCTACAACCAAGGAGTAGTCCATGACATTGATGTCAGCAAGGAACTTGCTATCGTTGTATAGAGCGCCCCGGAGGATGCGCTTAGAGTGTTCGCGGAGGTAGAAAGGAGACAAATGAGCAGCTAGAGGAACTCGATGAGACTAACGCGAAGACACCCGGGTAAACACGTACTCTCTACCAAGTTCTCGTCTAGCAGTACTTCGTTCTCCCGACCGGTCGCGTGGACATGGCGGTTGCGAGTGGAGCCTTTCAGGTCGTAGATCTACGTTGGATGTTTAATCTCTAGCTTATAGAAGAAAACAACATGTGTCTTACCTTCGAGAAACGGCGATCATAGAACAGATTCTCCATGACCAGCAGATTCATCTGTGTCACTTTAGCTTTGCTGGTGCCTTCGTGACTATGGGTCTTGCGGAATGTAATCTTGAAGCAACCAAAGATCTTCGCGAGCAATGTAGGCCGCTGCCACACCGGATCAAGTCAGTCGTCTACGTCACTTGTTCATGGGGGCATATGTACTCACGTCTGCCACGACAGCCGACGACATGTAGTCAAAATAAGCGGGGCCAAAAGTCTCCATGGCTTGCAGCTCAGGACGTGACAGACCCTTCGCGATGAATCGGTCATCTGCGCTTCAGTCAGTCGACGCTCTGTTAGGAGGTAGCAGGGGACGCACCGAGGGTCTTCAAGAACACTGATCCTGACTTGCCTCCGCTGGTATTCCACTTCACGCACCTCGAAAGCGACTCGATCATGCTGCGCTCACAGTCATACGTACGGCGGAGCGCGTCGAATTGTTCTGGGAAAAGGACCGTGCAGCTGATAGTCAAGCCACCGCTCTCGAAAGCTACCAAGAGGATGAGTGAGACTCAAGGTTGCAGCTAGGCGCACTCACAAATCGCCCAAGGTTGCTTCGAGGACGGAACTCGCAAGTCCTGCGTAGGATCCCAGTCGTCTGAACTGTCCACATTGACAACTCCCCAGGTAGAAGTCGACTCGGCGACCGATTTGTCGTCAGGCATGAAGGCTTCACCACCATCGGTCAGCCTCGGCTCCTTTGTCAGGCGCTTCTCCGCTCTCGATCTCGACAACATATCACGGTACTGAGGAGAGCTATAGGAACAGAAGCAGGCCATTCAGCAAGATATTCCGTAAAATGACATGATGACTTACTTCAAAGCGAGTGCAATGATAGACGTTGGTTCATCAGTCCTGACGACCATAGAGGAATGACGGAAGATGTGTTCTGGATCAGACATTGGGTCTTCAGCATCCGCCTCTGTACGCTGCCGGGGTTGAGGGACCGGTTGTGGCCAGAATCCGGATAACGCTTTCAGGATAGAATGCCGTTCAGTACCTCCAGGCCCGACTTCGAGCTCCGGAGCCGGGGACGTCGGGGGTGCAGGACCATGTGTCATTGCTGTCAGCACTGGTGAACTTGAGACAGAAGGTGCGGTCTGGTCAGGAACCTGAACGGAGGGTACAGATGGCTGTTCTTCCGATTCGACTTGCTTCGTCTCATCCGGAACAGTGCTTGGAGTCGCAGTACTGTCCGGTCCTGTCTTTGCGGACTCCTCCGTAGTTGCGTCAGCCATAGGCGATTCTGTGCGCTTTTTCTGCTGTGGTTCCTCTTCGCCCTCCCCTTCGTCATCAGCTTCACTTGAATCCGAGCTCTCAGCCTCATCACGGATAGCGTCTTTGATGCTATCCAAGACTTCGACTTTAGCTCGAGCGTTTGCGACTGGACGAGGGCGTCGTCCCCGAATGACGGCGTATCGGCGGGTCGTACGTTCATTGTCCCGACTGATACGTTCAAAGTGTTTGGCGATGTTGGAAACTTTACTTCCTGCACCAGGTTGCCTCCTAAAAGTAGGCTTCGGACCGGAGCTACTAGTAGGACGAGCGGATGACGACTTCTCCGCACCCAGACCGCGTGCAGTGGCCTTCCCCTTCTTCTTCCCGCTAACAATCACCGAGCCGGAGCGGGACAATGGAGGGGAGGTCTTCCCTGTCTTCGAGGCTGCGTCATGACGTGAGCTAGCTGTCCGTTTGTCCGGCGAGGTCTGCCTTGATGCAGCACGGGAGTCGCAAGATGAGACTAGAGGCCCTGGAATACGACTTCCATGTGGCCTCTTAGCGTGCGTCAGGTACCGCGGAGCAACGTTGGCGGCATATCCAGACTCGAAGTCGGAAATAGAGGGTTTTGACCTGAGAACTTGTCGGCGAGGTTTTGTGCGCACGCGGGGAGGGATGTCGCTTGAGCCCTCCTGATCGCTGTCCGAAAGAACAGAAGTCGGAGGGAATGCAGTTTTGGTCAGTTCTTCTACTCCCTGCGCGGGCAGGAAGTCCTGGTATTTCTTGATCAATTCTGCGACGTTCGGATAATGGAATGAACGCCTAGGTAATTTGGACAGCTGGGACGAAGAGCGATCAGCACCCGCCTTGTCTTGACCAGGCTACAGACGTTTGTTAGTGACGTTGCATACAGAGATACGTAGATTCACTCACAGCTGGCGGAGACATCATAGTATCCGGCGAGAACGCCTCTCCCCTATCAACACCTATGGTGGAGTCGCTGTCACCATCGGATCTGGGACTCGGCTCTATGACAGCCACGACGGGTTGCGCGTCCGCCACTGGTTGGGGTATCTGTTGAGGTACGGGCGTGGCTTCTGACGTTTTCTCGGAATGAGTCTCCGACTCTGAGGCATCTGATGCCGACGAATTGGACGTGAAGGAGTCACCGGTAACTCGTCGGATGGTGATAGGTGCGTTGTCCTCAGCCTCAGAGACGTTACTGTCTTTCTCCAGTGACCCATAATGTGCATAGTGTCCAGGCTTCCGTGGCGCGGGGAAGAATCCTCTGACAGACCCAAACGCAGACGTTTTGCGGCTCCCGCGATCGAAAGGTTGCGTGAGCCTGGGCTTCGGGAGCTTGTCGAAGTCTTGCTGCCATGCGACGATCTTGTCCTGTCGATACGCACGGACCTGATTCAATGCAAGGGTATCTGTCGGCGGCGTCTCTCGGTAGATCCTGTTGATCAGCCTGGCGATGTCCTGTTTTTCCCATTCTGCTTTGGTGATCAGCAGGTTGATCTCAGCGGTCAGTCTCGCGTCTGCGTCCTCATCCCCAGTCGCGGCATCGATGTTGATGAGCTTGAGGTCGTCAATCAGAGCCGAATACCAGAGCTCATTGCGGCGATGAAGGCGCTCAAAGTCGGAATTCCTGATCTCTAGCTGAGTTTCAGGGCGGACGCGAATGCGCATAGGTGGGTAGACGACCTCGTGTAGCGTGATAGGGTCCGCTTGGAACCGCACGGTCATGCCTCGAATGGCGAAGTATCGAATGTGGTGCTGGTAGATGTTGTGCTGGCATCCTGCTCCTTGGACAAGCTGGACGTCCGCTGGGTAGAAGTGGAGTTCCAAGAACTTCGCAAACGAGTACCTCTGCATCTCTGGGGAGACGGGAATGAAAGGCGTAGCTGAGCGGCATAGCCGACAAGCGCTCCAGGTGATGATGCCTTCGTTGGCGGATGTACGATTGATGATCTGCCCATCCCACTGTTCGACTGCGACGAAGAGCCGTGTCTCGTTGTGGACAAAGACCTTGCCGTGACGGGCAAGCGGTTCGTTGCAGCTCTTGTTCTCGCAGATCGCCTTCGGGTCCAGGAACAAGACAAGGGTATCCATGACGGCCTTCTCAATGAACTGGCCTAGAGTGCAATCGTTCTCCCCATAGAAGGTGATATACTTCAGCTTCGGAGGGAAGCACGCCCTGTGGAGACCAAGCTCGGTGGTTGGCATGGTAGCCTCCCACAAACTGATGCACTGGTACTTCTCCACATTGAAATCGTCGTTGTTCTTGCGGAGGTACCACTCCCAGATCCTCCGCTGTTCAGCATGCTGCCACTTTACGTAGCTGAGACGGCTCTCGAGTCGTATGTCCTCGACCGTCTTCAGCTGTGTCGGGGCCTCCTCGGCGGGCGTCATAGGGACTGGAGAAGCTGCAACGACCTGCGCCACTGTCGGTGTGAGGTCGAAATAGCCGGGCCCGCCGGGTGACAAGTTCGAGGCAATCGGCGTGATGAGGATGTCAGGCATCTGCAACGACTCGATCTGGGCCGCAACATCGTTAGGATCAGGAGTCACCGCGCGACTCGCGGTGATAGTCGCCTCCTGACCATGCGTTATCGTCTCTTCCTGCCTATGCTCGGATGAGGCTTTCTCCTCCCAGCGTACAATTTCGTCCTCCCATTCTCGCTTCACGCGGAAAAGCCCGTCGTCAAGCTCCTTCATCCGCCGTATAGGATATGGAGGTGGAAATCGGAGCGTGGCGGACACCGATATGAATGTCCTACGATATGGCTCGAGAGATACTTCGATTCGCGTAGAGAGTCGTAGCTGCTCCGCCTCCTCGTCGGGGAGGTCGTCCATATTGGAGTGGGCATCAACATGATTCTCGGATATGCCGGTCAGAGGTGACGAGACCGACTGCAGCATGGGCGCAGACAGCGTCAACGGAGGAGTCGACGAACTGGGGCCCGAAATGGGCACTGAGGGGTAAGTCGTCAGCGAAGGCGTGGCTTCTGCGGTGAGTGCGGGCAAGGTGATGACAGAATCCTTCCACAGATGCGTCTCCAGCTTCAGGTTGCGCACGATGAACGCAAGGAATCGAGTGACCTTCTTGACCCGTCGCAGAGTATCGATGTCGCCGCCCCTCAGGACGATTGTGCAGCCCATCTCCGGGTTGCACCCTTCGAAGCGCATGTACGTTTTCCGTCGACCGGGAATGAGAGGGTGGTCGAAGGTCTGGATGCGGAACCGCCCACAATGTCCGAGACGGGGCTCTAGGGCGAGCTTGTCCATTGATGAGAACACGTCTCCCTGCGTCATCCTCGCCACAAACTGGATGGCAGAGGGCTTGACAGTCCTAGCGACGGCGATCTTATGCTTGGCGAGCGCGTCGAGCGCGAGCCTCGACACAGACTTCTCCGCCAATACAACATGCGGGCGCAACGCAGCGATACGACTGGCGAGGTTACCGAGGTAGTCCTTCTCCTGCCGCAGGATCTGGCCGAAGTGCATGTACTGGCCTTCAACTCGGTGGAACTCAAGCGGGAATGTCACCAGCATGACGCGAGGGTTACGGTGGGCCTTCAGCATCTGCTTATGGGCGACGTTCTTCGTGATGACCGCTCCGTCGACGTATTCCGAGTCCTGTGGAGCACCTCCAGGGATCTTCTTGATCTTGACATATCGCCGCACGTCCATGTCCGCACCCTGCCGCTGAGGGTGCGCTGTGAACGTGAGCTCACGCGCGATGCGCAAACTCAGCTTGAGCAAGGTCTCCTCCCACTCTCCGACGTTGGGTATTTGCTCGGCGGTGAGCAGCTGCCTCAACATCATTCGGAGATGGAACATAGAGATGAGGTTCAGTTCCTGCGCGTAGCTAAAGAATGATCATATTGACAAAACTGGTGAGACAACTCTGAAATGTCATGAATGAAGGACACCTACGCCGTGCTCTCTCGCCTTGTCCGCCATCCCGGCTCGCCGAAGTTGAAGCTCTCGTTCAGTCTGCTCTGTACGCGACTGCGAATGAACGGAGTCGAGGGATCGAAGTCGGCGTACGAGTTGAACCGCGATCTGAGCATCCCTGGACTCTCAAACGGATGATTACGATCCGGAGAACTCGCCGGGAACTGCACAGAGCTGGTTGCGCCATCCACCGACACTGGGAACGTGACGGGGAAGTCAATGGGCGTTTTCGCTCCTGGGGCGGTCGGGGAGTCGTCGTTGTTGAACCTCTCGGGCAATGCTAGGTTATCCTTGTCTTCTTCCGAGAGGGTGCGGCGGAAGGGGACGGGGTTCTCCCGAGTTGCCTTATCACCGCGACCGTCGTAGTAAGACATACTCGGATCGAACGGTAAGAACGCATCGCTAGAGCCGGGATGCCTCTTAGTCTCGGCGATGGAGAACAGATTGAACGGCTCATCCGTACGTCCGAACAGCTGCGACGCAGCGAACGGAGACTGGGGCTGGTTCGCGAGGGAGAATGAGAACGAATCGGCACCAAGGTGACCAAGCTGGTGTGTGGCAAACGGAGAAGCCATGCTGGATGTGACAGACCGCCGGTCATCGTCATCATTATCGTCCACCTTGGCTAGCTTCTCCAGACAGAGGTTACAGACGCGGACCATACCCTCCTGGCCGAAGCGCGCGCCCTTGATCACGTTGGAAGCACAGCGGGAACAGAAGACCTGCCCGCATATACGACAATGGTGTTTCCTGCGCCAAGCCGTGAACACGCTCTTGCAGTCGTAGCATTCCTTGCAAAGCTTGTCGTCCATCCAATAATCTCGGGATAGACCTACGACGCACTAAGTCTTAAGCGGACTGAGACAACATTGCGACACACACCTTCTCCTCGAATCCTCCGTATGACTTTAGACACCGAAGCGGACCTTCTGAGACTACCCTGTGTCCTGATGCTTCTGGCATCACTGTCCTGGATAGGGAACCCCGGAATGGCTGTGCCATACACTCCGCCGCCATCTGGAGTGTCCGGGGCGTAGAGGGATCCATTGCGGGAAGGTGGTCTGTCGTAGTCGATGTCGTATGAAGGAGTCTCAGAAACGACGGGAGTCAATGAGACCTGCGGAGGAGCAGGGCGCGAAGCAGCGACGTTGAAGCGATTACTCCGCTCCGACTTGCTCGACTGGTACGATGCTGCAGTTGAGAGTGAAGGGCGTCGCTGTTCAGCAGCTTGTCCTGGCTGTGCATTACTTGCTATGGATGGTCCGGGTGTACCAGAAGCTACTGCTGAGTGCAGGGGAGCGGCGAGGGTGTTCCGGACCTTGGAGAACAGGGACGTTACTATGGCATATGAGGACTGGTCATGTTCATCTTCTTCAGAGAATGGATTGAAGGATGTCAGGCTCGTGACGTCGTCGACGATCTTGGTGCTACTGCGCGAGCGAGTAGATGGCTCGCTCGAGGAAGGGATCTGTGCATTAGTGGAACTGGAAGAGCCAGCGATCACAGACGAGGCGTCCATCCGCGGGCCGACCGACTGCGTCTAGGAAATCCACGCAATGCGCAGCCGTCAGAGATGGAGGAGTAGGCGAAGGAGCATGATACTGTCCACACAGACAATCGTAGTAATATGGCAGCCAACGTCAAGCCAGTGCCACTAGTGCTCGGCGCTCCATTCACATGGACTACGCGTAGGCGCCCGCTTTACGCGATGCGCGTCTAGAAGCTTATATTCATTCAACACCATCCAATTACCCGAGCCCGCGACCTGAGTTCGTCTTCGTTGCTGTCCTGCCCGCTTGACCTCGCATCCTTGGAATTTGGTGTCTGCTTAGCAGTAGGCTCTCAATGGCCACAAACGGAGGCGCACCCATGGCTATTGATAACCAGACAAACGTCAACGAGATTGAAGTCGACCCCATATGGATGTCAAGTCGCACTGCGCGACAAATCTACGCCTTGGGAGAGGTTGAGAAGGTCCGTATCTATGAGATTCTGCTCATAGAGCCGTTTCTCAGGCTAACCCTGAGGCCAGGACATCAGCCGACTACTGTCATTAGCAGCCTCATCTATGTCTCTGCTGACACTTCCCCAAACCGACCGACCGGAAGACGAGTTGCCGCAAGGTGGTGAACGCTCCGAGAAATTCGTCCTAGAAGTAAGCGAGTACTTCGAGAGGCTCGATGTAAGCCCTGGACTTTTTGTATCGCTGGTCCGTGGTTCACGACGCTACCCCAGGCCATACACATTGCCATCCGTTCCTCCCTCGCCCACATACGACAGTCTCGCATTGCACCCTCTGCTATCAACGCGCCGCCTCCAGGCTTCATCCCGCCTGCGCTCGGTGTGGGAGTGCCGTCCGCTGACGGCGATTACACCAAAGGCAGCCGTGGTCTTCAGGAAGAACGAGTCGAGCGCGACGCATGGAAAGCCATTCTTGACGCACTCACTCGCTTGAAGGAGGCCAAGGAACATGAAGCGGCGGAGAGCTCGGAAGACAACACGAGCGAGTGATATTTCGGATGATCTACACTACATTGGTGCTTAAGGTAAGTACAGTTACGGTCTTGCTTCACGACTTCTCGTCGCCTTATATGCTGATTGTCTCGAGAGTCTCCTGTGCAGCGATGAGCTCCGGCTCCGCGTGCAGTTCCGGCACCTTCTCTGCCGCTACCTGAAGAACCATGGGAATCAGCCGCACCGACTACAAGCCTCGGACTACTACTCACGGCGACTTCCCGTAGGTCCGTGGCGGCAGCTCCGAGCCGACTCGAGGTATCGTGGATCATCTTCTGCGTCTCTTCAAGCATCCGCCTCTGGTCGTCGAGGTCGTCGCGTCAGGAGGTCTTGGAGGCGACTGAGGAGCTGCTCAACATACCGTGTTCCTGATGTCCCAGTCCTCCTCCTTCTCCGCGTTGTCCGCGATCAACTTGTTCAGCTTGCGCGTGAGGTCCTCCGCTTCCTTCTGGTAGGACTTATGCTCTTTGTACAACCTACGGCGATTATGTCAAAATATGTATCTCGTCGAGGTCCAAGCAAGCGCACCGTTTGGCAGAGCCAGACTTGATCTTGAGCTGGCGGCGGAGAGAGGCAACGTCACTCATCGTGTAGTAACTTGGTGGTAACTGGATGGGCGGTTTTATGGCTGCACTGGGGTACGGTATACAAGGCGGCGCCACCGAGATCGTGATCGATGGCGTACTCAGCGCGTCAATAATTGTTCCCGAGTGCTCTGCTGGTTTAGGCAGGTCAGTGCAAAGGCCACATCCGCTCTATTTATAGTGTGCAACTCTCGTGGCTCGCGGGAGCGTGGTGGGTCGTTCACAGGCGATCAGGGGCGAGGACTATCCTTACTGTAATTCGTATCCCGAGGAAAGGAACCCATCACGATTAGAGCGTTCCGGCGTGAACTCTGTAGGCAGCGGCAGCACTTGCTACGGCGCCGGCACCGACTCGCTTTGAAACTCAAATTGTGGGCCGGTCTGCACACGCACACACAAGATATCAGTCGTAGAGCTCATAACATTGTCATCAGTACTAACGTGGGTACGCGTACTGTTCGTAACCGAGCTAGTCAACAAATGTAGGGAACACACATCCGGACCAGGCCCCAGAACGAGCTAGCGAGCTGCGAGAATGAGGTGGGTAGCAATAAAACGATCGACAAGGTAACTCGAGCCGCGTAGGGCGTGTACAGAATTGACAGGCGGTAGTACTAGGACTACGAACAGCGGGTGACAGTTCCGGGGCATGTGTGAGGCGTAAGATGATACAGTCGCGAGTCTCGTCGGGTCGAGTCGGCCAATGTCTGCGCGTGTACTCAAGGCCTGCAAGCAGGCCGAGCGAAGCGCGGACAAGCAGGCGGACAGCACTCCAACAACATCGCTGCGCACGGTGCGTCGCCGATATCCGTAGCCGCGTTCGCCGCACTCGATCTCACCGTTGGGCATGACTAGCACGCGCGCTTGGGAGAAGTGAGCAGGCGGAACGCAGCGGGGACGAAGGCAGATGCGGTGGGCGTAGGAGCTGATGGTGCGGACGGACGAGAGAGACGGCGTGTCATCGCTTGACGACCTCATCCTTGCCGTGTCTTCCCTGGCTGGTTTGCTGTCAGCTGCACAAGGAGCAGCGAGTCACAGTCGCGGTGCGCAAGAACCAGGCGGCACGCGAGGACTTGTCGAGGAACATGCCAAAGCCAGGGTGAAGAGACGGAGCAGAGGACAGGGGAGGTGCGCTCGGCGGGAGCGGGACGGTGATCAGGCGCCGCCACTTCCGCAAGCAGCAGGGGCGAGAGAATTGGCGTATGGCAGAGTGGGTAGCCGGGAGATGAGACTTGAGCGTATCGAGGTCGTGAGGGTTCGCTTGAGGCGGGGATGCTGAGACGAGAGCAGGTAGACGTCCACGAGCCAGTGTGTCGGCGCGCAGCCGGCGAGGCACGGAACCACAGCTAAGTGGTCGTCGCCATCAGCCAGCATGCGCAGGGCGAGACTGAGTCGGATGAGCGGTAGGGGACAGCGGACGAGAGTACAAGAAAGTGCGCACAGCGAGGCGAGGCACTGCACGCCACTAGGGACGCGACCAATGCGCCTCTAGCTCTCCACTGCGGTCTTGCGTCATTGTCGTGTCGCACCGCCGCGTCGAATCCAACTACGGGCGCCGTCTTCGTGGGGGAATCGGTGTCGCTCTCGCGCGGCTCGGCCGCTATGCATCCCGGAAACTCGCTGTCGAACAGGCATGCGTCGCCGACGCAGAGGCCGACCTAGCTTCGTCCCGTCGTAAGCACCACTCGAGAAGGGGGTAGAACGTGTGCGAGTCGTGAATGCGTAACGATGCGGGGGATGGTGGTGATAATATGCGGAGTGAAGATGCCGGTATGAAGGGAATAAAAATGCGTAAAATTGCAAAAGGTGAGTTATGCATGAAATAGTCCATTGTTGTCGTAAGCATCCTGCAGGCCTGGCAGGAGCGATTCCAGTCTCATGAGGTCATCGAATACACATTAGAATAGTCCATGCTTGCGGTTGCTCGCACGTCCAGACGCGCTTGACGAGCTTTTGCGGGCGAGTCGTCGAGACGCCTAGTAAACCGGCGCCTGGGATGACTGCTGAACGGCGACGGCGTTGGCGGCAGCTGCGGCAGATGCAGCTGCGGCGTGGCGCTGCTCAGCGGTGCCGAGCATCAACGCCTCGTTGACATGCCGGAGACGAGCGGTCTCAGCCTCGGCCGCCTGCAATCTCGTCTGCAACTGCTGCTGGGTCATCTCGAGGTAGCGAATGTGAGTCGTCGCTGCGGATCACAAATGAGTTGCTATGTTGATTTTGAGAGAGACGAAATATGCTTACCGCGATCCAACAAAGAGACCTTGCTGGACTTCTGGTTGGACACGGGAAGAGCGTCCTTGAGACGACGGTAGCCGTCGCGGAGCTCATCGCGCCTCCGCTGCTCCGACTCGATGCGTTGACGACGAATCTCCTCGCGGCGCATGTCGTTGTTCGCCAACGTGCTCGTAGGGTTGAAGTCGGCGTCGTCGTCGCTGTCGAATTCCTCGGAGCCCTTGCTCCGCTTCTTCTGCTGCTGCTGGCGCACGGAGGCGCGGGGTACAGGCGTGGCGAGAGGGTTGAAGCGGTGCGAGCGGGGAACAGCCGCCAATGAACCAGGGGGGGCGGAAGGACCGGGAGAGTGCGTGCCACTGCCGCGGCGGCTGCGGCCAGAGCCGACGCTGTCGGAGGACAGGTCGCCAGTGCTCAGGTTCGAGAGCGCACCCGGGTAGATGCCGGTGGGCGTGAAGGGACGAGCGGGCGAGCCGGTCGTGTACGAGGGGCTCGACGTGTACGTGTACTCGTTCAGACCGTTGGACAAGTTCAACGAGTTGAAACCGAGGCGCGGCGAGCCACCGGCGGGCGGCACTGTCAATCAACATGAATATTTGACAGGTACGTACTTCGACGATCGGAGACTTACGACCCATGGCAGACACGCCAAACGGCGAGTGCGGGTACTGGAGGTAGTCCAGCCCGGACAGCGCGTCGTAGTTGCCGAAGTTGTTGGTGTCCATGAAGTCGGAGGGTGTCCTTGTGTGGTCCATGACGTGTTCGAGAGACGCGGTCTCCATTGCAGCGTTAAGATGTGGACGGAAGTGAAAGTAATGCGGGCGTGTACAAATGCGTGGGCCAATAAATGAGACTGAAATATGCCAGGTGCCTATACGCGGCCATGCGGGACATTGTTATTAGATTATTGTGTGCGCGGGTTGTGAGGACGTTACGTACGACACTCGTACAACAAAAATGCCGGGTTGTACTGGATGCAGCGAGAACAAGAGGACAATAACTAAGAAAGGAACCGGCGGAGGGGCGGCGGATGGCGGGACGGAGGGGGAGGGATAAGGAACGAGGGCGAGGGACGGAGAGCTATATACCCCGAGAGGGATATGCAGCATCAGACGCTGCCTCGTGTGTGTGACGGGACGGGGTAACGGGTGACTGGGCGTGACGCGCCGCGGAAAATGCTTCCGGCGTGACATGAAATGGTTCCGCGCAGAGGGCGTTCTCACTCTCTGCCCTGGCCTGCTCGCACTCCCCATCAGCCGACAGCGTCTCCTCCGCTGTGCCAATATTCCCCCACACGCCCACCTTCATTTCTCCGTCTGCCGGCCCACCGGTGGCCCATCTTCTCCCAATGCCTCCGCAAAGCATATCACCACCACCCTTCGCCCGGATATGCCGCTTCTCGGTCCACTCCGCGAAGTTTTACCTCGAACGCTGATCGTGGTGCTCGCCGCCCGTTCACTCATCACACACCGCTCGCCCCGATGGACACTAACCCCACCAGCTGTAGGATCCGGGTGCGCACGGATGCGCCGCCATCCTCGCCCTCTCGCCTTGTCGGGGACCGCGCGCAATTACCTTTATTTTACGTACCCAGTCCCCGTACCGCCCCTCCATCGATCGCTGCTACCTTATCTTCATATCACCGCTTCCCTCCTCCCGCAAAGGCAGGCAAGGGCGTCGTGCCTCTATTCCGAACCCTCCCAGCCGCCCTTTCCCCAGGTGCGCCCATCTGCTCAGGTCAGCCAGACATCTCAGCGCTATCCCTTCTCAGGCGACCGCACCTGCGCTGCCGAGCCATCGGCCAATCCTATCCACCCATCCCCTCTTTAGCGACGCCTCATGGCCGCGAGCCAGCCCAGCGTTCACATCGTTGTTTTCATTTCCCTTTTGCCGGGCTGCGTCCCACTCCTCTTCTTTCGCCCTTCATTTGGCAGCTTCATCTGGCTCTCCCGTTCCCTTCCAGACGCTCTTCCTTCGTTGTTCCGATCAATTCCTCCATGTGCATCTGTCCAGTGCCTCTTCTTCTCGACAAGAATAATACAATACGGCAGGAAAGGAATATTCGTCTCTTCCTATGTCATTATCCTTTCACATCGGACGGACCCAAGTTACGGAGCGTTCACGATAGTTGCTGTCGTAACTCCGCGTCACTTGACGACCCAGGCTGAGCAGTAACGTTATATTTATTGTCCAGCGGGCGCCCCGCTCTCGCAGAGCGCGCGCTCAGAACAACAGAAAGCAGACCGGAAGCATAGAAGTATCGCTAGGCACAGAACGTCATAAGTGGTCGTCACATAGCAATAAGTCAGGCGTAAAGGGTCGTAAGTCGTGACGGGTCGTGACAAGCAAAGCCGGAACCAAGTGAGACAAGCAAAAGGCGAGCCAGCAAGACAGAAGTGTTCGGGTATGAAGTGAGTCCGCATCGGCGGTACACGCGCATTTCCGGGATCCTAGGCGTTGTAGTAGTATCCTGTGAAGGAGGCGTTCAGCTCAATCACAGGCAGCGGACGCCGGCCGATGAAACACTTACCACCAATCGAGGGCTTCATACTGCTATAATGCTGCAGCAGTTTCTCGTACCGCCATGTCATGAAGAACATGTACAGCTACAGCGCGGGGTTCCGCCGGTGACATCAGATCCCTGCGGTGGCGACGGGGTGTTGCAAATTGGAGGCGCTTACCTGGAAGACAAAGTCCACGAGCAGGGCGATGATGAAGACGATCCAGAGCGTCGGGAAACCGGCAGTGCATATGACAGAGGGCATAGTGGTTGAGCCGCCATACCCAGCCTCCTCAGACGCGGGCCAGAGTTGCTGTCCATTGTCACACTCCCAGTTGATCTTCGCTTTCCTGTTGCATAACCACGTGAGCCACGACGACAACACTACGGACACCGGTACGAAGATCCAGGAAGGGATATATCCGATGAATTGCCCAACAGGAAATTACCGCCACTAGCTCTCGACGTTTACCATACGTATTCGCAAAACATAAGCGAGAGCGAGACGGTGGTGCTCTGCTAGATGTTGGAGCGAAGGACCACCGGCACACGAACTCCACCGCGCACGCACACCACAGAATAAGGAAATCAACGTCAGAATAACACCACCGACGCGAAGCGACAACAGCCCTGAACCGGAAGAGGGAAAAACGTACCCGCGCTGCAGTTCGACGATCATGATGATAGCGCGAACCAGGCTAATTACGATGAGAAAGGGCCAGATGAACTTGCATACGCGTGTCCAGATGTAGGATCTCTGCGATCAGCCCGCCGGACCGCGTCAATTCACGTCGCAGGACTACTGAGTTACAGAAGCCACGGTAACTCACGTTTGCAAGTGCAAGCACGTTGATGAGAGAGACGGCAGCGATTGCCATTGCAATACCGCCGTAAATGGCCCTATAATATCGGTCAATCCTCGTCCAGTTCGAACGGCGGATGGGACACACCATTCGGGATACGTGAAGAAGATGTACGACCCCCACTCGAACAGGAAGATTCCACCTGCGATGTTGTACAACTGGAGGGAACACGTTTCATTTCTTGACACGAGTAACGCTCAATGAAGTCTCACCATCATGATTATACCCCAAGCCATAGCGCCATGACGCTATTCGCGGAGTCGCCTCAATTTCACGGTGACTGAGCACGGAGTCGACCACGTACCAAGGGCAGAATGAGCAGACAGTTATCACACCTTCACAGGGTGCCAACCATGAGCTGAAGATGTCATGCCGCAGCAATACAAATCTGCGTACCACATAGCTGCAGATCACCGTTGAGTGCAGAGGAAATGAATGTGATGAGTCCGAGACGTCACTTGAAGCGCAACAGCGTTCTTGAAGCCGAGAAGAATGTCGAGACGGTCCTCTGGGGAGCTTGGGTGTCGCGGCGGATTTCTGGCGCTGCTTGGGCAGTGACGAGAGGAGGAGGGGAGCCTGGGGAGCTGGCGGTCGTCGCGGTGGGACGATTGCCCTGCGAGGCACGTTTGCGGGCTTCGGGCGTGACCGCCTCCCGCGTGACCCCGACGCGCCCAGTTGACGTCACGCTCAGCATGATCGCTTAGGCGCCCACTGAGCGCGCTCTCGGTCTCTACTAAGTTACGCCCTGTCACGGACTCACGGTGTCTTGCCTGGCAAGCTCCGGTTCTCGCAGTGCTCGAGACCTGAACATACACACAGCGTCTTTGGAAGGACCAAGTCTACGTAAGCACTCACACAAGTCAGACGACCGCATCGGCTCATACATATCGCAGGGTTCAGGTTTGAGCTCAGGGAGTGGCCCTAATTGCCCGTTCTCGACCGTCCCAAGTTCATCTAGAACGTGAACAGCACTTGAATGCACTCCTCTTGCACAAGCTGTCCTATGAGTAGATGCTCACCGGGCCGGGTGGGACATACACGACTCAGAAGTCGTGGCCCTCCCGGTGACCAAGCGACTCTTGCTTTTCCGTCATGCGCAGTGAATGTGAGTGCTGTGTTGTCACTTCATTTTCCACCGGTTTCGAATACACATGGTTTGCTCCAAGTTGCCGTTATAGTCCAGGTGACCCCAGTCTGCAGTCCGTCACTGTCTGCGGTTGCGCTTACCCCGTGTCTGCTAGCTGCATGACGGCAGTACATACTCGTACATGGGCTTCTGGACGCTCTTCGCGGCCGCCACAAGGCCGTCGTCTATCAAAGTCAACAGAGTACGTATACACTGTGTCCCATGACCCCCTTCTCGGGCGCACGAGTGGGGATGAGAGAGACCAAGGATCCGGTGACTACACCAACGGAAGCGGAATCCGAGTCCATCTGCCATCTGTCGCTCGCAGATAACGGTCGATGGGCTCCTCGGCACAAAATTTCACTTCTAGAGCAGCGGACCCCTCTTTCCGTCCTGAGGTTCTAGTGGTGCCTATCGTGCTTCGTCTTCGACGATCTGCCCATATGAACGTCCCCAATTGCTTGAACTTTGATTAACTTTATCCCGCTCTCATCTTAGGGAGGGAGTCGAGGCCGGTTTCCCCGGGACTGCTCCCACCTTCTCCCTCTGCTGACCAGCGGAACCATCGGCGGTGAAAGGCCCAGAAGTCATTCATGGTGTCCTAGTCATCTCACGCTCATTTCTCCCTCGGGAAGCGGAAGGTTCCTCACAGACATCCTCAAATCGGCGGATCACTGATACGAATATACATGGTCATTGCGCTCTACAACGCGCCATGGCGTTATGCTGCCATGAACTTGGCTTCATTCCGCAATTCAGTAAATGTGCTCCTCGATCAGTCTGAGCTTACGCCCCACCTATAACGCTCCATGCTTTACTCAGAAATCCCGTTCCTGCAGGTCGACGTGGTCATTGGTGATGCCTATCCACGTTGCGCCTGCCTGTCCTTATGGCCAGGAGAGTCCCAGAGTCCCGGACAGGTGAGTGTGACACAACTTCGGGCAGTTTTGCCTAAGTGCCTGGGAGTCTCCACTAACACGCTCCCCCGGATACAGTCTACTGTTTTCATCTCAAGTGTCTGGACCTACGAGCGATCGTGAGTCCCTGGTCCGAGAGGAAGCTACTGACTGTTCATAGCCGCCGGTAGGAAATGAACTGCTCTTGTAGACAGCACCCGGATCACCGTCAGTCGCTCCGTGCCTCTTCACTGTCTCTGCATCGCGCCCGGACACTCTTCCCGACATAGCCAATGCTTCCGTCTTCGAAAGGAGAAAGCAAGCACCATCTATGGAAAGGTATTGATTGTATTCATGTGGCTATGCTGGGGGATTCAACGTAGGGCCGCCGAATGGACAGAGTCATTAGTAGGTGGCCGTGGTCTCTGTCATGTCCGTGCGGTGGTTGACGGACACAGGCTTACGCAGCAATGTTCCGTTCGTCTTCCAGGTGTCCTCTCAGCCCCTACATGAAGTGGAACCCCCATCAGCATAAAACGTGTTGAACGTGCGGTGCGCTACGGTCCCGCCGGACCCTGCCACTCCAGCCCACAGGGTCCGAATAAGGAAGTTCAGGAGGCACGGAGACGCAGGGCACAGCGGGAGATCGCTCGATGCAGCCGCCAGTCTAACGCCAGGATATTGTCTATCGAAACAGTCGCAGGCTAACTCGGTGTAGCATGATGTTCGCAGACCACACTTCCTCAGCAGCCCTGCATCTGCGGCGTTCCCGGAAGTCGTCGGAAGCCCGTATCTGACTCAGGTGTTTCCCATAATTCCTCGCCGCGTCTCCAGACTAACTGACAGTGGCAGATAGGACGCTACGACGGACTTCTAGCGTTACTTGGGCGACTCGATGTACGCGCTGACGAAACGGTTGCTTGCAACCGCCTGTTATGTGCGTTGGCTTACGAACAGTCCACTCACGGCGAACATTGCTTTTGCATATTTTATTGGACGGTGCTTGGCGGCGACGCCTACTTGTGTCTTCGACGATCGGCTCGAGTTAGAGCACTAATAGGGACGATCCTCAGTTCCGACGTTGTGCCAGTGTGCAATATATTCTTGCGATTGCTGTGGTCGATGGGCGGACACTCCGGGCCATGATCATTTCTGTCTGGGGTGTCCTGCGATATTGGAGATGCTCCAAGGGCAGGCCGTACACGAGTCGGACCTATTCAGTACGCAAGCTCTACTTTTCCTGCACACGGGTCCATAGGGTTCGACTTCTGTGGCGATCTACGCATGGCTGTGGTCGACAACGGATATACATCTAGGATAACCCTGGCCTCGGACCGTCTAGGCCGACACCATCGAAGTGCCTTGCCTTGCATGGGCCTTCTCGCGCTGCAAGAAGTGTACCACGACACCAACGGTCTGTCTGCAGTACGGTCTTCGCATTCCCAACCCAGTGCTAATACAGATGTGGCTTCGCAGATAACTAAGACAGATTGTGAACATGAAGATTTGTGGCTACGGGGCGATAGAGACCGTAATAACGTAGGTTCTGTGTTCTACAAGAATGTTCGTTCGAGAGGAGAGGTAGATGCGATACAGTGAGGGGAGGAGCAGACAGAATTGGGCCCGGCGTGCATTCCGCCATCCATGTGCACGAACGACCAAGACCCGCGTCTGCCCATCGCTCGACTTCGAGTACTGTAGCAGAGAGTACGCGGCGGCAATCCAGCTGGAGTGGGTGCCCTCCACCCATCGATCGACGAGCGGCAGAAGTTCCACAACCACTCCAGCCTCGGATCGGATGGGGAGCGGGGTCCGGCAGTACGATTCTTGCAATGCACCAGCCCGCAGCGTCAAGCTGCAGGACTCACGAGGGTTGAAGTGCGGATCGAGGGCGATCGGAGGCAAGGGTGCAGGCTCCGGGCGCTGTGCACGGGCCCCTACACCGCGTACTCGACCGACAGACCTCGGAATTGAAAGAACCGACCCTCCCGCATCTTGTAGTCCAAGAATATTTGCCCCTTCCCAGAGGTGGCGTCGAGCACTCCGCTGAAGAATCAACACAGATCGCAGGAAAGGTATAAAGAGACAATGGGTAGACAGTGTATTTGAGCGAGCTTGCGGCAAGACGAGCGAAATGGAGATAGGTGTCCGTATGATGGCGTTCAGATGCTGTGACACCGCCGTACATTGCTGGAGAAATTAGAATCCACCTTCCGAAGCCGATGGACTCGATTCTTCCGGGGGCTGCTGTCCCGCAACGGAAGTGAGTTGGTGCTGCTGTGACTCCTCGGGCGGCGGGGACAATGGTCGAGCGTCCACGTTGCCCTGTCCCGGCGAAGGGCTGCCGTTCCCGACGCCGAGTGAGATCTTCTCGTTAAGAGAACGCAGTCGCACAACCTCGTCCTCAATCTTGTCAAGACGTGCCTGAATTTGTCTGTTGGACCTCTCCAGGGTCATGATGTGGTGACAAGCTGCGAATACCGACGACAATCAGCGGAAAATCTATTGACAAATCAGTGAGACGTACCCCTTTCGAGGAGCGACACCTTGCTGCTTTTCTGGTTCGAAACGGGCAGCACTTCCTTCAGCCGAGCATAGCCATCCCGGAGCTCATCGCGCCGCCGCTGCTCTGCCTCTATCCTCTGCCTACGAGTGGCCTCCTTCCGCGTGTTAGCGAGCGACTCGGCCATTCCGATACCCATCCCGTCGTCGTCGTCAGAAATCGAGCGTCCTCGGCTACGGCGCCCAGCGGAAGAACTCGTAGGAGAGGGGGTCGGGTTGTACCTAAGCGGGTTTCTGTGTACGAGGGAGTTGGCGCGCGACGATGATGGGGATCCTGTCGCGGAGCTGTGTCTCGAATGATGGTAGATCCCGTCCGCAGATGTGTCTGATCCCGAAACAGGGGGAGAGAGGGGGTCATACATATTGGGGGATGGCGGGGGAGGGGACCCAGAGAGCGGCATCACGCCATGTGGCGGCGACGCGGTATACACGGGTGCGGGATAGTGGGCCTGCGGAGGCATCATGTTTAGGGAACGTTGGTACTGTATGGCGAGGTCTGAATCGGACATCTGGCCTGTAAACGAGGCATGCATTGGAAAGCAATGCCGCAGGCGGGCGTATCAGATCTACATTGCCCGCTGAGATGAAGACAAAGAGGCATTGCACCCACGAGGAGGAGGGCCAGGATGCACGACCTGATGGTATGGCATCTGGTGTTGTTGTGGATACACGAGGTGGTATTGCTCATCTTCTGACGCGTACATCGGGTAGGCGGGGAGGAAGTTTTGAGGCTCGTCCATGGGCTGCTGCTGGTGATGTGGGTCCATGGTGGGTCGTGGCGATCGTCGTGAGGCGTGGAGAGGCTGAGAGGGGAATAAAAGAGAAAGAGAAGAAAAAGAGAAGGGGAAAGGATGGAGAAGGGGACGGAGGAAGAGACACAATGAGGACGACTCGAATCCCCAGTGGCGGATCCTCAATTACGTCCAGAGCAGGGGGAATCAGCCGCCCGTGCCCTCTCACGCCGCCAGACGCCCGCCCACTGCCATATTGACCATGTCCGCTATTGTCCGCCCGCAGAGCCCGCCGCATGCAGGCTACCGGACGCAGAGCACAAACATCGCACACAAATATGCCCAGCAGCCCATTGTCGCCGCCTTTGTTCTCTCTGCCTTCCCCGTCGTGCGGGCAACCCGCTGCGTTATCGCCCCATCGCCCCGGAATGCCCGGCAACGCAGCAACCGCCCTGAAAACACCCGCATCACCCTGCACGCCGACCCCAAACGGGCTCCGTGGGCAGACACGCCGCGGCCTGCCTATGTGCCAAGGCGCTCTGTGCGCACCATTGTACATCACATAGATACTGTACGCCGCGCGAGCACACATGCACAGTAACAACAGTCCCCACTACAGGCGAATGACTCCGTCAGAGTCCATTCCCGCCGGTCTTGTACTATATCCATCCGCTGCCGGCGCGGTTGACTCCTCCTCGTCTTGTTCGTCCAAGAAGCCCGGCGGTCCAGCCATCAGGCCCCCTTCTTCCTCAGTCAGTCCGCTGTAACCACCCCGCTGTTGTCTCGTCCAGCCTCCTGCGCCGGCATGCCACGAGCTAGGCTTCAGTTCGTCAACGCAGCGGCGGAGGAACTCGATCGTGCCGCCGAAGGATATGCGAGGGATCTGATCAAACCCCCGCAATTCCAACACGTAACGATTGTAGAACGTCCCGACGAGGATGTACAGCATGAGGAGTGTTCCCAGACTGACGACACATTAGGTGATGTTAATTGTGGACATGGCAATTAGGCACTCACATCGCTGCTACGACGGTTACGAATCCCACTGTGCCGGTCTTCTCGTGAGTGGGACAGGCTACCTAACGAGATGTTCAATGACCAGGCAGCCGAGAACGATGCTCAAGCAGACTAACATGGGTACGCCATTCGATGAAGAAAGCACAAGCGTCATTGTCCCCGGGTGGTAGTTGTGCAACCAGCTCCGGCTTGCCTTCGGAGACAGTTCAGCTCCGCGTTACGACATGCTTCCCGATGACTATGCACGTACCGGCACCAAATACGGAGGTGTCGCATATGAAGCGAACGGCGGAAGAGGCGTACATGTCCTGTGTATTCGCGCACTCTGACCCGCCGGTCATGACGGACACCGGGTGCCCGTTGTACATTGCAAGGGAGGAATTTGCGTAACTGTCGGGGCATGGGTGAATGATGGCTCGAGCGAACCGTAGTGCTCACCCTATGGAGAAACTACCACGCTCATGTTGTGCGATTCCACCGACGTCCGCGGGTCTATCAACCTTGAGTGCCCACTTCTCCGATAGAACCGGTTTGCAGACATTGATGACGAACTTCACGCCAGTAGGGGAGTCAAATTCGTAGTCCTTACTGTATGGCTGCCGTCAGTCAGCTTTGATGTTGTGCGTGGTAAGGCAAGAGAATGACAGCCATTACAGCGCATCGAGCAGTATTCAGGGCTGCAGGGAGACGCAGAGACAGAGTAGACAGTGGCACGTACTTTGCGCTGAGAGAACTGAGGTCGTAATAGTCATCACCATCGCGCGCCGTGCACGGCGCATTCTCTGCCATAGTCGGTACTAGCACCAGTAAAATGATTCCAAAGAGATGAAGCAGCAGTCGCATGTGTAGTATTAATCAAGGTAGAGCTGCCAATAGAGCCTCATTGACGATGCACAAGGACGACGCGAAGTCCACTGCCATCCACGCCCGAGACGCCGACGTTCAGCATCCCTCACGAGACCGTGGACGCGGCTAGCCTGATTAGGGCAATGACACACTGACGAATGAGACGGTCCCGTTTGGCACCGAACGCACCGACAACCTCGACGACGCCGAAGAGCTCGCGCACGGCAACGATGGCCTCCACGCTCCTTCGCCGCCAGCTGGCGCAGGTGGCCAAGCTGCCGCGCTCGGCCGCATCGTCCTCCATTCTGACCACCCGACACATCTCGAACACTGCCGTCCTGCAGGCTCAGCCGCACGCCGACCCCTCTGTGTCCGAGACGAGAGGGGCCCGGACTGTTTTTGACACACATACCGTGGAGGACTTGCAAGGCTTACCTGCTGCAGATATCCTGGCGGAGACGGGCACCAGGAAGGATGCACAGATGAGGCATTTCACCGGTGAGTCCGGCTTGCATGGTGCTGGAGTACTCTTCACTGACGTGTGTTGCAGTGAACTTCGGGTATGCGTACTTGCCTGCAGTGCGTTTGGTGCCAGAATACTGACAGCATCGCAGACCGCAACATCCTGCCGCTCACGGTGTGCTTCGCTTAATCCTGGAGCTGAACGGAGAGGAGGTTTTGCGTTCGGATCCCGTGAGTCCCCCCACCTACCATGCCCATCATTTCTAGCTGACTCAATTCGCGTGCTAAACGTAGCATGTTGGTCTCCTGCACAGAGGAACTGAAAAGCTAATTGAATACAAGACATACACCCAAGCGTTGCCATACTTCGATCGTCTCGACTACGTCTCGATGAGTAAGTCTGCTCAAGTATGCCATGGTCGAGACTCGCAACTCACACTCATATCAGTGACAAACGAACTCTGTTACTCGCTTGCGGTTGAGAAGCTGCTCAACATCGAAGTCCCAGAGCGCGCGAAGTGGATACGTACATTGTTCGGCGAGATTACCCGAGTTTTGAACCGTAAGCCAATATATCGACTCTCCCTGTTCGTCAATTTGACCTTCTGTAGACCTGATGGCCGTCCTGACGCACGCTATGGATGTCGGCGCCCTGACTCCCTTCCTATGGGGTTTCGAGGAACGTGAAAAGCTGATGGAGTTTTACGAGCGTGTCTCTGGCGCACGTCTTCACGCCGCATATGTCCGCCCGGGTGGTGTAGCGTTCGATCTCCCTCACGGTCTTCTAAACGACATCTACATGTGGGCAACGCAGTTCAGTTCCCGTGTAGACGAGATTGAGGAGGTCGTCACCGGCAACCGTATCTGGAAGGAGCGGACAATTGGCATTGGGAAAGTCACTGCTAAGCAGGCTTTGGACTACAGCTTCAGTGGTGTCATGCTGCGCGGTAGCGGTGTGCCCTGGGACATCCGTAAGGTCGCGCCGTACGACAAGTACGACGAGGTACGTAGCCGTATGTTACTGTCCTCCGCTAGAAGGCTCACAAAGAGACTAGGTCGAATTCGACGTGCCCGTGGGGAAGAACGGGGATTGCTACGATCGGTACCTTTGCCGTGTGCAAGAATTCCGGGAGTCACTGCGGATCATTGACCAGGCAGGTCTGCGTGCGAACGTCTTTGACACCCAAAACTCACTACGTTACTCTCCCAGTGTCTCAACAAGATGCCCACCGGTGCTGTCAAGGTCGATGACTACAAGATCGCCACGCCCCCGCGTGCATCCATGAAGGAGAGCATGGAGTCGCTTATTCACCACTTCAAGGTTCGTCCGTGTGCATGGGACCCTGCAGGCAGATTCTGAACTTCTTGCGCCAGCTCTTCAGCGAGGGCTACTCCGTCCCGCCAGGTGAGACCTACTCCGCGATCGAGGCGCCCAAGGGCGAGATGGGTGTGTACCTCGTCTCCGACGGTTCAAACCGTCCATATCGCTGCAAGATCCGCGCGCCTGGATTCGCGCACTTGGCCGCTGCGGACATGATGATGAGACGTAAGTGGATGGCCTACATGCTGGATGCCTCTCCTGCTGACTGCCTTCTTTACGTACAGATGTAAGGATTCTATCTGCGCGAAGCCTGCGAAGGTCTAACTCTGTAACTCTGTTCTCTCCAACAGCACATGCTTGCCGATGTGGTGGCTATCATTGGTACAATGGTGAGCCCAAGAAGTTTGTCAGTTGACACCCTGTACTCAACATCTACGCATAGGATCTTGTGTTCGGGTGCGTCTGCTTATCCTCTAAAGCGAAATCTTCTCAGCCCGAACTGACCAATGAAATGTCATCCATTGCAGAGAGGTCGATCGGTAGGGTAGCGTATCATCAAATATCATTTGTTTTAGATGACAGCCACTCCTGGCTCAACTGAGTGAAATGCCCTCAGCGGTGCAGTGACACAAGCTTGCATTTCTAGACGATGGCCAGCGGGTGATGATCCTCCTTGCTAACATGTATCTCGAAGTTCGGTAGCTCGTTAGTGAGCTGGCGCTTCAGATGTTCCGCGAGCACAGGCAAGAAGCCCCGCTCGGTGTTCGTGTGACCGCCTGCACAACGAGGCTCAGCGCTGCAAGCCGTGGTGACCGAGGAAGACTTACAAAGCAAGACATTGTGACCAGTCCCGAGTGCTGCGAGGACTTCGTGGTGCGCCATCTCACCCGTGAAGTAGACGTCGGCGTCCACTCCGAGGAGGACTGAGCCACCGGAGCCGGCGCATACCGCGACGGAGCGTACGGTCGACAGGTCGCGCGCGGCGGTGTAGCCTACTTGGACTGAAGATAAGGGATTCGTCAGGGTACCCGATGCAGAGATCTGAGCAGGGAACCTACTGTGTTCCAGTTTGAGATGCGCCTTGACGCGTCTCTGCAGCTCATTCATGCTCACCGGGTGAGGGAAGGTGATGATCCGACCAAGCCCACCGAGTCCCTCCTTGTCCTCTCCGATGTAGCTGATGTGCTCGCTCTTGGGGACCGCCTGGTCGTTCAAGCCCAGGCAAAGCCAGTCATTGATGCCACCGACGAACGAGTCCAGGGATGTATGAGGCGAGTATACTGAGATGCCTGCGGTGGCGCAGCGTAAGATGGAGGCTTGCAGCGGGTTTGAGAGCGTCAGGGACTTGAGGGGGTGGAAGATGGTTGGGTGGTAGGAGACTATGAATGCTGTGGGCGTGTCGAGGGCCTCGGTGACTACCGCTGGCGTAAGACTGAAGTATGGGTTAGCCAAGGGAATGCGCATGGAGCAGCGGGGTGTTCCGTACTCAATCGTCAGGAGAATACGGTTTGCTTGCGGGCGCGTAAGGGGGGCCTCTGATGGACGTACTCAGTTGGAAGATTGGATGCGAGAACAGGCGTCCTCACCCAGGAGCAACCCAACCTAAGCCATTCTTGAGACGAGCGGGTTCCATTGATTCAAGGGAGGAGACGTACATTGTCCCACTTCTCTGCGAGGCGAATGGGAGCAATGCGCTCGAGGGCTGCACAGATGGTCTTGACAATCGACATTTTCGGCGAGACGCAGTCAGTCGTATCGCAATGGGGTGAGTTATCGCCGTGTCGACGTAGCTGGCCTCCGGATGCGAGCACATGGGCAGAAGGAACTGCTCGAGATCTGATGGGATGATCCTACTCGCGCTGGTTGTGCGGACCGATCGAGGTTACGTCACAGGAGTGCTTGCGTCAAATTCATGGATCTGGATCAAGGGGCGTCAGGAAGTAAATTCTCGTACACAATGCCAGTATATCCGGAATATCCGCCATCCTGGCTTACCACCCCCCCACCCCCGGTTATTATTATTTCGAAAAGCGGTCGAGGACCGAGTACCACCCCCCCACCCCCTCGGTCGCGCAAAAAAGTGCATATATTTGATCAAAAAAGCGGTCACCCAAGCCTTCAAGTCTACCGGGTATGACCGACTGTTGCCTCCCCTTCTTCCTCGACAGCTCTCATTGGCACCCGAAGTGTCCACACCTGATTTCTTTGTGCCCTTTCCCTTAGTAGCAGCCTTTCCCTTCTTATCTGCCGCCGCTTTCCCATCACATTCGTCCTTCTCCACGATCGGCTTGCCCTTCGTATCGCGCTTACTTACGAAAGAGGAGCTCATTGTGTGAACCGTAGGAACGTGTAGTAGATACGAATTCCTTGCTCTTCTCCGTGTTGGGGTGCTTGTCCATGATGTGCGATCGCATGTTCAAGTATGACCAGAGGTCCAGAATACAATATCGTCGTCGAACTGATGACCTCACTGTGGTTAGCCGGCTCTCTTCGCAGATCTTGCATACTATGGGGCGACTCGTACTCGGACAAGACGGGGTTGGGACCGCCGCAGAGACGATGCCGAACAAGCTAAATAGGTGGTAGTCCAAAGTTGGCGCATCCGAGCCGGCGTTTCAGCTACAGGCGCGCGACTGAGAGGTAAGCGCCTATGGCCCGAACCGCGACGCAAGCACATAGTGATGCGTCTTTGACCGAGAATACAAGCATTGAGCGCGAACATGGGCTCGGCGCATCGCAAGCGTCGCGATATTGACCTCCGGCATGCCATCGGCGGACATCTTCCCCTCCGCTGACTTCATCAGCTGCCTTTTGGGGGAGGGTTGCACCTTATTCGTAACTATTGGTACATTTTGTCGTTGGACGCGGTCGAAGGGTCGACCACCCCCCCCTCCCCCCTAGGCATCGTGTACCCGATCTGAATCTCTGACGCCCCTTGATCTGGATGCACTTCCGCAAATGTACATAGTCAAACATGGTGCTCATCCTCGGCCTGGTGGTCGTCCAGATGCTGGCAAAAGCTCAAACTGAGTTCGGGCGTATAATAGGAAATCCGAGATAGGAAAGAGGCCCGGGATCCACGTGAACGCAGCGGGTGGATCGGGGATGCTATGTCAGCGCACTCTGGCTGTCAGTACAGGTACGCCGGCGGGGCTCTGGCTGACACAACCATGCTGCCCCGACTATATAGAGGCTTCGCGTCTCTCTTCTCCTCTTCCCCATCCGATCCTGTAAGCATCCCTCACCACGGCTACCGCATCCTCTTCCAACCCTTCTCCCCACCAGCGTACCATCATGGCCGCCAAGGACCTCGTTGAGGTGCGTTATTTGGCGTATTCTGTCAAGTACCCGCTTCAGTGGCTGATCAGCTTGGCTTTCACAGTCTACCATCACCGAGAACAAGATTGCTATCTTCTCGAAGAGCTACTGCCCGTACTGCCGGCGTGCCAAAGCACTGCTCACTTCCAAGTTCCCCAATGTGCCGACCAAGATTTACGAGTGAGTATTCTTCAGCTCTCGTCGAGAGTACGTCGGCTGACAAGCGAGCATCGCGGGCAGACTTGACGAGATAAACGAGGGCAGCGAAATCCAGCAGTACCTCTTGGACAAGACCGGTCAGAGGACAGTCCCCAACATATTCATCAGTGCGTATCCTGTTATTTTCATTTCTCGTGCACTGAACATTTTGGTGCTTACTGCGGGGAACAGACCAGAAGCATGTTGGCGGATGCGACGCTGTTGTCGGCCTTGACTCCAAGGGTCAGCTCGCTGAACTCATCGGGGCGTGAGCATCTTCGCTACGCGTATCCTCGTGTAGCGATGTCCTAAGTGTCTATGGGTGACAGTATTTCACCGTCGTCGTCGTCGTCGTCGAAATTGTAGTCGAGTAGAACTGTAAGAAACATAATGCGTTTGCGGAGAGCGGTATACCGTGTGCTGTAGAGACGTCATATTGCGTGTCGACACGCCCACGTGCTGGGAGTTTGCTGAGGCGCGTGCGGCGTACCAGGCGATCGGAACGACCCTCGGTAGACGCGTTACGCTGTACATCCACCACCGCATCCGCTCTCTCAGTCGCATTCCGCCGTAGGGCTGGATAGAACATAATAGCATAATACTCGGTGCTACGTCCGAAAATGTCAGCACAATCATTACAAGAGGACCAGCTCCTGGAACTGCTCCTACAGCTCAAGGTCAGCCAAGGTCGTGCATATACCAACTCTTGCCGTTCTTGACCGTCTTTCCTGTTGCAAAGAAAACAACGCCAGAGGAAGCTCGAGCAATACTTCACAGTCAGCCTCAGATTGCATATGCGCTGATGGCTGTGCTAGTCAACATCAACGCAGTGAATGCGGAAGTCGTGCAGGTGTGTGGTGTTCGCAGTAATCGTAGACAAAGACATAACTTACCGTGCGTTTTATCTGCACAGAATACCATGACAGCATATAGCGCACAGTCTGGCACAGCACCTGCACCTGCACCTGCACCTGCTCCCGGTCCATCCGCACCGCCGATGCCAGCCATCCCTCCCCACCTCGCTCAGCCTCCGCCTCGCGGAGGCACACCGACATATCCTCCGCAGCGTGGTGCCACTCCTACATACCCGCCCCACCAGCCTGCGGGCTACCCTCCCTCGTACTCTACCCCTCCGCCGCAGCATGGCTTCGGTGGTCCGCTACCAGCAAGTCAGATCCCTGGCCTCGGAGCGTATCCCCCACAACCAGCACCCGCACCGGTGCCACCCCCGGCGGCGTCGAAGTCTGCGCAGTCGGCTGCGAGTATCTTGGCTGCTGCGTTGCAGAAGGTGCCAGACGAGCAAAAGGTATGTGTTATGTTTCTGGGCTGGTTGTGACGTTTGTTGAAGAAGTGTAGCCTCTTGTCATGCAAATTATCTCGATGACACGCGAGGAGATCTTCGCTATGCCGCCTACGGAACGCGACAACGTTATCAAGCTGGTACGTCCGTTGGTCTGTCCCCTGTTCGATGTGCTCATACTGTCCGTTGGAAGCGGTCTACTCTTGGACTCACCACCTGACACGCTTCCGATCGACGGTATTACCCGTTCACCTATGTTTAGCACAGGATATGCGTGCAGTTTGGATGACAGCGGGTTAAGAGACCCCCTCATGCGATCGCAGGAACATCGAGCGCACCATTTAGCCATTGTACGGTCAATCGAAGGACGACCCTTTTCAACATCGTCTCGCCTTGCACTCACGTTGGAAGACATCGCAGAAACCCAGCAGTCCGCCATGGTACCTTAGCCACGTTCGACTAGACGCAGAAGGCTGTCACTCACCTGTTACTCACAACGGTGGATTTCAATCGTAGGGGAACTTCCCCAGTATATTACTACGTGTTTGTCATCTGAACTGCGTGCCATACATATTTACTGGTGTTCATGATCCTGGTTTGGATAAAACGTCCTAGAGAGCATGTAAGTCAGGTTTAAAAGTACTTGGAAGTTGAAACGAAGAATGATATTTGGCGCCCGTTATTACCCATTATGGTAGCGCAGTAGCATAGCGCGCACACCGCCGCGACACGTCCTGGTAAGTAACCACTGGTATTGCTCACTTCCTCCTGGTATACCTTCTGCTTGTAAATATGACCACGGTGGAAGCTCCCTGTTACACGGTTGTCTTTGAGGACAGCTCGGAGTCGCCTTCAACCCAGGAACTCCGCTTGTCCCTGCAGAAGGGCTCGGACGAGGCCAAGTTCGACACGTTGCGGAAGATCATAGTCTCTACGATTAATGGAAACCATCAGGTATTGTCGTAGTGGGGTCAATCTGTGAAGTCGAGGGAGGCTTACTTGGATATGCTAGCCGCAACTGCTTATGCCCGTCATTCAATATGTCATGCCCTCACGGAATAAGCAGCTGAAGAAGCTGCTGCACTTCTACTGGGAGGTCTGCCCGAAGTATGACGAGACCGGGAAGCTGAAGCAGGAGATGATCTTGGTGGTGTATGTTACTCTAACTTTTGCTATTCCATTCGACTAACGTCGTGTCAAGCAACGCGATCCGGAACGACCTGGTAAGTCGCGACTTCTCTTGCCTGGCGAGCGTATGCATGACCATCTATGCAGCAACACCCCAACGAATACATCCGAGGCGCAACTCTTCGTTTCTTGCAGAAGATTACGAGAGATGTTGAGCTCCTCGAACCCCTCATCCCCACCTGCCGCGCATGTCTCGAGCACCGGCACTCCTACGTCCGCAAGAACGCCGTCTTCGCCGTGTACACCGTCTACCGGCAGCACGAGCACCTCATCCCTGACGCGCCGGAGCTCCTTCAGACCTTCCTGGCAGCGGAGTCCGATGCGACCTGCAAGCGGAACGCGTTCGTGTTCCTGGCGAACTGCGCCATGCCGAAGGCCGTGGAGTACATTCTGCAGGTGTTCGACCAGATCCCGTCGATGGACGAGTTGCTGCAGATGAGCATCATCGAAGTCATCAGGCAGGATTGTAAGACGGACACGAGATACAGGGTGCGGTTTTGTAGGTTCGTGTCAGACGAAACGTACCGGCTGACTTCGTCGCAATAGGCACGGTACATTCTCTTGGTCTCGGAGTTGCTCAATGCGTCATCACATGCTGTGAAGTACGAGGCAGCGACAACTCTGACATCCCTGACACAAAACCCGGCAGCTGTCAAGGGTGTGGCTCTTTCTAGCTTCATGGACTACTCACTAATGAACTTGTAGCTGCCGCATCATGCTACGTGCAGCTCGTGCAGAAGGAATCGGACAACAACGCGAAACTTATCGTTTTGGATCGCCTGGAGACCCTGCGCTCGAAGCATGGTCATGTCTTGGACCCTCTTGTCATGGACATTCTCCAAATCCTCTCGAGGTGCGCAGTTCGCTCGTCAAAGCGGATTTTATGGTACTGACTAAACCATAGTGCCGACCTGGATGTTCGCCGGAAGGCGATTGGCATTGTGCTCAGCATGGCCACCAGCCGGAACGTCGAGGACATTGTACTGTTCTTCAAGAATCAACTGCAGAAGACACAGGAGCAAGACTTCGACAAGGTTTGACGACACGGTTGTCCATACAACGCAACGTCTCACACTAACATACTACACTAGGCACCGGAGTACAGACAGTTGCTCATTCAATCAATCCATGTATGCGCTGTGAAGTTCTCCGAGGTCGCCGCCAGCGTGGTGCACGCGTTGATGGACTTCCTTGGCGACTCCAACAACCCGTCAGCACTCGATGTCGTCGCCTTCGTCAGGCATGTATGACTCCATTCACTTACTCACCGTTACTGACCTGTTATCTACAGAGAGGTCGTCGAGAAATTCCCGCCTCTCCGGCAGACCATTTGCGGGAAGCTCACGCAGACACTCGGGGACATCAAGTCCGGCAAGGTGTACCGTGGCGTGCTCTGGATCCTTGGCGAATACGCCGAGGACGCTGCCGACATCCAGAACATTTTCCGCGAGCTCCGCAAGGTGCTCGGTGAGATCCCTATCCTTGCCTCTGAACAGCGGCTACTGGAGGAGTCGGGTGCGGAGGACGGGGATGCGCAGAAGGAGGAGCCACAGCCGAAGGTGGAGGGAGGCGGAAAGCCGAAGGTCCTGGCGGACGGCACGTACGCGACAGAAACGGCGTTCACGAGCATGTCGAATGCACGGTTGGAGGCTGTCAAGGCGGCGTCGAAGCCTCCTTTGAGAAGTACGTTCTTCACTCAAATATTGCCAGATGGTATGACTGACTGTGATCGTGTAGCTCTCATCCTGGGTGGCGACTTCTTCACTGGTGCGGTGCTCGCGTCTGCGTTGACAAAGCTCGTTCTGCGATACACCGAGGTGGGCAGTGATCGGCGCAAGGCGAACGGACTGAAGGCAGAGGTGTGTATTGGAAATGTACTGTGCACTGAGCATCCTTCTGATTGTCTTCGTCAGGCAATGTTGATCATGGCCTCCGTCATCCGTGTCGGGCAGTCGAAGTTCGTCAACGTCCCGATCGACGAGGACTCGAGCGAGCGGATCATGAACTGCATCCAGACGCTGAGCGAGCTGCAGGAAAAGCTGGTTGTACACGACATCTTCCTCAAGGACACCAGAACTGCGTACGCGAAGATGCTCAGCGCCCAGGAGAAGAAGGCGGCGGAGAAGCGCGAGCAGGAGAGTGCGAACGAGAAGATTGTCCAGGTCGACGATCTCCTTACTTTCCGCCAATTCACGAAGAAGACTGTGGACGATGCTATCGACGTGGGTCTCCAATCCCTTTGGAGGTATTCCTGTCTCACGGTCTGCATTCCCACAGGACGCCGAGGATGTCGTTCGTGCAACTGGATCTGCCGAAGTACATGAAGACTTCATCTCCAATCTAAGCCGGATATCGCAGCTCACTGGTATGTTCGATAATCTGGTGGTTTTGCAGCTGGCTGACATATGACCGAAGGGTTCTCCGACCCCATTTACGCTGAGGCGTATGTCAAGGTGCACGGCTTCGACATCTCATTAGGTTAGTAGTCAGCCTCTCGAGCTGGTCGGTGTTGGTCTAATGCATTGCAGACGTACTGCTCGTCAACCAGACCGCAGACACTCTGCAGAACCTTTGCCTCGACTTCGCAACCTTGGGTGACCTCAAGCTTGTTGAGCGGCCATCTGTGTATACCATCGCTCCCCACAGCTTCCAGAGCATCAAGGCTACCATCAAGGTATGATTTACACTGTCTTGACTCACATGGACAGCACGACTCAATGTTGGGATATTACCTAGGTATCGTCAACGGAAACTGGTGTTATCTTCGGCAGCATCCTCTGGGAGGGTCCGGGCATGTCTGAGCAATGTGTCATCCTGAACGACATTCACATCGATATCATGGACTACATCAAGCCGGCATACTGCACAGAGGCTCAGGTATGTCGCCCAAGAGGAGTCTGGATATGGACCCTGCTCACGATATATGGTGCAGTTCCGTAGCATGTGGACCGAATTCGAGTGGGAGAACAGAGTAAATGTCACGACCTCGATCTCGTACGTGGGCTCCAGATCTGAAGTTGCGTTTGACTCACCGAATACTACCCAGTGACCCTCGAGAATACCTGCACCATGTCATGAAGGCGACCAACATGTCGTGTCTCACGCCGGAGGGTGCGGTTTCGGGCGACTGCGACTTCCTGTCAGCGAACATGTACGCGAGGAGTCTGTTCGGTGAGTACAGCCGCAAGTCAGTGATAATGAGGGTTCCTCAATTTTGACTTCGCAGGCGAGGACGCCCTGGCGAACCTGAGCGTGGAGCGGACAGACGCAGGCACTATCACTGGCCACGTCCGGATACGTAGCAAGACGCAGGGTATCGCTCTGTCTCTGGGCGACCGGATCACGATGGGTACGTGACTGCCATGTGTACCCGCGAGGCTATGCTGACAGCATGGTTCGCAGCTCAAAAAGAGAACAAGCCTCCGGCGTAGGCTGTCTGTCGTGTCGATGATCCCGTGTATTTATCAGCTGGTAGATAATTGGACTTTTCTTCTCCAACGTTGATGTCCCGCTCGGGGGCGGGGCAGGCACGAGAAGGCGTGCCCTGGCGGGAGCGGGAACTTGCGCGTGGCCGCGTGCCAAAAAACTGCAACGCGAGATCGAATCTCGGTCCCGCCAGAGGCGCTAAGATATGAGCAGGACATACGCCGCGCATCATGCTGCTGAGGCACAGCTATCGACCACCCGCCATTATACTAATAGGCCCATGCCTGTCCCCGCTAGCTGCTAAGCCCTGCTTCAGTCCACCTCCACTATGTCGGTCCGCCATAGCCCCTCGTTCAACTCCGACGAGAAGGAGAAGGGCTACACTCAAGATGCGGTCGACGTCGCTGAGCACGCCCCCGAGGCTGTCATCGTCAAGCGCTATGGCCCCCTCGGCCCTATCCTGGAGCGCATGTTTGCTCATGGTGTCGAGGCAAGAGGTGTTGAGCGTGTCCCGGAGGATCAGAGGTCGTCGAAGAACCAGTACAACAAGTGAGTTCCAGGTTTTTTGATGGTTTTTGGCCTAGTGGCTCATTGAGCGAAGTTTCTTGATGTGGTGGTAAGTAGTAACCTGGCCCATGAAGAGGTCACCACTTGAGAATGAATCGCTAGTTCGGTCAACACTGTCCTGACAACGATCCCGATCGGAGTGTTGGCTCAGGAATACTACACATTGACTCTTCCGTGAGTGCTCGATCGTTCTCCTCATCTGCTTCGGGCTAAGCCAATATTCAAGACATGCCATTGCCACTATTATGTGCTTCGGCGCCCTGGGTGCCCTTACAGTGGCATTCATCAGCACTCTGGGACCCCAAACTGGCCTTCGAACCATGATGATCGCCCGGTATAGCTCTGGCTATGTCGGCGGTATCATTTACTCCGTGCTCAATCTCCTCACTCAGTGAGTGCATTCACCCGTGCACTGACCCACGCGCGTGTCGTAACAGAGTCTTCAACAGACTCGGCTTCTCCGTCACCGCCGTCATCCTCGGCGGCGAGACGCTAGCGTCCATCAACCCCGGCACACTCCCGCTCGTGGTCGGCATCATCATCGTCGCCATATGTAGTTTGGTACCCTGCTTCATTGGCTACGAGATGGTGCACATATACGAGCGGTATGCATGGATGGTCATGACAATAGTCATGCTCTTCCTATGGGGCCTTGGAGGCAAAGCCGGGTTCGACATCAACACGCAGAAGCCGCTTGAAGCTACCGGCAGAGCACTCTCGGGCGATATCCTCAGCTTCGGTGGTATCATCTTCGGGTCCTTCTCTGGGGTGTGTATGCTCTAGTCATTGCTTGTCACGTCTGTTTATGCTCCGCATTCCAGTGGGCACCCGTCGCAGCGGACTATAACTGCAGGCTCCCTGTTGATACTCCGAGCATCAAGGTGTTCTTGCTCACCTTCTTTGGGCTCTGGATTCCCATCTGCTTTGTGGAGATCTTGGGTGCCGCCCTCATGACAATTAGCGATCCCGCTTTTGCAGATGTCATCGCAGCTGGCGACACCGGCGGCCTGCTCTCGCAAGTGCTCTCGCCATGGAAGGGCGGGGGCAAGTTCGTACTTGTCCTACTCTCCTTCTCCGTCGTGTGAGCACTCTATCCCCTCATCCTACCCTACGCATTGACAGACCCATCCGCTCCCCAGCGCGAACAACATCCCAAACACGTACTCCGCGGGCATCTCCGCGCAGGCCCTCGGGCGGCCCTTCGCGATGGTGCCGCGCTTCGTGTGGGTCTTCCTCGCGTTCGTGACATACACCGTCGCGGGCGTCGCTGGGCGCGAGCACTTCTCCGAGATCCTGTCGAACTTCCTGAGCATCCTCAGCTACTGGACCGCGTTCTTCATCGTCATCGTCGCGGAGGAGCACTTCATCTTCCGCCGCAAGAACGGCCCGCTTGGTGGGTACAACTTGGAGGACTATGACACGCCGAGCAAGTAAGTGGCCTATGCCGAGGTTAAGTGTTCAGGGATGCTGACGGAGAGATGATAGGCTCCCTGTTGGTATCGCGGGTGTACTTGCGGGCTGCTTCGGTGTTGCTGGCGCGGTTGTCGGTATGTCGGAGGTGTGGTACACGGGACCACTTGGCATGGACGCCGGTGCCGATGGATATGGCGCCGACCTTGGGTTCGAGCTTGCCGCTGCTTTTGCTGCCGTCATGTTCCCGCCACTGCGGTGGTTGGAGATCCGCCTCACTGGGAGGTAGTATCGTGTGGTCATATAAGCTGTTGTGTGTACTGTCTTAATGGATTAATCCATGTCGCTGATGATCTGTTTGTCCGCTACCGTTCGATTTTTGAGCCCACAGGGACGAGCAATGTGGTACCCTACATTAAGTCGCTGCGACGACGGACGTCTTCCATGAGCTTGCGATGTGTACTGGTGCTGTCCTATGCGGGGCACTGTGCACGCCATGACTGGAATCAAGATAGTAATCTCGATGAGGACCGGCTATCTTCACGCTCGATCGAGCCCTCGATCATGACTTTCACTCAACTTTCACTCGTCTTGGCTCTCATTCATCTTCACTCCAAGGTCATGACTTGAAGACGGCTCTGAGATGCACCGCATGCGTACAGTCAAAGCTGCCCTTCCTGCACGCACCCAATCACGCTGGCTGTGAGTTCAATGCCACAGCCTGCCAAGACGCGACGAGACTGACACCAGACTCGGAACAGGTCAGGCCACAGTACCAGCGATAAAACCGCCGAATTGTACTCTGCACTAGAGCTGAACCCGGCCGACGTACATACACAATCTCAGCTGGATGATGTGTATCCACTAATCTGCTTAGTGTGTTTCTCTCTTTCAGCAATACCACGTCTCTTCTGCTGATGCGTTGTTGACAGCTCCACGGTGGATCTCGCGGCCTGGTCTGCGCAGTCAGTATTTATAGATAGACTGACCGGATACCCCGAATGCCTGGGTCAGCATAATCCCACTGTGAGAACCATGTCAGGTACGCATTCTGAATTCTTAGCGGTCGTATCTTGTCTCGTCTCAGTCCTTGCGTCTCAGACAGCACTGCCGCGAGCGTGCCATACCTTGACTTGCGCCGACGAACCGATTAAACAATGAATGTAGGACGGGATCTCTCACAGTCGTCATTTGCCAGGAGGATGTGCCTAGGCAACGCAACGGCTTCGCCCTGCCCGACAAACTTCCGTCGAAGGCTATGTTGAGAGCTGGTCTGTTATCCGCCCCATCAACCCTTTCATCTACGTCCCCATCGCCTATGACACTGGCATGCAGTCCCGCCTGATTGAGAACGATGACGTCCTCCGCGAGGTGTTCAAATTTCTGGACCCATCCACGACGGAAGACCCACGGTTGAACGATCAGACCGAACACGAAAATAACTGTCGAGGGGCACTCGCCCGGTCCGCTCGTGTATCAAGGGTGCTGTCAGACCATGCACTGAACGTGCTCTGGCGGAAGATAGAAGGCCTGCTGGATTTCTTCAGCATCCTGCCGTCATTCAGGAGGGAGTTGATTGAGCCCCGCGACGACGACGAAGGATACAGTGACGATGAACCTCACAGCAAGCCCCTTTGGGTGTGTGCTATCTAGGTTTCCATGGAACGATGTTGACTGATTCTGGGCCGTGCAGCGGTTCACAGGCCCAATCACGTCTTTGGATTGGCAACGATACCAGCAATACGCTCAGCGTGTCCGTGTCCTCTCCCTTGCATGGACACCGGGCAAGGTCGATCCTGCCGTCTTCGTCGAGATCGCCCGCCTCAGCGACGGAGGTCCTCTGTTCCCTGGCTTGATAGAGCTAGACATCCAAACATATGACCACCTCGAGGCCATACCATCTACCCTCATATCGCCATACCTCCGCAAGCTACACGCCACAGATCTAGGGGATGTGCTAGGAGACCCATCGACTAAGCCTGCACAAGCACCCCTCGCAGAACTTGTACGCGCTGCATTCCTGAATGCGCGACTGCTGGAGGACGTCAGCCTCGAGGGCTCCAATGTAGGCCCCATGGAGAACCTGCTGCCCATGACAGAGTGCACTCGCTTGCGACGGGTGTCGCTCGTAGACGTCGCATGCGATGCACGGCTGTTGAGCGGATGGTCGCGCATTAACTGCCTGGGCGACCTCGCCCTCGAGGTCAATTCCAATTCTTCCGTCGGCAGAGAGCACCTGGAATTCGCTCATCTTCACTGCCTGACGGTCCGAGGCGATCTAAAATGCCTCGCGGATCTGTTCGCCCACATCTCCGCTCCATCCCTCAATTACCTTCGCATTCAGGTTCAACAGCCGCCGGGACACGGTCGTGAACAGGTGTCCGAGTGCTTTGCAGCGCTGAGCTCAAGCTTCGGCTCGACACTGCGACATTTCCACCTCGCTTCATTCTGTGATGGTCATGACCGGGGCCAACGATGGCCTGAGCAACCACTCATTGACATTATCCGCCCGTTATTAGACATGCACATGCTTCAGACGGTGTCGATCACGCCGCCGAGGTGGTGGTCTGTCACTCTATCCGACGAAGCTGTCCGCGACATCGCGACGGCATGGCCGCACCTCGTCTCGCTGCAGATCTATCTCCTCAACGCCCATTCCACCGCCACTTGGGAGAGCCTCATCGAGCTCGCAAGTGTGTGTAGTAATCTGAGAACCTTAGTTCTCCCCCAGCTTGACCTGCGAACCTTCGCTCCTCCTCTCGCCGACAAGCAACCTAGCCTCTACCATCCTCTCGAAGTGCTCACGCTCGACTATTCATTCGCCCACAATCAGGTCGAGGACTCGCACACATTTGCGCAGTTCCTAGATCGCACGTTCCCGAACTTGGATCTCGGGACGTCCGTCATTCGAAGGGTAGACATCCCGGGCGGTCAGCGTCACCCGCTGTGCAGGGAGGTCATGGAGCTTCTAAGGAACTTCCAGCAGTCTAGGGAACGTCAGATCGCGTCGAGCGGGAAGCATGTCATGGTAAGCACTGATGGGTCTCCCCACAGTTGATGAGATGCTGAGACGTTGGCTAACAGGTATCGTCGCCTGCAGCACAAACAGTATAGGTCGAAACGCAGCTGGTAGCTGTTGGGAATCAGTGGCTATTGGGTCGAAAACTGATGCTGTATGGAAAGATTCAGGCCCCATACTGAACAGGAAACTTGTATATCTCACCACGGTCTCGTCCGGTGTATTAGTACAGCATTTCTCTCCTGTACATGCGCATACACGATGCTGTGTTGTTGTTAGGTATTGTGTAAATGACCGCTATATCGCGAGCCATGCGTACTAGTAGCAGTGCTCCGAGTGGCCCCTACCGTACTAGTAGAGTTATAACGAGATCATACCGACGACAGATACGTCCGCTTGGCCCTGTGCAGTACATCATTTGAGGCAAAGTGACTGAACGTAGTACGAGTGCGACTCCGGTTATATTGCTGCAATACGTATGGGCATCAACGGCCAGTCCGAAATGCTCAAATTGCCAGTGTGTCCCATGCGGTCCTCTTGCCAGTGACTATCCGGGCTTGCTTGTCCTTAATTGTGGCATGACCAACGTGTCAATGTTATTAAAACACCGATAAAACCAAGGTTCTGATCGTGCGTATCAGCAGCACCGTCCCACCATGCCACCCATTGGTCGTTGGTCGCTTCGAGCTAGAGGACCCTACAGCGCTCGCTCGTCGCACTGCATCGTACCAACCAAGTCGGGACAAGTCGTCGTTTACGGCGGCGAGTTGAAGCCACGCGTCCCTATCGATTCTGCAACTTCGCAGGATGCGGGGGAAGCGGTACGGGGCTCGGTGCATGTCGTTGACCTTGGATCACGTAGCGAGTTGAACGGCGACCGTTTGACTTGGACTACACTCAGTCCTTCTCGAAGCACCGATACAGTCAAAGGACACCTGGAGATTCCCGACGCACGAGTTGGTCCCTCTATGGTGCTGAAGGATCGCGCTGTGTACATGTGGGGTGGCCGCGGAGGCGTAGACATGGCTCCGCTTAACGAGAGGCAGGCTGGAGTATGGCGTGGCCAACTGGTCACTAGCCAAGGCAGCGTCGTTTGGGACCATTTGTCTGCGGAGGGAGGTCCGGAACCGAGAAGTTACCATACTACCGCTATCATCGAGGTATGCATATATTCTACTAGGAAATCTCCGCACCGATGTCCTTAAAAACTGACACGCACCTCCTCAAGGACAAGGTGTACATCCATGCTGGGTGTCCGACCGCTGGACGCTTGAGCAGCTTACACTCGTTTGATATCACCCAACACAAGTGGCAAGCATTAGCCTCTGCTCCAGACCCCGCCCGAGGTGGTACTTCTCTCGTCACAAGCACCGTCAAGTTCGGTCCTGTGCTGATCAGATATGGAGGTGAGTTTGACCTCGGAACATACTGGTACATTAGCCGACAACGTACATGCAGGCTTCAGCGGATGCGAACTTCCCAAAGAAGCTGGGATTCTAGACATGTACATTGTCGAGGACGATCGATGGGTGACCGTCGCGCCTGCCGCAGACCCCGAGCACGGTGTCCCAGGCCCACGCTCTGTCCATGGTTTCCAGCCGTTCCAATCACGTTCGCCAGCCTTGTCCAATGCCATCGCCGTACTCTTCTACGGCGAGAGGGATGCCAGTACATTGGGGCATGCAGGTGCGGGGACCTTCTGGAACGACGTGTGGCTTCTCTCCAAGGACAAAGCGTCCTCTGACACCGACGGCTGGCAGTGGACTAAAGTCACCACTGACGGGTCAACCGTGCCCGAAGGGAGGGGCTGGTTTGCCTCCGCGGAATGGGTAGAAGATGGTACATCCCGCATTGTGATGCACGGCGGGCTGTTGTCTTCGAATGAGCGCAGCGACGAACTCTGGGAATTGCAAATAGAATGAAGCATGTACATACATCAATAGACGAATCACGTATCGCTGTACTAGTATACCATAGCAGTCAACCGCTACGCAGGCACTGTAGCGCCATGAGAGCTCGGAGAAGACGACATTACTGCTTGAGCACGCCTCTGGAGCTCCTCGTTGAAGCGGACCTATGTATCGTGAGCGAGTCGCGGATAAATAGGTCCGAGAGTGTCACTCACGAGTCTGTCGTGTCCAACGTAAGGGCCGAAGTATTGCACTCTGTCCTCAGGACTGGTGTCGAGGAAGTCGTCGAGACTCATTTGCGACAAGATAATGGATGCTGCGAACGCATTCATGCCATCTACTCCCGCTAGATCACATTCGCCCTGACCAACGTTATAGCGTCAGCATACAGAGAATAGAGACAACCTCGAGACGTCACCTCCTGCTCATCAAAGTCTAGCCATTCACGAGCTCCCCACAGCGCGCCTTGTGCCGTATCCCGAGCCTCTGCATCGTCTCCGGAGTAGCGCACATAGAGAGCAGCTTCCTCCACTGAAGTCGCGAACGCGAATCGAATTGCCGAGCCGGCCTTCTTCGTCTGGCATGCCTCGGCAATGCTCAAGTCTCTTCGCAGTTTCTTGACCGCCTTGATGACCGCTGCGAAGAACGGGTTTGGCACGGGCCTCGGAGAGCCCAAGTCGGATTTGAATGACAGCGAGTTCGGGTAAGCTTCGAAGACCATCAAAATGTGTGAGTACCGCCAGGACAGTCGCGTTAGTCTTGCCAGCACGGAGTCGACCTGCGAGGGGAGAGCGGCTAGAGATGCGAACGCGACAGCAGTATCAGAGTCCAGGATGAGGTCGGCATCGCCAAGGTCTTCCCGTTCGACGAGGTCGATGCAGCACCCCCGGGAAGACAAGTCGCGGACTAAGACCCTTTTCTGAAGCAGGGCGACAGATGCCAGATAGCGATGCATAGCAGCAGGTCGCAGCCCAGATTCGGGCAGACAGAGAGTATCAGGACCTAGTACTTCTGCAGGTATGACGACGATAGAGCTGTCCAGCGATTCGATTGTCTCGCCACCAGATTGCATACGAAGTTCGATGTTTGATGGCCCAGGTACAGGTGGACTGGAAGACGGGGCGATAGTCATGCCTTTCTTGCCCATGAGAGCCAGAAACTCGGCTAGAGAACGTCGGGCAGAGGAGACGTTGACTGACTGTGTATGGGCAGCCATCACAGGAGCCGTGTTCTCCGCAGACGTAGACCCAGGGAATCCGAGATCGTCCCGATCTTCAGCACAGTGCGCTGAGGCTGCCGTCGTTCTTGGTATTCTTGAAATGGCCGAGGGCAGGCCGCGAGAGATATTGTGTTCAGCAGGTACCAGATTCGCTTCATGGTTGAGGCCAGAAGCACCTCTGACAGGTGCGGCCAACCGAGCGTCTGCTTCAGCTTCATCATGTTCCCAGGAGAATGGACGTCGCAGAGCAGAGGTATGAGATGGTCGAGGTTCAGAGGCTTTAGCTGAGGGATGGTGCATGTAGACATCAGGAGCATCAGAGGCGAACTCTAGTTCATGAACAGGATCGATATCGTCGAACAAGTTGCCATCAGTATACGGGCCCTCGAAGCCCTCTGCAGCATAAGCCATCTCGGCAAAGCCAGCCGTACGCCTCTTGGACATCGCCTCCAAAGGTGACAAGAACACGCCAGAGTCATCAGTAGGAGCCGCTCGTTCGAGGTCGTCATCGAGATAGGAGTCATCTTGCTCTTGGGTTGTCCGCAGGCGTTTCGGCGGAGGACCGTCCTCCTCATACTGTAGAGAGTCTGTGAGATCCTCGTTCTCTTTGTCACTGGAGCCGAGATCTTCGTCTTCATGGTGCCCGCGCAGAGTCCTTCGTTCGTCTCGTGTCAAGACAAAGTCCATGTCTACAGGTTCGCCTTCCCGGCTCACAAGCTCTAGCGGGTCCCAGCTATCGTTGAGGCAGTTACGTGTCGAAGGCACGTTACGTTCGTCGTCTAAACCGTCGTCCAGATGCATAGCCTTGTTGAAGAGCTCCGAGAGTTGTATCACAAGCGTAGGGTCGTCCCGTCGCAGCTCAGCAGTGAGAGCATCCTGGACGCTATCCGCGACTCCAGACACCTCGTCATCAGTAGGTATACTCGAGCCGAACTTGAATGGTCTTGAGCAGGGGCTCTTAGCATGCGACGAAAATGATGATCTCGCAACTTACATCCACGACAACTCGATAGTCAGCGCTTGCATACCCTTGACCTTCTTCAATTGGCCAAGACGCGATGGGGAAGAAACAGCTTGGTCTCCAGGTTGATCGGGCTTAGTCTTGGCCGGAGCGAGTAACTCAAAGGTTTGTCGCGGTAAGAACATGTTGCTCGGGGCATGCTCGTTTGGAGGAGGCATGATAGGGACTGTGAACCATGACGGGTGTAAGACTCATGTGAGGTTCCGAACGATCAATCGAAGCTAACGCACCGTCCATGAGCAAAGTATCCCTTCCGTCTAGCTTCTCGTTCACGATTAGCTGTGAGATATCTTCCGTCACCAGTTCGTCGCCGTAGATCCTTTTCAGTATAACATCTGTATCGGGATCTGATCCCTCGCTAGGCCAGTCACCCTGTGTAGGGTGCATAGAATGGTCGTCGTCGGCCCCGAAACCAGCGAGAGCTGTGGGCGGCTGCCCGAGCATGGACGCGGTGATGGTTGTATGCGGTGAGGAAGGTTGAGATTTCGGCGTGGAGACGATTTTGGCTTGATCCAGAGACTCATGGCGACGCCTTATGGGGTGAAGGAAGGCCGATAGACTATACAGCCGTCAGGATGAGAATGTTCCACAACGGTGTAGACATGATTGACGCACCTCTGCCCATGGCCGAGCACCTTCGGCTTTTCCTGCGTCCCACCAATCTTCTGGGATCTCGGCATTTCAACTTCGTCTGCGATCCGTCGCCATTAATCCACACCGAAAGGCAAAAACGTTGTATGTCTGCAGAGTGCGTACCGAGCCGTGCATCCATCAATTCTTCGATTAGTGGGCGACCATGGTTGGATGGAGAAGGCAGAAAGAGCTCTTCCACTTCGCTCGAGCTATCTCCGAGGGACGGTGTTCCAGGGGTGAGTGGGGAAGACGGAGCAGCGTACGCCTCTGAATACCGCGGGATCAGCAGCAGCACGGAAGGTCTTTCTCTCTCTCGACTTACGCCAGCCGTCAACAACCACCATATGCTGCGTGTATAGCTCCGCTTCCTCCTCATCTTTCTTCAACGTGGCAGTAGGCACGATGGAAGGTAGGTCTCTCAGGCTCGCGGGCCCGATCTTCGCGATTGAATGTCCGGGAGAAGCTACTTGATAACCAGGTCGCCTGTCCCTCGGAAAGATGGGAGGTGAAGCCAGTTGTGGAACCTCGAAAGGTGGAGAGTCGGCGCGTAGGAACTCCTGGGTCTCCTTGTTCACCTCTTGGCGAACAGAGTTTCTTGACGAAGCCTGAACGGCCCTGTATAGAGCCGTAACCTCCTTGTGTGTCTGCGCATCCAGAGCTATCTTCAGATCCCTACGAGCGAAGTAACATGTTGGTTGCCGGAAGGCGGCTGTATGCGGCAAACTCACAGGATGTCGTGGAGCTTTGGTGGCGGCTCCTCTGGCAAGTCTTCGGATGGTACTGGGTTGAGCCTATGTGATCTCACCACCTCTTGCCAAGAACATGGGACAGCCAGAGCTCCTATGAGGAGGCCTGGCCTCGGTGTCTGGCGCATCGATGAGGCAGAGAGCATGGGAGACATTAGCCGGAGCATGACCCAGGTTTCGTGGTCAGCTATGAAACGGGTCAATATCTCGATGAGAAGACGTGAACAAAGTGATCACCATCTGCATCGGTGTCCCAACACGCATTGGTAGGACGCTCGTTCTTACTGGGCATATGGGTCTTGATGAGCTGTACTACTTGTGCTTCTGCTTTCCATGTTTCGTTATAGGGTTCCAGCTTCTTAGGTCCCCATGCGCGCAACAGGTTCTCATATGGGTCAGTGGGCAGTAGCGGGTCTGTGGGGTCCGTAGTAGAGACGTAGGCCAGACCTTCCGACAGGAGCTACGTATGCAGTGAGCATCCTTCCGAGTCGAGGTGTGGAGAAGATGCACCTCGGTAGCGGTCTCTTGAGTCCAGGTAACATAGTTGGTTGACAGATGTGTGAGAGAATAATCCAGCAAGAGATGACGGATATGAGCACGAAGAGCTAGTTCTCGTTGTTCGGATTCCATGATGGGATCGCTATATGCGTCGTAGACAAGCTTTCTGAGTCGAAGGCCTGAGATTGAATGAGTCGGTCTACAGCAGGGATGTCTAGGAGGAGTGGAGGCGTAGAGGTGGATGGACGCCGGACGCGTTGCGCGCCACGACGCGCCGACGCGTTTCCCCTCCCGATCATGTGCGCGCGCGCTTCGCACGACCCGCCATGCCGGTCCCCGGATCGGAGATCCCCTTCAGCCACCGTCGCATTGCACACCCACCGCGGCCGCCTGGCCCAGAGGCGTTCTCGTCCAACGACGCCCCCTCTCCAAAATGACAGAGAATCGCATCCGAGTGCTCACTCTGAACTGCTGGTAAGTGTACCGGCTAGTCTGAAAAGTTCAGTCCACTGACCAGTGACCCCCAGGGGCCTGAAGTATGTCTCCAAGTTCAGGTCAGAACGCATGTCTGCCATTGCGCATGCCCTCGCCTCTTCCGACTACGACGTGATCACCCTGCAAGAGGTTTGGGTCTTTGGAGACTTTGAGATCATCCGGGCAGCAGTGTCGAACCGGCTGCCCTACTCCAAGTTCTTCTACAGGCAAGTGTACTGGGTTAGGTCTTATAGGCGGCAATTGACAATTGGTATGTAGTGGTGCGCTAGGAGCAGGACTGGCCGTCCTCTCCCGGTTTCCCATCATCGGTGCAACGATCAACCCGTACTCATTGAACGGCTCGCCTATCGAAGTGGTGCAAGGAGATTGGTTCGTTGGGAAGGCCGCTGCAAGTGTGTTAGTAGCACACCCTGTCCTCGGTCAGCTCCAAGTCTTTAATACGCATGTACGCCGTCGCTTCTCCGCCTTTATAGCTCTCTGTTCTGACAAGGTACGCTCGTAGCTGTTCGCCCCGGGCGGCGACTCAGGCCCCCTCCACCTACAAGCGCATCGCTTAGTCAATGCCTGGGAATTGGCTAAGCTTGCACGACAAGCAGCCGAAGTGGGCCGCTATGTCATTGCCGCTGGTGACTTCAATAGCTCCCCAGCGTCGCTCCCCATGAACCTCATCCAGGACCACGCCTCGCTCCGTGATGCCTGGGTAGAGTCCCACCCGAACAGCCTGGCCGTACCAAACGGGATCCCATCTCCCCTAGATGCAGTCAGGATCTTCGGCATAACGGCCGACTCACCTCTGAACTCATTCTCTGCTGGGAAACGCTTGGAGGCGATGGCCCGGAAGTTCCAGGGCAAGCGGCTCGACTACATTTTCTTCCGCCAACCTAGCAGTCCACCGGCGAGCGTCAAAACGCCCATCCTAAAGGTCCTGGACACGAGGGTCGTCTTCACGGAGAGGATTCCTGGCAGCGACTTCTCTTACTCAGACCACTTCGGGCTGGAAGCGACCTTCGAGATCAGCCATCCCGAGGGTGGAGACTTGGCGGACTCGTCGGAGACCCATGTCCCGGCACCCGTAGAGCCTCCAGCACCGAACTTCGTGCTTGCGACAGTACCGAACCCCGCCCCCGCACCTCCGCGAAAGCTGTCACCAGATTCCATCACCGAGATTCTGCAATCGCTCACGGCATGCTACCGCTACTCACAGTACCGGGCACGTTCCCAGCTGACGGTCTTCGCTGTGTGTATCCTCCTGCTCCTCGTGATCCTGATAGGCTCAGCGTGGCTTCCCGTCTCCTCGTTCAATCCTCTCATCATACTCATCACGATCTTCTTGGCGTGGGCCGCCACGACATTCCTCTACGTCGGGTTCGTATACGGGAAATGGGAAGTCAATTCGCTTACGAACGTCATCGAGGAGCTGGAGATCTACCGGGACAGTCTCCTAGAGCACCAAGGTCGCTAGGACGTACTCCACCATGGACGTGCACAATATGTTGCGGGGATGCAGAAATTGCTGGGCCATATTTCCTGGATTGCTATGGACGGAGAGACATTACACATTTTGTTTCACATCTTGTCTTACACGCACAATGTAGGAGATACTATCATACACTGCTATACTACGAATCCGCAAGAGACTATGCGATACACTAGCTCCTAATAACGATGATATGTGAATGCAGCAGCCAAACGAGAAGAGTAGGGAGAAGAGCAGTCCCAACTGAATTAATCACACTAGCAACAAGGGCAACAGCAAGAGAACAGTCCTATCGTGCCAACGAGGAGAGCGTCCGCGAGCGCTTCCGTTGTTGGGAGTCGTCGGGCCTGAACGTCGTCGTTTCGTGTGCAGGGCCCGAGCTCGCGTACTGCTGGATCAGCGAATGTATGTCCGGGTGGCTCGCATCGAGCTTCTTCCGCAGCGACGGCGACGGCACTGGGCCCTTCGACGGCACCATGCTTGTCATCGACCCGACACGCGTGCGCGCCCGCGAGATCGCCGCCGCCGCCTGCTGGTGCTCGAAGGAGGGCTCGCCGCGGTGCGCGGGCGCGGTCTGTACGTGCTCAGACGCGGAGCGGTACGACGCATCTGCGATGAAGGAGAACGTCGAGCGGAGCCGCCGGAGCGAGGGTCGGTGCTGCGGCTTGTGTCGCTCGGAGTGCGCTTTCTGCCTTTCGGACTCGCGGGCGGATGTGTTTGCTGCGACGTCCTTGCGCTTCATCCTGAGATGCTCGTCCTCGCCGTCGCTCTCGTCGCTCCCGTCGCTCTCGGGCGGCGTCGGCCACTGTGCGCTCCAGCTGGGGCCCTCCTGGTCGCTGCTTGACGGCGACTCTCCCCTGCTGGCATCGACGGTGAGCTCTGGTCGCTCGCGCGCCTGTTCTGTGCCCGACCCGCTGCTGATGTCTTCGCGGCGGGACGCCGTCTCCATACCATCGCCGCGTACGACGCGCTGGGCATCCGTGTCGATCTCTTGCTCGAGACCACGCTCCGTTGCGCCGGCAAGCTCTTGCGGCGTCTTGCGCTGGAACTGGGGGAGGAAGTGTAGCACGAAGTCGAGACAAGAACCGAATGCATGTTGGGCGGCCTCAAGAAACGGTAGTGCCTGGAAGACATGCACGGCATCTTCATATAATTCGTGCCGGACCTCTACACCGGCAAGCTTTGCTTTGTGCGCGAGGAGCGTTATTTCGTCTCGGAGCACCTCACACTCGCCGGCTTGGATGAGCATGGGAGGCAAGCCCCTGAAATCACCAAAGAGTGGACTGGCGTAAGGATGAGTGAGGTACTTCTCCATGTGTTCTCCGAGGTAACATGCGATGGGATTGAGGTGATCGCCAGGAACGGGCCTTGGGACGATGTCATACTCTGCGTTGCTGTCCCATGAGTCGCAGCTCATCGTCAGGTCTGAACGACCGAGTCCATCAGCACATGAACGAAACCGATAGGATGCAGCGGTCACTCACCGACCCAAGGGGAAAACAGGATCGCAGCAGAAGGCAAAGGAAGGCCATTGTCCCTAAGATACAAGAGCAATGCCAGCGATAGGCCGCCGCCTGCGCTATCTCCAGCAACTATGATGTTCTCCGGGGGTATATGCAGGTCGTCTACTAAGCGGAGGTATGCAGAGACGACGTCGTGTAGAGGACCTGGGAAACGAGTCTCCGGTGCTAATCTGTAATCGACAGCTAGTACCAGAGGGGATCAGTCGGAGTCATGTGTATCATATCTAGAGAATCACTGACCGAAAAGGCGGGCGTCGAGATACTTCGCAAGTGGAATTGTTATGAGACGATGTGAGGCAGCGTTGCACGTATAGTAAGCGCCTGTACATATGCAATAAGCCATGCCGACCTCCAACATGCGATTGATGAGCCTATTTACCTCCATGCAAGTATAGGACGACCCGCTCGTTTCTACGATGCTCCTGTGACGGTGACCCAGGCGAACTCGATGCATCTGACCTGGCTTGCGTGCGCTGCGCCCTCCACTCACTCTGCAGCCTACGCCAGGTGCGCTTTCCGACGACCCACTCGCCGGATAATTCTCGCCGGCCGTTCTCAGCAGCATCGAGCTCCGCTAGAATACCAGGCAACTTCCGTCTGCGGACAGGGAAAGTGACCGGGGTAACGAGGGCATCGGATGAGACAGGTATGTACCCGCTGACGCTCATGAGCATGCGTATGAGTGACTGTCAACGTTGGGTTGAGCATGGTATGCATCAATATTGGGAGAGGACGCTTGCCATATCACCCAGGTGGGTATGTTGACCAACGTTCCTCATGAGGGCAGAGAGTAGGGTCATCTCGATCGCCCATGACTTGCGTCTCGGGCCCCAGACATGGTGGTATACGAGCTCGGAGAAGAGCTCAGTAGCTGTGTATTCAGCTAATTAGTGCCCGCTCCGTGTACCCCTTGCAATGGACTGCGGGGCCATTTCGCAACTAGTGACTTACCCTTCGCGGCTCCAAACGCGGCCATCTTGCCCAGTTGCCATAAGCTCAACGGCTGTCGCTCCCGCTGCTTCAACTTCGGGTCCCCAACGCGCGCGCCCGGAGGGATCGACAGGCCAGGCTGCTCGAAATGTTGAAGCAAATCGGTCGGGCTCGGTGTAGCGTCCGCGACTTCCTTAACGGCGGACGACCCAGCCTCCGTGACCGACCCATCTGAGTTCTCCTTGTCTTTCGCGCCCTTCGCGTCATCTTTGTCGCTCTCAGAGCTTCCAGGCCAGATAAGCGAGAGTGGCCATGGCATGACTGTCGAGTGCTAAGAACCGGCGGGACCAGAGGTCGGAGCCAGGCTGGATATCGTCACTAGGGTATTTATAGCAAATTATTCTGTACAATCTCCGACCGCAGGCAAGAGCGAAGAAAGAGCAGTAAGCCGAGGAGGAATAGACGGAGATGAAGAAGAGCTCCTAGGCGTTCGTATGCATTCGTGCGGCAGACAGCTCCGAGAGGGCATTTGTAGCGCGTCGAGGGACGGTGCTCCAGCAGGCGCCCAAGGTGTCATCGAAGCACAGAGCAAATCACATGCATTCTCCTTCCTCGAGCCGCCCCGAGGACTTCCCGCCGTCGAAGTCAAGCTTACCCCGCGGAACGGGCCTTGTCTGCTGTACAAGTGCGATAGAGATGCTAAGTGGGACGGTAAGGCTACAAATACACCAGGCCCGTCAGGGGTACGTGGTACAAGTAGAGCAGCTCAGTAGTCGTCGCCTCTGCTGACCACCTCCTTCCGTGTGGGACGTAATAGAATCGTGTGTTCCTGCACAAAGAGAAGCCGTCAGAGTTAACGCCGGGTTCTCCATGAGACACAACTTACAAACTGCGCCGTCATAGATCCCTTCTGGTCATACAAGGGGGGATAGTCCTGCACAATGCCTTGTTGCACCAGGTGATTCAGCTTTACGACAAGGTCAGCATCATGAGACCGAGTTTACGGACGGAGCTACGCACAGCTAGGATATATCTCTGCTCGCCGATCCGATCAAGGTATCGTCTACAAAAGGGCAGGGTCCCAAAGTTTTTGTTTATCGTGTTGAGCAATGACTTTGCCGTGGTCAGCCTGCTAAAAGTTCAGTATGACAATATGCTATGAATGGAACTGAATCTTACCGAAGGTTGACTCGCGGCGCGTCTACTACTCGTGCATAGTGAGACACCTCGCCCTGCATGCAGGATCGTATCAGCTCATTCGAAGGCGTGGACAAGATGTCGCATGACATACGCTCTCCACTACGCGACCACGACCTGTCGAGCCGAAGGTTTCAATGGCGAAGTACTCGCCCTCCTCCATCTTGGTCTGATCCTCATTCTTGACGAGCATTACTGACTTGCCACCGTGAATTTGGTACGGGTTGATGGAGTGACCACTAAGGTTCTCAATGGCTTTCACTGTGTGGGGTAGTATAACGATCAGCATCGCATACAATCGACTATAGGAGACTGACCAGGATACACCTTGCCGTCAACCTCAACTTCATATGACTCCATAGTTTCTTGGATATAGCCACCAAGCTCTCCAAGTCGCACGTCAATGCCAGCTTCCTACAGAACGTAGACCCTTTAGCATCGAGAGACATATATTACAACTCATGTACTGACTCGGATACCAGTGTCTGTTGCTGCCTTAACCGCTTCCAACAACTTGTCGTATGTATGGTCGAAGGTCATCGTGAAGGCCGAGTCAAGGATGCGGCCCTTGACATGGACACCGAAGTCAACCTTCATGACATCACCCTGCTGCAGAACTAACGCAAGGCGGATCAACAAGGGCGCAATGGATCATCATGAAGCTACACACCTATCGTGTCACTGGAATTTGGCGAATAGTGCGCAGCGCAGTTGTTCAAACTGAGACCGGTGGGGAAGCCTACGCCAGACTCCATGCCGTTCTCCTCCACCAGTGCCCGCGTGCCATCCTCGATGGTATTGGCGATTTCGAGCATGCTCATGCCAGGCTTGATGTGCTTGCGGGCGTACTTCCGCACTTGCCTGTGCACTTCGGCGGCACGGCGGATGTTGTTATACGTGAGTTCCGGATCCTCCATGGCCATCCGCTCATCGTAGCGCTTCTCTTCGGACGTAGTACGCCAGGCATTGCTGCAAATTATCGTGGAGTCAGAGGCAATGCACCAGGGCGTATATCGTGCCACTCACTCATCCTTGTACTCCTGCAGTTCACCCTCCGGATACTTGCCGTCAGGGAAGAGCTTCGAGAGTCCAACGCGAGGAGGCTCAGACTGCTCAGCCTTCTTCTTCTTGGGCTTCTTCTTTTTCTTTTTCTTCTTCCCCTCACCTACGGAGGGCGCAAGGATCAGCGCTGCAAGCGAATACCGATCCAGGCAATCGTACACACCGCCGGCGGGCGTCCCGGCGACGTCCTCCTCCTCATCGCCGTCCTCGTCACCATCCACGACCTCGGGCGGCGCCTCGGCCTTCTTGTCCTTCTCGTCTGCGACGGGTCCCTGTGTTCCTGGAGCAATCATGGTCGGCTGTGAGGCAGCCCTGGCGGTGGCTCTTCGAGAGATTTTGACGAGGGATTACACACGAGCCCAGCGCGGGACCCGGATCACACGCAAACGATCGACGGGCGCTCGGGCATCCTCCGGTCGCAGCGGGCGCTCAGCGCTCAGCGCTCAATCTGCGGTCGTCCACACTCGTCCACAGCTGCCTCAGGCTGTCGACTCACCGGCGTGGCCACCAAGTTAGGCTTGCTCGGAACATAGTTGTCCTGATCTTTGGACCTAGATTTGACCTCCTTACTGGTCCCTACTCGCGCTAATACACATGCTGGAGATGGCAACTTCACCTCCTGGATTTCTGCGTCGGGTGTACGACATCCCCACTGACAGCTCTGAAACGATCTATACCGGCGACGAGCGAAAACAAGGATGCCTATTGTCGCCTGATCAAGGCCGGCCGTATGTTACGCTGACATTCGCCCAGTCCCTGGACGCGAAGATCGCTGGGATGGGCGGTAAGCAGCTCGCGCTGAGCGGGAAGGAGAGTATGCTGATGACGCATTGGTGAGTCGCGAAAGATCCTCGATCTTTCACGTCGATAGTGATATGTCGAAGAGATGTATGTTGCTGACGCGTCAGAAAGCCCAGGATGAGGACTCTTCATGACGGGATCCTTGTTGGCATCGGAACCGCGCTGAACGATAATCCTCAGTTGAACAGTGAGTAGCTCTCGTCCAACCATGGCGCAGGTACTCACAGAGACCCGAGCAGCACGACACTTGCCACCTTTTCCCGCCGGCTTCTCTCACCGCTATCATCTGCCTAGACCAATAATCCTGGACACGCACCTGAGTCTGTCGGTTGACTGCAAATTACTCACCAACTTCAAGGCAGGTGTTGGAAGGCGACCATGGATTGTAGCCTCTCTGTCATCAAATGGTAGCGATGAACTTCGCGCGTCGAGGAGGTCTTCCTTGGAAGCCGCGGGTGCGCGAATTGTAGAAGTCGGCACTAGCGCAGACGGTACGTCCATTCAGTGACGCCCACCTATTCACCTTGTTCACCACAATGGCATAGGCAGGATCCCTATCCCCGCACTTCTCGTCAAACTGCGCGGATTGGGCATGCAATCGCTCATGGTGGAAGGCGGCGCGCGAGTCATCCAGTGTTTCTTAGCAGCGGAGGCTCAGCACCGAAACTGCATTGACACGGTGATCGTCACGATCGCTCCGACTATTGTTGGCAAGGACGGTGTTGCATACGGCTCGAACCTGCCATCGGACACGGTGAGGAATACGCCATCGCCGGATTGATAATAGTTATTGACGTGATACAGCTACCTGCTATGCAGCATGTCGAGACCGAATTGTTCGGTAGGGACGCCGTGGTTGCCTTGAGAATACATCAGCGCTACCTTTAGTCCGCATTGAGATGCAGACGAAACTCTAGTGCAGTTACACTCACGCCTGCAAGGATGCCAATGCACACACTTCATATGTAGAACTCGTGCACATTCCATTCGCAAGTACCGTTGGCGCATACATATGGTCAGCTCAGGTCAGTTTCAGGTAAAGTGGATATTGTTCTTCAGGGTTGGAGACTCCTCGTGGTCACTTCCTGATTTATTGGGCCATCCACCCCTCTGAAGTCGTGATGGCCGGTGTCGCGTCCTCTGCACGGCTCGGCTCATTTGTCGAGCACACCCAAGGCGCTCGGGATACCGGGGCTACTAGGCTAGTAGTACTGACTCGGTCTGCACTGATGGCTGCGCGCTTGTCCTACCTATGCCCGCGGAGGTCTCACCGGCGGCCAGGTACGTGGTCTCCGTATTGTTGGAATTGCTCAACTCACGCGTCTACATGGCTTCAGGAGGGTTATGGCGGCGCATGGTCACGATATCGCAAATGCAAGGATTTGCAGTTGATATGCAACTCGGCAATGTGTTCTCGGACGGTTCGTCGCAGAACAAAACATCGACTGGCGGGGATATGGCGCAACATCACGGCGTAGTTCTGATTGAGCTATGGAGCCGTACGTCGGGGATCCATCAATCATGTCCTGTTAGCAAGTCCGTGATCGCGCAACTTTGACTCGAGGCGGTGGAGCAAAACGACCGCGACGCTCATGAACAACCAGTCTTACGTCCTGACGCGGCCATGGACCGTTGGACTGGCAATCCGCAATAATACCTCATTCAGCCGGGCCAAGCGTACAGAGATTCATCCCGTGGTCATTTGTACGAAGATCGCAGCACCAACACGCAACAGTACGTAGCGCTGTCGGAAATATGGCAAGGTCTACCCATCATATCCTCGGATCACCTGCCGACCCGCTGCGCACGAAGAGCGAGTATAAGTACCAGTCTGCTTGTCATACACTGCAGGTTTACTTCCCCGTAACCTACTCAGTGATCGAAGAACAGTATGAAGTTCACAGTCGCCTTCGCCCTCTGCGCTATCGCTGTCCTGCAGACGGTTTCGGCCGCCCCTGCTATTGACAAGCGCACAGGTGGTGAGGCATACATTACACCCGCGGGCACGTCTGTCTCGCGCTATGGTTATGTTTCCGACGTTGACATTGAGGCATTCAACAGATCTGAAGAAGCGCACAGGTGGTGAGGCGTACATTACACCCCCGGGTACGTCTGTCTCGCGTTATGGTTATGTTTCTCATCGATGTTGACATTGAGGCATATGATAGATCTCAAGAAGCGCACGGGTGGTGAGGCGTACATCACACCCCCGGGTATGTCTGTCTCGCGTTATGGTCATGTTTCTCATCGATGTTGACATTGAGGCATATAACAGATCTCAAGAAGCGCACGGGTGGTGAGGCGTACATTACACCCCCGGGTATGTCTGTCTCGCGTTATGGTCATGTTTCTCGTCGATGTTGACATTGAGGCATATAACAGATCTCAAGAAGCGCACGGGTGGTGAGGCGTACATCACACCCCCGGGTATGTCTGTCTCACTAAGCTGCAATGCCGGTATGGATACTGAACGGCATGCTGGTCTGCTAGACCTCGATTAGCGCACGGGCGGCGAGGTCTACACGACGCCGCATATCGATGGTAAGACACCCACGCGGCCGTTATACCCCTATTCACTGTCTCCCTCTAGAATTGGTTTGCACGAGAGTTCTGGACTCCTGCGTTGATGTTGTGCCATGTATGTCATACTTGATGCAATGATCCTTGGGTGGACATGTTCACATACAAATTGTTCCCGCATGTTGTGATCAAGCGAATGCCAAGAGCAGTCCAATGAGTCTTGCCATCCATTCCGTAGTCTGTCATGATAAAATAGACCGGGTGGCCTGTTGTGGTTGCGTTGAATGTGCATCGTGCGATGGGTATCCCAGACTGTACACTGTCATTTTGTTGCGTCGTTGCACGCATCTGAGGCGATGGCTCGAATTAGGTGGTCGACTCTTGCAACTTTAGTATATCAGCTGGTCAGGTATTAGGACGCAAAACTTTCGTTCTATGCCTGTTTTTGGCAAGCCCATTAGGCGCTTATCACGACGCGGCGATGCCCCTGTGCTCCAGCCCTTGATTTCTTCCGCCGTCAATCGTTGTCGTCGGCGGTGTTGCGATTCTCAGGCCGAGTCCCTGTTTCAGGGGCATCTTGTCCAGAACACCGCCCCCTTGTGAGAGAGAGAGAGAGAAGTTCTTTGTATTTATACTGCGCGACAGGCGAACATAGCGCGCCAAAGCACAGTGTAACTATCTACAGTAAGTAAATAGAAGATTTGTGATGTGTATCGTATTGGAGGTGTCCGTTTCGGTCTGTATCTCTAGGAGACTGTGTGAGTAGAGTATTGTCGCGGTCGTGGGGTGTCGACATTTATGTCTATCGTATTAAGGCTTTCCGTCCGTTTCTGAGCATAGTAAAGTAAGCATAACCATAATACCTAACATCCCTCGTGTACACGCCAATTGCCCAAAGCAGCGTTGCGACGTGGCTGCTTTCGAGTGCGAGTCGACCTGGGTTCGTAGATGGTCTTGTGTGGCCCTGTGGGTCTGCAACGTGAGCGTCTCCGGTCTTGGAGAATGCTCCGGTCTTCGCGACGAATTTGGCCAGCGCGCGGATGCCGTCCTGGGTGCCTAGTATGTCGTTGACGGTGGGTGATGCGGATATGCGTAGGAGTGTGGCCGCGTTTCGTGCGTCTTTGTAGCGCGGGCATTCGAGTAGGACATGTCTGCGGGTTTGTAAGTGGGCTCCGCATGGGCATGCGACGTCTTCGGTCGGGACGAAGCGCGTGTAGTACTCGCCGATGAACGCGTGGCCTGTGCGGCATTGTGTGACAAGGCCGTATACGCGTCTGTTCGTGATGTTCGCGAAGTGACTCTCTGTCATGGCCGTCTTTCCAGTCCAAGCCCGCGGGTGTGGTTTCGCGGCATGTATGAGGTATCCGTACCGTTACGACTAGTACTATAGGGGTGGATTATATCCAGCTCGTGCGTCTCCTTGGACCTAGCAGGAAGATGGCCATATGATGGGGACCCACTGGCCACTGTGTCAGATATTCCAGTCAAAGACGTCTGCGTTCTCATTCTCAAGGCGAGTCTGTTAGGATCGTTCGTCAGAGAAAGCACTAACTGTGATTTGAACTGGCAGATATGTGGCGCAAGTGACTCATGCTATCAGTGCTTCTAGTCGAACTACTTTGCTCCCGCAAGTCGATCGACCATCATTCCGTGGCGTCCATGATGGCATCACCGTGACTTAAAAGATCGGGCTGGATCAGCGTTCTGGCATAGTGAATAGCTGCCGCTTTTGACAGAACCAAGCCTTGGCTTTGCCAATAACCGAGGTCTGGCCACGTACGTTTAGTTGAGCTGGCACCGTGTGTCCAGAGGCTGTCTAGAGGTCTAGAGGATCATTTTGCGGAAAATTGTGTCACGAACGCTGTGCACAAAGCACACTCCAAGGCAAGAATATGAGTCACTGCTCTCTTTAGAGCACCTGATGACCCGGGACGCGCGAGGAAGAATGTGAATGCGTCCCCGTACGTCCGTTCAACATAACTGGGAGGTCATTGATTGGTTCCAACCCAGAGCGGCAGTGAGCCCAGCATGAAGCTCACACTCGCCTTTGCGCTTCGTGCCGTCACCACCTTGCAGGCAGTCTCGGCCGCTCCTGCGATCGAGAAGCGTACTGGCGAGGTGTACCAATTCCCTCCGGAAGGTACAAATTACACCCATCGTGCTCGTTCATGCTGAACCAGTGACGTCGGTCTGATAGACTTCGATAGTAAACGTGAGGGTAGAGAGGTCTATACGTTCCCTCCCGGTGAGAACTGGTTCAGCTATCGATCGCGATGTCGGATGTTGTGCTTAGTATTCGTTTTCCAGACCTCGACAACCGCGCTCGAGGGAGGAGAGTTCTATACTCCCCTCCTGGTGACTAGTGAGCACTTGTCATATCGTGGTCTCGAAGCTCTTCCGACAACGACATCTACCCCCTTGTGCTATATTGACACCAGTAACGGCCTATGGGACTTGTAGTGTCCGACGCAACCAGTGACCTAGTTGCAAGGCCTTCCAAAGGTTATGGTTGATTCAATACCGTGCTAGTGACTACCGCGACGTCTCAGCGAACGACTCGACTTTAGACTGTGGCATATGGACGATACCCATATTTGTCTATGCGGTGCCTCCCAACGTATCTCAAGCGGCCTTGCTTGAGCTTGATGAGACTCAGCGCGGTCGGGTCTGTCGACTACTGTCGACGCTGATCTCTCATCATCGGATTGTGCTTCGTCACGAACGCAAGTGGGCGCACTACGCATGCAGTTCACATTTGTTTTGGTTGAAAATCACTTTTGGAACGTACGTCTGACCGACTCTCTTCAACTTGAAGGACAGAATGGCCCACTGTCTCAGCAGGATCACTAGTAGTAGTTCATGCCGGATAACTACATCATGGAGGTGGTGGTTGATATGGACGCGACGGAGGCTCACCGCGATGGTCTGGACATGTATGGCAACCAGACAGCAAGGCAAGAGGACTGGCGATATATCCTCGCTTTGCGAGTAGTGTGTTTGTTGTCGACGTCTTCGGAGTCAACTGAGTCTTGTTGACATGCCTTTCAGTTAAATGCTTGACCGTCTGCTGTCACGGACGGTCAGTACTTGAGGCATGAGGGGCAGATATCAACACCAAGCATCATCTGACTGGTATGTTTCCATAGCAAACTCGGAGTATATATCAGTGTTGAAGTGCTGCTTAGCTACCCACCGTTCGAGCAGAGCGCCATAGGCTACTACACAAGACCAAGACAGCGCAGATCGTCAGCGAGAATAAATACGGGGCAGAGGGACCTTGCCCAGTCCAACCACTCGTTCCTCTGTATCGTGCTCAGTCAAATCTCCAACTAATCACAAGTTGACGTACACAACCATGTTCATGCTCCAGTGTGCGTTTGCCCTCCTGTAGACGGCAATGGCTGCACCCGTCACATCAAATGGTACGTCTCCACCTTCATAGCCCTGACACTTGCTCGGCACCTTGGCTAAAAAGAGATTAGCCGGCATACAGTCGAATTGGAGGCACGCCGCATTAGCGGTGTCAAGTACTACGCATACAGCGAGGTCCCGAGTCCGAGTCGCCACGGCACTCTTGAGCTGAATGCCTCCGTCAGGACTCGAGCCGGACGGGCCTGGTTTCGAGTGAGGGTGAGTGCTGGTACCGCGAAGGTTACAGTGCGAGCCAACACATCTCTGCTTCTATCTGCTCAAGGCCATCAGCTAATGTGTACTCAGGACTATACGACATACCCTCGCTTACTGTCTTCACAGAAGCAGGCGAGTCACATTCCTATGGGCCTATTATCGCGCGAGTAGTAGTGCTCTAAACTGAATCAACAAATCAGCCTAGCTTTCCTGCGTGAATAAAGTAATTGAACATTTGCGACCCGACTTGGCAGTCCGTAGTAGCCAAAGCCTTCTGTGTGACCTGAGTCACGATCTTCCGAGCTGTGCGCTGTCAACACACTACCGCCTGAACGCTGGGATAAACACTGTATATCGTTGAGTGCTGCGCCCGCACGGTCCATCGGGTGGTACAGTGCCCTTGTCTGTGGTGCCGCATTTCAAAAACTGAAATTCTACCCCGATGAACTGTTGACATATATGTGATAGTAGAGTAGTGGCACTACATTTCAGAACACGTTTGGTGATAAGACTCGGTTGAGATGGTCTAGCTGACGTAACTTACCAACGAACAGATATTGTGATTGTGCCGTACTGAATACATGTGTCAGGCCTCTCGCCGTCCGACGAGTCCAAGTGCAGGCTGGAGAGGAGCGCCGATTGCATTGTTGGAATATTTTCGGTCTGTGTGCTGCACAGCACCGCGGCGACATTCGTTATTGCCCATTTGAATTGGCCGACTGCGCCGTCTATCCTCATGCACAATCGCGCAAGGTCTATGAACAACGTCAGCCTCTGGACAATAAGTCACCCAAGAGACGCACGCCGGACGGCCGGGGGATTATTCTGCCATTTTCCTCGATGTACTCCTTACCCAGGTTCATGCGGGGGCGACCCGGGGCGCGGGGATCCGATCTGGCGCGGTGTCGCTGCTCGCGCGCCTGTGCCTAAAGTCTATTTTCCTGCTGAATGAAGGAACCACCCAGAGCATCGCCTCGACTGTTCGAGCGCGGTCCGCAGTGAGTCTGGAGGAGAGCGTGGCGGCGGCTCGCGCTAATTCCGTGCGGCGATTGCGCGAGTCCTCGGAACGTCAGTTTGGCGAAGGTTCCCGGTGTTCGAGTGCGAGACCGAGTTTTGGATATGGCGGCTGCGCAGAGAGCAGGAGAACGCGGGGAGGAGGGAGCCGAAGCGACCATAAAGGGTCGAACGCGCGAGGACAACGCGAGGACGCGCGGTGACAGAAAGTGACGCGCCCAGTGACCGCGTTCTCGATCGATTACTAACCGTGACGCGGTGGGATGACACAGACGCGTGTCGACGCGCCCCACTGGCACGCCAATTTGCTGTGTGGTCGAAGCCACTACGCTAGCGATGCGCTATCGGGCGCCGCTTTGCAATGGCCCGCCCGTCATAAGGCCAGCCTTGTCCTGGTGAGTCGCTCTCAGTCGCCATACAAGCAGGCCATTACCAACTGTATCGATAACAGCTCGCCGTCCTAGCAAGATGTTCCGATGTCTTCCATTGGTATCGGAGGGATGTGTGGCCTTCGTGCCATTCAACAGTTCACAGGGAACCACCGAATTCGAACAACCTCCCGAGCTAGTGGACGCGTCAAGTTAAGTATGCGCATAGCAATCAAAGTCTCACCATCACGGCGACTGTAAGGATCCCCAAAGGGTTTGGTCACAGAGCACTCCCACCTTGCTCCCACCCAGCCCACATTTGTCAACCCCTGACCAGCCCTTTTGCAGCGACGGACGCGTGATAGAATCCGACTCGAGGAGGAGTGTCCGTGGCACGGTGGCGCTGTTACCAGGGCCGCCCATCCGTTGCTCTGTCCCGCACAGCGCGCTCCTGATAAGTACCGGAGGCATTCATCAATCATGGTGCCTGGGGGGGGGGGGGGGCAAGGCATGTACATCCCCGCTGCCTGGAGCTTTTCGGACGTGCTCCAAGCCATGTTCTGCATGCGAATCGTGGTGGGAGCCAGCCTACATCATCATCGGTCACGTATGCGCCATGGACTCGGATAATATAACAGGTCGTTCTGATGTGCCGGGCAGTCCGGAGATACACACGAGCAGCATGACGAGTACAAAATAGACTAGACCGAGAGCAAGTGTGAAGGAAGTTCGGGAAGAGGGGCACGCGGTGGACATGGCAGCCTGGAGTCTGCGCTGCTACACCGGGTGTGCGCTGTGACTGCCCGGATATGCCTGATGGCGACAGAGCGTCGGGAGATACTGTCAGAGAAATTTGGCCATGAGTCGTTTGGTATCAGTGGGGCCTTCCAGTCCCTGTTTCGCATACACTCTAATTCCGGGCGGTCCTCGACTGCTCGCAGACTGCTCGCACACGCAGAGCCTGGATCTTGGGTGGATCGGCACGTTGGGCGCCATCTCCCCGGGCCCGGAGATCCCTCGTAAGATTGGTGGGAAGACTGCAAGCGGCGATCGTGCCGGCGGTGGGGTGGGCAAATCGGCACACAGCGGAGTGCGAAATCTCGCTCGAAAGGGACGGAATGGGTGACATCATGGTTGATGCCTATGTCGCGCTCATAAACGCGGGCCTGCTCACACTGCTCAAAGTCTCTCGACGCAGGTACGTCGCACTTTGCATGGCCGACGTCCTCACCCAGCCCCCCGTCGCCGCCCCCGTCGGCCCCCATGTCGCCCCCCGCCTGCCCTCGACCCGCCACGAGCCGTTGTCGCCCAAAATAACGGCGAGCACGATAAGGTCGTTGCCCTCGAGGACCAAAGCTCGCCTCGCTGTAACAGCGCACATCGAACATGTCGACCCCCGCCGCCTCTCGCTGGACGGCGCGTCGAACCTCCACCGTCGACAGCACCTGGACGACGGCCACCGTAACGACCAGGACGACCAGGACGACGCGCATTCGGTTACCCCCATTGATGCCGAGGGCGCACATGGCGACGACCGCGTTGCGCGATCCACATCACTCCTAGGGTCGGGACGATACTCGCGCGTAGCATATAGGCGTGTCAATCAGGGTGCGTCTTTTTGGCTTTCATGAAGAGCTCCACCATGAACCTTCGCGCTGCAGACAAGCAGCTCCCTGCAGCTCCGGAGGACGACGAACCGTCTGCATTCTCGAGTCATGAGGGCGACACCACACCTCGGCAGTCGAGATACGACGACCTCGCTGACGCTCTCACGCGCGATCCGCCCAGGCTGTCCTCGCCGACGCCACCGCCTGTGCCGCCCAAGTCGGACCGCGGCCATGCCTCCAAAATAAGGGGAGTGTCGATCGTCGAGCCGTCTGAACTCTCGCACGACAGCACGCACGAGGATAGCTATTACGCTCTTGACTACACGGTTTCTGACCCAGGACACGGTTCTATACCCCCCGCTAGTACGAGCGTACCAAGCCCGGGCCGTGTTCCCCGCAGAAAAACGTACTCTTCGAGACCTGCGCGATACTCCGCTGGTCCATATCACAGCTATCCTTCCCGCCTCTCGTGGGCGGACAGGGCAAGCCTTCCCATCTTTCGGCAGTCATTCGCCTCGGACGGACACCAGATGGTCTCAAGCCCTACATCGATGTCGGCGTTCTCAGAGTCATTGCCCCATCCTTCCCACCTCGCGCGGAGGAAGCTCAGGAAGCCCCGTCCTGTGTCTACCCTCTCATCTCCGCCATGTAGTCCACCTGCCTCAAGCCCAAGCTCAGGCTCGAGCCTGAACCTCCTCCGGGCGCTCAGCCACAAAAGTGCGCTCGCACCGCGCGACTCGGCGGAGCCTTCGACCGCCTCATCACCCAGAAATAGCATCAACTTCTTCCGCATTCCCCGCTGCACAAGTGACCACGGCCACGACGATTCGAGTACGCCGAGCGGCAGCGGCAGCTCCAGTCGGCCGCCGGTGCTTTCACGCCAGAGCGAAAGTGGAAGCGCGCAGTCACACTCGCATTCTAGCTCAACGTCTCATTCCACGACTTTCTCTTCACCGTCCACAGACCATTCGACACCTGCGACTACACCAGAGGGCTCCTCCCCCATAGCATCCCCCCTCTTCGGCCCGTCAGCGTGGCAATGTGGACCGGGCGTGGCAGGTGCAAGCGACCGCACGCAGGATGTGGACCCAGTACTCGCGCCGCAGCTCAGTCGCGGGACAGGCGGGGGCGTTGGGGGACGCAAGCTGAAGAAGAGACGGCCCTCACAATCGGCGCCAGGCACGTCATGGACGTCGTCATCAGGTACCCCGGACTTCCCCGGACTGCGGTCGAGGATGCTGGGCGGTCCAGCGACACTATCAGCATCGTCGACGACGCCGAACGTCCTCCCTCCAATTAGCCCTGTGTCGCCGTTTGGGCTGGATATCGTGAGTGTAACAAATATTATTGGTCGTATATGGGGCTGGGGCGCTTATTGCTGTTCGCTTCAGCCGAAGGAGTACACCAGTGGGCGGCAGCCCGCCTTCCCGCCCCCGCCGAAGCGCAAGCGATCGACGAGCGCCCTCGCGCAGCTCGCATGGACGGGCCTCTCTTCGTCGGAGCTCGCCGCCCTCACGTCCCGCCTGCACATCCAGCGGAACCCCCCTGAACGCACATCGCAGAACGGGAAGGGCAAGCAAGCGCAGGCGTACGAGGAGGCGCCGCTAGGGACGTTCGACCCGTACGCCGAGGGACTGTATGCGCGCGGGGGCAACCCTAAGCTCGTGGATGTGAGTGCGATGGACGAGGAGAACGAGAACGAGACGGAGGAAAATTCCAGGGAGGCGGGGGGCAGCGCTCTGGGTCACGCGGTGAGCAGTGGGCTGTCGACGATGAGGAGGATGGTCAGCCCGCGATTAGAGTCGCAGGGCCCACCGAGCCCCATTGCCCTCAAACCCCGCGCCAACAGCGTGTACGCCAACGGGCCAAGCTCCTATCTGCCGACCTCGAGGGCAGCGCAGCCTAGTCGGAGGTCGGCGAGTTTCTTGGAGAGCGACCCCATGGCGATGCGGAGGTGGACGCTGGCGATGGCCGACGTCCCCGACGAGATCCTCGTACAGGAGCTCGACAAGCTCCGGAAGAATGCCGTCGCGAAGAAGGCTCGGGGGAAGAGCAGGACGCCAGCTCAGAGCGAGAGCGGACATACGGCGGAGTCTGGGTGCTCGACAGGCTCGACTTCGCCTTGGAGATCTGGAGTGCATTTCCGCCTGGGTGGCGACAGCGACTCCGAAGAAGAGGGCGACGGAGATGAGGAGGACGAGGCACTCGACGGATTCGAGAACGATGCGGACGAGGAGGAATGGAAGGCGGCACGGAGAGCCCTGCTGTGCTGCAGGGAGCTCGTGAGGACGGAGAGAAGTTACCAGGCGCGCTTGCGGGAGCTGCTGAATGCACAGAGCTCGCATCCCTTCTTCTCGCTCCTGCTCTCTTACGTCCCTGCGCTTCTTCAGGCTTCGGAAGCGTTGCTCGTGCGGCTCGTCGATGACCCGAGTGCATGGGGCGTGGGCGCGGCGTTCATCGGCTGTGAAGAGGAGCTCGAGGCGGCTCTCGTTGCGTGGTGCGGCGTCGTCGGCAATTTCTATATCGATGATGAGAAGGACAAGCGAGGCCGGAAGAGGCGCAAGTCGGGCGACGAGACGACAAATGCCCTGGGTCATGGCGAGCCGCGCACCCTCTCCCCCCGCGGTGCGTCGCAGTCCGGGATCGCGGGCATGATAAAGCCAAGGGTTGCGAATCGGCGGATGTCCTTGATTGACCCGAGCGAGAACGGGATGTTCACCGCTGCGCTCGGGACCGGGCTCGCGTTCGGCTTGTCGTCGCCGCCCGCGCTGGAGTCGAGGAAGCATGGGAGCACCGCGAGCTTCGGCAAGGACCATGGGCCGACGGGGACGCTGACGCGCACGCTCAGTGCGTGGAAGAGGAAGAGCATGCCAAGCTCGCTGTCGAACCTCCAGACTACAATGGGCATGCCCCCGAGCCCGTCGACTGCGCATGGCCATAGCAAGGAGAAACTGTGGACTCTGCGGGACCTCGCTATTCAGCCCACCCAGCGGGTGATGAGATACGTTCTGCAGTATAAAGGTATGTCGCCTGTCCGCTGTCAGTAGTATGTGTCGCTCATCTCGCGCCATAGATTTATTGGCACATACCCCTGTCACGAGTCCGTCGAGAGGACTCGTTGAGCGTGCCCTCGAGAGTGCGATCCGCATTGCGAAGAAATGCGATCGTGCCCAGGGAAACTCAGCGTTCCTCCGTTAAATGCCCCCATTCACGACTTAACGCCATCTTGCTGTCATTGTCTCTTGCATAGCCTTCTCGTCCCTCTTTCGCTTGCATCCATTCGTCCTCCATACGTTGTCTTTATACGCCAGCCTGTTCCCCTCCGCTTCCTCGGCGATTACGCCGCGGTACTCGGCGGGCCATCATGTTGTCTGCGTATCCCTTGCATTGTTACTGTTTCTCTAGCATATGTATATTAGCATGCATCATCCACCACACCACACGCTAAGGTAAAGACTCCCATACGACATTAGACGGACATGATATCTGATGTCTGTAACCATAGTCTTGTAGTTCACGACCCATCATGTTGTGCTTCGGTGTCGCTACGTTATTGTGTAGATTAATAGGCCTTGCCAATCCACCTGGCATGTCTTGCGCACATATCACGCATTGGCCGTGTGAAATGTCGCGAACAACGATTCGAGTAGACGCATGCGATTGCAAAGCAATAATGTACAGCAATATCGTACATATATGTACACGTAGAGTACAACGGTGGGTACCATGGGGGTCACGGTGGTGGTACACGGATCCGACATGGTCAGCAATTGCAACAGAGCACAGATGGAAGCGAATAAACACGTACAATGGACAATAGCAACATAGCAACATAGCGAACATGAGATGAAACGAAACCTCAACGATACTAAGCCTGGAGATTGAAGATTGCAGGAAGACTCCTCCAGAGCTCCCTGCGCTTTTTCTCCGCCGAAGTCGCGATATCCTGCACGCATGCCCCGCAGGGCAAGTCAGTGAAGAGCGTCTCAAGCCGTGAGCAGTCGTAAAGGATGTCGAGCGGGTCGTCCATGGAGATGGGTGCGTTCTCCTGGAAGTACTTCCAGCACTCCGTCCGTGCCTTCGCGCACACCTTGATCCCGCGTTGGCAGCGTTTGCCAAAGATGTCTGTGCCGATGGCGCGTGTGTGCCCCGCGAGCACCTTCTGCCCGTGCACGAGGCGCATGAGGTCGCGTTTGTCGAGCAGCCGCCATCGCGCGGTGCGCGCGCCGAAGCGGAGGTGCTTCCCGGGGTTCGCGCGGTACTCGTCCCAGTCGGCGTCGGTCGAAAGGAGGGCGAGCTGGTAGAACGCCGCGGGGAGGATGCTCGGGAGGTTGTAGTCCGTCGCGACGCGGATGGCGGAGGCGGGCTCGGGGAGGCGGTCGTCCAGGTAGAGCCCGTTAATCTTGCCGGTGAACTGCTGCGCGTGCTCGGAGCGGAGGAGGATGCACTCGGAGCGGCGGGCGTCCCACTGCGCGAGGGTCTGCGGCCAGTCTGCCTCGAGGTTCTCGACGATGCGCGTGCGGATGGCGTCACACTCGTACTTTGTAGCGAGCTTCAGCGTGCCCTCCACAAGGACGGGCGTGTTGGGGTTGAAGCGTTTGTAGGCCGTCCCACTGCGTGGTTCATGTATCAGCGGGTGGGAATGCTCTCATGAATGGGGAGACGCACAGTGGATCATACAGTACCCCGAGGAAGCTCGCGAGATCTTCCGCAGTGTCTGGCATCTGCACATGCAGCACGCCGTCGTACGTCTCCTCCAGCATGTCTCGTGAGCCTGATGCCCTCAACGGGGGTAGTGCGAACATATCCGCCAGGACAGGCGAATGCCTGCACAGGACGGAGTGGTGCACCCGGAAGTACTGGAAGCTGCCGTCCTGGGTCCGCGCCGAGAGCACCACATTGCCATCGTCGAAGTACAAGGTTGGGTGGTGCTGGTCTGGATAGTAAGCATTGTCCATCGGAACGCTGGGGAACGGGGGTCCTGGGTATGGCGCAGGCGATCCTGGTGTTACAGGCCTGTAACGCGGGGACGGCGGGGACGGGAGGCGGTAATGCTGCATCGGACTGGGTGTATCTTGAAGAAAGAGATGCATTCGGGCTTAGACCAACTCTCAAGCTAGGTCAGCATGTGGATGGCGCGGTGCAGGGTCGTGGAAGCCGCATGACTGTCTGTGTTGATAGAGTTACTCAGCGCCTCCCATTGGCCTCCCAGCATGACCGCTGTGCTCCCAGATGGCGTACTAAACATCATCACTTCTTCTCGGCGTGAGCTGCAGCCCGACCAAAGTTGCAAACGCAATGGAAACTTCATTTCATAAATTCGGGCTAAAGGTACAGTCATCGCGCTACACTCTATTCACGCAACATACAACAGATAAGCAATAACGTATCCTCTCGTGAGTGCGGCCGCGAGTCGTATGTCGATTGGGTACCGCAGTACACAGCACAGCTTCCCGAACCGACATCTGCTGAGCCTAGCGAGTGTACTCGAGCTGAAATAACATCCGAGGGCGAGATGGACTCTGACTGAAGCATGAGCAGCATGAGAAATCGTGTTTAGCGATTGAATGGACGCACCTACTACTCACCTATGCGGCCCAACTTCACTCGCATCCATCGCTGCTGAAGCAGCCATAGAGTGACTGATCCTCCCAAACCGACAACCTTCCACACCGTTGAACGTCATGACAAATTCTCCATTTACGATGCCGTCATGCCTGAGTTCACTCTCCGCTGCCTCCACAATCTTGCCTTGGTCAAGCAACCATCTTCGCATGACTCCAGGCAGACAACCGACCTCCGCTCGCGGGGTGATCCACTGAGGCGGGGACCGGCGAAGAAATGCGATGTTCCGTATGGAGGTCTCCATTATCTCACCAGTCGGAGTATACAACAAAACGTCCGCATAGACGTCTGTTGGTAGCGGCGGAAGGCCTGCACGATCACGAGCAGCGTTGTACATGGGCCGGTGGGTGGTCTTCGTGTGCGTGAAAAGAGATGGCGAGGTGGGCGCGGTGTCAAGGATGACACTCAAAAACGGGGGCTGAAGCAATTTGCTATACGTGGGTGAGGACAGAAAGTGTTCTGGGAAGGACTTGAAAGCTGATAGCAAGCTCGGATCCCCATTGGGAAGTGGACGACCTGCCGGAGCGGCCGAAGCTGTGACAGTGCCATTGCGGCTGAGCAAAATCCTAAGCTAGACTTCCGTGATCAGCTTCACAGCATTAACATAAAGTACAGTAAGTAGAATACCTTGAGCGACAGGTTTCCATGAGAGGATTCACTGAGAGCCTTTCGTACTGCATCCTCGCACGCGCTGACCAAGTCACTGTAGGCTAGAGAGACTATCCAACCATGCACCTGAGCCGCGTAGTTGAGGCGATCCGAGTGAGACCTTAGTAGCAGAAACGGCGAGGGCTCCCCGTCGTTAGCGGCGGTATTCCAGGGGAGGCTGAGGAGGGAAGGATCATAGCGGGTCGAGGAGAGGACATGGAAGTCGGGAGCGAGGTCCATTGTGCAGCACGTGACGGCGCAGTGCCCGTGTACTTGGGCGCCTGCGGGGTATATAGCAGTGACGACGCGCGCGCCCCCTCTCGGACTCCTCCCGCAACCTGCTGGGCCACTCCCCACCATGTTCACCGTCAAGGCCACTTACCGCGCCGAAACCCGCAAATTCACCTTCCCTGATTCTTCGCATTTCCCTTCTTTCGACCAGTTATATGATCAGGTAAGCGTCCTCGCCGTCGTCGTCGTCTGCGTCGCACGCTGATACGCGTTCTCCTCTGCAGTTGTACAGAGTCTTCCGCATCTCTCCTTCCTTCTATCTCTCGCAAATTCTATTCTCGCCTAATTCGTCGTCGGCCGCGCAGCGTATTCTCCTCGGGAGAGAAGCCCACAGCGCCGACGAGTACAATGAGTACATAGCCCCCTATCAGGCCCGAAGCTGGCCCGGCGCGCTGCTCAAGTTCTCCGTCTACGACGAGACACCGCACAAATCCCCCACGACGACCAATAACCGTATCAGCATGGTCTCCACGGATAGTGGCCACGCGAGCGTCACGGCGTCCGAGGGCACGATGTCTGCCACAGTGGTGGACTGGGACCATACTCCCCGCAGTCCAAAAAGGCAAGGTGACGACCGCAGGCTCTTCCTCGAGCGTCTGCGTGAACGTACGACTACACGGACCAACGTCAGCCCTCCGTCGGAATCTCCTACGACCCCGTTGCCGCGAGACTCCGCGGACACCTCACAGGATGCCGTAGGTGCACGCCAGTCGTCGCGACCCTTGCCGCGCAGACCGTCGCCGTCGCCGGACACCGCTTCGACGTCAACTGTGACGGCTAGCTCCAGAACCGCCCGACCCTCTCTGTACGACCTCCTGAATCGGGAATCGTCCTCGAGTAGCCAATCGGTCGCCCGAACGGAGTCGTGGCGACCTTCCCTTGCTGACGTCTTGAGGCAGGACCTTGCGGCTCTGTCGGGTCAGACCACCGAGGCTCCAGATGGGGCACGTGCATTGCACCGCCCTTCACAGTCAATTAGCATTGACGTGATTCCGCCGTCGCCGTCGCTCACAGACGCCACTCACCTGAATGATGAGCGACTCGACCATACGCGGCACGACTCTGGACGTCGCAGAACACATCTTGTTCCGCGTCGTTCCTGGGATGATGACAAACCCGTACCACGTCCTGCGGCTGAGAGGCGTGCACGGCCTCGTCCCATCTCTGACTATGGCCCCATCCGCAGACCCGCTACCGAGGATGCTCGTCGTTCGTCGCTTGTAGAACTTCTGAAAGACATCTCTCCACTGTCCAAGCAGACCAGTCGCGAATCTCGTCCTGAACGCCGTCGGCCAGAAGATCGTCTGACGTCGTTGCTACACGACTTGCACGGGGAGCAAAGGGACTTGGATCTTGAAAGCCGTCAGCAGGAGGATCGCCTGACTTCTTTGCTCGAGACCATGCGCAAGAAACGGGACCAGCGGTCCAACACTTCATCGGAGTCATCATCTCCCAAGGTGCTGATCATTCCTCCGCCGCCGATACTCTCGGAAGCGGATGTGCACATTGGTCGGTCACCTAACTTCATCGTTCCCCCGCCACCGATATTGTACCCCTCAGTCGGCATCTCGACGCTGGCAGCTGAAACCCGGTCTACAGACGCGCCGCAAACGGGAGTAACGTTTACACCCCCTGCTGTCAAGCCGCCTGCTGCGTCAGTAACGCATAATGAAGAAGCTTTGCCGCAGTCGTCTGAGCGGACGGCGCCTAGGACTGCGGAGGCTGCTGGTGGGGTCGAGGTACCCGCATGCGAAGAACCTTCCTCAAACGCGTCGCAACAGATCCATTGCTGCTCGGTTTCTCAAGGCAAGGCTGACGTCCAAGTGTTGATGAACCGCTTCTTCTCAGACGTCGAATCAACGATGAAGAAGGCCTTTGGAGATGATTGGGAACTCGGAGATGCCCTGAAGAGTGCTGGCCGTCGCTGCGGGCACGGCGATGCTGCGTCTTGCGGACCGCAGCTTGATGGTAGAAATACCTCGTCTTGCTGTCGTGCACGCTCTCCCGTCGACCAGTGTCCTACGCCTTTCATGTTCGCCGAATCGTACCGGCCGCCGAGCCCGCCTAGATTCCCTCCAGGTTTCGTGCCCTACCCACCGTACGCGCCTCAGGTGCCGCCGCCTCCGCCGCTTCCTCAAATGCAGGTATACCCACCGCATCGGATGCCATCGCCTCTGTTACGGCCCGTCATCCCGACGCCTCCTCCCCTGCCGCCATTGCCGCCGATGCTAGGGGAACAGTATTTGACGTATTCCATACCTCCTCCTGTGGTACCGCCTCCGCCACCTGCGTGGGGTCACCTACATGTCTATGATTCTGCGAATCCTCCTACAGTGGTTCCAGAGACTCCTCTCCTGTCTCATCCGGGCGTCACTTGCGACGGTTGTAGGGGCAGAAACTTCTACGGGGTCAGGTACAAGTGCATGGACTGCCAGGGTATGTATCATCCTCTTCCTTTCAGACGTCAGATATGTATTGATGCCATGATAGACTTCGATTTGTGCAGTGCGTGCATCTGCACGAGGGACATCGTCAAGGATCACGCACAACACGCCTTCCGCCCGGTTATCGAAAGCCGCACAGCGCAGCAACAGTCCCACATGGGTATCACCTGCGACGGCTGCGGGAAGCGCAACATATATGGCGTCCGGCACAAGTGTATGGAGTGCCCTGGTGAGTTCCAATGACGAGATCGACGAGCAGATGTGGATGCTGACGCCTTTGACACAGACTACGACCTCTGCACTGCTTGCATTTGCTCTGGCGTTCACTGGGACCGACACGATAGCTCTCACCACTTCGTCCCTATCGCGACGCCGGGTGACATGGGCCGCTACCATGCTGCTCATCAGACTCAGTCCAGAGCTCGCATGCTCACGGGGGGCGCTCAGCCCGCGGAGACGACCGGTGTGGTCATGACAGGCGAGCTACCTGTTCACCGTAACATCCTCTGCGATGTCTGCAACGATGTCATCGTTGGCGTCCGTCACAAGTGCTTGGACTGCCCGGACTACGACTTGTGCAGCCAGTGTTATGCTATTCCTGACATTCAGTCTGAGCACGGCGCTGCTCACCAGTTCTTCGCTATCGACCGTCCGGGAGAAGTCATTGTCCACACTGTCTTCAGTGGAGATGGTGAGCGTGTCCCTTCGGCACGCAGCCCGCGCAGGCAGCCCAGGACCGAGTCACAGCAGTCGGTTGCCTCTGCACCAGAGCCGCCGACGATGCACGTGCACAGCGCCAGGTGCAACCTCTGCGAGTCGAGGATCTGGGGCGAGCGTTACGTGAGTTGTCTTTAAGCGGAGCATTGTATCGGTTGCTAATGACGTCTCATAGAAATGCCTCAATTGCCCCGACTTCGATACGTGCTCGTCCTGCTTCCAGTGTGTAACATCTGAATATCATTTGTCTGTATTGATTCTAACTATGTGCTTAGGATCACGCCTGAGCAGCACCCCGGTCATGGTTTCGTCAAGATCGTCAAGCCCCAGGACCTCGTGGTCAGTCTTCTGCTACTGTCTCCATGGGTGTTCGCTAATTTGTATGCTCTATGTACGCAGATGCGCGATGCTCTTGGCGGTGAAACTGTACATGACGCTAGATGCAACATCTGCAACACAGTCATCACTGGCATTCGCTACAAGGTATGACGAATGTTGCTTTGTTTTTGCATGAGTTAAGCTATTCTCGCAGTGTTTGCACTCGGAATGCCCGGACTTCGATCTCTGCCAGTCCTGCGAGGCCCTTCCGTTCCCGGTTCATCCGGCGGTGCACCCCATGCTCAAGATGAAGACTCCCGACACTGTCATCCCACTCGTCATGCGCCCAAGTCAGGCCGCGTCGAACCAGCAGGCGCCCTCAGTAATTGCGAGCGAAACGGTGCCATCGTCTCCTTGCAGGTACGAGTCGCCGGAGGTTCGCGACGAACACATGATACAGCAATCGGAAGATCATTGGCACTCTTTGATGTCTCAAATGCGTACCGAGCACACCGGGCTTGATATCGACGAGTCTGTGCTGAGGCGCTATCCGGAAATCCCGTCAGTGGTAGAGCCGTATAGAGCTCCTTCATCTCCTCCCATCATTCACGGCCCTATCGTGCACCCGGTCGCCGAACCTCTGGTGAATCTACCCACACCCAAGAGGCCTGAGAGCCCTGCTAGTTCAGTGGGGCAACCGGCCGCGGAAGGACATCTGATTGACCTGGAGGAGGGCAACTTTCCGAAGAATGCTACCGAGGCCGCACGCGAGCCGACCGTCGACGGGTTGACCACTCCCTCGGACGTCCCTACGTCCTCGTCGTCTGCGAACTCTGTTCCCCGCCTCGACCCGGTGCAAAACAATGAATGGCGCGAGCTCTGGCCCGAACTGACTGCGATGCTCAAGCACCTCTTGCAGCCTCCCACGCCCACTGTTGTCGTCTCGTCCCCGACCCACGCTCGCATGGAGCAGATGCCGGGCGCCATGTTCGTCGAGGAGAAGTCCGATGAGAGCGAGTCGCCTGAGGTTGCTGAGGAGCCGCGTCCCGCTGTGGAGGAGTCGCCTCTCGTTGGTGAGCCATTGCTCTGCAGGCCGCTCGTCCCCGAGAGGCCCAGCACTATCCACCGTGACATCCGGGGCTACTTCAACGTGCCCCCGCCCCCGCCGCTCAGGAAGGATACCAAGCCTGCGCCCCCAAGGACGCCCACGCCTCCGAGGATCCCTTCTCCGAGGTTGCCTTCTCCCGTCCCGGTCGTGGCTGCGCCGCAGCCGCTGTTCGCGAGTTTCCTGTCGGACAACAATATCCCGGACGGCCAGGTGTTCCCTCCGGGCGCAGAGTTCGTCAAGTCGTGGAAGATGTCGAACCAGGGTGCGAGTGACTGGCCGGAGAGCACTAAGCTCGTGTTCGTCGCCGGTGACCGGATGGCGTCTCATGCAAACGCGCCCCGTTGGGTCAAGGTTGGTTCGGTCAAGGCTGGTGCTGAAGTCGAGATTGTCGCTGGCGAGATGAAGGTGAGCATTGATATTCCTGGGTATGCAGCGAATGTCCAGCTGACTGTGCGTTTAGGCTCCTGAAATCCCCGGTAAATATGTGAGCTATTGGAGATTGAGTGACGGCGAAGGCAATCAGTTCGGTCACAGCATTTGGGTCGAGTGCGTGTTCATCATTACCACCGACTCTGCGTAATCCTGACTCGTTTATTTCCACAGTATCACTGTCGCTGAAATGACCCGTGCGACGTCTTCATTGTCGACGGACGAGTCGCTCGCCGCTTCTTCCGTGATCATGCCGCAGGCCGCTCAGAGTCAGATCGCCGACGCGCCCCGCGTTCTCCCGCCGCGTACCACAACGACCGCTCCGTCTGAGCCAGCGTCTGCCACGCTGCCCTCCAGCCCGCTCTCGGACACCGACTCGTTCGACTCGTCCATCTCACTCGTGGATGCGCCGTCGTCGCCGATCTCGGATGATTTCGAGGAGTACTTCAGGGAGCTCCGCGGGCACGTTTCGCGCCCGGAGGCTGCTGCTCGGCGTGCGCTCGAGCCGGAGTACGTGATGCTATACGACAGCGCGTCGTCTGAGAGCGATTGAGAAGTGGACAGTACAGCGTTGACGTCAAGGAAATAAGGAATGGGTCCGAAACAAGGTTGCGTTTGTGTTGTGACATTGTACGATATGGATTTGTTGTTGCATTGGCATTTCTTGTACGTCCAATAGGTTATTGGAGAATCATATGTGGTCTACACTGGTGCGCTGGAACTCAACTTGAAGGCGGGCTCTGCGAGTTCGAACGCTGCTTGCGTGCCACAGTGGGCGGTGTTGTGCGCGTGACCATACGCGAAGGACGCGTAGAAGCGCGTCTACGCAAATGACGCGTCCTATTTCCGCGCCTTGGCTGCGTTCGCAATAGAGTCCCCAACGAACAGACATCCCCTTCCAGGCCCTTCGATACTCTGGTATCCTCACTGGGCACCCACAAAACAACCTGCGAGCCTCCGCGCGTTGATAACACACCCGTCGCTCCCACGAGGTCGAGCAGCACACAAAATATAGACGTAATACCCTGCCTCACTGCACTGTACAGTACCACCCCTAACCGTGAACTCTACAGCAGCCGCAGTCAACACACACGTACCACACCCACACCAAAATGCCCCACGCAGGCTATCTCAGTGCACACCAGGAGGCGGCGTCGCTCGACCTCTCCTTCAGCTTCACCCTCGACAACCTCCGTGCCCTCTTCGTCCCGCCCGCTCCAGTCGCGCGTGGCCCTCCTCCCCCGCCCCCCGACGGTGAGCCAGAAGTTGAAGAGCACTATGAAGAAGAGTCCTACGAAGAACCAGTCGATGTCTATGCAGAGCCCCGGATGACGGGGGTGCTCTGGCCAGGGCTCGTCGTCAAAATCTCGCGCTCCTCTGAGGGTTCCTCCTCGCGGCAACGCAAAGCGCGCCTAGCGGTACACGATGCAGACCCGGGCAGCTGCTCGTCAGTGCTCTGTATACCGGGCTTGCAGATCACCGCGAGCATACACTCGCTCAGCGGGCAAACGTACGCAACGCGGGCGCTGCGGCGGGAGCGCGCCGAAGGGGGAGGGGGCCGCGCAATCGCATACGCAGGCACGATACTGGCGCAGCGGACGTTCGAGTCGACGGATCGGATGTTCGCGGAGAATGCGGTCGTAGTGCGGGTGAGCGTCAAGGCAGGCGCCGCTGCGGTCGTGTCGCCGAGCGTGTCGAGGAGCAGCAGCGCGAGGGAGAAGGAGGAGAGCCCGATCGTGAAGCCCAGCCCGAGTGCGAAGCCGACGCTGGAGCTGATACATCGGGTGCTGACCGCGCGGCCGGTGGGCCAGACGCGGTTCATCGTGTTCAGGAGGCGGAGCTCGGAGGGGAAGGTTACTTGTCCCAGGGTCTTCTATGCGAATATGGAGGAGCTGGCGATGTGGTATGAGCGGTGCGAGCTGCGTACGTCCATCTATCTTCTGTGGGTCCTGGACGAGCTCATGACCGAGCGCCGTGCTACTCTCTTGATTGATAGTCCTAGATGTCGAGACGCACCTCGAGGGCTTCGAGCTGCCGCAAGGCGAGCGGCTCGACAAGTACAACCTTATACTGGACGATTTCGAACCGGATAGCGACTTCGAGCCGGACGAAGAGGAGGAAGACGAAGATGGCGACCTCGTAGTCGTCAGGAGCGAGCCGCAGAAGCGCGGGTGTCAGTACCCGCCGTCGTCATTGGCCGCAGACATAGCGAGGGCCTCTCTGAACGACGAGCACGAGGAGAAGCTGATCGACGATGAAGGTGAGTCCAACACGCCCTCGCACGCGGGTTTGGGAGTCAGTGCTAAGCGAGCCACATGACGAGCAGATCCGATGCTGGCGTCGATGATGTCGTTCGAGATGGTGCAGAACAAGCGAGAGGAGGGCTATGAGCTCTATGGCGAGAACAGTGAGTGGTTTTGTCGGTGCATGTGCGCGTTCTCACCGTGATCGATCGACGATAGCGTTCGACGGGACAACGATCGTCCTCCTCGGCGCGGCTGCACGCACGTACGTCACCTTCCAGCCACATCTCCTACGAACCGACTGCTAACGGGGTATGGGCTGGGCGCAGGTGGGAGGCGCTGCTGTACTACCTCTACACGGGCATCATCGAGTTCGCGCCACTCAAGACGCAACGCCCGGCTCCGCGGCTCGGGGCGCCCGCACCTCAGAGTATCGGCAGCAGCGCGGTGGCGGAGGGGACGAACCGCCCGACACCCGCGTCATGCCGGTCTATCTACAGACTTGCACACAAGGTCAGTCGTGTTACGTGAACTAGATGACGCAGGTTGACTGACGGAATGGATGCAGTTATCGCTCGACGGCCTGCGGAAGCTCGCGCTACACAACCTTGAGTCGCAGCTCACGCCCGACACGGTGCTCACGGAAGTGTTCAGCCCGTTCACCGCGCAGTAAGCACCTATCGCCCATGCCACCCCACTAATCTACCCGCTGCTCACGATGGCGATCCCTCGCAGGTACCCCGAGATAAAACAGCTCACCCTCCGCTCGGTCGTGCGCCACTGGGACACGCTCGCCGCGAGCCCGGCGTTCCGGAGCAAGATGGTGGAGGTGACGAGCGGGCGCGTCCCCCACGCTGCTGATGTGATCAGCGAGATCATGGTGAGGGTCAGCGCGGCGCGGGCGTAGGTGCCTGCCCTCTATTTATGATCGATTACTGGACTTTTGTGGGTGTCCGCTTGCCCTGGGTTGATTGCTTTATTTGGACCTATCCCTGAGCTGCAATCGATGCTCTCGGAATTATGGCTGGCGGTGCGCGACGGCTGCATGAAATGTTGATCAGGAGGATTGGCAGGATATACCTCATACGAACAGATGGAACATACACATGAGAAGGCTGGGTGCGTACTTGGAGCTGGATAAGACTGTCCTTACTCCGGATAACAAGATGAAGGACCGCTTGATCCGATATCAAGTGAAGCTTGTGTGGCTGTCAGTGGAAGGTTGAGGACGAACACACCGCATGTACGTTGCTGGCACAATCATGCGTATTGCCCGGTAAAATTACCTTCTGGATAGGCAGGACATTCCTCGGGGCTTGCACGTTGATTCTCACTGATCCATTCACCGTTTCTTCCATGGTGTTAGTGAAATGCTGTGCAAGAGGGCCAAGTCCGACTGCGTCGATAATTGCGTGAATTGGGTGACAAGGGCTGCAGACCATATGCTACTCGGCGCACAGGGTCCTCCTGTGCGACTGACTCGTAGACAATGTACTAAGCAGTGTCGGGGCCTTCGACGTATTGAGTAGGCCGCGCCGGCAGTCATCGTACCCAAAACCTCACATCACGCGGGATACGCAAAGAACAGTACATGATGCATTGGTTTAGAGTCTACCTCCGAGGCATGCGATTAAACAGATGCTAGGGTATTACAACGGGTATGCGGAAAGCGTCATTAAGTCATCATCTTCATCGTATGGTCGTCGACGGGGAAGGGGGAGAAATGCGGAACGGTCAAGGACGCTTAGTAGGCGGATGCGCGTCCCCGACCTCCAGAGCCCCAGTTAAATCTGTGCGATCCAGTCCGGCGAGTGCGTCCTCCGAACCAGTTGCAGCAGATGATGTCGAAGATGATGTCGAAGATGGTGACGATGATCTGCGGGGTCGGTGGTCAGCAACTTGCGTAGAGGGTACGAAGCGGGAGTGCTTACCGTCGCAATGACGCTGACGATGATCATGATGATGCTCGCAATGGCCGAGACGACGGCCTCGATAGCGCCAGCAATCGCAGAGATGACGGTTCCCTGTAGCGCAAAGCAAGTGAGCTGCCAATCCAGAATCCGCCCAGCGACGCCGTGCACGTACCATTGTGATTGATTGTTTGGTGGAAGTAGTCGTGAAGAAGTCGTTAAACGGTGTGTGGGTGGAAGAGTGGGCCGTAAAACGTTGTGAGGAGCAGTCCAGCGGACCGCGGCTGGTTTTATACGCGCGGGTGGCGCGCGGTGTGTATACAGGCTGTGACGTCACCGGCGACGCGGTATAGCGGGTTTGTGGAGAAATGGCCAAGACGTGGTTCGAAAGCGGCGAGCTGACGTCGTGCTATTCACACGCCTGGGCTTGGGCGGCCATTGTGGGCAGGCACACGCCGCCTCCGCATGAACCTCGTTTGCCGCGTGCGGGGCTTCTGCTGCCTGCCCGCACTCGATGACGCTCTAGACCCCGTCCGGTCCTCGTATTTCCCAGCCCAGCGCAAACCGCATGTTCGTATTCGCGTCCGAGTCAGCGGACTCGTCATAGGGACGCCCCAACGTAGCACCGAACAACCGGATTAGGTTATTGGACCGCCCATCTGCCTCCGTCGTCATGCTAATAGGACGACCTAGGCTCCAGGCCCAGGCTCCAAGTAGCGCACGTCTGACATACATACATAGAGCCTTCGAATATCGGTATGTACTCGTACATACGTCGGTCAAACTTTGTGAGATGTCTTCAATCAACGCACGGGCGTCCCAGTGGTCCCTGCGTCAGCAGCTACTGTACGTAGGTTGTCTGCGACCCACGACTGGGTCAATGACAGGTATGTCCCCCGGGAGGGCTCGACATCGTCGATGCCCTGCGCAGACCTCCTCGTGGTCCCGGGGGGTTAGTAGTCCTTCGGGATGAAGCCAACATGCGCTATAAGGGACAGACGACCTCACGGTCGAAGCCCCTGGGTGGTCTAAACAAAACCCACCCAAACCCTGCAAAGGGTCGGAGGCAACTCCAACTCATGAGGAACCCTCACGAACCGCCTCACGGACATTATGTGCGAACATACCCTAGAAGTACTCCTCGCACACCCAAAGTGTACCCTCCACGTACCTACCGACATCAACAATGTCATTCTCAAAAAGCGTAACGACGACGACGAGATATAAAGGACGAAACCCAACGTAAAGAGTTCCTCAAAGTCACACCTCACGTCCCTAGATCATGAGCACGAAATCACACACTAGATGCCCTCCCCATCCCCCAAGATATAAGCTCGCCCGCCGACCGCAACAGCGACGAGCCCGCCAAACGAGCGCCTAAACAGTGTAGATAGCGCCTATCCGTCAACTTAAGGTTCAGCCACTGCAGAACAACTATACTGTAACCCCGGAAAATCCCGTGTCACGAGTTTCCGTATCGGGCAACCACTCAAAAGCGGACGTGGGCCCACACGAGCTTTTCGCCATGCTCAAATGAGCATGGCCACAACACGTTATAGAACTCTGTCCCCCTGCCCCTGCCACGGGTGGGAAACATACAAAACCAGTGTGACCAGATCATGAGAAAGTGTCCATGCAAAGAGAGTTACGCCTAAGATAAGCGAGCAGAGTATACGTAAAGACTTTTGAGATACGTAAAGTCTTTTGGGATACGTAAAGACAGTCTAAGACGCTCAGATGTTGCGTTAAATACAGGAGGAGAAGAAGAGGGCAAAGACGCTCACTGAATAGCCCCGCTGCCAGGACGCACCCGTCGCCCCAGCATACAGATGCCAGCAGAGCGCAAGAAACGAGCGAAACGAGCTGCAACAGCCTCGTCCACGCCAGAGACATCCAGGAGCATAGCCGCCAAGAGAAGGCCGCCATACCCCCTGCCGTCTCTCGACCTCCCTCCTACGGACGAACCAACAATCATCATTAAAGTCCTACCACACCCAATAATTGGGAGAGGGATCGGTAGAGGACTCACCTGGACGGCGGACGAACGCCCGGCGGAGCAGCTCAAAAAAGGAAAGAGCATCAAACTCTGCACGACGACCCAAACGTCCGGATTAGGACGGCTTTCGGCCATCTCCGATCTCCGCAGACATTGGGTCACTTTCGCTGTGGCGGGCGCCGCCCAGCCGTGCAATCTACGTGTGCCGATCCCATGGGCGGCCCTCGGAGACCTGGAAGGCTTCACCCATCAATATCACTACTTCAGTCTCCCATCCCTTCCACCGCCCCACCACACCTTCACCAACCGTCCCGCCTTCCAAAACGATAGCGAGAACCCTTACGAGTTCGACATCGAGGAAGACGAAATCCCCTCCCTTGCGAACAGAATCGCGAACATCATCAATGCGTAGGAGGAATGGAGGGCAGGAGGGCGCTGGGACGAGGCCTGACCCGTATGTAATACCACCTCACAAATGACAGGGAGCGCCATTCACAGACGAGAATAGGCCAGGTACCGATTTGATGCGCAAAAGAAGCAGGTTGAACAGCGGGGTCTCACGCCGTCAACTCCCTTTCAGGAAATCGCCCGCTCTGCCCCCGCCGAAGAAGCTGTCAACGCGACACGCGAACAGAAATGCCGAGGCGAGCGCTCGGCACTTTAGAATGCCATGCAAGCCAGCAACAACGCGTCGGCCAACAGGGCAAACACGACGATGGGCACCCCTCAAACAGGAGGAGAATGAACACGCCCAGTGGCGAAAACGCTCCACGAAGACAGCACAATGAGGAGATATGGCGCCGAACGCAAGCAAATGGACACAGCGAACCCACCCCTCGTAGGCACATCGCTACGATGAGAGGCCACCCTTTGACGCCATTACAGCACGGCGCGACCCTGCGCATCCCGTAATGGCCTGTGCACTCGGCAAACTCTAAGCCTAACCTAGTGTTGCACGGGCTTGCGAGCGCCCGTTAACTCAGCCGCTCCCATTCTCGGTCATAACTTCCCAAAATGAGACTTATTTCGCTTATTTGTCAGCTATAATTATTGTTTTTGGCTATAAGTCCGGCTCGCATGCCTCGAGAACCGGCTTGTAAGCTTGTTTATGTCATACCTCAGCATACAAAAGACCACTGTAATCTGGTTTATGTCGTGCAATACCGTAAGTATGATGACTTAGAAATCGACTAAGCATGTACATGTAATACATTTCTACACTACGGCTACTAGTATCACGGCTCGGGGCAGCATACAGTATACGAGTCTGGGCTTTTCTTAGTACACGTCCGAGTCAAGTGCTCGCTAAGTTGCTGGTTTGCGGCGTTGCTAGACCTATTTTCGCCGGGTCGCGCGGGCCCGAGTGCCGCTGCGCTGGTCGGTACGCCCTCATGTGCATCGAACTCAACCACGCTCGGGCGCTGCTTCAAGTTGTCCACTCCAGGCCATGCCGTAGTGTAGCCTCGGAGCTCGGGTACCTGTGTTAGGGACGGTTCACCCGATGCTCTAGCGCCGAGATCACGCCAATTGAGCTCCCTGGCCTGCTCAAGATGGTGTCGTCATGCGATCGCACGTCAGGAGCGGGCGCAGGACCCACGCTCGAGCGCTACCCGCCTACTATCGGGGCCACGCTTGTTTAGTACTCGGATGTCTGGCATAGGTCGCTGCGAGGATGAAGATGAGCGCGGTCGAGGGTACTAGGTTGTCTGATTAGACTCACCGGTCGTACTAGTAGTGCCGTTCGCACCGATATGGACGCACGTCGTAGCATACCTAAAGCCTTTGCGGTAGCGTAGCGTAACGCATACTCGATGCGACTACTCTGTGTGCGTTCACTCTGGACTTATAATGCAGCATCCCACAATACAACGGTCGTGCGCACGGGGCCGTCGATGGCGATCGTGTACACCAAGTGTGAGCGTGGGTGGACAACGCGCAATGCTCCCAGTCGGCCACAGCACAGGAGATCATTAGACGTGGCGCGCGTGACGTTTGCGACAGCAAGGACGCACATTTAACGGATGACTTACTGATTGGCTCGGTCGTCAAGTTACCCTCGAACGTCTTGTGGATTGTCACACGGTATACGTTCGTATCGTCGACGAACCCTGAACGAAGTGTCAGATGGCGTTGTCATATGCGTTACAGAGATCACACTTACAGATGATCTGGTTTGTGGAAGAGCTCGGAGTAGTTCTGGCTGTTGAGGGACGGCTCGGTGGGCTCTGACGAGTAAAGCTGCAGACCCTTGCGGATACGCTCGCGCAAGACGTGGCAAGCAGGGTTGGCCTTCATGATCTTCGCCATTGCCTGCTGGATAAGCGGCTTCATACCCGGGAACCAGTTACCGTACGCAGACCAGAGGTTGTAGGCCAGGTCCATGCCGATCATGACACCGGTTGGCGAAGGATAGATGCTCATGGAGTCTGAGATGTAGTCCAGGAACTTCGCACGCGTGTACCGTTCGATGTCGTGCGTATCGAAGTCTCCCCATCGGACCTGGACATCGATCCAGTACTTGTTGCTGGTCGTGCCATCGAGAACGTCTTTGCTGTCGGTTACAAGCGAGGGTCGGGAGATGTTCCACTTGTACGCGGAGAAGAGGAGGATGTCGGCGCAAGACGAGTTCATCTTGTAACTCTTACGTGGGTGGATAGTCTCCTTCTGGACGGTCTCGATCTGCAACGGCTCGAGCTCCTGGTCGAACACCTGGCACAAGTCCATGACGACACTCTCGTGGATCTTCTGCCAAAGATGGGCACGGAAGATCTGGATCAAGCTGATCTTGAGCGTGGAGATCTTGCCGTGCATGAAGATGCCTGTCAAGTCGAGCTGGACCTGGAAGCCAACGTAGACGTTGGCACGGTTGATGGTAGGACTCCACCAGAGAGTGAACCGACGGTTGGGAATCTGGTTGAGACCTGATCGCTGCGCGTTCGTGAGCTTCTTGTAACGCATCGACTCCTCGAATCCGGACGCCTTCTCCCAGAACAGACCCTCCCACGTCGGGAAGTAGGTACCCTTGAAGAGCGTGTGCTCGAGGATACCTTCAACACCTCCCAAGGCGGCGATGACGTCCACACGGTAGTTATTGAGCTGCCACAACTTGCCATCGTGGCGCTGAGACGTCCACCAGAAAGGGTTGTGCTTGAGCAGCTGATACTGCTTCCAGTCGGTGCGCACACGCCAGCCGCGGTCGTAAGCGAGCGTATGCCTGTCCTTCTGGAATAGCGTGTTAATACGGGGGATACCGCGATCCCAGCTGTCCTCGAGGTCTTCGAGGGTGAGACGGCGGTTCTGAGCGTTCGCCTCCTTCCGCTTCATCGAGTACTCCGACCATACGCGAGCCGAATCCAAGAACTCCGCCTCCCAAGGCTGGAGGTACCGGTAGAGGTTCGGAATCAGCTGGTCCTCCTCGTGGGACATACCGGCACGGAAGTGAGTGACCCCAACGTCTGTTTGCTTCGACCACCGGAGATCGCTCTGGGGAATGAGAACGTGACCCATCGACAGCATGCCGAGACCACCCAATCCCTTCGGTGTGTAGAAGACGACCGGCGGGAAACGCGACGGCATCTTGGAGTTCAAGCCAATCTTGACACGCGTTTGGATCTTGTTCTCGGCCTTGACGAGAGCGTCCAACAACTCGTTTGTATGGATGACAGCTTCACGGTAGTACGTCATCAAACCGATCAGCGCGGTGTTCCACTTGTTGACTATCTTGGAGAATGTCGTCGATCCCGAGCTCATCAGGACCTGACGAATTCGGTTGTTGAATTGCTGGACACCTGTCATACACCGACATCAATGAGAAATCAAAGACAAAGCGACGATGATGACGAACCGTCATCAGACACGCGCAAGAAGGCCTGAGCAGTGCGCTCCTTCGTCTGCTCGTTGGTGAGGTTCCAAACGGCATCCTTCAGCGAGAACTGTTCGCCACCCATCGTCCGTACTTTGGGCAGGATGCGAACTTCGAACCCACACATGGAGAAGAGGAGCTGCGGATTGTTCTTCGAGTACACGCTGACGAATGTGTCTTCCCACTCGATCGTAGTGAGGGACCGAGGCAAACTCTGCTTGACGTTCCAGAACACGGCTCTGCCAAGGTTGACGTCGTGTTTGATGAGACGACAGTCCCGAGGCCAACACCTCTTGTTGTTGTACCCGATGACGTTGTTGTTCGTCGGGTCAGGGTTAGCACTGAGGTATCGCTGGATCAGGTCTCGGGACTCCTCCGCAGTGAAGCGAAAGAGGATGTGAATGCGGTCGACGTAACGCGAGTACAGACGGATAGGGTGGCGCGTCTCAGTTGCAGAATCACGGTATTGCAAGAAGTTGTTAGGCATCTGCGGCGGGCCAGCCATCTCACTCGCACGCTGGAGACCGAGGATGAGCAGGTCGAGAACCAGACCGTAGTACTGGAAGACGAAGGCAGAGAACTGGAGGCCACGGATCAGACCATAGGCGTTCGTATGCGCCATATCTGCGATACAAAATCAGCAACCATGAGACCGTGACATATGCTCGAATGTCTCACCTTTGTACGTCAAGACGGTGTTGTTCTTCGCCGTGATGTAGTTCGCCAAGTTGTGATCCAAGATCAGACGTAGCAACCGATTGAGCAGCGTCAAGTCGATCTTCTCGTACACCTTCGACAGGACCGTCTCCATGAGTACGTTGCACTCGCCCTCGCTCGTCTCCCAGACGTCGGTCAAGTTGTTGATGCCCTGACACCACTTGTAGACGAGAAGCGGAGGTGGCTCAGTGTCGGCGGGCTTGATCCAGGCAGGGAACAGACCGCGCTTGTCAGCCTCGAAGAACAAGAACTGGTCAAGGTAGGCATCCGTGATCTTCTCGACCGGCTCAATGTCGTAGCAGGGGATGAGCTTGTCATACGTGTCGAAGAACTCGATACCCGACTCATTGAACGCGCGCTGGGTGAGCAGCAAACGCTTGATGCGCGACAAACATTCATGCGGGTTGTCGTACGCCTGCTCAATGAGCGCCAGCTCCTCGCGCTGCGACTGGTTGAGACGACCCTTGACGGAGGACGCCTCCTTGAGCTTTTCCAGCGCAAGCACCAACAGCTTGGTGTCGTACTTGTAGTTCAGCGGTGGGAAGGGGATGGGCGAGAACTTCCTGCTTTCGAGCCAGTGCACAGTGGCCGTGTAGATCCCAACGGCTTCCTCGGCGCTGATGTACGGACCATCCTTGAGGTACCCGTGCTGCCTCTCCTGCTCAGCCTTGAGGTACAGCCGAGTGAGACGTCCAAGGTTGTTCTTCACAACTGCCTTGTCAACAGTCGCACCACGCCGAATACGCTCGTGGTTGTAGTGCGCGACAGACGTCCACCAGTCAGCCTTGCTCTTGATGTAACGAAGAATGATATTCTCGATGGCGGTTGGCATTCCAGGAACCTTCCAAGGAACTGCAGTCGTGGTCAGTCGCTCGTCACGTAACACGTAGCAAGACAGACTTACTGTTCGCCTTCCAGCAACGCCATGCCTCAGACAGGTGCTGCAGAATCGTCTTTGCCTTGTTCTGCTTGATCGACTCGGGCATCATGTCGAGGATGTCGTGCATGACCGCGGCGCGCTGTGGGCGGTGCCCACGGGCTGAGGCCGGAACCGCCGGAAGATGGAGAGTCAGAGAGGCCGGGAACGTTAGCTGGGGAGACAAGCATCGGGCCGCGGCAATAGGCCACGACGGGACATCTTACGAAGTCATTCGAGCGCGTCACAAGTCAGATCTATTTAACTCCGCAAGCCGTTACATGCCAGGACGTACGGGTACCGGGGCGAACAAACCGGACGGAGGAAGATGCTACTCGTAAGGGTTCAGTCACGGATTAATTCCAACGGGGGAGGGATGTCTCGCGCGTCACATATGTCCTCTAGACGGCCCGAGATGGAGACTACTTCGCGCATCACAGACAGCTGGTCGATCCGGGCCTCAGCCAGGCCGCGGTGGAGGTGGCCGAGTTCGAGGCGGAGGACCTCTAAGGAACGGTCCGTTGCGGCGAGGACGCGGTCCCAGTTGTCGGTCGAACCGCGGAGGGAGGAGAGGCGGAGGGGAGGATCGTTATACGACGGAGGAGGAGGAGGTCGGGCTTCTTCCGCGGTGGCTTGCTCCCTCTGAAGCTGGTCCGGGGACCAGGGGATGGTCGCGTATAGGAGCGGCGCCTCGTTCTGCTCAGAGCGGAGGTTGAGGAACACGCGGTCCAGGTGCTCGATAAGCTCGCAGACCTCGGGGATACCGGACGGAAGGGGGACGCGGGCGTCGCCGTGAGCGGTCGCTAGGGCATACGACTCGAAGAGCATTCGCTGGGGCAATGCAGACGGGTCAGGAGGGATGAGGAGAGCGACGGGGCGGACGAACCACGAGCCAGCGGGCACCATGAGCCCACGCAAGCCAGGCAGTGGCGTGCTCCACGTCGAACCGGGGCTCGAACGTCCCTTCGTACCGGAGAACATCGACAAGACGGAGGTAGCGAGCGGAGTGCGACGAGGTGGTGGGGTTCGGGGGCTGCGCCATCGGTATAGGAACGAAGGCGTGAGTGGGGAGAGAAGGGAGGGAGGGGGCAGACCCGGAGGGAAGGAGGGCGGGGCACGTGAGCTCGGCTGAAGGAGGATAAGTAGCGAGGCGGAGGGAGCGGGGGAGGACACGTAGGACCCACTCTCGGACGCGGACTAGGACTCGGACTCGGAGGCTCTCAACTCGGGCAGACGGCTCGGAAGGAACTCTCTATATTTCGCTCTCGTATAGACTTGTCTTCTCGACGATACACTCGTCCCATACACCTAATATCACTACCCATCCTTGACTAAAAGTCTACCCTTCCTCCTTACCCTGTACGGAGGGAGCCGAACTCAACAGCACACAGCGCAGCTCGAGGTCGTAATACGACTCGACACGCTGCTTCGTGACCGTCTTCGCGATACCCTTGCTGTTACGACCCTCGAACTGACGCGCGAGCAGGTTTCCGAGCCAACGCTCAAGCAGTGGAACGATCCCGCGCATGAAGAACAACCAGACACGCCAACCTGGGGCCCAGAAGCCAACGCCAGGTCCTTTGCCCACGGGACCGGTGTTGAAGCGGTAGTAGATCAGGTGCTTGAGGTCCTTTGTCATCCGCACTTGTCGCATTAACTACGAGGAGGAAAGGATCGAGGAGGAAAGGATCAGCGCGAGGTCGACTGGCTGCGACGTAATGACTAACCTTGTACTTGTACCGGTACATACCCGTGAGGGCACCGATGTGCGCGAAGATGTACTGCAGTGCGTCGGCGAGCTGGAACGCGTCGACATTGCCGAGACGGAACTGAACATGCGCGTCGACAACCAGCTTCGTAAGACGGAGGATCTCGCGGCACAGGTGGAAGGCATTTCCGAATCGCGACTTCTTACGCTCCTTCGTCGTCAGCGTCTTCACTAGCTTCAAGTTCATGTTGTAGTCGAGGTGCAGGTAGTTCAAGTTCTGTGAACGCGAACGTCAATTACCTCGTTGAGCATCGACTGATCTTCCGAGGACAACATACCTTTCGGTGGATGAGTAGATTCAGCATATTGTAGCCTTGCCTGCAGACCTGCAGACCGGCCTCAACCCAATCCAACCGCGTGGTCTGGAAGAATTTTGTGGCCTTCAGCTGCCTGAACAAGTTCTTCTTCGACATGGGTTTCTGCGGGCGCGTCTTCAGCTCGTTGAGAACGAAGCACTTGAGGAGCTTCTGGTACGATACGCGAACTTTCACTGGCTGGTTCGGCGGGCAGTGCTCGAGGTACCAATTCTTCACGAGCAGGATATCCTGCGCACGGCGCATACGCCCTGAGCGGCGGTTGTACGGGTCAGGCGCCCACCACAACGCGATAGCGTCCGCAGTCAGATCACTCTCCAGGGGCTTGTCCTCGAGGAAGGGCTCAACCTCATCGGGGAGCTCAAAATCGTCGTCATCAGCGTCGTTAGGTCCAAAGACCATGTCCTCATGAGATACGAGTGGCACATTCTTCGGAGTGAAGCCGCGCAGTGAAATAGGGTTGATGAGAGGATCGAAGTAGAAAGCGGGTAGGTCGGGGTCATCTGTGCGAATGTAGACGTTCTTCGGGGTGTGGTAAGGGGATATACGGACGGACCGGGGAAGTGAGTTGTACAGGTGTGGGAACGCGACCTTGTACTCCGTCCGGATCTGCTGCCGGATGATGACCTTGTTGATGTCGTTGAACCCGTTCCAGTCCTCGTCGAACGTATTCATATCTCTGTACAACGGCTCGAACTTCGGACCTCCGGGAATCGTCATTTTGAGCGCCTGCGCGGTGAAGAACAACTTCTTGTCGAAGAGGTAGGAGGAGTTGCTACTTGTGTGGCCCGACAGCAGCGTCCGACCCAGCCGATAGAGATTGGCCATGATAGGGAGCGTCAGGTTCCAATACCTGTATGACGACCCATTGACGTGCGGGGTATCGACCAGCGGCTTCGGGTTGTGGAACCAGTCGTAGATCGCGGAGTCTTCCCCCTCGTCGAGTTCCAACTGAATGGCCTCGAGAGGCTCCACGTCCAGGACGTTGTCGCCATAGTCAATAGGCGGCTCTTCGTCGTCGAACGCAGGTCTGGACGAACGCTGCATTATTCGACGAGTTCATGACGTGCGAGAACCAGTAGCCTCCACTCCAGCCTCCTGTCTGCCATTAATGAGATCTGTGTAACATAAGGGTCGCACATCGCACGCTCCGATGAAGAGGACCACTTTCGTGTCGTAGCCGCTGTTGTGTGCGCTGCTGAACCAGTGTCTCCAGGGTCGGAATAGCACCCGAGTCCCAGTTCAGGCCGTTAGAGGAGTTCGGCGTTGCGAAAGCTGAATCGATGTGAGTACCCAAACTTGAAGGGTCTTCCCTTGGGCACTGCTTGTATTCACGTCCAAACAACATGATGTCAAACTTGGAGAAGTCGACGTTCTGCGGTGGGATGGTCCCGGTTGCCCAATCGGGATAGTACCCTGCGGTGATCGGCGTGGTGCTCTGTGCCCGCTCATGGCATACAAGGCGGTATTCCTGGAGAGCGTCGAGGGCAGTGCGTCTTCGAGGTCGAAGTCCGAAGTAGTCGTTGCGATGGACGGCGTGCTACTGGGGAAGTTCAGCAGAGAAGGGCTCGATGCCTAGGCCGGGAATTCAAGTAGCTTGGAGAGGTACGCGGGGCGGACATCGCCAGGGAAGGGATGGAGAAGATGAAACTGAGAACGGGCGGATGCGACGCGCACGGTTCGCTGTGTTTGGGCGTGACGCCAGGTAGGCTGGCGGGAGCAATGCGCGCACCATTGACCAGGACTAGGGACGCACACGACCCCAGCATGTAGTGGTGATAGCAGTGATAATTCTTGTATGATGTATTCACCACGACGCGTATGTACTAGGAGCACCCGCGACCCGTCATCCGGAGCTGCACAACCCTCTCGCTATGCGCAAATCAGCAAGGAGCAGAGTAGTACGATTCATAACTTACAGACTACCAGATGCAAGTGTTGCACACCGGCGACTTGCCTCGCACACAGTGCAAAGTCCGCATCCAATACATCCAATTTGTTGAACTCCTCGATGGTGACTGCTTCCCCTCGGTCGCGAGTCCACAGGTGACATGAAGTGGCCGTCCAGCCATGCTGGCCGCCGGGGCGCAGGGGCAGGCGGAAGACGGGCGAGGTAGAGCGATGTTTGCTGGGGGAGGGTGGTCCGTACATGCCGTAGTCAACAACACTCCACGAGGATCGTTTCATCTTCGCAAGGGTCAATTCAATCGAAGACTCGCGAGGCTCAAGGAATCTTACCTTGCTGTAAGCCCGCGCCGTTAGACACGGAGCAAGGTAAACCTTATCCTTTTCCACTGTTGTGACCAGACACGGCCTCTTCTTGTACGATGGGTGCTTGCCGCCGGAGTCGAGTGCGAACCGTCTGCCTATGGGAGAATACAGGACGAAGAATGGTCGAGAGCGCAGGAGCTTCATTATGCGAGTTCGAGGGAAGGAGATGATTGCGAGAGAATCTAGTGGCTGAGGGGTTTCTGAACGGAAGTAGATGAGCGCGAGAGGAATCGACAGCTGAGGAGTAGCTGAATCAAGTCACAGTGTGTTATAATTAGCACCCATGCATCGTCACACCTTCCTCAACGTCTATGGGATTTGCTGGTGTCACATCGTTGCTCTCACTATGATCCTTGTACACGGCATCCGATACACTCGTCTAGAGTGATAATGAATGATCTGTCAATGGCTCCGTCGCAGGGAAACGAGCTCATGCACGTTAGAGCAATCACAAGGCACGTCTACCCAAACTATTGTCTTACCTGGAACTTACATGCAGCTGCTTGAAGTGAACAAACATCTGCATAACATTCCGCCCACCGATGCCGTCGATCACACCGCAAGCACGTTGCCTTCGGACCGCTCGTAGACGAAGCCCCGAGTGCGCCGCCTCCGATAGGGCAGCACGCATCCACGCCTCCCGCTGTTTCATCGTCACCATCTCCGCATCCTTCTGCTTAAGATCCTAGATGGGTTCGGGAATCGTGTTGCCTGTTGTACCAGCTTCAAAAAGGCGATCCGTTGGGCTCGGGTCATCCATCGTTCGATGTTGCGGCGTTCATATCGCAGATGCAGTCTTCGAGGGCCACGCGAGCGATTGCGCGGAGCGATGCGCTGCCTGCGCGGTGGAAGGTGCCCTAAAAGGGAACTGAGACTTAAAGGCGAGGAGGAAGGCGGGCGAGACTCACCTTCTGTGTACCCGATAATTCTCTCTTTGCCATAGCATGCTTCCAGAGGCTGGAGCCGATCGTCGTCCAGGATTGTGCAAGCTCGAGGTGAGTCAAGGATACCTCATGGCAGAGGAAATGGTTGACGGTTCATCGGGCAGATAGCAGTGTGCACGAGCATCATTCATTCCGATATTGTACATGCGACTTTGCGATACGACGAGACGGCGCGATACGAGACGGTGTTATACAAGTGATACGAGGGGACAACGAGACGACGTCAGACAGCCATGACCAGACAACACCGCAACAGCACGATGAGGCCTAGACGTTAGACGAGGTTCAGGAGCTCTTCAAAGGTGTTGAAATCAGCATCTTGGCCCAACTCAGCGCGAGCCTGCTTCACGAGCATGTCCTGCACCCACTCGAAACTGCTGAGATGGTCGGTGAAGGACAGGCGACTCTCACGGATCATGTACTTCAGCATTTGCAGAGCTTCCATGAGATCCGGGCTGAGACGGCTGCGCCGAGTTGTGTCTGTCTCCCCTGCGGAGGAGAAGACCCGCTCGCACGGAACCGACGTTGCCTGCGTCGGGAGGTAGTCCATCGCGATATTGAAGATCGTAGGCCATTGTGCCTGTGCGGCAGGAAGCTGAAAGACCACGCAAGTCAGTTCACGGAGCCAATGACCAAAAATATCGACTTACACTCCAGTACGCGCAAACGTCTTCGAGCTCCAACCCTGTCCCTCTGTCGAGCCAAGAGTTGTACTCAGCCTCGACGATCTGGTCAATGGTGTTGCCGCCGCCGCGGGCCACGGGCTGGTTATCGTCCAGGTTTCTGACGAAGAGTCTATCGGCTGCCGCATACATCTCGCGTAAGTTCTGAGGCCTATGCGGCTGCGAAGGTCCAGCAGCTTGACGTGCAGCAGGTGCCGCCGGTGCCGCCGCCGCCTGAGGGTGTCGCCGAGCCACATAATCGCGCATCTGTGCCGTAGACGTCGCATGAGTACATGCGCTAGATATAGAATTAGTCCGCTTACCTTGTGCTTGACGATATCGATGGCGTGATTGATCCAACGCGGCTCCCAGTTCTGATGTATGTGGGCAAGCTTGTACTTGGGATGAACAACTACGTCTTGAATGAGAAACCGAACCAACAAAGAGGTGAGCAGACATACACATGCACAATATATAGCTGTCCGAGAGGTCCGTGCGGTTGTAGTATTTGATCGCGAGGTCCATCCCGGCCTTGACGACATCTGCAAGATGCGGCTTGTCCACGGCGATCGCCTCCATGTTGGTCATGAAGATCTCGAATTGCGGGATCACCTCCGCAAGCAATGGCTTGGTATGCCCGGCTAGAGCCAGTTGCATTATATGACCCGCCTGAACATGCAAACGTCAGTATTACTTATGTTCACTAGCGAATTGACTTACCATGAGTACGAGGCCGGTCTCGTTGAGCGTGAGAATCTCTTCAGCGCTCATCGGTGGGTATATCTGAGCGAAGTCGACGTTCTGCTCCAAGAAAATCTTGTATACCTGCATGGTTCAAACGTTATTAAAAGTATCTGCGGATAGCGACTGAGGACTACTCACGTCTTGCATCGACAGGAAGCGGATTATCATCACGTACGTACTGTCCCAGCGATGCTTGACATCCAGCACGAGCTGCTGGTCGGCGTTGAAGGTGTCGACCTTCGGCAGGTGTTCTCCGAGAGCAGCGTTCTTGACTGCTGCAGCGGCGTTGTGGACCGCAATGGATGTCTCCCAAGAATCACGGCGCTTGGGAGAAGCGCGGACTGCGCGGCAGACGTCCCTTGTCTTGTTGACAGCCGTCTTCTTCTCGGCGTCGCCTCTCTCTGGAAGGACACCGTCGTCGCCAGGAGGCTGGATACCCAAGAACACGATCATCGTCTGCTGAGAAACATTGACCCCATGGGAGAGGCAGTACACGTGGTCCCTGACCGCGTGCCAGTCTTGACGAGCGTGCGGGACCGCTGTAATCAACCTCTTGAGCTCGCTCATCATCGTCTTGTTGTTTGACGCCGCATCCGTTGTGAAGCGTCCCAGCTGAAATAATGATCAATAAATGGCCTCAAATCAGCCTGATGCTTACCTTAGGTAAGACTTCGGCGCGGTTCAGGACGAAGAAGACGGCGTTAGCGAGGTTTTGCCCTATACGGAAATATTAGAATCAAATCATGCGTATGTGTTTGTCGTACTCACCGGTATGACTCCCTTCGAGCCTCCTGAAACCGATAACCGCAGACTTGAGGACAACGTCTGTGGGTATGCGACCTCGGGCCATCCAGTGGCACGTAACCCCGACGAATGCACGTCGAGCTGAATGCACGGTGTCAGCAATGCAGTGGCTGAAACAGTATTGCGCGCTCACCCAAAGTATCCCATCCATCCGTCGTGAACGAGATCTGACCAAGGGAAAGCTATAAAGGGGTGAGAGTTCATTCGTTCGTCGATCACATAGTACGTACCTTGAGCTGCGTCTTGAGTTGTTCGAACGATCTCTGCCACTGCCTCAGAATCAAAGCGCGCAGCTGGTTGCGCCGCGGAATGTCCTCGTCGGTGAGGTCTGGGTTGAGAAGGCGGAAGAGGAGCCGTAGCTCTGGTTTTTCCACCACGAGGAGTGCCTGTGCGCGGTATGTGATGTTAACATCAGTCGAGTAAGCCGGAAGTGTTTGTACTTACCTGGTCGTCCACGACGACCCAATTGACCAGGCGCCTGTGGAACTCCTCGCGAGAGTACTCGACCACAGGATAGTTCTGGGCGGTATCCGCATCTTCCTGCGCAGCCCTCGCCTGCTCCTTGTAGCTCGGGAGCAGGTTGGACCAACGTCCAACCGCGGCGAAACGGGTGTACTCCTCCCGGTGGTAGGCGTCAAGGTGGATTCGAAGTGTGGAGTTACTCGTACTCGGGCCGTAGATGTAGTTGTGGCAGGACCACAGAGTCTTGAGGTCGACGTTCTTCTCTAGCGCCTCAGCGGCTGCTTTCTTATGCGCGTTTCTATCGCGTCAGTTAGTATGATACGAATGTAACGATGTGTGTCACTTACTCGCAAACAATACATATGACGACGGGTTCCAAGTTAACATCTGGGGGGGCGGTGACGACCTTGAAGTAAAACATCATATCCTTAGCGTTGCCCTTGCTTGCTTCCGATTGGGTCATAGCAGGAGCGGGCAGCGCCGCCCGCCACAGCATGACTCGCGCCGCATGGGCGGCGGGTGGCTGCAGTCGAGTTTCCGGTGAGCGGACAGGCGGCGCGGCCTCCTGACTAGTCATCGCTCTCAAAGCGGCGTCGGAGATGATGGCGTCTTGGGCCGGTACCGCATTTCGAGGGGCGGCGTCGGCCTGGGGGGCAGCAGCGACCTGGGCCGGGGCGGCGAGAGCCTCGTCGTCAGAGCTAGACGAAACAGCGGCAAGAGCCTCGTCGAAGTTCTCGGCAGCAGGGGCTGCGGCTAGCGGGGCGTTGCCTCTGCCACGAGTCCCCCGACCGCGAGGCGGGCGAGGTTGAGGCTGTCTGTTGGACCTCGGTGGCATCCTCCCAGACGGGCAGGGGCGTAGTGCAACAGGAGCTGAGGAGCAGAGGCGACGCCTCCCTCGCGTTTTATGCCCTGTCTGCTATGAGCGGAGTGTCGCAGTTGAGGCAGTGGAACAAACTCACACTTCGTGGTTGGCTGAACACTTCTGAATACAATCGGGTTCCCCGTAAGGTGCGTTGAAAGAAAGTGCTGAACGGCTCGCCTTCTATGCTTCTTGTTCTGAATGCATGTCAAACCGTGTCCACGGTCAAACTTTGACATGAATGTCGGATGTCTCGTCTGCCGCAGCGTAACGTACTACAGCGGGAAAAGAAGTTGAACTGCACGCGCTGCATTAAATTGAGCTCCTACGGATCATGTACACCGAGACGTAGCCGCTGAAAAGACCTACCTAAATATATGGCGAAGTCGAGATACATCCTAATGTATTCTGCGTCAGACCTACGACACCGACGGGAGAACAACACCCACTTGCACCTTCTGAATTCACTTAGCTCATCTTCGCGACCTAGTTTTGGGGGACTGTACTTCGCTATCATATCACATCCCATCAGCAGCAGTCCTCACAGGAGAGCAAGTTCCCACTCACACAGTAGTCAAGCAGAATCAAGCCAGAAGCTTTCGGCAGCGATGGGTCGGGGAGATAGTAGGCACGAAGATCTGGGGTTTCTCCCGACGTAACCAGTGTGATGCCATGGAATTCGTGGGCAAGCGTGCAGTCGCCTTCCCGCTTGTACCTTCCTCGCATATACAAGGGCTGGCGCGTTTGGCGGCGATTGTGGGCCGATCGACAACTACTGTGTACTTTTGTTCTCCTCTCGCTCTCTGCGCATATCCGTCTGCCGTAGCATCAGGGGTGTAGTACAATATAGTAGTCGAATAAATTATAATGCACTTCGGTATCTACCCGTCCTGTCCCATCTCGTTCTCGGCCCGTCCGTCGGCCTCGTCCGTTGGCAGCCTCCTCCTTCCCTTTCCCCTCGCCATCTCCCTTAGACTGCAGATGACAAGTCGCAGTACGTTGATGTGAAGCGTCCCGTGCCATGTATCAGAAGGACGCTCGGATGGTCGTCCTCGCGCTAAGAAAGCAGTTAACGGGCAGTATCAGATAGCCTTTGTCAAGGCGAAGTACGTACCGTGATAAGCATAATCGCATGTTCCGACGACTGAGAGCCTTGCCGTCCTAGGAGAATGACCAAACACCGCGACACCGCGCGCCCCGGCGATTCGAGCTTGCGAGACAATGAAGGTCCAGTCGGCTTGCACTCGCAGGCTCTCCAGGAGCCACGAGCAGCCTCGAGCGTGCTGGCGATCGGCTCAAGCCGTCGCGCACAGCTCGTCTTCACGTGGCCAGAGTCGGTCGGATTGATGCGTCAAAGGACGACGTAGCACTTGGGTGATCGTCGCAGAAGAGGGGCGATAGGCGCAGCAACTTGAAGGTACGGGATGAGCAGGCGTGGGAGGAGGAGGTGGAAATAAGCCGCATCATCACGTGTCAACTACTGGGACGGGCCAATGGACTTCGACTTCAAAGTCTGAGCTACGTGACCCTCCTCTCCGGACTTCGAGAACCCCTGGCGACTTCCTCTGGGCAACAATTCAAGCATCAGAGGTGCGGCGAAAGGCTTGAGCCATCCGCTGCACTCTGATTAGGCCTGTGGTGCGGATAGTAATCTGCACACGGCTGACAACCCAGACGCTTCAAGACTCGACCTTGAATCTCGACCACTCTGCCCAACCCTCCGTCTGGCTGTCACCTCATTGCTTATTCCTTCACAGCACCATCGAATCTTCTACTTAGCCGTTCCTTTCTCCTAAATAACACTTCACTGTCTGCTTCTCTGTTTCAACCGTTGAACTCCTCGTCTGGCTATCCGGGATCCCCTCCCCGACATACGAAGAACACCAGGGGTCTTCGCCCCTCACAGAATCCCCGTCGTCAGGTGCGTTCCCATGTATGCACTTGTTGCATTGACCTGAAAACCGCCTCTGACGCCTCTGTACCTCGGTGTTCAGGATCTTCTGCTTCGTACACTACAACGTATACATCAACATCGCTTCACTATCGTAAGTATGCAGCGTTCGTTGTTTCAATCCATAAACTGACGTTGGATAGAGTATGGCGGATGCAAATGTCGCCACTGGATACGGGCAGTCGTCTCGATTTGTCCTAATTCCCAGTCCGTATCAAGGTAAGCTAGAAAGCCTCAACTCGCCTAATACCCGTGCTGACATGCACTCAGCCCCTCACGCATACACCGCGTTTGACGCCGTCGCAGCTGCAGATCCGGAGGACCACGTCAATGTGATCACAAGTCCGACGCAGACGTGGATCCCTGAGCCGCCTATCATAACTTATAGGGAGATTACCACGTACAGGGACGGGTGGTGGGGCCCGCAGGAGTATACACGTTGGCCACAAATGTTCAATGAGTCCGTCTTCCACCATGCGTGCATCCCGCTCCGAGGTAGTCGTGATGCGCCGGGCGACTCTGTCTACAACCCCCTCCCGGATCGTTTGTTCGTCGATAGCGCCCGTTTGAACCCCCTCGAATGTGAAACACCTGGTTTTGGTCGGATGGACGGAGCCTTGTTGAGCGAACTACGCAAGCAGGCAATCTCCGCGATAGACAAGTACAGAACCGCGGAGGTGCTCACACAAGTTCGCAACCAGAAGGTGGATTTTACTCTCGGCAAAATGCTCCAAATTCTGCTACGCAACGCGGTAGATCGTCTCGAATATCTACCTGCCACAGAAACGCACGTCTTGGTCACTGCTCGAATGGCCCATCGTCTCATCCTCGAGATATGCGGTCTCAGCATTTACTATACTGTTGTTGTCCCTCGCCTTGGCAATCCCGACCCAGACGTGATCCATGCCCTTCTCCGCGTGCGTGGTGCGTTCGTACGCAATGGTGCCACAGCGCAACTACTCTACCGACTTGGTATCCCATTCTGGTTTATGCAACGGTATCGCCCCGACATCCACGTTCAACGAGTTGTTCGTCTCAAGCCCTGGACGGACGAACTGGACTCTGAACCCGTTGGGATGAGGGTGCCTAAAAGCTGGTACGACGCTGATGGCACCAACCAAGACCCCGCGCGATGGGTCCACCCGTCGTTGTCATTCGTGTGTTCTAGGCTATGCTCTACGCGCCTTCCGTGTCTCCAGCACGTTCCCGTCTCAGACGCGGCGCCGGACGCGAAGCGACAGAAGGGAGTGTCCGGCCTTGCAACGCAGCAGGCGACCACCAAGGCCAATGTTTCATCCAAACCGAAGAGGGTGCGACGAGGCAGCAAAAAGCATGCTGGGCCGGCTGCCCAACGTGCGAATACGTGGCCGAGACCCCCGCATGCTGCATTCACATATCAGCCACCTCCGGTCGACATTCTGGCTGACACACCTAACTGGAGGTCGGCATTGCAAGCTGTTTCCCCCTTGCCCCACCCTCCTCCTCAAGCAGCCGTGTATTATTTCCCTCCGCCATTCCTGTTCATAAACAGTACCGAAAAACTCGGCCGATACGTCCACAACTACACTCGCATACGCATGTTCTGCCGGCAGCGTCTCCTCGAGCCTCATTTTGACGGCCGACCCCTCAAAATGTCAGAGTGGCGTCACGCCCTGTATGGGGACTACAAGCTCGATGAACCATCCACTGATGGATCTGACGGTCCTGTTGTTACCGATAAAGCACGCTTGCGACACGAGCACAAGGAAGCAATACGCGGTTTGTTCGCGAAGAGTGCAGGCCTGGTGTCGTATTCCGCGGACATGGTCACAGACTTTCAACGCGATCGAATCACCGCCGCCACCGCCGCGTCGGATCGCGGGCTGGCGCGAGAGGTCATCTGGGAGGTCAACGAGATGAACTGGCGTTGTGAACTCAGAGCACTTGATGCTCTTCTCGTCGACGCGGGACGTAGTGGATGGTTGCAGTGGGAGCGTGAGCAGGTTGTTTGCGAGGTTTGGCGGGAAACTGCGATCGAGAGTGCGTACTCGGCCCTCTTCTGCTTTCCGCGGTCAACGTTCCGTTGGACGCCAGTGACTGAAGTTGGCTGGCGGGAACGTGCGCGCAACCTGTATGCGTTCATACGTGTCATGAGTCGCTGGCCAGACTTCCCGTCGGCACTGCGTGATCGTCTTCACCCTCCCGAGGACCATGATAGTCCAGAGCAGTTTGATCGCCTAGAGAAGATAGCTACTCAGTACTACGTGTCGATGTTCGTTAAGCATTACCATCGTCTTCCCTGCGTCCCTCTTAATCGCCTCGTCGGCGCGTAACCCACATCGTATACGTCTCACGGTTCGGTCTCTCCCATATGTCGCTACATAGCCATGTAGTAATCGCTGGACACCCGTCACCCCCAGATCTATACATGCGATGCAATGAAGATACACTTGGCGTGCTGCATCTGTGGGCATAGGTGTCAGTAGCGGCGATGACGGCCGTTAAGCCGATTGTCGCTGAGCCTGTCTTCTCCTACAATCTTCGACTTTACGCAGCTCCCCTTGTGTCGTGCCCCTTTCGCCCGGCAGGAAGGCCTTCGCGAATCATTCCAATACCGCGAACAAGTTGCGACCTTGTCTGATCACTGGTATAGCGGGCGACAAGATGCGTCTGCCAGCGTTTCTGAGTGTGGGGCCACACAGCAAGGCAGGTGGAGTCTGTCATACTCTCGGCTTCGCTAGGTGATCTTTTCATTTAGAGAAATTCCCTTCCTTGGAGCATTGTGGAGTGCAATTCTTACAAGCTCCCTCCCGTTGGCGATCAGCTAAGTTACACGCATCGAATCCAAAATGTCAATTTTGAACCTCCCCCTACTTCCCGCCTCCCCTACTCGACGGAAGGCGACCACGTCTGTTGAGGATATCTGCTTACGAACAGTTCTAGTTGGTACACCGTACTAGGTGCGCCGAAGCCTTCGCAGTTCAAACCCATGGAGACAGAACAAATGTCACGGAACGATACCCTGGGGGACTCGGCATCCAACACCATACCAGATGATACCGAGTCTTCACGTGCCAACAGGAGCAGTGATTGTTCCCAGACGTGAGTGCAGCCATGGGCCGTGAGTCCGTGACAATGAGTCAATGACCACGGCGACGGGGCGTCGACGTTGGATACGCTACCTCCCGAGCTGCGCAGGCCGCCCAGGGGTACGATTCGCCCAATGGGTCATTCGCTACCGGACAACAACGCGGTATTACAATCAACAGACAACAAGAACATCGAGAAGCACAGCACGTCACATGACCATGTTCAATTACGAACGACAACTGATGCAATGTGCATCGCCTTGTCCCCGACCCTCACGTTGTCAGCAACCCTCACGTTGGCTGTCGTGATTTTGTAAGTTGTCCGTACGGACTCTTATCCCATCAAAGACGTGCTGACACTGTGTGTAGCACAGTTGTACATAGTTTTCTTTTCTTGTAGGTCCCACTACTGTTGCTGATCTGGCAGCGATGACGATGCCAATGATATGTATGAGCGTGACAGACGTTAAACATGGACTTTCCGGAGGAGGTTGCACTTATCGAGATCGCCGATCGGTACCGGTTGCAGGAACTGATAGGAGCAGGGTCGTTTGGTGCGTGCTAACCAATGCATCAGGCCTGTATCACTGATCACCATCAATATGTAGGTCAAGTATACAGAGCAATCGACACCTGGCAGCATGTCATTGTCGCGGTGAAGTTGGAACCGTGCGACTTCCGTGTCAACCAGTTGGAAAACGAGGAAGAAGTCTACGGCACCCTCAAGTACGCAGAAGGCTTTCCCGTCACGCACGGGTTCGGCACGATGGATGACGTCAATTACCTCGTAATGGACCTGCTAGGGCCGTCATTGGAGGCGCTCTTCCACTTCTGTGGGAAGCGATTCACTCTCGGGACGGTACTGCGGATTGCCTTGCAGGCGGTGGGTCGTCCCTTCACTAAATTGGACTGAACTGATAAATCATATATATTCGTCTAGGTGGACCGGCTCGAAAGTCTTCACGCGAGAGGCTACGTGCATCGCGACCTGAAGCCTGCGAACTTTCTGGTTGGTGTAGGAGAGCAGACAAGCCTGCTCTACCTCATCGACTTGGGCTTGGCCGTCCCGTATATCGATATCGTCACTCGCACTCACGTCCAGTACAACGATGAACACGAGCTGATTGGCACCCCGCTCTTCTCGTCCATCAATTTACACCACGGTATCGCCCACTCGCGCCGTGACGACCTCATCTCACTCGCGTACATCCTCCTCTTCTTCGTCCGTGGCTCGTTGCCTTGGCAAGGCATCCCCACTTCGGTCAAGGCCAAGAGGAACGATCAATTGACAAGAGCGAAGGCCAGAGCAAAACCGTCGCAGCTTTGCAAGGGGCTCCCTACTCCATTTTGCGTATTCGTCGAGTACGTCATGAGGCTCGAATTCGATGAACGCCCGAACTATCTATACATCCGCAACCTACTTCGACAGTGCCGCTCAGGCGTCGTCTCCCGCGCAGGTGAGAGTGAGAACGCGTATGACTGGGAGCAGAGGCCAGAAGATCGTGGTGTACGAGTGTAAGTCCAACATGCTCCTACTTGTTCAATTTCTCACGAGTCGCGAATGCGAAGTCTTAGGTCTCAGAGTCAACAATGGAAAGATATTTGATTATTATATAAGCCCTATTGGACTGCCTCGCACTGTACTGTAATGTAGGCAATGTATATGACTATCAGCTGCAATGTTGGCAGTGTGAGCAAGGCAACGCACGAGCCGAGCCACCCGAGCACAGAGTAGGTCTAAGTACCGCAGTGGCAGGTTAGGCGCGCATCGCCTCTCTTTGCGCGAGCTTTCTTTCGACCTCGGTCCTCGGGCCCCTTTTTCAACCACCCACCTCTCCCTTTTTTTCGCCGCGCAATCCCGCCAGCTCATCGCACAAAAAAGCAACTCAATTGATCCCTGCTGCACGCACTTCGGCGTGCTTCCTCCGCCCGTGACATGAGATGAAACAAACGGGAACGAACCTGCCACGACTGGGGCCACCCTCGCAGCTCACCCGTTATTTCACAGGTATCGGAGATGCGTTTTGGACCGGGCAGCCCAGAGGGCAGTGCCCCGCACCCGCTAGTACAGCAACATTGTCGCCGTCGGTGCGATGTGACGGTCACGGTTCCAGTTCCCATCCGGTACGGAACACCGCCTCTCCTTCATCGCGTGTTCTCCATCCGAGTCGCGCGTTATATGTATTGTCTCCTGTACGATAACATACCACTAATTGACGTCTACCTAAACGTACTACCTCAGTTGAATGCTCCACTTTGCATTACATCATTCGAATTATGCCGGCTTTAGTCGGCTCTAGTCGGCTCTAGTCGACTATAACCGGCTCAGTTGAAGTGAGGTTAAAACCAAATCATAACTGGCTAAGTCAATCAACCTAGCCTAGCTTCACCGGACTTTGAAAAAACCAGCTAGGTTATAGTAAGCTGCCAAGATAGTCCAAATATTTTAAGACCATATATGGTTATGGGTGGCTTCCAAGCCCGTGCAACACTAGCCTAACCTCGTTCGTCATCTACGACGCGTAGAATTCTCCCGCACCTCGAACAAAACCGGAAGACGAACACACGAGCGCCCCCCCAACCTCTCCTCGAACTACCCATTCGTACTTCGTACTTCGTGCCACCGCAATGCATCCCAGCGCCTTCCAAATCGCTCCACTGACTGCGGACGAGCAGCAAACGGCCGCTTCGACCCAGTCTACTAGCCGCGACCAGGACCCAAACGAGAACAACCCGACCACGCGAACGTCGGCGGGAGTCAGAACTCCCAGCCCCCGTGGCAACCTCGTCTCCCCGGTCCCCGACGAGCTCAGGAGCTTCGCAGACGTAACGGCGGGACGCCCAGCCACGCCGCTACCCCAGGCTTTCAACGGTATGCCATGCACCCCAAGGCTTCGGCCGATTCCAGATCAGGGGCTCATCCCTCACCTCGACCTTACAGCCACGGGTGCCGACATAGAGCATGAGCAGGTGCCACCGGGCCCAAACACTGGCGATTATCCTCCTCTGACCACCGCGCCGGCCACTCCTGCGCCGTCCCTCGAGCCTGCTAAGAACAAAAAAGCGGCTAAAAAGAACTCCAAGGCGAAGCAGCAGAAGGCGGCGGACGCAGGCAACGTCACCCCTCCAACGACCTCAACGCCGCTGCCCAACCTGGGTAAGCCGGCGGGCGAAGGACGCCGTCGTCGCCGGGCCCCGACAAAGCGCACCGACGAGAGCGGCGAAGCCTCTCAGCCGCGGTCCGCAGCCGGAGCCAAGGAGACCCCCGCTGCCCTCCCCGCCCCGACGCTCCGCACGCCAGCGTCCATCTCTGTCGTGACGACGATCGCCTCGAACGTCTCGAGCCAGGACCGCGGACCGGATCTCACGAGGCCCGGGGCCCGCGAAACACAGGACGACACGCACGACAAGGTTGCACTCTCCGTTCGCGAGCTCATCGCACAGCCGCCGCACCCCCTCCATCCGTTCTCGGAGTGGGACCCAGTCAATGGGGGCTTCATCTGGAACCCTCCGCCGATGCAAGCTGACCCGCACTGGCGCCCGAACACTTTCCAACGCGGAGAGGACGGCCCCCCTCCCGACGCTTCACAAAACAGCTTCTATGCCCCATCTCTCGACGAGATGATCAGGAGCTACCAGAGCCCACCGCCGGGCCTATCCACGCTCACCCCCGCGCCTCGCCCGCCAAGGGATCCCCTTGCGCCCGACCTGCCTCCAATCCTTGCTCCACCAGCCCCAAACAATGGCAGCCACGAGCTGCAGCCTCAGCCCGAGACACGTCGCCCGGCCCTCCACGCTGAGGAACCAGGATTGGCGAGCGCTTTGAACGACAGCGTCCTAGCCCCGCCATGGCACAAGGATACAGGCCGCCGAAACTTCGCGGCAGACGTGAGGTACCGCCCCTACCCGAGCTCAACAGGACGTCAGCTGTCTATAGCCGCTCCTGTAAGCCTCTTTTGGATCCCGCGACCCAAGAAAGCTGCTAACATTCCGTACGACCCACAGACTCCGCGCAGGCCATCACACGCCCCGCAGATCCTGGTACCTGAGACGCCCACACCCCTTGCGCGGCCAAGCGGCCTGGTCTCCACGCCACGCCCCGACCAACAGCCTGCCCAGAGAGGAGCGTCGCGAGCATCGATTCTCTCGTACGTAACAAACAGGCCGGCCAGCTTTGGGCACCCCTCCCCTATCGATGTCGACGCCATGAGCATAGACGGCGACGGTATTGAAATCATCGAACCTCCGCGGTTCCAGAGTGCGCAGCCCACCAACGCGAACGCCATCCCGCCGCAGAACCACCCACTCCACGCGTACCCGCAGGCACCGCCGCAGGCCCCTCTCCCCCCCGCTTTCCAGCAGGCGATGTTCGAACAACAAGCCGCTCCGGAGCAGCCCGGTGAGCAGCAGGAGCACGACCAGGACGCTCCAGACGATTTCGAAGACGGACCTGCAAGCGGGATCGACTGGGCCAACGTCGAATTCACGAAGGAACCGGAGGGCGGTTGGCGTAAAGTTCAGTTCCTCTCCCCGGATGGTATGTTCGAGGGACAGTCAGAGGAGCAGGTAAAGCAATGGAGGATCCTGGCAGAGAACGTCCGTTGCGTCATGGTCGCCTTCGCTATGCACGGCGCGTGCGACAAGGATTCGGAGCACTGGGCGCGCCTCGAATTCCTGATTGAAGTGCTAAAGTACCGCTTCGGTGTTAGAGACCGCCCTCTCCTTGCTCCAGAGCCTGCCCCTGGCCGTCGTTCTACCCTCAACACGGGCCCGTGGTACTTCCTGCTTCCCAACGTCACGGACATCCAGCAGTTCGTCCTAGAGAACTTTGGATGGTGCTCCTCGCGCTACCTCACTGTCCACTTCACTCGCTTCCCGCCACCACCACCGGATCTTCTAGTGGTTCTCGACGCGACGCTCGCCTTCATGACGACAGAACCCGAGGCCGCGAAAAGGATCGTCGCCGCAAACTTCAGACGCGAACCGCTCTACTCGACCACGATCGACACCATCAAAGAGGACAAGGCAGCAGGAGCGAAAGGCAAGTGGGGCAACACCCCCGTCATGGCTGCTTTCCGAACGACTGTAGAGTCAATCGAAGTGCGCGTGATGCCAAGGAAGCTTGAGAAAGGCTCGCCCAACCCCCTTTTCGTTGTCTACTGCGACCCGCCGACGACGATCACTCGCCTCTGGTTGGTCTTCCGCGACGCCGTGCGCCGTCAACCCTTCCGCGTCGAGGGCGGCTGTCCGGCCACCGTGTATACCGGGGAGCAGCTACTGTGTAAGCTCTGCCACTCGATGGACCATAAAGTAGGTCTCTGTGACCTTCCTAAGCTCGACGACTGGCACGGCCCACGCCCCGCGGACGACGATCATAAGCCGAAGCCTGCGCCGCCCCACGGCGGGAACGGCCATGGCAAAGGCAAGAAAAGATACGGCGGGCAGAACTTCGAGCGCAACAGAGGGCGCAACACCAACGCGACGGCTGGTAGCAGCAGCAACCAGAGCATCGAGGCGTCCATGCACGCTGCGCTCACGCGCGAGACCACCAAGAAGTGGTATGGCAAGAAGTAGACGTCCTGACCTCTGACCACTCTTGATCTTGTACGTGCCTGCCGTTGCACGTTTCCTGTACCATCTATCTACTTCGACCACATGAATGTAATGCGAGCCTTTGTCTCCCTCACCCTCGGATCCGCAACCACCTCAAAGTGAGACGACACGTCGTAACGAGGGCTGTACTAATGAAACGACACGGCGGAGCTGCGGCAGCCGTAACGACGACTCTCCCTGGAGAGACATGGCGAGGAGGAGAGCCTGTACGCAGACTCCACCTCACCCTAACTGACCTGATACGAACCGAACGGATACTAACACATCCCGGATAGGGTGTGGCCCACATATACTGACCGACTTCGGGACAGGAAAGCCCACCCGCCGGAGATGACTTTATTCACCTCAGCACGGGCACTTTTAGACTTGCCCAGCCTTAGTATGGCGAAGTCTCGTGCAGACATGTCCCCTGATGAGTCCAGGAGCGACTCACGACCCATGCAATCGTTGTAGCAGGGGCCTCGTACAACAACGGCGAACACATACAGAGAACAACCACATACGGACGATTACACGGCAAACGGCATATCTCTCCACCAATGGCGAGCAGCGCCCCCGCCTCCCATCCGGGGACCCTCTGAGGACCCACTGGTGGAACCCGGTGGTGGGACGACCGCCCAAAGTACGCCTAGGCAGTACTTGGACGGCCGGTCAGACTCCCCACGAGAACAACAGAACATTGACGATACCCCCACGCCTGCGAAACAATCGCACAAGGCCAAGAAGGGACGCCATACGAAGGCGTCCCTGATTATGGGGTCCTTGAATATCGGAGGAAGAGGGAACCTCACAGGGACCCGAAATAACAAATGGAATGAGGTTAACCAGCTCCTCCGCGAAAAAAAGATAGGTGTCCTGGCGATACAGGAGACGCACCTGGACGACACCCTCACGGCAGAAGTCCACAGACTGTATGGTAGGCGAATATGCATACACAACAGCAAATCAGAGAACTCCACAGGGGCTCAGGGAGTAGCTTTCGCTCTGAACCGTGAGCTAGTGAACACGGACGGAGTGGAAACAGAGGAGTTAGTACCGGGTCGCGCGCTCCTCCTGTCCATGAACTGGCACGCGGGACACTCACTCAAGATCCTGAACGTATACGCCCCGAACAACCACACAGACAACGCTACTTTCTGGGGGCAACTTCGCGACCACTTCCAACGCCCAGGGATTAAGAAACCGGACGTTATCTTAGGAGATTTTAACCTGGTAGAGGAAGCCATAGACCGCCTACCGACAAGGGAAGACCCCAGCCCCGCTGTAACCAATCTGAGAGAACTTCTCAACGTGACAAAGGTCTTCGACGGCTGGAGGTCGTGTGAACCGACCAAGAAGGATTATACCTTCCCTCAGCGTGGAGGGAGCTCCTGCTCACGCCTAGATCGGATCTACGCCAGTAAGGAGATTCTATCGCGAGCATTGTCATGGGAAATCATGACCACGGGAGTCCCTACAGACCATCGCCTGGCAACGGCAACTTTCACGGCTGCTGCTGCACCATATATCGGTAAGGGTCGCTGGGCCATACCGACTACGCTACTAAGCGACTCGACCTTCATAGAAAGCGCGATACGTCTGGGAGAACAGAAATGGAAGAAGGCCCAAGACGCAACCGGTGAGAACCGGACCGAAGCGGTGAACCCACAAACCCTGTTTAAAGAGTTCAAGGACGAAGTCAGGGCTGTTGCGCGCAAACGCATGCGCGAGAAGACACCTAAACTGGACGCAGCCATCAAAAAGCTCTCGAATCACATACAAACGATAAGCGCGGCAGCCTCTTTTGACAAAGACGTCGAGAAACAGAGAGAGGTTGGAATCCTCCGGGACAGACTGCATGACCTCGAGCGAAAACGTCATGGCCAGATTCGGGCATCAACGACAGTACGATACGTCCTGAACGCGGAATGCCCAAGCAAGTATTGGTCTGCGGTCAACAAGGAACGGAAGCCGCGAGACTTGTTCTACGCGCTACAGGTCCCCAGGTCCTCTCCAGCCCGCTACGTCTCCCGATCACGGGACATGGCCAAACTAGCAAGGGACTATCACAACAACTTGCAGGGCGACAACCCTGAATCCCGACCAGACCCGATAGAACGTGAGGCGGCAACCATGGCGGCCCTCAACGCAGTAAATACGCCTCTGGCTCAGGAGGACACAATGAACCTAGTCTCAGAGATCTCAGAAGACGAGATCCTGGACTCCATTAAGAAGGCAGGTCCAGGCAAGGCAACCGGCTTAGACGGTCTGCCATATGAACTATGGCTCACCTTACACGAAAGATGGTCGTGGTGCACTTCCAAGACGAAGCATAAATTCAATTGCTTGAACTTCATGCGTATGCTATACAAAGACATCGACAGACAAGGAGTCTGCCGCAATTCTGACTTCGCAGAAGGGTGGATGTGCCCCCTATATAAGAAGAAGGATAAGCGTAATATTGAGAATTACCGCCCGATTACACTACTCAACTCTGACTATAAGACATACACCAGAGTCTTGGCGGGGAGACTGGGCCGTGAAGCGCAGAAGATCATTCACCCGGACCAAGCAGGCTTCGTGCCAGGAAGACTGATAACAGACCAGACACAGATGTGCCGCGTGATGATAGACTATGCGGAGGCAACTGAAGAAAACGGGGTCATAATTGCACTCGATCAGGAAAAGGCTTACGACAAAATCAAGCACGACTACTTGTGGCGTGTCCTGGAAAGATTCGGTCTCCCTGCGACCTTCATAAAGAGAATCCGAAGCTTATATGAGCATGCAAAGACAGTAGTTATAGTGAATGGCGAAAAGAGCTCTTTCTTCAGAGTCATACGCGGGGTACGTCAGGGCGACCCGCTGTCCTGTTTGCTCTTCGATCTGGCAATAGAGCCATTAGCCTGCTCTCTACGACTCTCATCCCTGAAAGGGTTCCGAATCCCGGGTGTGGTTGAAAAGCTAGTAGCCACTCTCTTCGCTGACGACACGTCGGCTTTCCTCTGCGAGCATGACAGCTGGGACCTGCTCTGGAAGGTACTGAGCGGGTGGTGTTTGGCCTCCGGAGCCAAATTTAATGGAGACAAAACTGAAGTCATCCCGGTGGGCTCGGCGGAGTACAGAGCAACCATACAGGTGTTGAACTTCCGAGTTTTCAGTGTTCTTATCTTATCAGTTATGTACGGATATGGACTTATGTTCTGCGATGTCAGATTACATACATTCTTTGATGGACTTTGCCTAGATTACGTCATGTGACTTTAGTCCGGATCATTCCATGATATTCCACGACATTCCTTGATGTTCCATGACGTTCCATATCATTCCTTGATGTCCCATCACGTCCTATATCACTCTTTGATGTTCCATCATGTCTCATATTATTCCTGATGTTCCATCACGTTTCATGTATCTCTCCACATCAAACTCCGAGTTTTGGCTTACTCATGCTGCTTACCAGCTTACTCATATCCCCAAAACCTCGGACTTAGTGCTTACTGATGAACCACTGATACAGCATGTGACCTGTATCAAATGTGTATATATACTGGGCTGGTTTGCCCTGTAATGATAACGATCCTTCGTCCTCTCCTCTGCCTGCCAGCATAGGATCTTCCCTTTGGGACTGGTCTGTTCACTCACTCTTTAGTCCTTCACTGCCACTGGGCTTACTAAGCCTAAAACCTCTTTCTTCAACAGGTTATGAGCCCTGCGCTCTGATTCTTTAATCACCTGCACCCCTCTTTGCGCGCTCCAAAGCCCAACTCTTGAAAGAGTGAGTTGGCAATTTTTGTCCTTTGTTGGACTATTTTTAAGTCGCTGCGTGACATAGTGCCGAAGGCCTTGTCTGAGCGCATCTCTAGGGCAGCCCGAAAAGGCAATTACGAAATTTATCATCCGTCTCGTCGTGAGAGAAACGACGTTGACGAAGACGACTCTAACGTCATCGCCGTACGTCATCGGCATTTGTACGGTCATCTACCCGTCCGTCGCCAGATCGACATCATCCTTGCTCCTACCCCTCGTCGCCGCCGCCAAGCCTCTGGCCGCGTAGACACGTCCATTCCTCCCAAGGAGTCCTGCCGCACCTCGCCGGAGCAGCACCTCTTGTATTTGCAGAAGAAAGCGGACGTTGCCGAAGCTCTCGCCGAGACTCGCCGAGCCGAACTCGCTGCTGCTCGTGCCGCTAGTGCCGCTGCTGCCGAGACCAAGGCTTCGCTCATTGAGCGTCTTAGCGGAGAAACTCCCATCATTCCCACGGCTCTAAAGCCTATCTTCCTGTCCGACTTCCGCAAGAAGTCAACCGCTGACAAAGTCGAGATCCTGTGCAAGCGTCTCCTTGCCGTCCAGAAGCGCCTTCAGCCCCTCTATCGCCACCGTAACCGCCTCTACGCCCGTCTTCCCTTGTTGGATAACTTGGACGATTTTGGCAGGCGTTTCAACTGGGTGCTGACGAATATCGAGGAGGAAGGAACCACGTGGTCTGCAGTCGAATTGAACGACATCTGTTCTGTCTGCGAGCTGATTGCGAAGATTTCCTTCATAAATCTTAGCCAGAATTTCGGCCGCATTATCAAGGACGTAGGGGACTTGTACAAGAACAACTACTTGTACTGGGTAGATAAGCGATTGTAGTCGCATTTTTTCTGTATATCTTCGTCCCTAGAATTTAAGCATCACACTGTGGCTTCGTCTCAAGAAGAGACATTTGACCGAGACTCAAATAGTGAAGCATCGGACGGAGTAATTCCACCGTACGATTGCACCGACCATCATCATCTCTACGACTACGAGGAGAACTTTGATTATCATTTTGACGTCGAAGAAGATCAGTGGATTAACTGCGACGACGCTAGTTGCCCACATCGCTACGATCAACCTCTAGGTCCAGTTCCAGAAGGATTTTCAACTGGAATATCGGTCGCTCCTTGGCAGGAGAATTTCCTATTTGCTAGTGAATTTTCGGAATTACCTCCATA